CGAGGTGCTTGCTTCAGGCCGTAGAGTGCCTTGCGAAGCTTGCAGACCCTCGATGTGCCGTCTGTAGCGTGATGAGGCTGTTCAACAAAGATCTCATGGTCTATCTCGCCATATAAGAACGCTGTTTTGACGTCCATTTGTTCGATCTCGAGATCCAGAGCTGCGGCAATTGCGAACAAGGCTTTGTAGCTCATTGGTTTGACTACGGAAGCAAATGTCTGATCATAATCGACACCTTCTTCCTGGGTGAAACCTCTGACTACCCATCTGCACTTGTGGCGGACGATTTCTCCGCCTGATCCTCGTTTGAGTTTAAAAATCCACTTCCCGCTCAGGATTCGGCGATCCCTGGGAGGGTCAACCATTTCCCAAGTTTTGTTTTGTTTGAGTGATTGTATCTCTTCGATCATTCCCTTTTCCCATTCGAGCCAGCGTGGATCATTCTTGGCCTGTCGAAGGGACTTTGGTTCGAAGGGTTCTATCTCTTCCGCCGCAACAGCCAAGAAGGTTGGAATGACGTTCTTGTCGGGGATATTCATCAATGCGAGTTCTTCTTGGTCATAACCGGATGTGTCTCGAAAAGTTTGTGTGTCACGGAGCTTGAGTTCAGGGTGGCGTTCCAGTGAGTCTTTTTGCACTAAGTGTTTTGCACCACCCTCTCGTAGCTCGGAATAATCTAGCCAATCTGGGATTCGCCCTTGCTGAGCATCGCCTTGTTGCTGGTCGCTACCGGGTGGTGAGTCAAACCTAAGGGCGGAATCCTGTGAAGCAGGTGATAAGGGCCCGAAGGTATCATCACTCCGTGTAGGCGAAAAGGTTATAGCTCCTTGGCCAGCAACAGCGGGCTGCGAGGTCTTATCACTCGACTGAGGCAGATGCACTTGCACTATGTCGTCCCATGATCCAGGCTGTGTTTGCTCTTGTGGCGCCAGGGATGCCTGACGCCCCGAGGCTGGCACGGATGCATGTCGCATACTGGCCGACGGTTGGTTTATTAGTCCCACCGTCTCACTCCCCCCTGCGGCAGCAGCCGTTGCCACAGGAAAGCTCTGCTGTTTGGCTCCCACGTCTTGTATGGTCTGCGTGGAGGGAGTGTTGAGGACTTCATAAAATTCTGCATTTGGCGTACCAATGATTCTGCCGTCTTCTAGCAGGATGCGATAGTTTGTATTACCTTCGTATCCCAATAGTAGACATGGCCTTGTTCTTGGTCCCGTCAGCTTCTTTCTTTGTTTGGGTGGAATTAGGTACTCTCCCTTGGATCCTATGACTCTCAGCCGTGACAGGTCAGGCTTGTCACCATACCAAGCTTGGTACGGAGTCATATTGCGTTTGGATGATGGGGATCGATTTGAGAGGAATGCCGCAGTTCGCGCAATCTCCGGCCAGAATTTGGGCGGTAGTTTCGCATGCCTGAGCGTTGGTCCGACTCGGTCGTAAATTGTCTTGTGGGCTCTTTCCGCTACCCCATTCTGCTGGTGCTGGTCGACGCCCGTGACTTCGGCTCGGATTGCCCTCGAGAAGAGGGTAAATTTCATTTCTTCTCCCACTTGTTCCGGGATCCGGTCAAGACGAATGCGCCTGCATTTGCGCTCAGGGCGCTCATTGTGGTCGAGGAAGTACCGCAAGGACTCCACGACGTATTCTTGCCGTTGTGGTATGGGGACGATCTCAACCCATCCAGTATGGTCGTCAACAATGGTTAGCCAGTAGCGACTACCATCAAGGCCCTCCTCAAAAGGTCCTGCAACATCGATATGGAGGAGTTCCATGGCGTATGTGGCTCTTTTGCACGCTTCTGAACGGCGATGGGGGGTTTCAATCATTCTTCCCTGAAGGCATGCGTTGCAAGGTTGGCGTGGTGTATCGTCCTGAATGCCGTGAGCTTGCTTTTTGAGTCGTTGTATGTTCGCACCGCTCATGTGAGCGAGCCTATTGTGCCAAAGTGCCGATTGCGGGCTGACATGGTAGGCTGGAAAAGCAGGTTTCGACCATAGGTCGAGTGCGTAGACTCCATGATATTGGCTCGCAGTGAACAGATTTCTCCCATCTGATTTGTTCCGAATAAAGGCGCCATTTCTCGAGAAATCAATCTTTGCCCCCCGATTGAGAAGCTGCAGCACGGATATGAGATTCGCATGCGCAGTCGGGACGAACAAGACGTCATCTAGAACAAGCCATTTCTTTCTTCCTCGTACATTGCACAAGATATTTGCCACTCCTATGCCGGAAGGAGCCGTTGAGGTATCGACGCTTCGCAATGGTGGACCGTCATATTTGTCCATCTTAACGAATCTCAAGGCATTGTTACAGACGTGCTGGGCACATCCGCTGTCCACGATCCAGGCCTCACTGATCGAGGGAGCCTTCGTGACCATCATGCTGGGAATGAAATCAAATGTGGCAACATTTCCTTCAACTTCGGCTCCGAATGCTGCATTGATATCCTGTTTTGAGGCTTGTGTCGCCATAAACGTCGGTCTTTTGGGGTCTCTCGGTCCTTCTGAATCGTCGTCTTCATGATCCGTACTGGCCCGCCTCTTTGATGAATTACGATGGTCCGCATGCGCATCTTTGGGGTTTGATCTGCGCGTCGTTCTCTCCTTTCCTTGGTCCCTCGGTTTAGGGTTCTTCTTGAAACACTGCGGCTCTCTGTGATAGGGTTTTCGACAGAAAAGACAGAAGGGGACATTGTTGATCTCGATCCGGCAAGTTTTCCCATCTGGAGACGGTATGACTTTCTTGTCTTCAAGTCTTCGACTGAGTGTGAAGGCAGGAAGGGCATTTGCATCTGCGGGTTGGTTGCCCAGCTGTCCTTTTCTGTGTTCCTCTTCAATGGCCTTGTTCTCAATGTAGTCGAATGTAGGAGCTGCTTTGGTGATATTTCCGTCCTCATCTCTATCATTGACAATGTCCATTTGCCGAAAGACATGGTCGCGGAAACTCTCATATTCTGGACCTAAGGCATGGAGGAAGAAGAAAGTTCGTTCAATCTCAGAAGTGACACATGCGGGGTCGAGTAAAAGTTTCTCGGCATGGATCTTTCTGATCTCGGCCCCGAGGGCTTGTGCACTCCCACATTTTGCCCGGGTAAGTGACATGTACCTCCTCTGAAGATTCACGTATGTTCCTGAACCTTCCGGCTTAAAGCTTTCTTTGACCGCTTTGATCAGTGACTGGACTCGGGTGATTTCGAAGGCGTTTATCCGCTGAGCCGCATTGTGGGTCAGCTTTGCCGCGATCATTGCCGAGTAGAACGTCTGGCGGTGAGACCATTGCTGCGCCTCCTCTTCTTCCAGAGGTGGGATGGCTTCATCCTTAGCCACAGGAGATATTCGAAGAAACTCCTTGACTTTCTGGTTCCACTGTGACCAGTCGTTGGCATTATCGAGTGTTGGTATGGCATGATAGAATGTGCTCAAGCCTATTTGTTCAAATTTATTCGAATCCATCGTGGTGGTTTTCAGGGCTCTTCGGTGCTAAAGAATTCGGCACTTGACGAGCCACTTGAGTGAATTGAGTGGACAGAAGGCGTGCAGTTTGACAGCTCGGGAGACCGCGCCTCAAGACCGAATAGTTCCAGGCTTGATATCTCGCTGGGCGGACTAGAGCTGATGGAGTGGGAATAATCCGATGAGCCTGGAGTAGGCGTATGCGATGGAGGAATGTATTCACTGTCCGATAGGTCGTATGGTTTGAGGTGATTGCGATACGACTCGAAGAAATGAGGAAAGCGGACGCGGTCAACCATATATCGTGGCTTTCGCTCTTGAAAGGTTGTCGGTCTGTTTGGTCGGAGGTTGTACCGATTTGAGTTATTCCCATTTGAGGTCAACGGTGCATGTCCAATCTCAGTGCTTGTTGAGTTGAGGTGATTTGGACCCTGCTCTGGACTGGAGAACGAAGGTCGAACTTGACGTGGAGAACTGTGTCCTGTGGTATGCCGGGAGTTGGCGATAACAGGCGCAGCAGCGATCGCCCGGCGAGTGCGCTCTTCCAGAGGTAAACGCCTATAGGCCCCGCCGAGTGCGTGTCGGGAAAGTAATGGAAACTTCGCTTTTTGGATTTGCGAGAAGCGCCACTGGCGGATGTATCGAAGATAGCATACCAAGTTGAGCTCTTCTTCAGTCCATCTGTGTCCCTTGTATGATCCTTTCCTTCTCGTCATAGGTCAAAATAGTGGAATGTCCTTTTCCGAGAATGCCAGGGATTTGAGAGGAAATGGATTCCTAGCATGCTACAGAGAGCAGGTCGTTTCTGGTGGCAATGTGATACGTCTGGAGCGGTGTGACGTTTGTAGCGGTGTAAGACGATGTTGTCTGTTGTGAAACATGTCTATAGACCATCATTGGTCTAACGACTTTCTGTAGCGGTGTGGTGGCTTTGTCAGCCTTGTGAGACGATTTCGCACAATTCGTTTGCCTGTTGATCCTCAGAAAAAATGTCTTCTCGGTTGAAGAACTAAATGAGAAATTCCAGTTCAGTCAATATATGTATGAAGCTTTCACTTAAGGGGGAAACTTAGGAGTAGAAAGTATTCTCCAGTTTGAGGTGAGCATTGCCGGGCTCATAACCTGTTGATTTATAGTGATGCTTCAGTGTTCATGTTGTTTAGGGGAGTTGATTGTGTTAGATACAGGTAGACTGGTGAACAGGTATATAGGCATGCACGTGATCCCAGCCCCCATGATTATCCCAGTAACCGTGATATTTCAACAGGGATCACGTGCATGCCTATATATCTGTTCACCAGTCTACCTGTATCTAACACAATCAACTCCCCTCAACAACATGAACACTGAAGCATCACTTATAAATCAACACCCATGATGGGTTGGGTTGGGTTGGGTTGGGTCATGGGTTTTTTGGGTTCTGCCGAAGTCTATGGATGACTCAGCAGGGCTGCAATGAAAAAAAAGCTGGCCCGCCACGACGACTGCGCTAGCGAAAGGCCTAAAGGGGCTTTTAGGACCGACAACGACTTCCAATTATATTTTAGCATGGCTTTCGAGCGCCCCCTACCCATCTCCGGGGTCTGGGAGAACCCCGATGCCTACATCGAGGCCCTTCTCTCCTTCTCCACCAAGTCCGTACTCTTCATGAATTTGTGCGGTGGCGTGCATATGGTGGATTTTCTGACTCGCGAGCCTGATGTCTATACAACACTCCTGCCAGAAAACTGGAGGAAATTCTTCGATCAACATGATGTCCAGGATATCATCCATCTACTACTACGGGAGGATATTGAACACTTGCGCGACACTAACAAGTCTGCCGGAGAGGAAAGCAGCCATACTTGGAATGGAGGCGCTTTTCCTCCCCAGAGCCTCTTGGATTACATTTTCAACGTTCGTCACTTATCGCTTGGCCGAGAATTCTCAAGGTCATCTTTAAAGGACATCGAGTTACCGAAGCAAGTTGCCATGCGCATGAACAAGAAGAAAGTACACGAGGTTGAGTGCTTTTCGCAGTATGTCGGAACCCTATCAGACACCGTTCATGAAAGGCGAGGGGAGCGAGTCTCCCATATAGTGGACTTTGGGTCTGGTCAGAATTACCTTGGCCGGACGTTGGCTAGCTCGCCTTATCATAAGCATATCATCGCTATTGAGCGAAAGCATCAGTACATCGACGGTGCTAAGGGCATGGATATTCGGGCCAAATTGGCAAAGGATCCGAAGGCTATATATGCGACGAAAGATAAAAAGGTGTGCGATGATTGTAATGAGACTTCGGGGGTGAATACCCCAGGAAGCCCTCAATCAACATCAGAAGGTTCACCGACCTCGGAGGATGTTCCTCTTGCCAACATCCTGGGCCAAGTCAGCATTGAATCAGACGACCTCGGCTCCGATGATAAGAACGCCCCTCAGGAAAGTTCATTGAAGGCGAAAATTGAAACACGCGGTACCCTTAGCTACGTTGAGCATGAAATCTCAGACGGCTACCTGCAGCCCATTATCGACCACATCGTCAACCCTTCCCACTCCAGACCGCTGGTCGAGGAAGGAAAGGAAGTAAGCGATGGCAAATTGATGGTCGTCTCCCTGCACTCCTGTGGAAACCTAGTTCATCACGGCCTACGATCCTTGGTTCTAAACCCCTCGATTGCGGCCGTTGCCATGATCGGCTGCTGCTACAATTTGTTGACCGAACGGCTTGGTCCCGCCACGACCGATCTCCCTGTACTTCAATCTCTTCACCCTCGACTAGAAGAGAGCGGAAAATCCTACGACCCACACGGATTCCCCATGTCGAAGTACTACGAGGATTACCGAAGTCCCGGCGCAACGACAGGCATGAAGCTGAATGTCACTGCCCGCGCATTGGCTATGCAAGCTCCCTACAACTGGAAATACGACGATAGTGAAGTGTCATTCACCCGACATTTCTTCCGTGCTCTTTTGCAGAGGATCCTCGTTGATCGAGATGTTCTTCCTAAGCCTTCCGGTGCGACTCAGTCAGATACCAAGGCCGATTCAATCATCCTCGGAAAATTACCCAAAGCAGCTTTCAAGTCCTTTAATGCGTATTTCCGTGCTGCCACGACCAAAATGATCCGAGACCCTGTCTTTGGGTCCCTGGTGCAGGAGAATCTGACTGGCATGACGGATGAGGACATTCACCACTACGAGACTGAGTTTTCCCATGTGAGGAAACATATCAGTGTCATGTGGAGCTTGATGGCATTTAGTTCGCAGCTTATCGAGTCTATTATTGTTGTGGATCGATGGCAGTTCCTCCGTGAACAGGACTGCGTCAAAGATTGTTGGGTTAAGCCGTTGTTCGACTACGGTGAAAGTCCACGGAACCTGGCAGTCATGGGACTCAAGAAGGCATGAGTGATGGGAACCGAGGGAATAGTGCCAATTTCCATCCGAGTGTCTACAAAGCGGACTCCTGAGGCTCCTCTATTGTCGCCTTGAATGGGCACCACATGGAAAGGTCAAAGACATGGCCTAGATCTCCTCTCTACAAGGGCTTCCGAGATGACGTTCGATCGTACGATCTAAAGCATGAGACAATTTGGATGTCATTCCGCTTGGATGAAGGCCATTGTCAAGACCCCTTCATGCGCCGGATGTGCTTGCTGTATTCTCCAGGGGACCATGTCGGTGAAGACTTTTGCTATAAAGAGACCTAGAAAGAGAATTCTGGTTGTTCTTGCAGTGTTCGACGACCAGAAGGTCTGTCCAGAAATTAATCTTCATTGGAGTGCGGCTATGGCTCTCTATGTCTTTGCCAGAACCGAGCCGTCTCATTTGTATAGCCAGTTTCTTCCACAGGAGCACTCCAATCCGGTCGCTCCTCTGCTGAGATCTTAATATAAGCACCCATGACAGGCTCTCGGGCCTCACCCGGGACACCAGCAAAATGAACCAGGAGATCTCCAGGGTGCACGATCATATCGGCCGGCAGGCCCTCTGTAATTGGCAATTCGCCATTATCCGACCTCTTGTAGGGATTGAACCATCTTGATGGACAATATACCACGCCACGCGAAAACTCCTCATTTTCCTCGAGAACGTGCGTCAGGGCAGACTGGTCCCGCCAGGGAGATCCACGTCCGGGTTCATGAGGGGCCATGCGAGAACGGCATTGAGCAGGTTCACGGACTGGGGGTGGACGCGGATGAAGAAGTTTCCGTTGTTGATTCCGTTCCAGTCTCTCGATAGCAAGACGTTGACATCTGCTAGGTCTGGGGGTGGGAGGAAGATTTCCAGTGGCAGGTTGAGATTCATCAGTACCGTGTCTCCGTCAAACCAACTAAAATCAATTATTAGCCCAGTATTGAATAGTGATTTTCGCATTGATGTCCCTACAAAAGCCATTGTAGTCGCTCGCCCTCTGGCTTCTCTAGTTCCTCCACGATTGTTGTCAGGAGCTTCAGAGGCTTGTTCCAGACTCCGTCGCCTTCGAGCACCTTTTGGCGAAGAACGAACATCGGGTAGTTATGTCGGTGGGCATGTTCTTCGTGTGATTCCAGCGCTCTGTAGAAGACCATCAAATCACCGTAAACCATGGACACTTTCCCAACAACCGGTTGCGGAGTTGCGGTCGGTACGCTTGATGTGGTCGTCGTGGCTATCGCAGACGACGTAGTTGTGTTCGATTCGATGTGTACGGCTGATGCGGTGGGAACGGAGGGTGCAGACGGCATCACGGCGGGTTGCGAAGAGAGGCTAACATTCTTCAAGGCTATAGATATCGTCAGTATCAGCGATGCCTGTTTGGGACGCCGCAGTGCGACTCGGTGATGTGAAACGAAACATACAGTAATTCGAGAGCATCGACAGCAGGCTCAGAACCCCCAAAATCCCAAACAAAGCCAGCGCCACGTGCGACGCCGGTCGCAGCAGATTGCCATAGCCCTGGCTATGCAGAATGTTCACCATGGTGGGCGGCTTAACGTCTGGACATGACTCGGAGATCGGAGGTGAAGCTCGCGACGCCGCACTTGGGGCCGAGCGGAATCGCTTAGGGGCCAGGAATTATGTCATGAAATTCGCTCCTGTTAAAGTCCACTAAAGCAATCGCTAAAATTGAACTGAGCGATCGGCAAGGTACTAGCGCGGCTCGTGGGGCTGATGTGGATGTTGTGAACGAACGGGTTCGGGCGGATTTTGATTACAATGGGCGACTAGCGCGAGGTCTTGGGAAAATATTGGGGGCCATTTCGAACATATGGCTTTGTTGATTGTCCATGCTGCTATACCCATAAAATCAGGCAAGATGTACAAAAGGTTAAAGGAAGCAAAAATGAGCATGTTATGGATATAGGGTAATTTTAAGGTCAATTGCCCCATGTAGTGTGAATGAAAAAACATAGTTCCCCAACGCAAGATCTTATTGCTTCTCAAAGAAAACAACCTTGCTCCCATAATCCGTCGCAATAGGGAACTGCAAGCCGATCTTCATCAAAACAGAACCGGAGTACGTCGCATTTCCATCCACGCTGTATGTCGCCTTCGGATCCAGGCCTTGCAACTTAACCCACGGGGCAGCATGATTGATGTTAGGGTTAATCTGGAAGTAAAAAGAACAGCCTGCTTGCCGTCCTCCGAAAGGAACTGGACAGCCGGCCAGTTGGACTCTTCCGGCAGATTGAGACGGTACATGTCACCCGTCAAAATTATCGGATTAACCTTCTCAGCAAGCTCAATGAGAGCAGGAAGAGCGGCTTTGTCATCCGCCGGTATGTCGGCGGGGTCCAGTTCGAGACCGAAGGAGCCGCCCATCATCGCGACGTGTCCGCGGAAGTCGACTGGGAGAGTGCGACCAGTTTGTTGGTTTGGTACGGCCGAAAGATGCGCGCCCATTGCGCTGGGCGGGTAGGCGAGAGAAGTGCCCATTTGGATCGTAATGCGCTCCACGGCATCGGTATCATCGGAGGTCCAGATCTGAGGGAAGTACTGGAGGACACCCGGGTCGAAGCGGCCGCCGCCAGAAGCACATCCCTCCCAGAGCACGTCAGGGAAGCGCGTGGTCAGGGCGTCGAAGACATGGTACATTCCAAGCATGTATTCGTGGTCCGTGGATGGGGAGGGCATCTCGTGGATTCCTCGATTGTTATCCCACTTGACGTAGCTGATGTTGGCGCTGTTGAGGATGTTGGAGACAGCATCAATAATGAACTCCTGAACTTCTGGGAGAGCCACATTGAGGACAAGTTGGTTGCGTGTTTCCGTGCGAGGGTATTTGCCCGCGTGCACCGCCCATTCCGGGTGCTCGTGGTAGAGAGTGGAGTTAGGATTAACCATCTCAGGCTCAAACCAGAGGCCAAAGCGCAGGTTGGTTGATGTGTTGGCTGCTTTGAGAGCTGTGATGCTGTTCACGGTGTGCGCCAAACCGTCAGGGAATCGTCGAGGATTCGGAACCCAGTCGCCCAGGCCGGCATCGTCTGAGACACGAGGATACTTGTCGCCGAACCAGCCGTCATCTAGAACAAACATTTTGATTCCAAGATCAGCAGATTCCTTGGCCAGTTCATAGATGGTAGACTCGTTGTAAGTGGAGCCGAGTCCTTCCCAGCTGTTCAGGAGAGCGGGTCGGTCAGCCATAGCAAACTTGCTCTTGATTAGGTTCTTGCGGTAGAGACGATGAAGCGAGCGAGACATTCCACCAATTCCGCTGTCAGAATAAACAGCGACACATTCAGGAGAGGTCAGGGTTTCGCCTGGACCAAGCGACCACGAGAGCTGGCTCGGGTTGAGGCCTACCAGAGCGCGTGTCAATCCTTGGGAACCTTTCTCGACATCGATAGAGAATGATCCCGAGTAGACGAGCGAGAAACCCCAGACTTCACCGCTAGACTCGGTACTGGCTGGGTCCATGATGGCAAGGAATGGGTTGTGGAGGTGGGAGGAGTATCCAACACTGCTCTCAAAACTGTGATTGGTTCATTGTGTTAGCGATTCAAGTCTCTCTAGCTTAAGGACTGGAGCAGCTTACCCCTGTGTTCCATATTCAACCTTTCGCCTCTCACGATGCGCCTCTCGTGCCCAATCTCCACGAAGACTGATCATGTCGAGATTCTCATACGGAAAGTCCACACTGATACTTGCCAGCGATTCAACCGTGATGTTGGCCTCGCCCTGGTTCGTGATGCTTGCACTGCGCACAATTGCATTGTACTTGGGGAAGATCGAGTATGACAGGTCCGCAGCGACGGAGCTATAGTTGTCGTAGAGGTGAACGATCAGTGTCGACACCTCGTCCTCGGTACCGAACGTGGCTGGCAGACCGGGCAGTTCCGGCTTGCCGTGCTTGACTGTATGTGATTGATATTGCAGGTCTGAGACCGTGTATCCTTCCGATTGACGAATCCTAACTGCTGGCTTTCGGAAGTCCCCTCGGCCTTGGTCAGGGAATTCTCGTCGGACGCGTCCGATCGTATTGACCCAGCCGTTGACCGTGTCAGGAATTTCGGTTGGAATGTCTCCCGTGACGCTAGCACCAAAGTGATCCGACAGCAGGTCGCCGGTAGTGTTGTCGACATGGAAGCGGTACGACACGTTGTCACCATTCAGCTCAAAAGCGCTGCCATCAGCAGTGATAGCTATCGCACCTAAGGCGTTAGCGTATGTTGCTGCTGAAGTGGTTTCGGAATGAAGAGTACCATTTGCAGAGTCTGCACCCATCACAAAGGAATTGTGACTGAGAAAAGCTGCAAGGCTGGCGAAAGCCGCCACCTTGGGAGTCAAGAGAGGCATCCTATTCTCTATACTGCTTTTTCTCGCCTAAAAAGAGGATTGGAGGACAAATTCAAGCCAAAGTCCGGTCCTTTCGCGGCCTTATATATCCCAAGCCCCGTGGGGAATGTGGAAAGTAGCATCCGGATCCGGAGAAAGCAACCAATTGGCGTCAATGAGCCCCGACGGCTTCATTTCTGCAGAAGTCTGCTTCTGCCGCATCGTGCTAGCTTGGAGACTCGGGGTTTGCGGAGAGCCTTGCGGGGTGGAGTGCGGAGTCTCTCCGGGGACTGCGCCTGCAGTGTGCTGGCGGCGGTTTTGATGCCGTCTCATTGGCTCACCGCCCGCCAATTCCGCCGCCTTCGCGACGCCAAGAAGTCATGGCCTGTTCGCTTTGCGACGCAATGATGCTGATCGCATCAGAGCGTATGGGATTGTGCTCGATACTACTTTTTCGGCAACTGTCGGCTAATAGGAAGTATCCAGTATGGAAGAGCGATTTTCCAGTTGAGATTTGCCAGTTGTTGACTTATTTTGAGCTGTACATTGACATGAATGAGTGTGGGTTGCTGCACTGGCATAATAATACTCAGTAGTGTACTCTCCAATGTTTTTTCAAACATGCACAGATGAACTTGACTTAAAGATTCAGCTACCCCTATACTTGCTGTTCCAACGAGATCTTTCGACCGTCCGATTTAAACGGTAGAGTATGACAGACACTGCAAGACTTGGAGATCAAAATTGTTTGCGCTATTTTAGCGACGACAATTAGGCGATACTTGACACGCCTGGCATTGAAAAGTGAATCATAAGTAACGCACTGGATGATATAGATCAACAGGGCCAGTGGTATTCGATAGTTCGAGCGTGAACGAAAAGTAAACCAGGAATGTTCAAGAAGGGGACCTCAGGAAAGCCCAGACTTGCGTGTATGGTCCTTCTTCCCATCGTCAACTGCCCCGTAGCAATTCTCGTGGTTAAGCTGATACCGTTGTGTGTTTAAATTGTCATGAGCCGTTGATTATGCCATGGTTACTGATCATGTGGAAAGAATGAGGACCGATCTTCGAACAATGTCGCCAGCGTTCGTCGTCTCACAAGTGATCAAAGGACTAGCTGTGTCAAAGTCGGGAGTGATGTGGGTAAATATTGTAAATATTGTCGACTGATCGCATAGGTCGATTGATTCTGGAAGATCAGATATCGATGCAGGGTCTGGTGCTGTCTTACTCCTTACTGAACTCGGTTTTATCACTCGGTTCCGATTTCGTTTCGAATCCGCCAACAGCCACGGCATGCCGTGCACGAAGGCCTAGACCATGCTGAGAAACATCACGACAACGCAGAAAATGAGAACCTTGTAATGCATCGGGCACGAGAATCGGCATGGATTCCAGCCCAGACCGAATGGACATGGGCATTCGCATGCTGGCATGTCAAGGTAAAAGCTCCTTCCGTTTGGGCAGGCTATGGTGATTGGATGTGTGTGGATATTAGGACAGCTTTGAAATGAGAGAAGGAAAGAGAAGGTGCCGTCAGAGAAAGTTACTGATCACGTGTGGCATCAGTGTGCCTTCCTTTTGGTGACCTGCGAACAATTATGCCAGTGCTCTCAGCTATAATATGAATACTGCAAGCTTGCCCAAGAAACAAAATTAGTGGCGGTAGGAAAAATAGGGTCGTAGGATGTAATGAGGGGTCCATCGTCTCTTTGAGGATGGTAGCGCTAGTTGCATTTTAGTTGAAGGGGAAAGAATTGCTTCGATGATGCCATAAGATACATTCTTACTTCTTCATAATTCAATCATTTTATTTTTTCGAGATTACACCTTTTATAGTAGTTTCGAGGATACATAACGGCGGGATTGTGATATGGCCAATATGCGAGGGCCAGCGAATCTTGCGCTGGATTTTAAACTGACTTGATTCGCTCTTTTCTTCTTTTCTTCAATTAATTCATCCTATCTTTTTGGATTGGTAATAACCCTTGACCAAAGCGACTTTTAATAGCGGTCATATCTCAATGTCGGTACGACAGGCGCCATGACTTCGTGTATTGATCCATCTGACTTTTGGCTCCCCAAACGATCGGGAAGTTGAAATGATTCCAATCAAATTATGTCTCTTTCTCTCTACAAATTTCCTCTCCGATTGCCGGCGTTGGTCTCTCTCATCACATCTAGTAATTCTTGGCAAGGAGGCTGTGCGAGGCAGTGCCGCCCAAAACTGCAGCATGACTGGCCCACAAGCGCCCAATACGCAAGGAAGAAAGCAGTTGGCTTGACATATTTCATTAATCATCAATCTGGAAAGCTATGACCCAGGCACCGGCTCCAAATAGGTCTAATTCGACATCATCGCTGCATTCCGATCCGCCACCTCAACCCACGAAATCCGCTTCAAATCCTCAAACGCTGCAACTGTATCCGGATGATCTTTTCCCAATACTTTCTCTCGCTGTGAGTAAACGCTCTCAGCAAGGTCACCTGCTCGATCCCATCTCCCCTGTGATTGGTAGATGTATGCCAGGTTCGATACAACGCTTAATGTATACGGGTGCTCTTCACCCAATGACTTCTTCATCGACTCCGCCACTTGCGCTGTCAATTTCGCTGCAGAATCCATCTGTCCGTCGACTTGGTACGTCACTGCTAAATCTGCTAGGGCGATCAACGTTTGGGGACTTTCGTCGCCTAGTACCTCCCGCATAATACCCGATGTTCGTTCACCGAGCTCCTTGGCTTCGTCTAGTCGCCCAAGGCCTCGACAGGTGGATGCAAGGTTCCCCAAAGACATTAGGGTTTGTGGATGTCTTATTCCTAGGGTCATTTCGCAGATTTTCACCGCTTCGCGATCGAGACCCTCCGCCTCGGTCCAATTACACTGATTGCGATAGTTTGCCGCCAAATTGGAGATCGACGTGAGCGTCAACGGATGCTCTGATCCCAGAGATTGTCTCCGGGCTGACAGGACCTCTCGGTCCAAAGCCTCCGCCAAAGCAAAGCGTCCGTCGTCTCGATAGTTCGATGCCAGGTTGGATTTCATGGTCAACATTGAAGGGTCTGTTGCGTCGAGCACGTTTTCCGCTCGCCCCACCAGCTCGCGGCTGATTGCCTCTGCTTCCTGGTAACGACCTTCCTCTGCGTACGAGGTCGCCAGGTTCGACATCGAGGCAAGTGTTGAGCGGTGTTCTTCGCCGAGAGTTTGTGCTTTCAACTCCACGACTCGTGCATCCATTATTCGGGCTTCTTCGAGTCGACCTTGCCCTCGATGGGCCGATGCGAGGTTTGACATTGATGCCAGTGTTTGGGGGTGGTCCTCCCCATATTTCCTCCTTCTGAGGCTCGTGACTTCGGTACTGAGGACAGCAGCTGCATCGTACTGGCCCATGCCACAGTATGTGGACGCAAGACTGTTCATCGCGCTTAGGGTTTTCGGGTCTTCTGGCCCGTTGCGGGCTGTGTAAACGTCGCACATCAGCGATGCCAGATCGCATGCAGCTGCCCACTTGCCATGATGAAGATGAGTCTTGAGCAAGGCGTCGAGGGCGTCGAGTGGATCAGGCGGCGAGTTATTTTCGTCGCTAGTTGCAGATGGCGTGGTCTCTCTTTCAGATACAATCCGTTCCAGTTCTGCAGCGTCCTCAACCCATCCTCGGGCTCTATATCTCTCCGCAAGGCTACTGACCCTATGCCGAAGTGAAGGGGGTTCGTCCATGTATCGCAGTCCAGACGGGGCGCCTTTCATGTGCAAATCAGCCCAGCTCAGTTGGACCGACACCACGACAGTGTCTCCTCTCGCACCTTTGGACTCGTTCAGGGGTTCGCTTCGCTCACGTCGCTCTGGTCTGCAGAAAGAGGAGTGTCGTGCCGGGGATTTCGCGTAAGACGATGGTGAAAGAGTAATCGGAGCCGAAAGTCTCGGTGACATCTGCCAAGGTGGGATGCGTCCCGCCATTCGATGTGGGACAACTAGCGCGAGCAGTTCGGCGGATGTTTTTCATTCGCAGATGCGGGCTGCTGGCGTGGGTGTTTGTATCGTTCGGACTTTGCGGGCTGTTGGGCCCGTCCGTTCCCACTGGCAGGAATGGTTTCAGCCACTGTAAGGGCTGCTGTATCCTGCACCTGCAGGAGCACCGCGTTGCCATCGTCACGATGTGTGCTGGGCTATTGCTCTGGCGGAATTTTGCTGCCTGGATTTGAGGGGTGGGTTCGGCCGGAGTCAGCCCTATCACACCGGCTCCATTGTGGTGGGCCACGTACGGCGCTAGTAATAAGGCTGAACGCCCCAAAATTACCGCAGGAAGCGTACGATACCAGACTCGGGGACTCTGGAGAGTAATCAGGTATGATACTGTACACACGCGAGGTTGTGAAACCCCTCAAGACCGCTTGACCCTTTTGCATCCTCTCTTTCCCCTAACGGACGCATTGCTGAGTCCCTCTGTTGAATACCATGGCGACCAGCGATCGATGGCCGGGACTATCTGAGCTGACCCAGCTGCCGGTGCAGGCTGGGCTGAGCTCCAATACCAAGCAGCCCGTGATGTATCTGCTTCCACTGGCCGGCGCGGCGCGATTGTTTCAGTGGAATTCGGCGATTGTGCTGGTGGTCAACCTGGTCGCAATCGTTTTTCTATCAGACATCATTTCTTCTACGTCGGATGAGCTAGCGGACTCGTTAGGCCATTTGCAGGGTGCTCTGATAGGTGCGACACTGGGAAACACTGTTGAGTTGACCGTTGGTGTCTCTCCTCTTTTCTATACTTGGCATCATACTGACAGATCGTGGTTTAGTCTGGTATCCTCGCTCTGTTGCATGGTGACATTATCTTTGCACAGTCTGTGATGGTCGGTAGCATCTTATCAGATATTCTTCTGGTGGGCATCTCTTGTCGTTTTCGAAAACGAATATCGGATACTGACTTTCCCCGGCAGATCTTCGGCTTTTGCCTTGTCACGGCCTCCTACAACAAACAGATCCTTGAGTTCAATGGCCATATGGCCAAGACTCTATCATCACTTATGATGATCACCGCAGTGACAATGCTTCTTCCGACTGCTTTGTACTCCACATTCCCGGTGTCTCAAATTGATGACAGTGTCTTGTCCTTTTCCCGCGGCACCTCTTTCGTTCTATTTTTACTCTACGGGGGTTATCTGTACTTCCACATGGGAAGCCACAAGCATCTCTTCATTAAAGAGGACGATTACGCTCGGACGAGCGAAGAAGACAGCTCTGAGCACGCCAAATCACAGCAAATACAGTCTGATACCAGCATCTTCGCCCCATCCATGCGACTCGCCGCCGCAGTCGCAGCCACCGTCTTCTGCACAGAGCTGATCTTCGAAGGCGTAGACGACATGATAGCGTCCATGGGCTTCAGCCGTGTCTTCATTGCAGTCATTCTCATCCCGATCGCGAGTAACAGCACGGAAGGCACGGCAGTCATTGCTTCAGCGCTCAGCGGTGACACCGATTCTGCGATTCGCGTGATTGTGGACAGTCTCCTCCAAATCGGTCTCTTTGTCATTCCTTTGCTGGTCATGATTGGATGGTTTATACACGAGCCGATGACTCTTTATTATGACCCGTTTCAATCTGGTGTCATGTTCTTGGCTGTGCTGGTCGTCAATCATCTTCTTCGGGATGGACAGTATGCGTATATTCATGGCGCGATGTTGATTGCATTGTAAGGGCGGCACTCTTCGAGCTACATGTGTTGGCCTCCGAAAGCTAACATGACTATAGGTATGGCAGCCTGGTAGTCGCTTTCTATGCGCGCTAGAGACAAATCGAACTTATTATTGTACACTGGAGTCCGGGAGCTCCTAGGGCTTACTGTTTCATGCTTAACACAAGAGTCTTACTTTAATAAAAGCCTGTGTAGAACCAAAGTTTGCTACATCGACCGTCTGTGGCATCAAGGACTTGTTCAATTTTGCAGATTGGTAGCATCTGTTGTTGCATTATGGCCCGACCCAATCGACCTTCGACGATGTCTCCGGGCGTACGTAGAAAGAGAATGACATGATCAAGTACCTGTGAATGATCTCGTTAATCTCCGTTTCCCGATACAAGGAAAAGGTAGTTTGCACTTACGTTCCAATCAACATCAATCCTTCAAAGTAGTTGCTTCGCCCATCCGCAATAAGGTAAGTCATCACAACAATACTCAACAGCAGAGTGGTAGTCTCGAATTCATCGAACTTCAGCACGAGCGGTTGGCTAAAGATCCAACCAAACAGGACCAAAACGGGTGCGACCAGCATCGTGAGTCGCAAAATGGTGTTGATCACAGCGCGGATCCCACGTTCAATCTGGTCGTTGTAGCGGGACCCCTCGACGGTCGCGCGATATTTCGAAATGTTCCCGATTAGTGGCACCAGAGTAAGGACCGGGAAAGACGAATTTGTTCCCAGTGTCTTCGCAGCTCCACTAATACTGCGAACAAGTAGAAAAGCACAAGTAAGCGTGCCCGAAGATGCAGCCAGCAGAATGAATGCCGTACGGGAGCGCCCGGTGAGCGGGGGTAGCGCTTGCGGGCTCAAGGTACCGTGAGATGTTCGACGCTCTGAACCGTCATGAAATGGAGTTCCGGCAAACATATCTGCGTGAGTCCGCAGTCTGAAGAACAGAAATGTGCACAGAAGAGCGATCAGGGTAATGGCGGTGATGTGCAGTGTCATCATCGTGTCTTCGTCTGTGACATCCTTGCGAGATGACAGAGCTTCCATGGCCGTCGGGATGGCTAGCATAATGAACACTACCATCATCAGTGAAGACAGGGTGGTTGTCAGAGTGCGGTCGAATCGTAACCGATTCTTGTCATAACCCGCGAAGAACAATGCACTGCCAAGGACTAGCAACAGGTTGCAAAGGATACTGCCCAGAATGATGGACCTGGAAATTGAGGGCACACCTTGGATGATAGAACTGACTCCGATCTAAATAATTTGTTAATTCTTGAATCGCAATTCTTGGCCGTTGAAGGGAAGGCAGATGGTTACCATCAGCTCAACGCCATTCCCCAGTGTTCCTTTGAGTAGTTCATGGGTGAGTCTTCCAGAATGGACAGAAACCACATGAATACATCTTAGAATCCAGTTCATCAGAACAGCGAGAGCACCCAGGTTTAGAGCGAAAACAACGATTGCCGGTAGCTGTGATACTCCGGCCACGGTGCCTGCTATCGGCAGCAACGGGAGGAACTGTGCGGCCCTCGCCATCATGTATACCAGTGGGGAGTAGTTTTGAAGCTACAATCGAAGATGTCCTGATGATGACAGAAACAAGCTTGATCTGCCCTGAGCGGAATGTATAGCGGACCCCAGGGAATCGTCGAAGTTTCAAGGCATCGGCCACGGGAGGCACCCGCGCTGCCGTGACGAGGTAAGATTGAACCCCACTGCGTAAGATCGGCGTGCATCAGGCAACTGGCAGTGTGTAGGGATGAGTTGGCCTCTTCCTGCCTTCTCCTTTTCGCAAGCCGCGCCTGCATACATGCTGTCCCACCCACCCCCGTATTGCCCCGCCTATACCGCGTTTTACCGTTTCACCATACCATCCATACATCCATAACAGTAACGTGAGTCCCCTGGAGCTTCGCCCATTCCCTCTTCCTCCGACTCTGCTTCTAATATTAGTGATTCAAGATCCCTTTCTAGGCTCGGTTCCGCCCTATCCACCTCACTAGAGGGCATGTCTCGTGAGCCGAATCTCTCCTGGCTTGACAACTATGGAAGCTCCCTCCGCTCGATTACGGAAGCCTGCGAGACCAGACGACGATAGCATGTCCCCGTCGCCAGCTGCCGATGCAGTAACGAATGACGAACAATTTCAGCTGAAAGGCTACACGCAAGACTCGAAGGGGGAGCAACCAAGCTCCTCACCGTCGTCCCCCGCGAACAATGCACGTACTCGACCGGCCCACGATCTCTCCCTCGGGGAATCGATATGGGCTGCAGTGAAGGTGACACTGAGTGACAGCTACACGAGCTACTTGCTCCCTTTTGTATTTCTAGGAATCGTCGCAGGGAGACAACATTGGAATGACTCGTTGGTTTTCGTGCTGAACTTTTTGGCAACGCTTCCACTAGCAGCGCTCCTCTCGTTTGCGACGGAGGAGCTGGCGAAAAGCGTCGGACAACTTCTGGGAGGGTTGGTCAATGCCACATTTGGTAATGCGGTGGAAATGATTGTTTGTCTTCCCTTCTTTGCCGCCAGTGTTTACGTTCAAAGGCTGATGTGGCTTTTACAGGTCGGAATTACTGCTGTCAGTCGCGGGGAAATGAACATTGTACAGTCGAGTATGGTCGGCAGCATTCTTTCTGGAAGCCTTCTGGTCGGTCATTTCCCAATTCCTTTCTCTCAGACTTCAAATTGACTAACATTTGTTTCACGAAGATTCTCGGCTGCTGCTTAACCGCTGGCGGTCTCTCGAAAGACACTGTCGCCTTCAACGTGGACGTCAGCGGAATTCTGTCTTCCCTCATGGTCGTTGCCTCCGCCTCGCTGATCATTCCCTCCATTCTGGATTCAACGACTCCACCTTCCTGGGACGCAGTGCATGGCAGTGTCTTGAGTCTATCCCGAGCAACTTCCGCCGTCTTGCTCGTATTCTACCTCGTCTATCTCTACTTCCAGTTGAAAAGTCATGCAGATCTATTCGTCGATGATTCCGAAGAAGACGAAGAGGAAGCGAAACTCGACCCCTGGGCTGCAAGCCTTGTTTTAATTCTAGCCACCCTCGGGGTTACATTCTGCTCCGATTACCTCGTGGACAGCGTGGATGGCTTCGTCGAGGCTTGGGGCGTCAGCAGAGCCTTCATCGGACTGATCGTCGTGCCAGTCATTGGTAATGCGGGAGAATTCAACACTGCGATCACAGCAGCCATGAAGAATAATATGGACCTTGCGATCGGCGTAATTGTCGGGAGTACCCTTCAAATTGCTCTGTTTGTGAGTCCGTTTCTGGTAATGTGCGGCTGGGTTATTGGACAGCCGATGTCTCTTCGGTATAGTACATTCGAGACAGTGGTGTTCTTTTTATCGGTGATTGTGATGGACTGCTTGATTCGAGGCGGTCGTTCAAACTACTACGAGGGCTGCTTACTTATTGGAACGTGAGTGATTCGTGTTTCGCTTTGCGTTGAGATGTGGTATTAACCTCTGCTGGACAGATACCTCATCATTGCCATCGCCTTCTATATACATCCAGATAGTGCCCAATAGATTGGTGACGATTAATTTCTCGCGAAACTCATGTCATACTTCTTTATTAGCTTCGTACCACGGCCCTGAAACTAAGGGCCCAACTCAAGAGCATGTGCAAGTTGTAAATCTATTTCATCGAATTTACAAAAGTTTTGCGGGGATGCGGAGTGACCGCTCGGCATTCTCTGCTCCGCGGGGTCGGTCGGCCGGCATCCCTCCCGACTTCCTTAGCGCATCCCTGCCCCCGAGAAACATCCAAATCACGAATGAGAAAAGCCAAGGCCTGCAGAGCTTGCCGGTGAGATTGATTTGGCTGAGAGGCTATTACCAGAACTGCCACAGCTGATATCTCACAAAACATGACAGGGAGCGACGGCGAAGGTGTGAGATCCGCGCAGCGGGCGCGGCATGCACCTACTGCCATGAGCGCGGCATCACCTGCACAAGCAGCGAATCATCAATCAAACCCCAATTGGGCGGCTATAACCAGCCCTCCGTTTCTCAGGCGAATCCGATCACTCCGAGTCAATTGTCGAAGCCTGGCAATGGCTCTCTACCAGACCTAGCTTTGTGCACCGAATTGGTCCAGCTTTATTTCGACTATGTGCATGACCAATTTCACACCTTGTTCCATCAACCGAGTTTTATGGAAAGTATCAGTCGAGGTCAAACTCCACCGATCTTGCTGTATGGCATGATAGCTCTTTCGGCAAGGTCGGTCTGCTCTCCTTTCGGAGTCTGGATTGCGCTCACAAATGTCCCTCTATTTAGGTTCTCGAAAAATCCCTTCTTCTCCCAAATCAACCCCAGAGAGAGGGTACGGGCTTATGGAGAAGAATGCGAGCGTCTACTCAATTGGAACGATATCTCGTTGACCACCATACAAGCTTGTGTCTTGCTCGGTGCGATTGCTATCACAGACGGGAAAGCGGCTTCGGAAAATATTCACTATGCGGTAGCTTGTCGCATGGCACAGCTTCTTGACCTTCCGAATCGTAAAACTACTTGCCGCGTGGAACAGGAAGTTAATCTTAGAAGTATTTCACCTCCTTCCCCATCGAGTCGTGGCACACGCTAATCAGCTCCAGCATGGTGGTCTCTATGCATGATAGATGTCTGGTCTTCGTCTGGCGTCCGTCTCCCAAGACTCCTCACCCCGATAGAAAATATACCTCTCCCAATAGACGAGATCGTCTTCTTAAACATGAGACCAGAAGATGGCTTTGCCGTCGCAGCGACTTGCGAAAGAAAATCTTCCCTGTTAGCAGAGATGGTCCGCCTAAACCATATCCTCCTCCAAATCAACCAATTCAACATCCGAGCCTCCAAATCCAACCTCGACTCCCAATCAATAATGGACGACGTCGAAAGTCTCTCCCAACAGCTCGACGCCTGGTTCGAGGAATTACCAGACCACATGCAAGATACGCGCGAAAATCTCATCCGCTACTCGGAGCAAGGACTAGGTCGTTTACTCATCGCCCTTTATCTGGGGTACTACAACTACGGCCAGATGCTCTTCTACCGATTCCTGCACGATGACTCGCAACACTTCGATGCGCGGACTCGCTACTACGCGAGTAAATGCAAGCACCATGCCGGTAGTCTGTGCGAAATCGTCTATGCCTCGGAGGAAGTGCCTGGATGCGATGTTATGTATAACATGGTCGGCCATGTGTTGATGATTGCGTCGACGGTGCAAATTCACAGTTTGCTTTTTGAAACGGATGAGAGCATCGTGGCTACCTCGAAACAGCGCTTAGAGAGGAACTTCTGTATCCTGACTCATCTTGTTAGTCTTTGGCCGACTCTTGATGTGTGCATGGAGCGGCTTATGGCATTTCATGCCTCTTGTCGGAAGTCTGCGGAGACGAGCTTTTGCATGGATCAGTGGATGGTGAGGTTTTTGGTCGAGTTTGCGAGTCCGGTTAGTGAGAAGGTTTCGGAGGAGATGGGTCCTTGGTCTCTTGCGAGAATGGGTGTTTTCGAGCAATGAGATGTGTCATTTGCTATATAAAAGTACAGAAGCCTGGGGGGGGGGAATATCAGTGATTCTTCGTTCGATAATCAAGTTGAATTAATTACCAAACCCTTCTCTTCCAGCTCAATGCGTCATATCTCTCGTCGCATTCCTTTTATGCAGCCTCCCCAGCCAAGATCCAGCCGTCCACCTCCGAATCCTCTTCCCAAAAGCCACAAACACGAAAACAGCAAGATTATTCGCCAGTAAAACTCCACAGAAAATCCCTGATATAACAACTACATACCCACGCGACAGAATCCAATCAAGCAAATACGACCCCATCCCAAAGGAAATAGCCTGTTTCCCCAGGTTCATGGCAATCAACATCTCAGAAGTATTAGCGTAGTACGAGTCGACCGCATAAGCCAGCGTAAAGGTAAAATAGAAATACGACCCGAATTGATTCATCGCGACGCCGGCGAAGTATCCTGTCCAGTGGAGGTTGCGTTGGGCTGTGAAGCCGTAGACGATTAGGCCGGCGGGGGGACATGAGGAGGGCTGGAAAGAGGGCTGGGAGACGCATTTCGGCTTCGCGGATGCCGTTGTTGCGTTTTGTACGGTATGCTGCTAGTCGGTCTGAGGTTGAGGTTAACGGGAGGGCGAGGAAGTAACCGATGAAGCTTGCGATTGCGATAAGGCCTGAATTTGTCTTTTTTATTTATTTTTTGGTTTAGTTTATAGTATTACCGTGTTGGAAAGTCAACATACCTCGCTCCAATTGTATGGCGGCGCCGTAATCTTAATTGGGAAGGTATAGTTGAATGCGAGTGCGCCGAGCCCGATGTAGAGACCGTATGTAGCGATCACCCAGAATACGACGGGTACGAAGAAGTAGGTGAATGAGCGGAGGATTGTCATGACGAATTCAGGTTCGTGATCGACGGCATTCCATGGTTTGAGCGTCTGCAAGAAGGTCTTACGTCGGGGAACGGATGTTGAGGATACGTTCTCTAGCTGTACAGGTGTCTCTGGCTTCTCGGCAATTTCTGCTTTTAGAAAATTTGACGAAGAAGTCGTTGATGGAGAGCTTTCGCCTCGGTGGTAAGTAGATTCTTCGACAAACAGGAATGCCATTATCAGCAGGGCGCCGGCGAAGGCAGCTTCGACGTAGAAGAATAGTCGCCAGGAGTATCCACCGGCAAGCATGTAGCCTGCATATAGAGGGCCAGTTGATCCCAAGCAGAGGCAAACTTTAGTCGTTAGTGCTTGTAGAATTTTTCTTCCGGCGGCTGTATCTTACTCGTATAGCATCCGATCCGCTTTCCCCGCTCGTGGATGTAGAAGATATCGTTGACCAGCTGTACTGGCAAACTTTCGCAGACTCCGCTAGATCACAGCTGATGAGTGACACTCTCATTCGAAATTTTGTGGACTCACCTTCCGAATCCATGAAACACGCGTGCAACCATCAGCCCTGTATAGCTCGTCGAGCGAGAGGCACCAATTAAACCCGCGAGGAACTTTTCATTTTGGTAAGAACAAATCGAAGTTGCGGATCAGATATAAGCATACCGTGATCATAGACAACAGTGTAACAGGTCGTCTGCCAATCTTCAAGTAAAGTGGCACCAAAATAAGCGATCCTAGACATTTAATTCAGTAAATAATTTCTCCCACTGGAAGCATAAGACTCACCAAATCCAAAAGCCAGATTTGGATACGAAATCAACCCCGATGCCTCAGCTTGCGAGATTCCAAATTCCTCGCTGTAAATACTGATGTAAACCGAGGGCCCGGTCAGAGAGCTGTTTCCGAGAAATGAGTAGACAGAGACAATGATCAGGATCATTATTTTCTTCCAATTCGGCCACTAGGTACGATCAACAATCTGAGCTTTCATCCGATTCCTCGAGGATCCACCTCAAATTTCCGACGTACCTGGAGTGGATCATTTGGGTCCTCTGCCGGGACGGGATACAATGCCTGTCCGTAGGCAGTATCATCGCCTTCGACTGCGCTCAAGTCAACGGTTCCTGGTATTTCTCCTTCGTGGGCATGGCTGTGAATGACCGGGTGAGTAACTCGCTCAAACAATCCTAAATGGGCCCGAGATTCAACGAACCTATGCATTAGATGCGGTCTAGCCGCTTCCACGTTCGCATCCCCCATATTGCGAGCAAACAATAGCTCTTCTGGGCGTCAATTGTTCAACAAAGTCGGAAGTAAGGGTGGGAAAATATTCCTGCCCCCGGAGAAAAACGTCAGAAATCCTCTACGGATGATCCTCTCTAATCACAGCAAGTAGTCTTAAGCTACCATTTGCCTCTGTAGATGGGGCCCGGCATTTGGACCGTCTTCCCCGCATTATTCTCCACATTCATCCCCAGATTTGTACCAGTCACAACTGTCGCTCCTGCCTTTACCCGTTGGCCATGGGGCTAGCCCCACATAAGGAGTTGGGGCTATCTTGACAGAATGAATTACCAGTAGGTGTGGAGTGATGAGATCTGGGATAGTGGGGGTCATGAGCGCGATGCTGCAGAATCTATCCATGGCTGAACCAATAGTCGAATTCTACTCGCATGAGCCGGATCTTGTGTATCGAATGCATTCTGTTTAGACTGGACAACCCCCTGATAAGTGGCAAATAAGAGCTGTCCGACAACCCAGGCCTTTTTTAAAATCCTTCTGTATATACCCAAGCAGACAAAATCAACAAAAACCCATGCATCCCAAATAAGGATCCTCCTGTTTTATGATCAGACCAAACTCCACTTCCATAAACGCTCAAAAACTCAACAACGCGTCAATATCATCCAAATTGAGCCCCTCATGAATGGCTTTCCCATTCCACTCACTCGCAGCGGGAATCTTATTCCTCGGCACCTCGCCCGCATCTCCTCGTCCATCCACCACTTCCTTCGAATTCGACCCACCCTCTTCATTCACACCATCACCCCTCTGCACATCCCCAGTCTCAGACGGACTCTCAGGCGGTAGTAAGTGCAAAACCTCCGCAAACATAGAATAAACCGCACTCCACCGTGGAACCTCATGATCAATTCCACGAGGTAGAGGCAAATTATACGAATTCGACGAATCAGATAACCTCTCTTCAATCTCCATCTTCTCATCAACCCTGTTGTTGTCAATACCCCCTATTGATTTCTCCGAAATGTCTCCATCGATGGAAAGTGACATACCTGGCGCGTTCACGCGGAACACAAGCCTGTTCTTCCTGGATGCAGTATGTGCAACGCCGTGACTGCGACGCTACACAGCGCTTTTTGCGGATGTGGCAGGCCTGGCAAGCTACTCGTCGTGTGGCGGATTTGGGGTTGGGTGCGGTGACTTTGTGGATTCCTTGTGGGGTTTTGGTTTTGGTCATGGTTTGGGGCCGGGGGTTGGGTTTCATGGCAGCGATTTGTATTTGGATGTCTTCTTGGACTATGATTTTGTTTCTTTTCGTTGATGAGGACCTGGATGTGTTGGAAGGTGCAGGGCGGAGATTGAAATTCGGTCGGTTGCGGATCCGCGGACTAGCGGAACTTCGAGTTGATGGCGAAGCGGGGATTATCGGGCAAGTCGATTTCTGCACAACTCCTGGATGGGATCCACTAATGCTATGCATGGCCTGATTCGGTAATGGTACAACTATTTTAATACTATTAAGATGCTGACAGCAATGAAAGGAAGGTGACCAATTTGGAAATATGCAATATGTCAATCTAGATCAAGACTCCACCCACAACAATCCTATCTATCCACTTGTCTAATCAAATCCCATCCACCGGGTGATTCTAATTAGAGATGATCTACGTGAAAACATCCGTAGCATACCTCTCCTTCGTCCGCAACTTCTCAAAGAACCTATTAGCAGCAGTATCCTCATCAAGCTCCGCCTCCTCCGCAAACGCACCCAGTTCCTCACCATTCTTCGCCCTCGCAAGCTTCTCAGCCCGACGCTCCAAATAGATCTTCTTACAGGACTCCCGCACCGCACCACCCACACCGGTACTACCGCACACATAGATGCGCGCCCCCTGCTCCATTAGCGCAACCAGCTCGTCCTTATCTTCCAGCATAAGATCCTGGACATGGTGGCCCTTTCCCTCTGTGGGACGACTGTAGGCCCAGCGGACTTCCACGGCACCTGATTCGGCCCACTCGGCCAGCTCTGCGGCGTGGATGTCGTCGACGTTCTTGGTGCGACAGCCAATATACAGAATTGCCTTGGCGGGCTGCTCCGATGCGGGAACGTCGTCGTCGGAAATGGAGCTGCGGCGGCCACGGATGCGCTGCACACGGTCCATTACGAAACCGCGGAAGGGCGCGAGGCCACTTCCGGCGCAGGCCATGATCATGGGTGTTTGGAGGTCGGATGGGGGCTTGAAGCCGGAGTTGGAGGGGCGGACAGTGATGTGTGCGCGTTCGCCGGGTTGGAGTTCGGACAGGTAGTTTGAGGCGACGCCCAGATACTCTTCTGGCGTTTCGCTGCCTGGCTCGGTGGGGCCAGAGAGGGCAGGCGCGCTGAGGACGGAGAAGGTAATTGAGCATTCGGAGGGGTCGGAGAGGGGAGAGGAGGAGATGGAGTATTGGCGGACGCGCATGGGTGGGAGCATGGCGAGGAAGTCGCCGATCGGGAGCTTGATGGCTGGGTAGCGCATCAGCAGTTCCAGTGGACTGACGTGCTTGCGAACGATCTCTGAGGTGAAGCGGCTAGGACTGGAGGCAATGTACCGCAGTTCGGCCTGAGTCTCGGCATCCGAGATGGCGGCGTCAGCTAGGACACTGAGATCGCGCTTGGAGGCTGGCTGGGAGAGCTCGACGTAGGTGGAGAGGAGTTCGAAAGCTGAGATAGGCGTGTCGAGAGGGATGGATGGCGGAGCCGAGGAGCCCTTGGAGGGCTTTTGGATGCGCAGGACCGCGTCCCAGGGGAGATCGAAGCGGCGGATTGCACGACGGACCACAGGGCTTGGGTTGACGGGTAGGACGGCGAGATAGTCACCGCATTGGTAGGTCATGTCGGTTGGCAGCTTGAAGCGAAGGAGACGCTTTGCGGGCACGCCATCCTTGGTGAGAAGCTTGTTCTCGACGACGAAGCCTTCTTCGAGTTGGAGGCCGAGAGTGGAGGCACGCATGCCCGAGCTAACGTCAACCTGGAGAGAAGACTTGGGCTTGGTAGTCTTGTCCTGACCGCCACCATACTTGGCTGTGAGGGCGGGCCAGAAGGAGGTCTCGCCCCAGCCATCGAAATCGGTGAACATGTCCGAGTTGGCGGCATCACACAGGCCGAGGTCGCAGAGGCGGTTTCCTCCGTTCTGCTTGACAAGTTCGTTGACAGCCTTGGGGATACGGTGGAAGGTTGCCGCCCAGTCATCTGCATTGAATGTTAGCATTGGAATGCTGCAAAAGAGATTAAATGCTGCACTCACGATGACCACAGCCAAACACTGCGTAATTAGTTCCCTCTAAGCTGTTGCCCTCGAGCTTGCTCAACCACTCGAAAAAGTGAGCCGCATTATCTGGCGGTTGTCCTTCATAAGAAGCCGTAATAAACACAACCGGTTCTTCCTTGGGGATATTCTGCGTCGCCGAGTCCAGAGAAGCAGTCTTCGCCTCAAACCCATACCCGATCGCATCATCTGCCAGTCGCCGAGCAAACGCCTCACAGGTGCCCGTGTTACTTCCGTAGAAAATGTGCATGGGCTTCATCTTGCCATCGGCAGGTGCAACCTTGGGCTTTCTTGTACGATCAGCGATGTTCTTATTCTGAGCCCCATCTGGCGTGCCACTCAGGGACGTGCTCAGCTTGGTCGGATCAAGACCATTGCGCAGAGAAGCCTTGATATAGAAGTCCTTCGGCTTGATGGTGAGAGTCTGCTTGATGCGCAGGTCGTAGCTGGGATTATCCATCTGGAAGTTGAAGTTCTGCAGCAGGATTGCAACGACCAGCAATGCCTCCTGCCATGCGAACGGACGACCGATGCACCCGCGCATACCGTTACCGAAGGGCTTCCAGGCGTTCTTGGGGAGCTTGTCAAAGTTCTCGTCCAGCATGCGCTCGGGTCGGAATTCGTCGGCGTCAGGGCCGTACACCTTCGGATCGCGTTGCATCTTGCCCAGCATCAGGACTACGGGTTCGTCCTTTTGCAGGACATACTTGCCGCCTCCTAGAGTGACGGGCTCATCCTTGGTCTTTTCGGGATGTGGGTGGACCGCGATCAACGGAGCAGTTGGCTTCAGTCGGAGTGTCTCACGCATGACAGCAGTGATATATGGCAACTTCGACATGTCCTCGACGGTGATCTTGCGTCGGCCGAAGACCTGGTCGACTTCTTCTTGGGCCTTCTTATAGGCATGGGGTGTTTTGAGCAGGTAGTAGAACAAGAATGAGAGCATGCCGGATGTCGTCTCATGTCCTATTCAGTCATCAGTAATGCTCCACCCATTTGGAGTCTGACTCGAAACATACCAGCAATCAAGAAAGTAATCATGTTATCCACAATCGACTCATCGGTCATCCCCTTACCAGTCTGCGGATCCCGACCCAGGATCAACGCATTCAACAAATCCTTCTTATCCTCCGGATTATTCTTGCGCGCATCAATCAACTCCTGCGAGAGGTTCCGCAGATACGTAATATCGTTCCAATACTTGGCGTTCTCACTCGTCGGCAAACTATTCAGCAAACCAGGCCTCCTCGCCCGATTTCCCGACCCAGACAAAAGGCTCACCATCGCCTCGACAAACGGATGCATCTCATCATGGTAGAAGGAGTTGAACCTCGTCCCCATCGAGCAAAGCGCAATTGTGTCGAGGGTGAGACGAGTGAAGTCGTCTGTAACGGTAATCGCCGCATTGGGACCCTGCCGAGCCCATTTCATAACGAGCTGGGTGGCGATATCATACATCTCGTCGAACATGCCGCGAATCATCAGCGGGCCGAATGCGGGGACGAGAACGCGGTGGGCGATCGCCCAGTTTTCTTCGCCCGGGTAGTTGGCTGTGAAGAGGCCATCGTGGGTGCCGTTGCGGATTTCTTTCAAGCCGGCTGTGACGACTTTGGAGAAGCGCTCTTCGTTGCAGACTTCGTCGACGAGCTCGTGGGAGCTGACGAAGACGCGGGCGAAGCCGAAGGTCGTGAGGCGGTAGATGGGGCCTAGAAGTTTTAGTATTGTTTTTGAAATGGAACTTGGGTCATTGGCTGCACTGCAGGTGGCTGCTGCAGCTCCATGCAATGCTACCATGTGGCAATGTTGACGATAGATACATACCGTAATTGTCGGCCAGCAGCTCGATACTGTTGAGCGGGACTTCTTGCTCGATGTCATAAATGTTGCCTAGCAGAGGCACCCCTTTGGGGCCCGGGATGGGGACCTCCTTGGTCGACATGCCAGGTGTAGTACGGACTGCCAGGTGAAGGTGAGGTCGAAATCAATGCAAAGCAAAACCAATTTTCCGTCGACGAGGCACAGCAGCTGACGACGATTTAAAGGCCGATCGCAGGTGCGGCGGGGTTGGCAGGATCGAGTCCGATCGGTGGAGTTGATGTTTGAAGGTTTGAAGCCCGCTCGAAGTCCGGCCACACCGCGTTTTTATCAAGGTTCGAGTGTACGCCTGACGACTCAACGCATTCTCTGACAGGCGGCATCCCCGACTGCTTCTTGGAATGATCCCCATCCCACTCGCGCACTCTCCCCCCAAATGGTTTAGCTGCTCGCAACTTTTCTGGCACCACCGCGGAACCTCGGCCCTTTCCCCTCCAATCATGGTGGCTTGTCCACAAATCTGCGGGCGCGGTTGGCCCAAAGCAGCGATCGCACCGTTGCTCCACCCTCCGTTCCGTGTCCGATCAGGCCGAGCAATACAGCTTGAGGGCAAGTGTTGGGAGTTATGCGCCCGCGATACTCCATTTGCTCTCCAATCGGGCCGGCCCTGCAATTTAATTTTAAAATGCGCTTCCTTTATCCTTCGATTTGTTCCATACGCCCCCAGGGGTCCACTGCTAATGCCGATGAACATGGCTACATTATCGGTACAATCGGTCCGGCAGGGGTGGCTGAGGTGAGGTCATCTTACATGGACAGGTGGACCTAATTATAGATTAGGATGGTGCCCCGGGCGATCAAGTAAGGACATCCCTGTCCTCGCAGCTAGTTTCTGTCGGTGGTTAAAGTTCAATACTGATATACGTACTGATTTGCGTGGTGCAGATAAAACCCCTCTCGCTCTGAGACATGCTGCTTAACACCGAGGCTCAGGACTGAAGAACATATCAAGATGAACAGTGAAAGTGGAAGATTCAATGCTAAAGTATGTACAGATCATGCGTATATTGATGAGAACGAACGTGCCAGACAAAGACAGGACATGGCCGCGGCCGCAGCCGCAGCCTTGACAACGCCAGGGATGTTGGCCGAGAAAGGAAATGGAGAGCAAGGGTTCGCGAACCCAGGGGGATATCAACTGGGCAACCAGGAACGAGTGCGGGTGCCATGGAACGGAAATGGAATCAGGGGACGGCGGATGAGTGAGAAGGTCATTAGTGGCGGGTTTTCAACCTGTTGCAGACGCCAACGCCATGAGATGCGTGCAGAGAAAGACAATTTCTCATCAGGGATTCATGACAATGACTCGGCGAGGCTGAGGCGTGCAGAGGGGGAGAGGATGGGCTCGCAGAAACTGTTCATGACAGACAGAAAGGTAAAAAAGAAACATGGGCATCAAAAAGGTCTAAACATTTAGCTGACCTGGCGGTAGCCGCTGTTCCTCCACTCTGTCTGCTTCCAGTCTTGCTGGTAATTCTGCGCCTCGTTGCGCTGGCTGGTGTACTGGGCGTCATCCAGGGCATACTCGAGACGACCCTTGCGGCGCTGGCGGATGCACCAGAACAGGAAGCCCGCGATCAGAATGACACCGGCCGCGGCAGCACCAACGCCGACACCGATGTGGGCGCCCGTGCCCAGGTCATCCCACTTCTCGCCGAGGGACTTCTCGGGTGGCTTGTTCAGCTCGTCAAGGGCGGTCGAGTTGCCCTCGGCCACCTTGATGCTCTGGAAGCTGCCGGAACGGTCGCCGTAGGTGTACTCCTTGCCGGTGTGGAAGTCCTGCACGCGCACGCGCTGCACGGTCATGGTGAAGGGGGCTTCGTCGTAGTTGACCAAACCGCCGGCCCAATCGACGGTGCCTTGCGCAGCGGACTCGGTACCCGCGGGCCAGTTACTGATCATGACCTGGCAGGGGGTCTGCGGGTAGTTCTTGCCGTACACAGTGTTCTCCTGGGAATAGTTGACCTGGCGGACCATTTCACCGTCAATCCACCACTGCAGCTTCTCCTGATCCCAGTAGGTGGTGTAGTTGTGGAACTCGGTGTCGGCATTCTCGACGACATGGGTACCACCGCGGCCGTAGGTGGTGGTGTTGCCCTTTCCGAAGAAGTTGGACTGGACAGCCGAGGTGTTATAACCGACCCATTCCCAGTCAATCTCGTCAAGGTCATCCGACTCCAGGACGACACTGCTGATGATACCGGCGCCCTTGGCCATCTTGACCCAGGACTCGACGACACCGAAGAAGATATAAAAGTTGGACTGCAGCAGGGTCGACTCTTTGGGGGCGTACAGGGTGAACTCGGCACCCTCCGAGGTGATATCGGCGGTACCGGTGCTCTGATTCCAGATGACGGTGTCGAGGGTCTCGTTGAACCACCAGGTGTGTTCGGTGCCGAGGGCAGGGTCCGCGGGACAGTCCCTCTCCAAGGGATTGCACTCGGTAAAGGTTTGGGCGAGGGCCGAAGTGGCCAATGCCGCGACGGCGGCGAGTTTCATGAAAGACTTCATGATAGACCTCCTTTCTCGTGTGGTCTGTATATCTGTATATATCGGGTGATCTCCTCAAAACTTCGATCCCGGACGAAACGAATGAATGGACACGAGGACAAGCCTCGAACAACGCCTATAGAACGGCTATAGGGTCGAAAGAATGGATGGGCGACAGGTCGCACCGCGAAAGAGTGGATGGGGATAGAGAAGAGGGAAGATTGGGGGGTCTCAGGGACCAAAAGACCAGCGGCGCCACGGTGGATTCGCATCCTGCCTAGTTCGAGCGAACGAAGTGGACGGTAAGGGGAAGCTGTACGCCGATTATTGTGTTTTCTTCACGGCTAGCCCAATCCGGCAGGGGTGGATCCGCGAGGGTAGCTCGGGGCTTTCCGCTAGCCTGAACTGGACGTCCTCTAAACCTTTTTGGGGAATAGTGTTAGCTGGGCAGCAGTCCCGTGCCTGGCGCTAGGCCGGAGTGGGCGAAGATGTTCTGCACGGAGCCGGGCTTCGTTGACCCTTTGGGAAAGTGAGGGTAAACAGAGTGTCGAGCTAAGACTAGTTTCGATGTTGACGGGGAAGTGCCGTGATACACAGATGGGTAGTAGTATCACAATATCAATATTAAGATGGGAACTCTGGGACGGCAGAACATCGGGGGGACCCGATCAGCTGGAGAAGAATTCTGCTCGTGGATGTGCGTGATCGGCAAGAGCCAACCCTCGCCGAACGAACAGTCTAGATCCCTGGCGCCGTGCCAAAACCATGCCAATCAGTCCTGCCCGATAAAGTGTGACAGCCACTCTGGTATTTTCCCCCTTTTCGTTCATTTTACTGCAGCACAAACCTTCGCCCGCAAAACAACCAGACAGCAAAATCCACTGTGGATGCGTGTCAGGCCCTGTTCCTGGGTTCTCCAACCCCATCGTCCCATCGCCCCGCCAAGTCCCTGGAGCTTGCCACATCGGGCAGTGGAGTGCCCGGATAAGGTCCTGGTGGCTGCCCCTGAATTGACATGGGACCGCGATGCATCGCCTCGATGGGCCAGGCGTCTGGTTCGAACGCCCTCGACGCCACGCGCTCGTTTCGTCCGTACCCAAAGGTAAAAGAACCTATCGGCGGAGGGAGCGCGGCGTGGCGGCCGTTAGCATCGTCGTCTCGTCTGCCTAGGACGAATCTTTATTTTGCTTTTCAAGTCAGTCAGTGCCGGCTGTCTTAGATTGCGGTCCACCGTGCAATATTTTTCATCCGGTCGCACGAGCTGCTGCTGCTCGCTGGACTTTGATGTTGTATGACTTGTCCACGTAACGCGGTCAGTCAGGGGTATACATGCAGTTGCAGCGGATCCAGGCATTCATGCATGGCCAGCAAGAATGCTGTGCTTGGCTTCGCTGGCTAAGCTCCATTGCCATGAGTTGATAAGCAATATGAGTACAGCGATACTTTTGTAGCTGCGAGCGTTCGGGGTTTCCGAGAGGTCCACTGATCACAATCGGTCAATTGAATCACTTTCTTCCGACCGATATAGCTGTCTCAGACACGCCCGCAATCAAATGACGCCCGCAATCAAATGCTCGAGAAGCGTGGGGCTACCAGACCACAATATATGTATGTCTTGAGCATGCAATGTGTGAGATGTGGAACTCGTCTCTGGAAAAGCGGGGAATGCACACTGGATGTGTATTAGAGGTAAATCTCCGAACAAATTAATTAATTCTGCTTGGCAGCTCTACCAAAGCAGAGAAAATTGGTGCTGCTCTCATCGGTGGGCTAGTACATTACTTTAATTTCATTCGCTGAGGTTTCATTTCATGAAGCAAATGGGATCGATATATTACATATTTGAGAACGATCCCACCGGCTTTGTCCAGACGAAAGATTAGAAAAGATGAATCCATTGTAAGATGGATTTACCCCGCTTCAGGTGTGCGTCACTGTCGATGGATTTTCCACCGGGGTAGTAGAGCTAAAGTGCTCACGCCACACTCATGCAGATTGCGGCGTCAAAGTGGCTTCCTACCAGGGACACCACAAATGGCTCTTGAGATACAGCGAACATGCGGTCTTAGTAGTTTCTGTGGTGGTTCTCGCAAAACAAAGGTAATTTATTACCGATCATTATCATATAATCGTATCCAAAGTAAAGACATCCATCATCATAACTCGTAATCATGTCCAGCAATTACGTCAGACCTCGGGACTCATCGACAATCTAACTAACAAGAACCTCGTCCAAAAACTCCGAGTTCAACTCCATCCAAACCACACCTATCGAATCATCTGAATATCACCTAGGCATTCCCAGTATCACCCCTCAAAAGAGACGTAATCACTCTGTCAAATAAACCTTCGCCGGCCTCCTCAAATCATCCCGATAGTAATCATCCCGATACCGCCTCGACGAACTCCGCGGTTTCTCAACGTACTCGACATTCGACCCACGACTCCGACGCCTACGCCCGCGCGTCCGCGTAACAGGCGGCTTATACCCGACGTCCGGTTCACCGCCGCCGCTCCAGGCGCCGGGTAGGTTGAAGACGCGCCAGAGCCAGAGGACGAGGAGGGTGCCAGCGATAGAGCCGATGACGATGCCGGCGATTCCGCCTCCGGTGATGGTGCTTGGACAACCTTCTGGGGCACGGGGGACGAGGGTGTTTACTGGGGCCTGATGAAGGAATAATTATTAGTGAGATGGATGAGGGAGGGCTGAGCCGTGGTTCGGGGGCGGCTGCTTACCATTGGGACTGGTGTGGGTGTGGGTGTGGTTGTGGTTGTGGTTGTGGTTCTCGGGAAATGCAATGGGATTGAGATGGTGGATTGGCTTGGATGAATTGAGCTATAGATTAATGAGCTTGATGTCAAGTCAATCACTGGCAGGTAAAGTCGAGGTAGCTCGACGATGGAAAACGCCAATCGAGAGGGGAGAAGGAAAAGGGAAAAAAGAGCAGAAGAGCCGCAGTTCTTATACCGGCGTTTAATCCCGCACATTACGAACTTGGGGCAGTAAGTAGTACGAGCATTACTCTACATTCTGCGAGTGTAGAGTAACTGGGGTACTGCTCTTACTACCTTAGGATAGATAGTGTTTGCACAAAGAACCCCAACCACCCGCTGACGTCAAACCGAGCCGCCCCTCTTTCGCGCGATCAGCATCCAGAAAACCTGCATCGCCGCGCTGCCAGGCCCGGCCATTGGCTCTGACGAGCCTACGAGTCAGCAAAAGTTGAATTGGCCTGCAAGTTCAAGTACCTCGGCATGTTGAGCTGAATTCATTCTCTGCCCGCCGGATTTTGCGCGCGATCGGGCGGGGGCGACCTTAATGTAGTGGATATACTCGCATGATGAGTTGTGTGACAGTCCAGAACACGGTGGAATACATCAATTCCTCTTGCCTCCACTACAGTTAGATCTCTATCTTCTTAAAGAGACATGTCCTGGGGACGGCGGCACCTCTGCCTTCTCCCACGCCTTTGCCTCCTTACCGAGCTCAAACTCGATCGTGCCGCCTTCCACCATAACATCCGCATGCTCAAACCAATTCCTCGTCCACGTCTCCCCATTGATCTTCACCCCCTGCACATAGAAACCCTCCTCCAGCCCATACGCCCGGATCCGCAACGTCTTGTCGCCGTTGATCGTCATGTTCAGATCCGGGAACCACGGCGACGACAGCAGGTACACCGGCTGCGTGACGATCGGGTAGATGCCCAGCATCTGCCACAGCAGCCACGAGTTCATCGCGCCTGCGTCGCTATTACCCGGGATGCCGTAGGCGGCGTCCTTAAAGCTGGGATCGGTGAGCTTCTTTCCTGTCGTAATGCACGACAGTCCAGGGAGTGTTTTTGGTTGCGGCACTCACTATTGGTCCGCCAGGCTGCGGGATTGCATCACGCTCTTGGCTTGTTTGTTGATGTAGTTGTACAGGTACGGCGTGGCGAAGTCGGGCTCGTTGCTGCGATCGTCAGTCTTCAACTTACAGTATGGTGGATTGCGCAGCGAGTAGTTATATCATCTCACCCAATGTTAATCAGCGTCGTGATCCCTGCGCCGTTGGCGCCGAGGTTCTGCTTCGACATGTTGGGTTTAAACTGGATCGATCAGCACTTGTAGTCAAGCGATCATGGTGCTGGTTGGTTACTCACCATCATATCCAGTCGAGCCTCGAACGTCTCGTCTCCCCCATAAACTGAATTAAACTCTTCACATCATGAGGAATCACAAACGAGTATTCTGCACTCATCAGCACAACCACCCCCCGCAACCCAAGTCGAGAAACGAAACTCACCCCAAGGAATCGCCTCATACGTATAATCCGACCACTCACATCCATAGCACAGCAACGGATCATATCCACTATCATTAAACCGCCCATCCGCAAGCCTGGGCGCCAAAAACCCCTTAAACCCGAGACTTTGCACGTTCTCACCCCAAATATTCTGCCAACCAGCCGAGCGATTGAGATACTTTTCCACGTCCCCCGGCTTTTCTCCCTTGGCTACCTGCGCCAACGAGAAATCGTTGAGACTGTACTCGACCGTCCGCGAGATACACCGCGTATTCCGGTCCTGCGAGACGTACCCCAGTTCCTTCCAGTCGTCCAGGGCGCCGCGGCCTTCTTTTGTGCTGGCGGTGAAATCTGTCGGGTCGAAGGTGTTGTATGGTGTGACTTCTGCGTCTTTGACCATCGCTGCGTATCCTTCTGTCCAGTTGATGGAGCCGCGAAGGCCTTTGACGTATGCGTCGGCGAGGACGTTGTCTGCGTCGGAGCCGCCTTGGACCAGGCCGTTCCAGTTGCCCGAACGGCCGTCTGGCATGAAGCCTGCGTGTCTGTGGGCATGGAGCTAAGTGGTTGCTGTCTGCAGTGTTTGAAGATGTGACTTACTTCCAGATATCAATCAGACTGCGGATCATAGACTCATAGTACTTCGGCTGGAAGATGTGGTAAAAGCTGACAGTGCAGCGGAAGATATCCCCTAGACATCATTAGTATCCGCCGCATACCCCCAGACATCGGGCACTTCACTCACACATGGTATAGAAATCATCCCAATACGGCTCTCCAGAATCCCACAACGGGTTCTCCCCCGTCCGATCCGACGGCATAAGATGCATGAAATACAGCGAGCTGTACAAAAGTCTCACATGTGTCATATTCGCAGAATCATCGAGCGGGACCTGCACCTTATTAAAAACATCCTCATTCCACTCCTTCACTGCATCCGCGACAGTATCATTCAGCTTCCAGGACGAAATTTCGTCCTTGATATATGAGCGAGCCCGCTCAACTGAGATAGACGAGATTCCCACGCGTGAGGCAAGTCGGAACGCGGGACCGTCGTTCCAGCTTAGAAGCACGCCGATTCGGTTGTTCATTGGTCCTGAGGTGGTTTTGGTTGTGTTGCTGAATTTGGGTGTGCTGACGCCGCCGTTGGCTAGGCCTTGGGAGCGGGACATTGGGTCTGTGTTTACACCCGAGTAAGTCTGCGCCTCGTCTGGGGTGTTGTTGAATTCGCCGTAGACGTAGACGGTGAATGGTGCGCCTGTTCAGTAATGGTTTAGTGTTGACGTTGAGGATAGGAGGGGCTGAACGGACCATTGTTCCAGCCGCCGACGTAGGTTCCGTAGCCACTGTATGATTTTCCATCTTCCTCGATCTGGATCTCGCCGCCAGCGAAGAATTGGCCATCGGCGTCGCCGGGGAGGCAGGGAGGTACTATACAATTGTCAGCAATATGTCGACATAGTATTCCAGCAGATCAAAACTCACATGTGAGAGATCCACAAGAATATGCTTCTCGCCCTCGGGAAAGGAATACTCGAGAATCCCAGCATGGCGCGACGCAGAAAGCTCAACATCCACACCACTCTGCAAGCGCGTTTTATAATATCCCACCTTGGCAACATCCTTCCCAATCTAGTCAAGAAATCAGCATCTTCCAGGCCCCCAAGCTTCTTGCAAGCAACAAGCTCACCCTCGCCTGACTGTACGTCGTATTATCCAACACATTAACTGGCGTCTGGACAGTAGTCAACGGCATCTGCGCAATAAGCCCATACTTCGGTGCCCCGCCCGTCCCACTCTCATGCATCATACTGAAGCCGGTGACATTCCCATCCGGCGTCCAGCCACCATTCAGCACGGCGGTACTCCAATTCGCGGCCGTCGAGTCGATTCCGACTTTCGCGACGCCAAAGGGCCGCGCACCCCCGACGAAGATGTCACCGCCGCCGAAGCCGGTGCCGTCTGGGCCTTCTGAGCCGATGAACGGGTTCACGTATTGTGAGAGGCCTTCATCGAATGCGGTGACTGGCCTGCTGACGAGGCTAAGAATGCCCAGGGTTGGAACGAATGAATGCAGATGCATTCTGCTGGACTGATGATCTCGTGGATGTAGTATCTAATTACCGTGTCGAAGGTTTCTCTCCTAGTAGTAGATCTATCAGGGTCGAAAATAAGCATCAGTGGAATATGAAAAAGGGACATGCAGCCTTCCTTTATACCACATTCCACACCCTCATTCCATGTCCCAGTTCGACCGTCGCGGTGTAACACCCCATCCAAGGCCGAGAACTCCGGACTGAAATGGGGTACTCGGGTCTATCATTTCCCAGCTAGGAAGCTAAGTTAGCTGGAAACACCGCACGGCTCTGCGGCATGTTTGAAGGCTTCGCGGCTGCTGGAGTTACCCCGCATCCTACCATGGAGTAGCTGGGATATGGGGAAAGCGCCGTGACATATTTTGATCGGCGTATGAATGTAACATTGGATGCTCTTCAGAGGGCGTGGGGTTATTGCGCTGGTTGTTGCGCTAGGGAGACTAAGTGGGTTGGTGGAAGCTTGGAGTGAGAATCAGTGCGGACACGTGGTGAATGTGCCATTGCTTAGGCTAATGACACTCAGTCGGGTCAATAGACACCAATGTGCTCACGGAGACTAAGATCGAAGGTCTTGCGACAGATCCACATTACTTTTACACTAGTTACCTACACAGTGGAAAAGTAACCTCTACAGAGGATGGAATAGAATAGTTACCCGGGGGTAATTATGAAGAAATCAATTCAAATCCGTACTCCGGGCCCATGATATCATCAAAACAGAAAGGCATAGCCAGATACCTATGTCCATGGATGCAGAAAAACAAAAATGCGTTGTCTTAAGTCATTACCGGCCCTCGATGTAGTCCCTGTTCTCGATGGTCACACTTTTGGTCATATGGTTGACCTTGTAGACACCAACGAGACGCGAGGCAAGTTCGAACATGTTGTTTCGCAGGGAAATGACAATGAACTGCGCATTCTTGGTCCGCTCCTTGATGTACGATGCAACAATCGAGACCTATAGTTGAGAATTAGCATCGAACTGATATAAAATATCAGAGGTAACTCACGTTTCGGAAATCCAACGCAGCATCAATCTCGTCCATGACGTAGAGTGGCGTCGGCTTGTAGTGGTGCAGAGCAAAAACCAGCGCCAGACTGGACAGCGTCTTCTCACCGCCAGACAAGTTACCAATGTTCTTCCAACTCTTCTTCGGAGGCATAACCGAGAACAGGATACCCTCAGAGAAGGGATCCAGAGAGTCGACCAGTTCCAGTTCCGCGTTACCACCCATCGTGATCATCTGGTACATCTCCTTCAGGCGGAGAGAGATGATGCCAAATCCTTCCATGAATCCGTTCAAACGGGCTGATCGAAGACCATCGAGTCGGGCCTTGGCGCTGTCGCGGGATGTTAGGGCAGTGGCCAAATCGGCAGAGCGGGATTCGTGCTCGGCCGTGCGACGACGGTACTCTTCGATGACCGACAGATCCACAGAGGCATTGTGCACCTTCTCCTCCAAGGCAGCAATAACGGCCTTCAAGGACTCCTTGTTCATGGCGTCGAGCTCATCCTTGGTGTACGTCTGAAGCTCCAGAGCCTCCTGCTCTTCACCGAGATCGCTGACGTTCTGCAAGGACAGCTTGGAAAGCTTCTCCTCCCAGTATCGACTGCGCTTCTGGTTCTCAGCAAGGGCCTTTTGGTTCTCGTCGAGCTTGTTCCGCATCTCGATCTCAGTCGCACGAGACTCGTTCAGTTCGGCAACTTTCTCGTCCAGCTCCTGCTTGAGAGCCTTGAGCTCGCCCTTCTTCGACTCGAGTGCCTGAAAATTCATTCATGTCAGGAACCTGGTTCGGTGACAGAACCCATTCAATAGAACAAAACTTACCTCTTGAGCCTCATCGGCCTTTTGCCTCCATCCAGAAGCGTCTGTGGCTTGGGTCTCAACATCTTCCTCCAACTTCTCCAGATCCGCCGCAATCTGCCCAAGCTCCTTCTCTGATCCATCACGGGCCTTGGAGTGCTTGGTGATCAGCTTCTCGTTTTTGGACTTCTGAACCTCGGCGTTGGAGATTTCCTCGGTTAACATGCTGATTTGCTCCTTCAGGCCATCGACCTTGGCCTTCTGTCCACGAAGGCGAACACCACCAACTTCCATGATCTTGTTTTGCAGAGTCTGGATCTCCTCCTCGATGCCGCTCTTTTCGGTATTAAGGTCCTCGATCTCGTTGTTCAAGGCCTCGATTTGCTCCTCAAGAGCAGCAGCTTGAGACTCGTCGGACTTGGAAGGCTTGTGTTCCGCGCTCAGCTCCTTCACGCGTCGTTGAGCATCAGCGAGACTGCGCTTGGCACTATCGATCTCAATCATAATCTTCTGGATCTTCGTCTCCACACGCGGAATTTCTTCGGTCTTCTCGCGCATCTGAGACTCGATATTACGCTGCTTTTCCTGGAAGGCCTGGAACTTCTTTTCCAGCTCCTCGAGATCTGTTTCGAGTCGGTTCACTTGATCCTTCGTGGTGTCGGCAACTTGTTTAGACGACATGGCACCTCGGGCGACGCGAGTACCACCACCGCTCATCGTACCAGAAACATCGATCAACTGGCCATCAAGAGTCACCACTCGCCACCGGCGAGCACCGTAGGCGATGCGGTTGGCTTGTTCCAAGTCCTTAGCGACCAGAGTATTTTGCATAACACTATAGAAGGCCGGAGCAAACTTGGGGTCCTTTGGCTTGACGAGATCGAACAGACGGGGCACGCTTTCCGGGGTGTAAACACCCGACATGTCGCGACGTGGGAGGCGATCGAGAAGAATGAAGTTGGCCCGACCGAGGTTGTTCTTGCGCAAGTAATCAATACACTGTTGGCCGACCTCCACAGTCTCCACCACCATGTTGTCCAGGGACGGGCAGGCCGTAGAGATCGCAACATCATACTTTTCATCGATGGTACCCAGGTTACCGAGACGGCCGTGGAAGCCATCAATACGGCCAGACTCCTTCAGGCGCATGAGGCCCGTCAGCACACTACCACGGTTCTGTGTGTTCTGCAGGCTGACTCGGGCTTCGTCGGCCTTTTGGCGAGCGCTAGAGACATGGGCGCGAACTTCGGGTTCACGAGCGGAGTACTTTTTCAGGTCGTGCTTCAGCTTTTCCACTTCGGCTTCAAGTGTCTCCTTCTGGGCCTGTCGCTCTTCGAGGTCGGTTTGCTTGGATTCCAAAGTCTCTTCGATGGTCCCAATCTTGCCCTGTGCCTCTTCCAGCAGAACGGCACCGGCATTGCTGCGTTCGCGAATGATATCGAGCTCACTCTGGGCAACAGCAACAGCAGACTGCTTCTTGTTGATTTTCTCATTCCAGGGCTCCAGCGACTTCTGCTTGGCGGTGATCTGGTCCGAGAGACCTTGGGTCTTGCCTTTAAGACTTTCACGAATAGTGTTCAACTCTTCTTCCTCGGCGGTCATCTCCTGCTCAAGCTGAGCGATCTCATTGGTCTTCCTCTCGATGTCATCGCTAAACTTTTCCACCAAACTTTGGCATTCAGATGCGGCGAGGCGGCTGGTCTGCATTGTCTTCTCAAGCTTCTTCTGCTTGTTGACCAAGAACTTCTTCTTTTCATCAAATTTGACCGTCTCTTTGTCATACTTGGCCATTTCCTTCAGCAGTCCTTGTGATTCTTTTTCCATCGCCTCGAACTCGCGTGAGCCACGCTTGTAGGCCTTTTCAAGCTCCTTAATACCTGACTCGTTACCTTCGTGCTTCTCGAGCTCCATGTTAAGCAGCTCCTGCATCTGGAGGATAGCCTCCTCGGTGACGCGCACGTTATCCGAGCATTCATCGATGTAAATTTGGTAAAGAGCCGATTGCTTCTGCGACAATTCGTTTTCTTCGCCAATGTATGCCACGGCCTTGTTCTTCTTGTCCTCGAGCGCGGTCTTCTCTTTCTCCACGTGCTGAACACGGTTGTTCTTTTCAGCACACACGTCGTTCAAGGTCTCGAGCTCAGCTGCCGCTTCATCGATGGGCGTTTTGTACTTGGAAGTTCCGATGATATCTTCCAAATATTCGAGGAGACCTTCGTCGTGCTCATTGGCAGCCTTGGCCTTCATCTGGGCAATGGACTCGACTTCACCCTGCAAAATCAAGAATCGCTTGTGGTCGAGATCGATTCCGCGGTCGCGCAGGAAGGTGGTGACAGTGGTGAAGTTGGTCTCCTTCTTGTTCATGTAGTATTTGCTGCTGTTGTTCCTGAAGGCACGTCGAGAAACAATCAGGTGGGAATCTGGGACCACCTCATGACCACCCTCAGGCAGATCAAGAACCTGCTCGAAATGGACCTCGACCTCGCAGTACGGCAGATCGGGATATTGCGCCGAGTTGTGAATAAGGGCCGAAATCTTGCCCTGTCGCATCTTACTGGCGCGGAAACCAAACACGAACAACAACGAGTCAATCACGTTCGACTTGCCGGATCCGTTGGGTCCAACCACCGAGGAAAACGAGGCATGGAATGGGCCAACAACCTGCTTCCCGGCGTAACTCTTGAAGTTGTGCAGAATCAAATTCTGAATGATCATACGAGGCTTGACCTCGGCGGGCTCCTCGGGCGCCGGAGCGGCCATGTTCCTCGATTTCATCACAATGTCCATAGGCTTCTCCAGAACGGTCGAGTTTGGATTGATGTACGAAACTTGGGACCGGGGCTCCTCGGCGGGTTTCGAAGGCGACGACTGGTTGACGGCGGACTCGGTGATGTCGGCGAGAGGGGGACGCTCTCGCGTTGGGCGCGTGCTTCAGACTCAGGCGACGCGGACGGCTCTGGAGTAGGGAGTGAGCCCTTTGCCGCTTTTGGAGTAATAGAGCCACGGCTCTTGCGGGAAGCCATACTTTGTCTTTTCAACGCCGACTTGTTGGAAGGTGAAGCCGGATCGGCCTCTGAAGGCTCGATGCTCTTCCTCTTCAATGCCGCCTGGTTGGAGGGGGAATCAGGATCCCCGACTACAGATACCATGCTGGGTCCTTCATCATTTTCGTCGTTCTCGGGCTCGGTATTTTCTTCATTCTCGTTGTTCTCATCCGTATCATCAGCCTGCGAGGCCTCCGACTCGGATGCGACCGACTGTCGGGACTTGCGCGTCGGCTTCACGGTCGCGGGCGTCACCGGTTCTAGTGTCAAACGCTTTGAGCGGGATGCGCGCTTCGCCTTTTGAGGGACAGGTGTATAGTCCTCCTCTGCGCTCTCGTCCTCATCCTCGTTGTCGTGGGTAGATGGTGTCGGTGTCACGTTGCCGGGGTCCTCCGACTCAGATGTTTCTTCAACGACGTAGCTCCTGCGGGGAGCGGCGCGGCGCGAGGGCCGACCCTTTGCGAGCGAAGCCATTTCGATTTAGTTGGGCGCCTGCGTCATGGGCGGCGAGGGGTTAGATGCGGATGGAGAAGGCGAGGAGACCGGAAGTGGGTTGTTTACCTTGCGCCCAAACGGGAATAGTGCGCCCTTCTGCCACAACAAAAAGCTGCACGGGACTCACCGCCCGGCCGGCCACTGCGGTGATATCAGCGAGCTCCCCTCATCAAATGCGCTGAATTCGCTTTGCAGGACCTTTGAATTCAGGCAAAAGGCGTGCTCGGCCAAGTCGCGATCCTCGATATTTACTATAATCTGCCCATCATGGCGCAGTGGGAAGAATTCGATGATACTTTCAGCTTCAACAATAAGTACTCCTACGACTCAAAGACGGTCGAGCAGATTGTTGCCAATCGCCGCGCACTCGAGGGACAGCTCTTCGCTGATCGGCTTCTTGGGCTTCTTGGTATTAGAGGAGGTAAGTCTAGTCTTCCGGAGGGTGCATTGCGCAACTCTTGAGGAGCTCTCAGCTGGGGGCTCTAACAAATGTTTCGCGGCTAATCAATTGACTCCCCCGCAGTTACCAAGGTGTATCCTCCCAAGTCAAATGCAGACCTCCGAGCTCTTTTCGATGACATTGTCGCCTCCGAGTTCGATAGTCACCACAAACAAGCCTTGATTTACTATCTTCTCAAGGACTGTCGCAATGCGCTGGGCGCAGCGGCCGACTTTGCTCAGTCGTGCTATCTCCCGGAGAAATACCGTCTCTTTATCGAGGGCCTATGGCATATGGACCGTCTTGACTTCAGGGTATGCTGCGCCCCTATTTTCTGGAAACAACAGATGAGTTCGCTAACCTTACATTTCCGACAGAGTGCTATTTCATACCTCGCCGAACCCTCCTTGGTTCCTACCTTCCCCGACGAAATCCTTTACGCCCTCACCCTGTCCCAACTTCCTAAGCATGATGACAATATTGCTATCACATATTACCTGGCCGCAGCTCCTCCGTTGGCGACGGCAAAAGTTCAGCGCGCGTACTTCGAAACCCTCTGCCGATCTTCTGTGACAGAGGCCTTCTACTTTACCCGCAAATACGACGAATATCACCGTCACGCCTACTTCGAACAACTTCTCGAGTTCGTCTTGAGGACCCCTGCTGGCCAAAGCCGGAGCAGGCGTGCCATGGATCTTGTTGGACTCCCTCTGGACGAGGATGAGGCTGTGTGGTTCGAAGAGACTTTGTTGCGTGGGAAGGCAAGCTCATTGCCTGGGGCCAAAGATACTGTGATGATGCGCCGTCTGGCCATCGGACAAATGGGAGGACTTGCGCCTGAGTTGGAGTCGATGGGTGGCAAGAAGGTGGACGGCCTTAATTGGGACGATCTACGGGAAGGCATGCGAGGAGTCTGATACCCATCTTATGGCGCTGCATTTAACATGATCTATTACACTGGCAAAATCAGCTCGGTTGTTGGAGTTTCGGTCTTTCATACTTCTTAAGGGTTCGTTTTAGGAATAGATTTCTTCGAGGTCTATATCAAGTTCACTCTGATCAGGCACCTAGGCGCAGATGTCATAGCACACATTGTACTCAACTGCCTGAAGCTTACTGTACCTTTGCGTATAGTTCTGACCCACATTTTGCTTCGCGCATCTATGATAAGACATCTGGGGACACGTAGTACAAGCTCATTCGCGAGCTACTATGGTGGTCATTTAGTGTGGGTAAAATGGAGCATATGAGACCACTATAGACAATCCCTTTGGCAAATCGCATTTATTACTCTAACCTTCTAAGGTTTGAAACAAGCACGGCGCCTGTAACCTTTGGAAGCAATCGTACACTAGCTTTTCCGTAAACTTGTAATCGTATTCTATATCTATGGATTTTAAATTCCACAATACACTATAGTTTCTAGTTGTCGAGATGTGAAAGCAAAATTATATTACGCTACAGAGTGCCAGTCGTGGTGCATCTAAGAGTTGTCCGGTGAGTGCTGAACCGATAATTGTGAACAATTAGTGTATATATATTTCGGCACTGCACTGGCCGGGAGTTTCAAACGCAGGGCGTTCGTCGTCAGCTATTCCTGGGCACCATCACTCACCTACAAAAGCCGCACCGTACATCCACCCTCTCTCAGAAAGGGTCCGGAAAATTTAAACGCTTTTCTAATCAAAAATCAAAAAGCCGCCTCGTTTTCTACAACCATTAATTCGTGATTATGATCGTGACCGAATCCTCCGAGGCTCTACTGCTTCATGGCGGCCAAAACATGCCGACCGATAAGACCCGCGATAAGAGCCACCAGGCCTGGCGGTGCAGCCCGGAAAAACAGCATCACTTCAAATTGGCTCATTGCAACGCGTCTCAAGACCTACGCACCTATTCTCACATCAAGTCCTCCTATCAATCCCACTCAGAGGACATAGAGCTCGACCGTGATCTCTTCAACGACTTACACAGTGCCCGTGAACCAGTGAAGCGACTGCACAGGGGCTCTATACCAGACAGAGGCTGAACGCGACAACGCGGCGTTGATGCCGCAGAGACAGAATGGCAATCTGTGTCTTCTTCCAGCAAGGCCGTTGCAGATTCGGCGGTGCGTGGAGCATTCCCCCCGATCTCAAACGATATTGCTGACTGTGGTCTAGACAAGTGCAAGAATGAGCATCCAGGTCGTTCCACTGTTGGAGGAAACCGTTTTGGAGCACTCAGTGGTGGGGGATTTGGAAGTAAGTGAATCATTTCATTTGTTTTTCTTCTGCTCCTTTTTATTCCTGGATGGGCAAGTTCAATGAGGGAAGATGTCTCGAGACACCAAGCGCGTCCTAGACATTCACTGTGTCCATTCATTGAGTGTATGCACTTGAATTATTTGGCACAATCATCTGCCCTGAGAATTTCCTCCCAATTTTTTCTTCAACCCCATCCTCGAAAAGCCCTCTTGCCAAAATCTTCTGCCTCGTTATTTTCGGTTCCAACCACCAATATGTGCCCCGGTGCCTCTTCACCCTCATCCGAACCGGACGACCGTCTAAAGGATGATCGACCTGCCAAGCGCACTTTTCGAGCACGCAAGTCGGATGACGACGACGTGCCCAAGTTTGCGAGGCCCGTTCCCGTGGACGAGCGCGCCCCTTCCCAAGAGTTCACGGATGTTTTCCTGCGGGGAGATCTTAACCGTGTGATCAAGAAGAACGCGCCTCCAACAATCTCCACCTCCTCAATCCGGGCGCCCCCTACCATTCCTACCTCCACCATCAGAGAAGCTCCAAAATCCGTGAGCAAAAAGCCCGGAACATTCGGGACTGCGAAGCCGCCGGGCCTGTCACAGCCCGGACGGTGCTTTCCTTTGCCGGATCGACCGCAAGCTCAGCATTTGACTGGTTCATCCCCGAAAGAAATTGCTAACACTTTGCGCCAAAATGAAGGTCAAAACCAAGGGCACACCCAAGATCCGCAAGCCAATAAGTAAGTACCCTAACCTCGAAGACTCAATCCGAACAAAATTCTAACCATTCAACAGCTACGGTATTCACGAAAACGACATCAAGCACGATCTCAGCGCAGGCAAGGGACGTCCAGAATGGATCTTCTCATGTTACGCACCGCAGCGTGACATTCCCCGGCAATTGTTTGGCGGTCCTCAGCGCGAACAAAGTATGGAAGAGATGCGCCTTCGTCATTACGAGGCAGTTGCTGCTGGTAACATGAACCAGGCCATTCAAGAAGCCGAGGCTCTGTGGAACGAGTTCAATCAGCAAATGAATGCCGCTCTGAACGATACCAAAGCCGCGGTCAAATATGTTGTGGATGGTGCGAATGAACATCCCAATCGCCTTGACATTGTTGCGGGCAAGACTGGCCCTGTTACAAACCAAGGGACCCCATTGGGTCAGCCATCAGCATTTGGTCAGCCCGCTCATACTTCTACACAACCATCTGCATTCGGCCAGCCAGCTTTCGGTCAGGCTGCTCAGCCTACCGCCCAGCCATCTCCATTCGGTCAGCCAGCTTTCGGTCAACCCTCTCAGCCCAGCACACAGCAGTCGGCGTTCGGCAAGCCAGGTTTTGGCCAACCAGGTTTTGGTCAGCCTGCTCAACCCACTGGGCAGCCATCGCCGTTCGGCCAGCCCGCTTTTGGCCAGCCCTCCCAACCTAACGCGCAGCCATCGGCTTTCGGCCAGCCAGCCTTTGGCCAACCTTCTCAACCTTCCGTACAACCGTCTCCATTCGGCCAGCCAGCTTTCGGTCAACCCTCTCAACCCAATGCGCAACCATCTCCATTCGGCAAGCCAGCTTTTGGCCAGCCCTCTCAACCCACTGGACAGCCATCGGCTTTCGGCCAGCCAGCCTTTGGTCAGCCTTCGCAACCCAACGCACAGCCTTCAGCATTTGGCCAGCCAGCCTTTGGTCAGCCTTCGCAACCCAACACACAGCCTTCAGCATTTGGCAAACCAGCATTCGGTCAACCCTCTCAATCCAACGCGCAACCATCGGCATTCGGTCAGCCAGCGTTCGGCCAGCCCTCTCAGCCTTCCACACAGCCATCGGCATTCGGTCAGCCAGCGTTCGGCCAGCCCTCTCAGCCTTCCACACAGCCATCGGCATTCGGTCAGCCAGCATTCGGCCAGGCCACTCAGCCTTCAGCCCCAGCAGCAGGAGCGGCATCAGCAGCCCCCTCGAACATACATTCTGGTCCTCGTCCCTTCATCAAAATCGACGATCCCTCCCAGTTAAATCCCTTCCCACCTCTGCAGGGAGAGACCAGATATAACCCTGCATCCAAGACTTTGACGATGTGGAAAGGCCGTCCGGTTCAGCAAGTCCAAGTCGCGGACGGAAATCTTCGTCCGGTCTATCTGCATCCCCAGGACAACAAGACCCTGGTCCGCGTCATGTTCCCGGATGGACCGCCTGACGCCGCCTCTCTTCGCGATGCCGAGGGAAAACCCGAAGAATACACGCCCGAGATCGAGGAAGCATACAAGTTCTTCATTGAGAATGGTTATTTCAAGGATGGTGTCCTCCCCTCGGTGCCTCCGAAGCGGGAGTGGGTCAGCTTTGACTTTTGAGATATAGTTATGTGCCTTCCTTCTGTGACCCCGACATGAGTATGGGCTAGCTTTGGGTTTGAGATGCTGTTATTTTTAGCCACGTCCTACGATTGTTAATTTGCAAGTACCTCGACTAACTCGAAAAGAACACGTCTATTTTTATTGACTCCTTCAATCGCCTATGTAATGACATCATGTGCTTCCTGGCCAGCTGCGTATTTGATAGCATCAATACTCCAAGGGGAGTGGGCGACTAAGCACTTCTTTACACGGCATCGGGTAGGCACCTGTGCGATACGCTTTTGGGTACCGTAGGCTGACCGAGCGAGTGACTAGCGACTAATATTCTTGTCGGGACATAACATCCCTTTCTTGGTGTACGCATTCTTGCGCGGAGCTGCGGCTCCGGTGTTGTGACCGCCGAGTGTCCGTGCATGGGATTAAGGGGTATCTTGGGACCTGACTTGACCTGACCTGACCTGAGAACACATCTACACACATCTACACACATCTACACACATCTACACACATCTACACACATCTACACACATCTACATCTATCAACAGGAATCAATTGACTTTTGCTTTGGAGCATACATACTGTCCACTTAACTGTGTACACAGTACCTAGCCGGTGATACCAACAATGCTATTAGGTACCTTACACTAGTGTAGTAAGCGGCATAGTTTCTAATGGCAGCGGACATATAGCTCCCATATTTGATGCGCTTTTACTTTTCCCTCCTCTCATAACCAGTCTACGGAAGGTTATACATAGCGACCAGAGCTCACTTTCCAATTTTAATGGGCATGATGCCTGAATTTATAAGATTGTACCTTAACCTGACAGCCCTACATACTCTAACAGTCTTCTAAAACAGTCTTCTAAACTGCCACCTCATATCGCCACCGATCTTGTACCAACGATGAAGCTTCGACAAGTGTTATGGATATAAAACTTTCTCGTATTTCTAGGAATTTTTTCATTTGTCGGTGTTGTATCAGCCATCATTTGAAAACAAGGCATCAGCATGGGCGAAAAAAGTAAAGTGAGCTCTGTACCGGTCGTTATAACCCTCCATAGCAGTTCGAATTCACGATGGACGAGGTTTCAATCCAACAAACAGAGCTACACAATTCCTGCCAGGTGGAGGAAATTCGTCAAATATCATGGGCGAATCTTTCCTTTATTCAACCCCTTCCCCGACACAAACTTCTTTCCAAAATCCCTGTCTCACTATTATTTCTCTCGCCCGCCAAAACGTGCCCTCATGCTTCGTCAACACTTGTGAAAATCCGAAAACGACCGTCCGGCTAAGCGCATGTTTCGCATCTTGAAAAGCAGAAATGATGGCGACGAAGTCCCGAAATTCGCGAGGTCCGTGCCGGTAGGCGAACGTCCACCCCGCCAAGAATTTAGGGATGCTTTTCTTTGCGGAAATCTGGACGAGCTATTCAGGAAGAGTCGGAGACTTCTCGACTCGAGAAATTCCTATATTTGCCCCGAAGAAACCCGGCACGTTGGGTTCATGGAATCGTAGGAATTGAGAAAAATGTGAAAGTCGTCATCGCGTGCACGAGGGTAGCATATAGTTGCCAAGGATGGTAGACAATAGTAGGAGAGATCAACTACCAAGCAGCGAAACCGGCCTTAACCTGCCAGTGGCAATTAATCGTCGAAACTTCAGTACGATCAGTTTCCCTCCGTACAATGTGCTACGTTCATCTTGCTCTAGATCGGTCACAGGCCTGACTATCTCTTCTATGCCCGTTAATTAGCACCCAGGCCGATTTGCCCCATGGATCTGTGACTTGTCACGTCTTCGATACATACTATCCTGATTTGACAAAGCTCTGTTCATAAGCCAGTCATTCCCTTGGACGCCGCTTGAGCTATTAGTTCTGAAGATCGCGAACAGTAGTACATGGCATGAGTTTCACTGACATCCGTACATACGGCTCCTATATCTGATGAGATCTCGAGACAGGCAAGGTATCAGTACCAAACCAATAATCCAAACGTGACTCTAGAAAATGGCTTTACAGGATTCTACAAGACACAACTATGATTTCTCAAGATGTTTCCATTTTTTTGTAGTCCAGGAACAAATGGGTATACCAAAATCTCACGAGACTTGCAGTAAATGGCTAGTTCCGAGAACACCGGCGTAACGCACGGTAGTCCAAAAAACTAGCCCAAGACCCTCCCTGTTCCATTGCGTAGCTAACTAATTTAGGCAGCAATGGTGACCTCAACCTCGACACCAGCCTCGATGTTGATGATGATCTGCTTGACGGTCTCGGTGGGGGCGAGCAGGCTGAATTGAATGTCAGTTATTACATTCCTTCTCGCTGCCGGGGTATTGGGCGCATTGCGATGCAGGTGTACTCACTCGATGAGACGCTTGTGGATGCGCATCTCGTACTTGTCCCAGGTCTTGGAACCCTCACCGTTGGGGGTCTTGCGGGTGGAGATGTGCAGGGTCTTGGTGGGCAGACGGACGGGGCCCTTGACCTGGAGGGACTTGGAGCGGGCACGGTCGATCAGCTCGCCGCAGACCTTCTCGAGGGCAGCGACCTTGCGAGAGGTAAGGGTGATACGGATCTTGTGGACCTTCTGTAGGTTATATTAGTCTCCAATTCCACTTTGTGTATCTGGCGATTCTATCGCGACGACGTGCTTTCGCGCAATTGCGACGGCGAGCGTTTGCGATTTCGAGATCAAATGTGAATGTGTGGTGTAGGGACGGTGCACGTACGGGGCCCTCGCCGAAATCCTTCTCGGGCTTCTGGAAAGACATCTTGAGTGTGTTGTGCTGGTGTTAAGGCGAATGCCAATCAAGACCTGAACTGCAGGGTTCGGTAAGGTGATGATTGCTGGTTGAAAGTGTTGTGTGTGGAGCGAAGCGAAAAGATTCGGTGCGGCGGGGCTTGGCATTCGGTTATCTGACGCTAGTCCGGATGTGGCGATATTAGTGCCTGACAAATGATCCTATTGATGCCTGATTAGTAGCGATGAGTCAGCACTCGGGGACCCAATGCGGATGCTGCCATGGCAGTCAGAGCGTGTTGATATTCCGCTGATTGGGAGGCTGTGCGGACTGCGAGGGCGCCAATTGCCTCTTTTCTTCATCTCAAAGCTCCAGCAGTTATACCTTACTCGCCAACCTACCCCCCAGACGATGGCGAACTTTCCGGGAATGGCCTCTGTGCCTCTCCCCGCAGTGCAGAGTCGCATTCCATCAGACGACTGGGAGGCCTTTCTCGATGCATGGATCACACTGCTAGGTATTCGCTTGAATGTTTCAGACAAAGAATTCCAGGAAACTGCCGAGGATGACCCTTCCGGTGTGGCTTTCCTGAATAGTTTCTACGAGCAAGCCGCCAGTGGGACCCCGTGTCTACAACATGGACCCAAAGGACTAACCCTGCGCAAGCTGTCCTTCTTGGCTACCCGACGCTACATCCTCGATCTGCGAAAACCCCCAGAAAGCCTCTTGCATTGGAAATTTCTGGGCAATTTATCTTGCTGCTATCCGTCCAGCACCGCATTGAAAACGCTTTTATCAAGTGCCTGGGATCGGCATTCCGATAGGATATTATCAAGTATGGAAGAGGCAAAGGCCATGGTGATTGAGAAAGTATCAACAGGCATGCCAAGTCATGGATCCAAAACTTTTGTGGAGCTTCGATGGTTGACTATCCTGGCCTCGGTTTTGCCACAATGTGGACAGATCCTCATGGCTGGAACCGACTACCTGGACACAATGACAGAAACATATCAAAAACAATCAAGTCGAGAAGACATTCACAAGGCGTTCACTGCCAACGTCTATGTTGGACTGGTCTCTCTACTCAAAGCGCCACCTAACCTATCCCTCCTACTGGATCAGCTCTTCAGCCTCAAAGCTAGCGCAGGCGTGGGGACGCCCCAAATGATAAAGGAGAAAACACTTCTATCCGATCTAGTCTGCAGCTCAGACCTGCTCCTGAGATTAGAGAAATATCTTGCAGCCCACCCCCAAAAACGAGGACAGGATCTATTGACCAGCCTGCGCGCATATCAAATGGAAACGAAATTTCTCCACAGCCGGTATCAAAGACGCAGGAAGGTCGACAAAGGCAAGGGCCCATCATCAGACCTTCAAATACCCGACGTGCACCACGCGCACAAGATGTCTCTGGTTTCTCAAGTACAAGACCTCTTCCCGGACCTAGGCTCCGCCTTCGTCGTAAGGCTTCTCGACGTCTACGGCGATAACCCGGAAACAGTCGTCGCTCACTTACTCGATGACTCACTCCCGCCAGAAATCCAAGCTCTCGACAGAACCGAACAACTCCCTGAAACAGCAGAGCCCCAACACGACCACCTGGCACCCAAGCCAACACCACCTCGGCAACCCTCACCACCGCCAGCTCGCAAGAATGTATTCGACACGGACGTCGATATCGCCGAGCTCAGTCTGTCGGACAATGCAAAGGGCAAACTTCGTTTTGGCCGTGCAGACCCTGACCTTACCGCCGACGAAGTCCTCGCGGACCGCAGTCAACACGCCGTGAATAAAGCAGCTATTCTCTCGGCCCTGGCGAATTTCGATTCGGACGACGATGAGCGCGACGACACATACGATGTCGCTGATGTGGGCGGTACCGTTGATGCAGCCACAGCCGGCACAGATGCAGACGCGGATGCCGAAGCAAAGAATAAGCGGATGGCAGCAGACCAGCTTGATATGACTCTCTTCCGCGCTTACAAGTCCAACGCCGCGCTATTCAATCGCGACTCGGCTACTCGCCGCTCGCAGCCTCGCGCGTCGCTGAAACGCGAGACGAACATGACAGACGAGGCTATTGAAGGCTGGGCAGTAATGCTATCGCGGGATTCAAGGCGCCTTGCTAGGCTTGAGGACCGACTTGCTGTTGATGCCGATGGAGTCGGCAGTGGGGCATTGAACCAGCCGGAGCTTGCTTCGACGTCATATAGAAGGCCTCAGGCAGCTGGTAGTGACGAGGAGTCTGCAGATGAAAGCTCTGGGGCTCGTGGAGGCCGGGGTAGAGGACGCGGAGGACATGGACGTGGACGGGGGAGAGGTGGTAGAGGTGGCCGCCCCCCTCAAGATCCGAATACGCCGCAGGCGCATCAGAAGAAGGAGCAGAATAAGGCTAGCAGGGCGAATCATAACCGCCGACAGCAGCGGGCCAAAAAGATTGCGCGTGGGGGTGGTTTGCCTGGCTGAGATTTTATGCTGAGTGTTTCCGCATGAGAAATGAGACGACGAGCCTGCTTGATTCGATGTCTTGCATATATGGAGCATTTGTTGATAAATTACTACAATGTATTGAGTTACGCAATGGAAAAGCAGACGTGAAAGACATTTGATTCGTCATTAGTATACCGAGACACGCCGGAGTGACGGTACAACAGTGCTATCTAAGAAATCTAAGGAAATTCGTTCGCATGGCCAGCATGCGGTGAGAGTAGGGGCTTCACAATGATGAACGGCACGCTGTATTCAATGGTGGTGTGTGAAGACGCCTTCGTCGGCAATCGACTTGCGGCACTCCTCCATAATGCGCAGCTGCTTGGCCACATCGCCAAGTCGGCCAATGACTTCCTTATTCCCGTCATAGAACGTGAAGATTGCATATGGGATACCAGTTTCACGGCAGAACTCCAGAATATACTTCTGAGCCTTGCGGAGATTGTGACGAGGCATACGAGGGTAGAGGTGGTGGATAGCCTGAAACTGCAGCCCGCCGTGGAAGAAGTCCAACCAAGGGGCACAGTCGACATCCATGGTGGTGCGGAGCATTTTTTGCGGGAATGACTCGTGGATACCCAAGTCGGCGGTGGACATGGCGAAATGGGACAGTGTGATCTGAACATGCAAGGGGGAGGGGACAATGTGGGACACCATGAGGAAGATCAGGCGGCTATTCCAGTCCGGCAGAGTCTTGTAAAGTACAAGGTAGACATACCAGTACCAGAAGAAGATCTGGCCGGCCCACTCCACATACACATGCCACCAGGCAGGGCCTTTCTTCGGAGCCTGGCCCTTGAGCAGGTACTCCCAACTCAGTCGGTAGAGATTGAAACGAGCGAGCGCCATGATGGGGTAATAGGAGTAGTTCTGGATCTTGAGCATGAATTGAGACGGGACATCGAAAGTCATTTCTCGGTCGTAGTAGGTGCTTCGCAGACTGTCGAAAAAGCGGTGGGAGATGCCAAAGAATGGGATATGCTGAATATCGGGGTCATGCTCGGGTTCGTTGGTTACAATGTGGTGGACGTTGTGACTACGCTTCCACCATCCCAAGCTCAGTCCTCCCATAAAGTCGGCGATGATGATACCAATCACAGTGTCAAAGTGGAAGTTGTGTGTGATACCCATGTGGCCAGCATCATGGGCAGTGAACACAAGCTGGTGCCAGAAGCACCCGAGGAAAAATCCAGACGTCCCCCACCAGCCCATGCGGAGGAACACATATGCCAGCGATGCGAAAAGAGTATACCGACAGCATTCAACAAAATAGGCCCAGTAGTTACAATTGAACAAGCCCTCGTCTAGCATACGCTTGTTCAATTCCCGATATTCGTGCTTGATGCTTTCCTGGCGTGCGGTATCCAGCGGCGGGTATTTGAACTGATCAAGTTCGATTTCATTGCGGGTTCGAGCGTCGAGGAAACCGAATTTGGGGTGCGATCCTTCGTTGGGCGGAGTGGACACGGAGCTATCGGTGGCTGGCGCGGACTTCTTGCGACGAGTCACGGACGAGTCAACGGCGTCGAATATCGGGGAAGGTGGTAGTGATCCCTCCTGGCTGGAGCTGTCCTGGCTGGGCAGGTCTTCCTCGCTCGAGCAGCTGTCCTCGGAATAAAGACGAAACTTGCCGCCCTGGATGGGAGGGAGGAAGTTGATCCAGATTCCTTCAATTCGACCGATCTGAAAGGAGAGCATGCGCTCGCGAGCTTCGACGGAGTGCAGTCTAAAGTGACAGAGGTTCTATGGTCAGCACAAATATGGCTCGAACTCTCCTATGTTGATTGAGCTTGACATACGCATTGATCTCATCTGTGGCATCTCTGCCAACCATATGCTTGATCGGCTTCTCTCCACCGGGGTGGAACACGATAAAGGCATCTACCTTCAGGACGAGGCCTTCGTAGATTATGACATGTTTCCCCTCTGCAATCAGTCCCTCGATATACCGGCGACTCAACAGGGTGTCCTTCCGGGACGGTCGGGGTGCGGCTTTCTCCATGGCGGGGGAGGTGCGGTGACGGGGTGTCTCAGTGACCGAGGATGGTTGCTAATTTACTGAAACATATCTCCGGTGTTGGTAGCTTAGTATCGCAGGGAACTTGAGAGGAAAGAGGACGCAACGGCGAAAAGAAGGTGCGGCCAGGCAGAAGGCGGCAGGGAGGTGGAGTTGGCCGGCGGGGCGGATCGGCCGCGGTCGCCCGTGATTGCGCAGCACGGTCTACTTCTGACATTCACATCCACATTACTGGCACACAGCCATTCCACCTCGTGGCATGATGGAGCAGGTACCGGCCCATTCTTCCTGGTGGCGCGGATGTGGCTAACCCGGACAGACCTCGCTTTCCTCGCTGGTCGAACAATGGCTGCAGTGGGACCAGGTACGTTTGGAATGCAGCATGGCCATGGCCTGATCTCATGCGGATATACGGTATAGGATCCCAAAACACGCGCGGAGATAGAGCATCTGCGGGATGCTGGTGCTACCGAGGAGCTGGAGCTGCGCTTGAGACATCGTATGTAGATCCGACCAGGTACTCTTGTTTGGCGTTTGGGGCGGTGCGGATCTTAACGTTTGATCAGGTATTGAATTCGGGACCGCCGGTCTACGGGGTCGGATGGCAGCTGGATTCGCCTGCATGAACTCATTGACGGTCATCCAAGCTTCGCAGGGCCTGGCAATTTATATCAAGACAAAGAAGCCCGAGATCGCCAAGCAGGGTGTGGTGATTGGCCACGATGCGCGCCATAACTCGAATCAATTCGCCAGGCTTGCGGCCAATGCCTTTATTGCCCTCAGCATCCCGGTCTGGTTTTTCGATCAATATTCACCTACACCGATGGTCCCTTTTGGGGTGAATCACTACAAAGCCGCTGCTGGTATTATGGTGACTGCCAGCCATGTATGATTCCAGATCTGCTCCAATTGTAAATGAGGATCGGCTGACACAAGGACCTACCACAAGAATCCACCCCAAGATAATGGTATGTTCTCCTCTGTTGGATATCGTCATGACATGCGCTGACTTTTGACAGGCTACAAGGTGTAAGCTTACTCAAGTTACCTCTTAAGAGCATAGAACCTGGATACTGACGACTGTACCGCAGATACTCGAACAATGGAGCTCAAATCAATCGGCCTGAAGATGCAGAAATTTCCCAGTCTATCTGCGAGAACCTGGAGCCCTGGTCAAGTGCCTGGAAAGATCTTGAAACTAGCGATTTGTTGCATGACAAGTCCTACCAGGATCTCTTCCCCCACTACGTCAGCCGAGTTGTGGAATTTACGGTATCTACAAACCAGCACTCAAATCGCTGGGTCTGATCACAACGCTAACAGCTTAAGTAGAAGTCGACTTCATCTTACTGGATGCCTTCGAAGATGGATCTTGGGAAGCCTTACATTTACACACCTCTCCACGGAGTTGGTGATGTCGCCTTTAATGCAGTGTTCGAGCTGCTAGGCGTTCCGGAGCATCACTTGCTATCGGTCCCTGCTCAAAAAAACCCTGATCCCGACTTTCCAACCGTCAAGTTTCCTAACCCGGAGGAAACTGGGGCTCTGGACCTTGCTATCGAGGCGGCAAATAAAAAGCGATCAATTTTGATCTTTGCCAATGACCCTGATGCAGATCGATTTGCCGTCGCAGAGAGAGTCGAGTGAGTGCCCTTCTATCCAAGCCGCAATTACAATTTCAAGAGCTCTGAAACTAATCGATCCACAGTGGAAAAATGTTCCAGTTCACAGGTGACCAGATCGGTGTTCTCCTGGCCACTTACCTCCTCGATTCTTCTCGTGATGGCGAAGGCGCCAATGCTTCTGACATCACCGTGCTATCAAGCGCTGTATCAAGTGGCTTGCTCCAAAGAATAGCCGAGGATAAAGGCTTCAAATTCAAAGAAACACTAACAGGTTTCAAATGGATGGCGAACGAAGCTCGAAATCTCGAAAAGATCGGTCGCGTGGTCCCGTTCGCATACGAAGAAGCCCTCGGCTACATGTTCCCTTCTGTTTGCTACGACAAGGATGGAATCACAGCAGCTGCCGTCTTCCTCGCCGCCCACCTCGAATGGGCCCGTGATGGTACGAGTATTTACCAAAAGCTCGAAAATATATGGGCGTCATATGGCTATCACGAAACACTGAACAATTACTTCCGGTCACCGAGTCCGGCGCTCGCAGTTGAATTGTTCCGCGGGATCAGGAGCGGCCCTTTCCTCGCAGAGATGAAATTCGGCAACTTCAAAATCGAGCGATGGAGAGATCTGACTGAGGGTTACGACTCTGCCACGCCGGATAACAAGCCCGAGTTGCCTGTGGATCCGACTAGCCAAATGCTCACGCTCTGGCTGGATAAGGGAGTGCGTTTCACATTCCGAGGCTCGGGAACTGAGCCGAAGGTCAAATGTGAGTACATAAACCCATCTTTTCTTATGATATACTAACATTGGAAACTAGTCTACATCGAGAGTCGCGCAGAGCCGCATGCACCACACCGTGATGCTACCCAGGCCGCATGCGACGCTTTTACTACTCTCCTGCACGAATGGGTTGAACGCTACACCCCTGAAATGACCTACAGCAAGCAGCTTCGTACTTCATCGGGATATGTCTTGGACTTGTAGTAAAGTAAGCAGCCCAATTCGGACACTGCTGGCTTACATTTATTATGAATATCTCTCACATTAGAAAGCGCATTATGTCAGTTCTTGAATTAAGGCCTTCCGAAAGCTTCCTTAAAATCTCTGCTACTTAGAGCAGGTGATTCAGACTGCACTGTAGATTGAGATCCAGGTTGATTAAACCGACCTAAAGAGGAATAATTAGCCATTTTGCCTCTTTTTGTGGAAATCGTTGAAAGCTTAGCTTTCATCATACCTGCTCAACATCACTCTGCGAGCAGCAGTAGACGTCGCCACCGGAACAACTCTCGCCCAACAAACCGTTGAGAAGGTTGCCCAGGGATAGAAGACCGCCATTGCCGTTATTACTGCAGACGACAGTCTGGTGGCTTTCGCACACAGTAGAATCGTCCTCGCGAGCAACGTGGACATCGTCACCAGTAGGCATAGCAAGAGAAGTGGTGGCGAAGATTGCAGCGCAAGCGAGAATGAACTTCATTTTGGCGAATGGTATGTGGGGAAGCTAGTGTTAAAAATGCATTAGCAAACGTTCTCTTTGTGGAGTTGTCTCTGTGTGGAAGTGAAATGTACCGCTTGAGTTTTTTTAGTTAAAGTAGAAGATAGTTTATCGTTGGAATGTGAGGTTAGCGCTTGAGTATTTATGGGCTTAGATGTGAAAATTCTGTTCTGGTAATGTAGAAGAATCAAGAAATAAATGTAACAGTAGAGTGTTATCGGTCATATAGATGATGGGTTTATTTTGCCTGACCATTTACTCTAATTTCCAATAAACTTTTGCTGAAAACGGCGTTTCTGCGATGGCCTGCGAATATTACAAAAGTGTCCAGGCGTCGACCTAGCTGTTCGCGGAAGTTGATTTGTTCTTGAAGCGTATATCGAACGTCACCGTATTCATCAAAATTGATAGGCATTGGTGACATGGAATCTCGCGCGTATTGGTCGTGCAGATCACTTTGGACTCTCTTGACACCGTAATATTGTACCGCGGAAGAGCGGCGGTCAGTCCTCTCTAGTGGAATCCGATAAACTCAATTAAAATTACTATGTTTTTCGATTTTAGTGAGTTTGAATAGTTCCAGCCCTCCGATCTCACTTTCGAAAATCGGCAGGCTCTAAGAGTCATACATCCAACTTTGTGGAGATGATGACTAATACCTTGAGAGGCAGATGTTGCGAGTTGATCACAATGGTAAATTTTAAATTCGCTTTAGAAGAATGTGAAATCTACCTTACTATGGATTGAGTATTCTAAATTATGTTGCTTGATTCGGTATCAACGGAATCCCTAGGATTCCGCGTCGTAGATATTGAAGGCACTGTCTGACCGCCCCTGTTTCATTACTTAGCCATAGTTCAAAAGAATTTCATCAAAGAGGTCATTGAATAGACTCCAATACCGTTACCTAATTGAAAACTTGAAAAATTTTTCAATTTCATGGAAAGAAACACCGGGCGGATGAAAACGGAAGGATTTTATTGGGGACATTGCCACAGTTACACTCAATACATATCAGATAAAGACCCACAACAAGTCTACACGAAAACGGAGCTCTACACGCTGATATTCCGTTTCTCGGGAATAAAATTTTGGTCCAAAAAGCAGTATGCCTACGGCTGCTTGATGCATGGGGGTCGACTTCTATGGGGCGAAGAGGGCCGCTACGTCATGAAGCTGAATCAGATGGTTGTTTTCGGTGCAACGCAACTGTACCATTAGTTTAAGACTACTACAGACCACCACATAAGAACTAGTGCAGGTTACTATGGCACGAAAACATGTCAGTTCAGTTCCCTGAATAGTCCTCAATGTCCCATAAATATTCCCAGTAAATTAGACACTCGGCCTTGATGCGCTTCAATTGATGCCAGACGAAAGCAGTAAATAGTTTTGCAAGCAGCGAAGGCACTGGGAATAGGTAAAATATTTCCAAATGGTCTGTGCGTATTTGAGATACTAAGGCACCATTTGATGATAGATCAGCAGCACTGATACTTTGCAGGGGAAGGGTTTTTAGTACATACAATCTGCCCTGATGTATTTTCAATTGGTGCCGTCTCTATGTTCTAACTAGGTTACGTATTTGATTCTGATGCTGTCTTCCTTCTGAGCTTTTTTCCTTCCTCTATTTGCTCCTGTATCTATTGTCATCTTGATTTCATAGCTATCACACGAACATCGATGATAGATATCATGTAGGTCGAACCCTTTCTGGGACTCATCAATAATTGGATCGACATAACGTAATCGGTAGGCGAGCGCCGCACCCCAAAACACCATATTAAATGCGATAAATTACCACATGATATCCTGCCAACCACTGTTTAACGTAGATTATTCCTATGATCTAATATTATTTGCGATATATCTAGCCTGTTTTTAAAGTCTAAGAAATTTAGAAGTTGGTGATTCAAAGTATATAACTGCAGTGTACACAGCTCCAAATTGTTGTATTTTACTGTATCAGGATACAAGAAATGTCTCGTTTACCATATATGTTACCGTATGGTTTATTACATCTGTAGTAATTAGTAAATCAAGAATGAAAGCGAGAGAGCTTGTCGTTGTTGAGATATTCGACTTTAAAATATCGCATTTAATATGGTGTTTTGGGGTGCGGCGCTCGTTTACATGCGGCGCTCGCTTACCGATTACGTTATTACCATTTCTAACCTCCTCTGCTACTCAGACGAACCTGCTCAAGTAACACGCTAATCCAATTTTAATAAGGCTTAGCTCGGTGATGGTATCTCCTAGGCGACAAGGACCCTAGCTACCTTCAGCAATTAAATATCATCTTCGTCTATGTTTCAGTTTGTCGCGCCGCAAGCGCTGTTCCTGGAGGCTTGATCTACAGACTATTCCTAAAGCTGGAAAGTCGTTCCATCATGCGCAATGAAGAATGACGTCTACGACTATTTTGGGAGCTCAGTCTCATTCTTCGTCGATCTCTCTACTTTATCAATAGCGCGGAATCTGGCGAGTCCGAGAGGGATGAACGATTGGCCGTTTCCTTGATACTTGCCCTGAAGATCCACATTCTTGTCAACCTCCTGGTGTAACCTTCTGGAAGTAACGAGCTAAGGCCCCTGCTGCCTTGTATTTTTGCCTTTCAGAAAAGGTTTAAATAATGAGATCCCTTCGCGCTCAATGAATAGGCACTCTTCATTATCCCAGTTCAAACAATTTCACTATCTTTCAGGTAATGAAAACTACCATCATATGTGACGCCCGGTGGCTAATAACCATCTAGATTACCCAGTCTCTTAATCAGCCACCATGAAGTTTATTCTGGTTTCTCTTGCCCTCGCGGTGACTGCAATTGCCGGAGGTGGCGACGGCGGCGATGGCGGAGATGGCGGCAAAATCTGCAAAAGCGGCCAAAGTGTTGTTTGTTCCAAGAACGGAAATGGAGGCCTTTTGACCCTGGGTAATATCGCAACAGGTGCACTGGGAAGCAGTTGCTCAGGTGGCGATGTTTACTGCTGCGACGACAAATATGTCCAGGTAAGAATGAGGTTTGATGACTTTAAGATTCCGCTCGCTAACATATAATTAGAGTGGCTTGGTGAACCTGGACGTGAATGCTCAGTGCAGTCTCAATCATCTTCTCTGAGGGAATCTCTTGAGCCAAGTACATCTCGATCACCAACGTGGTCTGTCGCGTTATCTGACCTTTGTCTCCATCTGCTTTGGCTTTATTCTCATCGAGGATTCTCATCGAGGAGATTGCAATTTTAGTTATTTTAAGGCGCCTAATACAGTATTCGAGATGTTGGTCTATTTCTGCGGTCAAGTAACTGAGTAACTGATGTTTCTATGAGAAATAGCTCGTTTCAGCGCGTAATGTTATAGTCCCCCGGTTATGAAGTGGGATTGTATGTTGTACTCGTACCTGGTGGTTTATTAAAGAACTATCATGAGGTCAATCAACCTCTCGGGGGAACTAGTGCACGACGAAGCGGGAAAGTCAGCAGTGACGATGGAAAATCCACCTAAAACTAAGAACTTGCATACTACAGTACCACCCTGAAAATCTATTTTTTTTTTGTGTCACCCAGCAAACTTTGGAAGTAATATCTATTAGCTCTGGCCAGCACTGCTGCAGCATTCGGTCCATTGTATTAATCGTGCTTCAGGGTATATTGATTCCTTGTAATAAGCACCAAATCTACCTGATTTATTTGAATCTCTCCATCAAGACGCAATTTTGACATGGTCAGTGTAGCAAAAACAGTTCTAGATATCAAATTATTAGGAATGCACGTGTATTCAACGAAGGTATCAAAGCTGAGGAAAGAACGTACTGGGCGACCGCAGCCGCAGTACCTACATCCTCCACGTGACCAGACGTTGCATCGGCTTCAAATCTCAGGCCTCAGAACCCATGGGTTATACCAGCTACACTCTGCGTTCCATTGCAGAAAGTTCTGCCTTGTGATCCACTTATTGAAAGCTCCATGGCTTATGGAAATGGAATAAAGTCCGTTCGTTAACCTAGTTTTCGTGTCGATCCTCCTGTTTTAATTCCATATCGTCGATAGGCGACATAAAATAGTTTGCTCCTTTCATGTACACATGGCAATATTCCTATGACACTAAAAATCCCGAACCTTACGGAATAAAAACCCGGTTCAGTTCAGCAGTAACCTTTTTGTCTTCTCGAATTATGTGGACGATGCAACGACCAAACGGAAACGGCTAGATTCTCATGATTTATGTTGCATGGACGCGTCAGCTGACCAAGTCTTGTACATTCCCCGGTCGCAGATCCATTCCCTAACCTATGATCACACAGCAATTTTGATCGGCATATTTTCAAAAAATTCTCACAACAATTATTCAAGTTTGGTTACTCCTGTTATATGATCATCGCTGGCAAAAGACAAAATGAAAGGGCGGTCTAAATAGTCGGACAGTTACCGAAAGCGGCAAGTAGGTGGGGCACAGCACTCGGTCGGCCCTACTCGATTTTTCTGGTCAGCTTTGAGCCTTAACGGTCGGATCATCGCGAATGTTTGGATATACTATAGCATGAGTCTCAGTCTATTACACAACGTGCTGGATACTATGGAACTATCTTCATCCTGAAGAATGTGCCCGAGGATTGAGAGAATATATAGAGACCGAAATTTGGGATGTAATCTTGGAGATGGTGATCTACCGATCGAAATGAGAATTCATTTCGTTGACACCTGAGTACTCCGCTCAATATACCTAAAATCGTATCATTTCACTGCAATGTCTCCGATTCATGACACTGAATACCATGGCTTCCAACATTAGATCAAAGCATATAAATCTAATCGAGATTTGACTTCTCCCGCTATTCGTATCAGTGTTTATCGAGGACAGAGTACAGAGCCGAAAATATATTCCTGTTGATAATTTCATGGGATAAAATTCGCGACCATTTCGCAAAATCCGTTTAAGAGCTAGTCGAGGTTTTCGGCGAGCAGACGCTCGGAGGTACCCCGTTCAGTTGAGCTAATCGCCATATCCAGAAAAGTGATTAGGCCAGCACATTGTCAATAATTTCGTTATCTTCAGCGGTATTTCGAATTTATTCAAAAGGATATAAATTTGTGACCATATATTTCGGCCGACAACGAAGGTAAAAATCGCATTGACAAAGATAGCACTGAAGAGTGCCTAGGCGTGTCTGTTGATGATGGGACTGTTACAGCGCCGGGCTAGTATATGTGGCTGGAAATCAATCAGTCTGAAGTCAAAATTGCTGTAAAGGGAATATGACGTACCTTTAATCCGTCCTTGCGCGAAAAACTTTTGCCACATTGCGAACAACAGAATGACTTTATCAGCAAATGGATTCGCTTATGGCGATTGAGATCATGGTTGCGGTTGAAACTCCTAGGGCACAGGTCGCACTTGAAAGGACGGTCTGGAGTCGGTGCAAAAAAGCCATAAGGTCGTTCAAGGTCACAGCAGTACTGTATGTTGGCGAAATGCTCACCAGCGGGACTGTCTAGAAGTCCAGGCGGCATGCTCCCTATAGCAGTAGTGGGGCTCGTCGAGCTATACCAATTTATCATGACCGGGCCATTCATCGCAAGGGGTCGGCAAAACAATGACTGGCGCGAATGACCCATGCCATCTTGTCTGTGGGGGCTTTGCGTGGGTATGGGTCCCGCAGGATAACGGATGTCCAGCCCAGCTTGGCGTATCGGGCATTGGTCATAATATCTCCGGGGGGATTCTGCCTGCTGCAGGTTCGTATAGTGTTGCATATTCTCTTTGTGGCTGTAGATGATCTTCGACCAGGAGTTGAGAAAGACGGTGCACGTACAACAAGCTATCAAACGCGCAACAAAAGTCGCTATTGGGACTACGACACCTGCGCCCAGAACAGATACGAAAACTCTACCAGGCATGTGTAACGCCAGTAGTAGACTATGCATCAACGGTCTGGCACGACTCACTACGAGACAAAACCCACCTTCGACATCTGAACACTGTACAAAGGACCTCGCTGATCCGGGATTCTGTCGGCATTTAGAACAGTGTTAGGTTTTGAATGGTTTTGAAGATGTACCGTAAATTACCGGACCATCATAATAGCGGGAAACATGTTTATTACCTGTCAGGCCTAGAAGCTGCCACCTCGGTGCCCCACATTCACTTTCCCGCCCCCACCCGGGGTTTCTTGGTTGGCACTTCCACTGGCGGTGCAACGAACCATGGCTCCCAACCTAGCCAAGTCTACTCTCGTGTTGATTCATGATATGATTGCCAGTAATGAACTAACTACCTCGCAGATGGCGAAAGCTGCAGGCTGCAGCAAGCGCGCCATTATCAGGATCCGGTCTAACCTGCGACTATTTGGTAGTGTCAAAGCCCCTCCTATCAAACCTGGACGGCCACGGAGCATCACTCCGATTATGCTGGAAGCCCTGTGCGACCATCTACTCGAAAAGCCGGATCTATACCTTCATGAGATGGAGCTCTTCTTTCTTGATGAATTCGAAGTATCTGTACCAAAGTCCACGATCAGCGATGCCCTGCATCGCAAAGGGTGTTCCAAGAAGACAGCTCGACAGAAAGCGAAAGAGCGTAACCCAGATTTACAGAATTTCCGGAATTCGGTGTCACACGACCGTGACTCTTTCATTGTTCCGCGAACCCTACTACTAACTAGTAAGCACCAAGATGCACTAAACTCCACTTGGAAGCCGATCTACATAGCATTATCCGGTTTTTTACAAATACAGATATTTACACAGTTCAGATACATACCATGAGGCTCTCGTATTGGAGAGCGTATTGGAGAATCGCTGGAAGCTTCCCGAGAAAAGTCTCATCCTTGTTATGTGTCCGCTACTTACCGTCTATCAACACATCACCGTTCACCGTTCACAGTTTATTATATTTCCAACAAGCTTCCAATGCACCACCCATCAGACGATATACCATGGCATCTAGTTGCCTCGAATCTTCACTGGGCCCCGGGTGCGCTCGCACCGCAAGTTCGCGCCCTAAATCTTCCTCAGCTTCCCGGCAAACTGAAGGACAAAAAGGGCTGCGCGTGCGGTGCCACTAACTTGCACCCAAATTCTCCTGCGCCTAAATCTTTTGATCGAGATGGATTCACTGAGGCCTTTGCAAAGGCCGTGTCTGATGCTTCGAAACGCAAGCGAGCCCAGTACCCGGAGAAGTACAGTTCCCCCAATCCCAGTGATGTTCTCTTGGGGGATGAGCTCTTTGAAAAAGTCGATTCACTCTTGTCCCGGAGAATAAAAGGCGGGCCTAGACTTCCATTTGAGCAAAGAACTGCTTCCGCATTCCTTCACCCTTGGGAGTGTGATGATTATTGCAATTTCTTGAGTACCACCGAGATCGGATTCCTCAATCTGGAGGTAGTGAAGATGCTACTCATGCTAGGCGAACTAGGCCCAATTCTTCAGGCATGTGCTCACCCAGACGAGGGACTTTCAGGGTGGTACTCTGCTGCCGCCTGTGATTGCATGGTAAGTCCAGTCCCGATTTGATTGTTCCAGACGACATTACCAAAACTTATTGCAGGCGAGTCCCTTTAATCTCGGGTGGGATAGGGCCCTATTTAGGGCTCTGGAAGCCTATATTGCACTCAACGTCGCCCTTTGTTTCCCGCAAATCTATGACCCGACAGCGGGTCGAACTGATGAAACCGACTATCGCCATACAGCATTCTATCAGTCGATGCTGAGAAGAGTCACAGAGTCACATTTTTTCCTTCCGAAGCAACGCCCTATCCACACCAGCAGTTTTTTGGAATTCCCCGGGACCACTTTTGTGAAGAATCTGACATGTCTAGTAAGATTGATCAGATGCACTGGCTCCATCGCACAGACATCATCAAACGCGCCGGTCACTATGGTCTACTCTCATTTGATGAGTTCCTCAACTTAGAAGGTCCATTGGATGATCAATATCAGCCATTGGAATCTGATGTTGAATCAGTGAAACAAGAACTCCTTTCTAAAAGCCTTCCCCTCGACATTGTGCTTATGATCATGGATTTTGCTGATTATAAAGCCAAGAGGGTTCTCGAGGTCCCGCATGATCCCCTTCACCCTGCCAACAGAGCCGAACTGGACCATTATCTTGATCAATGCTGGCAAATAATCATTGGCTGTAACATCATGAACAACGAATTTGGTGGGGATACGATTGACTGGCAAGATCTAGTCCATAGTGAAGTGAGGACCCTTTTTTACAGACCAGAAAGACCCTATTACCTTGTTGATTCGATAACGGGAATGAAATGTACTGGTATATAGACCATATTCAAAAGCTTTGTCATTATTTTGAACGAAGGCTACTAGTATTAGTGTTCCTTGAAAATTTGTTTACTACTATCTTTCAATGCTCCTCTGTCCATGATTTGGAGCGGAAAGAAAACAAAATATTATACTTTGCTCTGAGTTGTATGTATTAATGGGTTTCTTAGCATTTGCGTCCCCATATCTCTTTCAGATAGCCGAGAATTGGGGACCAGAAAAATCAGTTTCCTCCACGTATGCAACTCTGGAAAGCTTTACTAGCCCGAAAAGTCCTGGCCATTTCCTTATTATTTACTTCATCACTGCTAAGCATGTCACGAATCGCGAATCATGAGAGTAGAATAGGCTAGGCCGTAAGCCATAGTCTGTTGCATGGCCAGTAGGTTTTCTAAAGAAAACCCGTCCTTTCCGCCCGCTCCTCACCAGAGAGGGCACTCATTCAGCGGGACATCCACGCTCAGTGGGAACAAGAATGGAAATTATCCACCAAAGGTGGTCAATTACGAAAGGTCGATAACACCCTGCCAGCAAGCTACACTAGGAGGCTATACGAGAACTTGCCAAGGACCCGCGCGTACAACAGGCTATCCAGCTACCGCAAAAAAATTGCCTACAGCGACGATGACCGGTGTGCATGCGGCGCACAGGAAACAGTCACCCATATCCTGGTGGACTGCCCACATCTGAGAGGAACTCCGAAGAGAGTCAAGGAGAGATGTTGGAGACGCATTCAAGAGTGTATTGAGTCTGCTGGGAGGCTCAAATCAAGGTGAGAAAGGTAAACCAGACACCGTCTCGCGAGCCAGGACGGTCCAAGCCGTGCTGGACTTCGCCGAGGCGTCACATCGGTTTCGCAGTCGTGCGCCACGAGGGCAGCCTAACAATGGGAACGGCAATTAGGCTACGGCAGGCCTTGACTAGACTCTAGGTTCGTTTTCATGTACGTACACGGAGATAAGTAGTGGAGGAATCTTGGAGATAAATTATGATTGCTTGATGCAATTTGAAGAATAATTTCACCCGGGAATACAAAGAAATTATCTTGAAACGTAGCCTTTGTCGAAGTCTAGTAAAATTAATGGATTTAGTACACAGGTTGACTGAACAATGGACTTGCGGATTAGATGATTGCATAACATGATGACAACGGATGAAAATATTCCCATTTTCACTTTACAGACTCTATTCTGCTATACTAATAAAACGCATCGATCTGCCATCCAAAGTTTTATAATTTCTTTAGTACGTTTAATGAGGATAATCTTCCCATATACTAATCTCCCGGCTATTCACTATGCCTAAGGAAGCCCGACCAGGCTGCCTGCGTAATTACCAGGTCCTAGCCATTACGGGTAGTAGGAGGTAGGTGAAAGAACACTTATAAGTGGTAGAAGAACCTTCAAACAATAACGTGTCTTAATTGAATCAAGCCTGCGAATCGAAGCCATATAAATCGCACATATCCCCTGAATCCCGAGTCATCTGCTACTAGTTTTTGTAGTTGACCTACGTATCCTCCGTCACTAGACTTAGTACATACCTTGCACACTCATCCCCACATGAATCGGACATTCTCAGGCCCAAACCCGTACCATCCTCACTCACGGAACCCTCAAACCAGTAGTCGTGTGAACCGTTTTTATCAATTCCCCTAGTTGCGAAGGTGCGATCACCTGAATCTATCGCGTTGTAGAGGAAGCTCAATGGCACCTTTTCTTTACCAACGGGCGCGGTCCAAGTTGTCAGGACATGAAGCGGTGCTCCCTCCCTCCGACCTTTAGGAAAAACTGCCCAGATGACTTCATTGCGCCCAAAGATGCCGGTCTCATATTTGCCAGAATAGACAATGGACGGGCCGCAGCAGCAGGAGTCTGACCGTTTGCGTTTGTTATTTCCGCCCAGCTCCTCAAGAAGTTTTAGGGATGGCGAAAAAAAGTAATCTCCGCCATTGGACTGGATGAAGGGGAGGAAGCTGGTCGTGGTATTCTGACCCTTACCGTCGACAAGGCTCGTGGTCAGGCGTTTGTGTTTTTCCCTTTGGGGCTTCTTGACAAGTTGGCCCACGATAGCATCTTGTCCAGGGTTGGTACCACCAGTATACTCGGTCTTGTCGGCTGGGAAAGTATCCAAATTGATCCAGCCTTGGGAGAATAGTCAGTGGATTGGTCCATATCATCGATGTGAAGTGACTTACTTCTTTTCAGAAACTGAAAGCCGTTACCAATACTGGATTGGTAGCATGTGAACATGAGACCTCGATCTTGCTCGGTATTGGTCTCGTTGATTCCGACTTCAGGCCCATATGGGATGCCGCGACGCATGATATCATTCATATCTCTATTGCTGACTATGCTTCGAGGCTTAGTCTTGCGCATGTGTGAAGCAAATGGACAATTCTTGTGATCGTTAACGTCATAGTTGAATTCGTTCATCCTTGCATCTTTCGGACAGTCTGCATTGGGATGCAGTTCAACAGGGGCCCCTATCATTCGTCTCAGTGTCTTGAAATGCAAATCACACTACAAACGTGTAACTTACCACTTTTCCAACGTCCCACCAGCCGTGCTCCTAACTGGTCTTCAGTAAAGTTAAGTTTAGGAGCTTCGGTTTCCAGGTATCTACAGTTATAGCGGTCAGATCATTTTCCGAAAGATGTGAGCACAAAAGTGGCTTACCTGTTGAATTCTGGTACATATTGTTTGAGTTTGCGGATGACGAGGTAGCTGCCGTCCTTGGCCCAGGGTGGGTGCTGAGATTTTGGCTCATTGTTCATATCACCATCGTGTCCGATGATAATGCGGCTATTGTTTTTTAGTCAATGAGTGACTGTTTTCAAGTCCATAAAATAACTTACCCCGGACGGCACATATATTGGTAATTGCCATCTCCCTTCTCGCATTTCTTATCAAAGCCCGTCAACCGAGGCTGCGAAATGGCATCCAGGAAACCGAAGCTGTGATGGTTTTAGGTTGAGGTTTTCCAGTGCAGAGAACTCGAAGACTTACTGCTCATGCTTTGCGTTCTCCTCGGGTCGTTCTCTCCCATCAAGAGTAATGATGTGCTTGATTCCTTGCGTCGAGCTGAAGTACTTCTCAGCCAGCTCCTTCGTGGTCTTTCTGACCTTCGTTTCAGTCCCGCACACCAACACCACGCCATCAACGCCACCATTTTTCGCTTTGAATTCATCCATCCATTCCTCAATTTTATCTCTGCCCTCGTTTACCATGTCAGCCTCCATACCCTTGCGAAATGGATCATCCACGAAGCGGTCCTTGTTTTTGTCCAGCTACAACGAAAGCGAAGGTTTAGCACTGGCTCGCAGCCATAAAGATCATTATGATTACTTACCTTTTGCATTCCCTTGAAGCTGAACGCAATATTTACTGCAGCTAGCTCGTGCAAAGTACCCGGCTGCGAGGTTTTAACCTCGTGTATCTCCTTCCTGTGGCCTAGCGCATCTGCGGAAGTCGTAATGACTTTATCATCCAGCAGCTTTCCGAGACTAAGCTTGAAGGCACTGGCATCAGTGATCTGAAAGAACCAAAAAATTTGGTACTTTTTTGTCAGACCAGGCCTATTGCAGGTCAGTATGAAAGCTAGCAGTGATATGGAGAGAAAAGCTCACCAGATATCGCCTTGGATGTTATCAAGATTGGGAGCTTCAGCTTCGGCCATTTTGCAATAGTGAATTTGTGGTGTAGGTCCAAAGAATGGGAAATACTAGATGCGGAAGAGGGGATTAAATAAATCACAATTTATGCTGCCTCGGGCCTCGCTTTATATATTGATGTGAAGTACGTGCCGCAACTTCCGCCGAATGGCACCCCACATGTCTACAACAGTCAAATCATACTTTTCGTCTACGACATAGATGATCCGATGTAACTGTAATTTTGGCCCCTTTATTACCTACATTGGGATAGGCACTGCTTGCGGAAGGTCTTAACACTGATGGTACATGGTAGATCTTCTACATCTTCTCATAGTGGTATGTGGTGAGTATATCCAGGGGCTCAGAGATGTCAACCTGGTGATTTGGTAATCCAGACTATGAAAATAAAGAACGGGCAAATGACCAAGGTGGCCTTTTACTGGAACAAACTGTTGATAGTGACGAGATTGGTGTTTGACGGATTACTTGGTCACAAAATTCGCATTCCCTTGGACATAGACGTGGCTGAAGAACATAGGTATTCCGGATTCCGTGGCTCTTAGCGATGCTGCAATACTATGCTATACATTCAAAGTCAGGGGATCATAAGAATTCTTGGTACGTTTCGATGAGCGGAAGGAGCTTGTCGTTGGTCTTGCCTTGTCAGTGAATACGACGCAGTAGTATACTTACCCATTTTCGTCAATGATTGCACATACGGCCATGGTCCAACTGCAGTCAAATGCTGGGAGCGTTACAATGAGATAGCCCCACAGTTGCCCTTACTACCTCAATTTTAGGTTTGCGGCTGGCGAGGAATTTCAAATCATTTGAATTCCGTAGGTCGACGATTCGACACTGACATGTCGACCAGGGCGCTGAAAAGAAAAAATAGAAAAGTTACGGCGCAGCATGTCCCACTGTTCATGGTTAGATCTGCATGGCTCTGACTGGGTGATCTTCAATTCCAGACTGTTGCATAGTATGACCTGATGCTGTAGCTAACATTCCTGTTGCAGTTGTACTGTACTGGTCATCACAGCAAGGGCTCCTCCGTGTTCTTTTACACAACAATTGCGTAAGCATGCCGAGGAAGACAGTAAATTGTACTTCCGGAGGTACAGAATATGACGGGAAGTACCATTCATATACCCTTTTTAGACTCAATTGATCCGTATGCTTTTATCCTATCGAGCAATACCATTTAGGGTAGTCGGTCTAGGAGATGACGGCTAGGGATGAATAGGGTTGCGGTGGGTTGTGGGGCCAGCACTGACGGGCTCGGACACGGCCCGTCAAGGTTACCACTAAGGCTTTACATCCCCCCTAACTTGTCCTAGTCCACATTCCACTCTTACCATCTAGCATGCCGCAATAGGCCACTCAAATCTTTCAGGAAGCTCGGATGCAGAACACACTCCTGTACTTCCTACTATTAATATGATCAACAATTTGATCCTCAACTTCCGGCTCACCCCCAACATAACTAAAGTCAGTATTTATGTCGCGCTCCTTGATGAATGGTTGATATAGGAGAAATGGCATTCAACAACATTCTGCACCCTGCTGAAGGGATAGACTAGAAGTTTGTTATTTGCCCACATCCGCGGAGAAGGATGTTCCTGAGCCGATTCATCCCAGATGTATCTTGACATGGATCGAAGGCTTTGTCCTTTGTTACACGAGCCATGCCTGTCTCGTTCCCCGGCCAAGTCTGGCATGCTGTGACGAAAATATTGCTGGGCTCGAGGGTACATACCATAATGGTGACTTTAAAAGCATCGCAATCTGCAATGCATGAAGTTGCGACTGTCCCTATACCTACAAGTTTTTTCTGTTTGAGTTCATGCCTGCCTTTTGCGACCAGAATACCGTTACTCCACTGTCAATATGAAATCTCGATGGTATACAGGAGCTCTCTTGCTGGGGACAGCGAGGGCGAGAGACATCAAGCATCTCGAGTCTCTGTATCGCGAAGGAACGACACCCGACACCGCTGTTATTGGTGGGAGAGAAGTTGCGACTTTGTCGCAACCTCTGCCGCAAGGCCAGCCTATTGACTCATCTGGATGGAAGCTTCAATGTACCACGATTATGAGTGGTCACGACTGTGATCAAACAATCGATAATTCGACCGACACATTCTGGCAGAGTGCGGCCAGCAGTGACGCCCAAAATATCACTGTTAACTTGGGACAAGAACGGACCGTGAATGGGTTGACAATGGTTCCCAGGCGAGATAATGAGGAGAATCTCATCTTAGAGCATCAAATCCTCCTCAGTACTGATGGTGAAAACTGGAGTGAGGTCTCATATGGAACCTGGTGGAAGGACGACGCCATGAAGCTCTCGGCGTTTCAGCCTAGAAAAGCCAACTACCTGCGTCTGTCTGCTGCTGCGGAGAATGGTATTGCCATTGCGGATCTGCAGATCTATGAAACCGAATTCATTCCTCCAAACCCTGCCTTGGGTGCTTGGGGGCCAACAATTGATTTGCCCCTGGTTCCCGTCGCTGGAGCCGTTGATCCAATCTCTGGCGCAGTGGTGACATGGTCCGCCTGGGGACACGAAATCTTCACTGGCAGTCCTGGTGGCGAGACACAGACTGCCACTTGGCACCCAAAGGATCACTCTGTAACTCGGAGAGTTGTCGAAAATACGCAACACGACATGTTCTGTCCTGGTATCTCGACCGACCAGAACGGTAAGATCGTCGTCACTGGCGGAACAGATCAAAGTCGGACCAGTATTTACGACCCTACCGTTGCTCGTTGGTTCAAAGCAGCGGCCATGAATATCGATCGTGGCTACCAGGCAACGTCGACCCTATCGGATGGGCGCATCTTCGTCATTGGTGGTTCATTCAGCGGCGGGGTTGGTGGTGGTTCGGAGGGCGAGAGTGGCGCTGCGCGTGGCAAGGACGGCGAGGTCTACGATCCTGCAACCAATCAGTGGAGTAGAATCTATGGCGCGCAAGCATCAGCTATGCTTACCGACGACGTTCGCACCTACCGACAAGATAACCACGGCTGGATATTCGCCTGGACCAACGGCTCCGTTTTCCAAGCTGGCCCTAGCAAAGCGATGAACTGGTATGGTACATCAGGGAATGGCACCACCAATTCTGCTGGAAGCCGCACTGGCGATGAGGACGCCATGTGCGGAAATGCGGTCATGTACGACAACGGCAAGATTCTCACATTCGGTGGCTCTCCCTGGTATGAAGACAAACCTGCGACGACTAATGCTGCCATCATCACAATTGACCAGCCCGACAAGAATCCGTCTGTCAAAAAGGCAGGTAACGGGATGTTCTACAAGCGCACTTTCCATTCCTCTGTTGTTTTACCAGATGGCTCGGTGTTTGTTAATGGTGGCCAGGATGTCGGGCTTCCCTTCAATGAAAGTGGCGCCCATTTGACCCCAGAGCGATTCATTCCCGATGCCAATGGCGGCAAGTGGATTAAACAGCAAAAGAACAGCGTCGTCCGTGTCTACCACAGTCTCTCGTTGTTGCTTCAGGATGGCACAGTATTCACAGGTGGTGGTGGTTTGTGTGGAGATTGTGATGCCAATCATTTCGACGGTCAAATCTACACGCCCCCATACCTCCTGAAAGAAGACGGAACTCTGAAGACTGACCGTCCTGTTATCAAAAGCGTTTCACCAAACGAGGTCAAGGCTGGCGATACCGTCGAAGTCACCACTGGTGGTGATGTTGACGAAGGAGCGTCGATCATCCGTTATGGCTCGGCGACACACACGGTGAACACTGATCAGCGACGCATCGGTGTTAAGTTGACGAAGGATGGATCTAATAAATACAAGTTCCAGATTCCTGCGGAGGCAGGCATTGCCCAGCCTGGGTATTACATGCTTTTTGTTCTGAAGAACGGGGTTCCCAGTCATTCGGTGAATGTTCGAGTAGCGGCTTGAATGATATACAGTGAATTTAATGGCTAATGGTGTTGGGCGTGAGAGTGGTTGATGATTGGATGCATTTACTTCTTGATACATGTCTACTTCTCTTGACGCGTTGTTGAAAGATAGTGGCGCTCTTTTAATTCTATTTATAATAATCCCGCAATCGTCCGCTTTGAATGAAATAGTATTCGAAACTGTTGTTAAACAATATCATATACTTGAAGTCAAAATTATAACTTAGTACGGGACTCTTTATCATCTTTATCTTATCTAGGGCCTCTATATTCATTTCCATCTCCCATACCAGCGATACTTGGAAGGTTCATAATTGTATGCATTGCTTAGATGGCTCAGGTCCGGCTTATTCTTCTGCCTGGCTAAGCAAGCCGTGACAAATCTGCCCATGTGATAGCTTCAATGCCACGGCGTGAAAATTGTAGGTGAAAGCGAGATGAGGCAATATCCGTCAACGTGCCGGGATGGTTCTCCTCGAGCTTTATCCTGCGAGTCTCCATAATCTCCATGCGGAGTTTCTCAGCCGCAACATACGTCAGGCTGACTATTCTCACGACCGTTTCAAGAAAGCACCGGGCGAGCGCGGTCTTGCTCGTTTTGGGATAGAAAAGTGGCCTCCTCGAAGGATTCTGAAGCTCCCGTTCGTGGCTTCTGTCGTCTAAACAACATCCGGGGTTATCTAAATGGGCGGCTCGTGCAGGGTGGTCTAGTGGAGTAGCAGTGACAGTCAGTTGTGTCATATGGATGGCCTCTTCCAGATCCACAATGGGAAGCATTGTCTTGTACATGTTTAAATAACATCCGGGGTTATTTAAGTAGATGGCTCGGTCAGGATGGTCTAGCGCAACAGCCAGCCGTGCTATACGAATGGTCTCTTGGAGCACCATTATTGCTCCCGTTTTCAGAGTGTCTGTCGCTTAGATGCCTTTGGTTGCAGGTTTGCGAAGGCATTCATCATTGTCAATGTTGTCAAGAATAAGAACCATTTCCCTCTCTTGTCATCTTGGAACCAATTTTCGACCAATCCGCATATATCGACACGAGGGTTATGGAGACCGTGAGTTTGACCTGATCCACGATATCCTGGAAACTTTGTTTAGATCTAGCTGCATTACTTGCGTAAACCCAGAAACCCCATGATGACGATTTGGATCGGATATGATAGGAGTATTTGACAAACTGAGGGGGTGGTCAAATACCACTAGGATCCTTCGGGATAGGCTTATTCATCGTTCACTCAATTCTCCCTAGTGTGGTTTCATAACAAGCCACAGTTCGATTATAGAAACCCCGGAGATCGCTCAACCGATCTCAACAACCTTCAATCCATCATCTTATTCTATTGGGACATCTTCAGTACTAGCCAGTACATCAATTCCTCATCCTGACATTATTCATACTTGAAATCACGAGACCTGGGCGGTGACGGGCTACACCATACCTCCGTCACACACACCTTCTTCCTTTCCTTCTTCCTCAGTTAGCCAGATAGCTACGAATACAACGTTCGGCAAGCTGCACTCTGTTTAGCTCACTCCATCCAAACAATTCAATAGCGAGTTGCGATTTCCTTTAATCTATTAGTGGTAAATTACCCTTATAGGTACAACTTCGTACTAACCCAAGCCCACCGAAACCGACGAGCGCTACTCTCGATCTTGGGACCGAGCACTCTTCATGAAGGTGTTGAAGTACTTCTCGAGTAACAAAGTCTGGATCGCGCAAGAAGGGGATAGTTAATTTCGATGCTTAAGGAACTACTAAAGCAACGGTCAAATAGCCCTCCGACACCACCAAAAATCATTCTAGATCGGATTATCAAAGGCCACTATCGACCACTACATGACACAGCACTACTAGCGCAAGAAATCGCCAATCTTCTCGCAGCGAATGAGAAGAAACGCCAGAAACGCACTCGATCTAATCAGTGGATAGCACATAAAGGGGGCCTAACAGTTAAAGAGGGCTTACAGCTGGCCCAGCAGCAAAATCAGCAAGTAGAAGGTGGAAATGCCGTATCGCATGCGCAGAACGATCTGCCTATCCAGCCGGATCAGCCAGCCAGGAGGGCTCCGCCAAGGTGTAGTGGATGCAGAGAAATTGGCCACAGGATTAATTCATGTAAAAATCGCTATATTTAAACAAATTTATGCGTTTTGGTTGGAAGGCCTCCAATTAGAAAAGTCGAGTCGGGCAAAGTTGTCAGCTCGGCCGTGTTGTCAGCCCGACTGTGGATTACGTTAGTTAGGATTCAATATATCGACAAGCTAGATTTTCTAGCAGAATATCCTCAAGCACATAAAGATACCTTTAAAACAGAGATTATTCAGCAGTTTCACAGCAGCAGGTCTAGTTCCACTTGATCCTGAACGGGTACTTACACATGCTACAACAAATTCTTAAGCTCAGCACTGTATATCCATGTAGTGGGTAATGGGGCTGATCGGCTGGCTTGTGTGATCAGCTCCCGTGTGGGTCTCGTTATGTGAACGAATCCATAGAAAGTGGAGACCCTATCTCGGTTTCACTCGTATCCATTTCCAAAACCGGCGAAAGGATTCGGGCCCGTTTTGGGTCTAGCCGAAAGCCTAAAGCTGAAGCAATATGGCCAAACAGGCGGATCTAGTCTGCATTAAGAATTTTCATTAGAAAAGGGATCGCTTACGAAATTTGTATCTTTCAACCTTTCCCCTATAGCCAATATTTCGTGTGGCAATCCGTTACTCGAGTGACCAAGACGTCTGCACCTTGCGCAACTTCCACAATAAGCCCGTATTTTGTTTCCAATTCATCTTTATGCGAAAATCTCATAAGAAGTCTCGGCATGGTTGTGCGGAGTGCAAACGACGAAGAGTCAAGGTAGGGTCCCCTTCTTTGCCTAACCTAAGCATATTGCTAAAGCTACCTGTTAGTGTGATGAACTGCGACCTTCATGCACCAATTGTCGCAGAAGAACCTGCAACTGCAACTATAGCTCATCTGACTCGTATATGTGGCTGAGCGCGGATTCTTCTCAAAATAGTTCAAGGTCCAGATTCGGTTTTCCTCAGGAATTGATGAATCTATTTTCAAGACTTGCGACCCCAAGAGGGCCAATACAATGCAGTGAGAGCGGATCTCCTGTGTTCGATCCGACGCCCCTCAACCTGGGGAACCTTGAGTTGATGATTTTGTGGTCGAGCAAAACACACTTGTCTTTCACCCGAGACGAAAAAACTCAGAGAGTCTGGCAGGTTCTGGTTCCTCAAGAAGCACTGTCTCACATATTCCTCATGCATGGGCTGTTAGCCACATCTGCGCTTGAAGCGGCAAGCTCTAGCGACCGCATTTCTCGAGTAAATTACATAAATACAGCAGTGATGCACCAGAATGAGGCTTTGATTGGGTTCCAAGGAATTTTGGGCCAAATCAACTGTCAGAATGCCAAAGCCATTTTCGCCTTTGCCAGCATTCTCGTTGTCTATTCATTTGGATTCTTCCACATTGAGAACCCTGCTGGAACCGCGATTGCCATGGAAGACCTCTACCAGGTTCTTATGCTCTGTCGTGGCGTGCAGCAAATTATAACTCGCTCTGAATCTTCGATACAAGGTAGCAGCTTCAGTCCAGTTCTTGACTTCAGTCCTGTGGATTATCCTGTCCCTTTGCCTGGGAGTGTCCAATTTGCCGTACACCAACTCCGCGAAGCGAACGCTTCTTACGGTGCGCGACGCGCGAGCCATGACACTCCCCTTTACCAGGTGGCAATAGCCATCCTCGAGGAGGCTTTGAATGCATCTTACCAGGACCGCATTGCTCAAAATGTTGTCAGCCGCTGGGCGATAACGCTTCCTCAACCATTTCTAGAGCGGTTGAACGAACGGGAACCAATGGCGCTGGTAATACTAGGATTTTTTTGTGTAGTACTACACCGTTTAAAGGGGATTTGGTATTTTCGAGGATGGGGTATATCAGTTATGAAACTGGTATGGCAAACAATACCACTGCAATGGAAGAACCTTCTGCATTGGCCCGCGGTGGAAGTCCTCGGGGAGGCTCCAGAAGTGCATCAACCACAATTACCTTGACGTGCAAATAGAAGAGAAGATGACGCTTTAAGCATCGCCTCAATAATAGAATACAGAGGCACAGAAATTCATGATACGAAAGCAATGCATACAAGGCATACAAGTATTTACAGGCGACGTACTCTCAAATCCCCCAATAGTTCACATCATAAGCCCACGCCTTACAATGGGAGTTGAATCTGCCCCAACCAAAGAGGCCTTATCAGATTTTATCAACACAGTGATGGTGTATATCAACTATTGTAAAGAAAGAGGTGCTTGGTTTAACTTTTTTGTCATAAGTGTGACGGGTGGGCGACATCTTGCTGTCATGAGTTCCGCGTAATTACAGTCCACAATGACCTATTCTGCAAGTCTGTAAATAGCTAGTAGAATGAGAATAAGCCTGTCAAAGCTGTCAGTGCATAACTAGTCTTGAAGATGCTATTTGTCACTGATTGGACGTCTTTGAAATCCCCCACCGCGAGCTTTGGCTCAAGAAATACGCAGATAGAGCCGGATTGGAACGGTGGGCCTCTCTCTGCTTCCTTTTTTCAAGCCATTCTGTTCAAACCAGTGAGTTTGAGCTGGCCTCCTTCTGAACCAATAATCATGGGTTCGGAGCACGCATTAGCGTCGAAGAAGAGATTGCCAGAACATGACCCTTGCTACCGAGATACTGGAGAGTTTTATAAGAGGAGGGAAAATCCTCTTGGTCTCTTTGCTGCACCTCTGCCCTTTGGCGCAAAAAGGTTGTTTGGAGGCAACTAGACGCTGAAGGCCCTCGAAACAGCAAAAGACAAGCTTCTTATTGCTATGCAAAGTCAGATGAGTTTCATGGTGGTGTCTTTGCAAATTGCACTACAATTGCACATCAGAGCATACTTGAGTTCTTTGCTGCTAAATAACGAAAATTGACCGCTAGATACCGACGAAGACTTGATGGTTAACTTCAGCCTTATAAACGACGACAATCTAATGCACAATTACAGTGAAGGTCACCTGAGCATGTAACTACGTTTACAGAGCTTGAAGAGAGCTGCATGCTTGAGAATTCCAGCAGTCCTCCACTAGCCAGTGTGGTGAGTTTACTAAATACTTGAGAGTGGTGAGTTCAATCTGTATAATACTGATAGAGCTCAAAGGTATCGTTCGGACTCCAGCCTGAACCTCCTGGAAAGATCATCAACATTAGTTTCAGTTCTGGCGAGCCTAGAAAGTGATATCCTTGCTATCCCTGCCATCGGTGCAAGTGTTGAACGGCTATTTAGCTCCGCATGAGATATCTGTTATTTTGTCCAGGCAGGTTGGATCCCACAACCATCGAGGATCTTATAATAGTTATATATGCATATCAAATTTCGAATTTGACGAATAGCATCATGTGATGCTTAACGAATACCTCTCAAAAGATGAAATCCAGGTCGGCAGTGAGGAAAAGTTATCGCATCGGATCGCTTTGATCCGATCAGTGGCTACAAAGAGAATGGTCAACAGCTGAAGGTCAGATTACTCAGAAGCCATTACCTTGCCCAAGCGAACTTGCTATTGGTAAACACCTAAGAATATACTGTCGAGTCAGAAAGAATAGGGCAAGTTGCCGAATGATGTCGATCAGAATAATGATGTTCTTTCTATAAGCCAGCTATGCATATGACAGAGTTCGGAAAGAGACCAGACTTCATGAAAAGATACGGAGGTTAATGTAACATAGTGGCAGACGGAACTATTGGAATTAATCTATAAGAACCTAAAAAATTCATTGAATAAATGTCCATTCGCGTGGAAGTCCGATACCACTCAACTGTACATTCGTCAGACCGGAAGACACGATCAAAATCCCCCTTTGTATAGTGTTGATACCTTGAAGCTCACACTAATTGTTGCTCAGCATGTTCAGGTCTTAGACATGGTCGTTTCATCACTCGCCACTCCAGAAGTTTCCCAATCTAGCGATTGAGTCTTTTTTGCATTTGCTGCTGACCTCAGAGTAGATCTTCATATGTAACTCGGGGTGTTTCGTGAATCTCCTAGAGGATCTTTTGACCATCATCTTCATTAAGGATCTTTGTGTCAAGGAATTTTGAGCATATGCCTGAGGAAGCTGGTATTAGCCCTCATGGATGATAACAGAGCGTTGAAGAGCGGTGTACAACAGTATTTAATATCGAGTAGTGCGCGAAGGATACTCATTCTTCAAGCTTCAGCCTCTGTTATCGAACATACTGTTCGGTACAGCTTCTAGCCATTTCGTACCCTTAAAGGTCGACCTATACGCCTCTTATTGCTTTACCTAGTCCCGGCGTCATCGAACCTGACCGTGACCTTTACACTTTGGACATCCAGATCGCTTCAAAGACTGCTCTTTTTGCCGAACCCTTGATCGTAGGCATGTCATTTTGGTATTTGAGAGTGGTAGATCAGGGACTTTCTTATGGATTTTCCCGTAAGACCACCCAGCGATCTCTTTCAAAGTAGTGATCTGGGTACGTAGATTAGGGTCTAATTCACAATTCTGGCGACGTGGTGTGCTTATAGGTGTAGGATTAGGCGCCCTAGGAGATGTAGGGAGAGGTCCCTTAGGCACTGGGCGCTGTGGTAAAGCTCTCACACGAGGCATCGTGTGATGTAGAGAGGTGTAGAAAGAGACACGAGCTCAATACTATGTGTACTAGCCTATTTTAGGAAGGCGGAGATGGGAGCGGTAAATGGGGGTGGTCACAGACTTTTGCAGTGCCACACTGCCACTGTGAATGATCATTGTTTGCTTGTTCGTATCCAGAATTTTGGAATTATTTCGCCACAGACATCTCCAAAAATGGTAGGCGACGAGGCGCACTCTGCATACCCATCCTCCTCTCTTCAATGCCCTCCAACCGAGAAAACAGCTAAATCGAGCCTCGCTTGCGATGATTAGTACCAGCTGGGGTCTTTTAAACGCAAATTCACAACCTACAGTCCTGATGCACAGATCTGGTTCAATAGGGGTCTGATCTGGATGTTCTCATTCAACCATGACGAAGCCGCCAGATGCTTGGAGAAGGCTGCCATTGCAGACCCTTCGTGTGCTATGGCGTATTGGGGACCCAGGCAAAGTGGAGACAGAAACCAGACAAAAGGACTTCATCAAGTTAGTGCGTTTCAGGCAACACTTTCCGTTTTCTCGATTGGGCTGATCAAAGATCGCCCAATCTTTTGCAGCCTAGAGCCACCGTGTGGATAACCTCACCTGATAGACTTCACTAATATAGTCCGTTTTAATTAATAGATACGAATTCGAGATTCCTGGTTCGGAAAAGTGGGTCTAGTTCAGATGTGGACCCGCGGATCATCGCCCCCATCAAGAAAGGTTTACGAGGTGAAAACGAGATTGGTCTCTATTCAATCAGAATATGACCACGGCTTACACCATCAAAATATGGATCAAGAAACCATGATTATTAAAATAATTTGGAAATTATAAATATTTCTATCTCGCTGCTTTCTTTTCCCACGTCTCAGCTCTCTTTTTTCTCGACGTCGTACAACAACATGCTTCCAACTCTTCGTCTATCCTTTCTGGCCGTCTTGGCTACATGCGCCTCATCATTCGCTCGGCCATCCATTTTCGCGCGTGACACCAGCTTGTCTGAAGCTCTCGAAACATTTGAATGCCGATGCGGAACTTCGGAGTTTCTCTCACTTCCACATGCCAATATCACGGCCTGGGAAAAGGCTAAGCAATGCTCCAGCTACAGTAAGAAGGCGCCTTCTGCAAGCATATCATAATTCCACACCATAAAACTCATTTGGCTGGTACCGGCAGAATTGATTGACGCTCGTGGAACCGCTGAACCGCAGGGTGTCTCTACAGTGTTCTATCCCCTGATCGAGAACATCCTTGCCAACATCAGTGGTGGTGTCAGTCTGCCCGTTGAGTATCCAGCGGGACCTGCCCAGAACACGACCGTTGGCGAGGATTTTGTACTGAACACTATCAACGAAGGTCTTTATCACTGCCCTGGTCAGAAATATGCTCTTTTTGGCTACTCCCAAGGCGCTACGTTGATGCTCAGAGTCCTCAACCAACTTGATCGCAATGCCTTGAGCTTGGTAAAATCGGTTATCCTTGTCGGCAACCCGTACCGCACTCCTGGGAAATTTTCCAGTGTCAATGAGACAGGCCAAAGAGATCACAGCAACACCGTTGGCATGTTTACACATTCTGCTCTTGCTGCAAACACAAACGCTACGATTCCCCATCTCTCGAGTGACATCGACCGGAGTGGCAAAGTGTTGGATTATTGTCTTGCTGTGAGTATCTACTTTTTTAATCAGTTAAGTCATTTGACTAATTATGGTTCAAAAGGGTGATGGCGTATGCTCTTACAACCCCGCATGCTCTTGCCAGATTCCGGCTGGCCATCTTTCCTACGGACTAGTCGATACTGTGCAAACCACTGCCTTTGAACACGTTGTTTCTCGGATCAGCGAAGGTGGCTATAATTAACGTTTCAGGTATACAGACCAGCTCTCTCGAGCTCTTTCGCATGTTTCCGTTAGCTGTGTTGCGAAGTCCACAGGCCACGCAAACCTCTATGGCTCATGTCTGGCTCTCGTTTTCCCTGTTTCTATTTCCTTTCCTGTGCTTTTACTTCTATATATGGAGCAAACTGCTTTGTTTTTTTTTTTTTGTCTCGCGGAAAAATTATAGTTTCTATCGTCATGGTCATCATACGGATGCCAGTCAAGAAGTTTTAGCTATTTAATAGTGCCGTTTACTATTTATGAATGAGTCGAGCATAGAGGAATAACCAACTATGATTACCAAGCTGCTGGTGTAGGTATATATATTGTAGTGGGGAGACCCCCTCCCCCTACTACATGGGTGCCATCCAGACTATGTGACATAGCCGGCAGTATACAGTGGCCGGATAGCTAGTTCTAGAATACACCTTCTTACACCTCCCCAACCTGACCCCTACATTTGGGCTTCTCGCTGTTTCCTGATTGCTACGCGTGTGCTTTGTGGTGGTTTTTCTGCTGAATCGACCCGCACGTCTCAGCGCGTGCAGCCATCGAGCGTTCCCCTCTTCAATATTTAAAACATAACCTTCTTTGTTTAAAACATATTAAGTTCAACAAACCCCCCACTGATTCTTTAATTTATTTTATCCTTTTTTCTGTCTATTTCTGCTAGTACTGAAGTGTCAGAGTGGTAGGCCAGAGGAGTTCTGACCGCGGGGGGGCGGTGTAATTAAGCAGAACTATTCAGCAGAAAAACAGGCAAAAGGCTTTTCAGCAAGAAAGCCTGATCGAGAGCTTACACCTGAGAGTTTAAACTTTTTTGAGCTGGCTCAGGGGCCAAAGGGCAGGAATTGAGCTGGGAATGGGTTTGCTTGGGTTTTTAATGGGTTGTCAATGGGCTCTGCTGGGTTTAGTGGGTTTAGACCTGGGCAAGGCCCATGGGCAGATGGACAAAAAGTCCGGCCCAAGGCCCAAACATGGCCCGACCCAAATGGCCGTACCCAGGTCTTGACGTTCGGGATCCAAACATCCAAACCAGCACGACCAGCACTGCCACATGCGCACACCTCATTGCCAATGGCGTTCGCGATTGAGTATATGAGCTCATCATCGAATGCGGCTGCTGTGAGAATAGGAAGTGTGAACGATATGGCATGACTGAAATCTCCAACTTCGTTGAAGTTGGTTCCCAGACCCGATGCAACACCGTGTATCGCCTCGTTCCAGAGCTGTGAAGTTATGTTAGTACTGGCATAACAACCACGTACCATATGGCACCTGATTACGAAAGGTGGGGTGTTGAGGCGCTCTATGGCTGGTATGTAGAAAATTGATGAGTTGACCTTTTCCTCGAGGGTCAGCTCACCGACCAGCGCAGCAGCACGTTCGTAGGGCGCTGTGAAAACGTCTGTTAATATGTGATCTCCAAGCTGACCCCCTCGACACTCACACTTGCTCGTATCGCACATTCCATTTAGACTCAAAGGCGGAACTGTACAGTCGGGCAGGCTTCGAATAGCCCAGCTACCGGAAGCAAATGGGAAAAGGTACTCCTGCAGATCAGATGCCACAGGCGGTAACAGTACATTGCCAGTTGCCATTTCACATCCAAAGGTTTCCGCTGTGATATTCCATCATTTTGTCGGGGCATGTTGGCATTTATATCGTTCTCATGCAATCCTCAGCCATGGAACCACTACAACATGAGGGAACAATGAGTTTATGCTAAAGGGAGGTTTGAGGAGTTGTCCCTGCATGTTGTCGTAGCACCCGCAAACTCCTTCTAGTCGTTCCTTGTAATAACAGGTTAATATAATGTCTAATTAAGGCTGAGTGCAAGCATATCAGCTTTTGTACCCTTGTCGCCGCCGAATAGTCTGGCCGCCGACGTAAACATGAAGTTGCGTAACTATTTTAGACTAGCGTTTGGTTTCATGTCATACTTATTCAATACGACTAGGAGGTCTGAGGACTCTATTGGGAAAACTTCAACACTTGAATTAGCCAAATCAGTCTTGCATGGTTTGCTACTACTATTGATGGCCTCATCCATTTCAGTTCCCCTTCTCGATTATGAGCCCGGATGCTACTTGCCAATCGGACAAGTTACAATAGTACCTTGTTTGGGAAGGATGTGTATAAGCAGTTAGACCCTCTACTCGGAAGCAAGATATGCCAAACAATGTTACCCGTTTAGAGCCTCGGCTTGCTTCTTCCACTCATTGATGTGTCCGTCTCGGAAGTCGGGGGAACAGGCTACCGTGGGCTGGTAACAGTCAACGTTTCTGGCTAATATCTGCCGCTGTTGACGCTCCTCTTTCGTTTGCAGCATGTTTTCAGCATTTGCTTGCGAACTCTTTCCCCAGTAATCACTAGGGGCTATGACCAAGTCTTCCTCGGTTACGTTTTGAGTATAAGCTTCCATGCAATTGTGTAGCAGATATATCTAGGCCGCAGCTTATCATATTCGCCACCTTCTTCCCATGCAACCCATGGGAGAAAGTCAAGAGAATCGGACTACAGCTGGTCTGTGGCACAATCCGGGGCAGGACTAGGCGAGTACAAGGTGGCGGGTGTGCGACCGAAAATAACAGGTATAGGTACAAAAACCGAATTTCCGCGTAATTTGTACCTAACTGTAATAGTACCAATCCCCTTTAATAGATTGTAAAACAGATACAAGGGCATATAATTAGAATCCTGGAACGCCTGGAAGGTTCCACGCAAACGCAGCAAAAAGCACAAACAAAGCAACAGCCGAATTGGCAAAGTGTCAACTTCTGCCTTCTGCAGTTCGCAGTTGCTCTACTGCAGTGCTTGGTGCTTCCCGGAGGTCTATCTGGATCAAGGTGATAAGTCTTAACAGCAAGGTTTGGTTTCGGGAACCCCACCATTGCTTATCATGATGCTGCGGGTTCAAATCTTATTGGATAAACTGGCTAACGCCTCATAACATCTCGCAGGTCACCTTCGTCGGAGGATATTCACGATGACCAATAGCTTATATGAGGACAACGCTTCTCAACCCAGATGGTCGTATCATGTGATTAGGGTTTGAAACAGCGTCTCTATGTTTCCGATATGGAAGGCGAACCTGGGTCGGTCTGTATATGTAACTAAGCTGCATGGTACCGTCGAAACTGGAATCGCTTCGATATTATCCCTTCAGCGTCAAACTTGTAGACCAACTTGATGGATGGCAAACTGAATTTTGACGTCGCACCGAAAGCGGACTACACTAACATCGCCTATTTAATGGAGCCTTCCCGCCCCCCCCCCCCCCGGGCAGGAAGATATCGGAGTAGCCCTCTTTCCAAAGCTCTACAATCGAGTTCAAGATCCATTCTCATACCGCATCGTGGTCGCTTTCCAAGACTGGAGGTAATGATGCGTTACCAAGCATGTTGTCAGAGTGCTCATCACCAAGCCCACCATGACATGGACTCGTGTCAGCAACATCACAATAACTTGCAGCCGCTACGAAGACTCCACGGCCATTGCGACCACGGACAAGTACATCACCCCTGCGAGTTAAATCCTCAGGCAACACATCATACAAAGAGCACGGAGAAAAGCCACAATGAATGTTCCGAATGTTCCAAATGTCAACAACAGAATATCGACTGTGCTTGCAGCTACCGTGTCCAACAGGATCCATGCACCAGTCAGCCGCAAAACAGGTATGATTTCAGGTTCGGGCACCGAGGCGATAATATCCCGAGCAACCTGACGGAATGATCAGCCCAAAGCCGATTGAGACTCAACCCAAAGCAAACTCATCAGAGCGCTTCCACCACCACGAGCAATGTGCCTCGTGTGAGAACACCCAACACCGTCCAGTTCCAGTCCAGACCACTCCGAATCACCAACAGCATGAGACTCCCCAGTCTGATGTCAGCAAAGCACTTCTCTGTGGCATCCGCAAATGCCCAACCGCCCCAAAAAAGTCCCACTGCTGCCACGGAATCGAAGTCCACTTACACAACTACGCTTACGCGCAAACACCCAAACCAAGACGAGCAAGACACACATGCCCCCACCACAATCAAAAACATAATCATCTAGTACAGTGCTGCCACGAGGAATCAGTACCCTCCGAGTGTCTCAAATACACGAGAGCACCCTACCCACACTCCAGAAGAGATTCGCAACACCTAGACTTCCCGCATGGGCCTGAACGCATAGCCCCGAAAAACGCGACCAAGCATGATCACAGCCATTGTGGCTGTGTATGTCTTCAGCGATCTTTCCCATCGCAGCGCGGTGGGTATGCTTGGGTTTGGGGTCCGCCCTTGCCTATTTCTGCGGGGGAGTATAGATGTGGTTCGAAGATCCGGGGGTAGAGGATGGTCTGTTGCGTGTAGTCGTGAGTATTCGATTTTGGGTTATGTTATGAAATTATATGAAGAGTATAGCTGGATTGCAGTTCAATGATATAGTTACTGTCCATATCATTCATTTCTATACCCTCAGGTATGGTCTATCAGGCACGGTGGGGCAAGCCGAGTCGGGACCAGCCGATCGGGAACTGAAATTTCAAAGCCGAGTCGACATTGCGGATTCCGGGGAATGCTTTATCTTCATGACCTTATCATATCAACAATTTTGATTGTCTTATAGGGACGCGGTGCCTTTTCTGATTTCATATTCAATGTTAATGAACTGTTGGTACGTGACACATTTTCCAGTTTAAATCCACCAATTGGCATCCGCACGTCAACAGTTGTTGCGCGAAAGAAGGCCCGATGGCGTGACAGCCTCTTAACTCGACTTCTCCAGACAAAACCGCATCACAAGCCTCGGCCGAGAGAGCCCTGGCCACGTTGAAAAGATCGGAGGATCGTCGCTTCCGGCCCTCCATTACCATTATCAACCACAAGAGCACTGCTGTTCACGCCATGTTACCTGCAAAGAGCGTTGCGGTGATCGGTGCTGGTCCGTCAGGGGCTATTGCGGTCGATGCACTGGCGCAAGAGAATGCATTTGACACGATTCGTGTGTTCGAGAGACAGGAAAAGGCCGGAGGATGCTGGTTTGTTCTCCTCCGTCATCATTACTGGTCAATATGTCTAATCAGAGGGTAGGGTTTCCAGAGATGATCCGCCACCGCGGATAGTAGACTTTGAAGGACTTGCTGCGCGCACGGCAGATGCGCCGTTGAAAATTCCTGAGCAATTGCCATGCCGGACACCGGCGATATCGCAAGACCGCTTCACAGACTCGCCTGTTTACCCCGGGCTGGAGACTAATGTGGACGCGGGCGTCATGTCCTACTCCCAAGAGCCTATTCCAATGATCCGGTCCCAATGGTCTATTGATCGTCACGGACCGGAGACACCATTTCGACACCATGCGGTGATCCGGAAGTATATTGAGGATCTGTTTATTGAGAAGGGTCATCATGGCCTGGTTCAGTATAACACTACTGTTGAGCGCGCGGTCAAGGAGCCTAGTAGTCAGAAATGGGTTCTTACGATTCGGAGAAGAGAAGTGGTTGATGGCATCCCTTCAGATTATTGGTGGAGTGAGCAATTTGATGCTCTTGTCGTGGCCTCTGGTCATTATGCCGTGCCCTTTGTTCCAATGATCTCGGGTTTGGAAGAGTTCGCGGCACGATATCCTGGTAGCGTCGAGCATACCAAGCATTATAGAGGTCCAGGGAAGTACTGGGGCAAGGTGAGTTGCTGCCAAAGAATATCCAAGCCTACCTTTCTGGCAGGTATATTAATTCCCCGCAGAAAGTCATCACCGTCGGAGCCTCCGTCTCAGCCGCCGACACAGCCGTCAGCCTCATCGACACAGCACAATCACCCATCCACGCCGTCGTCCGCGGCCGCTACAACCCCTTCTTCGGCGACGAGGCCTTCAAGCACCCGAAGATCCAGCGCCGAGCACCAATCTCCCGCATCACGGCCGAAGACCGAACGGTGCATTTCGAAGACGGCACCTCGGAACCAGATATCGACAACATTCTACTTGGCACCGGCTTCACCTGGACACTCCCCTTCCTCCCCCAGGTTCCCACCCGAAGCAACCGCGTCCCCGATCTCTACCAGCACGTCTTCTACCGGCACGATCCCAGCCTCGTCTTCGTCGGAGCTGTATGTCTCACCGTATCCGAAACCTGCCCCTCAAATTGACACTAACACGCCCTACAGGTCGGCGCCGGACTCACATTCAAGATCTTCGAATGGCAAGCCGTCGCTGCCGCGCGCGTGCTGGCTGGACGAGCTACGCTGCCGTCCGATGCTGAGCAGGAGAAGTGGGAGCAGGAGCGGATCGCGCTGAAGGGCGATGGGCCGCCATTTTCGGCAGTCAACCCGGACTTTAAGGAGTACTTTGAAGAGATGCGGGCGCTGGCGGGCGAGCCCGCGGCTGGAGCACCAGGGCGGCGCCTGCCGGTGTTTGATCAGCGGTGGAAGGACGATTTTGATGCTGGACATGAGCGGCGCAAGGAGATGTGGAGGCGGGCGAATCGGGCGGCGATGGGGGTGCTGTAGTATACCCTGCCCAGACTAGTATATAGAGTTAAATAGTGCATAGTAGAGACGCACTGAGTGCGAAATAAAAACAACCATTCAGCTGATCTCAATTACAACATACTGATATTCGAGAGCTCTCTACTATGTATTCTTTCCTCAACTGTGCTACCCGATACTGCTCTGCTCCTCCGATCGGCGCCCCTTGCGCTCCCCTGCATCTCCACGCATCTCCTGCGGCGCCCATCACGCGACCGGCAAATCATCAGATCGCAGGCAATATCCGCCGGGAATCAATTCCCTCCTGCTTGCAAAATGGGTGCCATGCGTGGCTCAGGGGTGCCTGCTGAACTGGTCAGCGCAAATCAATAGCGCCTTGGCGTGCCTCCCCACCGAATGCGGCTTTAAGGCGCGGATCCCAATTCTCCCCTCGAGTTCTCCTCGTCGCGGCGTCGATACGCCTTTACCCTGCTACAGCAGCTGCAGAGGAGCCTTCACCCTCGATTTGGACGACGCCACCACCTCCTCTTCCTCCTCAGCTCCGTTCAACCTCAGGGTTCAGTCAGGGTCCAGTCAGGGTCCAGCCACCGACGAACGCACGAACGCACGAACACCTCCACCCGGCGCCCCTTCCGATCTCGCGAGACCTCCGTCCGCTCTTACACGGACACAAAATGAGTCCTCCGACCGCACCGGAACACTACACTCAACCAGCAGAATGCTACTACGCACGCAACAACGTCCCCTCCGTCCCCGGCGCGAAATTCGCGACCCTGGTCCCGCTCTACCAGGAAGCACACCCCAACCTCAACATGCAGGATGAACTAGAGGAGTGCTGCGATACCAATGTGTGGCTTTTCGAGGACCCGGAGCCATGCACGGCTGTTTGTGCGGCGCGGTCTGATGCGCAGGCGCAGACTGTGCAGTATTGTTTGAATGCGCGGGATGTGGATTATGGGGATGGGAGGATTCCTTCTGGGGCTGTTGGGACGAGGGTTTCTGGTGGGGCTTTGTGGTTGTCCTTTTTGTTTTGTGGGCTTGTTCTGTCGGGGGTTGCGTGGTAGGACCACCTGCAGGACGTGAAGTTGGTTTGGTTCGTGAGTTTTTGCATTAGAGATACCCATTTGTTTATTGCTGTGCGTGGAATCTTGTGATAGTATGTTGCTCTGTAATTTTATGTACGAGTTGGAATCGATTGTCCAAGTAGTTATATGCAATTTTCTCCGTTGCCATATTACTCTCCGGTGCTCTCACAATGGTTATATCTTGACCACGGGTAGATCTTTTATTCTTGCCTGGGGAGCTCGCTTCCTTGACATGAGTTGAGCCTGTCCGTTACTAAAGAGTTGTAGAATGCATTCAGGCGCTACGCCTTTTAGAATTTGTAGATTGGTAAGCTCAGGTACCACCTCGCTTTATACGTCAACTGGGCAAGTACATTCTTCCACTTGCAATTCTAAATGTGACATCTATTGGAATTGGCTCATCAAAAATCTGTTGGCCAGGGCCAGTGTTTATTATTCTCACTTTCAGTGAATGGGACGTATCAATGTCAGATTCGTCAATCGGATGAAAAGTAGAACATGGTGATTTAATAGACTATACCTTGATATTGATTTGGCCCCCTTTCGTCTTTTTCTCTTTCTCTCTCTCTCTCTACTAGACATACATCGATCCCACATATACCGTCTCTTAATCAGCGTGGTCTTCTTCTTCTCCCTAGATTTAGTTGGGACAATATAACAAAGCCATGTGTCTGAGGAATGTGGGGACCCCGCAGTACTATCTACCGACAGTTTAGTCAGGAGGGTTACACTCCCCCAAATTAGCCGCCCCTCATCCACCTGCCAACTCCACCCTGTCCATAAAATGACAGAAAATAATTGTCAGACCCAGCATCTGCCCTGACAGAATTTGGCACAGAGCATCTCCAGCCCCGCCGTCGCAGATTCTTCATTACCCTTCTCTCCTCTCTTCATCATCTCACCACAGAACAGCAACCCCGTCAGTACCACCCCGGGTCAACAAAATGAACTCCTTCCAAGACAAAGTCTACGTCGTCACAGGCCTAGGCGGCATCGGCCTAGCCGTCGCAAAACAACTCCACGCCGGCGGCGCCAGGCTCTCACTAGCAGACATCTCATCCAAAACGCTATCAACAGCCCTGCAAGAAATCACCGGATCCGAAAACACGCCTACCTCGAGAATAATGACAACAGTCGTAGACATCGGCTCCTCCGCCGCAGTCAACGACTGGATTGCGAGCACAGTCTCCCACTTCGGTCAGCTCGACGGCGCAGCGAACATGGCCGGCGCAATTGGGAAAAAGCACGGGATCGGCAAGTTCGTTGATCAGGAAGATGACGAGTGGGATATGCTGGTGCGGGTTAATCTTTCCGGCATGATGTATTGTTTGCGCGCAGAGTTGCGTGCTATCATGGCGTCTGTGCCGGGGGGAGGGGGAGTATTGTGAATGCGTCGAGTATTCAGGGGATTAGAGGGTTCCCGTTGCATGCTGCTTATTCGACGACGAAGCATGGGGTTGTTGGGTTGACGAGGTCGGTTGCTAAGGAGGTGGGGCCTGAGATTAGGGTTAATGCTGTTGCGCCGTGAGTTCATATCCTCCTCTCATGATACTACAAGGATTTGGAGTGCTGATTATGGAATAGTGGTTCGATTCAGACGCCGCTTCTTGATAGTGCGGCTGTTATCCAGGGCGGTCCGACTGTCCCTCCGTCTGTGATCCCGCGCGTTGGGACACCAGAAGAGGTGGCGCAGACTGTCGTTTTTTTGCTTAGTGATGCGGCTTCATACACGACTGGGCAGGTGTATAGTGTTGATGGAGGTTGGGATCCGTGAATGAGGGTTATGTCCGAAGGTGGGGATGAAATGTGCAGATTGCGATGAATCTATGAACAAATGAGGTATTTTGCTGTATACTACAGATCACGTTGCGATGTTGCATGGAATCAATGTGCCTGAATCAAAAGGCCCGCTAAAAGATGCAAGGGCTGAATAACAAAACGCCGACCATCATTCGATGCATCGCTAGAAATCAAATGGGAATCAATGCGAGGTAGGGATCTGCTATCACCATATGCACAGCCATAAACCTAGGACCATATAATCAATATCGACTCAGATCATCAATGAGGGAATACTTACATGTCAGGGTCGTCAGAAATAGCCAGCTGGGTACACCCAAGATGACTGCAGCACTGTCGCTCACCACCTCAGGCCATCCGTTTTCATACTTCAGGTAGTTCCAGCCTAGATGGGCATCCTGAAAGGAATTAGCATACCGCTCAGGGTTCTTGTCGAGGGAAAACTCACATTATCGTCAAAACCAATACTCGTGTTGAGATAGTGGTAGTAGAGGATATCCGGTGTCGAATCATTCCCGGGCAACACGCCCAATCCACCCGGAGCGTAAACAATGCCATGGTTCGACCCATACACCGTGGTACCACCGCCATCCAACAATTGATGGCCCTCCTTATCAACAAAAGGGCCCCGAACATTCGTCGCTCGTCCCACGCGGATGCTATACTCCTCTCCACGATTGGGGAATCCGCCGCGATCCGTGCCAAACTTGCAGCACTTGCCTTGGCTGAACCAGGTATAGTAATACCCGTCATGATAACTCATCCACGAGCCCTCCTGTGGTTTGACCTTTTCGTTCGGAATATAGCTCAATTGCACCGCATCCGGATTCTTGGGGCTTTGAATAGACAACAGATCATCCGACAGTGGAACCTGCCAAATATCATGCCAGAAACTCCCCCAATTCAAATAAGACTGGCCCGTCTCCTGATCCGTGATAAACGACGCATCAATGGCATTGGTGATGGTAAAGGGAAACATAGCCGACCCCTTCCCCTTTCCCGTCCGAATCACCGCCCCATGGTCCGTCCACGGACTGCCGTCCAACTTCGTCGTCGTCGCAACTCCAATCGCACTATCGCGCTTCCCATGTGTGCTGAGCGTGTAGTAGCAATAGAAGGTCCCGTTCTTGTAGACCGTCGTGGGCGCCCATGGCCGCGATCGGTTCCCGACATTGATCACGCTATCCTGGTCCAAGACGGTGCCGATCTTCTCCCAGGGCCCGCTGAGACTACTGGATTTGAAGATGGGGACGTGGTGGCCACCTTTGAGGAGGTAGTAGTAGCTCTCGTGCTGAATGATGTTGGGGTCGTGCGCGACGATGTGGCCCAGGTTGGGGTAGGGGAGTCGATCGGTGGTTTGATAGACTTGCGACAGAGCGGGGCCGAATTGTGTTTGCGATGCTGGGACTGCCCCCGCGCCGATCCATGTGATTGTGGCCAGCGCCAGGAGGAGCTTGCGCAGCATCGTGGTGTGTTGCGCAGTATGTATGAGAATTGAGAAAGCAATGGGCAAGCTTTCCAGTTAAAAATTCTCCGTTGCAATTGAAGTTTGCTGAATTGAGGCGTTAGGTTGCAGCGGAGTGTTTGTATGGCAGTCCACCCTAATCTGGAGGGTATCGGTGCTATCGGGTTGCACTGCGCATGCTGAGTTGGTCGAGAGGAAGCGAAAAGAAGACCAACCGATGGAAGAGGACGAAGAGCAGAATTAAAGAAGCACCAGCCGGCGCAAGGGCAGGGGAAAAAATAGAAAAAGCACCGCCCGCAGGGTCCGTCGATCGAGTCTAATCCAAAGCCAAGCGTTTTAGGCGGCCGCTCAACCGGGGCAAGTACAGTGGGGGTACTTGCCCTGCTAGTGGGGGCTGTGCCTGCCCCGAGGTACCCCCAAGTACACTGTGCTCTCAGGTACCCCGAGGTACCACTCACAGCCCACATTGGCCTCACGCAGGGGCGACTTCCATGAAAGCGCCGGGCCTAGCAGCCGCTAACGCACTCGAGCCGTGCTATTATTGGGTGTCAGCAAGCGATTGGGCATCCCCCGGCCAGCAATTCCCATGGTTCTGATGGGCGCGGATACTTGGGTGCCTGTTGTATCGCTCGCTGTGCGGCCCGAGCCCAACACTGCGGTCTAGACGGGTCCAGATAACACGCTAGATCACGGCACACGCACGACTACTACTGTGTCCGAAGAGCGGTTAGCGCCGACTCAGCAAGACCTCTTGTGCCATTTTTGCCACTTGTGCTGCAGGATTTCTGAGCCTCGCCAACACAGACCGTCCATTTCTCTATCAAGTTTTCGCCCCCCTCGAGCCGAATAGCCCCGTCTTGATGGGCCGCATCTTGCCATCGCAAGGCTCAATGCGAAACTACCGCCTCGCGCAGTCACTAGCGATGAAAATCCGCTCGGCATGGATCACGTATTGATAGGGGATGCGGTAAAAAAATGCGGAAATGGAGTCGGACCCCGCGGATGCGGATTGTCGGAGATCATGATCGTACCGCGATCTACACACCCTTGCAGTGCGACAGCGATCGGCACAGATGAGCTCACTCACGGTGGACCCCCGACCCGGTTGCTGGAGCTTGAAAGTGCGAATCCTGCTCCTGAATATATGAAGTTGCGAATCAAGATCTGAATTTTGAGATCGTGATGAAATCATCGTCGTTGGGTGATGCAATGCCAGCATAGCACGTTCACCGGTCGATCGGCCATTGTCGCCAACTTAGAATAATTATGTCCTCCGTACTCCGTTTCTCGTCTATATGTACATGGATCCACCGTAGCTATGCGTAGCTATGTTATGAGCGAGGCGATCGGCTTAGTTGCCCAGGGCGATCCCCGTCAGATCTTCCCAATCGAAAACATCGAGGAAGGGATCGAAATCGCCCGGCGGCTGAGAAGCGGTCAGTATGACAAAAATAAAGCAAGAGCGAAAGCGAAGCAAAGAAAACCGGGGCCATGACTCACGGTCACACCGAAACCTGGCGGCGGAAGAATGCCGTCCAAATCGGAAGGCAGGACGGGTTCCATGCCGGGTGTCGCGACAAAGGCCGCAACCTGATTATCCTTGAAGCTGCCCATCCCCGGTGCGCCCAAGTGTTCGCAGGTGGCATGTCGTGAGAACAATGTCTGGGCAAAGGATAAGACGCGCTCCACGACTTGCTGCTTGCAGATGTTCGATTGCGATGGCCACACCTTGGCCTTGACCAGGGCGACGATTGTTGAGAGAAAGAAGTAATCCTTGGCTCCCTTGACGACGAGCAGGAATCGGTGTTCAAGAGCGATGAGAGCTGTCTCGACGAGTGCAAGGAGAGAATCTGGCAGACCGGGGAGTGCATGGATGGTGGATGTGGTAGAGGCTGGGTAGCATGTAGCTGGGAGATTGTTAGTTGGTTTCTTTTAGTGCCAAGGGGAAAGACATACGGTGCTGATTCCCTGAGTGCAGGATCTGGCAAATAGTGATGTATGCCTGAATCGTCCACTCGCCTAGCATACATAATGACAACGGCTGCGAAGTTTCATACAGCCGCTTCTGTGTCGTGAGAATGGAGACAGCAGCGTCAAGACGGGATCGAGCTGAAGGCACGAACAGCGATTCTCGACGAGCCTCGATGGCAAATGGCGTATGAATCGATATCAAACTTTGAGCAAGCTTGGTCTCAATCATGGCTTTCCATAATGCGACCTTGTGCTGGGCAACCAGGTCATTCGCGTCCGAGACACTCCATGCCGGGATACGGGAGATATGCCGACTAAGTTCCCAATCCAGACGCTGAATCTCCTCATAGCGACAGCTAATCCGAGGAGAATGCATCAAGTGGCACGCATTCAGTCGAAGAGGAAGAGACCGAGCAATGGCTGTTGCGAACGATGAATCCGTGACCTCGCTGATTGGCCGGTCCTTGGGGGGTTCCGTGCTGCTCTCATGGATCTCGTCGTCGTTGATATTGAGCGGGGGAAGAGTATCGTAGTCGGAATTCTGTATATTCGGCGGCATGCCTCGGTCAATGGCGACCTGCATATCCAGCTCCAGAATAGTCATCCAGATCCTCCGCCGCATCTCCTTGTTGAATACAGAGATGCGGGCATACTTGTTCGGATCACGATGGTACCCCGCCAGCATCGCTTGTCGGATAAGAGTACCAGTAGCAAGCCAGGCTTTGCTACGCTTCGTGCCAAAGCAGTTCTGAGCCATGATCAGCAGGATGTAGAGTCGCAGAGCCACAATATCGGGCCGCTTGATATGTGCACTGTCGATCCACTTCTCTGCATGCAGCACCCACTCCACAGCTGTATAGCATTTCAACAGGGTGGCACTTTTCTCTTGCAGACTACCCACATCTGCAAGGTTCCATGCACATGCAAGGACTAAGAGAAGCTGCACCACGAAGATGGTTGACACATTGATGGGATTATCCAGCATCGCAAAGAATTGATCTACCTCCCGTAGAAATGACGGGACGTGAAGAATGCGGTGCTGGGATTCAATATATGTGAGGTACAAGCCGATGAGCTCGTCGACTACCCCTCGTGAAGGTAGGAGAGCTATCAATGAAGCTGTCGTAGGCTCTGGGAAAGGCTCATTGAGAGGTTTTCGCTTCCAGAGTCCTTTTTTGACCCGTTCAAGATCAGGTCGAACTCGCGAGAGGATCGGATTTGTTAATCTGATTTCCTCTGCAAAGGACCTGATATCAGGGAACTAGATTGGGTATTAGTCTGGGACATACCGGGAAAAGCAAAAAGTAACACGAAGAGATACCATTGGTTGAAAATGACACAACATACCTGAGCGACAAGATTGGCAAAAATGCCTGATCCGCTGTACCTCGTTTTCGTCTCACGACCTCTCATCATGATACGCGGTGACAGATCCAATTGATGTGATGGTGATAGAATATCTTGGTCGTCCTCTTCAATGCCTTCTTGATCTACCTGCGAGGAATAATGCATGTCAGGTTCCGGTGCAGGTCGCCTTGGCCTTTGCAGCAGGCCCGTATTCACATACGGCTCCTGGTTGACCGCGGCTTTCGGCGCACCAAGCACAGTCTCAAGGAAGCCGCGCTCTCTATGCCTCCCTTTGTGATGCGCATGCGAATGGGGGTGCGGGCCATCTGGAGGCCTACTACTAGTATCAGCGAGCGTGGACCCGAGGCCGAGGACACTATTCGAAACGAGTGCGTCCGGCCGAGTAGACACCGTCAAGCCCGAGTCGGTGGGTGTCTGCATCGCCTGCTCGGGCTGGGGCATGGTGGATCCATGATCGCTGGTAAAAGAAGCCCCCGACACTGTTGCGGGTTGCTGCCACAGAAACCCATCCTCGTAGGTGCAATTGGTGGGCGCCCTGCTCTTCAAGCACCGGCTGCACGTCGGATACTCGCGGTCACAGCGCAATTTCCGACTGCGGCACGGCTGGCAGGCCATTGTCCGCCTTCTGCGCTTCTTGGGCCGCTCGGCCGGTCGCATACTGTTGAATTCCTGGACATCAGCCATACTGGAGGACAGGAGGGAAGTATGGACATGGACCTCGCCCATCGGTAGTCCCGAGGACTACTGCGTACCTTAAGCTGTTCGGCGCCGGGCTTACGCGGTGTGGCCCACTTTTTCCCAGCGGGAACGGATTCGATGACTCAGCAGCGCCTGCCTATTTCGGGAAGCTCCGCCGACCTCGGAGAAGCACACTCTTCCCGTACTAGACCGGCCCTCCCCAACAAATGCATCGCTGCAGGCTTGGCCTGTTCGTTGCCTGAATCGAGCTGGTCGGGGGTTTATCTGTGAATATTCCGATTCGATGATTCTGCAGTCAGCGAGGGCTGGATCTGCGGTCGTCGTGCAAAAACCCGATATACCCGAAGATTCTCCGGTGTCTTACACACGGCGAAATTCTACGAGATCCACTACAACCCCTGAGTCGGCTACTCTGTACTCATATGAGGTATGTACTTCGTTTACAGGCGGAGTATACCTGAGGATAAAACAATGGCTTCTGCTCGGCAGACGTCTGAAAACATCTGAAGAGGACTGACCACGTCGCTTAACTGCCAGTGGATATTAGTCTGATTTAAATCACTATGACAGGAGACAGTCTACAACTTTAATTCGCGACAAGAGTCACACTACACTTGTGCAATAACATTACAACCATGACCTGCATAAACTGCAGTCTTTGGCTCATACAATGCTCAATCTTCCAATCAGATACCTGCGCACCAGCCATCAATGAATAACGAATCCACCCCGACAGCGCCACGAGGCTGTGGATAAATAAATACGACATGCGATCGACAGCCAGCCTTGCCTCAAAGATCGGCCCCCATCAACCTTTTCCCCTCCATTCTGCATGCTGACTGCTATTCTGTCGAGCGCCTGGTGACCATTAGCCTTCAGCAACTATTCAGTCGGAGTGATCCTCGCGGCTTGGATTAACATCGCCGAGCAACAGCGGCGTTGACTGTTTGAAAGCGCACGCCAAGTGAAACTGCCACCTGCCCCGCAGACAAGACAGTGCAGAATCTCAAATCCCGTAACAGTGATAACCAAATGGCGGACAACAAGAGTATATCGGCTGCCAGCGCGAGCAGCTCTTCCAGTTCGGGAAGATGGGCCACCATGCAAAAACAGCTGAGCAGTCCCATGCCATCCTCGCTATCCAGTGCGTACCACGCCAGATCAGAAAAGATATCTCGCGAGGCCACGTGCAAGGCTGACTCAATCCAATGCTAGACGAATGCAAAAAGGCAGAGAAAATCCTCAACTCATTTGTCAATCCGCCCCGAACGAAAAAGACCAAGGATGAACCTGAGCTGGGCATCCCCCGTGCGATCCTCTCTCGCGCCAAGGTAAGCAAATGCCCCTCCCGAATGACACAGTAAGTATAGTTCAGCGGACTCACCCAAGATCTTCAGGGCTTAGCCATCTTCACAGCCATGAAAGCAGGCGTTGTAGGGTCAATCCGCTTCGGATCCGGCCTGATCGTCGCCCGACTCCCAGACGGCAGCTGGTCTGCCCCATCAGCCATGGCCACAGGCGGAATCGGACTAGGCACACAGCTCGGCTTCGAACTCACGGATTTTGTGTTTGTGTTGAATAGCGATCGAGCCGTCAACACCTTCACTCAATCTGGCTCCATCACGCTGGGAAAAAACCTGTCCGTAGCTCTCGGTCCGTACGGCCGCAGCGCGGAAATCAGCGGTGCACTCAGCTCCAAGGGTCTCGCGGGGATGTTTGCGTACTCGAAGACCCGCGGTGTCTTTGGCGGGAAGTCCTTTGAGGGCGGGATGATTGGGGAGCGGCCCGATGCTAATAAAAAGATGTACGGCGTTACCCTCACGGCGAAGGAACTGCTGAGTGGAAAGATTGAACCGCCGCCTGATGCGGAGTCTTTGATGCGGCTGTTGAATTCGGCGAGGTTCAAATATCCGACCGTCGATGATGGTGACGTTTCGCCGATGGCTTCTACAGCAGAACTTTCCTCTGGTGGAACTCAACAAGAGATCGCTGAGTTGCCTGCCCACGTGCCTGATGATGAGTCCAAGAAGGCTTGTGAGATAGACTCCAAACCCCCTGGGATGATTGCTGAGCTTGATGCTGGACCTGGTAATGAAGTTTTCGAGCTGTCTGCTGGTGATTTTGATTCACCGAAGGTTTATGAGCTTGATGCGTCGCAGCCAGTTTCGTCGCATGCATCGAAAGAGGGAGAATCGACCTCGAAATCCTAAGTGCCGCTCACGCCCAGGACAGCATCTGAAAAAAAAATAGCTTCCTCCGCTACCTTCGCAATGATTCTTAAGCTAAATATACCCTTTCACCCAATGTTTGAAAACTTTGATTTCTTTTAGACCTCGTCATTTCTATGTTTCGAATTGTGGTCTTGTAGAAATTCCCGATCTCAAGAAGAGCGCACTAATGTAGAATCCATTTAGTTCAATCAGATAGTACTAGCGGCAGATGGCGAAATGCACTTAGGATCGACTCATCGTGATGGTCGTTGGGGCCGGAACTGTCAACGGTCTTCGGGGTTAACGCCGTCGGGGATGGCAGCCTCGGACATACCTAACTTACTCCATCCAGGCAACCATGCCCGACCTCCTACTAGCTACTAGTACTTAAGGCCACATCCAGATCCAACCCTTCCTGTCGGATCAATTCTCTTCGCTAACACTCTCACGCAACTCACTGCATCCTCGCCAACATGTTACGTTCGTTGCTTTCGCTTGGCCGGAATTCCGACCCCGAGTACTTTGTGCCTCGTGTGGATCCAGCGAAAGACGGAGCCGACTGCCTGAAAGACTGCGCAGACTGCACCACGCATTTCCCTTCTAAAGTCAAGGTCGAGAACTCCAGACCCCTCTATGGCCATATCAAAGCTTTTAATGCGCATGTCTTGGTTGCTACGGGGCAGTCTGACTGGAAAGAGAAGGTCGAGCAAGAGAAGGGTAGTCTGATGGAGGCTTTTGATAAGCCCTCGGTGAAATCGAATCTGGGAGTGTGTTTTGAGAATCCTAAAATCATTGGGCTTTGAACTGACCTTTTCTCAGCGAATCATGGTATCGGCGACAAATATTAAGCCGCTAGAAGACGGTGACAACCCAGAAAATTCAGATGGTCGCACGACAGTGCTCATCCTCCCATCTTTCACATTTGTGGACTCCGTCTCACAACCAGACGTTCCTGACCTTGTCCATCAATTCATCAACAACTCCACGGATGAAAAGGATGGCACTGGTGCCGTGTCATCGAAAGCCGGCATGAGCACCCGACCCTGTGAATTGGACTACGTGATTCTGCTCTGCTCGCACCGACGACGCGATGCTCGCTGTGGAATCACCGCGCCACTGATTAAGCGTGAGTTGGAGCGTCATCTGCGTCCGTTGGGACTGGACCGCGATGTGGATGACTCTCGGCCCGGTGGCGCGGGGATCTTTTTCGTCTCGCATGTTGGTGGTCACAAATTCTCGGCGAATGTGCTTGTTTACCGGAAGAGGGATCAGCAGATGATTTGGTTGGCGCGTGTGCGGCCGGAGCATTGCGAGGGAATTGTGAAGTATACTATTCTGGAAGGAAAGGTGGTGCATCCGGAGACACAACTAAGAGGTGGATTTGATCGGATACGAGGATTGACTAGCTGGTGAGATGAATTTTAATCACAAGGTAATTATTCTGCATTGCTATTGCCACTGCGAGGTCTAGCGCATTGTTTTCGGCGCGTCAATATCATTAGCTATTCAATACCCACTGCCTAATCGAGTCTTGATTATGTCGGTCATCACCATAGACTGGCTGCCTTCCACGATCATTCACCCCGTTCAAACCAGATCTTCTCTCCTTTCATGGCAAGCTCAAGATCCATGCCAATCTTCGTGACCGTCCCCGATGGATTGACGTAGAATTCCACTGCGAAAGGTGGCAGTGTAATATGGTTTATGATCCTTGACTTTGCGACGAAGAACTCACCATTTGCGTGATTGAAAGATATCTGGCTGGGCAGTGTACCCTGAGACACCTCGGCTGTCACCTGGCCCTCAACCAACTTGAGTGTGATCCAGGAGTCTGCGGGGTGCCTGTACTACCCCACATACTTCTCCAGTGACAGAGAATGAGGGACCGGAGGATTGGGCAAACTAGGAAATATCTTCCGCTTGGCTGCTTCCACGTCCTTCAGGCTAAAGATGCGGTTGGCTTCCCCATGATCATTGGCAAAGCGAGCAGCCATCAATTCTCTATGGTACGAATCCGCCGACCCAAGCAACCTGTCCATAAGATGAATGGCCAACCTAAGTGAAGCGTGTCATGCTGTGTCCGAGTTCCCATGAACGCGAAGCCGAACTTCTCCGGGATAAAACCGACATAGCTGCCAAACCCGGGCCAGCCATCAGTGTACCAGTAGAGATTCAGACCACGATAGTTGTCCATAAACCATCCTAGTGCATAGGCGTGGTATGGTGTCGGTGGGTTGATGTCGCTGGTCTCGAAATGGAAGGTGTGCTTGGTCAAAGAGTCGTGGGCCTTTAAAGGGCCATCCGTTTCAATCATGGCCCGCAGCCAGTGCGTGTAGTCCAGGACAGTGCTAACCATGGCGCCTGCATCTTTATTCGGCATCCAATTCATGGCCTTTTGGAGGTGGTAGTAGAAGCCTCCTTTCTCATCGAACAGCCACTTATATCCATTAGCGAGTCTCTCCGCCGTCGATGGATCGAGAAGTATGTATCTCGCATACTAAGAGGTTCCAGTTGCGTTTCTTCATAAATGATCCCAATGACTCACCAGTCCGTTGCTCAAGGGCATTCGACACATACATCTGGTTCGAGTAATGATACACCGTCCCGGGTGGGGCGACAAATGGTACATGTCGGAGTCACCGAGCGAGAGATTTGGAAGTCGTGTCATTTGGCGAGAATGTAAACATCCATCCGTGGTCTGGAAGTCCCGATCGATGGGACAGGCATCCTCGAGGATTTGTGTCTAGTGGCGTAGTCGTCTGCAAGGAGAAAGTCTTCGGGGATCAAAGTAGACATCGACGTGTCCCAGTCAATCGGAGGGCTTGAACTTTTGCTGTCTTCTATAAATATGGAAGTGGCAAAGTCCGTGAATGCCTTCGCTGTACTGCATGTTGGGAACAGAGTATCGGTCGTCATCTTCTTGTCCGGCAACTCGGAGACTCCGTAGGCCTGTCGCAATTTGAACCGTAAATTCTTTTTCGCACCTTAACTTCGAATACGAGTGGGACTCGTGCCCTGCGGCGAATCGACAAGCCTGGGACTTTCCTTTCCTCGAGAAGTTTGCTGACAAGAGCATCAAACTCGGAGTCGAAGGGCGATCTCTCACTGCTCAAGGTCGGAACCTGCATGTTGATATTCAAATGATAAGCTTCTCCAGCAAGGAAAGTCCTTGGTGTTTATCGCTGCTGGGTAGTCATTTTCGCTAAGTGCTGGCGAGGTCTGGGGTCTTAAAATGTGACCTCATTTCGACACTAGCGATTATTGGCGCGGAGCAAGCTTCTGAAATCGCTGGAGCTAAATCCAGTGGCCTAGCAGGACTTGAAATTTCCACTGGAGGCCGTATCATAGGCAAGACTCCATGATTCGGTGGCTGCGCTTAGGCTGAAAGGGCGCAACATGCTGGAAATACCTTAAGCAAATGCGGAGAGGCGCAGGGCGGGCCGACGCGACGTCACCGCGTTGAGTAGTTTCGCGTTCGCGTCGCTCCCTTCTAGTCCGCCGTTTGCTCCCACCCCCCAGTTTGATATGCAATAATGGCAGACCACGCCCTCGGTTCCCGTGCTGAGGCCGCAGAAAAGGCTTCGACCGTTCGAACCGAATTGAAGGCCTGGGAAAAAGAGTTCGCCGCGGCGAACGGTGGGCGCAAGGCCGGCCGTGAGGATATCAAGCAGAACGAGTACATCGGTACGTTTCTTTTCTTGTTGAAGCGCATGTTGCTTGCAGTTGCATTTGCGCGAAAACTTGCTAATTTGTTTTGTGTCTAGCTGCCAAATACAAGGAGTACGGCCAGCTCAAAAACCTCGAAGCCAAGCTCAATCGACGCGAAAACAGACAGACCGAACCGCCCAATTCACACTTCAAAAAGCGAAAGCATGCCTCTTCAACAGGTCCAGCAGATGCGCCGCCGAATTCAGCCACGCCGCGCAAATCGGCCAAGGGTCTTTTCGCAACCCCATCTCAGAAACGCACTGAGAGGATTCATCCTTCCAACCTAGACCCCTACGACTCGCCATCTACCTTTCGCAAATTGTTCAGTCCGAGCACACATAAGCAAAGCATGCCAGCACCTTCACCTCTGAAGACTGCGATTGGTCCTACCCCTCAACGCGATGGCAAGACCCTTGGCCTGTTCGATTTCCTGTCCGAGTCGGGTGGCAGCCAAGCGACTCCATCGGCGAAGAGACAAGGCGAAACTTTAGAAGCAGGGTTCCGAACACCCTCGAAACCCAAGACGTTCAACCCGTTGAAGGAAGTACCGGAAGAGGAAGAGGAAGAATCAGCTCGGGTCACGAGAACACCGGCATCCTCAACAAAGCAGTTTTATCTTGCGAACCTCTTTGCGACTCCAACGACCATGCGCTATGCAGCTATGGTAGAAGCAGATGATGAAAAAGAGGCGCAGGGAAACTCGCATCCAAGCCACACAGAAGCGTCCCCAGAAACCAACCATTCAGCGACCCCAACTTTCTTGCGCCGATCGAATTCCGGACGATATCCCGCAGCTACGAACAACGATGGTTCCGGGCTCAGCCCTATGAAATCTCGCCAACCCGGTCGGTTCCATGGCAAGGGACTGTCAACCATTGTGCAGAGCCTCCGTGATATGGAAGAGGAGCGAATGGACGATGATTGGGACGTAATGCGCGAAATGGAGGCCGAGGAGGAAGGCTTTGGCTACCCAATACCAGAGAGTCAGCCCGCTCCGGAAGAGGGCCAACGACCGTACAAGAAGAAGGGCCAAAAGCGAACAACTCGACGTGTCATTATGCGGCCAGTAACTCGGCAACCAAAATCGCGGCAAGAATCAGAGAAGAGTACCGCTCCACAGGAGAGTGACGACGAACTCACGACTGCTGTTCCGGAAACACAGGTTCAAGCCGCGCCTGAAGATATCCCCGACGAAGTTCTGGAGAAGGGCCTTGAAAGCGATGATGCTGCCTCGTTGCATACTATGTCTGAACCAGAGTCAGAAGACGACGAGCCCGATGTGGACTCAGACGGCGATCCTGAATACGGCGAGAAACCAAAGCCTATGGCAAAACCAAAGAGCTTTTCGGATCGCCTTAAGGAGGCGGTTTCCAAAGTCAAGCCAAAGGCGGAAGGGCCTCCTCCTGCGGAGCCTGCGAAGGCTCTCGTGCAGAAGGAAGAGAAGAAGCCCAAGGAGCGAAAAGTCAACCCTCAGTCCCATGCCAACTACCGGTCATTGAAGATTGGTAACCGAAGTTCACGGGGTCGTGGGCGTTTTCGGGGTCGAAGGTAAAAAAGAACGTTGGGTATATGTTCCTCGCATTCATGAAGTGACGACTACTTTATTATTTCAGCATTAGGGCACGGAATGGGCATAGGCGTATTCATTTCTCATAGATTCGAATTGATAAATATTGCAGTGTGGATACATTGCATTCATTCCTGCGTGGTCGTTAGTCCTATACTCCAGACCTAGCTTGGCTCGGTTGATGTACAATGTATTAGTATTCGGGTATATATCGATCTAAGTATCCGCGGTTCCGTGCCCGAGGCCGCACTCGAGTCCTGGGCTGCACCTCCACTTGGGTAGACGTTAATGTATTCGATCCCTCCGCTCTGGAAATCCGATCAAACAAGCTTCTATCTGGTGTGTGGATGGGCGACGCACTGCGACGCCGACTCGCCGGTGGTGGACTGCGAGCTCTTCGGCGATGCGAGTTTGACTCTATTTCCAGAGGCTCCCGGAGCTCCCTGCTACGGTGAGCCTGTGTCGTTGGGTACTGTACATTGCGATCCCAGTCTTCCAGCCTGTCGTATGGACTACGCAACCAGGACAGCAGTTCATGTAGGAAAAGGCGAGCATTTTCACGACCGAGAAAATCTTTCAACAGCTCCTCTGCTTGCCCAGAGCTTCCCCTAATATCAATCGTGCGCAGGATGGAGATCACATAATCGAGCAGAAACTCGGCATGGTTCCCATGTGGCCGCCGGCCAAAGGCTGGTTGTTCGTCCTCCACTACTGGGTTCAAAAAGGTAAAGACTTGTAGTTCCCGGCGAATCCATTTCCGTGCCCGTGAGATAAGGGATTCGTTGCGGCTGAATTGCTCCGGGGTGACCTCGCTGTACTGAGATAATCGATTCGACCCGACACGTAGAGAGAATAGTTGATTGCGGTAAACATTGTATCGCACTGAAACAGGATTGGTGGGTAGAAGTCGAGGTGGTCGCTGATTCGGAGGGCGAGATCGTCGTCGTTGTGCTCGAGAATCTCCAATATCCAAGCCGCCTGCCAATGCCCGTTGTTGTACAGAGGTTCGAGAAAAGGCTCCGGGTTTCATTCCAGGCTTCTCACGGGCAGGCACCTTGTATGTTTTGAATCCTTTGGGCGCATTCAGATCATATTTGACAGCAACGGTTTCAATCTTACCTGTTGTTTCAATCAGCTAAATCATGTCGGTCTTCATGGGATCCAAATTAATTCCATACACAGAGGACAGAATGGTCCCTGCTCCAGCCATGTGAGCAGACACAGGTAGTCGAAATTTGAATGATTGCATGGTATAGCCACGCAGGGTTCTGTGATCAAGTCGAGGCAGATCACGCAGGGGTCGTTGGACTCTCCATCCTTTTCCTCGGTTTGCACTTCCTCCAATGTCTTTTGCAAAACCTGCTGTCGCACATTTCTCTCATCTGCTGTGTCTGCCATTTCTCTCATCTGCTGTGTCTGCCATATCTCCAATGGCAGGCAAGAGGATGGAGCAGTTGGGAAGACTGACATGAGCATCGGACCCACGACATGCGCTTATCGAAGGGTCATCTGACGTACCCTAAAGCTGACCGCCTACTGGAGGTGGCTAGCGCCGGATGTAATCACGTGAAGATAGGATCCAAATGTCAGCGCCTGCCAACCGCAACACACTGCGGTCACAAGTTGTTTTCTGCCAGGCCGAAGCTTGACTCGGATTTCGACTTCACTCAATTTCCCCAAACGACCAGCCGCTTCTCCTCATGAGCCACTAGCCATACTCCTCACACCTCAACCACCAGCACGAACGATCGGATCGCGCGCATGCGTTCGGCTAAAGCTGTTGTGTCTGAGAGACTGGCGCGCATGGGTCCCGGAGCGACCATGTCGACCGCGCAGCGACCACCGTACACTTTGACATCGCTGAAGCGGTGGTCAGTTACCGACAAACAACTACCTGGTCAGCACTTCTTTGAGTTATAACTTCTTTCGGGATCTTGGACTGACCATGATTCGTGTGCAGCTGTGTCTCAAATCAAGACCATTCATGTTTACGATTTCGACAATACTCGTGAGTCTTCTTGTCGCCTGTCCAGAAAAAAAAAATTATATTTACTGAATATCGCTGCAGTCTTTTACTCCCCGCTCCCCAATCATCAGCTATGGAACGGACAAACAATCGGTTTCCTGCAAGCTGAACAAGGCTTCGCGAATGGCGGCTGGTGGCATGATCCCAACATCCTGTCCGCCACTGGAAAGGGCATGGATATCGAGGAGGCACGTGGATGGCAAGGGTGGTGGAATGAGAATATCGTGCGACTGATCTATTCCTTTCTTTTGAATTTTCTTGTTTTTGCTAACTTCTATCAGCTCCGTCTTGTCAAACTTAGCCTCGAACAAAAGGATGCGCTTACAGTCCTCTTGACTGGTAGGCGAGAGGACCGCTTCGCCGAAATTATCATGAGAATAGTTGCAAGTCAGAACCTCCATTTCGATATGATCGGGCTCAAGCCCGTTGTTGGACCGAGTGGGGAACAATTTTCTTCCACAGCAGTCTTCAAGGAAAAGTTTCTGGAAGATCTCATCCTTACTTATGACCAAGCTGATGACATTCGGGTGTACGAGGATCGCCCAAAGCAGTAGGTTGACCGTGGATCCTGATTGTATCCATGCATGCTAACGCAGCTGGCCTTTTAGCGCGACTGGATTCCGTGAATATTTCGAAAGCATGAACACGCTGTTCCAGACCAACCGATCTTACAGAAAACCTCTCAATGCAGAGGTCATCAATGTGCTTGAAGGGACAAAGTGCCTTGATCCAACCACCGAAGTTGCTGAGGTGCAGCACATGGTCAATTTACACAACCACGGCCTGCGCAATCCCGGCCAGCAAACATCCAAGAAGTCTAACGCATTGCTCCGCATCAAGAAATCTGTACTCTACACAGGCTATCTGATCTCCAAGGATGATCAATCTCGATTGCTCTCTGAGGTTCTAAACAAAATCCTACCACCTGGACTTGCAGACTCGAGGGAGCTAAAGTGCACGGCTAATAACATCATGGTCGCCCCACGCCAGGCGTCCAAGCAGCTCCTCAAATCAATCGGCGGATTGGGCAGAAAACTTAAATGGCAGGTTACTGGCACAGCCAACTTTGAGAATGCGGTCTTCGCCGCACGAGTGCGACCTGTTTTGCCCAGTGCGCCATATCATTCTGAGAATTCCATCCCCCTGGTTGTCTTGGCGGTTCGCAAGCCCAAGCGTCCTGTTGATGCCAGACTGATCCAAAATTGGCACCCTGTTCCAGCTGAACAGGCTTTGACATTCGAGACAGAACTTGGGTTCAAAGAGATCCTCTCAGTGGAGGAGTCTGTTCGAGACCGGGGTGTCCACTCAGGCCCATGGCAAACCGGCAAGAAACGGTCTCGTCAGCAATATGATGAAGGTGCCACTTATTCTGGACGCGGTCAATATCCTGGCTATGATACTTACCCGCAAGACCAATTCTATGGACATCATTCAAGTCATCATCATCATCATCATCAAGACGATGGTCCTCGTCGCGGTGCCCCCGCGTGGCCGTGGCCGTGGTAATCAAAGGGGCCGAGGCAATGCTACTCGTGGAAATCGTGGTCGTGGTCGCGGTGGCGCCGGGCCTGGAAACCCCTTTTACAAGTCTCTGGATGATTCTTTTGGAGAGTCTGATGTTTATCACGACGGCGGCAATCCAGCTGGGGGATACCCAATGGACTACTGATCCTTCGATACACAGCTTTCGTGGATCTCTGCTGACAGCGTGCATATTCGTTCAAGCTTCGGGTGCATGGTTAAGAGGCGTTCCCGGTATTTATTTATTCTTTTTATTACTTATTCACCTTCCAAGATTAAGTGGTCCGGCGTGGTGAATCATGAGGTGCCATCCACTCTTATCCATTTAAGAATAGGTGCTCCTTTCCAAGGTTCTCAATTGATGATCCGTTATACAAATCATTATCATTCCTCTGAGAATTCCGTAAGTAGGCGTGGAGGACGACCGACCTTTTACTATTCTTTTCCCGTGTACGTTGAAAACAAATTATCATGCAATTATTTTATTTCACACGTGTGATAGATCAATGCCTCTGTCCGGCACATTAAATGTCATGGCGAGCATACTTGCTGGCCATGCGAATCCTCCGCCTCCTCCATAGAAGAATAAACGGGAATGGTACAAAAAGCACCGTCAAGCAGCCGAACAACGTACAGGCCCACCCAACACCCAAATTATGAAACATCGCCGTAGCAAAAAGCGGAAACCCTGCTCCAAATGATGATCGCATGAAATCGTTTCCGGCCAGAACAGAAGCGGCATATTTTGGGTAAGCATGCGCAAGGTAGCAGAAGATGCAGTTGGATATCAAGCAGCCACCGACGGCAAACAACATTGATGCGATGATTGTCACTATCCAATGTACACTCTCGAGTTTCCTGTCCAGCCAAACCAGAATAGTGAGATTTGCAATGCTGCCATTCTTAACGAAATGGCGTGATTGATATCGATACTTCCAGTAGAAGTAGCCTGGGATTGTGAAGCAACATGTTGAGACCAGGATTCACATAAAGGCAAGTCCACTTTGTTCGGGATTGAAGCCATGGATCTCTTCGAATATGATTGGAAAGGCTTCAAACCAGATATAGAGGATACCGTAAATCAGTGACATATAGAGGTTGAGAAGCAGAACGATAAGTTCCATGAAGCAGAGTTGGGAAGGACGAACGAGAGATTCGAAGAGGACCTCCTTTGATCACCTGTTAGTTATACATACACTCTCCAAAAGACAATGGGAGGTACATACCATTGTTTTCATTTCCTTAATCTCCAATTCGGATTCGGACATGTATTGTGAGTTTCCCGTGATGCGACGCACGCGACGGGCCCGGCGAGCAAGTATATTCGGTGCAAATGTCTCCGGAAGACAAAAAAAAAACAGCACCAAGGTAAGAGCTGAGATCCAAAGCAGTTGCCAGATGGTCCATGTCCAGCCTTTTGCCGAAAAGGCAAATCCGCCGAGCATTGGACCCAAAACTGGAGCGGAGATGGCGAACATGCCCCAGATTCCAATCATGTAGTCCCGAATTCCGGGGCTCCAGATATCGCCCATTGAAGCTGCGCCCGTCGCAAGAGCGGGTGATCCGATGAATCCTGTGAGAAAGCGAAATGCCAGGAGCATGCCGAAATTCTTCGCGTAGATGACGCCGAAGTTGAAGAAGACGAAGACGACCAATGTCAGTACATATGTTGGACTGCGGCCAATCATTGGGATCTCAGAAAGCGGCGACCAGATCATCGGGCCTGGTTCGGGTCAGTATTCCTATTAGAAGACCTGGGATCAATGGATTCAGACCTAATCCGTAGCCGGCCACGAAAAGTGTGAGACCCAGGGTCGCGGCAACACTGCTCACGCCAAGTTGTTCAGACACACTGGGAATACCCGGAGTGTATATGGCAGAGCCATCATAGATGGCGAATGTGAGTAGCCAGATTAAAGTGCTGACAAAGACCTTTTTCGCCATACTCCAGTTTTGAGGGTTCTGAAGACAATTAGCATCTATGCAAGTCCATAGTGCGGAGAAACTAACCTCGGGATCATCGGGACCTTGCCAGTTGATTACCAGCGGCTGATTCGCTGATGGCGAATTTCTGACTCCCTCGTGAAGTGTCGAGACAGTTGACATTCGCCGTAATCGAGTCGAACACTGCGACATGACTGCGTATAGGCCAAACGCCTCGAGATCCTCGGGGTTCTCATTCTCGGTTGTGTCGGTCGTGGGGATCGAAGCTTCATCTGTTCCCTTCATCGCTGTCTCTGTCTTGAGATAGTCAGGCCAAACAGATGCATCCTGCTCCTCCGAATATTGCATTCACCTGTAGCGGCTGAAAAGCCGCACCAGCTTGCCAAACGCTGTATCTCGCAGGGTCTCCATGGCTGCAATGGTTAACTCTGATCTAGACAGTGGGTAAGGACACCTCTGTATATCTCCCGATAGTAAGAGTATATTTTCGAAATATGTTCGCCGTAAATTCACATTATATATGCAAATGGTGATTCTAGAAGGTTAAGTCGGCTGTGGTAACCTGTTCTTTGTCCGTAAATCCGTACATATGAAGGTTGTGGCAATAGTTAGTTGCCCCCTGCCTCTAGGCCGTTATCGCTTTTAGGCCATGGAGTTATGACTGTGGCGATTAGAAATCGGCAGGGACGATGGAATAAACTACAATATTGTCTACTCTCGGCGGGACCAGATTTCACCGGATTGACGTCACGATGTAACGTTGATTTCTAAGGCAGGCTCTAGCTCACACTGTGTTGGATTGGTTAGCTGGTTAGTTCTTAATTCTGCATTATTTATGATAAAGTCCATCTCATGCAAAGATTTGCGCCGATCCTACCGCGCTCCTGTGAGCTGTTGTGATACGATGGGCCGCTGCAATGCGAAAAAATATATATTATGTTGCCATGTGACAGCAAACGTGGACCTTTTGGGACTCAATGTGCGCGGTGCTACGCTAGTATATGTTTGATTTTAGACTTATTTGGTTTCTGTTGTGATTGAGTTATCGAAACTTGCGTCCTACTTATGGAAAAGGCTACACTACCTGAAAATTTCCCCATAGACGCTGAGAGAGTAAAGCACTATCACATGTGACTGCCTGTTGAAAATTCTGGTCACAAGTGTCGCGAAAAACATTGTGAAGAGAAGAAAATTTGACTAAGGCCGATACAAGGTAATGAATGCTACTGAGGCGATGAGTCCCCAGTATATTCCATAATTTTCTAGCGTTTCCGACACCTTCAAAAGACAAGGGAAAGTATCTCTCGTCCGATCCGCAATGGTCACAGACAAGAAGATGCTCCTTGGTCGAATTGCAGCAATATTAACGCCACGAGTGCAAGAAGACGAAGTTTATAGGCAATTCCTACCCAGAGGGCTGAGTGAGCAAGTGCCAAGGATTGTGGCTTCCTTGAGCTAACTGAGTATGCCGACAGAGTGAGAAAAAAAGCACTGCTCGGATACGCAAATCGAAAATGGGATTGATCTACGCTGGAATATCGCGGAGTTGATCCTTGAGGCCCCCAGTAAGCCTTAATGAAAGTAGCGAAGAAACTAGCTTTAAATGTACTGGCATGGATAACCGGCTGTGAGAAATCAGCACTCATGATTTGCCCGTTCGAGAGACTTAGCTAACAATTGCCGGAGAATCCCCACTTCAGTTCCTTCTTGAGATTCCAATGAGTGTCTTCTATACCTAATTCGGGAGAGGCTAAGAGCACGAAACCTTGGCTCAGCCTTGCCATGAGACCTAGAATATTTTCTTTCCAAGTTTCTATAACAACGTTCTGCATCTTCGACCGCAGCGCGAATAACTAAAAGCCCGATTCTACCTTGGGAGAGAATGTTTGTTTTGTCCTCAACAGCTTCGGTGAATCCTTAGTAAATATTTCATGATGAAGCACATCTCGCTACTTCTCCGTGCCTTGACAGCATGCTTTCTCAATCGACCTTTCCTCCTGAGCCAGCTGGACTGAGTGAAATTGTCTCTGAACGATGACCAGGAGCATTTATGTCCTACAAACAGGTTTGCACTTCCTTTCTGGGTGCGACATTTCTCGTTCAGTTTTGCTATCAGAAGTATTGGACACTGATCCACGTATTCTAGACATAAATCTGCATGACCACCCATGGGAGTCGGTGCATGGAGTGGCTATGTTTCGCTTCCCAAAGAATTCCTGAACAACATGGAGAACATGAGCGTGGACTACGATATCAACCTGTTCTTTTGGTATTTTGGTAAGTGTGCTTGTTTCGCGATTCGTGTCGTGTTCCAGCGCGACAAAGGCTAACATTAACTCTAACAGAGGCTCGACACAATCCCTCCAGTGCTCCTACATCGATATACCTAGGAGGAGGCCCAGGCCGTACCTCTCTTGACTCAATGTCAGGCTTTCCGTGCAACATCAACCCAGACTCGAACAGCATGAAGCTAAATCCGCTCTCCTGGAATAAACATGTCAGTATGCTATATATCAATCAGCCTGTGGGAACTGGCTTTTCATATTCTTGTCGATTGAATGGGACTCTTGAAATGACCAATCCTGATCGGCCACTATTCACTCCTCTGGAAGATGGTGAAGAGCTGCCCAAGACCAATGCGTCCGTCATGGCTGCGACTTTGGACTCCAGGTCTATGGCAACGACACAGAACACGACCGCACAGGCCTCGCGGACCCTGTGAAATTTGCACAAGTTTGGTTCCAGGAGTGAATCATCGGAAGAAATTCCTTTGAAGACTATTTTCTTACACCGAAATCAGATTTCCGGACTATAGAACCACCAACAAGAAGGTCTCGCTGTGGGGAACGTCGGTATGAGTTTCCGAACCCAAGAAGAATCGTTTCATCGGAATCTATATTATCTCTAGTATGGCGGATTCTGGGGCACAAGAATTTCCTCGCATGTTATTTACCAGAATGAACTGATCTCCTGTGCTGATGTTAATGCGACAAGCCTCCCACTTGGCTTACTTGGCATCGGCAATGGCTGCATCGATACAAGGCTCAAGCTGCCAGCTTCCCTCACATCGAATACAACAACACTTATGGGATTCAGCTTTACAATCATACCATGTACTCGGTTTTGATGCAGAATGTGACTGCGCCCAAGACAGGCTGCTATGACCTCGTTGATCAATACCGAGTAGCTGCTGCCGAGGGTGATTCGACTGGCCAGGGTACAAATGAGACTGTCAACGCAGCTTGTCAAACTGCCTCAGCTGTTTACTTTGTTCAGGTCCTGGAAGCGTATATGGTCGTCACGAACGGGAGCACATCTTTATATCTGAAAAAATGCATTCCAATGCGGTGCTAATAATCACGTTCTCAGTGCTCGCAATTTGATCTCGCTCGTCTCCGAATCGACTCTGATGAACCTAACTACTTCAACGGCTTTTTCAACCAACGATGGGTACAAGAGGATCTTTGGTGTCAGAGTCAATTCCACGGCGGATGACTATTCCTACTAAGCTGCGATGTTCGGGCTAACAGGCAATTCCATGGTCCAAGACATGTCTCTTCTTGAAAAGGTTCTTGATCATGACATCAGTGTTTCATTCGTCTATGGTGACCGTGACTATCAATGCAACTGTTAGTTTTTCAGCCACATATTTCGCATGACACAAAGACAAACGAATGCAAATTTACGGGGATGGGCGTTGAAAACATCTCCCTCGCCGCGGGCTTCCATTCAGCTCCATCTTTACGCGCGGCCGGATATGAAGATGTGAGGACAAACAAGACCTACAAGGGTGGTGTCGTTCGCCAGCACGGAATTTCTCGTTTTCGCGTCTTTCAAGGAGGCCACGCTGTTGCAGCATATGAACCCGAGACCATCTATCGTATTTTCCAGCGGAGCATGTTTGGCCTTGATGTCGCCACTGGGCATATCAAGACCGATTCACACTATAGCTCGAAGGGTCCGCGGAGTAACTGGCACATCAAGAATCAAATCCCTGTGGAAAACAGAGAGACTGTCAGCTACACGTATGCGGCGACTGAAATACGTGCACCGACGAGCAGCTCGAGGCTTTGGAGAATGACACGGCTGTCATTGAGAACTTTGTTGTTATTAATCCGACAGGAACCAGCTTGCTTGAGGAGTTCGGTAAAGGATGCAGTGAAACACAGCCTGCAATTACTTAGCAGCGAGCAGCTGAGAGTGTCAGATGCTCTCATTTTTGGTCAAGATTATTTGAAATATGAAGGAGATAATAGATATTGGGTTATCATTCTTGTGGAGACTAATACTGCCCTCGCATAAATTACTATGCAAGAAAAAAGTCAATGAGCCGGTCAAAGCCAGAGGTAAATTCAGCGTCGAAAGATTCGGTGCATGTTTTTATACATGAGAGAAAAAGAAACGCCTTACAAGAATTCCGACAATGGCATTTCACACAAAAAACGCAAATCCCATAAAACCGACCTCGAGGCTGTACAAAAAGACGCGGTTTGCTGGTGTTTCTGATGCCGTACCAGAAAATTCTAGTACGGAAAAGAATTGCCACGCTTCCCACTTGTGTTCAGGCAAGCTGTGATTTTTGGGCCCACTTAAACATGCGTAGAAGGAGGATCCAGATCCTCGATATGTTCGTGTTGCAAATTGTTCAGATAAAACCGTTTCCCATTGGGATGAAACTTCCCGTCCGTGTTCCATCCCGTCCATTCCATATGTCGAGCCATCCGCAGATGGTATATTATTCATTTCCCATTGTGTCGTCGGTAAAAAGTGGTAAAAAGGTGTCGTCGCAATAAAAGGAGGTGGCGTGAAATCAGATGAAAGTAAAGCATAAACGGCGTGTGCGGTAGTGTTGAGACTGGTCAAATTTCTCAAGGTTCGTCATCAGTCAGCTTTCTAATCAAACTGATGCTGAGAATCATGACCAGTAGACCGATCGTGACGACCACCAGTAACACAAATCCGAACCAACCAAGCACCATAGCTGAGGTTCCGACGCCGCTCTTGACGACACTATTCCCCATGTCTTGTGCAATCGTACTTGCTGCAACAGAGGCAGTGTGCTGCCATAGTACCGAGACCAGGACAAACACAGAGGCGACGAATATCAGAGCTAGCGCAGCTTGCGAAACGGGCCGTGAAGGGAAGGGCTTGATTTCCACGTCCGAGCCAGACTCGTCGCGCTCCTCGTGCCAGCCGGGGAATGTTGCGAGTAGGATGAAGCAGAAGAAGGCTAGGACAACAGCGACAATACTGAGAAAAAATTAGCATTGGTTCGGCACAAACAAAAAGATTCTATCCTTGACTCACAGAAGGTACGGGAACACGACCGCATCTTTGAAAGTGGAGGCGACCCAGATCAGGTTGAGTGGATCTTGGTCCACAGTAACGATCTCCGCCAGCGCGGTGGCATTGGAGTTGCAAATGAACGAGCCACCGTCGGGCTGAACGCAGATACCGAAGTACCCAACACGGACCTCCAGCTCAGCTGCACCGACAATATGTGACATGGCCGATGACACGCCGGGTTGGACTTGAGCCAAATCGAATATCGGCTTGTAACTTTCATAGTACATCGAAATCAAAAAGATGTTGGGTATTTGGGGAGAGGATGAAGAGCATCCGGCCAGCAATAGTGCTAAAAGAGGTTAGTCACATTCCAGACCAAACGTGGGGGCCAATTGTGTGAGGCGTTGGCCACTTACATAGCAGGATGATTGCTACTGCGATAATGATCATGAGAACATGGTGGTACCCGATCATGGGAATGAATCCTGATAGTTTGTTAGCTTTCCTGCTCCGTTTCTGACGATAGGTAACATCGGGAGTCACTTACGGGCCCATGACTCTGCGAATCGAATAGCCATCGCGACCAACTAGGGCGCGCAAACGGCCTACCTCTGTCTCGCGCGTCAAGTGACTCGCTTCTCGGCGCTCCGAGAAGGAGTATTCGAATCCGACCTCAGAGACAAAGCTCTGGTGCTTACCGTATAGCGATATCGGGCTTGTTGATCGTGAGAAGTGGTTCCGATTGTCAACGATAGTTGGAATGGAATGCCGAGGAGGAATGCGGGAGATGAAGATGCGAAGAGTTCGGAATTTCGTTTGAACGATTTCGTCGATACTTCAACTTGCCAGGCAGGGACAGTTGAAGGTGCTGTGGCCTATCGTCGGGTCCGAATCGCACCTATATGCAAGTCTCGACGCGGTCAGAGGTCTGGAAGTCGCTCTGGACAACAAGTGTGAAGATGGTGGAGGAAGGAGAGGAATGTGTAGAAGGAATGGAAGGGGGAGGAAGGGAGAAAGATCGTAGCTGCAATTCAGAAAAACCACGTCAGGCGCAAACCGTGAAGTCCATGTCTCGAGAGGCTGGGGGTGGAGTAGAGTATAGTAAACAAAGAGGCGGTTGGCCCAGCCTCCTCTATTTCCACGGTAACCAAGCCACACCGCCTCCTACTTGGAGAGTTCTGCCAGGGACTCCAAGCTGCCACTAGTCCCCGATAGGCATAGTTACCTTCTCGATAAGGTGCGCCCCACCGCGGGTCACATCCCCAGCCTCATAGTTTTCTTGGTGGACTTATAATTGTCGCAATTTAAAGATCTAGGACGGGAGAGGGACGGGAGAGCGGGTAGTACAAATTCTGTAGTGTATGCGCTGAATTTAACTAGATGCTTATGACAATTGATAACAAAAGCCCCTGAAAGCTTACCATTGCGCCCCAATAAGAATCAAAGTCTAGACCATATGCATTGATGCATGCCCGAAATAGAAAACGTCTTAATCCATACCACGTTTACTCCCGAACCAAGCCAAAATATGCATAACTTTCGTAGTTAGTTCGCGGCAAACGAGAAGCGCTTCAAGTCCAAAGGCTTCGTTGCCGACATGCTCGATTCCTCGTCTTCGTCCTCATCCTCGCTGTCGGGAATAATAAGATCCTCACTGCCTTGTGCACCGCCCCCCATGATGGAACTCGCATCTGACATCGATTCTGAAGAGTCGGCCTGTCGAAGCTTTGTAGGGAAATTGATGCTTTGAGACCGGGTTAAGGCCGCTTGCCCCATCCGCTGCAGTGGGGTCAGTCGTCGTCGCAGAGGTGATCGGTTTTGGGTACTTCCGACAGGAGTTCTGGGCGAACCCAAGGGCGCTGGTCTATTGTGAGACTGAATGACGGGCAGCCGAGTCATCGGAGAGTGAGGCGAGGCGGTCTCTGTTGGTGGACTAGACTGAAAAGTGAACTTGGAAAGTATGTTCGTGTTCTGTCGCTGTACATGATATTCCAACGCGCGATCAAAATCAGCGTCTTGATTCGTCTCGGCTGGTGTATGCTTCGTTTTCTCCGTTTTCTTAGTCACAGAAGGGGGACCAGCAGGGATCTTGTCACCCTCGGCCTGTACTGATTCCTGACTAGTCGATGGTTGTGATTCTGAAGACTCGGCGTTGGAAGATGGATCAGGAATTTTGGAAAAGATATCTTCGGCCAATTCGTCTGAAAAGACGTCCATAACCGACTTCCGTTGCTTCTTCGTTCGTCCCATCTTTTGTCCGCTTGGACTCACTTGGTCCGCCTTGGGGCTGAAGTAACGACTGCGAAAGTCGGGACATGCCGGGAGCGAGTCATCTTCCGTCTCGGAGCAGAGCCTCTGCCGCTTGATGGGCTGCAAAGTGGATGCGCGAGCCGACTGAGTGAGCGTGTTTCGTTCAACGCTGCGTATCATGGGGCTGAGACCAGCTTGGTCTGAGAAGGCACGGAGAGGGGTATTTCTTGTCGAGTTAGATCGCAAGGGAGCTGAGTTGGTTTGCCAGGAGTTGTTCGCATTCCGTTCCAGGAGCCTCTGCTGACTTGGGGACGGGGTGAGACTGTTTGGGTCCAACTCGCCCAGCGGTGTCCGCTTCGGGGTGAAGAACGAATTGATGGGTTTCTTCGGCTTTAGCTCTGAAGAGGAACCCAGTGTCTGGCGACGACTGATACCAAGAGGTAGTTTACCTGCAGCCACCGGCTTCAACTCAATCGGCTCCTTGTTCGACGGGTCCAGGTCTCCACGTGCGACTCCGGCTGCAACACTCGCTTCCACATCACTGCCGATAAAAGGGAGCTCGTTCAGGTTGACGCCATCATCCGGCGCCGTCAGAGTCACCAGCTTTTGGGCAGTCGGGCAGAAGACACGTTGATAGAGGAATGTCAGCTCGGCCTGCTTGAAGTTGGTCAGGTAGTCAGCAGGGACTTTGAATTGGCCATCGAACTGGATCATGCGCAGAGCCTTCTCCACAGTCTTGTACTTCCGGATACTGCGATATGCCGTCTTCAGTCCCATCTTGGGGATATTGGCCAAATAATCACAACCACTTAATATGCACATGCGGCGAAAATCTGCATCACTCCATCCGACCAAGCTGACCTCCCGACAGGCCGTGAAGTCCGCCCGGTTGATTTCAATGCATTCGCCATGCGGGTCCAGTTTAGACAGCAGTCGCTTTGCACCAAACACAAGCAAATCGGAATCCTCTGAAATGATTCCATCGATATGTCCTTGTTGCTCCAGATACACCAATTGAGCATCGGCTTCATATGGTGCCACCACATACTGTACATCCATCTCCTTCAGCTCTTCAATGAGCTGACGGGCCATGTAAGGAGTCACATCTACAGCCTTTTGGAACTCCTGGTAGGCCTCCGGTACTTTGCCCTTTCGTTGTAGTTCGAGTCCGAGAGCTTTGCTTTCTTGTCGTTTTCGGTGCCGGTCCTGTTCGGTGCCCGATTTGCTAGGAAGATTGTCACCGTCGAATACGAGGTAGGGTATCACTCCAAAGTAGAGGAGCATGCGAACGCGGTTTAGGACGAAATCGATGTGTCTGAAACAGGATTAGCTTTCCATTTGACCATTGCTATGTTGCCAAGTGCATTCTTACTTTCTGGTAGGCCGGTCCAGAACCAGATCGACCGAACAGGCCACCGTCCCGCGGTGAAGCCATCCATATGCGTCGACTCCAAGTGTTTGGCCGCTAAACTTCTTCAGATGACATGGTTTTTGAATGGACTTGAGGAGACCGTGCAGCCCTATATTCCAAGTTAGCTCAACCCTTCCGAAAGGCCTTCCTTCCGTCTCAAGAAGACACAAACATACCTTTGATACCCATGGTGGGCACCGGTCAAGAAACAGGCGGGTCCTCGTATCTACTCAAGAAACAATAACATGCGTTTCAATATTTGCAAGGTGCAACGCGAGGTGACTGAAGAAGCGAGAATAGAAGGAGAAGGACCGAGCCAGATCACCGAGTAAATACCTCCATGGCTGGTGCTGGAATGTTTGTTCAGGTTTGTCCCCCTCGACGCGCAGACGCGATGGCTGGCGATTGCGGAAGGCGGTGGTGGGTGCGACCGCCCGATTCTGCAGGCACGCCGAAAAATAATTGTTCGGCCGATGGAGGGACGGCAACCACCCACGCCACCATGCCTTCTCGCACTCTGCAGAAGGTGCACAAGCACATTTCCAAGAAGCGCGGCGTTGTCAACTCACTGCATGAAAACAGCCGCGATGCCCGTCGATTGCGCCGCGCCGGCCACCGAGACGAACGCCTCTCCAAGCATGCCTCAATCACTATGAGGGCCCGCCAGCCATACGGTCAGTGCTGTCGCATTAAATCAGATTAGCTGTACTGACTATCCTCAGTTGACCGTATTGAATTTTTCCATGACTCCGTTCAAGCCGTTTCCGAACCCATGTCCGAAGCCGAGTTGGCGGAACTGATCACCAAGTATGCATGCAACCTGAGGCTAATGGCTGAAAGTGAACGGTACTAATATCTTATAGCTACATCAACCGGGACTTAGAGGAGATTGAGCAACTCACGCAAGAGCGTCGCAAGGGCCGGCCCCCAAGCAAACGGGAAGAGGTCCTGAAACAGCGGACGGAGACGGAGGACAAAGAATTCAAGACTGGGTTCTGGGCGCCGGACTTGACCGAGATGGATGTCTTGCTGGCATTGAAGCACTGGAATGGCGAATGGTCTGGACTCAGTACTATGAAGTTTATTCGTCTGGTCCAAGGAGGCGAGAAGAAGGCATCAACCTTCCCGCCCAAGGGCATGTCATGATTACGGATATCCTCTAGATCGTCTTTGCGTTGTTTCCTGGGTGGCCGAGTGGTCTGGGCGTATTTGGTGCACAAAATTCGATTCTCGTACATTTCTACCAATGAAGCGTATTATAACGGATAGATTTTATTGAATCGTAGATATTCACAATCAAGTTTGTATTTTGTGTCAATTTGATCAGGCCGATAACAAAACAAGCGGCAGATCTGCATAGGCGGTGCCAGCGGAGCCGGCCTTGGCGCGGCGTCCTCCAGCTTCATCCGCAGCATTTTCTCCTCGACCCGAAGCTTCCTCCATCCAAACCACTCCCCCATCTTTATCATGCTGTCTCTTCGCGCTTTCTCTCGTGCTGCCCCGCGCTTCTCGCGCTCCATCGCCCGCACTTCCCTGCGCCCGGCTGTTCTCCCCAAGTCGACTTTTGTCCAGCCATGGAAGCAAGTTGCGAAACCCGCCTTCGCTTCCTTTTCCACGACCAGCGTCTTCCGTGAGCCCGCTGCTGAGAGTGAGTCAATTATCTCTCGATTCTCAATCGCGATTGCGATGGTTCCAAATGGTCATATTCCAGACCTGTGGAATCATTTGTTAACTATTGAATGTTCTTCCGACAGGTGACGTGGAGCTCATTGCTAAGCTCGATGAGGAACTCAAGCACGAGAAGGCTTCCGGTGTTGAGGATGCCCGTGAGCAGAAGGCTAGCATCGACTACGTTCTTGAGGCTGGTGAGTGGAAGGCCAAGGACATCGAGGGCGAGCAGGAGGTTGTCCTGACCAAGAAGTTTGGCAACGAGACGTAAGGTGACCAACTTCCCAATCTGATCGCATAGAAGCTAACAAGATCTTTCAATTCAGTGTCAAGGTTACCTTCACCGTCGCCGATATCAACAACCTCGCCGAGGACCCCATGGACGACCTCTCCGACGAGACTCTGGGTGATGAGGGCGAGTACCAGGGCCAGCAGAACAAGGACGTCGAGGGCGAGGATGATGTCCTGCCCCCCACCTTCCCCGCCCGCATCAATGTCGCCATTGAGAAGCCCACCAGCGGTGCCCTCCTGGTCCAGGCCGTCATCCAGGATGGTGACCTCCAGATCGAGGAGATTTCCCACTTCGCCAACGCCGAAATCGCCAATGCTCAGACCGCTGAGAAGGACTGGACTCGCCAGAGCCTCTATGCCGGTCCCCCCGCCGAGAACCTTGACCCTGAGCTGCTTGCTTTCTGGGGCCGCTACCTCGAGGAGCGCGGCCTGAACCTCGAGTTCCAGAACATGGTCACCGACTACATTGCCTACAAGGAGCAGAAGGAGTACATGCGCTGGTTGGAGAGTGCGTATTCCCTTTCCATGAGAATTCCCATGTCCTTTTGCTAACATTGGATACTTTAAGACGTCCGCAAGTTCGTTGCTGCGTAAGCAACCAATTAGTATGAACTACCCTCACCTATCGCTTTTTTGAGAAGCCGTCCGGGCTCTTCCTAGGCGCGTCTCTTTACTCATTGTGTTGTAACACCTCCTATAACCCTATCTGTCAAGTGTGGCGCCTGAAGCCCATTCGGCCAGATCTGTACCAATAATACTCCTAACATATGAACAATCGACTTTCCTACTCTTCATCCGCATTCCGTACTAGAGTCCAATTACACGCAGCCAATCAATACTAAAGCCCAGTTCCAAGAAGCCTGAGGAGCCACTCCCCTGCTCATCTTGGATATTGACTTCCTCCGGTCCAGGCTGGCCTGCCAGTTTGGTCGCTCGCACGGCGGCTGTCCGCTCCACCAGCTCGTTCAAGGGTTTCTCCAAGGCCGTATCTTTCGGGAAATTTTGCTGCCACTGAACCAACATCTTTGTGACCAAATCCCAGGCGTGATCGGTCTCTGGGCACAACGGATGAGTACATAACTCTGAGAGAATATATGCCATGACGTGCCACTGTCTATAGCTTTTGCACAGCCAACTCCATTGCGCAGTGACTGAATTCGTCTGCAATAGGTAGGAGAAGTTGACGCCTTCTACAGCAGTCTCGAATGCTGTGTCGTTGTAGGGGTCCGTCATTGGTAGTGTGTCCGAGGGTATTTGCACCAGCAACCATGCCCTCGACAGCTGAAGCCGGATAATGGTTGCAGATATCCATTGCAAGGGAATGTTCAGGTCCATGTGTCTCAAATACTTCTCCTGTAGAGTTTTGCCCACTTTCGTGACACGCTCTTCTTGAACTCGGAGAGACATCGGTAAACTCTGATCGAGTGATGTCGAGGACCAGTATACATCGTTGAGGACCATGCATGTCATGATGCAGGGCGTGATATCTGTGAATATTTTCGTTACAGGCGGTATTCCGGCCATATCTGGAGAAAGTTCATCTCCATCAATATTCGATGGGAACTGTGCGTCAAACATGCCAGGTCTGATTTGAGTATCAACTGCTTGGTCCTCGGAGGATAGCGTATCCAGTATGCAGATGTAGCACCATAGCCGGCGACGAATCTCGGTTTCGAAGGGTGTCAGACCGAGTTTTTCCCCGTCACGATGTACTTGGAGGCTTTGAGCAAGGCGGATGACAACTGCTGCCTTTACCCAGATGAGCCTTGTATTCCCGCCGGCTCGAGAGCATAGCAGAAAGAGCACTGCAGCCTGGAGTGTCGATATATCCTTGGACTTGAGGAAATCTGCATCATCCAGGGCCCTTTCTACAGCATTTCCGTAGTCCTGCCTTGCAACATAACGCTCCTGGCCAACCTTGGATTTGCACTCTTTGGGTGTCATACTGATCACAGCTGAAAAGCAGATTGAAAATAGCAATGCTTTCTGTGCGGCGTTGAGCTCTACGCCGTCAACCGCATTGCTAATCAATTGACGTGTCGTGGGTATGTGGAGGATAGCAACCAATGGCGCGACATTATCTTGATACAATGTCCATAAAGCCTTACTCTGCCCAGGCTGGAGATATTGGTGCCGAAAATCATCGTCCGGCTTCAATTGGCTGTCCGACAATTCCGTCCCCGGTAGGCCGAATACATTGGAGCCACTGTTTTGGATAGTCCGCTGAGCAGCCTTCTCAGAGTCGCTATGCGACTTTTTAGACCGAAGCTCCTGCACCTCACTCTCCAGATCTTTGAGGCGCGTAAGCAGCTCGCCCACTGGCAGACGGTTCAATTGTCGTGGAGCGCGTTTGTCACCGGGGAAGACACATTCCTCCCCGGCCTTGACACAGGCTGTACATGGATATTTTCGACTGCATTTCACTTTCCTTGCATTGCATCTCGTGCAACTCCCGCTTGTGTAGTGCTGCTTTGGTTCTCTGGTGTTCTTCGGTCGCCGGGTGCTCGAGGGTCACCAAGTCGCGAGATACCCCTCAAATGCCAATGCGGTCATGGAATCAGGTATGAATCCGCTCACATGGAGCGAACAGTGCTGGCATACCAGGTGTCGTGATCACGCCCATAATTCCACCGGTTCGTGTTCTGGGTTGGTGTGGGGGCCTCGCGCGGTTTCGGGGTTGAACCCAAACCCGAGATTATCAATTGATGACGTCTATTATCAATCAAACTAAACCTTACATCTCATTTCTTCGCCTTCCTTTTCTCCCATTGCGTTATAGCCGCAGTATTTCCCTTAATCTAATTTCAATATTCTCCATCTTACTCGTTTTTTTCAAACCTCTTTTTCTCGCCCAAGATGTCTCGAGCTGTGCTCATCACCGGCGCCACCGGCAAACAAGGGGGCAGCGTGATTCAAGCCCTTCTCGACCAAAATGCAGATTTTGAAATTCTCGCAGTCACCCGTGATGCTTCGTCAAATAGTGCGCAGAAGCTCCAGAGAAAGTCCACGAATATCAAGCTCGTTGAGGGGAATCTGGATCAGCCAGAAGACATTTTTATCGCCGCCGAGAAGGCTACATCGCAGCGCATCTGGGGGCTTTTTTCCGTGCAGGTACGAGATAAAATCGGCTATGACATTAAAAACATATCCGAGTGTTTCTAACACCATTTTAGGTTCCCGCCACGGGGAGTTCAAATCAGGACATCGAAGAAAAGCAGGGCAAAGACCTGGTCGATGCCGCCCTGAAGCATAATGTCAAGTTTTTCCTATACTCGTCCGTTCAACGGGGCGATAACTCATTTGAGAATCCCACGCCTGTTCCCCACTTTATCAGCAAACACAACATTGAGCATTACCTTGTCAGAAGAGCCGAAGTCTCGGGGATGGATTATACGATTCTGCGACCGGTCGCTTTTCTCGATAACTTTACTCCGGACTTCTTTGGCAAGGTCTTCACGACCTCTTGGAAAGTGGCCCTCAGAGAGAAACCTTTGCAGGTCATATCAACCAGGGATATTGGCTTTTTTGGTGCAAAGGCATTCCTGAATCCTGACCAGTATAAGGGAAAGGGTCTTTCGCTTGCTGGCGACGAACTCACCTTTAAAAAGATGGCTGAGATCTTCAAAGCCAAAACTGGCAAAAACGTGCCTTTGACTTATGAATTCATCTGTCGGTTTCTCATGTGGATGATGAAGGATTTCGGTTACATGATGCAGTGGTTCTACGACGTTGGGTATGGCGCAGATATCGCCGCTATGCGGGAGATCCACCCCGGTTTGAAGACCTTTGAGGAATGGCTTGAAGTGGAAAGCGAATTTGATACCAAATAATGTGCCTTGGGGACTCTTTTTTGCTTCTCGACTGTGCATTAATGTAAATTATATTTTGTGCTGCCGTATTAATCGCTTAATTCCCAATACTCAAACACTGGAAACAAATAAGAGTATTTCACGATTCAAGGGTGAAAGAGGACCCCATTTTGCTTAATTTCAACTAGCTAGTTACTTATAATCTGACTTAACTCCAGACCAGGCCCCACCGATAGGTGGCAGTGTTTTTCTCCGGGGCCTAATGCTGGGGTCTGGACTAGATGGCCACCCAGCTCGGAGCGCTGCAGGATAACGATGACCCGATGTAATTTCCGCAGTCTTTTCCGAGCTTTGAAAATTCACAAGTTTATCGGGATGAAGGAATGACGAGAAGATGTCCAACGAATCAGGTCTGGCTATAATAGGCCGTGCGTTTTGAAAGCCAGAGGAGCCAGATGACCTCTGAGTCGGCTGCATAGAGGTTGATCGTGAGTCCGAAAAGTTTCTAGAACCCCATCTCGGTACGTTTGAAGGCCTTGAGAGCTGTAGAGTTTGTTGGGAAGAGCTTTCGGGGCCTGACAGAGCTTCGTAATCATCAACGCCGCGATACTCCTTGATCACCGGCTCCTCGGTCATCATGCGTTTCACATGGTCAGCTCGACTCCCTTGTTCCAGTGCAAGCTCGGCATCAGTCTTTCCCATTGTCTCATGCATGTACAGTTCAAAATGATGGCTTGTTTCTGCGACTGTTTTGAAGTGCCTTGCCTTGAGCTCGCCTTGTAAAGATTCGACGACAGCATCAGGCACTGCCTCTTTCTCGCGCTTTTTGGCAGCGGTGCGCATTTCAAAGCGCGCCAGCGCCGCAGCAATCTGGAAAGCATTGCGAATATGTCCGTCGTTACATCTCCCTTTTCCGTGCTGATGCTTTGGCCAATGGCTAAATGCAAAATCCAAGACTTCCTCTTCATCCACTTTCAGAGGCAATAAGACGACGCCGTCCGACCTTCCACCACTATGAAGTGCTTTTTGGCGTTCGTTCTCAATTTGAGTCAGCTTCCTTATGTTGATTCTCCAAATACCTTCGGTCTGCTTCCTGCTCAGCGGTGGATAGTAAAGAATGACGTGGATCCGGGATTTAAAGGTCTCGTCAAACCTTCCAACTCTATTGGTAGTCAAAAAAGAACTCCATTGTAGCACTCGAGGATGCGTAGAAACTCTTTTTTGGTTATCTTTAGGCCGATGCTTGTCGTCTGTGGACTTGAAAAGCCCACCTGACACCAGTGCGTTTCGCTTCAAATCCCAGGTCGACCTTTGCGACAAGAAAACATCGCTTCGTCCATCAACAAGACACAATCCCACCAATGAGCCAGTCATAAAATTTCCTTGAGAGAGGTTTCCAAATCCGACGGAGAGAATCCAAGGTCCCCACAAGTGATAGTAAACAGTGGCCTTTTTTTCGCATGTGCGAATGCCTCCGCAGTAGAGCTTTTCCCAACCCCCGGGACACCATGCAATAGGATCACAAGCCCTCTCCCCTTGTTCTGGATAATGTCTTGACTGATGTTTGCCAAATGTGGATCTCTTTCAACCTTCTTTCTTTCAAAGTGCGAATCAAGTACCGCGTTGATCATTTTCTTATGCTCCTTGGCAATGAAGATGTTCTTCAATTGTTCGCCTCGATCTGCGACAAACTTCAGCTTGTGAATGTCCACTGCAACAAAATCTTGTTCTTCGAGTTTTCGAATTGGAATCTCGCCGAGCTTTCTGCGTCTTTCACTTTGGTTCTTGAGGAATTTGTCGTTTTGGAGGTTGGACTTCCGCTCTATTGTGTCGACAAATGCGCCCGGGTAAATCTCGTCTTGGAAAGTTCCCGCTACGTCATTTCGATCTTCATCTCTCTATACTGTTCCTGGGACCTCATCTGATACCAAAGGGAAGGATTCTTCCGTGTCGTGCAGAGCCGGTATATGTGGAGCAGCGGCCCAACGCGGGTGGGCCTTCAATGCCTCGACAAAATCCACGATCACATCACTGTCGATATATTCCAGGTGGTCGTAGTCCCCGATGGTCCAGCCTTTGTAAGACAGATGTTTCTCTGTGACAAAATCTTGGAACATCTTCCCTTGGTCATATACTTCCTGCAATATTCGGAGGTGATCATGGGCAAATCGAATGGGATAAATATCAAGCGATTGGATATTCCTGTCACATTCGAAATATGGGATCACAATTTTCTCCTTGACCGGGATATACGACATTCCATCATGGTCAATTGAATAGCATCTGACGAGCACTTTGTCATTTGAAGAATATCCATCTGTTCCATGATCTGGGTAGCTGATCGAGTACACCCTCATCACTCACCTGCTTCTGAAAGACCTCTCCCTTGACTTTCCATTCGTAGGGTCCGGCGCATTCGGATTGAAAAGTAGCTCTCCGGGGCGAAAGAGGCACCACAGGTCGTCGAATCTGACTATGTGGGTTGTACCTTGGCTGTTTGTAACCTCGTATTGGCGATAAAGCGGCATCAATTCGCTGTCGACAAATTCAACGTACACCCGCATGGCTCTCAGAGCCTCAACACTGCCCAGGATGGCGGCAGTTCCGGTGCTATTAGAGATGTTCCTTTTCCGTGGAGTGCCAGGCTCAGCTGGTGCGGCTCCGATGTTTGTGCTTGCGGCTCTACTTTCAATTGTTATATTGTAGAATGCAATTTGACATTGATTTCATTGACTCGCGGGTATATCGGGAAGCGCAATGTCTTGAACAACTTTGCGATACTTTTTGCAAACTTGTTGAACAGCTTCCAGTGGACACCTGTGTCTTTTGTGTCATTGATGGTGTTTCGCTCTTTGAGGGAGATGTCTGGCTGCCTGAGTTGCTTCTGGTGTTCGAGAGGCTCAGCGATATTGCGCACAGCCGACATTTACGATCAGAGTTCAAATTATTGTTGACTAGTCCGTTTGCCAGTCGACAACTTGGACAACGAGTTGCGAGTTTCCAGCGGTTGGTCCTGCAAGGGAGCACAATCAATGGTCTTTTGATTTCTCAGAGGGCTCTGGGTACCGAGCGCGCTGTTTCAAACATGTACAGGGCTTTTCAGCTTCGCGTACAAGGAGAGGATGAAGATTCTCCCGATGATTATGAGTAAGACTGGAAGGTGGAATTATCACGGAGTAACGAGCTTCTAATGCGAAAAACAGTGGTTGCCTCGGTATAACACCAAAAACGCCTTAGGGGCTAACCGGAAGTCAAGGGAGATATACGCAGCCCCTTGAATATGAATTACAAAACGTAAGATCGTAACGTATGGGTCAGAATGCTCAGAACTCCATTGGATCGGCTTTCACTGCAGGTGCGGTTTCTTCACGCTCTCGCTTGACTGCCCGCTCCTCCTTAAGAAGGCCAGCGATGAAAGACCGGAAGAACTCGATATACGGCTTCAGGCTGGTCTTCTCATAGTCCTGCATTTTGCGAGTGCCGCCCTTGACATCCGAGTCGTTCACCGCACTGCCCTCCGCGTCGGGCATCTCAGCTTCTGTAGTGCCAGCCGGATTCTTAGCATCATATGCGTCGATTTCGGTCAGCAATTCCATAACGGTTGGGACCGAGAGGGGATCAAACTCTTCCGCCTTGCGTGGGTCGATAGGTACACAGATTCGACCGGTCCCAGGGTGAATGACAAATGGACTCTTCAACAAGTGAATCATCTTCTTACTGACTTCGGCATCAAGACGCGGGTATGTGTATTCCAACACAATATCTTGTTTCGCGTCGCGAAGAGTGGCTGTATTCAGTGTACTGCTCTTTCCAGTCTTTGCCAACGAATCGATGTCGGCCCATTTGCTGGCGCTAGGACGATCGGGCGAGGAATCCCATTTTCTTCGCAGAGCGTTGTTTAGAGACTTGTCGGGGAGTAATGTCAAAAGCCGATCTGCCTGTTCAGAGCTTGCAAAGGTATCCTGATCGACCAGAGTAGTTTGTGCGAAATTATTCTTAAGAATGTCGAGACTGCGCGCAACATGAGGATGCAGTGGTCGCTTAAGGTTCACCCGTTTTCCGCTCTGAGAGCCTCCGCGTAGGATTTCAAGGTAACCGGCGATGGCTCGACGTCGGTCGTCTGGCAGATTGCGTGCACGAGGGTCACACACCCAGGCGTGAGCACCACGACGACCGGAGTAGACCCAAAGAATATGTTCGAATCCAAAATCCTCGCGCAAGGCCGTATCGATAACCTTGATTGCCATCGTAACGAACGCCCAACACTTAGCACAAATGTTTGCCTTCTGACAACAAGTTCGAATATCGTCGTAATCCGTCATATCGATATCGAAAACCAGTTCCTTGGAGACAGGCTTCATCTGACCGCCTCGAAGTGTTTTGCGATCGCGAGGGTTTGTGCTGTAGACGGGCCCGATTTCAAAACGTGAGGGGTTCATCTTGAGGATATCCTTCCGAAACCTAGGAGTACTCCAGTTAGATCAAATCTGGCATAGTGCTGGGTATCAGGGCATCGGAATCGTACAAATCTGCGGTCGGATAGGACTGGTATCGAAGGTAGGCATCATTTTGGAGCGTCAAGGCAAACTCCCGGTTTCCGAAATCGCGCGTCGGGACAATCCCGTGGTTTAGCCATTGGAACAGGTATCGGAAGGGGAACAGTCGTTGATAGAAAGCAAGCATTATATCCGAGTCAACGCCAGAAGGAGCCGGTGTAGGCTCCGGCACTGAAGCTGGGGATGACTGCATCTTCATGTCCGCAGTGGAAGCAGGGAACTCCTCATTGTCGTCGTCGTTGAAAAGGTCCTCGAGCTTGACACCATTCTCCGCGGTTCCCTCGACGGGGGCATCCGGGAGTTCTTCATCATCCTTCCGAGGAGAATTAGCAGGCGACACCGAGTGCGGCATGGTGGACAGTGAAGTTGAGACGCGATCGGGGAAACCTGGCTGACCCGAACGGGAAGGCGATACGTGAGACGCGTGAGACGCGTCCTGCCCTAAGCCCTAAGTCACGTGCGTTTATACTATATGTCCGCAAACGGGCGACGCGTCTCTCTACAGATCAACCTACAAGGCTGAACGAAAAACGCCTTGGGAAGCAGCGACTCACATGGCCAACCGGTACTTCCGAGAGAACAAATCTTTTCGCCCTCCCGGTTTCTGGCCCTTTACCCCTTGCCGTTTGCGGCCAACTCTGACTCGGTGCCTGCCACCCTCCTGAACTGCCCTGGATGATAACGAGACTACCACAGGTAGCTAGGGTACCACCCATGGCCAGGTTTTGGTCAATGCTGGAGACCAGTTCGAGGAACCAATTGTCAAACCTGACTCGTGTTCTGGCCGATTTCGGTTGGTGGTGAAAACTTGGTGAGTGGGGAACAGTCTAATCCGGTATCAAGCTACCATCTCCTCGTCATGGATCGGAAGCATGGTCTTATTGACGAGAGCTGTCAGAATTTGCAACTACCACTAGCGCAAGCGATCACTTCCTAGATGGATTTGTTTCTATCAACTTCGAAGGATGGCCAGTGTTCCCCTCCAGCATTCCAACAGGCGACGGTACCAATGAAGAGAGAGCATTGCTGGCAGTGCCTTGGTTAACATTCCTGGACGCCTAGGAAAATCCTCCGATTTGTTTCTGGCCACACTTTCAGGGCATGGCTTGCACTCCGCCCCCACTGTCCATGCTCCCAGGTATCTCAGGAGGTAAAAGCCTGGCCCATCGATTTGTCCGGATTGGTGCTCGCAGAATTGCCTTGGCTGAATTTAGCCGGCTACATGGCGGGTAGTCCCAACTGATCATTAGTACTTCGGAGCTTCCGCATTCGTCACCAGCTCCATTGCCGAACTTGGGCTTGCTATCAATGGTCTTGTTTGATTTATTTGGCTCGAGCTGAAGCCCTCCAGCATTTCACGAGGGAATATCTACTTCAAGTCTGCAGACTGAAATGACTGACCTGGCATCTCAACTGACCACCGTCAATTGGCATTCGACTAATATGACTTGCAGATTGGTTTTGTAGATCATCCGTCGATAACTTTCCGCATTTGTTATCTTATGGATCCCAACAGGACTACTGACAGAAATGATACCCTATCTGTCCGATGTCACGTTTGCATTCCAATCCACCATTCAAAGGTATCATTGCCCCGCAGTTTCTGTCCTATCGTCATCAATGGGTGCCTCGGATGTCCGTGGTTCCGCTGTCACGGTTCCTGCATTCAGCCATAGACAGCAATATGTGGATCAGGTCAACATTTGCTCTACCATGGCAGCCCTCACCGTCATGACTTCTCTTGGATTGATTATCCAGTCCGAAAGAGCATAAAAGGTCGCACGTCCTGCGAACTCTCCTAACTATCTTTCTTCCACATCTTCACTCGTTTCATTTTTTCCAAGCTTGCTCTCAAGGGAAACCTCCAATCTCTCGACATGATCCCCTCCGTTGCTCTTGTGGCCCTTGCCGCCAGCCCGGCCTTCGCCGGTGTCATGCAGGCTCGTGGTGAGAACTGGGTTCGTCCTGTTGACGAGCACAAGTCGTCCACCCCCTGCACCACTACCACCCATCACTCCACCACCCCGTGCACCACCACCACCAAGCCTCACTCTAGCTCCGTGAAGCCCACTACCAAGACCATCACAGTTGTGACCACCTCTTGCCCTGGTATGTCTTGATGTCTTAGCCTTCTATATCGAACTATCTTTCTAACTTGACTGAAGTCACCTCGTCCACTGTCACCTCTGGACACAAGACCTTCACTGTCCCTGTCACTCAGACTAGCACCGTCACCCAGACCAGCACTATTGTCTGCACTCAGTGTGAAGAGATCCCGGCCACCGTCAATAAGGTCACTTCCACCCCTAGCAAGGCTCCCCCTGCTCCGGTTGTGAAGCCCTCCAAGCCGGCTGTTCCTTCCAAGCAGCCCTCTGCTGTTCCCTCAGCCCCTGCTGTACCCTCAGCCCCTGCTCAGCCCGAGATTCCTGCTCAGCCCGTGATTCCTGCTCAGTCCGAGACTCCTGCTCAGCCCGAGATTCCCGCTCAGTCCGAGACTCCCGCTCAGCCCTCGATTCCTGCTCAGCCCGAGATTTCCGCTCAGCCCTCGGCTTCTGCCCAGCCCGAGATTCCTGCTCAGCCTGAGACTCCCGCTCAGCCCTCTACCCCAGCTGTGCAGCAGCCCAGCGCCAGCGCTGTCCCCTTCACTGGTGCTGCCTCCAACACCAAGCCCGTTGCCGGCTTCCTGGCTGGTATCGTCGGCCTGATGGCTCTACTGTAAATCAGCTTCGAGTTGAGGATAGCCTAATCATTTCGATGTTTGGCTACATCCAAAAGCCCTGGTCTCTCTTGCTTTCTCGTTCGATCTTTGTGGTGGGGATCTGAGAATCTAGAATTCCAGGATGTTGTTTTCTTTCTGTGCTTGCTTGGTTGGTATGCATGTCGATTCCAGGCCCGCTTGATCTCTCGTTGACAAAACAGGAGATAAAGTTGCTGGGCCATATCGAGATTTTGTTCGTTTTCACTGCGTGTCAAACCTACATAATATATAATAGTAATATATAGGTATTGCTTGGATCTTTGTCTCTTCTATCTATCTGTATGACTTCTAGCTCGCCAATATACAGGGGCTTTCGAGATTTGAGATGCTTTCGTCTGATGACTTTGGTCTTATTGGCCGTGAACTTCAGATGAGTCCTGAGTGTCATGTCAATTCAAGTTTATCTTGAGTAGAGCTGAGAGCGAACTTGTTACATGGCTACGCCTTCGAAACCAAGAAATCAATCTCCTGCAATGCTTCAACCGCTGCTTCTACACGAATCTCCACCCCATTTGCAAGCTCTCTTCTAACAACCCCTGCTCGCGGCTCATAGAGGAACCAGCTATTCGAAGGCAGGTTCCTAACCGCAAAATTGACGTGGGTCCCCCGGTCAGCCCATTCTCGCAAGGTTGTGACCAGCCATTGAGCAGATGCATCCCAAATCCCACGCAAGCAATCCACTTCAGAAGATAGATCAAGCCCATCGACCCAAGGCATTTTTTCAATAACATCTTTTGTCCAAGGAGCTTCCCACATCTTCTTTTGACCATCCTCCACATTCAGACGAGCATATCCGATGGCAGAATTTTCTGAGAAGGGGTCCATATGCGTCCATTGGCCCTGTTCGTCTGTTGAAGTGTCGTTGCGAGGATAATGTAAGCCCCCATTTTCCCAAGTCGGGTTGAGGTTTTTATTGGTATATTCCAGGATACCTTCTAACTCCGCGGCCTTCCCAGTTCGGAGAGCCATTTTACCACTTACTCAAATGTCGGCTGCTTGTAAGGGAAGTTTATTGTGTGGCGGTTGGTTAAATAGTATTCACGCGCGGCTCTGAGTGTCTCTGGGGTTTCATTTTGTCCTTGTGTTGCACGAAGCGCACCAGCCACCATCGGATGTTGAAGCTCGAACTTTCCGTTGATATTGGTGATGAATCCAGACGAATGAGCTTTGTAGCCTGATTTCACAAAGTCAGAGTTCCAGGTGTCTATGAAAGATGCAGCCCTATATTTTTGTCAGACGTTAACGTGGCTCCGACGATTCGTGGCTATAGTGGGAATTACCAGGCAGTAAACCCGCAATCTTTTGCCCCACGAGTATGGTCTTGCTTCAGAACAAGCCAATCCTTAAATAGTTCTGTGTTTGCTATCATATTCTTGCTTTCTAGTGCTGCTCTGTACTTGTCCAGGACCCCGTCTATGACTTTCGTCCCATCACGAACATCATTGTATCTCATCGCAATCAACTGAAGTATCGTCAGCAAAACTCACCTCCATCTTCGACTCCGCTCATTCTTCTACATACCGGAAATTGATTGCAAACAACAAAGACAATATTCGGCTCGCAGCAGACCCCAACCCACCCATTCCGCTCCATCTCCTTCAATATAGCTTTCTGAAGGCTTCAATTATCATATTGAAAGCACTCGGGGCCCATGCCCTAGAAGAGAGGATTTCAACGGAATGACAAACTTCCGGGCTTCTCAAACTCGTCATTATCAACAGCATCGCATAAATACTCGTTATAAGCAGCAAATGTGCGCTATACATGACATTCTCTTGAACAATCGGATCCGCCCAGGGCTTGCGAAGCTCCTTGATATCGGGCTCCACAACGGATTCTGACTGCGAGGTTAGATACCAGTTGCCCCAGACTTCCCGACGAAGTATTTTGTGAATTAATCGGCGTATGAGTGGCTTGAATAGACTTCTCATCACCGGCATGCGGTGGTAATGCGTCACGCCCGCTGCATACGCCATTGTCGCAAGCTGGTAGCGATAGGCATCGAGGAAATCCTGGGCGGGTTCCTAAGCCTGTAGTCAATTCGTCGGAAAGTGCCTCGATCAACAGACCCAGTGAGATTTGCTCACGGGTTCGTAGGGCTTCGACGATGGGTGGTTGGATTTTGGGATCAGCACGCAATACAAGAGCATTTATGAGAGCAAGTAACGGACAAGGCCCGTTCTCATTTTGAACCAGGACGGGCGATTGAGATCCAGCTGGGGATATAGTAAGCCAGGGCATTCATACTGACTGTTCTCCACCCCTTTTAGCTCGGCGGCAAAGAATGGACCGCCGAAAAGGTCTTCAAGAACATCAAGGGATCTAGACCCTGGGCTTGTGGTACTGTTGGTTGGTACCAGGTTTGTTCATCCCATGATCCAGCATAAAGCAAAGAATTGAAGGCTCACAAGCTCATATAGGGAAGCGCATTCTTCCTCTTTCCACTTTAGAGCAAATTAAGCATGCACTTCAGTATGAAGGGCACATCGAGTTTCTTGCTGTGATCGAACACATGGACCTTGATTGACTATTGTACATATGGTTTGAAAGAGTTTCTGAGTGCGAGCGAAGTTTGCGGGCGGACGTGGATGATAAATGTATTGTATTTCGTTTGTCGTTGGCTAGGCAATGTCAGCATCCTCCTGTTATGAGTTTGAAGGAGGAAGAGAAGATATCCTACATTGGTCTCTATTGCCCCGCCTTTTGGATTACCGTCAACCCTCGGATTTAAGAAGTCCACTTGTCCTCATCTTGGCCGGTGTCGAGTATTCTGACGATATGGTATCTGCCTCGAATTCAGCTATTCGAGGTGCGACCGCCACATCCAACCCAGTAGCGCTTGCCTCATTTCAGCACCGCTGTTTTGGAAGGGTTGTTCGCCAACGAACACAATCATGCTGGAATACTCGGAGAATTTTTGAATCATTACGGTGTGGTCGAAACCAACGGGGGCTGCCCATGTGTGGCCAGTCGCCATCAACTGCGGTGCTTATGTTGTGGAAGTGGCGCAGGTGGCATGCTTGTGGAGCCGATAGCTTTTCATAGCCATCTATATCAACAGGAAAGGTGACTTTTTCTTTTCCACAGTTCATTGCTGCCCTGTTTTGCTGTACAGTCGTAGGAAATGAGTCGAATGAAAATATCAGTGAATCCTTGGGATAGGCGGTTTATATAGGAAAGACATTCTCCAATCACTCCATGATACTAGGTTTCGTGGTCCGCTTACCCGATGGGCTGATTGAATGACACTGCTTCAAGGCGTCCCACAACGGTCTCGGTACTGAATAGAAAAATAATTCGCAAACTCAAGCATCCACTCTAACGCAATAGTTCGAGTCTCGGCAGTTACCAGCTCAGCTCGGGCGGAGCATACATCCAGATGTGGAAAAGCGGCCTGGCCCCAATTATTCATAGTCCATAATTGCCGCATGATAAGCGAAAATAGACATAACTAAACCATGATCACCACCAAGGCCTTTCATCGTTCTTCCTGAGACTGTGTCGCCGGCGAGATATCATTCTCATTCATATCTGGAAGTAAATCTATATAACATGAAGGCAAGCATCGTAAGTTTTTTTCTGCCATTGAACGGCATGCAATAGATCGTCAAATTCAGAACTCCAACGGCAGAAGCGGTCTATACAGAATCACTTCACACGGCTCTACCGTTGACCCTGAAGCTCCTGCTCAACCTCAGCCTTGACAATCTCGCGAACGCCCTCCCAGCCAGCACCAGCGGGAACGGGAGTAACGCGGCTTTCACGCTCCATCAGGCCAATAAATTCCTTGGGCAGGATTTCATCAAACACGTAGCCATCCTCTGAGCGAAGGGCCAGATCAACGGAGCCGGCAAACTTGGCGGGATGAGCAGTGGACAAGGAGATGTGGTAGGAATCAGGGTGCTCCTGAATGGAGCGTTGAGAAGCTGCAACGCCAACAGCAGTATGGGGGTCGACGATGTATCCGCCAGTCTTGGTGCTCTTGGAGCTGCTGGGGCCGTTGTTGGGGAAGCAGGTCTTGTAGACACTGCGGATGGTGGCGATGGTCTCATCGTTGCTGACACGGTGGCTGGAAAAGTCGGCCATGGCAGCCTCGAGCACGGCGGGAGGAACCTGGAAACCACCCTTGGACTTGAGGTCGTTCAACCAGGTGGTGACGTTCTCGCAGGCGTGCTGGCGACGCTCCGACACGGCATTGGCACGGTCGGTCTGGAAGGCCAGGAACCAGAGCAGACGCTCGAAGTTGCTGGACACCAAAATGTCCATGGCAGGGCTGTGGGTCTCCTTCACACCCTCGTCGGTGGTGTTAAGGGCCTTCTTGGTGTAGTGGCCACCGCTACGGAAGAAGCGGTCTAGGATGTCGTTCTCATTAGTCGCGATGACAAGCTTCTCGACAGGCAGTCCAAGGCGCTTGGCGAAGTAGCCAGCAAGAATATCACCGAAGTTACCGGAGGGAACGACGACGTTGACCTTCTTATCCTTGTTATAGTTCGCCGACTTGGTCAGGGAGAAATAGGAGTAGAAGTAATAGGTGATCTGGGCCAGGATACGAGCCCAGTTAATGCTGTTCACGGCTCCGAGGCTGTGAGTAGAGTTGATGTCGGGGTCGGCGAACAGGGCCTTGACAATGTCCTGGCAGTCGTCGAAGGATCCCTCGACGGTCAGGTTGTGCACATTGGCGTCGAGCACGGTAGTCATCTGCTTCTCTTGAATGGGCGACACCTTTCCGTTGGGGAACAGAATGAAGACACTGGTGTCTTTCTTATTGCGGAGACCGTAGATAGCGGCCGAGCCAGTATCACCGGAGGTGGCACCAACAACCGTCAGGTGGTGTCGGTCCTTGCCGACCTTGCCCTCGTTCTCACGCTTGAGGAAGTATTCGAAGAGGTTTCCGAGGAATTGGAGGGCGACACTATGATTTGTTAGCCTTGCAACGTCCAAACTGCGACAAGATCTGTAATGCATACTCCTTGAATGCCCGTGTCGGTCCGTGCCAAAGTTCCAGCAGGTAGAGGTTTTGTTTGGGGTCGAGTTCGACGAGCGGGGTACGTTCAGGATGGTCGAAGGTCGAGTAGGACCGCTTAATGATATCCTTCAGGTCGTCCGCGGGGACTTCCTCGGGCGAAACGAAGAGGGACATGATGTTGAAGGCGAGTTCTTCGAAGCTGATGTCGGCCCAGCTCTCCCAGCCCTGGGGCAGGGAAGGAACTTCCTCGGGGATGAAAAGGCCGCCATCACTGGCTAGTCCCTTCATCACAACATCTTCGAAAGATTTCTAGGGGGAAGACACATTGTATGAGCGATGTGTTCCTGCGCATTGAACACCCCACTTTTTTTTCTCCCCTTCTTGTCGCGGACTTACCTCGTACTCAGCACCCCGAGTGCTGAGGTATTTCTGTGAGAGCGTAGGCGCCATGTTTGAGCAGCCAGCGAATGCGTCAATTGACGGGGAATCGGGTGGAATGGCGAGACAGAGAGGGACTGAAGGGAGTGTGAATCATCGCGAGATTCGCCGCGGAGACCATGGAGGGGTGTCCCGATCGGGTCTAGCGCGGCCGAAAACGGCGCTACCATGTGGCGGGCTTTTGATATCTCGATTTCTTCTACCATTCTACACAAACTCAATAGGATTGTGGTGAAAACTCATCTCATCGTCATTATATGTCTAATAATAGTCATGTCTTCTTTTACTCGTTTGCCAGCACATAGCGGTAGCGCGCCTTGCCAGCCTCCATGTCCACAATGGCCCGGTTAGCGTCCTTCATGGGGATCTCCTCGATCCACGGGTGAACACCCTTGTCGGCCACCAACTGGAACATCTCACGGATTTCGTCCGGGCTACCGACCAGGGAACTCTCCACCTTGAGGCGGCGCATCAGGGGGCGGATAGGAGCATACAGAGTGCCGTCGTCAGGCAGACCGACCTGAACCAGGCTTCCGTTGGTGCGGAGCAGTCCCAGGTACTCGGTCATCGGCATCTAGGTAGGATTCCGGGTTAGCTTGCAATTGACTATCCATTCCTGCAAGGTACTCACCTTAGTAGACGACACAGTCGACACAATCAAGTCTAGAGAGCGGGCGTGCACAGTAGCCCAGTCAGGCTCATCCTCAGTAGCAATGTAAAGGTCCGCGCCCATCTTCAGCGAGTCCTCGCTCTTGTTGGCTCGGCGAGAGATGGCAACGACCTTGTCGGCACCCATGGCCTTCGCAAACAGCACACCAAAGTGTCCCAGTCCACCAACGCCAATGATACCGACACGCTTTCCGGGTCCACAGCCATTGTGCTTCAATGGGCTGTACAGAGTAACGCCGCCGCACAGCATCGGAGCGGCCTCGGCAGAGGAAATGGTATCGGGAATCTTGATGGCAAAGTGGCCGGGAACGCGGTTGTACAATCCATATCCACCGTAGGACTTGTCACCATTCTGGTGGGTGCTGTTGTAGGTTCCAGTGAACTTCTTAGAGCAGTATTGCTCCGAGCCCATCGCGCACTCTTCGCAATCGCCTTGGCGGCCCTGACACGAGTCACTCTGAGCGCCGACGCCGACACGGTCACCAATGGCAATTCCCTTGACCTGAGATCCGACACGGACGGCTGTGCCTACAATCTCGTGACCGACACAGCAGGGGTACATGGTGGGTCGCTAGAAAATGTTAGTATTCAATTCTACATTGCTCCATGGAGGTATAGTCAAGAAACATAAAAAGATAAGAAACTCACCCAGCCACTGCGGAGAGTGTGCAAATCCGAACCGCAAATACCGCAGTGCGAAATTTTGATATCGACATCGGTCTCCTCCCACTCCTTGGGCTGAAATTCTTGCCAGACCATGTTGCCCTCGCTGGAGCTGGAGTCCAGGCCCATCCAGCCCTCAAACTTGTAGTCAGTTTGCGCCATTGCTGCTTGGTTTGGTCCAGGTATGTATGAATGTGCAGATGTCCCCAGTTTGATCTATGGCGAGAGTTCCCGCCATTTCGTCGGGGCCACTGCCCCATTTATCTCACCCCAGCCGAGTCTTCAAGCCCGGGTCAGGGCACCCGTGGACGTGGTTCAGCAGCGGGGACTGGTCCGAAGTCCCACTCATCGAGAGTGCTGGAGAACTCGGCTTGCGCGAGAATTGGTAAGCAGGCGCGGTTTCCAGCGGATCTTGCCTGGCCAATTTCTGTTTTTGGGGGCATTGCGCCCTTTTCGGAAATTGGCGTTGGTTCGTGAAGCTTAAATTTTCCATCAGCACGCTAATTCTCAATCCACTCGTTGTCGGCATCATATCTTAACGCCAAGTTGCAAGACTTCTAGGTAGAACTCTGAAACATTAGAACAATCACGATCAACTGCTCGTAAATTATTCTTATCTGCGCGGGATTTTCCGCATATTTCTCCAAATCGTCACTCAGTCTCGACCCACCACGTTATCTCCCCAATTCCGCCGGGCAGAACAACAAACCATTTAATGAGCTTCTAGATCGCTGTGTATTCATTCTCTCTGATTGCATGAATGTCAATTGAGGCCATACATCACAATGAAAATGACTTTCAGAGTCGATGAGGCTCTGATTCGACTTCTGCATGGATCCACAATCGAGGTCATATACGAACTCAGTATATTAACTAACCGCCGGGGTCTACTGATAACAACCTGACTGCAATATCTAACTTGATCGAGCACATGGCCGAATTTACGAAATAATATTAACATTTGAGAAGCTAGATTCGTAATAAGGGACTTCCATCGAATTCAACATCACGAGGCACGTACATTACCTGATAAATGAACCAAAACTACACAGGAAAAACTACACGGAAAGATGTTGATACCACAATCGCTAATGGTTATGGACGACGATATTTGAGAAGGTAGAAGATGTACATACAAGCCTTTTTGAATTCCAGCATGGGGATGCCTAGCAAAAAAATTAAACATGGTAAAAAAGAAAAAGTAAACCATTCTATCTCGTTCTGTTCAGATCCTCGCTTGCGAAACACCTGGTAAAAAAGCAACCAGCCTCTACCGCTAGCAAAAGACACTAGACCATATCAGAAAGGCTCTAGAGCAGGTCCAGAATATCCTCGCTGGCTTTCTTGGGTTGATTGTTCGCAGGAGGGGCAGGTGCCGGAGAGGCATTGCCGGACAGATCGAGACCAGAGAACCCATTCATAAGATCAGAGGTACCGCCGCCATTCGAGGGACCTGCTGAAGGCTTGGCCGCGCCAGAGTCGCCGAAGACACCGAGGAGATCGTCCAGATTGTTGCTTCCTTGCGGTGCGGGAGCACCAACTGCGGGTGACTGGACCCGAACGGGAGTACCAGCCAGGCCTTCGAGGCCAGACATCTGTCCCGACGGCTCCGTGTGCGCCGATGCGGGGGCACCACCGTCGAAATCAATGTCCAGCAAATTCTCGACGTTGTTTTGCGCCTGCGCAGGGGGTGTTGAACCGCTGACAGCTGCGGCAGCGGCAGCAGCAGCCAAGGGGTTCTCACGCGCGTTCTGGATTTGTTCCCTGTCATAAAGTTAGCGAAATGTCAAGAATGTGATCAGTGGAAACGTGAACATACTCGATAGCGGCTCGCTGAACGGCATCGGCACCGAATCGGCCCTGTCCAACGAATTGCTCTGGAGGCTTGTGGTAAACGGAGGATAGAGTGGAAAGCTCTTGAAGGAGCTGCTCCAATAGTGTTGGCGGTAGTGAAGAGATGGTGGTGACGATAGGGGGCTTCTCGGATAGAACGATGTTCTTGGTGGCATTCTGGTCGCTTGTGTTGGACAGAAGACGCCAGTAGATGTAGGCCCTGTCGCGAACATCAGGGTTATCATTCTCAGCAGTAGCTGCCTGAAGCACACGCTGAACCAGGCCCTGTGCCTTATCAGGCCTCTTCAGGAAGAGCTTAACGACAGCGGTGAGAATTTGCAGTTGAGTCTATATCTCGTCAGTCTCAATTATTCATGCAGCAGAGGTGAAGTTACAAGACGTACCTGCGCAAATTCCTCGTTGAAGCCATCCACAAAGCTACCAAGAATATCACCTGCATTGCTGATCTTTTCGGCATACTCGCCGACAATCCATATAAGTGCCGCTCTGGCATTGGGCTCTTCCAGTTCGTCAATGCATTTGCACAGCGTAGGAATAATTCCCTCGTAGCCAGGGTATTTGCGGAAAATATCCTTGATAACAACAATGGCCTCCTGGACAACGTAGTTCACTTTCATGTTAATCAAATCCAGAAGAGTGTTGACGCATTTCTCGCTGGCGCTCTCGATCTTGATAGCAACCTGGCCAATCGCTCTGACGGCCCGACGAACGAAGTCCATGTCAACCTCAAGGGCGTATTCCTTAAGTTCGGCCAAGAGTTGGTCGACATTGCGGTCGTTGGCTATCCGGACCATGATCTCGAGTTTCTGGAACTTGACGTAAGGAGGGTCGTTGTACTTGCAGAAGAACACACGCAATTCCTTATTCAGAATATCGGGCTGCTTCTGCAGCAAAAGATCGATGTTTCGCAAGGCAACATATTGCACCTCGGGGGCAGAGGAAACCAGCGTGACTATTTTCGTTAAACAATTTCTGTTGATACAAGGTAAAAGTGGAACTTACCGAGAGGAGGAGCCATCTTCTTGAGATAGGTCTTTGCCAGCTCCGGGCCGACATACTTCATGTGCAAGAACACGGTCTTGACCGCTGCAAGAACCACACTGGGGTTGGCATGTTGGAATTGAGGTGCCACGCGCTCACAAATGTGCTCCGATTCCTTCACATCGGCGGTTCGGTATTCAGCCAGAGTCGAAAGGATCGTCACACGTCCCCATTCGGTGCATTCGTTCAGAGCCATAAGCATCTTCCGTAGTGTGTTGGGGGTCACCTGCAAAGCCTTGGTCTCGGGTGCAGTATGATGGATCTCTGAAAGCGCAGTAACTGAATTGGCCACGACCATGGGGTTCGGGTCTCCAATCATCTCCTGGAGCATCTCCAAGAATCCGTTCTCGAGGCACATGCCCGCATTGAGGTCGAAGAGCTTGGCCACGCAGATTGCGGCAGTTTTGCGGACATACGGCGATTCATCACGGAGCGTCTTGCGCAGGGGTTCCTCCATGTAGTCCACCATCTTCTCCACTCGAATACAGCCCATGGTGCGAATGGCCAAAGCGCGGATCAGCGGGTTGGGGTCTTCTGAGTCTTGTACGAAGGTATTGACGGCGAGAATGCAAAGGTCCGGATGGGATTTGGCGTAGTTCCTATGAGAAAGAGTCCAATGGTCAGCGCATGCGCCTCCTCTCTCCGACACAGACACGAGAGGTCACTCACATGAGGTACAAGTAAACCAGCTTCTTCTGCTCCAGGTCGGAAGTAGCGATATTCTTCAGCACGTCGGGGAAAAGGGCCGAGACGTCTTTGCCCAGGGTCATAGCCATGATCGTCTTCTGGATAGATTCCTTTCTGTTGAACCGTTAGCCACGCCACCACGTCTCCTATACCATCGACACCACTGCGACATTGGAAGATCTGACATACCGTTCGTAGGCGTACTGGGATCTGCAAAGACTGTCAGCTTCTTTGTACATTCACCGGGCACCTAGCGGCCACTTGTTCTCGGAGGGGATTGCATACACGAGCCCAGCTCGCAATTCAAAGGTCTCTCCTTTCCGCGGCACCGCGAAGGCGCCTCGGATCTTGTTCATCGCCATCGCGAGGGATTACAAGCTTCAGCAACGACCAGGTCGTGCCTCCGCCAATGACAATCGGAGAGGGGAGTGGAAGGAGTCGACGGACGGACGACTGCGGGGGGAATCGAAAGCTCTCGCGGTCGCGCGACTGAGGATATATCGAAGGTGGTGATTGGGAAGACAGGTTAGAGCATCTCCCCCTCTCTCGACAGCACGAACGCAACGGAGAGAGACCGGGGGTGGAGGTGGAGGGTTGTTTGGAGAAGAGGGCGATGGGGAGGAGGGAAAGGGTGTTTGGGCGATCAAAAGTTGTCCACAAATGACGGGGGCTCTGGAACCTGGGAACTTCCCGCTCACCTCCTCCCCCACCGACCTCGACAGGGAACGCGGGCTGCGATCGGAATCGCGATGGTGAGTCTCTCGTTGGTACTGGTTCAACCGCCAAGGCTAATCCACCTGCAGGCCAATCTCCCTAATCTACGACGCCTCTTTGTCGAGGCCAGAACGGAAGTCGAGGAGAACGAGTACTCCCGCACCGCGGTATGAAACCTCGAATTGACGTGCAGCAAAGGGCCTCACTAACACATAGACGATATTTAGTTCTACAATCTAGTCCTTTTCATCTCGTCCGTCGCTGTCTTCAGCCTCGCTGCTCAACGTATGAGCGGACCCAAGGCCGCCCGATGAACGGAAACTGCACGGCATGAGCCACGAGGCGTCCTCGTGAACCACGGAGTATACCCTAATATCATGAGTTCGAAGGCATTGGTACAGAGTTTTCATTATGGGATATCAGATACAATGAGATGGCCTAGTTTAAAATGCTCGGCCAATGCAATGGCCGAGCCCCTAGCAACATTTCAGTCTCAGTCAGTTTCCTCGCCATCGCTCTCCAGAAACGCCAGCGCCTGTCGTCCTCGAGCAGCCCGACGCTTAGGAGGGCCGGTATCACCACTTTCACCCTCGTGTTCATCTCCGCTTCCAGTTCCCCATTGCTTCGCGCCTTGCTGAATTTGCTCGAGGTCGTCCTTGAGCTCGCGCTCGTCGCGGATCTGCCGGGCCTTTTCCAAAGAATAGCGACCCTTCATGCCAGCGTCCTCTAGCATCTGTTTCAGGTGCTTGATCTTCGCCTTCGGAGTATCATACGGCTGCAATTCCCGCCACCACATCTTGCGGATGCCACACTTGACAAGCCAGCCCTGCAGTCGCTTGATTTCGGCTTGATCGGGGTCCGTATCTTCGTCCTTGCCCTTTGAAGTTGGCTTCTTCTTTTCTTTTGTTGGTCCTTCGGCGCTCTTTCGCTTCGTCGGTGCGGGTTTTGGCGGCTCCTCATCTATGACGACTGACACCTCACTCTCAGAGTCGTCTTTGGTGGCTTCCGCGCTTGGTTCGGCGGATTCGGCCTTTTCTTCTGGTGCATCTGAGGATTCGGGTGAGGCTTCCTTGACAGGTTTCGACTTTGATTTTTTGGCCGGTGGTGCTGATTGCTTCTTTGGTTCGGATACCTCTTCCTCGCTATTGTTCTCAGATGCAACGGGCTTCTCGTCATCTGAATGGGGTGTTTGTGTCTTTTGGCGCTTGCGCGGCTTCGGCGCGGCGTCGCTCTTGGTTCGCTTGGGCGCTGCTTTCTTCTTGGGCTGTGGAGGAGGCGCGGGCTCTTCAGCTGGCTCGGTTTCGATGTCCTCGCCTGCGTTCTCTTGTTTGTCCTTCATCGACAGGATCTAAGTTAGTACAATGTAATCGCGGTACAGCGAACGCCCCTTGTCTAGCCGTAGGAAACTTACGACTTCGTTTCTGATGATCTCTGCACTCTTTTCCTTCCAGTCACCAGTCTTGAAGAAACCTTCCTCCAGTTTGAGCTCTTGTTCCACAGCCAACCGCACACGCTTTACGGTCAATTCCTCTTGCTTTCCAGCTTTCCAGCGGGCGGCGACCTCGTCGCGCAAAGTCTTCTCCAACTTCGTCTCAGACGGCGCATTGGGCGCATCGGCCTCGGACTCTGACTCCGAGTCAGAAAGTGCATATTTGGGCGCCATGGCTTGGGTTGCGCGCTCGGTACTTGGAGTGGTTTGTGTTGGCGGCGCGCGCTGCGTGGGCGGGTTTGGGATTGAGAGGGACGCGACGCAGAGTAATCGACGCGTTTCGGTAAGGGGAGACTTCGATATCAGACAAAATCAGTGAGCAATCTTCGGCGATGAGCGCATGTCTACGCGTCGTGCTGGGTGAAGTTTGGCATGGTAAAAAGAAGGCGCTGACAAAGCCGAGGGTCGGCCTTGTTTGTGACATCTCGTTCCGCCCACTCCATGAATGGAAAAGATGAGAATCAATATGGCATCTAATCTTATTTCTGTTTTCAATTCTATATTCGTGCATTCCAACATTTTCTTCGTCATTAAATGTAGATTAGGCCGGTCCAGTTGCAAATTATGACATATGAACTGTTGGAACGGCATCGGTTTTGACAGCATCTGAGGCTTGGGAAGATATATACTTCGCTCTCAGAATGTTCCGCAAATTCAGCATGAAAGAACCTCATGCATCGTGGTGCGCGGGCTTGTAGGCTTAAAGCTCAGTGACTTACCAATTCATGTCTATGATTTATAATCAACTTGATAGGTTCGTTTTCCTTCCTTTCAAATGGTATACCCCAAACCGCGGAATCCACCGGGAACTCCGACCTGAACCATTCGAGGTTAGTCACCGCGAAATTCCTCCGGTTTCCAAGATTTATTGATTCTACGCCGCAACGCCTCACACCAGCCAAACACGAAAGTTGAAGGAGCACAGTCAACCGCCATGGCCGAAGTACCACAAGAGCAGATCAACTCCCAGCACGGCGGCAAACCGCATTTCTTCAACCAGACCCCGGTCAGCGGCTCAAGCGGTCCGCAAGAGCGCGACGCGAAAGCGCCGCTGCCCAAGGGCGTGGTCCTAGACAAAGATGGCAAGCCGTACGTCGCACTGAGAAAGACTTACTGAACGCATACTAATTGGGCCATTCTAGCTGTCGAACCTGCACATCCATGTCCTCCTGGCGCGCCTTGACGAAACAAGCCAGAGCTGAACCTGCCGCATCCTCCACCTCCAGCTCAACCTCCACAGCCTCCACCGTTCCCCTCGCAGCCCCCGCAACTCCATCCTCAAGCTCGATCCCCGCAGACTGCCCGCCTGACGTCGAGGAGCTGGGCCGCTCCACCTGGACCCTGTTGCACTCCATGGCAGCCACGTACCCGGAGAAAGCAGATACAAAGCAGCAGGAAGACATGGGCGGGTTCCTGAAGCTCTTCGCGAAGCTGTATCCGTGCTGGGTGTGCGCGGACGATTTCCAGTCTTGGATGGCTCATCCTAGTGGCCGGAATAAACCGAAGCTCGGGGGGCGCTCGGAGTTTGGGTGGTGGATGTGTGAGGCGCATAACGAGGTGAATCGGAAGCTTGGGAAGAAGGAGTTTGATTGTCGCTTCTGGGAGGAGAGGTGGCGGACTGGCTGGAAAGATGGTCGGTGCGATTGAGCTTCTTTTTGAATGGCCGTCCTGGAGTGATATTTTTAATGCTGGGCCTTCGCCTCTTCGCTACGCTGGACATGATCTCCACTTCTTGTATACTAGCACTTCTTTTCCCTTGGCATCTTGGATGGTGTTCGCATATAGATCTTTGTATTATCAGTAGACTAGACATACGCCGAATGGACCGACGGGTTTATCAAGAAAGTTCTAATCCTAGATCATGCTCCGGATCAAGGTGTGAACACAGATTTCGAATAAAAGTTAAGTTCGCTAAACAATTATAATCTCGGTACAGAAAGACATCTAGACAGGTGCGAGTGTAGGAGATTTTGTTGAACCCCCAAGAAAGTGACGCCGAACAACTTCTCCTCGTGCATGAAAGCAAAAAAATGGAAAAAAACAAAATGCCCATTTTTGTAACTTTATGTCAAGAAGAAGAAAAAAGGTGGGAAATGCCGTCAAATTTCGTCAAACTGCAAGTCAATATTGACTGGGCACGAACAGACGCAGGCCACTGGCCGGCGCCCCAATCTCCGTGACATCGGATATCCGGTCCACGGAGCCCTTGTACTGCTCGTGGTACTTGGCACCGGTGAATGGGTCAGTCACACAAGGAGAGCCGCTGAAGATCGGGGTGTGTGAGGCGGCACAGATATCAAACTCGGCGAAGGGATCGAAATCGACATCGATCTGATCTTGCGGGTTACGCTCGCATTGAGCCTTGATCTTGCGGGCCTAGTTAAAATGAGTTAGCTTTTGTTTCTAATAGCCATGACACGAACGATAGACTGTATGCTTACCTGCTCGAGGAGCTTGGCGGAACCTCCGTTGGCCAGCATGCGGCTGGCAAAGCCAAGGGCAGAGTTGTAGTTCTTGTTGGCAAAGGCCAGCTTCATGGCGGCCATGAGTGCCAGCTGTCGGTGAGCAACTTCCAGCTTGGGGATGGTGAAGTAGGCTGACAGCTCCAGACTGCGCTTCAGGCCATCCGGGGAATCGGTGCCGATGGAGCGGCGTTCCAGCTCAATGGACATGGCAAGGATGTACTCCCGAGCGGTGGAAATGATCTTCTTGGCCTGTTCAACCTCTGCCTCAGAAGAGACGGTGTTGACAAGAAGGCTGTGCAGGATGCGCTTGAAAATCGTCACACCTTCCTCCAGCTTGTTGCCCCGCATGGCGGCATATCCCTCTTGGAGATCAACACTAGCAATAGTCTCCAGGTCCCGAGGAATGATGGGCAGAACCTTGCGGCTATCTGTCTCATCGGTGGTTCTCCGCACGTAGTTGACCAGCGGCGGCAGGCCAACAGTTGCGGGGAGGTAAGTCTTGGAGGCCTTGAAGACCTCAAGGAATCGGTTCTTCAGAGGAGCGAATTGCACGGCACCAACCTGGCGGTTCAGAAGCTGCATCGCAGTATCAAACGAACCAGCAGCAACATGATCAGCCGCCAGCGGTGAGTTACGAGCCCAGATGTCAGCCTCTCGGAGCTGCCTGCACCGGCCTCAGTGTTCTCCACGTTGACAAAGTCAACCTCTTCCTCCACGTTAACATCGTCACCCATATCCCACCCAGAGGCATCTTCCTCATCATCATCGAGGGTATCCTTGGCAAGAACAGCCTCCTCATCGTCCTCCTCAACCTCGAAGCCATCGGCGCCGGCATCGTCGTCGGCCGCACCAACCTCGCCGAGCAGCGCCTTCTCGAAGGAAGAGTGACCGGCAGCCTTGACGGGCCAGTTGGACTTGAAGGTGGGAACAATGGGGTGAGGAACCGTTAGAGGACTCTCGAGCGTGGGCAGCACGATCTGATCCTCAGTGAGACCACAGGCCTCGAGGATGGACTCGGCTTCCTCGATCAAGCCGTGAGCCTTGGCGGTCATATAGGCCAGAGGGTACATATCAACCTCCTTGAACATCTGGATCCGGTCCTCGACGTCCCCACGGTAGATGGCGTTTTGGAAACGGGAGGTGAAATCACCACGGTGCTCGGCAATCTTGGCCATACGAGCAAGCTTTTCCTGGTCACCGGTGGACAAGTACAGGAAGGAGAGCTTGTCGAAGTTACGTTGCTTCTGGTAGGTCATCTCGACAGTCTGGTGGTTACCGTGGGCAAGAGCCTCGGCACCGAGTCTGCTCCAGAAGTTGGGGCGGTCCAGTTCGCGGGCCATCTCAATGGCAACCTCGAGATTACCGCACTCAAGAGCCAGATCGAAGCGGGTCTGAGGATCCTGGACGAATTGCAGAGCGATCTCTGGGTAGCCCTTCTTCTGCAGATACGAGATGATGCTCTGACCAACCAAGCTCGAGGTCTTGATGATCTGAAGCATCTCGTCGTAGTTGCGCTTGACCAAGGCCAGCTTGAAGCGGTACTCGGTGGGGTCAATCTCCAGGGTACGGGGCTGAGCGTTGCGGTCGAGGCAGTAGACGTTGCGTCCCTTGACACGGACGAGGTAAACAGTTTGGTCGAGGGTGCGAATAATTCCATTATCACCATTCAGAAGGGAGTACTTGACGTGGTTCAGAGTGGAGTAGATGAGGACACCGGAATCATCCCAGGTAGCACTCTTGATGCGGATGGTCTCGTGCAGGGTGCTGACCTGCTCCAGAGTCTTGGTCACAATGGTAACATTGTGCTTGCTGAGGAGAGCGCAGTAGAGACCGTCATTAGACCAGACCACATACTTAACACCAGAAACAACAACCTCTGCCAGTTGCTTCTTCTGTTGAATGTCGTAGAGAACGACGTGGGTGGGGGTGATGAACAAGAGGCAACCAGTGCCACCAAAGTAGATGTCAGTCGTACCGGCGGGGGGCTTGATAGTCTTGGTCGTGGAGTTGCTGAGGTCCTTAATGTCAACCTGCTGGTTCGAAGGGTTGTAGACAGCGAAGCGGTTGCGGGCCACGAAGACCGCAGACGTGGCCTGGCCGCGCTTGACGTCGGTAGGCTCGACAGCTCCGGTAGCATCCCGGGGAAGGTGAATCAGCTCGTATGTTCCACTGTCAGCCGGCGAAGTGACGAGAATGGCGCGCTCGGCGGGGTTGTAGGAGACGGTGCGCGGGGGCACCCAGGGTGAGCCCAGCTTGCGCAAAGACAACATCGGAGGCGATTCGACGTTCTTGGCGAAATCGTACGACTTGACGTGCTTCTCCTTGGTAATGTAGAAGAGTTGGTTCTGGTAGACAGCAGAGGCGGGTCGCTCGCGCTCCAGCTTGAACACCATCACACCGGTATCGTGGCCTGCAGCGAACAAGTTCATCTCGGGGTGGGCGGCGATCACCCAGAATCGATCGAGATCACGCTTGAAAGACTGGACAGAGGTACGCTTGTTGAGATCCCACACACGAATGGTTTTGTCTTCACCAACGGAGAGGATGAGGTCCTGGTGAGGGTGGAACAGACAGGCGGAGGCATTCTGGAAGTGGCCGCGGCAAGTGTCGACTTCCCAGGCCTTGGTATCTAGAAAGAGGAGAAAGAGTCAGTAAAGAGAGAACACCTGGAGCCATGGATATAGTTATAGACGAACCACTCATGCGCCACAGCTTGATCAATCGGTCGTCACCAGCGGAAACAATCAATGGCAGTGTTGGGTGGAAAGAAACCCAGTTCACACCACGGTCATGACCCTCTAGCACAAACTTGACAATCGCATCGGTGTTGCCGAACATATCAGCTTGGTTGGGGTTGGCTCGAGCCATCTGATCTTCGAAGGAAACCGAGGTCGGGGCAGAGTGCTTCTTGCGCAGGCCGGAGATATCCCAGATACGAACGGACTGGTCCAGAGAGGCGGAGGCGATGAGGTCTTCGGTAGGGTGAAATTGAGCGCACATCACATAGTGGTTGTGACCGGTCATGGTGCAGATCAAAGAACGGTTTTGCCAGTTCCAGATTCGAATTGTCTGTATGGGTTCGGCAGGTTAGTCATTGGCCAGATGCTATCGGACTCGGGGCGACAGAATTGTGGACATACCTGGTCATCGGACGCAGAGAGAATCCATGGCAGCTCAGGGTGGAAGAACACTGTGCGCACATAATCCAAGTGGCCGTTCAATGTGAACAGACACCTCCGGGTCTGGTAGTTCCAGACCTTAATCTTGTAGTCGTCACCGCCGGAGACAAACAGGGGCTGAGTCGGGTGGAAGTCGATGCCTCGAACGGGGCCGTCGTGTTCTTCAAAGCGGTCAATGAGGGTGCCCATGCGGTAATCCCAGAGCTGGATGGTCGAAGAGTGCAGCGAGACGAGAATCCATGGCCTACTGAGCAGTTAGCGTTGATGCTTCCAAAGGTCGACCGTGTAGCGTGTCCCCGCGGGATGAACTGACCGTTTCGGGTGGAATGCGATTCCCTTGGCTCTGGAGGATTTCGACTCAAACTGTGCGAAGAAGGAGACGTTAGCAGCTGCAATTGAACGATCCCATGAGATGTGACGGGGGCCGGATGGGGTGATGGGTGTCCGGGGGCAGATCGAGGGGCGTACCTTGGTGAGCATGTTTGGAGAAGACTGCATGTTGACGAGATGGCCGGAGCCGCACTGTACAGTAGCAAGCTCCGCACGCGAGAGAAGGAGAAATCACAGAGACAACCACGGCATCCACCCAGGGATCAAGAGAGGGCAGCGTGAGTCGTGGATGCCTTGTGCTTTGGAGTAGCGGAGGAGACGCTGGCAGTTGGCAGTTGGCACGTAAACTAAACGTGGACACTATTGTGTGAGCCGGGCGACGGGCCAATCAGCGGCCCGGGTTGACCGAGCGGTGAGAGGCAAGGGGTCGTACTCTTAACTATGCTATATTTAGAGGCGATCAATCTGGATCGGAGATATCGTTCAAGTGTTTTGGATTGCACTGTAAATAGTCTAGCTAAATTGTGGGAGGTCGCTGCATAGCAAGGGAGCTCGAGGTTGCTGTGGTGGGGGTGGCCGCGCCGCGGCTTGCTTGAGGGTCATCATTGGGCCCGGAGACAAACACCTCCCCGCTGGAAGCATCTGGAAGACAAGATGACGATCCTGTTGCAGTGGAGGTTCCATTCGCATGGATTCTCTCAAGTTCATGTGGGCTCTTTTATCAAAAACGACCTTATTTATGTTTTCCCATTCCAGCATGGCCCACGGATAACGTTTACTCCACGAAGCATTCACTGGTGACGTGATGAGCCGGACCTCCTCCCCGAGTTATGGAGAAGGAGTTGCACTGGATACATCGGCCTCACGATTGGATACACTATGACTGAAGACTTTGTTATGGAAGATGGAGATACATCGAGTGCTCCATATGTGAATACTGGGTTACTTCGCTCCCAGTTCTCCACATCGGCTGACGATGTCGCCAACAAAGATGGCAGCGGCCATAGCTTAAACGACTCGGGTCCCTCAACGCCAACACACGGAGATGGCGATCAATGCCAGGATACCATGTCTCCTTTGACACTCCATCCATATGCCATTGAAGAGCCTGATGACGAACCAAAATCGGTCGATCAAAGGCCCGAGTTACCAAGTCTCCCTGACCACTTCGAGCAGTGGCAGCGGGAGCTCAAGGACTCCGTGTGCAACCTAGAGTCTGAGCTTCAAAAGATTATTCGGGGTACCAAGTCGTCCTCAACTCCCCGGAGGGGTCAGAAACGGAAGTCTGCCCATGCGACTGGTGCTATCCATTGCCCAATCATGCCGTCCAATCAAGCAAAGAGCAAACAAAAGCTCAATGAGCCTACAATGACCGTGCCAGGTTTGAGCTCGAAACGAAGACGAAGACGCAGCAGACCGGCAGCGGACTTTGATCAGGCCACTCGCACCGCCTCTTTGTATGACTTCCGCGAGACGCAGGTCAACGACAGCTCGAGCTCTGATCAGCCCACAACCGATACTAGCGCCGATACCACCAATGAATCCGTCTTCACCGAGGAAATGGAAGTTGATTGATCAATAAATTCTTCATGTCACATTCATCTGTTGCTGAGAACTATGATTGTAACGCCCAAAGGATATGACGGCTTGGTTGATCCGTAGAGGACTAGGGGCTTGAACTTGTCATGGTAAAATAGACAAGTCCAACTAACTATGATTTTCAACCCTACTACTCATCTGCGTGATGTCAACGCCTAGTACTGTCGTTTGACTTGTGAGGCTCTAGTGGTAGACATGACGTCATCTACATCTCATGCAAACGATGGCTCTAACCAAGGACCTGATTTTTCTCCAAGCTGTTTCTGAAGGTTCTGAAATACTCTTCAACCTTTCAATTCACCAATACTTGATTCCAATACGAGATTGCAAAAGCGCGGATACTGAGAAAGCATCATGGCTACGCGGACTTCCTCACGTCACGCCGCTCAGAAGGCAAAAGAAGCTATTACGACTTCTGCTGAAGCATCTACAAGGACACCGTCAGGCTCGAAGCGCAAGGCACCGGAAAAGAAAGACTCTGAGCCAAAGAAGGAGCAGAAAGTCGACCAGCCACCTGAGCCGCAGCCAGAGGTGAAGCAAAAAAGTACCCCGGCAGCAACCACCGACAGCATACCCGATGTGAAAGCAAAGGAAGAGGAAAAGAAGGTCACTTTTGCCCCGACCCCTGAGTCAAATCATGTGCCATCTGATCGCCCGAAATCCGACTCAACTGTCGAAGCTGGTGTTCACACGTCCCAAAAAAGAGAGGACATCGTGCCATCCAACATCCTTGAAAAGGGCATCATCTACTTCTTCTATCGTCCGCGTGTCAATGTAGACGAACCCCACAGCGTCAATGACGTGGCTCGAAGTTTCTTTGTGCTTCGCCCTACCCCGTTGGGAGCTGAATTCGACCAGAGCCAGGGATCTGTTGATAAAGATGCCCGTTGTCGCCTGCTCATGCTCCCAAAGAAGAAGCTCCCCACCTCTCCCAAGGAACGAGACATGGGATTCGTGGAAAAGACGGGACAGACGATGAAAGATCTACAGGAGAAATTCATCGCCAGCTCAACGTATCAGACCTCCACTCGTGGTGAGCGTACCATCAAGGAGGCTCGGCCGTATGCCGAGGGCGTGTACGCGCTCACCTCGACAAAGCGAGCCACACATCTGGCCTATGTTTTGACTATCCCTTCCGAGCCGGCCGAAATCCAAGAGAATTTTGGCCTTCATAAACGTGGTAGTTGGATTGTGCAGTCCAAGAACCCCAAATTCCCTGGCCCTGCATTCGCGCAGCTCCCCAAGGAACCCGAATATCCTCCTTCGTGAGTTTCCGTCAAAGCTTGAAATTTGAAACCCCCCCCCTTCTTCCCTCCTACCCGGGTGAGATGTCTCAAAGGCTAATTGAAGATCAGTGTGCGAGAGAAATTCGGAGACCTCCGATGGGTGCCGCTGGAGCCGGAGTTTATCGAATATCCCAACGCTCAGTTCTTGATGATCGGCGAGGCGCAGGATACCCTGGGCAAAGCCGCGACTGCCGAGGGTGCCAAAAAGGCCCACGAGGAAGAGCCAGGGGAAGAGCTGGAAAAGCTGGAACGGGAAAACGAAGAGCGGGTTGAAGCGCTGCAGGGTAAGCTTCTAGACGCATTCCTTTGGTTCCTGCATGTCACACTAACTTGGACTTGCTTCTACAGGCGATCACGCGGTCTATGAAGATCTTGGCTTGCATGCAAAGAAGTATGCTTCTGTGCCGACCACATGGAACACCTAACTTAACTGTAACCACTAGAATGTATTACTATGAGTTGATATTGATCATGATTTGCTCTATTTCACGCAGCATTCAGCTCGCCAAGCCATGTAGAATCGACCATCGCAATCTCTGGATTGCGGTCTACTGAGTATGCACGGGGTAGGGCGAGGCTATACCAACCCCCGTCAGCCAGCGGAGGCTATACATGCCCGGACGGGAAAGGATAGACAGGCGGCATCCCACCTGAAACGCGCACTTAGCGACATCATACACTAAGATTGATAACCGACGACGGCCTTGGCGATGGCTGATCGGCGAATAACGATCTTCTGCTCTAGCACGTTGATGCGCATTGCACCATCCACGCAATTACAACCTCGTACTGACATGCAGACAGCCTGCAGACATAAAGCTGTCATGGCGACCCTGCCGGTGGACCAGGACCCGAGATCAATTCGTCAGCCACCATGAAGTTGACCTCGACTCTGGCAGTTCCAATCCTTGCGGCTGGCGCAGCGGCCAGTCAACATGTCGTCAATCAAACTACCTGCGGCGACAACGCCTATCAATATACCGGCCTTGCAGGATATGGTTTTCTTCCTTCCAATGCGACAGACAAGTACGGCGACACCATTGGCGGCATTGGTAGCTCTATCGCCATTGACCAGACTTCCTGGCGCAAGTTGGGGGCCGATGGTTATGCGGGGACAGTCTATGCGACCCCGGATCGCGGCTGGTAAGTGGAATGCGCAGTCAAGAAAGACACTGATTTCCTTACATGACATGTATTATGTATACTCACACTATCTAGGAACACAAACGGCACTCTGAACTATCAGAATCGCGTTCACAAATTCGCCATCTCCCTCAAACTGGCCCCGAACGCCTCGGCCTCCAACCCCTCCGAGCCCAACATCCGTCTGAAGTACCTGGACACCATCCTCCTCACCGGCCCAGATGGTGAGCCCACCACGGGTCTGGATGCCGATTCCACCGGCCACGCCTCATACCCCGGATTCCCTCCTCTCCCTGTCGCAACCTATAAAGGCAACGGATTCGGCGGTTCAGGCAAGGGTGGCCGCCGCGTCTCTGTAGATTCAGAGGGCCTGGCACTGGCACCGGACGGCGGATTCTGGATCTCCGACGAATATGGACCCTACGTCTACAAGTTCAGCGCCGAGGGACGCATGGAACAGGCCATCCAGCCCCCTCAGGCCTTCCTGCCCCGACGCAACGGAACTCTCAGCTTCAGCTCCAACACGCCGCCACTCTATGACCCGTCTGAGGTGCCTGTCCCTGAATATACCGAGGCTGGTCGTAACAACAATCAAGGCTTCGAGGGCGTGACCATCTCCGCGGATGGAAAGACCCTCTACACGCTAATCCAGACCTCGCTGAATCAAGAGGGCGGTCCAAGCAAGAAGTATCGTGCGCCAGCTCGTTTGCTCGCGTATGACATCTCGGGTCGTACGCCGCGGTATATCCATGAGTGGGTTATTGTATTGCCCAAGTATCATGATTACACCGAGACCGATCCGGCCAAGGAGTATCCTGTCGCTGGTCAATCGGAGATCCATCAGTTGCCTACGGGTGATTTCCTGGTTCTGGCGCGCGACTCGGGCTTTGGACGGGGACAAGAGAACACGCGGTCTGTGTATCGCCACGCGGACGTTTTCTCGGTCTTGCATTCCAATGTGTCGGATATTAAGGGGGAAAAGGATTATGATTCCGCTACTGGGGCTGTTGCCTCGTCGAAGGGCGTGCTTGATTCGGATATTACCCCTGCGCAGTATTGTCCGTTCTTGGACTACAATGTTGATTCCGAGTTGGCTAAGTTTGGTCTGCACAATGGTGGCCCGTCGGATAAGCACCTCCTCAATGAGAAGTGGGAGAGCTTGGCTGTTGTGCCTGCCGGTCCAAATGGAGGCAATGAGTATATCCTCATCAGCTTCAGTGACAATGACTTTATTACTCAGGATGGTAAGTCATATTTCTGCCTGATTTATGGAAGGACTGAATATTGACGATGGCACAGGATCTATCAACACTGGAAAGTCGTTCTTGAAGTACAGCGACGAGTCCGGTTTCAACCTTGATACCCAGATCCTGGCATTCCACATCAAGATTTAAAACGAAGGCCAGTCATGGATGTCGTATTTGGATGTTTCCTATTTTCTCTCCCTATGGTATCCACCTACCAGTACATTTTTGAACTAGATATCAATTCCCATTGCATAGATTGTCCGAAAAAGCCAAGTGAAGAGAAGAACTGAGACTGCCAAGGCCAATCGCAAGTAGGTCAAGCTCACTGGCCTCGATAAAGTAACTTCCACGGTGGCAAGAAAACAAATATGGCACGAAAAGAACGTAGATATTGCGCGGCGCATCAATCGTAAGTATTAAGCGTAATCAACGATGGGAACGCGAAGAAAAATGAACGATTCAACGATCCAAAAATAAAACATTTGTCTTTGAATCGTCGAACCATCATCCTTTCACCAATTTGATGGCGTGCAGGATGTCTTCGAGGGACCATCCCGGCCCGCCGGGAACGATCTCAGCCCAGACCTCCTCCGGGACTGCATCGCTAGGATCCAAAAGGCTCCAGTTCGGACTTGGCTCAGCTTTGATCCACTTGAAATCTTCAACCTGGCTCCAATGATCTTCGTGATCCAAGCGGTCATGATTAGGTGCCTGCGGCATCCATATTAGCACGTTTCAGCAAGAGACCGGGAGGGATGATAATAACTTACATAGGCTTTAGGGATCCGGCCAAATCGAATATTGGTACAATCCTCAATGATGGGGTTACTAGAGCAACTGAGGTAGACATCTACGTCGCTGCAATTGTGCATACGGAACTGCCGACACGAAACCACCATCACACTGTGGTCTACCCCGGTGATGTGTGCCGGGCCGTTCACTTGTCCGCAGATCAGCAGACTCTCCTTGATGTCCTTGATGGTCAAACTGGCATAGGGCTTTCCGTTTGAAGTGGGGATCGACATGTCAACGACGCAATGTAGAAGGGAAGTAATCGAGGCAGGGACAGTAGCAGTAGAGCCAGAGGCCGGAAGCATGATGTGCAGACCATAATGATCGTCTACGGAGACGGAAGATATGCCGCTGGCCGCGAATGCTGACAGACCAGGCTTGGTATCAAGTTGAGACCTTGCCAGTACCTCCGTAGGTGAAATTGCAGGGAAAGAGGTTGGCGCAATCTCGGGTCTCTCTTGGCGTTGCTTGTCCGGTTCATTCAAGGGAGTTGACGGATAGTTCGGAGTTTGATTGCCAGACGAACCCATCGACGAGGCACCGGGAGAGTGGTATCCTGGCACACTGCGACGACCTTCGGCGGCCAACGTGGCAGCATCGGAGAGGGAGATCCCGGAAGAATTCTTCTTTGCCTTGAAACTGAATTTTGAGCGAGGTTCGAATGCTGCGCGAGTTTCGTTCAATTTGTCCTGTAGGGCTTTGATTGCCTGGAAGGTGTTATGTCAGTATGGTTTCCAAGTGGGTCGGTTCTCTGCTTTTCATACCTCTGCGTAGACTCTTTGATCGTAGGTCGGGATATAACTCGCCGCATCCTTAACCTCGTTTGAAAGTCGTACAATCCCGGCTAGGCAATGATCCGTGGCATCCGCTCGTTCACCACCGACAAGGGCCGTATCCGCTAGGCGGTCCATCTGTTCCTGCAAGGCTGAAGTGGGTAGATTAGCAACCATGATTCAAACAATGACTTGTGGGATTGTGGCTCCTACCGAAAGAGCAATTGATTGGACATACCTGTGATTTCATGCTGGAAGTAACGGAAGAAGCGTTCCTTCAAGGGAATATCGGATTTCGAGATGGTTTGGTTCTCAGCCGACAATCGGCGAGCATGCTGAATCTCCGGTTCCGCCATGGTGAATAGGAAACAGCGGTGTGGACGAGAGACGATATGGGAGGTGCAGGATGTGGGCGTGGGAAAGTTGGCAGAAGCTGCGGGTGGGAAGCTATCACGCGGGGGATGGAATGTAGGAATGACGTCGGTCCGATCTCAAACGATCATGCCACCCCGCAGTACAGTGAAGCCTGGGAACTGATGGGGAGGTGGGAAGGTGATGAAATTCGGAGAGAACAGAGCTATTAATATGAGTGAGATGCAACCGAAGCTGCAGCAAGACACGCGCTCTGGGCTAAGAGCTGTCAAAATGCACAATCTCCACGCACGCGGGGTCAAAGGCTCCGAGCGCGACAGCTGCAATGCTAACAGCACACGCAGCTGGGCAACAGTAGCCTCGTGGATTGGGCTTTCTGCAGCTTTCGTATTGAGGAGAACACTCTGCAGGAGTGGAGAATAAAAGCATCCGAGCGGACAATTCGACGCTTCTTTTGCGGTGACGTCGATCATCCCGCATCGGCCTCGGAGCTTGAGATGATCCGCAGGCAGCATTCAGGCCACAAGGCACCGATCTGTCGACAACAATTATCGATCGAATGCAATGAAGTTGAATGCTGATAAACGAAATATAGTTGTGCAAAAATGGCTTACATGATTATCAGGGAAATGCAGGGTTGATCATACATGCGTAGAGTTTCCAGGGGGTATGGAATCGATCTTCATGCACTTCGGACATAATGCAAAAGATCAAATGATAACTGACCATACACTATATCACAAAGAATTTCCGATCTTCAGTGTTTTAACTTGGCAAATTGTAAGGCATAATCTGCAAAACCACTTGGCAAGTTCATTTGGAGTTCGGGTTTCAGGAGGGTCAGAGGAAGTGCCGCTAAAATTAGACACTGGGGGGTTTGGTATACTACGCAGTAAAATGCCGGCATATTCAATACCGAACTTGCTATACCACAGCCAAAATTTGGCCGATGTGAATACGTATTAATTATCCAATGCCATCTCGCAAAGGAAGCCACGGCCAATACTAGGTGCTAGTTCATTTTGTGGCGGACCTACATGGAGTCCCAATCAAAGAAAACGGGGGATCCTGTGACGCCCAAGACAGATACGGGATTCCACTAATTACCAGGATCGACGTCCTCCATCGAGTCAAAGTTCCTGGAATTGCCGATGAGGTCAGAGTAAAATTGGATTCTTCTTGAGCAGTTGATGCTTTATTGACGCATCAATCGGAAAGGGTTGGATCGGCTTCTCAACCTCGTGCGAAATCGAAATTGAGTTCTGTCGATCTTGAAGGCGCCCAATAAAATGAGCCACGAGGACTAAAGTTAACGTTAAGCAGCATCGGGGAACTCGGCCATTTAGCACACGAACCTGTAGTGATGTACATCAAGGAACCCGCCCCGGGTTAGACATACTCACCGTCGCCACCCTCCCAAGGTTGTACTACCGGGCTAAGGTGACTGTACAGCACTCAGGAACAGTAGCTTTTGCATCAAATGCAACCTACCAAGACGCTGTGATCTCATCAATGAGGAGGCGGGTATGGGTACAAGAGCTTGAACTCCCATGTGCGGCATCTTCAAGACCGAATTTATCGATTTGACTTCTCAATGCATATCAATATGGCACATCCAATCGCCTTTGCAGTTCAACTTCTCACAATCACTCTCGCTCTCTTTCAACGCACTCTCGCAGTCGAACCATACCATCAGCTAGTGGAGTCATTGAGCGAAATACCCCATGGCTGGTATAAAGGAGAAAGAGCACCACCTTCCGCATTGATAAAATTCCACCTTGCCATAAAACGGCCCACAAAGCATTTTGAACAAGCAGTCATCAACATCTCGACCCCGGATCACCCGAATTATGGCCGCCATATGAGGCGAGACGAGTTGAAGGACATTTTGCGTTCAGATCCTGCCGCCCTGAATGATGTACTTTCTTGGTTGAAGTCGGAAAATCTTGACCCCAACACAGTCGAGGTCGACGGCATTTGGATTCGCTTCGAAGTGTCAGTGGCTCAGGCGGAGCGTATGCTCAAGACTGAGTTCTCCTATTTTCATGACGCCTCAAAGCTGAACACGGCAATCAGAACGCTCAACTACTCCGTTCCCCAGAGGATACATCATAATATCGCACTGATTCAACCAACGACAAAATTTGCAGCTCTGAATCAAGGCGGCGATAACCCCCGTACCGGGACCGATCATTGCCACCAAGGAGGATCTAAATGCTGATTGCGGATTCGTGGTTCGACCAGAGTGTCTTCGTGACTTGTACAATATCAACGCCACAAAGGCCCGACGTGATAAACGGAATCGATTAGGTATATCGGGCTTTCTCGAGCAGTTTGCTCGACACAATGATTTCCAATTCTTTATGAACAGTCTTTCACCGAACGAAGCCGGCGCGAACTTCTCTGTCGTGCGCATCAATGGCGGGCTAAATGACGAGGACTCTTCAAGCGGTAGCACCGAAGCGAGTTTGGATGTGCAATATTCGATGGCATTGTCATACAACGCGTTGGGCACGTTTTACACGACCGGCGGTCGAGGGCCTCTGATACCTGACGGAGACCAGCCAGATCCAAACAAAACTACGAACGAGCCCTATCTTGAGCAACTCCATTATCTCATAAATTTGCCAGATGATGAGTTACCCGCAGTGCTAACCACCTCTTACGGGGAGCCAGAGCAGACCGTCCCGGCCTCATATGCTGCGGCTGTCTGCAATTTGTATGCCCAACTCGGAGCACGAGGCGTGTCGGTCATTTTCAGCAGCGGAGACTCTGGTGTCGGCAGGTCCTGTCAAAGCAACGATGGCTCGTACCGTACTAGATTCCTGCCAGGGTTCCCTGCTGCTTGTCCCTTTGTCACCTCGGTGGGTGGGACATATAGTCACAGGCCCGAGAGGGCAGTAGATTTCTCCGGGGGTGGATTCTCCGACATATTTCCTCGTCCATCCTACCAAGACGAGGCAGTGAAAGGGTATCTTGACCAGCTAGGGGATCAGTGGAGTGGTCTGTATAACCCCAAAGGTCGAGGTATCCCAGACGTATCCGCACAAGCAAGCGGTTTTCTAATTCGCGACCATGGAAGATTCATGAGGATCAGCGGAACGAGGTACGCCTTTCTCACAATCGTAGTCTGAGTGCTTTTGAGCTAATGTATGTGTAGTGCGTCGGCTCCTGTGTTTGCCGGCATCGTCTCTCAGCTCAACTCCATTCGTCTGGCACAAGGCAAGCCTCGCATGGGATTCCTGAACCCATGGCTGTATTCAACTGGCGTATCAGGAATGACCGACATAGTGGACGGAGGCTCGCGGGGTTGCTATGGTGGTGAACGTGGCATTGCCGTCCCTTATGCGAGCTGGAATGCTACAGCTGGTTGGGACCCGGTCACGGGACTGGGGACACCTGTCGCAAACAACGAAGAAGTGGATATATCCCACAACCAATGGGGTGGTAGAGGTCTGAATTGCTGTGAAGCCCCTGTTCTGGCAATTTATGGGGGCAAGCTGACTAACTACAAAACAAGGCAATAAGGCATCAATCTAAACCCAATTAGGTCCTCCAGCACCTGGATTCCGACACACCCCCTCAGCTTTCCTGCTGCAGTAGGAAAGCTGGACGGCCTGGAATCCTTCATTTCTGACCTTTCCATCGGCTGGCCTTTGTTTCCTCTTTCAGCTAGTCGATTAGGTCGCTGACTCGCTTAGCCGTAAGCTATGACAGCCTTCTAAATGTCGACTGGTGAGAGATTATCTGTCGAGATCGCGGAGAGTGAGACCTGAGGTGGTGGGAATAGGGCATTGTTGGCAACCGGTTCCTTATCCTGCCCTTTCTGCTGCTTCTCATTATACACCTTGATCTTTGCCTCGATCCAGTCCTTCCACTGAGGGTCTTCTTTTAAAGCTTTCTGTACCCTCTGTATCTTGGCCTTCTGTACCACCCAGTCTTGTGGGCGTACGGCCTCGTTGATGGTGTAGCATAGCCATGCTTTATGACCAGGGTTTCCGCAGGGGCACCTTCGCTTAGCAAAAGGCTTATCTTCCTGCTTCTGTAGTATGTGCTGGTCATCTTCTTCCATCTCTTTTGCTTCTGACTCCGCTTCTTTGAAGTCCTGAAATGTCGAGAAAGAAGCTTCCGAGATCGTATTGTCTGGTTCCTGAGGTATTACCTCGTGGTAGAATCCTCGGAAATTCTCAATCAAGTCTCGAGTCTCCCAATCCTCATGATTCATGATGATAGACTCGTACTTCGCCTGCCACCAGATAGGCAAGACGTTTTTCACCGCACGAAGGAAATCCTTGTTCGCACTCTTCACTTCTGGCAAATTCAAGGTAACTGCTTGTTCCCTTAGGGTATTCCAGTCGGCTAGCCAGCGGTCGATATCCACGCCCTTCCTTGGCGGCATCGACGAGAACTGTTTCCACTGAGCACGAATATCCTCCTCGTACGCATTCGATCGGGCAAATCGAGTCTCGAGATACACTAAGCGCTCATACGGAGTCTCATAATCAAGCAGGGAGGCATGGTGAATCGGATCAAGGTTGATGATAATCCACTCGTTCACAGCATCTAGTCCCTTTGCTTGCTGCTCCCATTCTGCAAGATCAAGCTTATAGATATCAAGCCGATCTCTCCATTCGCGCTTTACACTCTCGCTTCCGCCCTCTGTATATTGAGGCCTTCTCGGCTTGCGCATCGGCTGCTCGAGCCTATCTTCCTCAATCTGTGGGTTTATAAGGTCCCACACCTTCTTCTGGCGAGCCAAAAGCTTCACTCTTGCCAGCCAATTCCTCCATTGAGGAGGGTCCTTCAGTTTATCGCCCTTCATGGCGGAGACAGTACTCGATTCCATGGTTGTTTGCTACGTCCACTTCGTTTCGTTCAAGGGGGGCTGTCGCTCAGGGGTAATCGTCTAACACACTCGCTACCACACACGCCGGCTGTGAATAGCTTCAAAATGACGATTGATTCATGGGCGAACCGGGCTCATAACTGTCGCAAACAACGAAGAAGTGGATATATCCCACAACCAATGGGGTGGTAGAGGTCTGAATTGCTGTGAAGCCCCTGTTCTGGCAATTTATGGGGGCAAGCTGACTAACTACAAAACAAGGCAATAAGGCATCAATCTAAACCCAATTAGGTCCTCCAGCACCTGGATTCCGACAACACCATTGTTCTCGAAGTTGGCCGGGTTGGCAGTCTCCGGAGATGAGCCGTAATGGATAGTGTATCGAAATATCACAAAGCTTCCACATTAAGCTTCTTAGTTAAAAGCGAACGAGAGAGCTTTCTTCCCTCAATTTCAATAGCTTCTAATTCGTTTTGAAGATGGGTGAGACTAAACCGTTGCGGCAACTGGCGAGAAGCGGGTCACGTGTATGAAAGCTCACCGCCCACGGCAGCTCCGACATGCCTGGCCAACACCAAGCATCAACTCAAGCAGTCCTCATTGACTCCTCTGTACTGTCGCGATCATCCGATTCCGTCTATTCGCTGGGATAATACCTCAACCCCCTTGATCTCGCTCACATACACCTCTCTTCACAATGTCGGACCTCAAGTCCATCGTCCCGCTGCTCCACAACGCTTTGGAGCACAAGCAGCTCGATGCCGCCAACGATCTGCTCAGCAAAGCCAAGCGCGCTCTTCTCACCCAGAACGCTCTTATCCCGACTCCCTCGACACAGCCTCAGCTTGTCGCCCTTGCACGACAGGTGCTTGAGCTTGGCGCCATCGCTTCCATCCGTCAGACCGACGCCCAGACCTTCACAAGATATTACCAGCAACTGCAACCTTTCTACGACCTTGAGCGACATGCCGGTGTACGAGGCCAGAGCTCCCCTGATATCGATATCACTAGCAGCCAGCGCAGCAAGATTACAGGCCTTTACCTGCTGCTTCTCTTGAGCATGGGTGATAGCGCCAACTTCCACACTGTTTTGGAAGGGTTGGTGGAGGAGGCTAGCTTGAAGGGTAGCCGCGTTGAGGATGATGCATACATCAAGTACCCGGTGGAGCTTGAACGAAACCTAATGGAAGGAAGCTACGATAAGGTGTGGCGGGAGACTAAGTCGGAGCGCGTGCCGTCGGAGGACTTTGGACTGTTTTCTAACGTAAGTGTCGCATCTCTTGCATCCATCAGGAAAGCTGCGTTTTTGGTCGCCGATTTACTAATCCGTGTCTTCATAGGTTCTCATTGGTACCATCCGCAACGAGATCGCCGGCTGCTCCGAGAAGGCGTACCCGTCCCTTCCTATCTCCAACGCCAAGAACCTCCTCTTCCTCGAGTCCGAGGGCGCTGTCATCGAATTCGCCCAACAGCGTGGCTGGATCCTCCGTGATGGGCGGATACACTTCCCCGTCGAGCCTGAAGCGTCTACGAGGTCTGAAAAGGACATCCTGGTGGAAAGTGGCACTGTCATTGAGAACACGCTTGGATATGCTCGGGAGCTGGAGACGATCGTTTAATTCAATACGATCATGCTATCAATTGATATGAAATGGTTTATTATCTTGTTTTGGTTATGGTCCTCGGGTGCAGATGTACTTGTATGCCTGTTGGTGTTGCATTTTGATTTGATCTAGCGTGTTCATGACAACATTCATGTCTAGAGTTTGGTATTGCGTTTTCCCTTGTGCCCCAACTAGGATTTGGCTTGGTTCTTTTCGTACACGTCGTTATACTATGGCCCTCCATACACAAACACGGCGATCGTAGAAGCTGCTCGAGACGCAAAGCAGCTCGGACAACTCTCCTACCTGACTAGATGTGTCCGCGCCCACCCCTTTCCAGACGTCGCTGGCGTAGTTCATACTTTCATGCTCTGTGAACTCTGCCAGCACCTCAATGCTCCATTCGGAGCTCTGGTCCTCCTGCTTCCAGATTACGCGCACAACTCGTGTCCCGCCATGCATGCAACTTGCTAGGACCAAGAAGTGCTGCTCTCGGATGTCCCCAGCGTCGTTTGATTTGACGACTTCTTTTGGATCAAGAAGCTGTAAACGCCAGACACCACCGCCCAGTCCTTCCTCCGCGAGAACTTCCCCTCGTCGTGTCGCATGGTATACGCGAAGACCCTCATCATAACTTCCTGTCAAGAGAACAGGTGCGTCGTCAACTAGCGGCACGGGAAGGGGTATGATGGCAGTGACACCAGCAGTGTGATGGCGGGCTCGATCGTCGTGCTCGAGCAGTAACGGGGAAAGGGGCTCTTCATCACCCTTCTCCTTTCCCCCATGGCTCACAAATCTGCGCGTATGAAGCGAGCCAAAATCGTTACCGGTATACATAAACGGTATCGTATTCTGATTCTGCTCACTTTTTTCGGAAGACTGGGTCATGGCTGCGAGGGCAACAAACCACACCTCAATCATCTGTTTAGCTTCGAATGAACCCCATTCGATAAGGCCATCTTCTTCTGTGATGTCTTTCTCGGTTCCAAAGACAGCTGTCCGGCTATCTGAAAAGGTCACCGCGAATCCATCGGCTGATGGACTGGGAAACCAGTTTTCTGGTGTCCAGGCCAGAAAGAGGGCTGGGATGGAAGGGTCTTCGTGGACTTGCTTAGTCCAGAGCTGCTCGATACTCGGTTGCGTAGAGCCATCCGCTGAGGACTGAGAGACATGGAACAAGGAGACACACCCCGTGCTACTTGCGATAGCAAACTTGCTTCGATTCCTTGGGTGGAAATGAAGATCGAAAACGGCGTATGGGAGTGCAATCCTTTGCACTAGGGAGCTACATAACGATCAGTCACATCGCACAGCTTCGCCGTTGCAGAAAGTTTGACTCACAGCGCATCTGTGGTCTGATCTAGCTTCCAAAGTTGAACACTTCCGGTTTTCGTCTGTTGCACCGTCTCGTCCTCACTCTTGGTCTCGGAGAGGAGGTAAGTACCCACCACGAGATGGTCGGGAATCTGAGGACAAAACTCGAGACAGCTGGGTGGTTGGTCCAGAAAGACGGTTGTTGCTGACCGGGGCAATTGTTTCGCTTGTTTCATTGCGCCGACGTGGTTTCCTGGATCTGTGTGGCCAAATTTATGATGCGGTTCGGTTGGTGGGGCTTTGATATTTTAAAGGTGGCGGAGCGGATTTAGATTTCCATACGGACTATTATAGCGGCCAGAGCTCACTTTCTTATTTTCACTCATGTTGATGCTCTGTTTCCAATTCATGACTGAGCCAGCACCGATAGGAGATAAAACTACTAGAAATCTGAAATTGTTTCATTCCCTAACCTTTCTCTGATGTACGAATTTTTTCAAGGTTCAAATTGGTACTAGTATTAAATTAGGTGGTGCTCCGCTCGATCCTCGTCCTAACAATAATGATCACGTATTATCATAGGCACACATGGCAGTATTCAATGACCCGTATAGCCAGCTACTTAGCCCATCCATATGGGTTTCCATTCATATCGGGTGGGAAAATACGCGTCAAATAATCGGGCCAGTCGGGCTTCCGGCCCCAGCTCCCAAGCGCTCGAACATGTTCCCAGTGTGCCGATGTATCACTCAGCATCTTTTCAACCAAGAATTGCTGTCATATGACCTCCTTCGACAAGGATGCCCTGTGCGGTGAGATTAGAATGAGTGAAAACGATATCATGGCCATCTGGAAAAGCAGATTTGGCCATGTGTCGCTGTATGTCTGGTTCTGATTTAACAATATTTCCCAGGATAAACTAGTTGAACTGCTGCTTACGACTAAATCGCAGTATCGGATAATGCCATTACCATAAAGTGAATGAAGAATCGTTCCTTCCTGATTTTCTATGCATTCATCTTAGACTTAAATACAACCACACTTGTCGCGTCAAGGATACTGAGTGGTGATGATTTTGAACAGAATAAGTCACACTGCTAGTGTAGAGGATAGAGATGTTGGGGATCAACAAGAGGCTCATTAGGATGAAAAGAGGGGGAGATCGGCCCAGTAAGATTTTGATCCAATAGCTACTACAGTAGGAGATGCCAGGGATGGGATAGGAGACAAGGGTATGTGGCAGCAGTAGTGTCCTTGGACACTCAACTGTGAATTTATTACCATTCGGTTAACTGAAAGACACAATTTCCACGGAACGCGGAATCAAAAATTGGTGTATTTGATAATATAAGACGCTGACAAAGAGATTAGCTCAAGAGTGATGACAAACGCTATGCAAACAGCGCGTGGTCGCTTTTTAATCCAGGATTTCTCCGGGGTAGTTATTTCTAGAGCCGTGATTACTCAGAATCAGACATGCCTCAATCGAAATAAAACCCGAAAATAACTTACAAGTCTATTTCGAATTCGAATTAGAAAGATACTCAATGCGTAGAGAATATTTCAGACAAATCATCCCTTTTGACAAAAATATTAGGCGAAATACAGATGAAAATAAAAAAAGCACCAAAAAAATGAGGACAAAGGCAGATGCACATCCGGTACCTCTGTCTTCGAAAACCACTTTCCTTCTCAAGACAAGTGTCGAGTTTTTATCTCAGGGTGAATCCCCCGCAGGCTTTGAATGTCGGCTCCATACCCTTCGTCAGGAAACCATTTTAACATGTATCCCATATCCTTCAGAGAGGCCATGAACAAAGAGCAGATTGGAAATGTCGGGGGCAAAGTCTGGCCCATCTGACGAGAGAACACTTGTGCCATCTGATCGAACGTCAACTCATCTCCAGCGAGGGAGATCGCCTTATCCTGATAATGCTCGGGGTTCAAAAAACCATCATCCCCCACGATGTCGCTAGTCGCGCCCAACTGAAGCGGTTTGCCCTTCAAGGCCATCTTGAAATATGTCGCAACACCTTCGCCGAAGAAATCTGGGGTCAGAATGCCGCCGGCCTTAGGATAGTCCATGTCATTCAATTGGCCTTTGCACGATCGACAAGGTGATGCTCAATGTTGTGCTTTTTGATGAAATGTGGAATATTGGTGGGGTTATTGTATGACTTCTCTTAGCCCCCGCGGTCAACAGAGCTATAGACAAAACTTTTGATGTTCTGCTTGATGGCCTCATCGACAAGGGCTTTCCCTTGTACTTCATCTGAGCTGTTGCCGATAGCCGCCGGCTTCCCTCTTGATTAGCTTGTTGTGTTTATCTATGGCGGGGAGCCCTTGAAGAAATCAAGTATCTGCACACTGTAGACACCCCAGATGGGAGCGGAAGTCAAGCGCTGGGCATTTTGAAAGATATCTGCCGGTTTGTCCAGGTCTGCATATCTGCTGGAAACGGATCATCGAACGCGTAAGTGGGCATGGTTCTTTGGAGGCTATCCGCAATGGCACGCCGTTATGTTTGTATTGTCCGAACTGTGCGTACGGCCGCCGAGCGTGGAGGCAGACCGAGCCTGGACCGTGATGGAAGGGGCTGTCACGCGCTAAGTTGAAAAAAAGGCGTCAAAAGGACGGAGTGACACTGAAGGTTGTCAATAATCTCATGGCACAGGCAGCTGTAACCCATGGCCATGTCTGGCATAAATCAGAGAAAAGTGTCGCTGATGATCAAAAAGCATCGGAGATATAGGTCTTCAAGTGTTCAGTGTTTTTTAGATGAAATGGATTTTCCAATATTGAAAACCATTTTCGTGTAAGATTGATAAGAGTCGATGAAATATGACTCCGAGGAGTGTTGTCTTGGATGACACCATGGACCGGTACATGTGAATGTATTCCTCGCAAAGACATGCCCAGGACACTTGCGGAGACATCAACATGTGGGTGGTGCTACTAGGAGGTCTTTGTAGCTCGCAGATGAAATACCCGGAATACATATATTTCTTGTATTCGTGTCCTGTGATGCAGCTCGAATATCTGAGCCTACACTAGTGTAACATTTCCAAGGTTGTGAACCTTTTCAAACTTCAATATTTGCAGGTACATCACGAGAAGATGAGTCAAAAATCAACAGTGCATCTTCATAGGAAAACATGGTTGCGGGCCGATCGGCTTCCCCGCAGCAAATCTTGGAAGCACATGATTAGGTATGACACGCTAGCCCCCTCGGCACGGCAGGCAAGTCGAATCCAAACAACACTTACCAGGAACACGAGCTGCTACGATTACATCTCCCTCCAACCATGTCGCTCTTGTTCAATACCCTGCCGGAAACGGCCCGGGTGTCCCCCACGCCCTTCAAGGTCTCCATCCACAAGAGCCGGCTGACCGAGCTGGAGACGCTCATCAGGCTATCCAAGTTGGCCCCGCACACCTTCGAGAACTCGCAGACTGATGGCCGCTATGGTGTCACCACCGAATGGCTGGTTGGTATGCGGGATCAGTGGCTACAATCCTATAGATGGTACATTCTTTGACCCTAGCCATGGATCTATGCGATGTGCTCACTTCCCTTCATCTGACATAAACTAATGGATTGCGGTAGGAAATCATCCGAGGACCGCATCAACAGCTTTCCCCAGTGGAAAATCGAAGTCGAAGATCTGTCGATTCATTTCGTAGGTCTCTTCTCGCGGAAGAAGGATGCGATCCCGATTCTATTGATCCACGGATGGCCTGGTACGAACAACAGACGGCCGACCAACAGCTTAGCAGGATAATGGCAACTGACAATATTTCTCTAGGGAGCTTCCTGGAGTTCCTCCCTATTCTGGACAATTTCAGGCAGGAATATACACCTGAAACCCTGCCTTACCACTTAATTGTCCCGTCGCTTCCCGGATATACGTTCTCTTCTGGTCCTCCGCTTGATAAGGATTTCAACACGTGGGACATTGCCCGCGTCCTCGACCAGCTGATGAAGGACATCGGATTCGGAAATGGCTATGTTGTCCAAGGTGGTGATATCGGAAGTCACGTAGCCAGATGTCTCGCTGTGGATCATGAAAGCTGCAAAGGTAAGCCATTATTGCTATCATGGATGGTTGATTGATTTCCAGGGAATCATGCTGACATATCTGAAGCCGTACATCGTGAGTACTCTTGTACCATGATACAATTATAAGATACTAACATTAGTCAGTCAATGTTTGTTTCATGCGACGACCAGAAGGAGTAACCGATGACAATTTGAATGCTTTCGAACTACAAGGCATCGAAAGACTGGAAAAGTTCCAGGCACTGGGGTCCGGGTATGCTATTGAACATGGTACTCGACCCAGTACAATTGGCCATGTACTTTCTAGCAGCCCCATGGCACTGTTAGCATGGTACGTGGACATTGCAGAAGAAAAGCTCCTGATTACTGACCCTGGTAGGATTGGTGAAAAGTACCTGCAATGGGTCGATGAGCCCTTGTCTCAGGACTATATCCTTGAATCAGTTACTTTGTATTGGCTTACAGCTACAATTGCTCGGTCGATCTATACATATCGCCAGGTATGCACAACCAGAAAAACGCCGACAAAATAGTCAATTCCTAAAGATCAACTAGAATTACCCACCACCATCCGTTCCCGCTGCAAATGATCCTCGGTGGTACATCCAGAAACCTTTTGGATTTTCTTCTTTCCCCATGGAATTAGCACCCCTACCTCGATCATGGGTGGCGACTACTGGAAACCTCGTCTACTGGGGACAGCATCAGAAGGTAACAGCTTGTGTAACATCATAAAGAGCAGAGTTAATTTGAAATCAACAGGGTGGCCATTTCGCAGCACTCGAAGAGCCCGAAGCGCTTAAGACTGATCTTACAGAATTTGTGCAGAGGGTCTGGCCGGATGTGGTTGGTAGTCAATAGGCTCATTACCTGCTGTGATATTTCTTTTTGATATGGTAATTTATATACGCTGATGAAATGTCACCCAACCTTGGAAGGACAGGAAAGGGCCATGTATTAAATTTGAACATTAAGAACGGGACCAGTGGTCTTCTATCATATATGTAAGATAGAAAAACGGTATAAATAGTAAGGTAGTATGTGTTGAGCTGGCAAAAATGGCCCAACGCTGATGTATTGTTCGTGTTGTCATTGTGGAGCTGCTGGAACACCAGCAGTTCCCCACATTTGAGGCTCCCATCGATGCCGCTGATCTAACCTCCAACTACACAAGGCCGGAACTACTCACATCGCTTGAAGGCACGATGTGCTCAGCTGCTACAGACCCCATGGATATCGATACAGTCTTCTCCGACGAATCTAGCTTTTACGGTAATTATTCGCGAGGGACTTCCATTGACAAATGCCACCAGGCTGACACTCACCCAGGCGACGAGGAAGAAAAGGCAAGCTTGGAAAAACAAGCAGCTACCTTCGACCCAGAACCATACTGGTCAAAATTCCACCCTAAGCTTCTATCAACGCTTCAGCATGAGCTCCGCGCACCGACTTCGCCCGCAAAATCAGAGCCGCGGGCATCTGTACATGCAAACGAGGACGTCTCAGATTCAACTCTCCGGAAGAACCAACGCGGGCGCAAAGAACCTATATCCCACTTTCTCTCACGTCTCCCGCCTTCTAAAACATTGGCTTCAGACGTCGGCCCCTGGATCTGGATGTTTGGCCCAGACTCCAAGGCCCAACTGGACCAAGACGTCCCTTCGTTCGTGAGGAAGGGTAGTGGCCTGCTACATGCCTATGAGAACGAGAGCACGGAACTCCGCGCAGCCCATGAGAGATCCGGCGCGAAGACTACGGCTCCTCTGACCCGTAAACTGAGTCAGCTTCGTCGCGCGCTGGAACGGAATATTCTGGACTCTGCACGGGAATGTGGTGTGACGTACGGGAAGTGGATGCTATTCCCCAACGTACGGAATGTGGATTCGATTTGGAAAACGGTTGTTACTGCGCTGGATAAAGGGAAGCTGGGGAATGAGGCAAAGGTTGCTACAGATGATGGGTCGGGACAGACGCGGCTGATCTGCATCTATACGAAAAACTTTGGAGACAAGGAGGACGTGAAGCGCGTGTTGAAGATGATGGTCGAGGTGGGACTGGTGCAAGAGGAGGCTAAGCCGATATATTACAAGTGTGATGCCTACACGCATCTGGATATCAAGTCGAAGAACGACTACGGTCTCAAAGCCAGTATGTTTTCGAGTCGTGATGTGCTTACTGGGAAGGTTTGAATTTGCAAGGCAAACCATTCGATAGTTGCGTTAATGCGAGATGATGCTATGATTATGACATTATGTGGCATGGCTTGATTGCCAGTGGGTATCTATGTGTATACTATTCTCGTAGTATACAAGCGGACGGCATAAAATGGGGACTCCGAGGCGGTAAAATGGCCAAGGGCCAAGGTCAACAAATGGGTAAATGCATCACAAGTGACAGCAACCGCCGCTCATGTAATCCAGGCATAGTGGTTAGCCTATCGCGAGAGGAGTACCCATGGTGATGCCTATGAGTGGCTCTGGTGGGTGTCGGGATCTCGGCTCGAGATGAACGAGAAGAGACTAAAGCAAAGGAGACAATCTCTTCAGTCCTTGTTGGTCTCCTTGTCCATGACCTTTTCGCAGGTTTCGCGGACTTCCGCGACGCCCTTGACCTGGCCCCAAGCCTCAAGTAGCTTCTGGACCTCCTTCCAGTCCTTCTCGGCCTCTTCCCGTTTATCGTCCGCAATATATTTCTCTAGTCTCTGAGGCGCCGCAAGGACCCATTTGACAGTCTCCTTCTTAGCCTTCATGTTCCAGACGGGATTTTGCTCACGTTCCTCCTTGATCCGCCGTCTGTGCTCCTCCCCTTCCTTGATGAGACCGCCCGCAGTCTCAGCAACGAAGGAAATAGCCGGACCAAGAGTCTTGGTCATCGTCAATGGAGCTCCCCGTTCATCCATACTTTGACGCATCTTGCCAATTGTTTCCACGGCGCGAATCAACTTGGAGTAGTTGTCGTAAACGAGCGCCTTGCGCTCTCCATCTAGGGTGCGGATATCGCCAACGAGTGTGTTTTCGGCTTTAAGGATTGTGGACAGCGATGAAGTGGAAAGGAGGTGTTCGACGTAGCTTTGTGGGTCGAAATCCGCATTGTCTAGCTCCGTCCCCGAGGCGAGAGTTGAGGGGTTGGAGATGTCACCCGCGTCCGTGTTGCGAGGGACACTGCGGGATCGAGCGCCACTCGGACTGTCGGAGCCAGGAGGCTTTAGCTTATAGTAATCTCGTAGGGCGGAGCGGTTCCGGCGACCTGTGTTGGGGTTGGGCGAGATCGCTCGCGCGGTGGACGGGGTGGACGAAGCACTCAGCCCGCCGGGGATATTGGTGTTTAGCGTATCAAGAGAGGGTCGCGAGGAAGCCGGCCCAGGGGAGTGACCCCGGGAGGAAGCAATTGAAGGGCGGGGAGAAGATAGCGTCGACATAATTGCAATGGTGAAGGTGGGATGTCCAGCGGCGCGGACGACGGGCCAGATCAACCGGAGATACCCTATGGCCGGCCAGCGGCCCGTGCTCGTTCGGCGGAGCTGGAGCAGCTTCGATTTCGCCGTCTCCACCACGCTCGAGGGCCGTCATCACGAAGAGATGCAGGCAGAATGGCCAGCGCAGAGCAGATCGCGGCTCAAATCCAAAATAAAAAGTCCCTCGCCGTCTCGTCGACCTGGCTGAACAACTTTTTGTCGACCTCCGGCTCCGCCCAGCGCAATATCCCCGCCTCCGCGATCATCAATACAGCTATATTCCGCGTCCTCGCGTCCGATTTTAGGGAATCTCTGTCGACAACCCCGGCTTCCCTATTGCCAGTTGATATCCATGACCCGAATGTACAGGAAAGACGTCTAGTAGGGCCAATTCCAGTCCAGGTTCTTGACATCGAGGATATCGGGACTAGTCTATGGAGCCAGGTCGAGGCAATTGAGCGGGTCGAACGGGGTGAAGCGGTTCGTGGCCGAGAAATCGTACGGACGGTTAATGTGGGTGATGACAACGAGGGAGAAAATGGCCAGTCCAGTAGCAACTTTGCTGGAAACACATCGGGAAGCCGAGGCGCTGGACCACATCGATTGATCCTACAAGATGCGGCCGGCACCAAAACTGTGGGTATTGAGATGCAGGCTATTGAGGACCTTTCGATCGAGAAGGTCCCGATCGGCGGGAAAATCCTCTTGCACAATGCGACTGTTGCGCGGGGTATGGTTTTGCTCGATCCACAATGTGTTTCTCTGCTCGGTGGGAAAATCGACGCCTTAAATGGGCCGTGGAAGGAAAATAGGAAAGCGTGGTTGCTGCAGAGAGTCTCCCAAGTACAAAACGAGTGAATACTACGAACTGTGGGGAATACTAGAATCATTTTAGTAATTTTTTTGTATTTTTATTTCCTTTACCCCTTTGCCATTTAAGATATCCAGGCATGTGATTGATGTTCGGAATCCATCATACATCTGCCTACGCAAGATTTATCCGTTCTGATTGAACGGACGAGTCACCAGAAAACTACTATGCCACTTAATTGGATTGGACGTAGTTCACGGACTCCCAAGCCTCTCGTTTCCATGGTGCAATCATGGTGGCCCGAAGAGCATCCCCAGTATTTCCAGTCTGAGTGTACGCTTGGCTGAGATCAGACGCTTCAAGTTTGCCATGGGGCGGAACGCAGTGCAGGGCACGCTTGACAGACATTGCTGATGCATATGGTTCACCGGAGGTGGCTGACAATTCCATCCAGCCAGAGGGTTGACCAGGGGAGAGCATAACGGCGGCAGTTGCCTCACCAAGGCGCCGGACGTCCTCCGGGAGCGAGACATCTTCGGTGAACCCCATGGCCGAAATCGCGGTCAAAAGCTTGAGAATTCTAGCACGCTCGCGGATGTCGATGTCATCCCGTGTGACCATGGTACGAAGATCCGATTCGACGGCCTCCACGGCGTCGTTGTCCCGATCCATGATGGCGATGGCCCCCAGGAGACTAACAGCCCCGACGTGCTCTGGGTGAGTCTCGATACAGTCAAACAGCTGTTGACGAGCTACCGAACGCTCTTCCTCGCCACCCTTGGCCCAAAGAACCTGAGCCAGAAGGCATACGACATCTGGGGCGTGATCTGATTCATTTAAAGCGTCACGGAACATGTCAATCGCCTGATCCATTGACTGAATGAAATAATAGGCAAGACCAGCAGTGAGGTGCGCAGACAGGCGCATCTTCTCGCAAGCCTCTGGGTCGAAATCAATCGCATCTTGTTCTTCAGACAAGGTGAGCGCCGTTTCAGCCTTTTCAGCAGCTTGCTCATAGTCCTGGCGAGCAAGAAGAACACGGGCAATGTCTGCATTTGCCTGGGCAAATCTGGAGAGCGCAGATGGCGACTCCGACGACTCGAATTCGGCCTCCATTCCGGAGCAAACAGCTTGTAGATTGGCCTCGGCGTCGCTCGTTTCGCCCATTCTTTCTCCGAGGAGTGCAGACATGTGCATAATAGGCAGGTCCGAGGGGTCTTGCGCACAAAGCTGTTGAAGGGCGAAGCAAGGTTGGATCAGCTGGGCGACTTCGTTGGAAGCCGAAAGGTCGGAAACGAGATGATCGAAAAGTGTGAGAGTATATTGGCGCTTAGAGATGGTGTCCGACGAGCTCGAGATATCAAATGCATGCGCAAATAGACCTCGTGCTTCTTTCTTGTCACCGTAGAGAAGAGCCAGTAGGCCTTGTCCCACCCAGGCTGGCGAGTAGTCTGGATCGGTCGATTGAGCTCGAGTAAAGGCGTCGTTGGCCAGTTGAATGTCATTGTGAATGAGATAAAGGGCGCCTAGGTTGGTCCAGGCCTCGGCACCCTTTTCATTGAGATGTAGGCTACGCGCAAAGGCATGCTGCGCCACCTTGGCACTCATGCTCATGGTGGCAACACCGAGCGCGTTCCAGAACTCGGCATTTCCTGCCTCTAACTCAATTGCTTTCTTGAAGCATTGCATTGCAGTCTTGAGAAACCTGCGCGGCTTCTTTATGACATCTGGGCTAGCGAGCGAGGTTCGATACGCCCGATACTCGGCACAACCAAGGTTGTACCACGCAACTGACTGGGCGAGTTGATCACCACTAGCAACATGAATTGCGCGTTTGAATGCCAGGATAGCAAGATATGTGCAGTCACTAGATTGAATTGCCTCGTTCTCGCTGGAATCAAGATAGCTGTGCCCAATTTTGTCTACCTCACTCATGATGTCAAGCTCCCCATCGTTGGCTCCGCTGGCCAAGAGAGCTCTACATTCAGAGATCGGCAGCATTCCAATTTCCTTCCCAATGTAGGAGAAGTTAATGCAGGCATCACCAACTGCCTTCCAAAGATTGAACAAGTCGCTCCGAATTTTAACAATCGAGCTTGACACGTTGATGACCTTGCTGGCTAACTCTGCCGCGTCGTGAAACAGGCCGGAATCCAGACTCTTCCAAGAGCTCTCCGCAAGTGTCTGGAGAAGAGCGGTTGTGACACCAATGTCGGCAGGCCTAGAAGCGAGGATTTCCTCGTAAAGAGCGATTGCATCACCATATTCACCAAGATCTGTTTTGACGTTGGCTAGCATGTATCGTGCAGACCAAATGTGTTCCTTCTCGGCCTCGGAGAGACGAGACTCATGCTTTCGAGCCTCTTCAAATGCCTTGGTAGCGGCGACAAAACGACCGGCATGGTGATAGCTCTCGGCGAGACCCACCCAACAATGATAATCCTCGCGTGCAAGTCGCAAAGCGCATTGGAATGACACGGCGCTTTTGTCATACTGCTGCCTGTTGATCTGCACGGCACCAAGAGCCGCGTATGGCCAGCTGTATCCTGGACGTTTGGAACTAGGGGCGGGCTGAGCGTTGCCCGAGTCCACAACTCGCTGTGAAATAGCCTCCACGAGGTCCCATTCCTGTTGGTCTGCAAAACCTTTCGCCAGGCGTTCAGCTGCTGGAATCTCAGACGTTGAAAGCTCGAAGGCTTTGTGAAATGATCGCCGTGCCCTTGTCTTGTCCTTCTTGTAATCCGCAAAGTAGAATCCGAGGCTCGAGTAGGCCGGGGCGTAATTCATATCGGCATTGATTGATCCAAGGAAATATGCATATGCACCATTACGAGCCTTTCGTGCGGCCGGGGATGGGTCAAGCTCCCATAGACAGTAGCCTATACGATAGAGAAGGACTGCCTTGAAAGACCTGCTCTCTGGCTGCTCTTTCATCAGGCTCTCAAGAGCAGCCTCAAGACCCGCTCGGCCAGTTACAAGGTCACCATCCAATGCGATACACCAGTAAAGCTCTCCGCGGATCTTGATGTCGGTGGGGTCACGCGCCAGGGCACGCCTCAGGAATTCGACTGCATTTTTGTAGTCTTTATCATCTTGGAGGATCAAACCAATTCCGAGAAGGCAGACCGTGGATGACGGCTTTCTTCCTAGGATTTCCTCGAAAACCCCCTTGGCTTCGGAGTGGTGACGAGGAGACTGGTGATGGATCAAGGAGTTGGCGAGGTTGATTTTGAGAGAGTCGGTGGTGTTGGCTAAATTGACGCCGGTGCGGCCTACCAGGTCGGGTATGATGCTCTCTAGTCCCTTGCGGGCTACATCAATCGCGACCTGATATTCTCCGGCAGAATGGTAAAGGTCAGCCATGATGCGATGGGCGATTGCGGACGTAGGGGCATGGTCCAATCCATCGACCATCAGGATCATAGGGTCCAGCGCAGCCAGATCGGTTATATCGCTGTCTTTCGCTTGCTTGTCTTCATCTGGGTTTTCCTTCGGAAAAGGCGAGAGGTCACTGAGAAGAAAACCCTTGAGGACCTTTGCCAGTCCATCTTCCGGGAAGAACTCGATATACTCACGCAAGACGCCAACATCCCACTGGGAATACGTCTGTACATCCTGCCACTCGAGGACAATCTCCCAGGCCAATTTAAACGGGTGCTTGATGACAACCATACCCTGAGCGGAGCGCAGTATTTCTCTTCTCTTGGTATTTCTCTTCTTATGAGGCATGACCTCGAGCTCATCACAGGCTCTCTGGAGCAGTCTTTCCTCGTATTGACGGCGGACTTCGTCGTCGTTTGTCCAGTCGATGATGCCTTGGTAGAGTTGCTCTAACTGTGTCTGTTTGAAAGCTTCGCGCTTAACCTCAAGTGTGACCAGATCGATCCGGGCACCCAGACGGGTTCTCCGTTCGCCAATTTCGCGATTGATGTATTCTTTCTCTTCGGCTTCGGTGATTTCGATAAGGCGGAGATAGGTATGGGACGGGTGAGGCACTCGGCCTTCGAGAACTCCGTACAGGGGGCAGGTGGGGAGACTGTAAAGTAAGGCGCGCTTGTACTGTGCCGGGGAACCTCGACTCCGCGCGACGTTGGTGTACTTCTCGATCACCTCTGCACATCGTGCCGGTGCTGAGTCCTCACTGCGAGGTTCCGGTATTAAAATCGGCCGATGGCATGGCCTCAGGGAAAGGAATGATACGTACAGGTTCGCAAATATGGTAGCTAGCTTGAAAGCTGCATCATGCCAGGCGTTAAGCTTCGAGGCGCCCTGTTTCTGGTAAACAGCGATCAAGCCCTGCCAAGCTGTGCGGTCATCCGGTTTGATACGCGTCGCCGCGAGGTACGTCTGTTCAGCTTCATCGTTCTGGTTCAGCTTGTCATACGCGAGGCCTAGAAAGACATGGCTGTCAAGACAGAAGAATAAAAGTCAGCATTGGTGTGGTGAAGCTTTGAGGGGGGTACGGGGACGAACGCATGATAATTTCCTGGATCTTCTTGCACGAGAACCTTGGCCTTGCCAACTGCCGTATCGTAGTCTTTCGAATCAATTGCCGCTCGCACGGCCTTCAGCGCCGCATTCTTCGACATTGTCAGATCGTGGCCAGCGCGAAGGAGGCGGGGAGGTTCTGGTGTGGCCGAGGAAGAGTGGAGCAAGTAAGAGGGCGATCGGTTGGCGCCGATACGTCACCGCTTATCGGCTATCGACCAGCTGCTCACTTGACAGCCGGGAACATCGCAGTCACTTGATCTTGTCCCCTCCACCTCGTCTCTTTGCTGCCTGCAAAATATCTGTCTCTCTCTCTTTCTGAAGAAAGCTTCCGCGAGCTCCAAAACCCGTATGTGACGAAGTGGGGTGTTCATGCGAACGGCATTATCGAGCGTAAGCAGCTTGAATGTTCTCCCTAGGTCATTCGCGAGAGCTGCTGCAATCATGTCCCTAGTCAGCTCTAGTCAAGCCGATCCATGCTAATGTTGGGGTTTGCTTCAGTGGCTTTGTCCGAACAATCATCGTCTTCAATTTTGCCCCGTTCTTCCCTCTGGGTATCCCTAGATCCCGCCTTGTCTTACGCCGTTCCGCGTTATCTCCTGGAGTAGGTGCAGCGAAGCATCGTTTCGAAATGGCATCCTTGCGCCTCCACATCGATGGCAGGATCTTTCGCGATTCCCATAAACGGGAAGTAGTGATGCGAGGCATCAACGTGGCAGGCGATGCGAAATATCCAAAGTCTCCAGATCTTCCCTCCTTCGTGCCCGATAAGTTCTTCGAAGCCGATGACGTCTCATTCGTCGGCCGCCCTTTCTCTCTAGAGGACGCGCATACGCATTTCAGAAGACTTCGCAAGTGGGGATACAACACGATCAGATATATCTTCACGTGGGAGGCCATTGAACATGCGGGGCCCCACATCTACGATGAGGAATGGATCACGTTTATGATCGAGGTTCTCCGCATAGCGAAGCAGTATGGGTTTTATATTTTCATGGATCCTCACCAGGATGTGGTAGGTTGTACAAATCGACTAATTAGCAGGCTCCATCGGCTGATAGTTAGCAGTGGTCACGGTTCTCCGGGGGTTCCGGTGCCCCTATGTGGACACTATACGCAGCAGGTCTTAATCCGAAAGGCTTCAAGAAAACCGAGGCTGCCCTTGTCCAGAACACATATGACATTCCCGCCGAGTTCCCCAAGATGATCTGGAGTACAAATTACACACGAATGGTCTGCCAAACAATGTTCACGCTCTTTTGGGCTGGCCGAGATTTTGCTCCCAAGGCCATTATCGATGACATGAACATACAAGACTACCTGCAAAGTCATTACATTGCTGCGTGCACACATCTTGCGCAGAGGATTCATGATGCTGGGGGCCTAGAAAACGAAGTGGTCATCGGCTGGGAAAGTCTCAATGAACCCAACCGGGGTCTCATTGGCCTGCAAGATATTTCAATAGTTCCACCTGAGCAACAGCTTCAGCTTGGAACGTCCCCCACTGCTTTCCAGGGCATGCTTACAGCCGCTGGACGGGCATGTGAGGAAACCACGTGGGGATTCGGTAGCTTTGGCCCTTATCAGACCGGTCGGGAACTTGTGGACCCGGAAGGTGAGATAGCGTGGCTGCTGGCCGGCGATACGGATATTGATACGAGATATGGCTGGAAACGTGACTCTGGTTGGAAGCTCGGAGAGTGCCTCTGGGCTCAACATGGCGTGTGGGAACCATCCAGCGATACTCTTCTTCAGAAGGACTATTTCTCCAAAGTTCCCCAGACTGGAAAGAAGCTGGACTATGAGATTTTCACTAATACCTATTTCTTGCACCACTACCGAGCGTACCGCGATGCAATCCGTGCCGTCTGCCCGCAAACAATCATGCTGTGCCAACCGCCAGTGATGGAGGTGCCTCCTGACCTGAAAGGGACCATTGATGACGACCCTAACATGGTGCATGCCGTTCATTTCTATGACGGGTTGACCTTAATGACCAAGCACTGGTATGTTGTGACTTTGCGCTGCGATTCTACCTCTTGAGTCTAACATATTCCAGGAATCGCCTCTATAACGTCGACGTCATTGGGGTTCTTCGAGGCAAGTACTGGGCCCCGGCCTTCGCTGTCAAAATTGGGGAGACTGCGATCCGCAATTGCCTGCGTGATCAGCTGAAATTTCTGCGCGAAGAGAGCTTGAAATACATGGGCAACCACCCACTCCTCTTCACAGAGATCGGAATTCCGTATGACATGGACGATAAGAACGCCTACAAAACAGGCGACTATAGCAGTCAGACCAGTGCTATGGATGCCAATCACTATGCTCTCGAAGGGAGCACGGCCAATGGGTTCACGCTGTGGGTGTATGAAACTGAGGTAAGCAGACGTTCTCCCAGTGTAAAACTGCAGCATACTAAGGCGAGTGCAGAACAATCATGAATGGGGTGATTTTTGGAATGGGGAGGATTTGTCGATTTGGTCGCGGGACGACCACGAGCTCCCCAGCGGTGGCGGAATCCGCTCGCTCGACCCCAATTCCCCTGCTTACTCGGAGAGCCATAGTAGTGGCGAGCAACCAGAAGTCGGGCCACGCAATCTGAAGCGTGCGTTGACGTCTCCCTCGATATCCAGTAGTTTCTCCCAGTCCCCCAAGGGCTATCGTGCGGCCGAGGCCTATCTTCGACCATCCCCGATCTATGTCAGCGGGAGGCTCGACCATCACGTCTTTGATCTTCAGAACTGCACATTCACCATGTCCTTGACGGCGGAGGCGGCGACGAGCACCGAAGCGCCTACTGAGATCTACCTTCCCGAATTCCACTTCCCCGAAGATCAGACCGACGTTGCCGTAAGTGGCGGTAAGTGGGAGTTGGAGATCGACGAGTCTACCAAGGGTCAACGCTTGCTCTGGTGGCATGCGGAAGGAGAACAGGACATCAAGATCGAAGGCGTCAAGCGCAAAGTCGGCGAATATTCCAATTCGGGCGAGGACGTGACCTACCTGGAACAGTGTCAACGTGGCCAATGTGTAATGATGTGATTTTTTTTTGGTTTCTAATCTCTTCCCAAGATTTCTAGTTCACTTCTCTCTGGTCCTCGTGCAATGTCGACTAAAGTTGTTGTAGAATGCGATTGTAGGCCCGACAGACCCATGGATCGCGTCCAGCATGCAGCAGATAAGATAAACAACCGGTGACGATGGAGGGGCAGTCCTCAGGGAGACAAAGTAAAAACACGGAGCAAAACAAAGGCGTAGGGAAGTGCTACCAATTGGCACCAGCTGCTTCGCGTCTGCTCGTGCTAGAAAACGCGTGAAGAAAGACGAAACAGTGGGAGCGGTGTGTCCTGGGAAAAGGCCTCGTCGGTCGGCCAAGCCCAGATCCGCCGCAGGCCCCCAACTTCCGAAGTGCTGCGTCTCCGGCTTCCTTTCCGCATCGTTTCTTCACACCCGCCACGCGCAAAACTGCCCCACCACTATCCTGGAACAACCCCGACCTCCACAACATCAGACTCAATCCTCATCTCCTACCTTCCGTTCTCAACTCGGATTCGATTACCACCGAATCGCCGAATGGCCGTTGTTGCTGTGTCCGGCTGCTAAACTTCTCCTACGGACAGGGTCAACGGCCAAAACATTCAGCACACACCTCTCCTAGCCACGCCTGTGAGATTATGAGAAGCGAAATATCAACCTGATACAGCAAACACTCGTCCTCTGTCTCATCTCTCGTACTGAAAGCCCGCGCCCGCGATACGCTCCCTACCTCCGCCCCGTCACCGTGTATTCCCAATCGTCTCCCACACTCGGCGTGCCACAGAGATGTCTCTCGAAGAACTGATTCGGGCTCTCGAAGTCATCCATAGTCCAACGTCGACAAATGAACTTCGCAAAGAAGCTCTCACTTTCGTTGAGTCGTTCAAAGACGACGCAGGGGCGGCTCGGAATGGATTCTTGCTGGCATCGCGTACCGATAACGCCCCCGTGGTGCGATATTTCGGTCTCACTCTTATGGATCATGCCTTGCGCCATCTTTCCCTCACCGACTCTGAACAAATCGCGGCAATTCGAGGCATGATCTTGGAGCTGGCCGAGCACATTTACCCCGAGGACCCGAATTATTTCCGCAACAAAATCCCCCAGCTGTTGGCCGAGGCAGCCAAGAAGAGCTGGGGTCTGGATTGGATGGATATGGACACGACGCTGGTCAAGTTCTGGGGTATGACTGTGTACCATAATGAGCTCGTGCTTTCTCTTTTGGAGACACTCTCCGAGGACGTGTTCTTCCGCGAGGATACAGTCTCGTCGCTGCGTGGCTCTGAGCTGAACCGCGCGCTCGTGGAAATTTTCACTCCGTCTGCGATCGTTGAACAAATCCACCCCGACACGAAGACCAATACAATGCTACGGTGCGGGCAAGAGGGTTGGCTCGTTCGAATCTCCGAATTTTTGATCTATTGTGTTGAGAATTTGGGGAATTCGCAGGTTGCCAAGCCCGCTGCTCTCAAGGCCCTGAAGACCTTGAGAAGCGCGCTGTCATGGTCGGTGTACCAAGCCGTCACCGCTTCCCAGGTCGTGTCAAGCATATTTAGGTCGCTGACCTGCCAGGATGAGCAAATTTTGCTTGTAAGAAACGCTCTTCCCGTTGCTGGTAGTGTGAACAAGGCTAACACCATGCATCTAGGCCGCCGTCGAGGCCCTGCACGCTCTTTACGGCCGGAACAACATGGGAAATGAAGATTCTCATGGTCTTGTCTGTCTCATCTTCGAGCCCGATTATCTGATTACTCTCCAAAATCTGTACCAGTGGTCCATTGTGAGCCCCGAAGATGTCGACGAGCCCAAGTATCTCGTTTCCAAGAAGCTCTCCGAGGTAAGATGGTGGTCTTCCCTTATCATATGAAACTGATCAAACTAACCAATTCCTAGATGGTATCGTACATCGCCGCGTGCTTAGAAGACAAGCAGTTCTTACAAGACACCATGAATCGCCTCGACCTCCCGCGATTCTTCAATTTCATGGTCAACATCATGCAGCATCAGAGTTTGACTGTGTCCATTCCTGCTCTGCATCTTTGGTCAAAACTCCTGTCTATCACGAAGATCGCAATGTCGGAATTTGTCCTGGAGCTCACGCCTAGCCTTTTGAACATCTGCACCCAACGTTTAATACGCTGGGAATCTCTCCCGGCTGATTCAGATGATCCTACCGTCCAATTTCTGGTCGAGGACATCGACACTCTTCCAGAGAGACATGCGTTTGTGGGCAACTACCGCCGGTACTGCTCTTCCATTATCGAGTCCGTCACCAGGATCCGGCCAGAGGCGGTCCGTGACATTCTGAACCAAGTCGATGAGAACCTGAACAATCTGTACAGTGGGCTGGAACCCTTTACAAGTATGATCTTAATGAAACCCCTTGTGATTAATAAACTACTAACGCAAGCCTAGTTCAAACATTCAACAAGTCTGCCATTTCAATTATGCGAGCCGATGCTCAATTTGCAGTAGTTGAGGCCGTGATCAAGAGCTTCCACAAGTGGGAGGCTCAGCAAGACGTGAGTCACCTCCTAACTGTTGACGACTTTTCATTTTACTCACCAATGCAGGTGCAGGAAATCTATGAGTCTCTAGTGTTCGACATGGGAATCTGGGCCCAGGGTCTGATGACAAGGAACTTTGAGGTTGGTAGCCCCGTTATACCTACTTATCTTGTCAAGCCCAGAAGTACTAATTTTCACAACAGGATCCGGTTCTGAAACAGCGAGTCGTTAAACTTTTGGTGGACATCTCCTTCAAGGCGTTGAATAGGCAGCCTGACTTTGCCCTCAGGGTTCTGGAGCACATCCTCATGACACGGCTTCCCGATCAGCCTGATTACCCTGCCTATGCAGAGGCTGTCAAAGAACTCCATGGTCTCGCTAGCCATGAACTGCGTCGTCTAGCCATGCGCTATGCAGACCATTTCTCGGTACGTACGGTTTTTACCGAACATCTTTATTCTTTTCTTTCTTCATCTTTTTTTTTTTTTTTTTTTTTTGCTACCTTCTCCACATCCCCCCTTTTGCTTCTTTTAAAATCAGTCTCACTAATTCGCCATTTAGACTTTCTACGACTCGCTGGAGCCAAAGATTCAAGAAATCACGAATGTCAACAAAGTGGATGACAAGCTGCAGATGGAATTGACTTCCAGCTTGATGATCATCATGTACCGTGTATTCTCCCTATGCATCGAAAATAATCTTATGCTAATCTGAAGTAGGCAACGCGCGACCAATGTTGACCCGAATCTGCGTCAGCAACGGCTAGCTGCATTCCTTGAGCCTGTTCGCCAGGCTTGGCAAGATGACAGTTTCCGACAGGCCAGCTCGTCTTTTGACGGATTCTGTAAGATGCTTGGGCTCGAGAACGTCGGCTCGTACATGCAGGCAAAGCAAGCTCAAAATTTTGCCGACTGGTCGGAAGTTGCTCTGGACAATGAGGGAAAGGTCATCCAAGAACAAATGACCACCAAGTTCCAGGCATGGACTTTTTCTTTCCAGGTTGTATGAAACTTTGCTAACCGGTATAACAGATGTTACCATTGCGGGGCACGAAAACCATGATGTCAGTCTCGGTGGATAAGCTGAAGGCTTCCGACGCTGCCTATCCAATTGCTTGTGATATGTGGCGTGATCTCATCCCCCAGATACTTCCGACTCTCCTTCAACTTGTCAGGTACATCGCCAGTGCTTTCTCATTGTTGAAGTTGGTTTCGTGCTAATTCAAATATTCGCAGCCACGCGCATGCTTTCCATAATCCCGCCAACTGGGCCGTCAGCAATGAGATGCGGGCTGTTGTCGAGCGGATTTTGACTGACCGATTCTGGCAAGCCGGCATTTCAAGCGGGAGCCGTGACGATTTTTATGCTCGAATCACGGCATCGAAGGCGACCTTAGAGGGGTTTGCCTCTTCGGTCCGCGGTAAGATCAGAGGAGTCCGCGAATCATGCTATTCCATGCTGTACAGCATGAGCAGAATGCGTGATCATTTTTACGGCTTCGCTGAGCTTCCTGGACCTCTGTCAGAAGCTCTTTTCAAGGACTCCGAGCATCTTTCCTCTCACCAATTTTCGGTCTTACTCAACGTCTCCCGCTACTTGATCGACGATTGCCCCGTGCAGTACCGCGGTCAATATCTTCCTCCCATGCTCGCAACTTTGTTCGGAAGTATTGACCGCAAAATTACCAGCGAATGGCAATTGATTGAGCAGAGAAAGAATGGCATTTCGGATGGTGATCTTACCGACGAGATGAAATCCGAAAGTGTACTACGCCAACTGACCTATTCCGCTGTCCTCATGGCCGCCAGTTTGCTCGATCCCCAAAGAGGAGGTGAGGAATGCGCATCTCGCCACCGAGAATATCCAAGTCTAAAAATGTATCCAAGTCTAACGTACCTTTTTGCCCAAGATCCATACAGGAACGAGGCTGAGCCTAACACACCTCAATCGATGCCCTCGCCTGACGACTCGATTCGAAATTTCGTTCTTTCGTCCCCCGAAATCTTCGAACCAGTCATGCTCTTTTGTACGCATGCACTCAGCATGCGCGACACACGATGCTGCAGCATAATCACCCGTGTCATTCGATCAATCCTCCCCCGACTTTGCTCCCCCCAACAATAGCCCTACCACTGTTACTATCCGCGAGTTCATCTGCACAGAGGTCCTGAAGGCGGGCATCACATCAGTCCATGAGCCCTACTTCGTCGATATGCAGAAAGACCTGGCCCAGCTTATTGCGTCTATCTGGGTGCTTTACGGATACGCCAGTGAAACACCTCGGTCCGTTCTCCTGAGTCTGCCCGGCATCTCAGAATCTCAGGTCGCCCAAACTGAAGACGCTCTACGACGTTCTTCTGCTCCTCGTCAGCAACGCGCTCTGGTCCTTGATCTCCTGGAACCTCTTCGTGGTATTAGCATCACCGAACAAGGCAAAATCATGAAGTCTCGCGAGGAACGACGCAAGTTTCTCACGGCCCTCCAAGAGAAGTACCGGGCGTTGCCGATGGAAACTGAGAACGAGAATCACCGTGTCGATATCAATGATGGCCCAGATCTGTCTGGGGTCGCCGACATGTTTGGTTGATTCATTCAAAGCCCCGAAACTTCACATCTGTTCAATAACCCCATCAGCGATCGATTTTTCCAACTAATTTTTCAAAATCCACGCGGATGCATGTTACCCACATCATGATCCCCCCAAAGGTAGCAAATTATCGAAAATTCACCTTCCCCTGTGGTGGCCTTCTCATAATTCAATGCATCTCGAGCGTAAATCTAAATTTCCTTTCTTTTTCTTGTTTTCCTACCTCTTTTCTATTCATATTAGCTCTTCAGGTTTTACTGTTAACTGTTAGGCTTATAGACTACCCTTGGCGGCGGCGCTCATGGGGTTGTCATTCCATACAGTTCTGTACGGCGGAACGTATGAAAATGTCAAAAAACAAACAGAACTCAATAATCTGGCAAGCCATCACAAGCTTACTTGGACTCATTCGGAAAATGAGTCTTTGACTGTGTTGTCGTTACGTCACAATATGCTAGTGATCAAAATGCCTCAGTGTTCCCCCGGAAATACAATTTTGTGACCGGCTCTCCTGATTTCAGCTCCAATTCATATGAACATGGCATTCCGGGATCGCAACAGCATTATGTTGCCGCTGGGATCTCGACGCCATACCCGGGGGCACTCTTTACCAGAGACTAGGGGAATGCCAAGCCACTGAGAGTATCTCGCTAAGGCAGTCTCAAACCGACGCATTTGTCATTGTTCAAGGGTAGAAGATCGAGAACAATGCACTTCCGACATTTTCAAGCAAGACAGCAGGAGCAGACGACCCCACTGGCTTCAATTCCATCACGATTCCCGCAACACCTCACGGACACGGCGAAGAAACAATTCGCAATTTCAAGATCCTTTCCGAGGCTCGTTGCTCGGGAACAATACCAATTTTTGACGATCCTGGAGCCCTGCGCGAGAGACGTTAAACCAGGTCTATTTAGCAATTCGAGAATGTTCAATACAATCTCTGGTGGTATCGAACGGGTCCAGGGCTCGCTAGAATTTGTTTGCATCCTCCATCAGTCTGTTGTGAAAACCTGCGCTAACAGGCGAAATCCTGGGAGCCATCCCGTGTGACACAGCCGTTTAATATCGAGATTGGCTTGATGCTTGCGATTCTGTCTTGTGATGTTTCCGCAGATACAACATGTCGCAAGGAAAGAAAATTCATCGCACAGTACCCTGCCCAATCTCGTCTTTTAGAAGAGATTCAGCACTCCGTGTGGCTTTATAGGTTGAAGCCTCGGTCTGAAAACATTCCTGCAAAACGACAAGAAATCCACAATACCAAAAGACCTTTTCCAGAGCGGAAAATTGGCCTGTCATGCGTTCAGTAAGCAGCATAGTCGAATGCGGCATGGGGACACGGTGTCTCATTGAAAGCTCCCGAAAATTTACCTCAATGGTCTCAAATTCCCATGCTGTAATTTCTAGAAAATTCTCAAATTCATCACTGCTTCGCTCGGTAATTCCCAGGAGCAATCATTCTAAGCGCCTCCCGCTGACATCAATGTTGACCTTGAAATATTTGAACTTGCGACTTGGCACCTTGCGTTCAAACAGAATATCCAGCTCCTCAAACGTCCGTCCCTTAGTCTCGGGCATGAACCAGAAACAATACATCGCACAGAGCATGGCCAGACCAGAAAATACAAATCCGATCTTACCGCGCCAGTTTCCTTGATCTTCATTCATTGCATATGGAATCACCACAGCAAAAACAATAGACCAGACAAAGCAGGTCACGGTGGACAATGCGATCGTGAATCCTCGGAGCTTCGCCGACGAAACTTCCGCTAGCAACACATAGCAAAACGGGCCCAGGCTGAGGTCATACACGAATGTGCAGGCTAACATTAGTCCGCATTGTACCCATGTGGCTGATTTCTGTCGCGGAGCGAGATCGACCGCCCCGATTAGCAGTTGTAAAACGGCCAACATCGAGCACCCATAGAGGTACATGGTTCTCCGGCCGACGAACGAAAGCAGGAACCACGAGATGCATGTCCCCAGCAAGCCGAGTGCCGTGAGACCGATGTTCATAGAAAATGCATCTGAGGAGTTCAAGCCCGCCAGCTCCATGAAATGCACGGCATAGCTGAGAAAGAACACGTTACCAACGAAGGCTTGCATATCGTATGCCATGACACAGATGAGCAGGCGGCGGAAATTAGCTCCCCGGAAACAGTCGAGGTATCCAAGCTTTTCGCCCCGGTGACTTTCCTCCAACCGAAGGGTCTCCCTTATATGCGCAAGCTTCTTTGACACATCCACCGAAGGTGTTCCAAGCCGACGTAGCGATGTCCTCGCGTCTTCATAGCGGCCTTTGCGGCACAGCCAATAGGGTGGTTCGGGACACAGTGGTACCAAGACCAGCATGACACATGGTAAAGCCCATTGAGTGGCGATCGGGATCTTGTATGACCACTTGCTATCCATAGACTCGGTGCCCTTGAGAATACCGGACGCGATGAGAGAACCAATAGAGAAAGCAAGGTTGGTGATTGTGGCAGCGAAACCGCGCAAGACCAATGGAGTGACTTCGCCGACATATGCCGATGCACAGATGGGGTAGAAGGCAATAATACAGCCGTTCATCAGCTCGCCGACAAACAACTGGGCCGGTGTGTGGCTGAAAAATTGTACGAAGATGAATGCGATCGACAGAACGCAGCAACCGGCAGTCATCCACCGAGGCCCAAACCGTTCATAAGCAATCCCTGACAAAAGAGCACCGATGATGGCACCCAGGAGATTCGCGTAATTGAATGCTGAAAGCCACTGCGCAGCAATAATGTATTTTCCATTGTGGTTATAGCCGTAAATCTCCTTGAAGATGGGAAGGCCGACTAGGCTGCGCACGATGCCTCCATCAATACCCTTGAGAATCGTTGCCTAAAATCGTGAGAAAATTGTCAACGAGTTGTTAGGGGCCTGACTGACCAGGTTCATCAGAATCCCCCAACCAATGGCGGGGTAATGCAGACGCATTGCATCCCACCATCCGAGGACATGTTCCTCCTTGGTGAACTGGTATGACAGTTCGGCCTCTTCAGACGCATCGGCCGGGATATGCTGGACCACAGTCACATGCTTCTCCGACACCATTGTCATTGTTCATATCGAAATAACATCGCAACTGAAATTCAAAAAGGACGATGCATTTATCTTGATGCCAAGAGCTTGGCGGTGGGTTCCAATTACAACGGACGAATTATTCATTATCGCTGCTGGTGGGGACCATGCTGAATGGCGGAGAGTGCCGACGAAGACATGCAGCGGAGTGGACGATGGAATGAGGACCTTGGAGCCCGGTTAGTGCATGGCTGATCGCTAAAATATGACATTTGATATATATGATCTCGTCCAGACACAGATGTTCTTGTCTGTGAAGGTGTTTCGGAGCCCCCATTTGTTGGCATGATCGCTAGGGAAAGCTTCCATCAGGGAAAAGTTGTTGCTGAATGTTGGCTGGCGGCTGCTCGTCTCCTAGCAGCATGAGATTATCCCAATACCGATCGTAGAAGTCCACGATTCCTGCTGATCTGGCGAAGAACTTCTCCGTGGGCTGCGAAGTTGCGTCTTGGCCGAGATAGAACGAAGCGTCCATCAAGTCCACATCCAAGGGACTGTATTCATTTTGACTGCTCAGTTGTGCCCCCTGCAACGACGGTGCCGCGGAAATTGTAGGGACTTCGAGGACTAGGGATATATTTCAGCAAGGATTCGAAGGTGTACTTGAGTTCTAGGAACAATACTTACCACCTTGATGTTGCAGATTGGGACTGGTGGTTTGTATCTGCTCCGGCGTCTCGCCATGTTGCAGGTGGGTATTTGTGACTTTAAGCATGATTTTCAGAGCCTCAGCTGTTTTCGAGGCTTCTTTAGATTGATGACGTAGCTGGCTCCAGATGTTATAAGCCCTCTCGATCTCTTGTGAGAGCTTTTGTCGCTCCATAAGAATCGTTTGCCTATCACCAGGAGACAGTTGTTGCCTCAAGTCATAGCGAGACTGGCATGAGATTTCCAATGAGACGACCATCGCAGCGGATCGGAAATGAACAGCCACAATCGGCGAGAAGAAAAACGAGGTATATCCCAGCTGCGCTCCTATGGAACTCGCTTCGAATATGTCCGACTGATGCTGAAGCACGGTTCTCGCAGCGTCTAAGCATTCTTTTCTGGAATACGCGTAGGTTGAGTCCATGCGATGTTGTGCCAAGTATCGTCGATGAAGGTCACAACGCGCCTTCTGGTACATGAGGTCGATATTGTAGCGGTCCATGATCGTGTTCGGAGAATCGGCGATGGATTCGCTCAATGTGCGAAACTTGAGGGGCGGGGGAATCCCTGTACGGAGTTCTTTCAATTTTGCATCCAGCTGTATGACTTCCTGGTAAAGAACTCCCTTGACCGAGCAGACTCTCCGCATAATTTCGGCGTCGACAAACATGATTCGGTTCAACACAACCGGAAATAGGATGGGCGTTCTCTCTGTTGGTGGCCTGGAAGGCGGCAGGACTGTCATTGACGGATCCAGATCTTCGTCCATCAGATTTCGGGGCTCCTCTGTGTCGGATTGTGTCTGTGCTGTTGTCGGTGATAGACCTGCCTGGAGAGAGATGTAATGATCGAGCAGGCGAAGATACATCCAGACGCGACGACGCATCTCGCCATCAAACACTGATATCTCGCGGTAGTATTTGGAGTCTCGATGGTAGCCGCTATGCATGGCAAGTCGAGTTGCCAATCCAAGTAAAATGGAGGGGCCAACATGGTTGTCGGTGCTTCTCAGGATCTCCATGGCGACGCTTAACCCCACCGCCTCCATTTTGTACCGACCAGGCGATGTATAGTTTGATATTGTCAGGCATTGTGACGCTATCCTGTGGTACTCTGCAAATGTTTCTGCGAGATCTCCATCGGCTCGACCAGATGTGGAGAAGAGCTGCAGACCTGTACCTGCGCAAAGGATGCTAAAGAGATATGCTAGCCATCCGATTGAGGCTCCTTCAGGATTCTTCCAGAACGCGGCGTACTAAAGGGGTTAGGCTTTAATGGACCTTTAATTGAAGCTTGTACCGGGGCGTCGACTCACTTCTTTTGTAAATGTAGGGATGTGCGTGATAACTTGATGACTATTAGCGTTCCCTTTCCGACTTCAATATGAAGTATCGTCAGGTTGGTGATCATACCTAATGTAGACTCTTTCGAGTTTAAATAGGAAGAAACTATTCGGTCTGCAACGGGTCTGGTGGGAAGTGCAGAGAGCAGATCATCCTTGGATGTGGAAATTGCATTTCCGAACAGCAGGACCGGTCCGGAAATGTCGGGCATAGAGGAAATCTCGTCATCTTCCTCTTCTGGCGACGTGTCCTCGGTCAACTGGAGGTATTCTTTCACTTCCGCGAGCTGGTCTTGCCGTTAGTCAAAGGTCCGCGACCGATTGTTCCCTAGGTGATCATCATCAACTCACCTCGCTCAAGACCGCTTGCCAATGGGTTGGATTGACATATCGTGTCCCATCTTGATTGACCTGCATAGTTCCGAGAAAGTCTGTCCCCGTCTCAGATGGCATCTCGTTTTCGGCCTGAGGCTGAGGTGCCGTCAAAAGCTCCCATGGTGCCACTGGTTGCTGCTGCGGTTGCACATGAGTGGCAGATAGTTGACCAATCTGCATCTCTAGCTGGCGCAGATGGTCTTGAATGCCTTGCGAATGCCTCTTGGTCATCCACTGGGGACCCGAATAGTGACACATATACACTCTATTATGCTTTATGCAATTGTCGCATGGATGCTGCCGATTACACTTCAGCCTGTGTGAGCAGTTAGATCGGCACTTCACCCCCATTCGCCCCCGTCAAGTCCTGATGGGACATAGTTGTTGTTTGGGAGAACGCATGTGGGGGCGTACGGACTTTTTCTGTCGGCAGAGTACACACGACAGCTTCGGCCTCGGCTTTCTTTTTTTTGCCGGCACCTCAGGGCCGGCCCTGGGATTGACTCCCGCGTCCATGGTGATTGAATGCCTGCCAATTAAGTCCGTGTGGACGCGGGGATCGCAATGAGATCACGTGGTGTCACAATGTTCCAGATGCGCCATACTGGATTTGGCACTAGCGCCGGACATATATGGGACTAGCGTCGGGTTTGCTCTACGGGTTCCAGCTGGAGGTATTTTGGGAGGCGCGGTCGAAAGAGCAGGCCACGAAATGTCCATCGGACATACTTTGAAAGCATGGTGCGTCCGTCTATTTAACGCATGGCGGGATCCTATCACTTTCAGCTTATTCCCATCTTAAGTGTCAGGCAACAAAAGTGATACTTGCACAGCCACCTGGATAACACCATCACCCAGCAAAGTATATACCTTGCGGCGACGGCTATGACTGCATCTTCACAGCCACCGCACGAAACAAGAGCAGCGATACAGAAACAAAGCAAGCAACAAGTCTGCTGGAACTGGACCTTGTCTGCGAACAATACTTTATCAAATTCTCCGGCAGACCCAACCTTTAGCTGGACAGGTATTCCAGAGATGTCTGAACTCCTTGAATCACCACAAGTCTGGGTGAATGGCGATTTCATTCCCCAGGACGAGCTCTACAACACTACATCGACATGCGATTTCAATTCAAATTTCTCTTCTACCAGCAGCCCTTTGATCAACTCCACTGTGGCCGATAATGGCACATTCAACACATTCGCCAATGTCGATGTCTCTCTTGATACGCTTATGCCCACAATTGAACCCAACGACCGAAGTCTCTCAATGACCAGCCAGAAGGATCTAGCCCTGCGAAACGGCCTCTTTCCTCTCGAGATGAGCTACTATCACCCATCATCTTCTGCCTCCCCTCGTCAACTGGCAATGCCCGAGCAATTTCAGTCGCAAACCTCAACATCCAGACAGTCTGAATTGCCTCGCAGTACGCGAACCAAGACGCAAAGAGATCGCTCGCAACGTCAAACTACAGTTGGTAGCGATAGCTCTTCTTCCCAGGACTCTGATGAAGAGCGGCTTGCGGAGAAGCGACGGAAAAACAAGCTGGCTGCTCGCAGGCTACGACAGAAAAAATTGGATCAAGTATCGGAACTTGAAGCTCAGTTGGAAGAAATGAAAAAGGAACGAGATTTGCTGCGATTGAGGGCGGCGAAGTCAGAGGGAGAGGTCATGGCATTGAGGCAAATGCTTGACCAGAAAGTTGGCGTATAAACGATTGCTGCGCGGCATCGGCTCTTGAGCGAATGAACGAATTTTCAATGTATATTTAGATACCACACAGCGGAGCAATATGGAAAGACCTGTGTTTCAGAGTCAAATGGAGTCTGAGTAACATTTATGAACGGTGCCTGTGATGTAGTTAAGTGAAGATGGGATGGCCGTAACAACATGCGATGAAATTGACATGGAATGATGATTGAAACAGATAACATCAATTGATTGCAAGTCCAAACTAAACCCTTCTTTGAATGTAATATCTACAAGTTTTGCTCGTTCATATCGAAGCACAGCTCCCACCCACTCTCCCCAGGAGCTTTCTTATTCAGTCAACCATTTCGCAATGACATGCTTGACTCCATTGCTCTGTATGCAAAGTAGGGAATCGACTAATACATATCGGTATCACGCTCAACCAAGCATCCGGTTGGCGATTTACCAGAACTTGTACCAGGGCTTGCCGGACGGAGTGATCTCCGGGGTATAGGTGATGGTAGTGGGGACGAAGCTGTACAGAGACCGGGTGTTAGCAACGAAAAAAGCCCGGGAGGGGAGATTGATGCTAGATCATGGAGTGCATACCGGTCGGAGTTGTAGATCTTGGACTCGCTGCCGAGGAGCTCCTTCTCGCGGGCCTGAGCAGCAAAATGACGACGGACCTGGTCACGGTCCTCCTCGGCCTGGAGGAGAGGGGTGAGGTGCATGCGAGCCCACATCTTCTCGCGAGCAAGCTCACTATGGTAGAAAAAAGGTATCATGTTATTCTTCCATTCTCAATTCTGCGCTGCGCGGGCCGATTTCAAGGGTTCAATGGCAGGGTCTCGGGTTGTTCGGAGGAAGGGAGCACTGCCGTCGCGCGAAACGTACCGTTGCTCGCGGGTTCCTTGCATATACTTGTAGGTACCCCAGATCATGATCAGGTGCATACCGGCCATGTAAAGGTAGGCCTGGTAGCCACGGGAGGGGAGGTTCCGCTGGAGATCAGACGTGAGAGTATTAGCCATTGCTGTTGTGCGATTCCGTCGCTTGTGGGGGCTGGGCCGTGGCCAAACCCGCTGTGAGAGCTACCTTGTACTGGACGGGGGCGTAGCCGCCCGCCGGGGGCATATCCTGAGGCATGGTGGCGGTAATGGGCTTTTGAAGTGAATGGTAAAGCCGCAGCGAGGAGTTGCCGGGAGAAGTCGAGTGATGGAAGGTCACGTGCCGGTGTACAGTAATGGCCGCTGCGAGGGATGTGATTGGAGCGCGGACGGCAGGTGGGCTTTTTTCGTGTCGGGAATCATCTACATTAGCAGCTACCCGCCTGCTTGAGCCTTTCCCTTGCAATCGAAACTTTCGTGGGCGAGACAATGTCGGAGGACGAGCGACCTCGAAAACTGCCGAAGCTTGCCGACGACAACGACGAGGCAACAGACCGAGAACTCGGCCCCGCCATGACTGGCGCCGTGCACGTCGATGATGACCGGGCGCAAACGGGCGCAGTCGGCGCCAGCAACACCCACTTCGAGACTCTGGGAAACGCAGACGACCGCCTGACCGAGACAAGTGAATCTACTGTGAAGCCTCATACTGAGGATGGCGCCCCACAAATGTCAAAGAATCAGCTCAAGAAGCTCCTTCGACGACAGAAGTGGGCAGAGGACCGCGAGTCACGCAAAGACAAGCGGAAAGAAATGGCGGCCAAAAAGAAGGAGCGTCGGAACATCATGGTGCAAGAGGCCCGAGAAACGGGCGGCGAGGAAGCCGTAAAAGAGCTGCGCAAGAGGTGGGAGGGAACCAGAGCCAAGGCGAAACGATCCACGCCGCTTCCCCTTTCAATTGTCATTGACTGTGGCTATGACGACCTAATGACCGACAAGGAGCGAATCTCCTTGGCCTCTCAACTGACGCGGTCATACTCCGAGAACACGCGTGCGCCCTGGCGCGCTAACTTGATGTTCTCGTCCTTCGATAAGCTACTGAAGGAACGCTTCGACACTGTGTTGGCTGCCCACAAGAATTGGAAGAACATCACAATCATACAAGAAGACTTTGTTGAAGCAGCGGAGCTTGCGAAGGCACAAATGGCATCTCCACAAGGCGGCAAATTTGTTGGCCCCTTCGCCGATTGTACGGATGCGAAGCCAGAAGATGGGGAGGTTATCTACCTTAGCAGCGACAGCGAGAACACGTTGACCGAGCTGAAACCATACAATACTTATATCATTGGCGGATTAGTCGACAAAAATAGGCACAAGGCAGTCTGCTACAAGGCAGCCGTCGAGAAGGGCATCAAAACTGCTAAGCTGCCTATCGGAGATTATATTAAAATGGCATCGCGCTCGGTGCTGACTACCAATCATGTTGTGGATATTATGTTGAACTGGCTTCAACTAGGCGACTGGGGCGAGGCTTTCATGAGAATCCTACCGCAAAGAAAAGGAGGACAGCTGAAAGAAAAGACTGGTGGTAATGACGGCGGAGAGGATGCGATTGCAGAGGAGGATGAAGATGGGGATGCAGATGTGGCTGCTTTGGAGGTAGTCGCAGACGAGAACGAAGGAGACGATGCCGAGCATGAGCCATGAAACTACCAGCAAAGACTATGGATATAGCGCTTCACAATTGACATATACAGTCCCATTGTCACGATGCTCATACCCTAGGGTATAGTTCTCGGCCTGCCTTCATTGGACAGGTGACCTGAAGCTGAAGCCTCTTACTTAATCATCCTGGTTGAAAGCGCCACAGTGCCACAAACGCCACAGTCAATGACGGAGGCGATTTTCTTGTGATGCACTTTATCTCCCTTTATTTTCACATTTCGCTTTTCCCTTTGACAAACGGCAGGAAAAGCACCCCTCGCTGTTGCCCTTTTCACTCTCCGCCTTCCTTTGTTACTCTCCTTCTATTCCCCTTCTCCCCACCCCCTCTTTCCGCAGTCGCGACTTCAATCCTTCTTCCCTTTCGCCTGGCAGCTGCCCCTCGCAACCATGTTTATGCTCCGCAACGGTAAGCAAACACGCTCCATGCCCCGCCTAACCCCTCCATACCGACCACCACATCTCGCCACTGAGTATACAAATTTGCTAATGTTTTTCGTGCAAAATTTATAGTGGGCAAATTTCTTTTCGGTGATACCTCGAAAGAGTCTATCATCGAGATTCCTCAGGGCCAGCTGTACTTGGTCCGACCCCTCTCCCCCAAGGGCTATTCGGAGCTCATCTTCAAAGACGCGGCGGCGACGATCCGACGAACTGGCCAGGAATTTCAATACCAGCTGGTAATCCAGAGAGCCTACGAGGAAGGCGAGGAGGACCTCGCAGACGATGAGGATGAGCAGGGAGCCGCGGACGGGCTGGACAAAGACGAGAAGGTTTTCCTGCTCGACCAGTCTCTGCACTTCCGCTCCGAGGTTCGCGAGGGTGGTGTGAAGATTCTCGCCTGGGATGACCTGAGTGGTGACGAGGGTGATCTCTTCGAGTTCATTTGCGACTCTTCGGTGCCTTCCGACAAAGTCGCCACCTTTGAGCTTGCTGCCCTGCAGTGCCAGTACGAGCGGAAATTCCGTCGCACCGCGCAGAAAGCCACCGAGGAGGAACTCCAGCAGTTTTCCTACGAGGAAGAAGAGCCCATCCCGTCTGCGAGCCCTGTCGCTTCGCCCACATCCAAGTCGCGTGCTCAGTCCCTGACCTCTGGCGATTCTGCCGCGGCGATGGCGCAAGACGTGAGGTATGCCCAATCTAAGGGCCACATGAAGGCTGCTGCCGAAGATGAGGAACCTACTGTAGCTCCACCCTCTGCAGCCCGGCCAGAGTCCAAGGAAATTCTGACCAAGGAACGGGCTGAGCTTCACCTTTTCGATTTCCCGACCGGAACGTTCGTGTTGCAGGATTCCGAAGTCATTGCGACCGTGTCCGAAATTGGGAACTGGCAATACTGGCTCCAGATCACCGGCAACGAAAAGGAATGGCTCGGCCAGGCTGTTGTCGGAGATATCAACCCTGTCTTCAACTTCGAATATCTTTCATTTATCTTCAACCACTACGCTGAAGACGGATCGGCCTACTCATGGCTTCTTCGTTTCAAGGACCAGACTTCGGAAGAGCGCTTCCAAGAAGGTCTGATGCAGGCTCTGTGGGAGCAGCTTAACGAGATGAAGTGGACCAAGGTCAAGGAGAATGATCGAGAATATGTGCTGGACGCTTTCCAAGACCTCACTATGGAAGATGCCGACGACCAGCCTGAGCAGGAAGAAGAGGAGGAAGAGGAAGAGGAGGAAGAAACCGACCAAGACGACGGTCAACGTAGCGAGCACTATGATAGCGACGAGGAGGAAGACGACGTTGTCACTCGCGATCAGGATGGCAATGTTAACTCTCAACTGGCTGTTGGCTACAAGCATGATCGCTCGTTCGTTGTTCGTGGTTCCAAGATCGGTGTTTTCAAGCACACCCCCAACAACAACCTTGAGTTCTCGACCAACATCTCTAAAGTGGAAACACCAAATGGCAAGCTTTTCAGCCCAAAGAAGGTTATGCTGCATGCAGAGGATCGCAACATGATTCTTCAAAATAGCGATGACCCCAATTCTCTGTTCAAGATGGATCTGGAGTATGGCAAGGTTGTCGATGAGTGGAAGGTTCACGATGATATTCCAGTCGAGACCTTTGCCCCTGAGAACGTGAGTCCGCCCCAATTACAAACTGTCGTAACATTTGTTTGCTAAAAGTTCGCAGAAATTCTCCCAGATGACTTCTGCTCAACCCTTCGTTGGCGCATCCAAGAATGCCTTGTACCGCATTGATCCTCGTGTTTCAGGAAACAAGCTCGTTGATACCGATCTGAAACAATATGCTAGCAAGAACGACTTTTCCGCTATGGCTACTACCGAGAAGGGATATCTGGCTGTTGCCTCCAACAAAGGTGACATTCGCATGTTTGACCGCTTGGGTATCAACGCAAAGACCCACATCCCAGCTCTCGGAGAGCCAATCATCGGTCTTGATGTGTCTGCTGACGGTCGCTGGGTCCTTGCGACCTGCCGTACTTACCTCCTTCTGATTGACTCGTTGCAAAAGGATGGCAAGAACGAAGGCAAGCTCGGCTTCGAGAAGTCGTTTGCCAAGGACGCGAAGCCCCAGCCCCGTCGCCTTGGTCTGCAGCCGGCACATGTGGCACAATTCCAGCACGAGACCAAGCAGCCGCTGTCATTCACTCCTGCTCGCTTCAATACCGGTGTTGACTCCGAGGAAACTTCAATCATCACCGCAACTGGTCCTTTCATCATTACCTGGGGCCTGAAGAAGATTATCGCTGGTCGTAAGGATCCCTACACAATCAAGCGATACGAAGAGAACGTCATGGCAGACAACTTCCGCTACGGCTCTGACAAGAACGTGATCGTTGCCTTGCCCAATGAGGTCAACATGGTTGCCAAACGCAGCTTCCAGAAGCCCACTCGTGAAAGTATTGCCGGCCCTATCACCCCAAAACGTGGCCGTAGTGGCAGGTTCAGCCACCTGGGAAGAAACGACATTGTCAACTCCCCATACTAAGCTTTTCGGCGGCTCTCGCCATTCCCAAATTTCCTTTCGTTCACGTTCCTGACTTTGTACCATTACCCATACCCCCTGTTGTTTTTTTTGCTTTCCCCCTTTTTCAGTTGATCTCCAGATCAAATCTTTCGACATTCGTCTTGCTGGCGATGCTTCAACTCTTTCTGAATTTATTATTTTTGAATTAGATGCAGGTCTGAGTTAACCCCCCCCCTCAAGATAGCTAGCTACTAGGTAGTCTATGCAGACCCTAAGTCGAATGAGAATTATCTAGAACAGACCTGGTTGTTGCTTTTTTGCACTAGTAGACGTTGGACCTGAGGAGAACCACCGATATAAGAGGCTTGGTGGTCTGTGAACGAGTCCCGCTTTTGATTTCCGAACATGCTTTTCCAATTAACTAGCGACCAAAAAAAAAAAAAAAAAAAAAAAAAAAAAAAAAAAAAAAATTTTAATCGAGCGACATAAACCAATATTTTTTTTCAGCCACGTTTGGTTCATGCAAGGCGAGAATTCACAAGAGTTGCTGCGGAATTTAAGTTCGGTCTTTGTTGTTGGTGGAGGCGCGGGCCCGGCGTTAGACGGATATAGGAATTGCATTAGAGCGCGCCTGCATTGAGGCGCCGTGGCTTCGGTCAGCAGGGGAAAATCGGTATCATTGACTTCAGAATATAAATTCAGAAATGATTCCATAGATAAAAATTCAACTCGGAATACAAAAGATTCAACCTACTTCATTTGCATTTACTTTGGACCTCCCAGTCAGTGCAATCCAGCAGCAATGACGCACAACGAGAACCTTAAGATTGTTTTCGGGGCCATGACTTTTGGTAAACCAAGTAAGCAAAAGGCTCCAATTCAGCATATCCTACATCCTGGTACATTCTGGAAGGGACTGAAAGCTGACCAAATGCAGATACTCTGGGCGCGCGTGTTCACGACGAAGAGGAGGCGGCGAAGATTTTGGATACTTTCAAGAAACATGGTTACAATGAGATCGACACCGCCCGAATTTACGGCGGCGGTTCCTGCGAAGAAATCCTGGGATCCTTGTTCTTGCAAGACCGCGGACTCATTGTCGACACCAAACTCTACCCAAACGCCGGCGGAGCTGCCGCCTTCGATGATCCATATACGCACAGCCCCGAAGACGTCCGTCGTGGACTCTTGAACAGCCTGACAGCTCTCAAAAGTGACAGCGTCGACATGTTCTATCTTCATGCCCCGGATCGAGCGATCCCCTTCGAGGATACCCTTCGGGAAGTCAACAAGCTCTATGAAGAAGGGCGATTCAAGCGCCTCGGACTAAGCAACTATATGTCTTGGGAAGTTGCTCAGGTCTGCGAGATCTGCAATAAAAACGGATGGGTCATGCCATCGGTCTATCAGGGTGTCTACCATGCTCTTCAGCGCAGCATTGAGAGTGAACTAGTCCCTTGTTTGCGCAAATATGGCATCTCTCTCTATGCTTTCCAGCCTCTGGCTGGTGGTCTGCTCACTGGCCGATATAAGCGAGAGCAGACTGAGTTTGAGAAAGGGTCACGTTTCGATCCCAAGATGATTCAGGGCACAGTTCACCGAAACCGGTACTGGAATGATGCCTATTTTGATGCGATTGATATTATTCATTCGGCAGCAGCCAAGCATGGTTTCACCGACGGAGAGGTCGCGTTGAGATGGTTGAAATACCACTCTCAGCTTAAGGAAGATTTGAATGATGCCATCCTCGTTGGAGCTAGCAGCGTGAAGCACCTCGAGGTGAATCTGTTAGACTTGGAAAAGGGACCCCTCCCAGATGAAGTTGTTCAGGCGGTTGGGAATGCTTGGTTTCTGGTGAAGGGGGTGGCGCCAAACTATTGGCACTAGAGATATACAGCCAAGGGAAAAAGGGAATATGAGGAGTGGGTGTATCATAGAGCTTTAGGTGTCAATGAAATTCCAGGCATTTGAAGCTGATGATCCAAACGTCGGCGGTGCCCCACTGTCCCGCGGGTTCATGCCGCCTTAACCGAGTACCCTGAGTCCGGCGGAGTCCTTTAACCGGCGGAGTGCCCAGAGGCCGAGTGAATCCACGGAATACCGTGCTCGTGCTCGGGCGGACTGCGAGACCGGCCTTATTAATCGGCCGTTTCCTGCACCCGAATCTCTAAACTTGAGACTCCATTCTTCATCCTCCCCCTTGAATCAAGCACTTGAGACGAACGGATCGCATTATTGATCTCGAACTTTCACCATGTCTAAGAGCGATCGTTTTGACCAGCTGCCAGAAACCACCCCGAAATCTAGCGAGCTCAAGATCAACATCGCGGGTTTCCACACTTACATCTACGGTGCCGATGAGCTATCCCCGCAGCAGGCGAAGAACACTGTGGTTTTGTTCCACGTCCACGGCCGCACGAGAACTTACAAGAATGCGGAGCTCTTTGCTCATCAATTCCTTCACCAGATGAGACAGCATGGAGAGTCGAAGAAGGGCTTCGTCGTGGTAACCTTTGATAATCGCAATCATGGCGAACGAGCGGTATTTACACCCCCCACCCCCACCCCCTACCGCCCTTCGTGTCGACAACCGCAAATAACTAACAAGAGACTGCAGATTGACAAGAAGTCGATGTAAGAAGAATTGGGTACCACCCTGGATTTTTACAATTTACTAATTTCAAATACAGTCAAAGCTGGAAGGGAGGAAATGAGAAACATGCGTGCGTGTTCCCCATCCCCTATCCGGTTCTGAGATCTTGAACTTACAGACCAGATGCAGGCACGACATGCTAGCTATGATAGGTTCGTGCTTTCCCCTGAATTTGGAATGAAACCTCACAATTCTTCATGACAGACGGCATCGCTCTTGATATCCAAACCGTGATGAGATTCCTCGGAGTCTACGTGGAAGATCGATTTACGCCAATTGAATTCGTGATGTCAGGCCACTCGCTCGGTGGACATACTTCCTGGAATATCCTTGCCCAGGAGCCCAAAATCAAGGCTGCCATCATCAGCGTCGGCTGTCCCAATATGACCGACCTGCTTCAGGATCGACTTGGCGGGAAAGATGTCGTTGATCCGGTCAGATGGCCTGACTCGATTTCATCAATGTTCCGAAAGCGCGATGAAGATGTCTCGAAGATCACGGATAAACAGGTTCTGATTTTGAATGGCGCTCTCGATACCCTTGTCCCGAGCAAGTTTACTAAGCCCTGGGTTGAGAATTATGGTCAACAGAATGACGTGTCTTTGAATGTTTTTGAGGAGACGGGTCATTGGTTTTCGCTTGAGATGATGGACAAAGTTGTTGACTGGGTCCTTCAGAAGATCGCTTGAGCATATAGGATAGAATTTAGGAGCTGTCAACGGACGAATAAAATTCAGAAGTTTAGTTCTTATCTCTTTTTTTGCCTCTACAAGTAATTAATCTTCCTTGCATGGGTTGGTACAACTTGTTCTATCGGACCACAGATTGACATGAGAATACTAAACGTTATAATCATTTTCTGCATACCCTACCGAATGAATAGTAGTAGACCTATGAATATTTGTGCACTTACTTTTCTTCTCAGACCAAGTTTGGTGTTTGTTTTGAACGCTTAGACGATACTTCTATACGGCACCAAGGTTTCATCGAATCAAGGCAGGCTTCAAATAACGAAGCTTTTTTTCACCGAGGCTGTAAATGCCATTGCAATGGTGTTGTCCTGTCTGCGGCGGGCCCGATGTATTTCTCCAGAAACTCCGTCGGACTTGGTGGCAATGGTATTGTTGAATCACCTGATCGCTGTCAACCTTCCATATCTGGCAAATCCATATCGGTGTTCTATGCGAAACAGATTCCTAGGGCAACGAGGAGTGCAAATACAGTCTTTGCGATAAATCATCTTCATTCGACAGTCCCAACAGGCACCTAAGGAGATTCTAGCATCATGAGCTACTAAGTTTCTGTTTTATCAAGATCACAATTTCCAAAAGAAATTAAATTATCTCGAGGTATTGAACTCCGCAGATCCAGATTCTAGGTTCTACCGATTTAAGTAGCTCTGTAGTAACTATGCAGTATTTGTGAGCCTACCTTCCCCGTAGAGTCGGAATCTCGGCTGAAAATACTATGCTTTACCAGTCAATCGGGGATCTACATTACTCAGATCATGCCGAATTGCCTCTGAATGAACCTAAAGTATGGCCGACGGACATCCGGCTACTCGGCACATGTAATAAGGACCGAGGGAAAAGTAGTGTCTCGCCTTAACTATATAAGTAACCTGATCGGCCGTACTTTGAAAAGAAACGCTGAAAGAGAATTGTCAAATATTATCGAAAAATCAAGCTGAAATAATCGCTAAATATACGGATATGGTCGCCAATGATATCAAATCTAATTTGGTAAGGCTCTAGTTGCCACCTATCAGTATCAGTGTCTTTACTTGCAGCAGTCTCTGACGTGACATCTACAGGAGATTGATCATGCACGCCCTATGAAGGTGATTGTAATCGGGGCCGGTATTTCTGGCATCCTGGCTGCAATACGCTTCACGCAGCGTATCCCAAATCTTGGTCTCGTCGTGTACGATAAAAACCCCGAAGTCGGCGGCACCTGGTACGAGAACCGGTATCCTGGGGTAGCATGCGGTATATTTGATCACCAAGAAGTCATATGTTCCTTTTCTAATTATCGTCTAGATGTGCCGTCCCATGTGTACCAGGCTTCATTTGAGCCCAATCCCAACTGGTCTCAGTTCTACTCCTCCGGCAACGAAATTCTGCAATACTGGAAAGGAATCGTCGAGAAGTACGATGTCAGAAAGTACATGAAGCTCAACCACAAAATTGTTGAAGCTCGTTTCGACGACTCGCAGTCCAAGTGGCACGTTGCAGTCGAGAACTGCAGTTCTGGAGAGGTCATTCATGACACCTGCGACGTACTCTATGCATGTATAGGAGCTTTGAACGACTGGAAGTGGCCCGACATTTCGGGTCTTTCCAGTTTCAAAGGCAAGCTTCTGCATAGTGCTTCGTGGGATGAGAGCTGGAATCCAGAGGGTCTCTCTGTTGCAGTGATTGGTTCTGGGTCCAGTGCGATCCAGATCGTCCCTGCTATCCAGCCCAAGACCTCTCGGATTGATAATTATGTTCGAGGTCAGACTTGGATTGCTCCTCCATGGGCTGCAACAGAAGTCCGGAAGCATACTGCGACTGGATCGAACTTTAAGTTCACAGCTGAAGAGCTGGAAGACTTCAGGAGCAATCCAGACTCGCTCCTGGCATACAGAAAAAGACTGGAAACCGAGGTCCAATCCATGACGAAGCATTTGTTCCGTGGTCAGCTTGCTGAGAAGGCAGCTTCTGACTTCAAGCAACACATGACGAAGTTACTGGAGAAGAAGCCCGAAATTCTGAACAAAATTCTCCCTTCGTTCTCGCCTGGTTGCCGTCGCATCACACCTGGCCCTGGATACCTCGAAGCATTGACCGAGGACAACGTATCTTTCATCTCGGACAATATCTCCAAGATTACCGAAGATGGAATCGTCACAGCTGACGGAACTTTACGAAAAGTGGATGCTATCATCTGCGCAACCGGATTCGATACGAGCTTCTCGAAAAGATTCCCAATCTATGGCAGCGGAGGCTTGGACCTTGGCGAGAGGTGGAAGAATTACCCCGATACCTATCTCAGCTTGAGCACTCACGGTGCACCTAATCTCTTCTTCGCTCACGGTCCTAGCTCTGGAATTGGTGTAGGATCTCTAACCATTGTCCTGGAGCGAACCTGCGACTATGTTTGTTCGGTTATTGCAAAGATGCAAAAAGATCGCATCGCCACAATCCAGCCAAAAAAAGCGGCCTGCGACTCTTTCAGACGGTACTGCGACGAGTTCTTCAAGAAAACTGTTTTCTCACTGCCCTGCCGATCGTGGTACAAGCGCGGCACCGAAGACGGACCGGTCACCGCACTTTGGCCGGGGTCGTCTCTGCATTTCGTGAAAGTCTTGGAGAAGCCTCGGTTTGAAGACTATGACTACATCTATGTTGGGGGTGATGACATGTCCTGGATTGGAAATGGTCTCACGATGGCTGAATCGGACTCGAGTGTGGATATGACAGCCTATCTCAACCCGGAGAACATTGACTATCCTCGTTCTCCAAGTCAAGTTTGATGATTTGGTCCATCCCAAGATCCATAAGGCACAAAGTGAATCGGTCCTGCCTCTTGCCGGTCGCCCATTTTTTCTCTTCGCTTTTCTGTGTTTCGCTCTAACATTTTGTGAATTGCTCTTGAAATTCCATTGTAGATCGCTTCAGTTCTCGAAATTCCAATAAACAGGCTTGAGGGATGTTCATTGTCAAGTTGTCGTTTAGAATTTAGGTCAGTCACAATATGAAGATGATGATTTCAATTTTGCTTTGATCGTTTCATTTGAATTTGTAAAATCACTTAAAATTAGCTTCCGTGCTTTCTATGAGAATAATTGCATGTCTGGGCTTTCGGCCCATAGCCATAATTGACTAGCATCGGCTAGAGCAGGATCGAACAGATAGGGATTGTCACCATTCCACACAAAGCCGGCTGCTGAATCGAGAGACAATGATCCCTGCTCAGATCCTACTAATATATGCCCAACGGGATCACTGCCTATATGCAGATCGCTGTTAGTCAATTAACCCCTGGATAGATCATTCGGGGTTTCATACCTAGAGAAGGGTTGGTTATCTGCTCCTCAAGCTGAGTATGATCAGAGACGCTCGGTTCGGAGCTCTCTGATGCCAAAGCCTCCGTGGCAGAGAGAAGATCTGGCGTCCTGTTCTCATTTGTAGTCAACCCAATCCTTGGACAGCTTGTCGTGTCTTCTCCTTGGATGAAACGTTGCTCAGTACGCATGATCAAAGATACGAGATCTTCGAGTACTTTGACACTCTGGGTCGATATAAGATGCTCTCCCAACACCTGCTCGCGCTGTAGGCGAAGGATACTCATGATACCTTTCTTTGCGTCCTCGCTCGTTCTCGACAGTGGCTCCGAGAGAGCAAATGCGCACAGGACCACACCTGCCGTGAAGAGGCAAATCCCGACATGCATTACGGCATGTGTCTTCCTACAGGCCTGTAATAACTGGCTGTACTCTCTCAAGCTTGAGGTTCGAAGTGCAGATTGAAGGAGTTGATCCCGTGACAATTCCGACCCTTGTTGGACTGCAGGAGGATCGTTGAGATCAGCGGGCTTCAAACCACCTCCAAATACCACGCTTCGATGAAGAACAATTTGGATGTTATCGTAGGTCAGCTGCAGAGCGAGTGCTTGCATTTGCAGCACTTGGGAAGCATTTTGGCTTCCATCTTTGTATTTTTCCAGTTGCAGGTCGTGTGGCAGCTGCGTGCGCCATGAGACCAACTGGTTATGGATTCGATTAACAGTCTCGAGCCTGTTGATTTGCGGCCTCCTGCTGAGGAATGGACCGACGATTCTATATAGTCTGAATTTCCATCGATGGTAGTCAAGTCTTGTAGCCTGCCGGGCCGCATCATCGATAGTGATGTTGAGATCTGAGACTGTATTGACATTGCAATCGGAATCGTCAACACTGCAAGGTCGCCCGAATGCGATCGCCGCATATCTAAAAATAGCTTAGTTAGCACCAAGAATATTGACCTTCCTATCTGGCCCGATGGGTGTCATACTTATCGAAGACTTCCAACGCCCACCAGGTACGCCGTCGCGACTCTAAGCGGGCTCTGGTCATTCTCGCATGTTGCGACTCCCGATGCAATCGAAGAATCTGCGCAATTTTGACACCACTTCCCAATATCCCCAGCCCAGAAGTCGGCCGACCGTTGAAAAGGAAGAAACTGCCCATGAGAACACAAATCTGGACCGCCTCTTCGTTGGCCGAGTCGAGTATTCGTAGGAATCGCCGTTCAACCTGCGCCAGGAGGCCTCTTGAGACCTGTTCCTTGTCAAGTCTTTCCTGGTCTTCCTTCGTGGCGAGAGATGAGTAATGGGCTCCCATGGCGACGACGAGAAGGATCAGCCACGGTTCATTGTTGTCTTCCAACCCAGGCAGGTAGGTCGAGATCATTAGATTCTCATATCGCCGTCGGAATTCCTCCTCGTGAAACACCTACGATCTACTGGTTAGCTATGTCTGTCTACCAGCAGGAGCCACCAGGACTGCTTACCATCATGAACCAGTCGACGGTCTCGAAGAAACAGTCCACCAATCTGTCGAGGCAGTATTTAGACGGCAAGGGAACTCCGACGACGTCTCTCCAGGGTATCGAGGCCTCAGAGATTGAAGCGGCTGGCTTTGTGCCGCCTGGTAGAGCTGAAGTGTCGTAGTCGGTGGTCGCTCCATCGCTTCGACTGGAAAACATCTAAATCGGGTCAGAATCCCCGTTTGAACAAAGTACATATAACGTCCTGGAGGTGAAACTTACGCTGGTGCTGACGTCCAGTATATTCGATTCGGGGAGAATTGCCGTTTCCTCAGTCCGGTTTCGGTTTCCAGGTCTTTTCGGTCGCACCTTAGGAGACGATCTCTCGGGTGTTTGCGGTAATTTGCTTGATCTATGTCTCGCGATACATTCGACCCCGGCTCGCAGGCATAGTTGGCAGGGTCGAACTGGGTCGCACTGAGACGGTCAGCAACCTCCGTGCACTCAATCAAGGGGTGACGCACTCCCAGCTTTCGCTTGTGACATCTTTCACAAGCAGTCGATGTCTTCTGGCGCTTTACACGAATATCCATTTTTTGAGAAGGGAGGTTTCCGTCGGAGAAGGAAAGACGCGATGACGGCGCATGGCAAAGCCCGCTCGGCAACTCCGACGGAGTTACATCATCATTCCCATTCGCGGACACACCACTCGAAATGAAAGGATTGGTATTATTCTCATTGTCCATTTATTCTAGTGATTTATGAGGCTACTCACCGTTGAAATAGAATTGGAATCAAACTTGAAAGCTGACATTTGTGACATTCTCGTTATTTCAAAACTCATGTCCTGATCCTCACAGGACCACGGTAACTTTCGACTTGCAGCAAATCTTCAACGTGACGACTAGATTCGAGGTTGATATGACCGCAGTCCACCCACTGACCAATGCTGCGATAGAGCTCTTTCAATGCATCGCGGTCGGCCTCGTTGCACCCAGGCCACTCCACCCCTTCATACGCAGGTCCACCTTCGTCCTCCTTCATATCTTGAAAGTCTTGCTGGGTGATAAATTGACAAGGTCCGAGTCCTCCATCGAAAGCGTTATACCGGTCGTCCATCAATCCAGGCACTAACCTTTCTTCTCCCTCGAGAGGAATTGTGTAATCCTCAGCCCACTCGATGCTTTCGCCTATCTTGAATCGGCGGAGACGAGGAAGGCCCTCTTGTATGGCGGTAAAATAATCATGCCAGCGGCTTTGATAGGTATAGTAGAAGTGTGTGGCCAATTCGTGACCCGTGTTCTTCAACTTGGATTGAGAAATACCACATTTCTCTGGCTCGTATTCATCGGTGCAAAACTTTGCGTGAAATATGATGCTGCAATCGTCGAGATAGAGTTCCTCCAAGGTTGAGGAATGGCCCAAAATCCAGACCAGCTGTTCGTCTTTCACAAAGGAAAATCGACCTAGGCTCAGAAACTCTAGTTGTGGGAAGTGGAGCCCATCTAGGTCCACCTTTGGAAACATTCCCCAGGGAAATGTCGAGTACAGCGAGAGCTTCCTTTAAATTTCCCATCGAGGGCTTCAGCCAAATCGACTGGAGCGTGTCATTGAAGAACTGGTGAGGCTCTGGTAACTATAACGTGAGGATTCCCGTGTGAGAATAATGGACCTCCTTCCATGGTTTGAAGTGAGAGGTAAGGGGGCTTACCAGGATCTCCCCCTCTGGAGAGGCGGGGATAAGTTCATGCACGACGGCCATACGAAGAGAGCTCAAGTTCTTGACGACACCAGTGATCTGATCCACAAGCTCTTCGCTTAATGGGGTCGCGTTCTGGTAATTGTAGATATCCAGCTCTTCCAAAGGATGGGATAGCCAGCCCATGAGAGTTGCTCGGTAGCTTTGGTCCTGAGGCGATATTGCAAGTGGTTGCTGCCTCCATCACAGTTTTTGTCAAATCTTACAACAAGACTTGCAAGGCGTTTAAGCTCCTTTAGTCTTGATAAAAGATCTCTCCAGCGTTCCGGGAGGTCATCTAGTTCTTCTCTGTCGGGGTCCTGGCAACTTGATCAGCATGTGGAACTCGCGATCTTCCCGAAGATCACCGATCTCTTTTTTTCTTTCTGCTGTACACAAAGTAGGCTCAAGCTGCAGCCAAGAAATACTACTCACATGGTCATCTTCAACGGTCTTAAGGTAAACCTTTTCAACGGAATTCTTGAACTTCGCGTTCTATAATACGGACTCAAAAGCATGGCAGCTTTTTTCTTTGTTATATATATTCACCGAGCGAAAGAGACACCCGATTGCATGGGAGCAAAAAAGACGGCTCGTCAGTCTCAAGGCTTTCAGAGAACCTATGTCAACCAGGGAAGTGATCAATGTCAGGAGCTCAGGAGGGAGTTGGTGAAGCATTTTGGTGATTTTCAGGAGAATGGCTTCGCGGGCTCACAAGAATGATATAATATCGGCCCCTGCATCGCGCAGTCGAAGATTCTATCCTCGAAGTGGGGAGTGTTCAAAGTGTTTCAAAATTCTAGGCAACTCTAGGCGGCAGTGGCCGAGTTACAGTACTAGCTCGATCCTGCTAACGTAGCTCATGACCGAGCGGTGAACACTATCGAACGGTCAACCCCATCAAAAACCGCGTCCCCGATCCACTCTATTCAACAACCCGCCGTGCCACCACCACCGCTGGTCAATCAGGCCAAGATTCGACTAACCATGGGGTCAAAATCTTACTAGCCATCCAGGCTATTCAAAACAACCAGGCCGAATCAAAATATGCAGCTGCGTCACTAGACAACATCTCATACACAACCCTATGTGCTCGTCTCAAGGGCCGAACTTCACGTACCACTACACGTGCTAACGGCGGAATGAGGCGAAATTGAGCACCAATAGTTCGAGGGAGTTGTAAAGAGCGATTCCCAGGAAGAAGGTGAACGTGGCTTTGATAGTGAGATCATTTCCCGAGTACTCACCGATAATGCCGCTCACAGATGCGTAAGACATTATGTCCTCGGTAGACCTGGGCATGGGCCGGCCCATGGACAAAAACCTCGTGGGTCGGCCCATTTGGGCTGACCCACGAATGGGTCAGTCGGCCCACGATTTGGCCCATTTGGCCCATTTGGCCCCCAAATCTGCATAATAAATATATAAAATATCCAGAATTACTAGCGTAATTTATAGCTGTCTTAAATCTTATACCGAAGTACAGAATAGATTACGCTGTGCGTAATCTCTTCTAACTTGAATATATATATCGAAGTATTCACGATCAATTAATTTAAATTGTCCTTCTGCTCTTGATGTTAATTTTCTGAAATCTCGACGCAGGTCATTTTTGCTTGATTTTTTAAAGTATCGTATAATAAAATATAATTTTATGTATGTTTAAAAGCATTCTTGTTTACGAATTAGATGTAGGGATGGATTAAATCTTTTATATAGTGAACGTTGAAGGGTGAAAAAAAAGTTGTCGATGAGATAAAAACTGCGGGGGATGCCGTAGCACGAATTTCGAAGGCAAACGGGCTGCCTCATGGGCCGGCCCATGGGACTAACTAATAAAAGATATTCAGATGTGGGACTTAGTGACTAAATAGCCAATTATCGCGAACATAGGAGACGCGTTATCCCGGGCTTTCTGCGCCTGGCATGATAGCCCAGGCTATCTACGGACTCTGTATTCTAGCTTAAATATAGGCCAACCTATCTCCTCTTTATAGTCAACGATGATTTCTCTCTAACGTTGGGATTATTGAGCTTTCTTACCAAACTATCATGTCTCAACTATCGGATATCTACTCAGTACCCTTTTCAGAGAGTGGGGAATTTGATGATTCATCCTATCTTTTAACGGATAGCGTCGCGCCCGAGCACTCCGCAAGCCAAATACAGCTTCCTCCCCCTCTCTCTGTTCCCACCTCTCTCAGACGCTCCACAGATCCAGCACAAACCTACGTTCTATGCGAAGATATGAATAAAGTGGATTTCGTGGATTGGTGGATCCAGACCCAGAGTGGGCACTCTGAGCACCAATCTACTTTCTGGGATCGAAAGGGCCAGCGAGCAGATATATGGGCTGACTTCGAACAGGTTGCCCATTTTATTACTGGACAACCTAAGGTGATGTGCAAGAACTGCGCCTTTCTACAGATTCACAACTGCTCTCTCAAAAACAAAAGACATAACGATTCATACTGTTTTCAGTATTTACAATCGTCTCTTTAATCATCTTGAGAGCCGGATCCGCCAGCTACAATGGAAGAAGATCGGATGGAAAAGACAAATGCTTGATGCTCTGAGAGGAGCCGAAAGTAAGCTCAGGGATTATTATATGATGACTGACCTTGAAGGTCTTAGTGATATATACTCAACTGGGACTATTTTGGCGCCGCAGTATAAGCATGAATTCTTCCAGACCTCAGATTGGCGGGATGACGAGAAAGACTTTGCAGCCCAATACAGACAAGCTCTCGAAGCCCGAGTTAAGCACTACGAGGATAGTATATATAGCTCTCTCTCTCAGACTGGAGGTTTACAGACTGTGAAGCCTACGAGTGAGATTGATTTACTACTCGCTTGTGGTAGTCGGCCTACTGCCCCAGTCCCTGAGCTCACTCAGTATCTCGAGAGTAGTAAGTGGTCTTCTATTCTTAAACCAAACACTCTTTCTAATTTAAATACCTTAAACAGGCACGGCATCAATTCCTCCGCGCGAATTCTGGAGAGATCATGAACACAGATTTCCTGTACTCGCAGCTCTCGCTCGAGATTTCCTTTCCGTACCAGCCACAGGCGCAGGCGTAGAGCGTCTCTTTAACTCCGCGCGTGATATCTGCCACTATCGCCGTGGCTCACTACAATCGAGTACTATTCAAGATCTAATGCTTCTTATGTGTGGGATTCGATTTGATCTAGAAGAGGAGCGGCTTGCTTTCGTTCGAGAGTACGCAACTGAGACTGAGATAGAATTCCAACAAGAAGAGATGGATGAGCGTACGCAGGAGGGCATTCTGGAGATTAGTGATAATGAAGAATGCCCTGCGCAATATGATTTGAAGAGGCGAAGGAGTGTTAATGAGCCTGCCGAAGAGCCTGAGGGGGAGTCTGAGCCTGAGGAGCCTGATTTGCCTGAGCAAAACACACAGCGTGTTTCAGGAAGAGTTCGAAAACGTTCAAGGTTATTAGATGGCTATGAGATATAGTTGATTTCTACAGTAATATCAAAATGCCCTCTTTTAACTGAATATCGTATATAACTAAGAGCAATCAATCATTATTGTTACCAAGGCATTACAGCCAAGAGCACGCGAAAAGTACATAAATTATGAAAGTCACATGTACACTAGTTTTCGCCCTAAAATGGGTCGAATGGGCCAAATGGGCCGGCCCATGAATGGGCAGAAAATCGATTTTTCGGCCCATGGGCCCAAATGGGTTGACCCATTTGGGCCGGCCCATGGGTTCTGCCCAGGTCTAGTCCTCGGGGAGTGAAGCTGGCGAGCACGAACGCAAACTGCACAAATCGAACTACAAAGCTGGATAGACACTGAATCACCGGCCACTGGTGAGGACGAAGGCACTCTGTGCTTGAATTGACCTTCGCTCAGTAAAGGCGAGCCTCAACCACAGATAGACTTCAGGAATCGTGTCAATATCTATCTTTATAATATCAAGAAAAGTCTCGGATACCCTGGACCCTCAAGCTCAATGCTAGTGATTGAGAGGCAAGGTTTCTTGCCAGATAACGAAATATATACAAATCTGGAAATGTCGTAAAGTCCTTGCCGAGATTAGCAGCAGTCAGCTTGAGCTTAAACGAAGCAAAAGGTAATTATACTTTTCATTGGATCAAGAGCGAGAGGGAAATACGTTAATTTTCGCACCCCAGCACCACTTCAATGCCATAGCTCCTATACTCAGGGTGGGTCGGTGGGAAGTCGCTCAAAAGCTTAGAAAGTATATGGAATTCATTGCTTGGGTCATAACCAAACCGTCCAGAAAACATATCATGTCAAACTAGATTATGAGTGGAGTAGTAGAGTTTGATTAATGAGGACAATCTGGGATAGTTATAAGAGAGGGAATAGTGATCTAACCATGCAAGGGTCGCTTCTCAGCCCGCGTTCAGATAATAAGCACTAAGATTTCTGTTTTCCCCGCATTAGATCAAGCCAGTGACATAATCTCAATTCAGACGAGGTCTTTGAATTTCGGTAGTACGAAAGTGCGGGGGACAAATGATGTCCACTTTACTGGTATATGCTCTAGGTACGTGAAAAACCTTCGGACATGACTTTCCATGTATGTCTTATTCACGTCAGTATCCCCAGCCGAGTCAGCACTGGCAACACTATTGGTTAGTTAGACAATCCCCTTTATGTTTTCAGCTAGATTTCAGCGATCGACCGGTCCCCTTATTTTCAATTGAACTTTGTTTACTTCTTTACAGCAAGTTGCAACACAAGGATGCATGCACCCTGCTTGCATATCTGGGGGTGGTTTTTTAATATATATATATATTTTTTACCCAAATGGATTAGAGATTAGTTATGCGTTCTGTAGTTAATATAAAATAGAGTAGACTGCCAGCCATTTTTTTTTTTTTTTTAATGGACTCAGGCCCGGTGCGCGTTGGCAATATGATTGGCTGTAGAAGATGAAAAGTATTATTTGGAAAGGGCTGTCAAGTATGGGCCCACTCCTTGTATGCAGTGCGAGAAAGGAACGGGTATGTCTGGTATGTTAGTAACGGTCACCCAGTGTTTCGCCCCGAGCAGCAGGATTTCCTCAATTTCCGTGAAATCCACGACGGGCAAGAGCCTCAGCCAATCGGCAGCATAGTCTAAGGATGAAACGTGCGAGTGCGCACACTAGCAGAAACAGGATGCTTCAATCCAGGACCCGGTTCGAAGGTGTGTAATGAGGCGTGGCTCGGCTTGTATTGAATTTAACCCCGCAAGCAAAGTGCCTGCTGATCACCTCCGGAACGAGTAAAAGTGGAAGCCCTCCGACAAGAACAGGGGTAAGTAAGCTCTATTCAAACCAGCGAATCTTCGGGGACAAAAAAATGCAGTCGCGGGGACAGATACATGTTGTCTGGTTTACACCATTATTGGAACCCAATGGGTTGAAGAATTGGACCCAAAACCCATTTTGGGTTGGGTTGGGTTGTGCCGATGTCTAATTGGAAGCGGGGATGGATGGCTAACTAAGTGGAGTAAAATTTGTTAATTGTATGTCGCGCCAAAAAACTCTAGTAAATGAGAATCTAATTTCCTGCTTATCTTGGTGTGCTGGCCCATCAAATGTTGTCCTTCGCATAAGCGCGGCTGAATACGAGACTTGGCGCATGGGAAGCTTCTCCGCCCTAAGAAACTTTCTTTTGTGGTTGAAAGGGGGGCCAAGATGCACTACGAATAATCTGAGATTGCTGAGCATCCTTGTCCAGAATATCCTTCTTTGCACTGAAGCACCCTGTATTCTCGCCATATACTTAATTCTGATCACTATGCGTACTCATCCTTCGTGCAAGCCTGACGTCCCGTTGAAGACAGTCATTATTAGATAGTCGGAAACTCGTACGGAGTAGTATCCAGGATGGCCATTGATAATTAAAATAGGATAATGAGTGTGTGTCTGTTCAAATGATCCACGAGCTATAAACTTCGTGTTCCCCCACAGTTCTTCCGAGACTGGCCCGAATCACCATACAATAACCCTAGCGATGTGGGCAGTTGCTGAATAATCAAGTGCTTGTGGAGAATCCACGGTATTTTACCTCTCTCCCAGTTGACAATTGTCACTTATAATTAAAACATTGATGGTGGGTGTGCCGCATAGCAAAGGCTGTGTAGCCTGTATCCGGCGGCGGGTAAAAGTAAGTTAGCCTTTTAGCAAACATTCAAAAGCGCCAAATCTAACTAATCGGACTTGCAGTGCGATGAAACGCGTCCAGAATGCCAGCGCTGCCAGCGGATGGGGACCCAATGCCCTGGGTATGCTAGGTATCAAAAGTTTTACCACCAGTTTTTGACTCCCTGCGAACGGTCCAATCCGAGCACAGCTCCTACTTTAGCCAAAGCTGTACATGCTGTTTCGCCGTACCCGACCAAAAGTCGTGTGCATCTCCCACACGCGTCCATAGATGAAACTGTGTCACCGAAACTGGTCGCTGGCGCCCTAGACCAGCAGTACAGAGAATGGTTCTGTGCATTTATCGATGCCCATTTTCCCGTATCAACATATGCTTATATCAGCCGCATTGACGTCAACTGGTTCAACGTGGCTCGCAACCACGAGGGATCTTCGGGAAAAGCGCTTGACTGGGCCTTGCGCAGCCTCGGATCTCTACACATAGGCAGAGTACATGACAACGAGGGGCAGGTTATGGCCAGCCGCGAAATGTATGGTCGCGCGTTGCGACATCTCTTCTGGAGCATCAATAAACCATCATTAGTCGCCGCTGACGAAACACTTGCCGCCGCCATACTACTCGGAGGTTACGAGATGGTCAATCCTACAGGCCAAGGGACGTGGTTGCTGCATTCGCGTGGCATCTCTGGTCTCTTTTGTCTACGGGGACCACAGGCGCACGTCCGTGGGCTTGGTCGGAATCTACTCGCATCTTTTCGAGGGTTCCTAGTATTCGAAGCCCTCACCCGGGGTGAAGCGTGTTTTCTAGAGCGCCAAGAGTGGAGGGCGATTACCTCGGACACCATCAAGGCAGAACAGCAGCTCGGCAAGGCCTGCCGTCTCTGCGAGCTGATTGAATACGCATTCTACGAAATTGCCCAATGCCCAGGATTTTTGGCGAGTACGAGGGCCGTAGTCGCCTATTCCCCCACAAAGAATATGACGAAAAAGCATCTGATCTATCGCATGACCCGTTGCCAAAAAGCATTACGTGATCTACAGTCACAGTTATCGACTGGCGTCCGGGTTGCTCGCCAATCAAATAACCCGGAAAACGGAAGTTTCATTGGGCTAATTCCCCCTTCTGTAGCTGATACCTTAGGGGTGTTCTCACTTGAAGGGGTCAGTTCCGCTATAGCGCTTATTCAACAACTGTTGTCAGTCCTGGAGTCCGATCGCACTCGAAGAACCATGAAGTCGCTGTCGGTTTTCCCAGCCAACGATAGTATCTGGAACTTGGTTAAAGATTCTACTGTGATAGCTAGGATGACTCGCGGGAGAAGCAATTTGCAGCTGGCTGGGCCTCAGGCTCAGGAGGGGTCGGAAACTTGGCTTGACCCGCTCTGTATGTCAATGGGTATGCAGGCAGCGATACCGCCTATCTGAAACCAACTGTCGGAGATACTGGTCAGGAAACACTTTCCAGCACATCAAGCTGGCATGCACCATCGAAACCTATTCAGATCAGTATCACACATGTACCTTACTTCAAAAACGCATCTCAAGTTCCACCAGCCTTTTCATCAGCTCGGTTTCAATCTCATGGAGTACATTGGGTCTTGATGACCACCTTTGAAATTCGCCTCCAGAACGGACAGTGCCATGTAAATACGCCTTGATGTCTGCGTCTACCGCTTTCCCTTTGAGGGAAATGCCGTCGTCGTCCGTAATTGTCAGCATGAGAAAAATACATGACTAGTAAGTTACCAGATTAATGCCTCTGGCATTCTTTTGGTCTAGCGGTGTTTTTCCTCTATTTTTGGTCGACAGTAATATAGAAATACCGTACTTCCGAAAATCGGTGTCACCACTTACACTCGTTGATTGTTTCTCGAACCGGAATGCCAAAGTATGCTGTACTATATTGGGGATAGTGTCGGAATAACAACACTACGGATTAATGTTCCGTACAGTAATGTACACTAGTCATTACATGACTAATGTCTCGTAACCGTATGCAGCAAGCCATTGTAGGAGTCGCCCTTTTGAGGATATTGTAGAAATTGATGGAACGTAACAATAAGACATGGGGGTGGCAATGCGTTGTGCTATAAATTCCCAGGCCCTTCTTTTGCAAAGGGTGCTAAAATACAAGAGTGTAGAAGGTGACATTCCGAAAAATATGCTTCATCTAAGAAGGATTCAGTGCCCGGGAAGAGCATGTAACAGTCTTGAGGAATCAAAGGTAAACAATAACACTCGTCCCGAAGGACAGCCAAGACAAATTGTAGATAGTGATGAGGCGGAAGTATGCGGGCGGTATTCCGGTGGCAACCATAGCAGATTCTCCGAGTTCCAAGTGATCCACGCACGATCAGAACTTACACTATAACCTTCAAATCGCGGCACTTGGGGGTCGGCATTGGTCAGCCCTACATCCGAAACTAAAGATAAACCAATGGTACCGTTATCAGTTTCAAGATATGAGTTGGTATTGTCGAATGATTTCACAGAGGTGGCTTCTCCAATATTGAGGGTCTGGAGACATTGGCCACTGCTCGTATCCCACACTTTGACGGTGCCATCGCCTGAAGCGGAGGCGAGGAGCTTAGAATCATGCGAGAAGGTGACCGAATTGACCCAGCCTCGATGGCCCTCAAGGGTCTGTACGCAATGGCCACTGCTCAGATCCCACACCTTGACGGTGCGATCGCCTGAAGCAGAGGCGAGGAGCTTAAAATCATGCGAGAAGGTGGCCGAATGGACCCGGCCTCGATGGCCCTGAAGGGTCTGTACGCAATGGCCACTGCTCGGATCCCACACCTTGACGGTGCGATCGCCTGAAGCAGAGGCGAGGAGCTTAAAATCATGCGAGAAGGTGGCCGAATGGACCCGGCCTCGATGGCCCTGAAGGGTCTGTACGCAATGGCCACTGCTCGGATCCCACACCTTGACGGTGCGATCGCCTGAAGCAGAGGCGAGGAGCTTAAAATCATGCGAGAAGGTGGCCGAATGGACCCGGCCTCGATGGCCCTGAAGGGTCTGTACGCAATGGCCACTGCTCGGATCCCACACCTTGACGGTGCGATCGCCTGAAGCAGAGGCAAGGAGCTTCGAATCATGCGAGAAGATGACCGAATCGACCGAGCCTCGATGGCCCTCAAGGGTCTGTAAGCAATGGCCACTGCTCGGATCCCACACCTTGACGGTGCGATCGCCTGAAGAGGAGGCGAGGAGCTTAGAATCATGCGAGAAGGTGACCGAATAGACCGAGCCTCGATGGCCCTCAAGGGTCTGGAGACATTGGCCACTGCTTGGATCCCACACCTTGACGGTGCCGGAGGCGAGGACGATGCCGGAGGCGAGGAAGGTGCCATCGGAAGCAGAGGCGAGGAGCTTAGAATCATGCGAGAAGGTGACCGAATTGACCGAGCCTCGACGGCCCTCAAGGGTCTGTACGCAATGGCCACTGCTCGGATCCCACACCTTGACGGTGCCATCGCCTGAAGCAGAGGCGAGGAGCTTAGAATCATGCGAGAAGGTGACCGAATTGACCGAGCCTCGATGGCCCTCAAGGTTCTGTACGCAATGGCCACTGCTCGGATCCCACACCTTGACGGTGCGATCGCCTGAAGAGGAGGCGAGGAGCTTAGAATCATGCGAGAAGGTGACCGAATGGACCGAACCTCGATGGCCCTCAAAGGTCTGGAGGCATGCGCTCCAACTGTTCTCCATACTTGGTTTCCTAACTATCCACACTGGTCCTTGTGTTTCAAATTGAATCCTTGTCATGCTCCTCGCCGGACTAAATATTAGCCCTGAAGAGTAAACTTGAAGTGGATGATTCTCAATCCCAATTTTATGGTATAGGATAAACCGATATGCATCTCGAACTCTATTAATTAGCTGTGAGTTCTCTGTTGTTGTCTAACATAATATTAAAATACTTCCTCGGTTGCATAGTGGAAAACAAACCTCTAGTAAACTCCGGAGTCTTTGTATTGAAGCTACCCCCTCTGACAAGCTTCTTATTAGGCTAAGAGCCTCGAGCCAATGAAGGTAGTTATTGCGAAAGAAAATGCCAACTGAGCCACTATCCTGGAGGTCTTTGGTCGCATTTTTAGTTGTAGAGCACCTGCATAGGTGATCAACCCAGTAGACACACGCATACCGTATTGAGGCTAGCGGGTCTGGATGTGGCTGGTTGACCTGGTTGACTGGATATCCGGGGTGCAGTAGGCTGTAGATGTCGCGTCGTAGCGTCCTAGAAATGGCTCCCAGGGACTTTGAAAATATGGAATAGTGCACTATGTCTTCTCCGTCGGGGAAAATCTCCTGGACTGCTTCTCGAAGTAGAAAGTCCTTGGCTGACTGATGAACTAGAGAGATTGTGCGTCCTCTGAGCGTTAGGAACGAGCCGCAAAGCCCAATAATCTCTTCCAGAGACTCATGATCGTCTGCAACGCCTTCAGGTAAATTTATACAAGACGCTAATTCATCCAACATAATAGGGCGATAAACGGTCGTGACAACGCCGAGGAGAGACTTGCAGAGTCTAGCATCATCATCATCTGATTCGTTGATTTGACTCAACATTCGCTTATAAAGCTCATCAAGACCAGAAGGGAATTCTTTTAACTTCTTCCGAATGTTTCTTTTCGGGACCTTGGTGAGTTTCTCGCAAACCAAGGCTACCCAGAGGAAGGTACCATGTGCGTTTGACAATAAATACTGGAAAACAGCATCACGGGTTGAATTGTCAAATTTCTTCTTTTCCGTCAATTTCTGGACCTTGTAGCGGATAAAGAAGGCGACGGCCTCAGTAACGGACGCCTCATTCAATTCAAGCCAGAGCTTTGTTTTCTGGGTTGCAGCGTCAAGAGTTTCTTCAATGGCTGGCCAGTTACGGCTCGAGACGATCCATTTGGCATGTGGACATGCTGATGACTGTTGGGCGACAAGTTCAAGAAGTCGATCTAAACCTGTAGTACATTCATCGAGAGCATCGATGATCAAATAGGTGGTCTGCAACGAGTCCCCAAGGATACTAGTGAGGATTTCTGACAAAGCTTCCCACGCATTAACGTCCTCAAAGACCTGCTTCCCAGCCTTGTCGTACTGTCGCCGTATATGAGAGATGAGGGATGGCTGCTGGTCAACTAGCATAAAGATCAGGCCGCGAAGGACCGCAGTGGCGTGGTTTATCCGTACATCGGTGGCTTGGCAAAAAAAGAAGGCGATGGTAGTGGTGTCAGGAGCGGACTTCGTCAATTCATCAATGATTCCACACAGGAGCATCGTTTTACCTTTCCCAGGGTCTCCTTTGATCCAGAACAGTTGACCCTGTCCCTCGCAGTGCCATCGTTTGAAATCAGCATGGTCGAGGATCCAGCTGTATGCGTCTTTGAGCAGTCCACCCTTGTGGGTTTCGATACGATACTTGTCGTGACGTGGATTGGTCGTCTGCAAATCCCGTAGACAGGCTTGGTTTGCTGCTATTTCAAATTGCTCTGAAACAGAAAAATGCCATTAGTGCATATCCTGTCGCATGGCTTCACGACCTACCAGCGGGGTGCTGAAACTGTGCAGTGATATTGCCACTGTTTTGCCCTATCTGAAGACCAGTGTTCATACCACTGAATGATATCGTAGACGCTATGGCCATTGAGATAGGCGAGATAGCTTTGTACATTGGACGTGGTGTGGCACACGGCGAAGTGCAACCCAACCGCCTAGCCCCTCTGTCAGGTGACCCTTCATACTAAGAAAATGAAGGGAGCTCAAAAGGTCAGTCTTGCTGGCCGATTCGTTCTTCAGTCTGCCATGAGCGTAATGAAATTCGCCGTCACATATCATTCATGTCATGAATTAGCTCATGCTTTGAAAGGCTACATCCGTATTTCTTCCGTACCAGAGGGAGGATGGGTTCGGAGGCGGGCATTAAAGTGTCGTGTATTAACGATACAAGTGAATACAACCCGCCGCAGTCTTTGCTTCTCTTTGTAAAGCACAATACAAATCCCGCTGACAGGGGTCTGCGGATAAATTCCCAATATGTACTCGCGTGGATTAATAATAAGATTTTGAAACACAATCGAAGAGTGTAAGTGGTGACACCGATTTCCGGAAACACTGTAAAGCGCGCTCTCAATGTCTTCTCTCCGACTGCTGACTAAAAGCTGGATGTTGTCGCTGTTTTTGGCTTTCATCACCTCTTTATCCAGACAAGCGGTTGGCATTCATTTTGCACTCGTCCAAGGCATCAATAACAATTAGAATTGATTTATTTGACAGCCGGCTCATAGCTAGAAACGTGTAAGCTAGCGATTTGGTAGTTAGGTGCCTCATTTTGGTCTCCAATACCCTGTACAAGTGATCTAGCATTGATCGTAAGTGTTACGGGCCGTTCGAAAGAAACAGATTCATTCGGTGCCTACAGACGAGAATCTCGAAGATGAAGAAGGAAGGAGAAAGAAAGAAAGTCCGCCAGAAAAGAGGGCTTAAGTACCCAGCAAACGCGCACCAGCAAACGCGTAGTGCAAACGACCCGAATCATGCCTCAGGCACCCTTCCACGAGATGAGGCTATTCCCAGATTCATCCGACACAGTGACCCAGTCGATCAAAGAGAATCGAAGGCCTTGACAGCGTTTTCAGCAGTAACATGCGCACTGGCAGGGTTAGCTCCGGTGACGATCTGCCCGTCAGTGATGGAGAACGCATCCCAAGGACCGGCGGGAGAAATATCTAACGAAGTTAGAACCGAAGTCTTCGGACATTAGAATCAGATTGGGCTCACAAGTTGCTCCACACGAAGCCGCAGAAGCCTCAATCGTCTGTCGGTTCCAAGCCTTGATGGTCTCCAGGATTCCATGCTCCTCTTCGCCTCGGTTGGTGAATCCGGTCACACGGCGGTTGGCGATGATGGATTTTCCGGTCGCAGGGTCGATGATGCCGGGGAAGATGGCTCCGCCGTGGCACCTATGCTTGGGTTAGTTTTGACAGTCATCAACGATGGAATGTGAATTTCATACACAGCCGAAACAATTCCACCACTGGTAAAGATCTTTGCAGCGATGCCCTGCAGACCCTTGGCCTCGGGATAGTCGATCAAAGACGCATGTCCCGCAGATGCAAAGAAAAGGCCGTACTGCTGCCTGTCAGTAACTGTAAAGGTCAGAGGTACAAAAAGAGAAACCAACTTTCTTAGGGTCAATGTCGGCTGGCTTCAGCAACTTGTCCAGCTTGCTGCGGAACTCGCTGGAGTGATCCTCCCAAATAGCACGATCGGCGTTGTTCAGCCAGTCCTTTTGCTCGGAAAGCCAGTCAGGTTGGTAGGTTCCAGTCTCAGAGACAAGTTCAACCTCGAAGCCGGCCTTTCGGAAGACCTGGAAGGGGTGCAGAGCCTCAGTGATAAAGAGGCCTATCACCAAAATTAGCGCTGCTCTGAAAGAGGCGAAATGCGCTCGGGACTTGTAGCTCACCTGTCTCCTTTCCATCTGGGTACAGAGGGGCATGGGCGGAGGTAATCGCGATGAGAGCCTTGCGGGCCGGAGCCATGTTGGATGTGTTGTTGATCGAAAGAATAGATCTTTTGTGTTCTGAGTGGTTTGAAATGATCTGGATGATCGTTGTTTGATGATTTTCTTCAAGTCGGTGGTGGAAAGGAGCATGCTTTTATAACCTGAGGGTGGCCACATCTCGTATTCGATTGCATCATGACCTTGACTTTCTGGTAGTTACCCCGGTGGGCTCAAAGGTCGCGAATCTGACTGAGGTTGTGGAGTGTCGGGGGTCTGGAAACATCCAGCACGGTGATTGTTGGCGCAGCCAAAGCTCCGACGGAGTGCCCCTTCGCCCACTTTCCACGCTCTCCACTCCGCGCAGGTCAGCTCCGTCGGAGTTTTTGGGTTCCATGCATTCCACACTTACTTACCTCGATGTCGCCTCTATTAATTTATAAATTCGCGTTATGACAAATCCACCGTTTCGGAACTAACTCTCCGCAGAGCATGACCACCAGTATATAAGAGATGTCTCATTACTTTTACAAGATGTAGTAGTTTTCAATAAGTTCTGTGCTCTACACTCCGCGCGTTTTAAATCATCGGATTTTCGAAGTCCAAAATGACGACCAACAAGGCTCTTGTCTTCAAAAAGGTACCCGATGGCTATCCTGTTGCTGGGGAGCATCTCGTTGTCGAAGCCGTGAGCAACGCGAACGACTCGCCACCACCGAACGGAGTCATTCTCAAATCCCTCTACGCCAGCTTCGATCCATACATGCGCCCTCGGATGCGCTCTGTGGAGGTCAAGTCCTACACACCTGCCTTTACTCTCGGGCAATCCATCGACGGCGCCGCGATTGCAGAAGTACTTCGTTCCGATAACTCCAAATTTCGCAAGGGAGACCTGGTAATTGGCCACATCCCTTTCCAACAGTACAACGCATTCAGTCAAGATGATATCAACAAAGTGGATCTACAAATCCTCGACAATCCTCTAGGAATCGAAGAAATTCAGACTTTCCTCGGAGCTTTGGGAATGCCTGGTCTAACAGCCTACTCATCACTGTTCGAAATTGGAAAACCAAAGAAAGGAGAGATAATATTCATCTCAGCGGCCAGCGGTGCCGTCGGGCAGATTGTTGGCCAGCTTTCTAAGCATGAGGGACTGAAGGTCATTGGTAGTGTTGGATCCGACGAGAAGCTTAACTACATCATCCAAGACCTGGGCTTCGACGGCGGTTTCAACTATAAGAAGGAAACTCCCGCATCGGCTCTGGCGCGACTTGCTCCGGAAGGCATCAATATTTACTATGAAAATGTTGGAGGTCAGCATTTGGAAGCTGCGCTGAATGCATTGCGAGATTTCGGACGCGTTGTCGTCTGTGGCATGATTTCGCAGTATAACTCGGCCCCTTATCCGATCAAGAACATCGACAATGTTCTTTTCAAGCGTCTTACAATTCGTGGCTTTATCGTTGGGGACCAAGGCATGGGAGACAAGTATGCCAAGGAGCATCAGCAAAATGTCCAGAAATGGATCAAAGACGGCTCGTTCAAGGCACTAACGCATGAGACGCAAGGTATTGAGAATGCAGCCAAGGGATTGATTGAAATTTTCCATGGAGGAAATATGGGAAAGGCTGTCTTGAAATTCTAGAAGGAAACTTGAAGCTGTATGTATTTTAGTCGGGAATGGTTCATACTGTTATTATAGATCTCATTATTGCTGCGGGTCAAGGTTCAGTTTACTGTGCATCTTTCTAGTTAGTCCTGCAGTAGCAAAGTTGGTTAATAGTTGCCACCTTTATATTAATTGTATCGCGGATCCTAGAGATACCACTAGAATGTCCCCACTTACTGTTTGCGCAAACAGGTCAGTGCTAGCCCGACAGGGGTCCAGAATTCTACGAATAGAACAAGAGCCATAGGATGACCAGTAAAGGTACTGAGAATACCAAGAGCTCAGCAGGTTCTATCAGAAGAAACTAGAAATCATTAGCAAATACTGGCAACAATCGTATCGATACCCCAGAGCCCCAGGCGTGTCAAGTGGGAACTATGGTGTAAACCCCGCATTTGCGTCTACCCGAAAATGAGCCGCGGCGCTGCTTATTGCATCCGACCCGCCCGCCGATTAAAGCTCACCTACTCCCACGCCATTGCCATTTCTATCTTGTCTTTCCATCATTTTTTGCGATTGTTGATTTCTTCACAACTAGCGAATAAAAATTGCCCACCATGTCAGCCTACACAAGCGTCCCCCGGAAGCTATGGGAGCATCCGGACCCCGAATCCACCGCAATGGCCCAGTTCAAGCGAAGCCTCGAGAAGGAAAAGGATGTAAAACTGCCCGACTACAACACACTCTACGAGTGGTCTGTCCAGAACAGAGCTTCTTTCTGGGACTTTTGCTGGAAATCCTTCCCGATCATCCACGAGGGAACCTATGAGCGGATTGTTGACGAGTCAGCTCGCATCGATAGCATTCCAGACTGGTTCCCCGGTGTACGTCTCAATTTCGCCGAGAATATCCTCTTCACGACTAGCACGCCTGGTGAATCGCCTTCGACGATCACCACTGTTGGCAAAGAAGATGACAAGATTGCTGCTACGGAGGTTCGCGAAGGTGCTGTTGAGCCTACGGTTGATATTACCTGGCGAGAGCTACGGCAGCGGGTTGGTCGTCTTTCGCAGGCTCTGAAGGCTGCTGGTGTTCAGAAGGGTGATCGTGTTGCGGCTGTTGCTAGTAATAGCATTGATACGTTGACGGTCTTCCTGGCGACTACTGCTCTTGGGGCTATCATCTCCACTGCGTCTACTGATACAGGAGTCAAAGGTATCTTGGACCGACTGCTCCAGATCAAGCCTCGGTGGGTGTTCTTCGACGATACGACAGTTTACAATGGGAAGACGGTGGATCTGCGTCCGAAGATCAAGCAGGTTGTCGAAGGCCTGGCTACAGTTCAAGAATTCCAAGGGGTGATCTCTGTCCCTAGGTTTAGAGACCAACCCGCAGAGATCAAGGACATTCCGCGAACTCAAACACTGGCAATGTTCCTTACAGGCGCAAAATCCGATCAACTTGAGTTCGTCCGAGTTCGATTCCGTGATCCGTTCCTCATCGTGTATTCGTCTGGGACCACTGGAGAACCAAAATGCATTGTTCACTCCGTCGGAGGCGTTGTGCTCAATACGAACAAAGAAGGCCGACTAAACCGAAGCATGGATGCGAATGCAACTACACTACAATATACTACCACTGGATGGATCATGTATATGTCCTGTGTCTCGGCCCTGATCTTTGGCGCACGGCCGATCCTGTACGACGGAAGCCCATTCTTGCCAGATGTGACAATTCTGGTGAAACTGCTCGAGAAGTACAAGTAAGTTGCCCATATCTCCGACTCAGGTCTCTATCTCATATGTTAATGAATTTTCATCGTATAGAGCGACTCACTTCGGCACATCGCCCCGCTGGATGCACGAACTCCGAAAGAATGGAATCAGTCCACGTAAGATCGCAGATATCAGCAGCCTCAAGGGCGTGACAAGCACCGGAATGGTGCTTTCCGAGTCTCTATTTGAATGGTTCTACGATGAAGGCTTCCCTGCACATACTCAAATTGCAAATATTTCCGGTGGTACCGATCTCGCAGCATGCTTTGGACTAGAGAATCCGATCACCCCTGTTTATGCGGGTGGGTGCCAAGGACCTAGTCTGGGCATCCCCATCGCTGCTTTTGAACAGGTCGATGAGGGAGTGACTCAGATTCAGGGTACAGAGGTACCCAAGGGAGAGCCTGGTGAGATTGTGGCAACTGCTGCATTCCCAAGCATGCCTGTTATGTTCTGGGGGGACGAGGGTGGGAAGAAGTATTTCAATGCCTATTTTGCCCGATTTGACAGTGAGTCACACCTCTTCTTAATTGGATGGTTGGACTAATGGCATTATAGATGTTTGGACGCACGGTGATTTTATTGCCTTCAACCCAGCGACAAACCAGGTCCTATTCTTGGGTCGATCCGATGGTGTCTTGAATCCATCCGGCGTCCGCTTTGGATCTGCAGAGATCTATAACGTGATCGACACACAATTCTCGAAAGAGATAGTTGACTCTGTCTGCGTTGGTCAGCGGAGACCGAAAGATTCTGATGAATCCGTTGTCCTGTTCTTGCTGATGCGACCGGGCTTCAAGGCGGATGATGCATTAGTCGGTCGCATTAAGGAAGCTATTCGGAAAGCGCTCAGTGCCCGCCATGTGCCGAAATTCATTTTCGAAACGCCTGCTATTCCGGTATGTTTAACATGCTCACTCTTGTGTAGCTCCTACTAATAAAGCATCTTTAGGTCACTGTGAACCTGAAGAAGGTCGAACTTCCTGTGAAGCAGATTGTTTCTGGCAAGAAGATCAAGCCGTCCGGGACATTGCTCAACCCCGAGAGTCTCGATTTTTATTATCAGTTTGCTGAGATAGAGAAGTTGCTTGACCGTAAAGCCAAACTTTAGACTTTTAACGTCCATTATTACACTGTGTGTCGTGGGGGAATTATTTACAATGACAGGAGCAAAGCTATTGTTAATTTCAGAACCCAGCTCACAGGAGCGCATACAAATAGAATATGAATTTTTTTGTACCAAACTATACCTTTTAGGACAAGTCATCAACAAAAGCCTTCAAAGCCTCAAGAAGTCGATCCACAGATTCCTCAGTATGAGCAAGATTCAAAGAAACAAACCCACGCCGTCCAATCGAAATACCCCGATTAATCAATCCAAAATAGAAATACTCCCTCAAAGCCTCTGCATCATCACCAGAAAAGTGAATCCCCACTGCACTTCCATACCCAGTGAAAGACATTTCATCGAATTTAGCCTTCCGCAAAATCTCCGTCGCCTCTTCTCGAAGCCGATCTCCCATCGCATTGAGGCGTCTCAACTGAGACTCCGTAATCAACCTCGACGCCGCAACAGCCGCGGACATAGTGAAGATATTGTTATTGAATGTCCCCGAATGATGCAGTGTAACAGATTTATCGCGTGAATCAAACCGGCTCATGATCTCCGTAGACCCGCCGAAGGCCCCGAAGGGGAATCCGCCGCCGATATACTTTCCCAGCGTCGTCATGTCGGGTATGATACCGAGTTCACCTTGCATGCCACGATAATGTAATCGCGAAGTCACGACTTCGTCGAAAATCAATATCGCCCCAATTTCATCCGCTGCTTGGCGCAGGTAGGACAGGAACTCTCTTGTTCCGCGTATCATGCCGCCGGCACCTTGCATTGGTTCGACCAAGATAGCGCCGATCTCGTTGTTGACGACAGCCCGCGTCGCTTCGATGTCGTTGTATGTGCCAAATACGAACTGGTGAGGGATATTCATGGGGTTATCTGGTTTCGAAAAATTCATTGTTCCACCGTGGTACCCATTTTTGAAGACGAGAACCTTCTTCCGCTGTGTGTGTGCCAGCGCAGTAGCCACGGCGAATGTGTTTGCCTCGGTACCCGAGTTGCAGAACCTCACTTTCTCGATCGACGGGAATCTACCGGCTAGAATCTCTCCCAACTCAGCTTCTTTCTCCGTTATTCCGCCCAGGCTAAAGCCGGTTGATAGAGCCTGCTGCACAGCCTCTTGGATTACCGGGTGCGAGTGGCCATAGATTCCAGCTGAGAAGTCGGATAAGAAGTCGTCGAATTTCACCCCGTCGACGGTCGTGAACTGTGCCCCGTGTGCTGATTTGATGACCAGAGGGAATGGATCTGAAACGAGGACAGATCGGGTGCTTCCACCTGGTAAGACCTGCTCAGCGCGTTCGAAGGCCCTCTTTGACTCTGGATGGGACTTCTCGTACTGTTGGACCAGAGCTTGGAGCTTTTTGGCGAGCGCAATGTCAGGCATTTTCATGTTTTCTGTTGGAATCTCAACAATCTGTGCCCAGCCTAATAATCAGGTATTGCCTCGATAGAAGAGAAAGAGGGGAAGGGAGTGATATTGCGTGCGGAGTATGCGGTAGATAAAGGTGGAGAAGGCAAGGTTCCGACCCCGCGCGTGAAGGTTAAATACGAGTGCCCTATTAGAGTAACTGACGTTTTATGGTACACTAGTGTATGTTGTCTGTCACGGGACGCCAGACTTGCTAGTCTCCGTCGCGCCCTCAATTGGCGTTAGTGGCGCTGGCACAGGCCGCAAACTGCGTCATAGCCGTTGGAGCATTCTTTGTATCGCGACTAGTGACAAAGTGACAATATATGATAAGCCCGAGGACCTGCCTAGGGCCATGTTTCTCGGCTTTTCTGTGTTCTAAATTTTCGAAGTGCAAGTCTCGGGCCATCACTGCAGGAAGGCCGGTCAGCTCAAAGAGGTATGTCCAGCGGTATGCAATCAACACGCTGTTTAGCGTCAAATTTATCGGTATCGGTAGCTTTTGTTGGATCATCTAAGAAGTTGACCATGAGTTGACCATAAACTGAGTGTATTTACATTGCACGCCAGAACAAAGATCGCCTTGCGGCGAGGACCCATGAATCTAGCGCTATTTCCAGGCTTTATAGCAAATGAAAGTAAGACAAGAGCAACGGAACTCGCTGCCCGGGTATTCAGAAGCAAATGCAGAGAGAAAACGATACTCCGGGAGAGGAAGACGACACCCAGTCTTCCTCCATGACGGCCTGATTACCCTCCGTCCGTCTGATGAAAACGGGTGAGGCCGGTAGATTTTGTGCTGTTATCCTTTGTTTGATTTTTGGGGTTGGTCTCGGGTGCCCTGGGCAGATTTCCGTGCCTCTAGGGCTTGCTGATTGGAGAAAGACCACCCTTATGACCCAACATACCACACTTCGATGCCGATAATGTCGAACTTGACACCCTCGTCGGAGAGAGGCTCGTTTCCGAAGGTCTGACTGGGGGCGCTGACACCCTTCTCGAGACCGGAATCAACCCAGAGGCCATAGTGCCCATCACTGCATTGTTGTAAGCCTCAAGTTGGCAAAGCATCTGATTGGAAAACTTACCCGCCACCCAAGCTGAGGAATCCCGTCTCGCAAAACATCATATAATCATTGACGCCACTGTACGGGAAGGCCTTGAATCGAATGCGCTCAGGAGTACTCGCTCCGCTACGCGAGGTATTAATCGACGAAGGCGACGGGGGAGCCAGGGCACCACCACTAGCCGCCGCAAGATTCGTCTTGATATTCATATTAAGGTTGTGTGTGGGCGTCTCAGTCTTCGTTTTGGTATCCTTCGATTTAGGGTCGCCACGGAACGTGCTCCAACGTCCTGCGTGGGTCGTATCCGCGGAGGGAGGAGGGGCAGACCAGCGCGTTCGAGCGCCTCTTCGCTTTGAGGTCCGTCGCCAGAGAATGCAAGTCCCAGGCTGGTCGGGGGTGGCAGCACGCTCGCGCGCCAGAGGAAGCACTCGCCCGTGCCGAAGAACTGCGAGTCTGGGTGTGGCGCGTCGGTCATGTATGCGCCGAAGACGGCGCCGGATGGGGAGGAGTCGCGAATGACGAGGACGTAGCCCGCCCGCGGGCTGCGGTGAGAGAATTGTTCGCAATTGTCGTAGAGGGTGGCTAGCGAGGCTCCATCGCGATCGAGGCTGTAGGCGAGACGCCAATTCTCGACGAGTTGGAGGCGGGCGGGGACGAGGAGACGGATTTCTTCGGCGAGGGCCCGCGTGAGGAGCTGCTGCTGGAGGAGGTCTTCACCTTTGGGAATGGTCAGGGATAGAGGTGTGAGGGGCGGTGGTTGAAAGGGTGAAGCTGTTCGGCGCGGGGTGTAGACTTCCGACGAAGCACCAGATGAGGAGAACGACCAGGGCATGACGGAAGAATCCGGGGCGGCGATATTTGGGTCAGTCAGGCGGCGATACAGGCCCGAGACGACGTGGCTGACGGGGTAGGAGAGGTAGGAGGCCGCGTTGAAGGGATTGCCCGATGGTTTTCGCTGAGGTGTGTGAGAGCCGGACCTGGTGGTGGTGGAGGGGGTGTCGGAGGGAGGACCCCCTTGCGATGAAGACGACATACGGGCAATTCGATTCAATGAAAGTTGGAGGTGGTGGAGGGGTCAGGAAAGGAAGTAGGTTGAAGATGCAGAGATGCAGGGTGAAACGACTTATCGCTTATCTCATGAATGTGGGGGACGCCAGCGTTGTATTCCCTGGATGCTGTATGGGGACGGCTGGACTCTCCATGCAGACGCGTCCTGCAAATCAATTTAGTGTGATTGGAGCATGCAAGGTAGTACGAATGCGTACTAAGTATCTTTCGAAATGACAAGATACTTTCCGTCAATCATGCCATCCGTAACCGTGCAGATTAGATGTCCCAGCCCAATCCGCCCAGGCGCAGCTCCGACGGAGCACCTGAACCGGGTTCTACCTGAAACCAGGGCACCACGACAATTGTAGTTCTCGATCTGATGATAGAAAAACTAGCTTTTAGATCTGACCGATTTTCATTCGAGCGGGCAGTCCTTCCGAGTCGCCTGCTAGAAGCCTAGTGACGACAGAGTGGCGGTTTAAAATACTATATAAATCCGACTACTGCTCTAGCGGGTGGATCGCACCAGACCTGACACTTTTGATATTAAGCAGCTATTCCTGAAACGGTAGCACATCAGACATTGTTCATCCCAAAACATTGTTTTGAAAGCAAAATGACTTCCAGATTCCCCAGCTCCGACCGTTATCGCGCCGAGATTTCTCAAATGGAAGAAGACGCCGAATCGCATAGCCACCAGAACGACATTGGCGGGGCCCATGCTGATATGGTATGTATGATTGATGAACTTGGTGTATACATTGACAGTGAGTATGTTCGACCAGCTAATGTATCCCATGCGTTGTTATTGCAGAGCATGAACATGACTACTGTACGGAAGTCACGCAGTCGACGCAAGTCCCGCGGTTGCCGGACACCCACAACATCACGCAAGGCGCGAGCGAGTTCCGGTTCTGCATCGAAGAGACGAAATTCCTCAAAAAGCTATCACCCACATACACACCCGGCAGAGTAGCGTGGTGGATCGTGCAATTGCCTCCTGAACTGATGGTATCAGCCGAAGAGGCCATCGGAACTTGTGTTGCAGACTATCTATGGCACGTTCAGACTGTCAAATATTGAATGTTATTATTGATTGCTCTAGAACATGTTAAAGACAATATCGAGGGTATCATAGTTGATGGAATGTCGGAAAGAAGTCGCGAATTAGTTCCGCGAGTCATGCGGCCGCAAGTCTACCGTTTCAAATTCCAGGCCATTCACCTCAAACACATGACCCGGCCTCAATGCGCCCGTGTATATATTATCCTCCGCGTGCGGATGGAACAGGCCAGTCTGAGTACAGTTTAACACCGTCTTCAGGCCTGGCGGGTCCGTTAGACGGAACACGCCCCAGTCGGGATTCTTGCTCGGCGCACAAACGATGGCAATGCTCTCTGGCAACATCACTTGGTAGCCGCAGTGGGTGTGCAGGTCGCGCGAGCTCATGAAGCACGTCTGCGAGGGATGTGTGTGGATCCAGCCCAGCATCATCAAGTCTTCGGAATCACAGTACTCGAAGATGGCGTTTTCGTTGGTCGTTTCACAGGTGTCGGACGTAGAGGTCTGCTCGGGAATAACGAGACGCGATATGAATAAAGCATTGGACACCAAGGTACCGCATAGAATGCCGCATGTTTCTAAATTGCGACGCGTATTGATAGCAGCATATGCCAGGAATTGGGATCGGAGGTTGGCTGGCAGGAAGACTGAACGCAGGGGACTGCCATTTTCCAAGTAGGCGGAAGGCTTGAACGTGTAACTTGCAGGATTGAGATCGGACCGTGTGGCCGCGTCTTCGGACACTTGTACTTTCTCTGGCGGAGATGGTGCTGATAGCACTTTTGATGGACGAGGCGGCACCTGTTCTCCCACTGTACCGTCCACGAAGGAAGCCCTGCTGGGTGCGATATGTTCCTTTGGAGGGAGAATTGGAGGAGGCTGCCGTTCCGCATTTTTGTCGAGAATGGCGATCTGAGCTGGTGATACAGATGGCTCCAGTGGTTTCTGGCGAGGTACAGTAGGGTACTTGTAGGCCGATGCGACGGAGGAGGGAACGTCTTGAACAGATGGTTTCTGACGCGCAACAGTATTGTTGCCGCGCACAGGATCGATGTTGAAACGGATGTTTTGAATTCGTTGACTCAGGTCGTCGCCTCCATTTCCTTGGTCATTTGTCTTAAGAGCATCTTCCCAGCCACCCCATACACCAGCCGCTCGCCGACCATCCTCTTCACTTTGTTCTTTGGTTCTCCGAACCGTTGCGCGGCGGGTAAATTCCGTCTGGGCTAAACGAACCGCGAGGTCTCTGTTTTCGCCCGCTTCCAGGGGCTGTGCAACTCCAGATAAAGCGGGATCGGTGATTCGGTTTCGTGGATCAGGGACGACACTGACTTCTGTCGGCAATTTGCGCTGTTGGCGCTCGCGCATGAGCTGGGTATAGCGCTCGTAGCGTTTATTAATGCCTGGCTTCAAAGCCTCCAGCTTCTTCAGGTTCACCGCCACTTCTTTCTCGGCAGCCACCAGCGCCTTTCGTTCATTTTCATCCTTGGTATCCGGGTGTTTCGATAGATGCACTAGCACCAACTGGGCGTGCCGAAAGAGGAGGAGGTAGGCTTGCTCATCGTGTCCTTCGCGTTCGTAGATTTGAGCCTAGCAGATAGGTGTGAGTCAGTAATATACATAAGAGACAGGACAAGTTATAGGAGCTCACCTACCTCACGGTTCAGGGTGGCGGCTGTCCTCAGCCAGTATCGCAGCCGGATCGCGGGGTTGTACTCGTAATCTTGGGCGATGCGAGTGATCCTTTCGACATTCTGAGGTGGACTGCCCGCCGCGCCGAGAACTGGCGGATGGGAAGCCATAGTGGAGAGTGTCGTGTAAAAGGAAACAACAGGAGAGGTGGATGGAATGTTTCGAGATGAAAGGGCCTCCGTCAGGTCTTCAGGCGAAGACGGTTCGCAGGGGCATGATTGTCGCAGATTGGGTGGGGCGATCACCAAACGCGTGAAGACTGGCGACCGAGGCGTGACGGCAACCGCATAAAGGTGGCCTCGAATCTGCCAGAATTCAAAGGTAAGTGGGGGATGTGTTTCAAGCGAAGGACTTGCGAAAGGGCCGGTGCCTGGTGGGATGCGGCGCGGAACAACCCCAAGGTTGCGGATTGTTCGGTCTCCGCTTTCTCCGATCAGGAAAAAGACAGCTTCTCCAACTACGACGACCGCAACAGCCACCATGCCGACCGACAGCTGACCCTTTGTGACATGATCTTTGTGACGATAGAGGATAGACGTCATTGTACAGTATGGTCGTGTCCACAATATGGAAGCCGAGACCCGGCTGCGCATTGTCGGAGAGACTCAGCAAAGTCTCCAAAACAGACAACCGATCAACTCGACTGCATTTTGTGTCAAAAAGTCTCGTGGGTAAGTAAGGAACCCTTCCAGGTCCAATTACTCCCTGGAAGCTCGCGAATCGAGCCTGACAATGGATTCCCATAGACCATATTCTCCAACGCGCATCGCCCTTTCTTCTGCGAAACAAGCCCGTAGATATTCTGGATCTATGGCCTGGATCCGGTCTTTTGTCTTCCAAAATCAACGATCTCCTCAAACCTCGTCGCCATATTCTCCTCGATCCTGGCAAGAGCTCCTACCGGCGATTCCTGAAACCTCTCGCGGCCAGCAAGCCCTGCTACACGCTGGAATTTATGGATATTTATACCGAAGAAAAATGGACAGATGTGTTCAAAAAGTTCCTCCCCGAGCAACAGCAAGCCCCGACGGCGGCTGGAAGAGTGCCTAAAAATGATACGTTACTCGTTCTCGCCCAGCCCCCGGAGCCCACGTCGGCCAGCAATCACTATACCCCGGCACGATGGTGGAGCCAAGTCATGGAAAGCTGTCTGCACAAGGCTGGCCTCCACCAGTATGGCAGTGTTCGGGTTTTGGCTGTCATGCCCGAGGCCGAAGCGGCTAAGTGTCTGCCACGCACCATGACCGATCGCTCTCGGCCGTCCATATTGACGGAGACTGTGGCATCGCAGACCCTTCCCCTTGCCAGTACATACATGGAGCCACGATATGAGCATTTTAAAGGCTGGGATTTAGCCACCCGAATCAACGCACGAGTCGCCGAGAGAAGTGCAGAGCTTGGAATCACCACACCCAAAAAACGAGACGCGCCGATGATGCGGCTGGCTCCTGAGCAGCCTACCGTCGGAAAGGGTTCAACAAATTATAAATTGGACCTCCCTTATCTACCGCGACCTCGAACCGAATTTCACGACGAGCTGGAAGCACGGCTCGCCAGCGAAGACCCCAAGATTGCTAGAAGCGCCCGCGCAGCCATCAGGATGGATAATCGCAGACAACGCACCATTGTCGCGCTAACAGACTTGCAGCTGGCCATCGATGCTAAAATGAACGAGCTGGCCCGGCTAGCTGCTGATCCTCACACTCTCACGACGGACCTGCGGGCCCGGGACCGGGAAATCAATGCCACCATCAAGAAACTCCAGGCGGTGTCCTCCGAGTCACACTTTCGCTCGCTGGGGAACTACGCCCGATATGTCGATGAGTCCCGGACTGCCAGCCTTGGTAACCGGAGCCTGGATGAATCTCCATTGCTATGGGACCGGCGACCGTTTGACCCTCTGCGCGTGGATGCGGAGGCAGAAATCTACCCGCACAAGCCCATGGCCGTCTTGTACTTTGAAGCGGACGAAACCCCGGCCTACCAGCATAAGCTTGAACAGGTCCCTCTTGAGCGACGGGAAGGAGTGATTGAGATCTTTGACGCCCTGACGCGCATTTTCACGACTCAGAACCTCATGTCCATCGCCGATCTCTTGCATGCCATTATGCCATCGCGGACCATTGAGGATATCCTCCGAGACGATATCCCGAGTCTGATCCCGTACGCCGATAAAAGCGTCAAGCAAAAGTGCCCGGTGGGCTGGGAGCACCACGCACGCGATCCCATGAGCTCGGTTCTGGGGCGACTGGACTATGACCTGTCGAGCTGGCGCGTCCGCTGCCTCCCCGTGGATATTCTCTGGGACATTGTCCTTGCGTACCAAAAGAATTCGCTGGACCTGTCGGTGCTGCAATTCAGCCGGCTGATCGGGGCGACGGTCACGAGCTACCGGGCTGGAGACTATGGCGGCAAGGCGTTCAAGCTCCGGTAACGCGGGGAAGCGTACGTCATTCCGTGTATTTATAGATGCGATACGATACCCCATGTACATGAGTATAGATATTTCCATATTCGAGGGTCCAATGAGTAGTGTATCTATATTTCCCCATCGAGGCTAGTGCGCTGCACTGGCCCGCTGCATGCTGGGATTGGCACGGGGGCGGGCGATTGGCTGCAAACTGTTGGGATCCCGCCGCATAGACCAATTTTGATCAATGTCACGATGATCACTATTTTGTGGTATCTCGTGTTTATTTTAGTTTATTTTAGTTTTGATGTTGATGTTTATGTTATTGTGACCGTGCAGTGTGATGGTTACATACTAACTGGAAGGTACTCACCAAGTGGAGAGATGTTGGGATGGTCAGCTGCAGCCGTTAAACGCATGCGGTGGAGCCGCCCACGTCGGTTGCAGCAATGCGACTCTACCCCAGTGTCTCACCTTATCCTACGCCTATCGAGCCTTGAATACCCTAAGGTAGAGTGCTAACTATCTCGGGCAATCCGCGGGTAATTTCCTGATCAATGTGTACCCTGACCCAGTTGGAGTCATCTCGCGAGATAAGCAAAAACAAAGCACAAAGCAAACCCTCCCGAGTGGACCCTGAAAGATCAGCGCGAACCGCCCGAGATTCTCCATCTGGAACCGGTTCTTCCCAATTTCCCTGCCAAACTACGGCCCACGGTTACCACCGTCGTATCAACGAACGGCCGTCGATCGACTGTCACTTTGTCATTTCCCGCCGAGTCGAGACCGGCCATCGCCCCCGATAGGTGGGTTCCCAATCCCAGTCCAATTTCTTTTTTTGCTTTCTTTTTTCGCGCCTTTGATCGTGAACCGCGCCATGGCCCCCGTCCCAATTGCCTTTTGCGTCTTTTCCCTTCCCTTGTTTCCGGCCACGCCTTTCACGTCTTTGGCCTTCTTTGTCCCTGGAATCCCGTCTTTCTTTCACACTCTCCTTTGAGCCTCATTGAAAGGACCGTCTCTCGAAAATTTTCTATATAACCAGTGTCGAGTGTCGAGTCTCGAGTTCGAGTGGCCAACGTAGTCGTCCTTTCGCCGCCACCACGTCATACCCGAGCCCTCAACCTTGGATTATGCGACTTGCTGGTACGAAAGCGCCAACGAATACTTTTTGCCTTGGGTGGCGCTGCTGATATCAGTGACTCCTCGTGGGACCTGGTTTCCTGTGCACGCACTGCACGCAGTCTAAGCCGCGTTGGCCCTGCTCGTCAATTCCAATACTCTATATACAACCCCCGCTGTCGCGAATCGACGACCGTCGCCTTCTCACACCATGCCCAGCATGACGCCCCCAAGCTCGCCCATGCAATTGTCACTGCATACAGGACGCGATGGCAAGGATGTCTCGTTGCAGACCCCGACCTCCGTCTCTAGTCTGACGCCGCCGGTTACACCGATTGGCAAAGATAGCGTCGAACGTATTCCCTCGCCATTGTCTGAGCCCAGCAACGAACAATCAGCCTCTTTACTTCGAGGAAAGATCACGACCCCACTGCGATTCACGGATGAATTGGAAGAATGCCTCGACGAACGAGGCCGCCGCATTGAATTCGGCGAGGGCGTCTGGAGTAAAGTCTACAAGGCGCGATCTACCCCGGCATCCACAAGCGCCCTCCAAACGCCACCAAGCTCGCCCGTCACCGACAGCCGCATTCTCGCCATCAAGACCTCTCGCCGCGGCGACGCGGGTCCCGTCCTCACAACTGAGGCACTCATCCTCACTCGCCTGACATTAACCCCGGGTCATGAGAAGCACATCGTCCCTTTCCACGGCTTCCACACCGAGACGCAGTCTCTCGTCATGTCTGCCGTGCCGCTGGCCCTCTCAACATACATCGAAGATCAAGCCGACCTAGCTCGCAAGCAACCCGTTTCAACCGCGACAATGTTCGACCCATTCCTCGGCCCAGCCCCCTGGAAGGATATGGCCCGCAAGTTGATCAGCAGTCTCGCCTGGCTCCACCATACCGCAGGCATCATGCACGGCGACGTCAAGCCACATAGCATCCTGCTCCGCCCTACCGAGGCGGACGAGTCGCACCCCGGCGCCTTCCGCTACGAGCCGTTGCTGGCTGATTTTTCCGCTGCAATGGACATTGCGCCGGATTCCGCGGATCAAAAAGTTCTATCGAGCTTTACGGCGCCTTTCTCTGCGCCGGAGGTACTCAAGTCTCTTCGACCAGGTGGTGCCCCGCCCACACCGGCCTCTGATGTCTTCTCGCTCGCTGCAACGCTTCTGGCTGCTGCGACAGGTCATGTGCTTTTGTACCCGGGGTGTGATTTCCGACGCCGGAACCTGATGGCGGGTGAGGGGCACCAGATTATTGATTTCATTCGGTCGTTTGGGAATGGAAGCCGTGTGCCTCGAAATGGATTCGTGGAGAAGTTGACTAAACCGGCTGTCGCCAAGATTCCTGAACAGCGCATTTCTGCGCAGGATTGGGTGGTGCTCGCAGATGAGATTTGTGGAGATTCTGCCTGATCTGGGCCATCTTTGTATTTGCGATCATTTGTCTCATTTGTTCCTTGTTTTTGTTTTGCATTTGCATCTGCATCACGCTGTCGTTTCCGGTCGCATCTCAGGGCGTTTCCCTTTTTTTTTTGGTTTTGTCTTGCATTGTTATCTACACTCGTTAGATCGATACCCCGTTAGATGGAGTTGGCCTTGGAAGACCCGGGGACGCGAATGATATTCGCATATTGTTGCATACCACAAATACTACTACCTAGCTATTCAACACAACATGCCATTGTAGTACAGTGCTGCCTAGATTCGTAGGGCTGCGTAGCCGAACCTTAATCACGTTAATCTGGAGACGATTTCCACATGTGGTCCACATGGACAAAACAAAGCAACCCATCCGATCAGTCCTAGTATCATCAATCTGGTTTCATATCCAGTCCTTTGCAGTGCAGACTTAATTCTCTGCAGTAGAGCCTTCAACAAATTTCTTCAAATCCTCCACCCACAATTCGAAATTCATCTTCAACTTCGAGCCATACATCCACTTCACCAAATAGACCATCCACCCAACCTGCAGCTCCCAATTCCGCACCTCGCAACCCTTAACCACATCCTCACCTTCACCCTGCTCAACATCCGTAATCTCATGCTCCCGCTCAGCAGTCAACAGAGACGGACCCATCGTGCCAGGCGCATCAAAGTCCGAACCCCAAACTATCCGACCAGGAGTCTTCGTCTCTGGATTCGGCGGCACGTACTCAGTCACGACAAGGCCGGCGTCCGTGGCAGCCTGCGGCTTGGTGGAGGTCGGATCCATGCGGACGTGGAAGGTGAGTCGGGTGCCTTTCTGCAGGATCGGGGAGAGGGTCGTGGAATCAGGAGCGTCCGGCTGTGAGCGGATCGTCACGCGCGGCACGAAGGAGTTCCAGTTTGGCCATGTCGAGATGTCTGTGAGGACTTCCCAGACGCGAGTGGAGGGGGCCGCGATGAAGGTGGAGCTGCCGAGGTGCAGGCCAGCGTCGCCGGGCGCGATGTTGGGGGTTGGACGGTCGGTGTTTGTGGGGTTTGTGAGGGTCATTTTGGATATCAGAGTCGTGACGGTGGTTAGGATTGTGTTGTGAAGAAGCGAAAGAGTTGCTTTTGACGTGCAGAGCTGTCGGCATGGTTGAGCCTCCGAGCTCCGATAAGCCGCTTATCGCCAGCCCCAATTTAAGATACAATGGGATGGTCCTCCCTCCAACATCACCTCACTAATAGCAGGGAATTGTGCAGGCACAAGGCCCCCAGATCGACCGACGTTCGCACAAGCATTGTTGCATCTCGCCTGCAGACAAGGTCGTCGATAGCAGCAATTATCCCACCAGTCGTACCGCAGCCTGTCGACGCGGAAATAAAAGTCCATCCACTCAAAGCTGGTGTCTCCGCGTTGTGGGGAAAGGCATTGCTCGATTCATCCGGGGGTGCGACGATCGCACTCTCAACCGTACGAGTAAGCCCGAACTGAGCAGGGACGAGGGGAGTTGCATGTCTGGCATGGTGAGTATAAAGGTTCCTGATGCTCTGGATATGTCTGCACTTTCACCGCTTCATTCAAAATGCTGATTTCAAGTGCTACAGCTTTAGCTCTACTATCCGCTCTCGCGCTCGGTGCACCCGGCTACCAACGCTCAGATACAAGCCGACCCCAGCGGTGCATCGTCCCGTCTTCCAATGGCACAGCTGATGATTCCCCGGCAGTCCTGAAAGCCTTTGCGCGATGCGCCACAGACTCGGTGATTGTTTTCAAGGAAGGCGTGAATTATAACATCTTCACACCGATCAGTGCGACCAATTTGAGCAATGTGGAGATCCGGATGAATGGCAATCTGCATCTGCCTCAAAGCATTGCAGAGGTTCAACGCGTCGTCAATCGCACGAATCGGGTGACATACTCCGACGGCCAGCATTGGTTCGCTTTCAAAGGACCCAGCATCGATTATATCGGCTCATCAGATATCAACAATGGCTGGATCAATTCCTACGGCCAGGCCTGGTGGGATGCAAACCCGGTCAATGGCACGGGTATCGACTCACGCCCGCATTTGATGAGTTTCAAGACCACAGGTGGCTCACTGAAATACTTCAAATCTCGCAAACCCATTGCCTGGAATGTCCAAGTAGAAGGCGACGACATTACTGTCAGTCATGCCTTTATTGATGCGGAATCTACCGGGTCATTCCCCTTCAACACCGACGGCTTCGATGTCACCGGCACAAACGTGAGAATCACGGACAGTGTGATCTATAACGGCGACGACGCTATTGCAGTCCAGTCGGGATCTCACAATATCCTATTTGAGCGAAACACTATCGGCTATCAAAGTCACGGCATGAGCATTGGCTCCCTGGGCGAAGACCAAACGGATTTCGCCAACGTCTCAAACATCCACTTTGAAGATGTGACAGTAATCGATGCAGTCTACGGCGCGCGTTTCAAATCCTGGATAGGCGGTCAAGGACTTGCAAAAAATATTACCTGGAAAAATATCCGCGTGTACAATGTCACTTTCCCGATCTTCGTCACCCAAAGCTATGTCAATCAAGGCTCTTCTCAAACGCAGCTTGGAGATGGCCAGACGACTGGACGTATCAATAATGGCTCGGTCATGATGGAGGACTTTTCCTGGTCTGATTTTACTGGCACCATCAATACTTTTCGACCTGGTGATGGTTCCTGCGTGACTAATCCTTGTTGGTATGATGATGGGCTTCCAGACCTTAAACACACGGAGGCTGTCATTATCGAGTGTAACACCGATACATCCTGTAAGAACTTTGCTTTGGAAAACATCCAGATTATCCCACAGAGCATGGCAGCTCCTACGGTGGTGTGTATAAATGCCACTGCCGAACTGAACCCGCAATTGGGATTCGACTGCAAAAATGGCACTTTCTCCCCATTTTGAAACTTGCAGTGACGTCGGAGAACCTTATCTGTTACCTTCCGTTATTCTACTCGGGCCAGCTGCCCGTGTTCCTGCCATCTTTCGGGTCGTTGTGTTCTTGCCCGCTAGGAAGGAAAGAGCATAAATGTAAACATAAACAAATCTTCCACCAGAATCAACTTCCTCTTCTTTTCTCTCCATCCTTTACTCTCTTTACTCAACCAAGGCATACACTCGCTCTGTATACTCACCGGCTTACGCATTTGTTTTTTTCTTTTCCTTTGGTACCGCTGTTCATCCAATACCGCTCATTATGAGTTACCCTTTCATCGTCCCACCTCCCGCCATGCAGTTCCACTCGCCATGCACCATGCCATATCCCAACTCTCATCCGCGTCCAAGATTCTGCATTTTCCGACCAGGTGGTATCTTGGTACCGCTTATTCCCGTTGATGAGTTGCCTGCTTGGTTGGAGGTCTGCAACTTAGGTGCGCAGATGCATTTGGGAGTGCAGCCCGTTTCGCTTACATACATCCCCCGTGATGGCGAGTACGATATCATTTGCCATCACTGCTCGAGCAGCGTCGACTCTCTTCACCAAAGCGTCTCGGATCGAAATGCAGACTCTCCCAGGTCTCCTTCCAGTCACCCGTCCCATACGAATAGCTACCAACCCGGTATCTACCTCGTACCAGAAGCAACGTGCGAGCCGCCGAGCCTCGACTCCAAAGTGTTGGATCCAAAGGCAGCACTTGCTTCTGGGGTTCCACTGCCAATTATCGGACACCCGCCGATTGCTGCGACCTTGCAACATCCATACTATGGCAGTTATTCGCTCAACATTCCGAACATTCCAGGCCTGACTTTTAGCATCTCGCAAAAGGCATCCAATGTGGTCAATCCAAGCTCCCCGGTATCAGATTGCCTCCCAAAAGAACCACCGAAGACACCTGCTCTATCTCCGCTGAAGTCCAACAAGGAGGGTGGCCCAGACGACATCGCATCCATTCCCGATCTTCCTCCTCTGCCTCCTCCGGCGAGGCCGCTTGAACGCGAAGATCGGCCCACTACTCCAGCGCCAGGTGCACCCAGCAGACATCCGATCAGTCCGGGTACACAAAGCCGAATTTCACAAGCTATTGCAGCCTCACTCTGCTCCGTCGAGGTGGAGAACGAGAATCGGCCCCCGGTGGGTTCTACAAAGGGTCACTGCTCACGACGTATGTCGCTTGGCCAGGCCTCCAACAGCAGCATTTTTCGAAACATAGCTACTTCGATTGTCTCTGCCTCTCACGCGAATGAAAGTCTCGCATCTCCAGTGTCTCTGAGTGCTGCCGTGGAACGATTCAAAGAAGGGCTCAAGAAATTGTCTCGGATGTCCATCCTGTGCCAAAGCGTTGCCGGTAGCTCGCACCCGTCCAAATCGAGACCTCTTTCCCGCGCTTCATCCAGAACCAAGAGAGCTCGTGCAGCTGCTCAGCGACGCCGTGACCGAACCAAACGCCGCCGTGAGAGGAGGAAGGAGAAACTCGAAGCTCTCGCTACACAGACCCCGAAGGCAGAACGACACCAGCGAGGGAAGCAGCCCCCACACGAAGACGAGAACGACATTGTCGTCGTATCCAAGCCAGAGCAGGTCAACTCCGCTACCAAGCGACGTGATCGACGTGAGAAAATGCTTCATGGTCGCAAGGATCATGGCGATCACAGTCGGCATGTGCACATGATGACGGCTTCGAGTGCACGTCCGAGTGTTTCCTGCCGTTAGGACCGAAGCAGGGAGGATGGAAGAACTGTTGAATCATTGTCGGAGACCATTGCCCAAGCTCCGTGTATTTTGCATGCCAGTATATATGGGTACATTGCTTTCTTTCCTTGTTCGGGTCTGTCATCATGTTTGTTTTCTTTGTACATAGAATTTCGCTCTTTGGTCTTCTGTTTGGGTCTGCATTCCTGTTCGGGTCTTGTTGCCAGTCTTGCGACTTTCGTTTCTGTTTCTCTGTTTGGATCTCGTTCCCGTTGCGAGCTTTGAGCTGTGCTTTGTTTGTATGCAGCTTTTCGCTCTTTAGTCTTCTGCTTTGGTTTGACTTCCTGCTTCGTGTTTCGTCGCTGGTGTTCCGACTTTCGTCTCCGTTTGGTCTTTTGTCGCCTGTGTTGCAATTCTTGGGCTTGGTTTAACGGTTTTTAGATTATCAAAATCCAACACTCCCTTCTGCCGGTGAATATACTGTTCTTCAAACAAAAAAAGGAAAAAACAAAAAAAGGAAAAAACAAAAAAAAAATTCTACTTTGGTAGCCCCTTAAGCGAGTGTGGCTGCTACCGCGGATCAACTCCGACGGCCAGCAGCTCCCGTTGTATAACTCCTCGCTAGCATCAACCCGGCCGCCGTCTTCCCCGCACTCTTATCTCCCGTCGATCCGCCTTCGGCGCGAAGAACTCACTGCTGTCAATACTTGCGGATGCGTGAGTACCATGAAGGCGGATGATGGCAGGATCCAAGAAGCCTCGTGGCATTCGCCATGATCGCCACTGTCACCACTGCCGCGCCAACGGCATCAAATGCGACCTCAATCGGCCCCGTTGCCAGCCATGTCGACAACGAGATCTGGCCTGTCAATATCCGCAAAGAGTGAAATGGATGGGAGAGAAAACGACGTCAGCAACAAAGTTCTCGCCTCGAGCATCTTCGTCCTCGCCATCATTGTCTTCCATACCCTCCGAACCTAGCCATCAGCATCGACAGATCCAGACCAATCTGGATTCCAAGATTCCCATCAATCTATACGGCTTCATCGATCTACTCTCCCACTTCTCCCAGGAGATCCAATCGAGCAAGCAGGAACTTCCAGACGAAGCCATCGAGCTGATATCCCGCACACTAAGCTTCGCCCAATCGCGCCTCCAAGGGACAGACGACAAAGACTCAATCCAGTCCCATCTAACGGCCCTAGCAAACCTGAGCAAAGTAATCGAGTCCGCCCACCCCGTCGCACTCTTCGGAATTGGCACCTTCGCTATGTTCGAGGTCTGCTGTGGCCCATTCGGACGATGGCACCGACATCTACAAGGAGCCAGGTCATTACTCGACCTCCATTGTCAAAACCAAGCAGACATCGACGCCCTCACACAGCAAATACCCGGTCTCGCAGATGTCCTGGCTTACCTCGTCTGGTTCGACGTGACGGGCACTCTCGTCCGCGAAGACGCATCCCTCATCTTCGACGATTGGCACCGAAAGATCCTCACGCCGACCTTCTTCGAGTCCGTCGGCTGTCCACCCGACACCTTCGACCTCTTCGTCGACCTCGCGCGATCCAACCCAATTGAAAGCAACATCGTAGACCTCAGCACACGAGCAATGGACCAAATCCTCTCCCTCGATACAACAGACAATCCAACCACGGACCGCGCGCTAGCCGCAACAGTCTACCGAAGTGCCAGCGCCCTCCTGTCCTTCGCCCGACTAAACACCCCGCCCTCAAAATACCACACACCCCCGTCCTGAGCAAGTTAGTAGACCGCGCCTGCACGGCCATTTCGCAAATCCCGACCTCCTCACGCTTCTACGTGCACCTCGCCACGCCTGCCTTCCTGAGCGGGATGCACGCGACGCGCCCCGCGCAGTGCGATGTTATTCGGGATTATTGGCGGAATTGCCGGCTGTGCGAGTTTCCGCGCTATCCGGATGGACTGCGGCTTTGTGAGAGGGACTGGGTGAGGAGAGGGGGGGTTCTTGCAACTGTTCTTTGCTGATAGGTGTGGGGACTGAATTGCGGGGTAACTACTAACGTAATCGGTAAGCGAGCCGCGCATGTAAGCCAGTCGCGCACCTTAAGCAACCTATTAATTTTAAATGCATTTATTTCAACAAAAACGCTATTAATCTAATTCAGCTAACTTGCTGGTCTATCTGGGCATGTCTCCCTTCTATGTCCCGGGCGCCTACATATTCCACATCCTCGCTGGGCCCGCGTAGGTGGCTGTAAACCCTCCGAAGGCCTTCCATCCCCGGGGGTGGAGCGGGTTCAATTGCTTGCTGCGACTGCATTTTTAATGCAGAGGCCTCGAAAACCGAGAGGCCCTCAGTGGAAGGCATCTGCCTGCGAGATCTAGTGCGTTTTTGTTTCTTCTTCTCGTTTTCCGCCCGTAATCCTTTGACTTCCTCCGCTAGTAAAGTAGCGCTCTGCATCGAAAGTTGGCAGCCTTTAATAAGCTGGTTTAACGCTCGATCTGATGGGCTTGGTGGACTTCGAGACCCCGTACGAAGTAAAGCTTTGATTGATGAAGCTTGCCGACGTACCTGTTTATCGGTAAAAGGGGTTTTTGGTGTAAAATTCTGGCTTGATTCGCTATCCCGGCTCGGAGGGGGGTCGGGGTTCGAAGACAAATATCAAGCTTTAAGATCACTTGATCGGGTGAAAAAGGTACCAAACCAGCTGCTCTGAAGCTATTTAAAATAGTATCGGAGCGGAAGGCTTCGTTTCGCGCGGAAGGATAAGCCTCGAGGAAATCAAGTTTGTCGATATGGTTGATTCCGTTCCGCATTTTCGTTTCAACTAGCCGACCGTACGAGCGCTTTAACACGGCAAAACAGCCGATATCGAGTGGCTGTAAAAGGTGAGACGAATGCGCAGGCATACAGATTGGTATAATATCGTTTTTTTCACAAAGTTCATCGAATTTCGGAGTCAAATGGCTTCCGTGACCATCGAGTATCAAAAGTCGATACCTTCCCTTCACACGCGAAGAAGTCGACGGAATAAAGAGCTTTTCGAGCCAACGAAGGCCGATCTCATCGGAAGTCCAGCCATTCGGACTAACCTCGAATCTCCAGTCTATCGGAAGATTATCGAACCAACCCTCGATCAAAACTTTGCCTTTAAAAATCACACACGGAGGGAGCGCCCACCCTGAAGCATTCGTACACTCGATTGTAGTCACCCACTCGCGATTTCCGGGCTGTAAAAGCGATCGCCGACCGTAGTATTCAGCCCTCGAGATAACCTTCGCGGTCGCTGTTAATCCCATCGCGAAACCAGTCTCATCGAAGTTATAAATATCGTCGGGATCGATGCCGTATTGAAGAATGGTGTTTTGAACAAGATCAAACCACTCCCTAATGATTCTTGGATCTTCGCACTTCGCACGTTCGTAATTATAACGTCTTGAGAATCGGGATGATAGGCTTGGGTGTCGTTTTACGAAGTTATAAACCCATTTTTCTCCGACGGTTTGAACTGGTGTAGTTCCGCGGGCCGCGAGAAGAAGATTCGCAGTTTCGCGTACAGTAGATGGCCGGGGCGCTGCTCCGCGATCATCTAAAGAGAGTATCCATTTTTGAAGTGATTCCTCTTCGATTTCTGTTAATTTATGCGAATTTGCGCGAGAAATCGCGCGATTTGTGGTGCCGTGACGACGATCGCGAAGTGTAGTTTCAGGCACATTATAAATGCGCGCAGCTTTGCGAACGGAGGATATTTCTTGATTTTTAATAGCCTGGATGGCTAATAATATCCTACCCTCTTGCTCTGTTGAATTTGTAGAGCCTCTGGCACGAATTGGTGGCATGGTGGGTGGTTGAATGAATTAAGTGCTAATTCATAGACGCGTTTTGGGGTGGGTGCGCGACTGGCTTACATGCGCGGCTCGCTTACCGATTACGTTAGTTTCCTACTATATTCAGGTAGTTAGTAAGGGTGGATGACTGGATGACTGGATGGCGAGAAGGCCGCGGCTGTGGCTTGAGGTAGATTACTTGCCTGTTTGGGAAACTAATCTATCTTTCTTATCTTTTGGTCGCGCGACATTGTATAGATCTTAGGTACTAGAACGAGTATTCGTTGTTGTTTGCCAGGGGAGATTCGGGCTGTTCCTTTCCTATATAGCCGGTCTTACTACCCTGCTTCGACATTCCTCTTCTTTAACCGAGTTTTTAGCATCGCTCTCTATAGAAAAGCATCGATCATGGCGACGGCAACACAACCCTCCTACCTAGATCTCGCCGCCCAAAAGCGCGCAGAGCAACTTGCGCTCATTCCCGCAGACTGGCGTCTCTCCCCAGTCCCCTCCATCGAGTCCACACCAGATGCACTATCTTATCTCCGACGCATCCTCTCAGCGCGAGAACTCTCCCTCACGGAAGAAACAGATATCACTGTTCTTCTCCGCAAATTGTCATCTGGCGAGCTCTCCTCGCTCGAGCTCACAACTGCATTCGCGAAGCGTGCGGCTCTGGCCCACCAGCTAACGACCTGCTGCACGGAGATCTTCTTTGAAGAGGCTTTTGCCGTCGCGAAGGGAATGGATGCGTATCTTGCTGAGACGGGGAAAACGATTGGTCCTTTACATGGACTCCCTGTTTCCATCAAAGATTTATTCTCCGTCAAGGGCGTGGATACATCTATCGGTAGGTCCTTCCACCCCTCCTATCCATCCTACCCCCATCAAAGGCCTCGACTAACAAAATCCAGGCTGGGTCGGCCTAACAAACAACCCCGCAACCTCCGACAAATCCGTCGCCCAAACCCTCCGCCGACTAGGCGCAGTCCTCTACGTAAAAACCAACCTCCCACAATCAATGATGATGTCCGACTCGTACAACCACGTCTTCGGGCAATGCGTCAACCCGCTCAACCGCAATCTTATTTCTGGTGGTAGTTCCGGCGGCGAGTCCTCGCTTGTTGCGGCAAAGGGAAGTGTCCTCGGTATTGGGACGGATCTTGGTGGCTCGATTCGGATTCCTGCTAGTTTGACGGGGATTTATGGGCTTTCGCCGAGTCCGGGAAGACACCCTTATGAGAGGGGGAAGTATGATGCCCCTTTTTTATGTTGTTGTTCCGCTGAGAGTTAGGATAATGCTGATGCAATATAGTCCTGGACAGGATATGGTTCGCTCGGTTGCTGGGCCGATGTGTGTTAATCTCGCGAGTATTGAGCGGTATATGGAGGTTCTCCCGTGTGCTGCGCCTTGGGAGCTGGATCATCATGTTGCGCCCGTGCCCTGGCGGAGGAGCTTGGCTTCTTTGAAGGCGAAGAGATTGAGAATCGGGTTCTTGGTTGATGATGGGGTGGTGAAGGTGCAGCCTCCTATTGCAAGGGCGGTTCGGGATGTTATTGATGCGTTGAAGGCGGCGGGTCATGAAGGTTTGTCATCACTCTTTCTTTATTGGGCTTTTCTAACTCTTGCAGTATTCGAGTGGGATGCATCGTCGCATGGATACGCCTATTCCCTGTGGGAAAAGGCCATCTTCTCCGATGGCGGCGAGGGATGTCGGAAGAAGATTGAGATGACGGGCGAACCTTTGGTTGAAGGGATGCTTGTTGGTACCCCCGATCATATACTGACTACCTCCGAGACACACCAGGTGAGTTTTCTTCTACGGGTTGTCCACTTTCAATGCTAATCCGCACAGCTCCTCGCCGATAAATATCTGTACGAAAGCAGCTATCTCGACCGCTGGACAACATCCGGCATCGACGCCCTCATCATGCCCACGACTCCATGGGTAGGATATAAACCTTGGACCTGGGTGAAATCCAACGCATATGTGGGGTACACCAGTATCTGGAACTTGCTTGGATACGCAGCCATGTCGGTTCCTATCACTACCGTTTCTCGAGAACAGGATATCCCGAGTCAGGAATGGCTGAACCATGCTCCTCGGAATGCGGGGGATAAATTTAATAAAGAGCAATGTGAGTTGTGCCGTCTCGAAACTATATATACATGTGTGATACTGATATTTCTCTAGATGACATCAATCTGGTGGAAGGGATGCCTGTCGGCGTACAGGTTGTCGGCGGCCGTTTTGGTGAAGAGAAGTGTGTTGCTGTTGCAAAGGCTATCGAGCAAGCCATGAGATGGAAAGACGTGGCTCGGCCGAGTCTCTAAGTTTTCAGTAGTTGGTAGGCTGTAAAGATGCAGGATTACTTCGTTTCTAATATCATACATCATGCAAATCTCTCGTATATACATTCACATGTTATCATCGTCGTCGTCATGAAAGAGCAGCATTCATCCGCTCCTTATAGTCAGGAAACTCAAAGTCTCCCAAGTCCCACTCAACCGTCGAAGGATTTCGCTGCTCCATCTCGAAATCATGATCCTCAGTCCCCGACATAACAGTCGGGACAACAACAGAGTCAGACCCAACCCTCAACTCACGGACAACGCGAATACCCTCCCCACTGCCCGCGGCACTACCGCCGCTTTCACGCTCATCTTCGTTTGTGCCGATCTTTGCGATACTCGCGGTGTAGCTGCCTGGTCCGGCGTAGAAGGCTTCGTTGTAAAAGATTCCGCCATCTGGACCGTAGTGGTTGTCGTAGACGGAGGGTTTGCGGGAGGAGGTGAGGTTTGTTGTGTGGGAGTGAGATTTTGAAGCTGGAGAGGAATGGAGGGGTTGGGGCCGAAAGCAGAAGGAGAAGATGCGGGAGATTAGGGGGTGGAGGGGTGGGAGGCAGGCGCAGATAATGGAGACGTTGGCCTCGAGGGATGACCAGACGGCTGCTTCGGCATTTGTTTCTTATTGTTCTGTTAGGTTTCGTTGATCATTCGTGGAAATGGAATTGGTACTTACTGGTAAAATCGTGTCCGCGTATCATGATGCTGAGCTCGTAAACTCGAGCTGAGCTAGTGGCGATGACGAAGATTCCCACGCCAAACACCAGCATGATACCGGCTCGCTGTCGCTTTGGAAGACGCAGCCGAGATAGCACAGGCATTGGTAGAATGAGAATCACGACGTCTGTGAATATCTGGATTCCCGCATTCGTGAACCAGACCGGCCCTTCTGGGAGACAGTGCTTGAGACGGGAGGCTGTATTCAAACTCCAGAATTCATGAACGGGAACACAAAAGACGAAGCCACTGAGGACCATCCATAGTCCTGCGATGACCAGAAAGCCCATGGTGATATATGTGACGATGAGGAAGGAGCGGATCCGGAAGATAGAGGTGTAGAAGATGAGGGCGGAGAGTTTGGCGAGGATGAGGGAAAGGTTGTAAAAGGGGACGGAGACCCAGAGGTACTGGTGAGAGGTTAGCCTTGGGCCTCTTTACTCGATGAGTACGATACTTACATGCATCTGGCCTTGGATGGCGCTATCTGGAAGAGATGCTTTCTGAACACCGAGGCCATAGTGGCGTTCTAGAACAGTGTTAGCTGGATATCCCAGAGTACAACACCCTATTGCTGGACTGCATTAGTATAGGCAGGCTAGTCCGGCTGAACATACCGACAAGGATGAACGCATAGAAGGTAATCGAGGATAGCAAGGCCCCGAGGATGAGCAAGTCGTCGTATCCCGGGTTCTTCACCAGCTTCACTCTTGTAAACAGCCGAATCGCAACGAACAGAGCCGCCAGAACGGTAAAGATGGTCGTGATGATCAAGACACGCATTATCAGGCAGTGTCCATCGAATGTGGCAGTAGGTGAAGGCGAAAGGCGTTTGTTAGTCCATTTGGTTCTTCTCAGCGATCGACCACACTCAAAACAGCATCAATTGAGTGAATATAATCAAGTTTTGCTTTTCAATGCAATGCGGGAATATCAAAGACTTTGTGCCAATGCACCGAATCGGTAATGTGCGAGCCGTCGGAATATATAACAATGTCACCGTAACCGAGAAAGACCCAAGCAGCGATGCGAATTCTTCAGGAGACCAAATTACCAGGCACGGAAGAAGAAGACGATCCTCCCGACGACAAACTCCACCCTCGCACTGTACTTCCTCACTGTGCTGATATCACCCACGGCGCGGGGATTGGCCAGTCGCCGATCGCCCAGTCGCAATGGCCGCATCGGGCAAGTCTGCATTGCCGATTGCGTCAAGGACTGCAAATCCTATCAGCGCCCGAACATATCCACGCCTCTTCATAGGCGGAAACCCCACGGAGGTAATCGCTGACTGATGGCGTTGCGCAAGATGATTAGTCTGGAATAAGGTTGTGGGGCCAGCCAATGCAAGAATTGCAGGCTGCGGAGGATGTGCAAAACATGGATCTCCTTCGTCAGACCGGCCTCGCCTTCCACCGAATTACCCCGGCCAAGTCTTAATTTTTGGCCAAGCTCGGTCTCGCACCCAGATCTGGGCCAACCTCAGTCCCGGCCTTGATAGAGTTGAATGGGGGCCGAAGGGGCTCTCGCCGTTCGTTGATCCTTCGGATATTCTCGTGTTGGTGGATCTCATCCGGATTTGGTAGTTGGTTGGACGGCGAATCAACGCCGCAATTGAGGAATGTAACGAGTGAGGAGGCCGGTATATCTTTTCCATCTTGGTATCTGCACGATTCATATTCGTACTTTTGTTGGTCTTTGTTGCAGCTGCTTGACTGGGGGTCGGAGTCGCCGATGCCTTCGAGATGGTCGCCCACTCTAATTGCCAGCACCGCGGGGGAGATTTTCTCCCAGCCATGCTGTCTATTGTAAGAGTGGAGCTCTGCGTGGCTCTGTATCTCTGTCCGCTGTGGCGCAACTCGTCATGCAAGCCCATGTCTTGGACTCGTCTAGCTATTGACTGACGGAGATGATCGGCTCGTGGAGAGGGCCTTTGCCGGAAATTCACCAGGGGGATTTCCGTGATAACGTGCTGTTGTGCACGACGTTCAGGACAGGGGCGAGACCGACATGGCTTGAAAAGGTACGCGGCACTGCCCGACGTTGACGTGCTTCGAGGTCGCTTTGACGAGAGGTTCCAGCGGAGGGCGGAAGGCATAGCTGCAGTCCTTCTCTTAGAGTGGGCAGTGTCCGCCAGACCGCCAAGACCGTCCTATAGAAAGAGCCTGACTACATTGATTACAATCACTAATAGAAGATCTCATGAACTATGATAACGATTTTGTTTTCTCTCATCTGTACATAGCAGCAGCTGGCGGGCCCCAAAGTCTAAGGGGAAGATATCATAAGGTACGAAAATGGCAAAACAAAAGGAGTTTACAGGCGAGCCTTGAGGTTCGCCTTGAGGCGCCGCTCAACGGCAGCCATGTACTCCTTGGTGGTGACCCAGGCCTCACGGTCCTTGCGACCGCAGGCAAGAGCCAGATCCTTGGTCATGATGCCCTCCTCGTTGACAACGTCAGTGCAGGCCTTCTCGAGCTCCTCGGCGAAGGCGACAACGTCGGGAGTGTTGTCGAGCTTGCCGCGCTGGACGAGACCGCGGGTCCAGGCGAAGATGGAGGCAATGGGGTTGGTAGAGGTTTCACGTCCCTTCTGGTGCTCGCGGTAGTGGCGGGTGACAGTGCCGTGGGCGGCCTCGGACTCGAAGGCCTCGCCGGTGGGAGTGACCAAGGTGGACGTCATCAGACCCAGGGAGCCGAAGCCCTGGGCGACGATGTCGGACTGGACATCACCGTCGTAGTTCTTGAGGGCCATGACGAAGCCACCCTCGGACTTGATCATCTGGGCAACCATGTCGTCGATGAGACGGTGCTCGTACCAGATACCCTTGGCGTCGAAGTCCTTCTTATAGTCCTTCTCGAAGATCTCCTCGAAGATGTCCTTGAAGCGGCCGTCGTAGCGCTTCAGGATGGTGTTCTTGGTGCTCATATACAGGGGCAGACCCTTCATCAGGGCCATCTGGAAAGAGGCGTGGGCGAAGCCGCGGATGGACTCATCGGTGTTGTACTGGCACTGGGCGACACCACCGCCCTGGAAATCGAAGACCTGAACACGCTCGACCTCACCACCATTGGCGGGAGTGTAGACCAGCTCGAGCTTACCGGGACCGGGGATGACACGGTCCTGGGCACGGTACTGGTCACCGAAGGCGTGACGGCCAATGACAATGGGCTTGTTCCAGCCAGGCACAAGACGAGGGACGCGGGGGATGATGATGGGCTCACGGAAGACGGTACCGCCAAGGATGTTACGGATGGTACCGTTCGGGGACAGCCACACTGAAGAACAAGGTTAGGTTTGTAGGTCCGAATTGTACGACATCATGCGGGGAAAAAACTGGGTGCTTACTCTTCTTCAGCTTGAACTCCTCGACACGGGCCTCATCGGGGGTGATGGTGGCGCACTTGACACCGACGCCATACTTCTTGATGGCTTCGGCAGCCTCAACGGTGACCTGGTCGTCGGTCTGGTCACGGTACTCAAGACCCTAGAAAGCAACAGGTGATTAGCTTGCATGTCCCGTCAATTGCGACGTCATGATCGATTGCTTTGAGCTTACCAGATCGTAGTACTTGAGGTCAATGTCGAGGTACCTGATTGTACAATGTTAGGAGGACGTCCCGCGAAGACTCGGATGCACTGCGATGCAGTTTCGGGCCAATTAGGCACTTACGGCAGAATCAACTAGAGATGGAAAGTTAGTCTCGGTCCAGATACTCGGAATGGTGCAACATGAACGAATCAGACCGCCTGTACGCCATCTGCAGGGACGATCATGCGGGTCTGGCCACAATGAGGGGGAGGCGTTCCGGGATGGTGAGGGGAATGGGATCCGAGGCATACCTTTTCCCTGATTTCTTGCCAGATGATACGGGTCATCTTTAGATCAAACAGTCGGTTAGCATACGCCCAGAAAGCAATTGACGAGTAACAAGGCATTGCGCCGCGGCCCTCGGGTGAGTTTGGCACATGGGAGTGCATGGATGGACCCCCGTGTTTCCCCGCGTTGGAGGAATGGACAAGACGAAAATGCACCACCCGAGACCACGAGACATTGCAAGCTTGTGATACGGCCCGAACCGTTTTCGAGGGGGCAAAAGAAGGTTCGAACTATAAAAGCGAGGCGGAATTCGCTAAAAACGACACAAGGGGAGGGGTGATTATTTTATTCTTTCGTACCTCATCACCGTCCAGCTCCACCACTGGGTTCACGACCTTGATCTTGCTCTCGGAAGCCATCGTGCGGATTTGGAAGAAGTTGACGGAGGGAGTCGATCCGGACCAGCGGGATGCAGCAGAGGTACTTCTGTTAGGGCGGAGGGAGGCAGAAGAGATGGATCTCTGAGAGGTGGGAAGAGAAGAGGAAGAGAGAAGACGAGAAGAAGAGAGAGGGGCAGAGAGAGGGGTCAGGGACCGGCGCGCGAAGGCGGAACTGGACCGAAGGGCGTTCATCGTCGAGGGCGTGCTACTGCTAGCTGCTCGGGAAAGGTCAGCGCGAGTTTCGCTCTTTCTGTTTGGTTCGGATGGCTGGGTCGGCGTGAGGGAACAACCGAGGGAACGATGTTCGGCAGAAAGGAGGTGGAGTCGGCGACTGCGGCCGTTGACGTCTCGCGCAGGTTGCGGTTGCGGATTGCGGGTTGCGGCGGCCGACTGGGGGAAGGCCGGGGCAATACGGGAGTCCCCGGAAAGGTCAGGCAGGGGAGAGTGTGTAGGGCAGGGACTGAGGCAAATGCAGTGGGGGAATTACCGAGAGTGAGCCTGTGGGAGCGACGATGGGGGGAGAGGGATGGGGAAAAAGCCTTGTCCGGCGCAGGAACCAACTGCTTTTTAACCGTCAGAAGCGCCGAAGCCGGATGTCACGAGACAACACGCACTGGGTCCTTTTTTGGGGGGAGTAGGTCAACGGTTCCTTTTTTGATTATGCTATGGTATTATCTGCTAGTTCTATCTAGATCGACGGAACCAGGGCCGACCGTGCCAGGTGCCAATGGTCGTGGTATCGAAGACGAGTCATGGTGGGAAGGAGATGATCCACCGGCGGCTGAGCAGTTGCGGCTGCCGGAGCTCGGAGGAAGCTCCGCGGGTGAACCTTTGCAGAAAGCCAGCGGGGCGGGAAACGCTCTCCCGAATAGCACCATCTATAGCCTAAAAGCGGGAAACTCATCCGCGGCACATATTTACCCTATCGGGCTCATGACAGACAATTTGATTAACAGACAAGGACAAAAGCATCACAGGAAAGAAAATAATCGATTAACTATGGTGTTGAATTCCTCTAAAATCCCGCTCCTCGGACGCCAAATATTCTCGAATACTGTATGTTGAAAGGGCCCGCGTGCGTCGTAATCCCGCTAACCCTACTGGTTTGGTATATACACTCTATCTACCTCGATCGTCATCGAGTAGACGGTCTAACACAGTGTCTAGAACAGTCCGTCAATCTCCCCAGTCTCCACGTCAATATCCACGTTCAAGTAGCCCGGCGCGGTCGGCAGACCAGGAATCGTCTGGATATCCGCAGCCAGTGCGTACCTAGAGTTAGATATGTTAGCGCAATTCACGCGAGAAGAATGACAGTAATCGCCAGTGACACTTACAGATAGCCACCGCCCACCGCCAGGCGCACATCGCGGATGGGCACCGTGAACCCGGTGGGCGCACCCTTCAGCGCCGGGTCATGACTGAGCGAGTACTGCGTCTTGGCGATACAGATCGGCAGGTTGGCGAAGCCTTGCTTCGTGTAGGTGTCGACCTTCTTCTGCGCCAGCTCGCTGAACTCCACCTTGTCCGCACCGTACATCGCCGTGCCGATGCGCTCGATGCGCTCCTGGATACTGCCGTTCAGGTCGTACAGCAGCTTCAAGTCCTTCGGCTTGGAGCTTGCCGCCAGGACGCCCTTGGCCAGATCGACTGCGCCGGCTCCACCTTCGGCCCAGTGGTTAGCAGGGATCGCGTCCTCCGCGCCAGCAGCGATAGCCTCCTCGCGGATGACGTTGATCTCGGCTTCGGTGTCCGTCTCGAACTTGTTGATCGCAACGACGACAGGCACGCCGTACTGCTTGGCGTTGGCAATGTGCTTGCGCAGGTTGATGCAGCCTGCACGGAGAATGTCCACATTCTCGGTACGATAGATCTCATGCAGGGCGCCGCCCGGGGTGATCTCGGGGCCACCACCGTGCACCTTCAGCGCACGGACCGTAGCCACGATGACAACAGTGTCGGGCGACAGACCCGACGATCGGCACTTGATGTTGAAGAATCGCTCGCCGCCCATGGTGAAGTCGAACCCAGCCTCCGTCACCACGAATCCGGTCTTGCCGTCATGGTCCTCGTCGGGCTCAGTACCGGCCAGCTTGAGAGCCAGCTTGTCGGCAATGACCGAGCTAGCACCGATACTAATGTTGGCGAAGGGACCCGCATGCACCATGACGGGGGTGCCCTCCAGACTCTGCATCAGGTTGGGCTTGATGGCGTCCTTCATTAGGGCAGCCAGGGCACCACCAGCACCAATGTCGTCGCAGGTCACGGGGTCGCCGTTCTTCGAGGTAGCGACCACCATTCGGCCGAGACGCTCGCGCATATCCTCCAGGCTGTTGCTCAGAGCCAGGATGGCCATACACTCACTGGCAACGGAGATATCGAAGCCAGTCTCGCGGGACAGACCCTTCTCGGTGGGCGCCTGACCAACGGTAATGCCACGTAGGTGACGGTCGTTCACATCGAGAACACGGCGCCAGGTGATGGTCTCAGGGTCGATATCAAGACGAGCGAAACGGCGGATCTCCTCCTCAGTAAGCTCATCGGGGTTGGTCTTCTCAATGCCAAGCTTCTTCAGGCGGCGGTACATGATCGGCTGGAACTCGCGCTTGCCCTTCTTGGCGGGGACCAGGCGCTTGTAGAGTGCGCCATCCTTCTGAGTAGACTCGTGGAACATACGGGTCTCAATGGCCGCAGCGAGCAGGTTGTTAGCGGCGGTGATGGCGTGAATGTCACCAGTCAAGTGCAGGTTGAACTCGTCCATAGGGATAACCTGACTGTAACCACCACCGGCAGCACCGCCCTTGATACCGAACGTGGGACCCTGGCTGGGCTGGCGAACGTTGGCAAAGGTGATGCGGTTCAGATGAGCACCCAGCGCTTGGGTGAGGCCCAGAGTAGTAGTGGACTTGCCCTCACCAAGAGGAGTAGGAGTAATGCCGCAGACCAGGATGTAGCGTCCATTGCGGCGGTGGGCCAGACGGTCCAGAACGCTCAGGCTAATCTTCGCCTTGGTGTGGCCGTAAGGCTCCAGCTCGTGGGGAGCGACGCCAACCTCAGATGCAACTTGGGTAATAGGCTTGGGGTATTGGGCACGGGAGATCGCAATGTCGGAGGGCACGGGAGTCTCCCGGCGGATGGGCAGAGGGGTAATGTGACGGTCCTTCTGCTTCTCAAAGTAAGACTTGGCAGAGTGCACCACATTCTTCAAGAGCATGGCCACGGTCATGGGGCCAACACCACCGGGAACCGGGGTGATCTGGGAAGCGACCTGGAACGCAGACTCGAAATCCACATCGCCAACAAGGCGCTGGCCCGACTTCTTGGTAGCATCAGGCTTGTAGTTAATGCCGACATCAATGACCACAGCACCGGGCTTCAGCCAGTCGCCGGTGACCAGCTCGGTCTTGCCAATGGCAGCGACAACGATGTCGGCGTTCTTGACAACACGGGCCAGATTGGGGGTCTTGGAGTGGCAGACAGTGACAGTAGCGTCGGCGTTCTTCAACAAGTAGCTGACGGGGCTACCAACAATGTCGCTACGGCCCAGAACAACAGCCTCCTTGCCGGCGGGGTCAACGCCACTAGCCTTGAGAAGCTCCATCACGGCCAGAGGGGTGCAGGGAGTGAATAGCGGACGGCCGCCACGCTTGGCGAGCTCGCCAATGTTGATTGCGCCAAATCCATCGACATCCTTCTCATCGGCGACGGCGGAGGTGATGGTGTGCTCCGACATGTGGGCGGGGAGGGGCAATTGCACCAAGATACCGTGAACAGTGGGGTCATTGTTGGCCTTGGTGATCTCCTGCAGGAGCTCAGATTCGGTGACGGTCTCGGGGACATTGATAAGGGTGCAGATGATGTTGGCCTAAAAGCAATGCGGGGTCAGTAAGCACGACACGAAAGCGGGTGAAAAGGATCAAAGTACCTCTTCAGCGGCCTTCAGCTTCATGCGCACATAGGTGCCTGGTAGATAGTGTTAGTTGAACTTCTTTATAGGCACCAGTAAATTTATTCTGGTTCGGTTTCATGGAAACTAACTGGAATCGGACCGGCTTCCAACTGTTTGATATCAATTCCGTCAGTGTCATGTCGCTCCCATCGAATTGCTTCACGAGAACGCTTACCCTGGAAGATGACCAAATTCGGCTTGAATCTGGGGTTGGTGACCTGAGCGTGTTCGATCTCGGCCTTCAAGCCTGCGCGAATGCTCTTGGCGATCGCCGTACCGTCAATCTTGGTGGCCATGACTGCGGAGCTGCAGAACGTGCGATGGGAAGAGGCGGCCGGGGGATTTAAAAAAGCTGCCAGCGGAGACCGACCAGACGAGGATACAGCAATTCCGCGGACCCCTCGTGCGGAGGAAACGATGAAGGGAAAAAAGGACGGAGAGAGGGTGCGGAGACGAAAATTGACCGCGCGCGCCTGGAGGGAAAAGCGACAGCGGGGTTTGGCGGGGAAGAGCATGAATATTATTGCTTCTTTAGGGGCGACAACCCTCGGAGTTGCTTCTGCGGTTCGGGATCACAAGGAACGCCGTCTGGACTTCATCAACTAGCAAGGAATTGTTCGGGAAAGCTTCACGAGTTCACGAAAACTTCCTCAATCACCCCCTCACACACTGTAGCTCCTGCATTCCTTCTTCGCGCGTCTCCTTTAGTTCTCGGTCGAGTCGTCCTGGGCTGCCCGTTTGAGGGGAGGCCGTGATCCATCGTGGCCTAAGGCAGAAATCCCGTGGACGGGCCTTGATGAGTCATTGCCCGGATTCCGGATTAGCTCTTAATCCGATGAGCACTTAGGGTTAGGGCTGATGAGCGGGATCACGTGTAGATATCGGACAATAGGTTTCTCCGTCGGAGAAAGTCGATACGGCCAAGTCTTGGCGTTGAGGGCCCAGTGTGCGATGAAATTCACCAGTCAAAGAAAGTCGAGGTTGACGAGATTGACCCCCCCTCCGCTATACCCGCCCTCCCCTCCTCAACCCCCGATCGCCTCGAATTTTTCCCCGATTTCCGGTGGAATACTCTCGTCGCACCCACCAAGATGCGGCCTATTTTGCTGTCGGGCCATGTGCGTTGCATTTCTCGTTCTTGAAGGTCCTGGATCCGCCGAGCGAATGCTAACCTCTCCGTCTGTTATAGGAACGGTCCCTGACCCAGATTCGTTTCAACGGCGATGGCGATCTCCTGTTCTCCGTCTCGAAAGATAAGATTGTTTGCGCGTGGTGGTCCGCCAACGGCGAGCGTCTCGGAACATACAACGGCCACCAGGGTGCCGTCTGGACTGTCGATGTCAGCCCCAACACCGTCCTCCTCGCAACCGGCTCCGCCGACAACACTGTGCGGCTATGGAACATCAAGACTGGCGAATGTGTGAAGATTTGGGAGTTCCCTACCGCCGTGAAGCGCGTGGCGTTCTCCCCTGATGGAAGCAAGCTGTTGGCCGTGACGGAAAAGCGTATGGGTTTCCTGGGTACCATTGCCGTGATCGATATCAGCTATGGCGAGAACCTCGGGGCTCAGGCGGATGAGCCTAGCCTGCGCATTACCTGTAACGAGAGCAAGGCGACTGTCGCGGGCTGGAGTTTCCTGTCCAAGTACATTATTGCCGGACACGAGGACGGTAGCGTCAGCCAGTACGACCCGAAGGTACGATCGAAACTTCTTGGGCGGTGTCGATGATGTATCTTATTGCGAACGGTTGATACTGACAGCTCTTTTTTAGACTGGTGATCAGCTGGCCAACGTTCAAGTCCACGAGTTCGACATGCAGATCAACGACATCCAATTTTCCCCCGACCGCACCTACTTCATCACCGCCTCCAAGGACAAGTCTGCTAAGGTAGGCACAATGTGTACAGCAACCCATCTTGCCGAACATGATTGACTGATTTGATAACAGCTGCTGTCCGCTCGCGAACTCGCCATCCTCAAGACCTACCCCGCCGATACTCCGCTTAACTCCGCCGCTATTACCCCGAAGAAGGAATACGTGATTCTGGGTGGTGGTCAGGCCGCCATGGATGTCACAACCACCTCCGCTCGCCAGGGTAAATTTGAAGCCCGCTTCTACCACAAGGTCTTCGAAGACGAGATTGGCCGTGTCCGTGGTCACTTCGGTCCCCTCAACACCGTCGACGTTCACCCGGCCGGTACAGCATATGCCTCCGGTGGTGAGGACGGTTACGTTCGTATCCACCACTTCGACAAACCCTACTTCGATTTCATGTATGAGGTCGAGCGGGAGCAGATGCGGAAGTGAGGAATGAAGAGCTACGACCGAAAAATTTAGGTGATTCGAGCCTTGCTTTCTTGTGTATGTGTTTTATGATGCGAAATAGAACTCGGGCCTTCGCGCCTACGAGTTTTTGCATACCGGATGAGATGATGACCTTCCGAGGCACGGTTTCTCATTTCTCTTGATTACATGATCACCCGGAGTTGGTACCCCCGTTTTTTTTATTGTTCTGGATTAATAAAAGATGGCATGCTTTTCATGGCCGCTTTTTCGAGGTATATGTTCCTTGCTGCAGGCATTAGTGGAAACACTCGGGGCTGCCAGCAGACGATTGCATATCACGAATAGACAAAATGAAGCTTTGCAAAACTTTGTGAATTGGGCCGTCGCGTAGATATATTCTACAACGGGAATATTAGACTGCAATATGTCAACGGAGTCCATTACATTAATGTAATGCATCGTTTAAAATGTTGAGTTGCTTGGTCAGTTTCGGTGCTATTATATATTTGGTTCAGAGTTGAGTGCTTTTTCCCAGATGTCATCATATTTGAAATTTTTGTACCACTTTCAAGCTAATGTGAAACGTCCTACAGTGCGAAGATCAAATAGGCAAAATCCTTATATGTAGGTATCACATTTGTACATTTTCATCAAGTTTTCTAAAAGCTATTTTCCGCCGAGGCCGGCGCTCATCCGACCAGCAGAAAAAGAAACCCAAGGAAGAAAAAATCATGAAGGGGGTCGTTCGGGGGACATGACGATCATCAGAAACAGAGAAGAAAGGCAAGAAAAGACAGATGCAGAACTTTATTTTGTCCTGGTCTCATCCCCAGAAAATAAAAGCCGCGGGCTCACCCCCGATCCGAGTTTATTTCTTCTTGGGGAACTTTTCTTTACCGATGTCAGACCCACGGAGCTTGACGTTGAGCACACGCTCCATGGCACTGAGTACCTTCTGGTCGGGCGTGGCGGTGCCGCGTTCGAAGTCTTGCACAACGGTCATGGTGGTGTTGCATTTGGTGGCGAGCTCCTTCTGGGTCATCTTGTAGCCCTCCTCGGTACGGCGCCTCTTGATAGCGTCAGCAACAGCGAGACCAACGGTCTTGGGCTTGATGATGTCGTCGCTGCGGTCGACCTTGGTGAGGTGCTGGCCGTCGGGGGCACCGGCCTTAGCGGCCTGTGTGGGGGTTGCGTTAGTCTCACGTATACCTCCAAACGTCTCCATTGACCCTCCCTGGCTCTATAACGAGAGGCGGGATTGCCAGAGGGTGCGACTTACGATATTGCCGGTGGTGTACTTCTTCTCGGAACCGAGGACTGCACCGGAGCGCTGAGCGGCGTTCAAAGCGCTCTTGCCCTTGATGGTGGTCTCGCGCGGCGCAGCACCGCCGCGGGTCTTGCTGCCAATCTTGGTGACGGTGTCCCAGTCGCTCATTTTGTCGGTGTTATGATGTGTGTGGAGGTAGAGAGGTGGTGGTGTGCGTTGGAGGAGGTGGGGGTATGACGATGCTCGCGTGTGAGGAAGCAATTTATACCAAAACCACAGAAGCTTCTCGAGGGAGGGGAGTCATGTGCTAGACCCGATCGGGTTTAGCGTGTATTGGACCATAGACCAAATCTCATCGATTTCCGCCATAACTCCGTCTATACAAAGTCCGGATTACTTTCTATGTTTGAGTGTTCTCTTTCAAATTGTTCACGGGTCGTGAGAGAAAAAGTGTTGGGTATGATTCACTTTGACTGATCGTCAAAGGGAGCCGATTAGTGTCATTCCACTACCCTCCTACTTCGCCACACTTCTACACCGAATATGTATCATCCGATTTCCAGCAGGTCTTATTCCTTGGAGTTAGCTTCAAAATGAAATGATATAAGATTCGAATTTCACTTTCAAAGTGAATTCTCCTCAGCAACGATGACGGCGACTGATGTTTTACAATGCGATATTATATCACGACCCACTTGATGTCATACTGCTGGGGCCATGTTGGCGTTCTCTACGATCACTCCACACCGCACGCGAGCCTACAGTCGCAGAGGCAATTCACCTGTGAGACACCAGTGTCAACATGTACATGAGATGACTCATCCACTACTCTCTGGGGTATAGAGGTCAAGGTCAGATCCTGAGTGCACCGATTCTTCCTATTTGGGTCCCCGACCGCCCCCACCACGAGGCTGAGTCTCGGCGCGCATGCGTCGCGAAGCAACAAGGATTTTTAATGAGAAAAATTTCAACTAGACGTGTACCTTCATAATTTACATACATTGACTGCTAAGATATGGAATCTGACAAGACATGGAATTGAAGTTTCTACAACCCCAAGCTAGGGATGTCCTCATACCGAGAGATGCGAACACGAACTCTCTGTGATAAGTCAACTGGAGCAGGTACGAAGGCGTCCGGTGGTCTTGTATAGTGAAAAGTTGAAGTACATAAAGAGCTCTGCCAGAGTAAGATGTATCTCTGTGTATGCCAGGCTGTGATAGAGAAATTAGCTTAGGTCGTTGAGGCTGATTTAATTTGCCACCTACTGGCACCCAAACAACTACGCGAGCCTCTTTCAAATATGAAAGATCGGAACCTTCGAAGGTCCTCTTTGGATTTAAGCCATCTCTAAGTTTGGAATGCGAACGGATCGGGAAAGATGTTCGGATCAGTTAGAACGAAATACATGGTCTCGCTGACGGGAGACTAATAAAGCCAGACAATATCGGATCAAAAACTTTTGAATAATGTTGGGAATCCAGCGCCCATACTTGCTGCGCTTCTTGTGCTCCGGGCATGGGTAAATACAGACACCTCAACGCTAATCATACATTGACAGACATGGATTGTGTTTGCATCAGGAACATAAGCAATTGTGGCGGGACGACACTCGGGGGACGTCGATAAAAGAGCTGCCAAACGCTCTGTGCTGAGCCACTTGCGCCAGCATACCAATGGGGATCCATGAAGAAGCATTTATCCATCTTCATCCATCCAACATTCTCATCGGCATGACCTCCAATGGGCTCCCATAGTCCCTCAGTCTGACATTCCTCAGTCTGACATCCCTCAGTCTGACATCCCTCAACTTCCCTTGATCTGCTTGGAACCAGGAAATTGCCCGTCTCGGATGTCCAATAGCCGTCGATGAAGTTGGCATAGCCTTCGCCTGATCCCTTCTCCGCAGATTGCCCCACGTCCCATAAACAATTGCGGAGGGCCTGATCGTCGATCTCAAAAAAGTACCGGTACCGAGGAACTGGTTCAGAATGGTGTATAAGATCCTTGTCGGCATCCGGATTCTCGGCCTGAAAGCTGTCCGTCACCCACTGCTGGAAGTGGGCTCGTAGCTGATCTTTTGACGCTCCGTTAAGTTTCTCTTTGTCTTCGATGAAGGTGATTTTGAGTGTGTCAGAGAGAATATCTCTCATTTTTACCCTGGTTTCCATGTTGACGATGTTGCGCACTGAAGTATTGACCAATCCTTTGAAATGGTCCCATGCTTCATCGTCTTCGTATGTGGTTCGGTAGAACACCCAACCCCATGTGATTAGGGTTCGCTCATACATCTCCCGGCCAATGAGGACTGTCGACGGCCACTCATGGCCCTCGTTTCGAGCAGCCGTGGAGACCTGGAATCCTCGTCGTGGTGTCCTGGGCAGCGAAAAGTTGGGGTGTCGCAATTTGCCTTGAAACGCGACCACAGATGCGCTGGAATAGGCAGCAACCAATGGCCGGGTGGATAGGAGGCGCCCTAGTGGGGGCAAGAACATGGCTGTTTTAATAATCATTTTCTATATGATGAGGAACTTTTCTGTGGTTGGGAGCAAGTCGATGAAAAATCTCGGTAGGAGATGCCTCGGAGCTCCCAGGCGGCGGCTGCTGGGGGCTAAATTGGGATTAGTGAACTTCTAGTGGTAGACCGAAATGCCGAATAGCAGATTCAAGGTGCATGTTGATTGATTCCGCAAGCTTTAAAGATATTTGATAAGTGGACAACTGCTCTTGCACCGGTTCTCAGTCAAGTGTGGTCGATCGCCAAGACATCGTCGATCAACAATCTACCCGAGAGGTCGCAAGTTGCAAGTCGAGCTTGCCTCTGCAAGATTCAACTTAAGCATTTACTGGACATGAAATGCCTCCAATCATCCTTCTCCACACAACCGGACAAGTCGGCCAAGTGATGAAAGAGGTTGCGTCAATCGGAGGTAGTGTAAGCCCGATGACACTGTGCGAAGAGGCATGCGCAAAGCACAGAGGGAAGGTCGCGAGGGAAAAAAATTGACTAATCACAAAGTGTCTTCCGGAGAAGACTTTCAGAGATTAAACTGAAAAGAACAGATACTACACTTGATCTAAGCCAAAAGGCAAAGAGAGCTGGAGAGGAGAGAAAGAAGGGAGAAGTTGGGAAGCTGGCGGTATTTATAGTGAATGGCGGGACCCAGGCGCACGCGTTCTTACCTGCACAGTGACATGACACTCCGTATCCCTTTCTACACGTGACCATATTCTTCTGGAACGAGAGACTGCAATTTAGCCCGAAAATTGTATAATTGGCAGCTCGCAAACAGCGCCCGCGATGCTGTTCCCATCTTGATTTCTCATCGATGTGATCTCGATATGCGTGGGGTGCTAAATCCGGGCCCGGCGACCCTGGGCAACCCGGCACGGGCCGTATTTACGATCCGCAGTTAGCTCATGCCTGGCGAAGCTGCCAATCATGAGGCATGAGTTATGTCCTAGGTCCGATGAATGACTGTTGCTGCCATACCTGGCATTCTTCCAGTGGAAATGCGATGCCTTGGGTAAGTCCGTGAAGGAGTCGGGGAATTTGCTTCGTGGGGCAACGGATCAGCTGTGTACCCCGAGCTTCCCCTTTGGGCGTCCAACAGCTATCTCCGAAAGTATACAAACCAACGAGCAAAACCTATAAGAGCGACTATTGCCAGCTTCAAAAGTCAATCTATTCAATCAGCAACAAGCAGAGTCTATATGATCATTTCTCGATTCTTCAAACCAACTCCTCTACCCTCAATTCGAACTATCTCGCGATCCATCATGTCAAACCGTCCACACGCTCCTCCTGCCCACGTCATTGGCCAAGTAAGACACTATTCTATAAGATTTGTCATATATTTATCTTCTAACGAAATTCAGGATGGTCGAGAGACCGACCTCCTTCACTGGATGTACGCTCGCTCTGACATTAAGCAACTTCGAGGAAATCCGCAGAAAGTCATCGCAGCCATTGATGAATATCACACCAAGCATAACCAGCTCATGAACATCGGCGCAGTCAAAGGAGCAGCTATCAGTGATCTCATTGCTCAGAGAAAGCCCTCTATCATGTTCGAGCTCGGCGGATACGTGGGTTACTCGGCTGTTCTCTTTGGAAATAGTCTCAAGGCGCACGGAGGAAGATTCGTGAGCATTGAGAAAAACCCAGAGATGGCCGCAGTGGCCAATCAGCTGGTTGATCTCGCTGGTCTGCGTGAAAATGTGCGAATTCTTGTTGGCTCTAGTAACGAGGTGTTGGAGGAGCTTGTTCGTGAGAAGAAGGAGCTCAAGGAAGTGGAAATGATGTTTATCGATCACTGGCAGAGACTGTATCTGCCCGACCTGTGGCTTCTCGAGGAACTTGGTGTCCTGGTTCCGGGAAAGACCATGCTGATTGCCGATAATGTCATTATGCCTGGTGCTCCGGACTATCTCCAGTGGGTCAAGGCTTCGCCGGAAGAGAAGAAGAAGCTTCTCAGCAAGCTCAATGTTGGATCTCATCATCCCAACCCGGATCTTGTCTTTGAAACCGTTGTTCCTGAATACGATACGGATTTTGGAAAGGTATGCTACCCTTACGAAAAGACTTTGAGCTATAAGCGCTAACACGTTTTTCTAGGACGGTCTGGCAATCACCAAAGTTTTGTGAAGAATTTTAGGAAATTGTCATTCAGCGGGCAGTATTGGTCTCAATATTGATTTATTCGACGTCTCCTTTTTCTTCTTCTTCTACTACTTCTTTTGTATTTTTTCATAATAGCTCCGTCAATGTCTATTGTATTGCATGACTTGAATCTCTTTTCCATAGGTGTATAACCCCTAATCTTAGAAGCATTCCTTTATATGGTTACAGACTTCAATTTCTAACTTGAAAATAAAGTTCATAAATGCAAAAAGAATACGAATCAGAATAAAACTGATCGAGCAGTAACACGAATGCCGAGAGTGAGTCCGTGATATGCCCTGTTTCTAAATTGAGGACGAACGTGTGGAATTGCGGTGTTATCCACCCGCCTTCCCCCAAGCTGCCCGGCGGCTTGGCTGTTTCGTCTGCCTGGCGCAGCACCAACTTCCGGCAACTCCCTGCCTGACGCTAACTCCCATCCCCATCGCTTCAGTCTCTCCTTTTCAACCCAGGCTGCCTTCCAGGCATTCACCACAGCTCTCCCCGCCATGGCGAGCGATTTCCCCTCTGCCATGACCGCCCGGTCGCTCCGCATGGTCCGCACCGTATGTCCCCACACCGACGTTGAAGACCGTGGACATTGACTGACGCGCAACTCTCAGGAGCTGGAATTTTTGGCCGATGCCTCCGTCATCACCCGTAAACAACTGTCTTCGATCCTCGATGAACTCCCCTCCGAGTCCCAGGCCCGCGATGCGATCGCCCACACGCACCAGCCGTCGTACCAGCCGTCGCCCGTCACTGCTCGCGCGCATCAGCCCTCACCTGCACCGGCCCCAGTGCCTTCGCCCCTGCCAGAGCCGGTGCAGACACAGCCGGTGCAGACACAACCCCCTCCGATGCCGTACTCACCTCCTTCCACGGCAATGTCCAGTGTCTCGCTGAACGAGAAAGCTCCGCTGCACAATCAATATGTTGCGCCGCCCCCTCAGCCCCCGCCCGCCTATCCCCAGGTCCCGCCCATCCTATCGCTCGCCTCCGCGATGTACGCATACACACCGACCGACCCTGGTGACCTGGCATTGCAGCCGAATGATCGGATCCAGGTTATTGAGCACATGAACGAAGACTGTATGATCCCCAGGTTTGGACGTTTCAGGGACAACACTGACAAGTATATACAGGGTGGCGCGGTCGCAACGAGCGCACCGGCATGGAGGGTATCTTCCCTCGTAGCTACGTGAATGTTATCAACGAAAAGGGAGCGGTTCAATCGCCCCCGCCTCCTACCAACTATGGAAACATGCCCCTGGAGGTTAGCCAGAGCGGATCAGGCGACCCTGCTTCCAACGACCCGGAGAAGAAGAACAAGTTCGAGCAGGGTGGAAAGAAATTCGGCAAGAAGCTGGGCAATGCCGGTGAGTTCTTCAAGATCATCTGATCTCTACCAGAACCTCTCTAACTATTGACAGCCATCTTCGGTGCCGGTGCTACGGTAGGATCAAACATCGTCAACAGCATCTTCTAATCTAGGCCGGAACCAATGCCCAAAAGCCGACTACTTGGTTGTCCTGCCTTCATAATCGATATCCTCCTACATCATTCATTCGACGGCGTTTGGCTTGATTTTGCTCTAGAGAGAACAAGTGAATCTGCGACTGAATTCCTATCGTATTATATCGGTTGCTTTTCTGAAATTCACGAAGCGCCCTTGGTTTTTGATCTGGGGTAGTGAGATAGTCAGAAGTTTAGCGCTAAGCTTAATGGAATTCAGCCATGTCTACACACCCTGTTACTTCATTTTCCCAGGCTTAAAAGCACCTTAGTAAAATAGTGTGGCTGTTAGTACAGAGGCCTCCGAAGCACAAGCTATCGGGTAGGAAACGTGAACTTCTTAGACAAATAAGCATCTGGACCACCTCAAGCCGCTCTCCTCTGCACGACACCTCGACATGACGCGGACGATGAACTCTTCAACTTCACACCACCTCTAAGTTGAGGGGAATCGAGAAATTATTGCTGTCAGGTGGGCACGATCGTGTCGTCCCCTCCAAAGTCCAAGCGCTCATGCCGATGCTGCCTGCCAAGCCTCCACAAGCAACCGAGGAATTCCAAATGCCAGCGTCTTCTAGTCATTTGCGTCACCAGGTTATTTGCGAGCGAAGCAAACACCCCAGATAAAACGAAAACAAGCCACCGATGAAACCAAGAAGTCACCAGCCGAGACACCACATCGAGACCAACGATGCCGTGCCCCTCCTCCACACAAGCCGCACTTAGCGCAACGAAAACGATGGATGATTCAGGCAGACAGCGCCTAATCGCATGCAGTCAGTACCTTAGCGGTTTCAAGATCGGAGGAGACTTGAACCGACCTGTTGTTGTGATTAGCCACGATTTGGGGCCGGCGCTTCACAGGCCAAATGCCCCACCCAGAGCCTCTTAGTGCAAACTGAATGGGCGGATGAGCGCAAGGAGCGCCGCTCTTAAGAATAACCCATATGACTCTTTTGCTAAGATCCTCATATCAGTGCCGTACTATATTTGTGTTCATGCTGTTATGATTTATGACCGCTATGAGCCCTATTTGGTTGACGATTTTGTTCCTTGTTCCGTTTGTTCGTGCCGGTGATGACTGGGAAGACTTTACGAATAACCTTGCGACTGACTTGGTGAGTTTCAGCATCGTGATTCCCTCTCAGACAGCTGTGGTGTGAATTTATGCTTTCAGTTGACCATGCCTAACCTGCGTCACTATTCGCAGGCCCCCTTGATTGTCCTCTTCGGAGAGAGGCTTACCAAACAATTCCTCTCCGAGTCAATCCATATCGTGGATAATCTGATATTTGCCTTGTCACCCCTCGGTGTTCTTACTACCGTCGTATCTCTCATTCGGGTCCGGGGAAGCTCATCCCTGAAGGCTTTCGTTGGACGAGCTCAAGAAGGTCCCGCCGAAGCCGAGAGCGAGCTGTTACCATGCGTGTCTCAATCTACGGCAGAGCTCTTCAACGATGGAGGAATTTCCAGGGTATTTGGTCGGCCGAAGATCATTGAGATAATTGCATGGGAGGATGAAGACCCCAAGACCTTTGAAAAGTCCATGAAAATTGGAACTCTTCGTGATGCGATTCGAGAAGGTGCTTGGCGAGGCGACGGCTTGGGCCCCGACCCCAATCATTTTCCCGAGCTCGACATTCCGAACCTGTCTTTGAACAAAGGCATCAAAGCCAAGGGCCAGTTTTGGTTCTATTGCGCTGCTATGCTTGGTATTGTGATGCAAATAGGTAGGCCTAATGAGTCGCAGATGCAAGTCAACGGAGCACCGAATTGACCTCAAGTTCTCAGGTGTCATGGCATATTCTGCGATCACAGTTTTTGTTTTCCCGAGTGATTTCAAAAAGAATGACAAGGCCGTGCCCGGCTACGCTTTCCCCTTCTATATTACCGGAACGACCTTGCTGTTCACAGGGATGCTTTCCTCCGCCATCATCATCCGACACTCTTCAGTGTTATACAAATTCGAGCGAAACAAGCCAGGAAAGACCTACTGGCTACAGCCTGGAAACCAACACGTTGGCGACCAAGTGTTTGGCGCGTTTATGACATCGAGCAAGCGGCCCGTTTACCTCAAATCTATTCGAGCTCCCAAATACCTGGATCATGAAAATTTGAAACATGGAAAGTTGTATATGATTTTGGGAGCTACTATCGTCGGCTTCGTGATTCAGTTCGTCGGTCTCAGGGGTCTCCATGCCTCAGTCATCTTGGCCCAACTGGGTTCCACCTTGGCCATGTCCATTCTGCGAACCTGCCTTCGAACCGAGCGAATGGCGCCCGGAGAAAATCTCATCGAAAAGCAATCGCAACAGCTCAAAGTTGATAGGAAGCAAGAGCTGGATCGCTTTGCCCTGTTTTTGCACGACATTCGGTCGCTGCAAACTGTCTTTGTCAGGTCGCCAGGATTATCCCAAACCAGCTCCTCGTCCACCTTTACCGTTGGAGTGGAGCCTTCAATGGCTGCAAAGGTAATCCAGACAAGACTAACCCTTGCCGAAATTACCTCCAGAGACTCAAGATGTGGAGTTCATGTTGCTTGGGATGATATGCCCGTACGGAATACTGCACGGAGTCTGGCCGAAACAATTGGCACAACTATGGATCTTCTTTCAAGTTGGGGGGTTGGTCTCGGAGACCACTTCAGGTTTCAGATTGTCGTCGAATGCTTCTCTTCCAATCCGCAATCTCAAATTTCTCCTTCTGACCATGAAGCCTATACTTTTCATGTCCTCAGAAAAGGTGACGTTTTAAAGTGGACGGTGAATCCCAATGAGCTGGAGGCAGTTATTGGGCTATCAACATATTCATTATACCAGTCTGACCCCTGTTGGAGTGAGGAAAAGCTCCATCGGATCGTTGGACTCGGTGACTCGGAGGCCGGACAACTGGAGACATACCTTTATTTTCACAAATGGGTTTTTCGGCAAACGGAAGCTAAACTCGTTCCCGGCCAACAGTTCCCTCCGAGGCTTTTTGGATTTTGCCGCCGCATGTCCGATAATACCAGCATCTCGAACTATTCCAGCATGTCTGCCTTCTCAAGCTCTAATCAGCCCGGGGAAGATACCTTGGTGGTGAACACCATGAATACGTTGGAGACCATGGTGGCACAAGATATTTACATTCAATTCTTTCGATCTGCGTGTGCACATCTCGGTGCCCAAACGGACGATTCAGAGATTTGCAGCGGGATTCAAAGTTCGTTTTTGATCAAGAATGATCGGATCAATGAGCTGGTGGCGTGTTTTGAAACAAGCGGACTGGGCTCCTGGGAGGACGCCCTCCTGTGCACGATTCCCACGCTTAGGGAATTGGAGATACTCCCTCGCCTATCTGCCGAATCCCCCAAGGTGAGAGAAAAGGTCAAAACCCTGATTGAGCGAGGTAGTTGGAACAAGATCTTCAGCCTCCTCGAATGGATTTGTGAGCGGTCGGAAGGAGTTGAATTTGAGCACTCTGTCTACGAGCTCGGAAATATCTGTTGTCGAGCACTGCTAGGGCCGAGCCTTTCTGATCGGGCTGCTGGTGTTGATAGAATCAAACATCTCTTCCAAGGCGATCTACGACACCAATTCCTTAGCCAACGGCAAATCTCGACACCAAAAAGCTGGACAGGGTCGCAGCGGGACCGTGATTGGTGGCAAAAATTCCTGAAGCAGCTTGGATGGATTGCGTGGCATCAAGCAGTCAATCAACAGAAATGGCAGAACATGGACTGGGCCCTATCGGCGTTGCAAAGACTTGGGGCGTCCGAGAGCCTGGGTACCGCTGCCGAGTTTGGTCAAGATGCAAAATATCCGATAGAGGCTGTCAAAGCCGTTCAAGACTGGCTCACAGTGGATGATTTGGACTTCACTCATGACATCGATGGCAAAGAAGACGAGCAAGGGTTTGGATGGGCATTACAAGAGGGGTTCAATGCGATAGCGTACATGTTATTGGTCAGATGGGCGGAGGTAGGCACCAGATACCAGGAACCTCTATTCTTTCAGCGGGCATTCACCACGGCTGCAAAACACTCATGTGATTGGGGCATATCGGTCCTTAAGCAGCATGGCGCCGATATCGAAGCAACGAATCCGAATAAGATCTCGGCGCTACTTTATGCCATCCACGAGGAAGATCTAGGAGCCACCAAATTGCTTCTTAGAAACGGGGCAAATGCAAATGGAAACGACAAAGCGCCGGATGTCAAACCACTGCTCCTGTCTGCCCATCGAGGATTGACCGATTTCGTGGAGTTGCTTCTACTCCAGGGTGCTGATATTGAAGCCAGAGATTCCATCGGGATGACTGCATTGCATTGGGCCTGTCGTGAAAATCAGATCGACACGGCTCGCTTCATTCTTTCTCGAAATGTAGATGTCAATCTGTGGGGGGCCCAATACGTTACGCCGTTGATTTGCGCGGTTAAAGGTGGTCATTTTCAGATGATGAAGGTGCTGATGGAACACGGGGCCAATGTCAATGCCCAGGACGATAGCGGCATGTCGGCTCTAATGCACGCAGCCTCTGAGTCCCTTGAAGATATCATGCATTTGTTGCTGGCAAATGGGGCCGATCTTCATGCTCAAGATTGCAACGACTTAACAGCCTTGGACTGGGCGAGGAACTGTAAGCGCCCGGCGGCAGCCGGCATTCTGGAGATGGCACTTTCCAAAAAGACATAGCCTGCGTCTTCAAATCGGATTAACTACCCTCTCTTTCAACAAAACATGCTGCCAATCAATTCAGAATATTGGTACTGGGATATAGATTGTTTCTTTGCAAGTTCCCTGGTTTCGTCGTTCTGACCTGGCTCTGTCGGTTGCTTGGGGCTTCTGAGATACAATTCCGACAACGCCGGCTATTCCATCGCTATATTGCAAGCATCTTAATTCTAGACGAGTGTGAAACGCACTCAGCACGCGGGAAAGGGAAGGTTTCTTGGGAGATCTTGGCCGGTCATGGGCGCTAACGCGGGTTGCCAATCACACCAGGCGCTCCACTGTGGTGGGGATGGCCATGAGCCCATCAGGTTACGCAGGCGTACCGTTTACGCGCCGGCTGGGATGCTCCTGCAGTAGTCGAGTGTGATACCAGAGCACCTGATTGACTGCTGCCAATACGAGCCCTCATCATGCTGGCTAATAATAGTCTCCAAGTTCCCCCGTGCGGAGTCAACACTTGCAGCTACTGCTTTTCACAAAAAGCCACCATCGTCCGCAACTTTCGCTCTTTCTGATTTTCTTCCTCCGCGCATTGCCTCTAGTTCATCGCAAGTGCTACTAGACTCTGGTCTCGTTCCTACCTTTGTCGAACGGCGCGGGCCATCCATCGAACCATAGCCGTCTGTGTTCCGCTCCCCGCAATTGCCGAGACATCGTGAGTCCTGCGGACATTCTCGTCTCTCTCCCGCCATGGAGAGCCTTCGAGAGGCGAATAAGGGATTCGGAATGTTTAGCTGACCTGGTTTTCTCCAGCTCAAGATCTTTTCCCCTTAATTTGTCAAGATGGCGCACGCGCAAAGCCAGTACCCTCCACCACCGATGTCAGGTAGGTCAATTTTCTCAATTCGTGAACATTGAGGCTCAGTACTAATATCAACAGCTCCGGCGCATGTAACATGTACGTCAATCTCATGTCTCTCCAGTGGATGATGGTTGTTCTCACACAACGCAGCTTTCCCGCCGCCCCCACAACAATCCGGAGGCTTCGCACCTCCAAACTTCAGCTATCCTCCTCCCCCGACACAGACGCCCCCTTCTGCTGAAGCATACCCGGGTCCTCCTTCATCGGCTAGCCCCCCTGCTCAAAGCCCACCACCTGGCGGCTTCGCTCAGCAAAATGCAGCTGCTTTCCAACAGAATGCGACCCTACACCGTCCATCGATGTCCCAATCCCCACCCTTGAGGTCCACCGTGGAGCATCTCCCCGGAGGCGCACCACCAGCGGGTCAGTTTGTTGGAGCGGGCGCAGCTAATGAAGACTCCATTGGTACTTTCAATGGGGGCAGTTACCGGGTCAGCCACCGAGACTCAAACTCGCTTTTAACGGTACAACTTGCCATTGGCGCCCCATTCACTGCCAGACCTGGTATGAATATACTTTATTTCCTTTCGAGTCCGTGACCAACGCACTAAGGTCTATTCAGGCGCCATGATCGGAATGTCCACAACTACGACCCTGACAGGAACGTTTACCTTTAGGTGGAAAAAGCTTATTGCGGGTGGAGAGATGACGATGTCCGAGTATAAAGGCCCTGGAGAAATTCTCCTCGCCCCATCAGTTATCGGTGACATCATTGTTCTCCGCGTCAGCGAGAGCGCCGAGTGGAAGATTGGCGGGGATGCCTTTTTGGCATCAACGAGTGCCGTCGAACACAAATACCAGGCGCAAGGGATCTCCAAGGCTGTGTTTTCTGGGGAGGGCCTATTTATCTACAAGATCTCTGGCAACGGACTACTCTGGGTCCAAAGCTTCGGTGCCATCATCAAGAAGGATGTAGGTCTTCCATTCAAAATCTCTCCACGCACTGCTTACTGACGACCAAATAACAGCTCAAGGAAGGCGAGAGTTACTTCGTCGATAACGGTCATCTTGTGGCATGGAATTGCAAGTACAAAATTGAGCGGGTCGCGTCTGGTGGGATCATGTCCAATTTCAGCGCTGGGGAGGGTCTTGCGTGCAGGTTCACGGGCCCGGGAACTGTCTATCTGCAGACAAGGAATCTGAATGCATTTGCGGCCCAGATGAAGGTCAGTACTGCAAGTGGTTAATCACATACCTTGAAGAAGAAACAGGTTTACAACAACTATATGTAAGCGGTGTCGATCTTTGCTTGCATTGGTCGCTGAGCATCGTATTCTATTCTCTATGACATGTCACGAAGCTTTTACTTTTTGTCGGGGCATATCCTCCTGTCAGAACAAACTAGCGATGACCCACTGCTAGCGTTTGATGGATAACATCCCTTGCTTGGGGTACGCATTCTTGCACTGGGCTGCGGCTTCGGTGTGTGGGATCTAGGGGTGTTTTCCAACTAGACTGATCAATCTACATCTATCTACATGAATCAATTGACTTCTGCTTTGGAGCATACACACTGTCCACTTAATTGTGTACACAGTACCTAGCTGGTGATACCAACACTTACAATAGCTCAAACCCCAACGCAGTGAGAAAGACAACTACGGACTCGTTGAGTGAAGATTCGAACAGGACCATGAAGCTGGGATAATTCGAGGAAATGGCTTCGGCGTCGGCGTCGGCGATCGGTCCTAGGATCGAAAGCATATACACGAGCCTTTGATGTGTACTGTGTACATGGCATCTCTCCAGAACACTGAAATGCTTTAGCTCCACGTCTGCGTAAAAGGGGTCTGTCGTGAGGGGTCATCCTTTTTCGTCGCCTTTTTCCGTGCCGAGAGCCAATGGGCCGAATGCTTGAAACTGGTTTAAGAACCCTGTCCGGACCATGAATTCGGCCACAATTATGCGAGCCTCTGGTCGCGTGAGGAGTTCGTCGCGTCGAAGACAACTCCGCGGTCGGACAGAGCGTTTCTCATCCAGTTGCGCTCGTCTTGGAGTAGCGGGCATTCAAGCAAGATATGATTGACCGTCTGGTTCCCCAGATCGTAACCACATCTCGCTGACTCGCGCCGATTGATGCGAGTCAAGTAGGCAGCAAGGCCAATTCGTCCAGTACGAAGCTGCATCAGAATGGACGCTGTCGCTTTCCGCAGGTCGGACCAGTATTCCAGGGTCTTTGTTGGTCGTTCGACTAAGCGTTTCGTCGGTCGACCTGTTCTCTCTATAGACGATGACCTTTCCCACTCGATTTTTGCCTCGCGGCGAATGCGGCTTTTAGCTGCAGCTGCAAGGTGTATATAACGATTGTTTGGGTTTTGTGGTCCTTCTGGTTCCTGGGCCGCCTCCTTTGCGTGTCGGTCGACACGTTCATTGCCGGCAACTCCTTTTTTGAATTAAACATACTCCAATATGATATCTCCACTTCTCTGATAGGAAGTTATGGGAAAGAAGTCTCTTAGCAGAAAATGCCTCTCCTGGTCGGTGGAAGGCCTTGCTCCTGGCGGGTCTGCATCGCTGGATACAACAGCTGGAATTTTGCGGTCGCCGGCTGGTGGGTTGTATGTTGTTGTTCATTCCGCCAAGGCTCTTGGACAGCAATGATGTCCGCCTCTAAGACTGCTTTATCCCTGAGAAAAGTGACCATCACGGACCAGGATTTGTGTGAGTTGTATTGGAGCAGCTCGAACGATTTCATTCGTGGTTTCGTTCGTCGTTTTCCAGGTCATATCCTGAACACTACCAGCTACCGGGAAAAGGTTGAATCGGTCTGTATTTCTAGCTATGAAACCTACATATGCAACGATCCGGTGCTTACTATGACATTGCATTTGATGAGTCCTGGTGGTGTCCCATCTATTGCATGTACCTGAAGGACTTTCATACTCTACATGTCTTACTTTGATACAAGACTGGTTCGAGTTCAGAAAACAAGTGCACGAACGAAAGTAATCCTAGATGTATTCTTTGCGAAGAAGCAAGTCTATCCAAGTGCCCTGAGAAGTGCTCTCGGGTTGACAGCCAGTACTTCCCAAGACCTGTCTCACTGAAAAGAATACCGTACTAGCTTGGACCAGGGGAAACTATCTGACAATTTCTTGATGTTGTGCTGCAAATCTCTCTTCCTCGACGTGTCTATTTGTCTCTGGTGATACCGACGATTCAAAGAAAGGAGCACAACTGTCAATAGTAACAGATATACCACGGTGCCTTCCTCGAAATGCAACTGCAATTAAAAATAATTTACTAAGCGTATGCCACGCACCACAAAACGCATAGCTTTTGCCCGGATAACCGATACTTACACCGACGCAGCTGTATGCAGACACTGTTTCGAAAATAACCTTGAATGTGGAAAAAGCCATCGGTTCTGCTTGAAAGTGATCTGACTCAGTCGTGGTTATGAGAATAATAGCGAGCGAGAGCCACCAGATATCGTGGCTGAATTGAGAGCGGAATTGTTGGTAAGCGAAGCGGGCATGCGGAAACTTTGAGCGGGTTGATATATAGGATTCTTGTTGATGTGGACCTGTGGTCCAACTATCTGCGGAATTGGTGCTGCTACTATTTTTCAGTCTTGAGTTTCAACCTGAGATTTTGAAGGTGTTATACCAGATGGTGGAAGAGACCGGAAAAGCAGAAAGATACTAAATCTCCATACGGTCAACGCTGATATTTATTTTGAGCAAAAGGTGAGTTCATACCATCATAATGACTAAATGGAAACCAGTTAGCAAACTGCTCAAAACATGACTTCCACGTTTGGAGAATGAGAAATATACCATATAGGATAAGCAATCCCTGTGGGAGTCGATCAAATGCCACAACAGTAAAACCACCACCACGCACAGCTCGTTTCATATCAGCTTCTGTAAGCAATAGATGGTCGAAATGACATACATAATCCCTGGAATAGCCCGTCTAGGACTCTGAATTGGACTGGAAGAGCGCGAATTTCCTCGTTATGGATGGCAGCAACCTCAAAAGCACCCCACATGATGGAATTGAGGATAAGGACGGTGCCCAGTATGAACCACGTATGCCAAGCAGGATATAAGTAAGCGCCGACCTTTTGTGATTGAGCGAGAGTGAATTCGAAAGTCTGATGCCACAATTTCCAAGTGGGTTTATTTGGCAACATCATTTTCAGGACCCATATGAATAATCGAAGTAGGCAGGGGAAAAGAGTGTTTCCGGCAAGAATAAGAAAGCCACAGACAAGAAGTGGAAACGCTCTGCGAACGATGTTAATGAAGGTTCTGAAAAATAATCCACGGAACGTGTCTCACTCTTTCTGGTAAGGGCCCATACTAGTATTAATCAGGGACATGCCGTTGTTACAGAACGCCGATGTAGCGAGAAAAGCGCCCGCCCAAAAGGGGAGGCTTCATTATTCCGCGGAATGTCTGAGCGTACGAACTTTGACCAAAGACCGATGCTCACGACGCCGAGGATGAGGAAGCCGATGAAATAGAGTATTATAAGCACTGCTATCAGAGCCAGTGCCATATATTGCTCCACACCAGGTTCGTTGCAGTTGATAGCGAATATGCAGGACAGGTGGCTGGCTGTTCGTTGCACCACGCGCTTTGACCACGATTTGAAGCTCATGAAAAGAATCTTACGACTTCCGAGATCCTCGTCATTATCGACGGTGACGTGAGTGACTCGCCTTGGACTTTGCGAGACTGTGACAACGGTTTGGCCATAGTTATCCCATGGCACTTCATGCTCATCATGAGGTGAAACATCTCCTTGGATCTCAATCCTTTCAGTGGCGGCTTTTGCTTCGACTGAAATGCTATCAAACAGAGCACTCTTTCTATAGCAGGTCATCAATTCTCCGTCTTTCTGCAAAACCTGTGACTCTGCTTGCTTCTTCGTAGTATTTCTTGAGGTGAGTTTCTGAGCTGACCGGAGAGTGGAGGCACGTAATAAAATGATCGTCCCGAAAATAGGAAAAGCATGGCCGAGAATGAGAAGGGCAAACAGAGTGCTTTGCTGTAGGCAATTTAGAGTGGAAAGGTCTATCTTTGCAAAAGTCAGCCATGCATTCATCTACAAAATTCGTGTGGTGCAGAATGTACCACGCTCAGCCCAGTTCCCGTCATAGCGCTGAAAGACATGAACAAAGCATCAGCAAAGTGAAGATCAGTGATCTGCCTCGGAGTCGTGTAGAGTATAACACTGCCTATGGCAGGTATGAGAGTAAAGTAAACATAGTGTAATGTAAGTGGATTGAATTTCAAAAGATCGGCCATCATCAACATACTCCATTGGGAGTCGTCGTAAGCATTGTCTGAGCCCAGGGCTGGGATACCCGAAGCATATAATAATCGTCAAGTGATGTGGCCCAGTACAGCATTTTTCTCTTATTTTAATGACGGCTTCCTGTTTGAAACTCAATAAAATTCCCTTAGAGAATGTAGGCAGGGTATTGTCGAACCTTGGTCAGTTCCTCTTACCAAGACCGTCTCTGGACGGTGTCCGAGCAACTTGGGACTTTCATTGGGCAATCCTTATTTTAGGCTTCCGAAAGAGCACAAATGGCAGACAATTCAATTGTCCGAAGGTACGGCACGCTGCATTCTGCGGCAGCAGTGCTCAAATATGTGGAATGGGACTATGTTGGACTTTCTATTATCAAGGGGCTTAGGCATGTCATCACAAGAGAATGGCAAGATGGCGACCGCCACAAGGTTGGTGACAACGAAAAAGATTATCATTGATAGGGATCGTAGTGGAGAGGCTCTTTTTTGGTGGTAAAGTTTCATTCTGGTGTCATTTATGTGGTATCACCAAAGTATCCTCCACTTTAAGGATCACTCGGGTGAATAATGTTTTACTAACCTCTGACAGTGGAATGCTACGCAGGGGAGAGCCATCCGGCGTATGTTGCATCTACTGAATAACCTAATGGTTCGACCTTGTTCTACCAGTGTTACCTATTGAATGCCCGCAACATGCAACTATAACACTTACCCGAGCCACAAGACTCATTGTCAGACTTGCAAATTGCAGCAGGGCCAGAAATAGCCAACAATGCTGCCTAGGTTGGTCTTAAGTATGGACAGCCAGGGAATCGGTCACTGGCTATTTATGATGTTTGATTCATGCCAGGCGGTCGAGGTGCTACCTAAGATCTCATAACTAGAGACTAACTAAAAGGGGGCCGAGTTAGTATCTCCCCACAAGACTACTGACTGACATACTTCAAACCCACCCACCTCTGACAAAAATCTCCAGGTAGCATTGCTGACTTCGATATCATGCCGGCACAGCTGCTTGACGCACGTCGCAGGTACATTCCTGTGAAACGGAGCTGAAAATTATTGTATTGCAAAAAACAGAAACGTCCGGTCTTTATGTCAGTGCTCCGTTTGACTATAGTGTAGCTCAATACTATGAGGAAGTTAAAGTATTAATCTCTCCTAGTGTTATTGCACTAAATCAAACAATTGAAGCCCTCGATACTAGCAAGATTCGTTCAAAGAAAGACAAGATCACGTTCTTCAATTACTACCAGTTGATTCAAAGATTTCAGTTGCACTTGATTGCTGGACTTCCCATTCTCGCAAGCATTCATGGCGATAACTGGCTACTTTATCGATGCTGATTGGGTTTATCGTGAAGTTCTTCTTGGATTTAAGCCACTTCATGGCCCACACACTGGTACATATCTGAGCAGTGTTCTTCTAGAAACACTGGTTCATCATCAGATCCAGGATCGAATCTTTGGACTAACTACCGACAATGCATCAAACAATAAGACATTGGGAGACTCCCTCCAATCTGCTTTGCCAAATGATGTTCACATTATACGAACCCCTTGTCTCGCTCATGTCATCCAACTCAGTCTCAGCCAGCTTCTTGAGCTTTTAAAAGCTGTTCCACTTAATGACGATACAGAGACAGAGTGGACTGAGCAACAATCAACTTTGGTAAGGGCAAATGCAAGATATCAAAAGCGTGAAATCTTCCATACCTTAACCAAGGTACGCCTTCTTGCAATTCATGTGAACGGGAGTCCTCAGCGTCGGAAGTCATTCCAAAACCTCCAGTCAGAAGACCCAAAGCTTGTTCCTGTCCAGGATGATCGCACTCGATGGAATTCAACATTCTTGATGCTTCGCCGTGCTAAGAGACTCCGTTCTTACTTTACTCCTTACAGTACAGAGTATGACTGTAAAGAGTTGTTACTCAGTGATGAGGAGTGGCGTCAAATTGACTATCTTCTCCATATTACCGAGCCATTCTTTCTCTACACAACTGAGCTTTCAAAGACCTGAGAAGTGACAGCACATCTAGTCTTAGAGCTTTACAATGTACTCTTTGAGCATCTGGAAAAGCCCATGAAACAGCTCCAGCGAAAACGAGTTCCATGGAAAAATCAGATGCTGAAAGCTCTTGAAGCTGGTCGATTGAAACTTGATGAGTATTATTCACAGCAGATCATGTTCGAGGGCATATCCATGCAATCAGTACCATGCTATCCCCTGATAGTAAATTCCAATTCTTTCTCTCTGATGACTGGGATAAAGAGGGGCGCATTCGATACCGGAAGTCCTTCCAAAACACTTTACTTCCTTACCAAGAGCGTCTTTCCAATACCCAAGGCTCTTTTGTTGCCCAATCAACAGGAAGATCAACTTCAAAGTTAAGTCAGTTACTTAAGGGAGCAAACTTCAGCCAAAGATAGTTGGTGATTGTCGGGACATATCCTTTTGTCAGAACAAGCTAGCGGCAACTTACCGCTGGCGACTGATAGATCACATTCCTGTGCTGGGTAACCTTGCGCCAAGCTGCAACACCGGTGTTGAGACCACCGAGTATCGGCGTATGTGATTCAGGGGTATTTTGGACCAGACCTGGTACACATCTACACACATCTACATGAATCAATTGACTTTTGCTTTGGAGCATACACACAGTACCTAGCTGGTGATACCAACAGTGATGAAGTAACACAATATCTTGATACTGGTATATTCTAACCTTTTCTATCATATATGATGGTCCTCTTACTAACTTTCCTATAGATCCAATTGAGGCGAGGCCACTTCAGTACTGGAGAGAGAATCAATCCAAATTTCCAGCGATTGCACTTTTCACTCGTGACGTTCTCTCAATTCCAGCAACTGGTGCTGGAATTGAGCGGCTGTTCAATACTGCTCGCGATATCTGTCATTATCGCCGTGGCCGTATGAAGTCTAAAACTATTGAGAGGTTGATGATGTTTCTTTGTACATCCCGGTTTGATCTTGGAGAAGAAGAAGAAAGGTATCTTCAGGAATTCTTTACCTTACATGAGCTTGACACAGTAAGGGAGGAAAGGGATGACAAGCTAGCTGAGGTTGAGCTGGATCCAATTAATGATACTGAGGAGCAAGATGATAGAACTAGGGACTTGATTGAGATAGAAGTCGATGCTGATGGAACTGAACCCCAGCTACCAGAGAGTAACGCTCAGTTACGTGTCTCAGGAAGGAAGCGAAAGAGTAGAGAAGATAGTGAATTTGAGCATTATTAGTGACCAGTGAATGAATTTCTGATTAACGTAATCCACGGCCGACCTGTCCACACGGCCGACCTGTCCACTTTCACCGCACCCTCAATAAAATTGCGGCTTTTCACCCACGAGACAAAATTATATTAGACTATCTAATCGCTGAATATATAGCTATTTACTAGGACAACTTCTTACAGTATGTCCTATAGTCCCACACCCACTGCAGCGCCGTGGAGCTCGCTGGCATGGCCTAGCAGTAGGCTCACTATGTTGCTCGTTCGGCTGCGTATCAAGCTGCTGAACGCGATTTTGACCCTCATCTCTAGATAAAAAGAGATCGTCGCCTATCTTACCACGCCTTCTTGCCTTCTTTTTCAGTTTCCGCTCATTCTCATCGCGTAGAACCTTGATTTCTTGTTGGAGAAGAACGTTCATGTTCATTGCCATCTGCGCAGCCTTTTCAAGATGTTGAATATGAGAAATTGGGCTACTAGAGAGCATTCTTTTTCGAAGGCTTCTCTGTAGACTGCGAACCTCATGATATAGCTGGCGAGGATTCTCAGGTGTTTGAAAAGTAGAGGATATTGATCCTTCGACAAGAGGTGGTGTTGGCGTCCGAAGTTGAAATGTAATCTTTTCGAGGACCCGGTCTTCGTTAAGTGGCCTAAGACCAGCTCCTGCGAAGCCATTCCGTATATTCTCTAGATTAAAAACCATCTCGCGTGTAGGAGGATATAGGTGTAGGAAGTCTTCCTTGTCGATATGATTGTTGCCGGCAGTCATCATTCCTTCAACCAATTTCCCATAGGAACGTTTTAACGGGCCGAAAACACCAACATTGAGTGGTTGTAGTAGATGAGAGGTATGAGGAGGCATACAGAGACAGATAATTGCATTCTCTTTGCAAAAAGCATCAAACTCTGCAGTTTGGTGGCTAGAATGGCCGTCGAGAATAAGTAATCGCTTCGCACCGGTTGAAAGGCGTTTAGAATATGGCTCAAATGTCTCTTTTAGCCAAGCAAGGCCTATTTCATCTGTTGTCCAGCCATTTTGGCTTCTGGCAAGAACCCAGCCATTCTTGATAGCAGGCTCTTGATACCAAGCGGCCTGGTGAGATCCAGCCTTTAAGATGACCCATGGAGGTATAGAAATGCCTTTCGAGCTCACACATTCAATGATTGTAACCCATTCGCGATTTCCCTGAATAACTCTCCGAAGTCTTTCACTACGATCTACCGCAGTTATAACCTTAGAGGTTGAACAGAGTCCCATTGCAAAGCCGGTTTCGTCAAAGTTCCAGATATCATCCTCATGGATACCATGTTCTTGAATAGCTTCGCGTACGGTCGCAAACCACTGTTTTATAACCTTTGGATCCTCCTGCTTTGCTCGCTGGTATGTAATCCTCCGGTTATATCTTGTTTGTATTTCAGGGCGGCGTTTTGTAAAGGAGTAGGCCCAGTTAACCCCAAGGGTTGCTGAAGGATCCTGTAGACGCGCTTGGAGTAAATTCTGCGCCATTCCACGTAGAAACTCTGGCCGAATTGAAAATCCTCGTTTATCAGCATCTAGTAGCCGTTTAACTAGTGCTTCTTCTTAAGTCGCTGTTAATTTATGGCCGCTAGCGCGTGTTTCCGACCGTGGTTTGATTCCTTTCAGCCGAGAGAGTAAGGTGGATTTAGGCACTCCAAATATTGCCGCAAGCCTTGATTTTGATCCAATTTTTTTGTTTTTGTAAGCCGCAATAGCCATTTGCATTCGATTTTCTTGGGAAAGAGGCATTTTGTATGCTGGTGGTGTAAAAACAACGCGTTGAAAGATGTTGCCGGAAGGTTGGACGCGAAAGTGGACAGGTCGGCCGTGTGGACAGGTCGGCCGTGGATTACGTTAACACATGAATTAAAAATTCTGAATACCTCCATTTTTAAGGAAAAAGAGTCTAGCATGGTTACAAGCGAAATACTCAATATTACAGCTGGAAAATGCACAAATTATACAGTCACGGGACACCGGGTTGTTTGCAGTGTCAGCAGACTTTGGGCCCCCAATGGGCCCCCATTTTTGGGCCCTGGGCTTTCGTGGGCTCTGCGGAAGTCTAATTTGAACGATATCAGTCAGGCAGTTCTGCAGGAAGATTCTATGTCGGCGTCTTTTTTAGCCTTTACGAGATCTTAGGTAGCACCTCGGCCGCTCAGTACCAAACAATCACCACAAGAAGCCATTGGTCGACTCCCGGCTGTCTCTCCCTAACCCAATCTAGGCAGTATTGCTGGCTGTTCGTGGCCTCGCCAAAAGAGGATGATCTGGCTATGGGCCTTACGGCAAGGGGGGTCTAGTACGACTCCACTTTCGTGTCATGTTATGATTTATGAAAATCGCATTTCTCAGCTGCCCTTGGAGATGATTTCGCGGCACCCGGACAACGCACTTATCAAAATGCAACGAATAGTAGATTTTTATTGACTCAATCACCCCTTTAGACTTGTCCATTTTCTGCATCTGTGCATACTTCAATCTCTTGTAGCCATTGGGAATGTAGAACCTCATTTGAGAGGGGCCGGCCAGTATAGTCAGCATTTAGCATCGAATAGATGACGCAGCGGCTCGCTACCTATAATGGCGAATTAGCATACTGTTCAAGTATGTGAGAACTTAGGACGGCATACAGAGCACGTGTCTTCGATGAGAAAATAACCCCTTCCAATTTGACGGTCTGCGATGTAGTCTCTAAAATTCTCGTCTTCGGTGGTGGCTACCATCCACAGGATCCTCCCCGTTCTCATTGCAATGTAGGTCACAGCCGTGGCCCATATGTCGGCTAGTCTCGGATCAAAATACTGGCTGAGATACTGCTCGGGCGAAACGTAGGGTCGCGATCCGCGTCGTGTGGTTGTCATGTGAACGTCACTCTCCCAAGCGAGACGAAAGCATTCTGCGGTGCCAAAATCCGATATCTTGAGGCAACCATTTGAAGTGAGAAGAAGATTCTCCGGCTTCAAATCACGATGAGCTATGCCCATTTCATGGATATAATTGATGCCGCGCATGAGCTGTTTCAAGAAGCAATCGGCCTCTTCATTTTCTAACTGACCTCTTGCAGCCACCAAGGTATGGAGATCACCACTGGAACAATATTCCAGGATCTCACCAAAGACACCACTGTCAATCTCTATGAGTTCGAAGGTTCGAATAATATTTCGGTGTCTCAATGGAGAAGAAATTGAAAACTCGGCATCGATCGGCCTTCGATAGGCTGTTTCGCTCACCCCTGGTAGACGCCGAAACACTTTAATAGCGTAAAATGAATGGATATGGGGATGCCACTCTTGGGGCTTGCGTGATAGAAGTATGGTCGCCGAAGAGCCCCAACCAACCACGTCGCAGATATCCCCATACTTCTGATATATCAGTGTCCTGCTTTCACAAGCACTTTCTCCTGACTGAAAAGCACTTTTCCACGTCTTCAATTCCACGTCTGACAGATTGCTTCTTTTTCCCTTCCCGCGAAATAGCCAGCTTTTGGCTTTCGCTTCGTTCGCCTTATTAAACATTCGAATTTTCGACTTTGGTGATTTTTGGAAGTGGCAATGCATGCCATTCCGGGGATAAAAGCTCCAGTCTCTAGACCCCGCTGGGCTTTCGTATGCGGGCGGAAGGGATCTTCTATTATTTTCCAGCCCAATTTCAGAGTTGGTTGGGCTGTGAGCCATGAGTGCGCGGTCAAGGCTGGCGTCGTTGAGGGGTTCGGGGTTTCTTTCCGAGCGGAAGAGGATGCAGAGCTGGGATACAGTCTCCAGTAGCTCACGCAGTCGTTCGAACATTCTGTGCTACAAAATGACAGAAACCCCTTGGCCTGTTGTGTCCAATAGCTTATCTGCCAGATGGACGCGTCAGTAAAAACTGCTCAGAGCGGTGCAGTTCCCAGTTACCTGATACAATGGTATTTGACGGGTCTGGATTACTGATGGAATGACGAGGCATTATGCCATTTCACAAAATTGTTGAAAGAGCTACGAGCGTAATCGGCCACAACATCCAAAGCTCCTGACAGGATCCAGCAGAGGTGGAAGACCTGTGATGCAGCCTTGGCGAAAGAGACCACGGGCTTGGCATTCCGGACTCATGGGAATCGGCTTGGCAGAGGGCAGTAGAAGTCGTCGCAGTGTCTGGTTGTAGAAGAACGTTGGGTAAGTGATAGCACTCCGGCAAAAATGTTCGACAAAATTTACTTTAAAGATATAATGGCTGATGCTGTAGGGAGTTAGGGTCAAAGAATTTGTGATAATTATTGATTCGACTTGGTCCTAACTGCAAGCACCATAGCCCCACCCTCATCCGCTAATGCTTGGCGCCGAGGGTTGGCACTGGGCCCCATGCGGGTTTTTGCCACTTACGACCATAAGCAGCTTCTCAGCCACTGGGGTTCTTAGAGTTCACGACTAACGGTGTGACTGGCCTGGCAACTACTTACTTATGCAATGACAGCATAACTTCCGCTTTCAGCCTTCTCCTCGCTCTCTACACCAATATCGTGTGATCAGCGGCTTGGCCACCCACCTGGCGCACTGGTATTCTGACCATGGATACGCCGATATCTTTCAACCAGATTCATCGAAGCCACTATACAGCAACTTAGTCCCATAAGGAACAAACCATCATCCAGTACAGGGCTAAGCTCTTTGATGACAGCTTTAAAAGTAAACGAGTGGGCGGTCTGGCTAGCAGACTGTCGCTAGACTCAAGGTTGGTGACGATGCTGTGCTGCTCATCGGGAATTGAGTATTGTCTTCTGGTGTTCAGTGTGCAGTAAATGAAGGAATGATGTACCAGGTTCTCTATCTGATCCGCAGTATTCAATTTTTCATAGTGGTCAAAACTCAGAACTCAACACACCCAAAGCACAGGTCTTGGCATTTTGGTTCCGAGCGCTTGGCATACAAAAGCATCACAGGGAGCAGGCTTGGCAGACGATGCAGCGTGGAAATTTATGTAATTTATGTCTTAAACAAGGTCACTTCTTTTGTCCTGGGTTTATGCTGCATGGAAATAGTGACATTGTGGTCTCTTATAACGAACTCGATTATCGATTGCAAAATCTTGACAGTCCCAGTCATCTTTTCATGTCCGACGAAACGAAGCGTGGAGTGATGCCAGGGACATAATTGGTCATGCAGCTCTACCCGAGCGCGATTGCGGAAACGAACGTAAACGTGACCCAGTCTTGGCACAAAGAGCTTTCTTGGCAGTATCGCTGTCAAAGAATCCATCCTGCCCAGAGTTCCAGGGCTGGACACAGTAATTATTCTTTCTCGTTGGCTAATTAATTTTGCCTCCGCTGTAGAAAAACACCCAATATTCGGCCCACATTCTGGCGCTAAGCCCCAAACCTCGCCTTATCCAATGACTGTCTCTTGCCGGCGGCGACCCATGTGTCATGGTGATGTATCCACACCAAGTCTCAACACGAACAAAATTAGTCCGCTTAGAAAACAATTAATTCCCCGCTTTTCGCGCAGCTCCTTCTCCTGATGGTCCTCACCATCAGGCGTTCTGAAAAGGACAGAAGAGCAAACGGCTATATTATCATCTCAGCTACAACTACTCAGCCGAACAATATCTCCAATGCCGGAGAAGCACGAAACCACACACAATCACGGATCAGGGGGCAGTCCTTTAGACCAGCCAGCTCACTCGCTGACTTATGAAGCCGTAATCAAAAATCTTGATACTGAACTGGACGAAGGACTGGCTCCTGATGAAGCTAGCCGTCGCCTCGAGCAATATGGTCCAAATAAACTGGACGAAGGCGAAGGAGTGTCGGTGGTCAAGATCCTTGTGCGCCAGGTGGCTAACGCAATGATGCTAGTAAGACATCCACTATGCTTCGCCTTGACAACTTAAGACTTTGTTGAGAACCTTTCAAATCTGATCCAGGTCGCTTGTTACAGGTGCTGATTCTGGCCATGGCGGTTAGTTTCGGAATTCGGTCATGGATTGAGGGGGAGTAATTTGCGCTGTAATTATCTTGAACATCGTTGTTGGGTTCTTTCAGGAGTACGCTGCGGAGAAGACTATGGAGTCGTTGCATTCACTGTCGTCGCCGACAGGGACTGTCTCCAGAGGTGGACACACCTTCTCCGTACCGTCGTGGGAAATTGTGCCGGGTGACATGGTCGAGTTGAGGACTGGGGATACCGTTCCAGCAGATATTCGGTGAGTCTTGTTGCCACTGCGCTCTAAAAGTCGCTGAGGGACTTATCGTTTTCCTAACCGTACTAGTCTGGTTGAAGCAGTCAATTTCGAGACCGATGAAGCACTCCTAACCGGCGAGTCTCTTCCCGTCCAGAAGGAATGCGATGCAACATTTAAAAAGGACACTGGACCTGGGGATCGTCTGAATATCGCTTATAGCTCGAGCACAGTCACTCGTGGTCGTGCTCGTGGTGTCGTCGTCAGTACAGGCATGTCCACAGAGATCGGCTCCATTGCTCTCGCGTTGCGGGCCAGTGACAGCAAGCGTCGTTCCGTCAAGCGTGATCCTAACGGCGAGAGTAAAAAACGATGGTACATCCAGGCTTGGACTCTTACTGGGACGGATGCTGTCGGTCGATTTCTCGGTGTTAATATCGGAACACCTTTACAAAGGAAGCTGTCGAAACTCGCCTGTTTACTATTTGGAGTTGCGGTTGTTTTCGCGATTGTATGCATGGCTGCAAATCTCTTCAGCAGCAATACCGAAGTCATCATGTATGCAGTCGCAACCGGTATTAGCATGATTCCAGCGTGTCTTGTGGTCGTTCTCACTATCACTATGGCAGTGGGTACTAAGCGCATGGTCCAAAGGAACGTAATTGTTCGCAAATTGGACTCGTTGGAAGCACTTGGTGCAGTTACTGACATCTGCTCCGATAAGACTGGTACATTGACCCAGGGCAAGATGGTCGTCAAGAAAGCATGGATTCCGTCTCGGGGGACATACTCCGTTGGCACATCTAACGAGCCATTCAACCCTACCATTGGAGATGTCACCTTCACTCCTTTACCTCCTTTGGATTTCGACGACGAGAAAGAATGTCCCGCTGCAGAAAATGCAGAAGAACTAGTATCGGGAAATCGCCAGCTTCAGGACTTTCTGGACGTCGCAGCTATGGCCAACCTCTCTCATGTATACATGTCTGAAGAGGGTGAATGGAACGCGCGCGGTGAACCCACAGAAATCGCCATCCAAGTATTCGCGTCGAGATTCAACTGGAATCGCGACCGCTGGACTAAGGGTCAGAAAAGAGTTTGGCACCAAAAGGCTGAGTTTCCTTTCGATTCGACCGTGAAGAAAATGTCTGTGATTTTCAGCAACTCTTCCCTACAAGAAGACTGCACAATGGTATTTACCAAGGGTGCTGTTGAGCGCATCACTGATTCGTGTACTTCCGTGATTTGGGACCAAGATTCTTCTTCCCCCGTACCAATGACTGATGACCACCGCGAAAAAATCTTTCAGAACATGGAGGAACTTGCCAAGTTGGGACTTCGGGTATTAGCTTTAGCCCATCGACCATTTACTGGTCAGGTACAACTTCTCGAAGATTCTGACCTGGAACGTGAGTATGTTGAGAACGACCTGTGTTTCCTGGGTCTGATCGGGCTGTATGATCCTCCACGCCCTGAGACAGCAGACTCCATCCAGTCCTGCTACCAAGCTGGTATAATTGTCCATATGGTCACTGGGGATCACCCCGGCACTGCGAAAGCGATTGCGCAGCAAGTGGGGATCCTTCCTGCTGATTTCAGTACTGTAGCAGCTGATGTCGCGGACGCTATGGTCATGACTGCCAGTCAATTCGACAAACTAACTGATGAGCAGGTAGATGCTCTTCCTACTCTGCCTTTGGTAATCGCACGCTGCGCCCCTCAAACAAAGGTGCGCATGATTGACGCCCTTCATCGGCGTGGTCGTTTTGCGGCCATGACTGGGGATGGCGTAAATGACTCTCCTTCGCTCAAGCATGCCGATGTGGGTATTGCTATGGGACAAGCGGGCTCGGATGTAGCCAAAGACGCCTCTGATATTATCCTGACGGACGATAACTTTGCTTCGATTCTGAATGCTGTCGAGGAGGGTCGTCGCATTTTCGATAACATCCAGAAATTCGTGCTTCATCTGTTGTCCGAAAACATCGCCCAGGCCTGTACCTTACTCATTGGATTGGCTTTCAAAGACGCTGATAATCAATCTGTCTTCCCTCTATCACCGGTGGAAATCCTCTGGATTATTATGATTACTTCGGGTATGCCAGACATGGGCCTTGGCATGGAGGTGGCTGCGCCTGACATTATGGATCGCCCTCCCCAGAGTAAGCAAGGCATATTCACCTGGGAGGTGGTGATTGACATTCTTGTGTATGGCGTCTGGACAGCAGCGCTTTGCCTCGCGGCATTCTCTGTACGCATGTGGGGTTTTGGCGATGGTAACCTCGCTCGTGGCTGCAACAAAGAGTGGTCAGAAGAGATCAAAGACTGCGAACTCGTCTTCCGAGCACGAGCCACTACGTTCGTGTGTTTGACATGGTTTGCGTTGTTCTTGGCTTGGGAAATGGTTAACATGCGTCGGTCATTCTTCCGCATGCAACCAAAATCCAAGAAATACTTCACGCAGTGGATGTACGATGTCTGGAGGAACAAGTTCCTTTTCTGGTCTATCATGGCTGGGTGGATCACCATGTTCCCTATCCTCTATATCCCCGTGCTGAATGACGTCGTCTTCAAGCACAAGCCCATAACATGGGAATGGGGCATCGTGGCGGTCGAGGCTGTCCTATTCTTCATCGGCGTTGAAGCCTGGAAATGGGCCAAGCGGGTCTTTTTCCGTCGCAAAGCTAAGAAAAGTCCGGGTTTGACTTCTTTCAGAGAGGTCCCGGAGCGACCCTAACAAATGCTTTCCCTGGTCCGATATTGAGAAATTGGGGCCAGGGAACACACCCTCACTTGGACATAGCGCACACATTATGGATACAAGTCAACGGAAAGATGCCAAAGCTAAGACTGAAGCTGCTATTGGAAGATTGTTGAGGGCTGGGCTTATTGGTTTGCCACTCACTGACCCTTGGGCTAGTCTTTCACCCATCTTCGGAACAGATCGCATGAAACAGAGATTAAAGTCATATCGAATTATTCTACCCTGGTAATCTGACGGAATGCACAAGTCCACGTAAGAAGAAGCAAAATTCATTGAAAGCCACTACTGCATTATTTGGCAGAAATGGCTACTAGTGAATATTGGCGATGTATTATTTCTTGCTTTGCTGGTAGTCTTCATGCACTTGCAGGCGTCATTTAATTTTATTCGCCAAAGATGCCCGAGGTGTGCCGATAAACCTATAGCGGGTCCACAAGCTGTGTACAGCAGTACCTCCCTATGCGGTGTATCATCTTGATCCGAAACAATTATACAGCTCAGTGGCCGGTCTCCTGGCTAGGAACGGACAAAGAAGAATCCTGTAGTCCCCACTCCCCCTCCCCTATTTTTTTTCGCGTGGAATCGAACCAGGAGACCGACGATAACAGGACCAATGATCGTATTCAAAAGAATGGCCCAGACACCAGTGATGAAACCCTCATCACTGACGTACGGAGTTTCGTTATGTCCGATTTCGATGATCAATAGGCCGATTTCACCGCGCTCTACCATAGCAGACCCTAAGAGTACCGCGGCGAGCCAGACACGATTCCAACTTCTCCTCTCTCCCTGCTCGGTTTGTTCTTCATCGCGATCCTTCCACCCCTCATTCCTTTTGGGTAGTCCCTGGTTCAGCTGCTGCACACGTATTTCTTTTCTGTGGCAGGGTTTACACCTTGCAACAACTTGCCATATGGGTATCCAGATCCCAACAATACACTATTTTTAACTTGTTAGCTCGATCATTAACGACTTCTTCGAGTATCTGCTTACTTTTGCAAATGCCATAAGGAGCGTGTAAACCACTCCTCTCCAAATTCGCTCTCCAGTCCACAGTTGCAAGAACGGAATCGCGAATCCGATGCTTGAGAAGAACAAAGGCTCCATCAGATACTCCTGAGGCCCCAACAAATATTTCTCAAATGTGTGAATGAATGTAGGACTCTTGTCCGCTTCGCGCTCGCCCTCCTCACGGCTCATGACAACGAATGGTCCTTCCGGGCGCTTGCTTGGGAGGTACGTGAGAAATACGCCCGCCAAGAAAGCTCCAAATAGGACAGATGTACCAGTAAAGCCAGCAATGCTAATAAAAGCCGCAAGAACAAGGGTCATGAGAATGATGTTGGAGATATGGTCAAAGCGCGCGAAATGGTGTTCGACAAACTTTCGGAAAAAAGGCGCAAATACCCACTTGGTGACAATTGGTGTTAAGATAGCCATGGCTATCGATGCCACTATCGGACGCCCAATGAGCCAGCCGAGATTGACGTTGGTTTCTCCCGAAAGTTTACCCAAGTCGCCAATGACACTATGGAGTTAATCAGTTAAATGCATCAAGGGTACCTCGTTCTAACAAGCAACATACCTCAGCATAACAAGTCCTACCACGTCATCTATGACAGCTGCGCTCACGAGAACGGATCCTACTCGAGTCTGTGAGAGACTGATCGAGCTTGACGCAGAACTGATCACGGCAAAAGTGGTTCCTGGTACGCATCAGTGATCTTACTAGACAAAGTGCAGTCAACCTTTTTAAGAAAAAATGAATGAAATTGCTTACCTAGTGACGTGGCGGAAAGAGCAGCACCAATGATGAATGTCTCTACCGGACCTGCCCACGTTAGCTTGTTTACAGATATCGGTGATTACCAGAGAAGTAAAACAAACCATATCCAAAACCAAGGTAGAGCAAAAGATATGAGAGACCAATGGGAAAACAAACCCCAGTTGTGGCTCCAACCATACTCAAAGTGAAATTCTGCTTGAGTAGATCCACACGAGCGCCAAGACCGCCTAGAATAGATGACATCAGTGTCCACACTGAAGCCGATGAAAGTGTTTTCCACCTACCTTCAAAAATTATCAGAATCAGACCAACATATCCGAGAGCGAGAAACGTCTCCTGCCAGTTACGTTCAAGGATATCGGCCAATGGTACACCGTAGATGATGCCGACAGCGATTTGACCTATAATGCCGGCTTGAAAGATCTTCGCGGAGACCCATTTCGCAAGAGAAAGGAAGAAGAAGAAAGAAACGATGATGAGAATCTCGACGACTGTGATTGTTCAACGGGGAGTGAGCAGCGTTCGGTTGAGATAGAGCTTGGGTACAAACTTCCGGGTTCGTGGTAAGGCAGAAATCGATTGGCCATTCTGGAGCGTTTCTTTCAACTTTGTGAGTGACGATATTGCAAAAACGAACAAACGAACGCTGGCCGTTAAATATTCTGCACCTCTTTGGAGTGGAGACGCCCGTGTGGCGACTTTCGGAGTTTGGGTGGTCTGGGCAGTCTAGTTATGACCTTGGTGGGCCTGAGGTAATGCAAAATGTTGGATTAGTTAACGGAACTCACATATGAGCTGATCAGTCCCCGCCCCCTTCCACCCAACATACATATACAGTGGCACCGCAAAAGTCTGTGACCTCCCACCCCCATTGACCGCTCCCATCTCCGCCCTCCTAAAATAGGCAAATACACTCTGCCGCATTGTAGTATTGCGCTCGCGTCTCTTTCTACACCCCTCTACATCACACGATGCCTCGTGTAAGAGCTTTACCACAGCGCCCAGTGCCTAAGGGCCCTCTCCCTACACCTCCTAGGCCACCTACTCCTCCACCTACAAGCACACCACGTCGCCGGAATTGTAACTTAGACCCTAATCTACGTACCCAGATCACTACGTTGAAAGAGATCGCTGGGTGGTCTTATAGGGAAATCCACAAGAAATTCCCTGATCTACCACTCTCAATTATCAAAATGACATGCCTACGGTCAAGAGTTCGGCAAAATGAGCAGACTTTGAAGCGATCTGGACGTCCAAAGATCCTTAATAAAGATGATCGTCAAAAGATCCTCCAGAAGATTCACGAAACACCCCGAGTTACATATGAAGATCTACTCTCTGAGGTCAGCAATAAATACAAAAGACTCAATCGCTCGTCTTCTCTGTGTTGAGAACCTTCGAAAGTGGCGAGTGATAAAACGACCCTATCTAAGACCTGAACATTCTGAACAAAGATTGGCGTGGGCTTTACGGTATCAACACTATACAAAGGAGGATTTTGATCGTGTCTTCTGGTCTGACGAATGTACTGTTGAGCGTGGTATCGGACTTCGAACCGAGTGGACATCTATTCGTCCTGGAGAGCAAGCAATTCAAGGCGAAGCCTATCCAACTCCATACCGAGGATTCCAAATTAAACAGATGTTTTGGGCTTCATTTTCTGGCTCCCCTCAACGAACTGCTCTTATCCCACGTTCTGGAGATCCGAATTCACATCGACGAGGTGTAAATTGCTTTGTTATTCTTGATTTATATCGCCGAGTCTTACCAAGTTTACTTGTTGATCCAAGGTCAATTTTTCAGCAAGACAATCCTCCATCTCATACTGCAATCATTGTACGCGAATATATTGTTCAGCTTGGACGTGAAATTATTACTTGGCCACCTAATCCACCAGATCTAAATCCAATTGAGAACCTCTGGATGCTGTTGAAACAGAAGATCTATCAAATCAGGCCAGATCTACTACACATGCCTAATAATGATGATACATTAGAGATTCTGATCACTACAGCAAAGAAGGCCTGGCAGCAACTTGACCTTAGCATTCTAGAAGGTCTATCAGATAGTATGCCACGTATGGTGCAGGCTATTATTGAGTCTATTGGATGGTACACCCACCCTCCTTTCCACAATTAGACTTCATTCTCCGGTCTCTTTCATCCCCCACCGCCTTCATCTGCGCAGCCCTCTGGGCCGTCGGCTGCCGCTCCTGCGCTCGCTTGCATCAAGGGAGTACAGTGGACCTGGCACTGCACTCCTCACGGTCACCATCCTTCTCTTTCCGTTACACTATCCTGAGGGGTCATCCTTTTTCGTCGCCTTTTCCGTGCCGAGAGCCAATGGGTCGATTGCTTGAAACTGGTTTAAGAGCCCTGTCCGGACCATGAATTCGGCCACAATTATGCGAGCCTCTGGCCGCGTCAGGAGCTCGTCGCGTCGAAGAGCAACTCCGCGGTCGGACAGAGCGTTTCTCATCCAGTTGCGCTCGTCTTGGAGTAGCGGGCATTCAAGCAAGATATGATTCACCGTCTGGTTCCCCAGATCGCAACCACATCTCGCTGACTCGCGCCGATTGATGCGAGTCAAGTAGGCAGCAAGGCCAATTCGTCCAGTACGAAGCTGCATCAGAATGGACGCTGTCGCTTTCCGCAGGTCGGACCAGTATTCCAGGGTTTTCTTTGTTGGTCGTTCGACTAAGCGTTTCGTCGGTCGACCTGTTCTCTCTATAGACGATGACCTTTCCCACTCGATTTTTGCCTCGCGGCGAATACGGCTTTCAGCTGCAGCTGCGAGGCGAATATAACGATTGTTTGGGGTTTGTAGTCCTTCTGGTTACTGGGCCGCCTCCTCTGCGTGTCGGTCGACACATTCATTGCCGGCCACTCCTTTTTTGAATTAAACATATTCCAATATGATATCTCCACTTCTCTGATAGGAAGTCATGGGAAAGAAGTCTCTTAGCAGAAAATGCCCCTCGTGATCGGTGTGTGCTCATGTGAAAGCCAGAGCCTTAGTTTTTGCCAAGATCGCGAAGCCGTGGATCGATGAAAGCTGAGTTTGGCATGTTTGCATTTAGAGGACCTTTCCGTGAGCGAGTGAGGTATCTTGGCTGACATTCAACTTTGCCTTCCTCCCGAAGTTCAGAGCGTCGGCTCAACCTGTAACTTCTTCGGGTGTTTGATGAGAATTACCAGGCCGGCGAGAGCTGTCCGGATAGTTCTCTTTGCTTGAGGGGCTATCGCTCTTTTTCGAACGAAGGAAGGAATGGCGCTGCTTGACTGCCGCGGGACTTCGTCCAGGAAAGTGGCGAAAGATAGACCACCATCCGAGCTTTTGGGTATCCCTTAGGTCTAACAACAGATGTTCTTCTTCGGGTTCCCACTTTTTGTTTGTCGCAAATAGCCGTCTTTTTGTAGTGGAAAATTATTTATCAGTCTGATCAGTTGCCATATTTGCTCGTTGCAATAATGCCGTATATGTGCTGGAGATCTTTGATTGTGTTCTGAATCACGGCAAGATTTTCCTTGCAAGTACCTCCGTCGACCAAATCATCTGAGAATTGAGCTTCAGCGCTGGCCAAACTGTAGAAGTGTTTCAGGTATCGTATCGAGTACCTAATGCTGGTCTGCTTATATGAATGGCCTTCTTCATCCTGAGATGGGCGTTCATCTTTTGGACTGCCTCTTCTTCTCGTCGACGACACTTACGTATCGTGGTAGAATAGCGGGTCTGGAGTCGTTTCCGAGTAGAATGAGGTCCTTCAAGAGCCCTCTTTTTTCCTCTTACACTAGGCTGCGTATGCACGTGCTCGCTTCCTTGTTCGGTTGGATCATCGTGAAATATGTCAAAGATCCTTGATGTCCCAGGCCTGTCTAGACCAGTCACAGAAGGGCTGCTGCTAACTCGAGAGGAAGGGTAGAGTGCGACCTCAGGGTAATCGGGGTAGTTATCAGTGGTCGATACGTCGCTAGCAGAGGATTCTGGTAGAATTTCTTGGGCAGATTGACCATTTTGTGACACTAACGTGGTTATGTTAGATTACCTGAAATGGAAATTGGGATGTCTAAAGATTGATACGTACCGAAGTCCTCTGTTCCATCCCCATCATGTGGCCTGTGTTTCCACAGCATGTAGCCATTTGCATCGCATCGTTCTCCGACATTAATGAATTGTTCCGGTATCCTGGAAGTGCCGATTTCAGTACCATTATCTGAGCATTCTCTGGACGTTTCCGTGGACGGTTGCCAAAATCTTTGATGATTTAGCGTCACCATAATGACATAGGATGGCGTAAATTGATCAGGGAACTGTTGAACCAGGAACGCGAGAATGAAAATTCAGAACGAAAGATGTATTCCAGAGATTCGTGATATGGGGGACGGTCGTGGCTATTTATACTTTGTTTGTACCATCGTGCTTATCGAGGTCCCAATATCGGGGAAGAGATATGATCAAAAATCGGCTTCTGCTCAAGCTGCATATAGCTAGAGCTGAAATTGAAAACACACCGGCTGATACCCGACCCTATTGCACTGCAAGTTGCCGTAGCCAATTGAAAGGCCGCTATTGCCCAGGATATACCAGCAAAAGGAGATGCTCCCAGGAACTCACGTCTGAAATGGACGTGTGATCAGCGATTAGACAGTAAATCATATTTGGTAGGCTGGACTATAGTGATGGATGACAATCCTTCGGTGAACTAATTCAGAGCATAGAGGCAGAGACAACGACGAAAATTCGTCTTTTAGAATTCGGTCAAATGAAGCTTGTATTGCCACTGAAAGAAAGAAGAAGCAACGAAGACCGAGTTCAGGGAAATCATTTCTCCTACAGAATGGCAGACCATGGTCGTCAGGCGATGAGCTCGGGTAAGCAAGCGCTGGAGAATAGATACAGTGTGAGATCAGGTCATGTCTTCCCTCGAGCTCCTAGGAGCGACCGTAGGTAGCAAAGCGCTTATCATCGGAGGATGTGAAACAAAGAAGGAAGAGTGACGTCGGCTAGTCGGAGCATCAGAGGTGAGCGATCAGGGTGCTCCGGGAGCAACTCCGGGATCGCTCAGGGTTGCTCATGGTTGCTCAGGGAGCAGCTCAGGGCGGCAGTTTTACCGTCACCTTTTTTACTCTCACGTACTTTCTTGGCAGATATCTCCTGTAAATTGTCAATTTCATATATAATTATCTCAAACGTTATGGTGGCCATCTAACAAGAAAAGTTACAGATGCTGGAAGGTCGTAAATTCTCGTGGAAGAGCTTTATTTACTCGCTCTTCCACAGAAGAAAAGACTGAAAAGCTCAACTGGTCTCTGGATTCTCAGCGTCCGCGGAGTCCCTCGCGCAGTGATAGTCCTGATGCCGTCTGACAATGGGCCCAAGAAGCACCGCCACGAAAGCAATGAGTGTATCGACGATACCCAGACCCCTTCTTGGCGACATCCCATTCAAGGTCCCGAAGAGAAGACCCGCTTCAAGCTCGCTACAGATCACAAATTGTTTCTTGTCAACCGCAGCAATGATGTAATCGGCGACCTGCTTGGCCGAGTGGAGTGTCTTCGAAAGCTTGGATATCGGAGCCGTTGTTCCTTCAAGTCGTTTTGTCAATTCTGGTTTATTGTTTTGTTCGTCCACGAAGGTTGCTGACATGAAGTTCGAGGGGAATGCGATGTGCACGGAGTATTGCGACGCGGTGCCAGAGTATCGCAGAACTTCCGCGCGGAGCGTGTCGGCCAGCCCTCTTACTGCACATTTTGTTGCTTTTCTGAGTTTTAGCTATTTGAATTCCGAGTTCGTTCTTTTATCATATTCAGTGAAACCCACGTGCGTAGGCAGTATAGCCGGGAAGGCCGATAAAAGCAGCGGCACTGCTCACAAAGACAATGTTCCTGATCTTTGGAGACTGTCTGGGACCTGGAACTGTTTGAAATTTCCTGTCATCAGCGACCCATAATTTCAGCGCTGCTTGAGCTGGGAATACACTGGTCAAATAGTTGTTGTTCATGCATCGCGAAATTTTGTCAGGGCTGATATCGACAAGAAACCCGAGTTCGTTGGCGGTGCCACCAGCAACGCAGTAGAGCATGTCGGGGAGTCTTGGTTGCGACTTAAATATTTCCCTGACCTAGACCCTCTTCATCAGCCTCGATCGGAGTGTGGTTTATTATGCGATTCACCTTTTCAGGATCGGTCAGATCTAGAGATATCGCTCTCACGTCTTGCGCCTCATGCTTTCGGGCAGCAAGGATTTCGACCTTGGCTTCATCCAATGGCAGCTGTCTCCGCGCAAAGATGGTAACATGACAGCCTGTGTAGTATTTAGTAGGCATAAATCACGGATCATATGGCAATGCCCACCTCGCTTTGCCAGAGCTATTGCCAGTTCCTTTCCTAGTCCCGTCGACCCACCAGCGACAAAAGCGACCTGGAAAAATTGAATCAAGGCTCGTCGATTGCTTCGCGGCAGTGCGCTGGACCAACCTTGGCTGCGATATCTCCCATTGCTGATGAATTTCTGCTTTTGGCGAGCGTAAGGTTAAGTTGGCTATTTTCGGGAGCTGGATGCTTAAATAGCCTTCTCGACAACCGTGGGTATTTAGAGTCTGAACTGCGAGCGTTGGCCTATGTAAGCAACTTCGTTTTGATGTCAAAGAGTGGCCCCTCTAATAAACATTTGTCTAGTCTCGTTCTGGGCTAGTCGCCAAACGTGACCACTGCCTTCCTCGCTGCCTAGGGTCCGTACCTGTCTCGGGCTAAGTAAAGTCGCCTCGAATTATCGGGAATCTCAGAACCGACGGGAAACAATCTGGCCGGCGCCGGAAGGAAGACACCCGATCATCATATGTCTTGGCCTGGGGCCGTTTAGCTGGCCCCCATGCGCCATGCAGCTGAAAGCTGACAATGTACCAGACTTTTCTCGGCCAGTCATCTGTCGTGATGACTCTTAGCTGTCTCGCGTTTCTTTGCACTCATTTATGATACGCTTGATATATTCCACGTCTTACATGGACGATATAGCTGGCGGGCCTGGTGGCTTCTACGAGTAAATACATGGTAATGTGGACGGGTAGGTGATTGAGTATTTGATCCAGCAAGTGACCCGACAGGCAACCGAGGATGCAAATTTGCCGTTATAATGCAATTGTCCGGAAACATTAATTTACGGCTCGAAATCAGCTCGTGACTTGCCAGCCTTTTCGTCAAATACCAGAGAGATCAGAATGTGGGTGCTACACCGCGGTCAATAACTTTCCCTTTTCTGGAAAGTCATCCTGGTACTATCATTCTAAACTGTTTTACTTCAACTCACCCATCTCTACATGACGTGGTTTAAGAGAAACCGTCTTTGTGCGTAGATGGAGCCCTCGTTGCTAAGTGAAAAGCTTTCTCAAGAAACAACAGATACAGATTGGTCGCAGAAGAGAGGAATCCTTCCAGAGTTCAATAAATTGGGCTTGGAATTTTAACTTACTTGGTCAGACTTTTACATGTGCTCTTCGTAGAGATCGGCGCTAAGCTCGGCTTTGAAGACAGTGATTCCTTCTCGCATTATCCAGTTTTCCATGGTCTCGATTACTCCCAGTCCAGATACACCAAGTCGTGCAAGGGCTTGGGGCTGTAAGCAGCTCGGTTGACGGTAAGTCCGGGAGGAAGATGCATGATACGGGTCGGGAACGTACCTCGGTCATCGTATCCCTCCGTCAGTTGGATCAGGACACGCAGTCGGTAAGGAGGGGGCTGGGCGGGATCTTCCGGATTTTCCTCATCGTCCCAGTGGTCAACGACAGTGAAAGTGTTGGTCTTCATGTCAAAATAGGAACCCAGCTGAACGGCTGGCCAGGATTGAAAGGACTCACGAACCTTGGGCACCTTGGCAGATGTACGGAAGGCCATAAAGCTTCGACCGGAGACAGGTGGCTCAACAGCAGCCGCCTCGAGCTCTGCGACGGCATCCCAGTAGGCCTCCTCCGTTTCGTGTTCACGGAAGCACACAAGCCAGTCGATGGGAAGATAAAAGAGGGTGCCTAAAAAAAGAACTGCAATCAGATACTATCTTTCCACTGAACAAGGTGAGGACAACATACGGAGAGACGCTCGACGACGCTCCCAAAGGAATTGGAGAGTTTCGGCGGGAATGACTTCCTCAGGCTTGACTTTCGAAAGATTCCTGCATCACCTAGTCAGAACCACACGCGCTTTGGACTTCTGTTTGCGACCTGACATACCACCACTTGGAAAGGAAGACTCTCAGGCCGAGAGGGCCAGGCCCAGGAAAAACCTTCGCGCGAAAGAACATTTGGATGGATGAGGAAGCGAGCGCGTGAACGGGGTTGTTGTGGGTGGAAAAGCAACCTCAAACGGGTGAAGCGAGAAGAGGATTTCAGAAGTGGCGGTGGTGGGTTGTTTATACCTTAGGAAATGCCTGTCCACCTCCACAAATAAGGAAGGCGCGGGCAGGCAACAACTCGCAGTGCGGAAGACGCCATGGAGATGCGCCCCCCCCCCCCCCAAAGACCGCTGCAGCATCACTGGCGCACTGGCACCTTTGTAGACTGACAAACAGCTGAGCGGGGCTAGCTTTTCATTACTTTGAATATTATCTCAATCCAAAACTGCTACCAAGGAAACGAGGCCAACATGTATGGATGATGTTGATGGAAGAACCTACAGTCATTCTCGAAATCGCCTTGACCGGTACACACTCACACTCTCTCTTCTGGCCCCACCGCCAAGACCTTAGCGCAGATCCGCCATTGCCGTGGCCACACTTAGTTGAGGAACGTTGTAAGATGTATATGGTATGATACGGTATCTAGCGAAGTAATATTACACTCGTCTCATGAGAATCCCGTCGACTTCCATGGAACCCCGCAGTGGGTCTGAAAAACATGCGTGGAGGGTCGCCACACACTGGGTTCCTAGACGATCTATCTAGAGCTTTATGATATTGCATGTGTATTATAAAGCTGTATAAATTCCCATCTTTTCCCAGACCCTTCTAAAGGGATAAGAAAATAGATGAATCGAAATTGTTGGTATCACCAGCTAGGTACCGTGTACACAGTAAAGTGGACAGTGTTTATGCCAGAGCAAAAGGTTGATTGATTCGTAGATAGATAGATGTTCAGTCTAGTTGGAAAACACCCCTAGATCCCACACGCCGGCCCTCGGCGGTCACAACACCACGCCAAGCAAGGGATATTATCTCTCGACGGACCGAAGGATATATCCCAACAGACATAAATTGCATCTATATACAAAAGCCGATAAAGAAAACCAGTCCTGATACATGTCCTATGGCAAGTGTGTTACCATTGACCTTGAAACAGGAGGGCCGAGACTCAACAGGAAGCCAGAGAACCCTCTCGCCGTTTAATTTTATCCACTGATTCTGTTCAATAGAGATATCTACATTCGCGTGAAGCGGTTGAGGTGTGTTAATGTCACCCATGGAGCCGGAAGTCGTGTGGAGATAAAAACCATCACTAGAAAATTGCACTGCAGTAACTATTTGTCCAGTATTCCAAGTTTGGGTACGCACACCAGTCGCCGGGTCCCAGAAGCTCACTGTCTTATCGTAAGAGCCGGATGCCAGCAGCCGGCCGTCGGGCGAGAAGGCCACCGACGTAACATAACCCGAATGGCCTTCGAGCGTCTGGGTGAGCGAGCCCGTCACTGGGTCCCAGAGCCGCACTGTCTTATCCCAAGCGCCGGACGCCAGCAGCCGGCCATCGGGTGAGAAGGCCACCGACATAACAGGCCTCGAATGGCCTTCGAGCGTCTGGGTGAGCGCGCCCGTCGCTGGGTCCCAGAGCCGCACTGTACTATCGCTTGAGCCGGACGTATGATAATTAGGCACGTGGAACGGAACAAGGACGAGAATTATAGAAGCCTCAGGCAGCAAGACTGGAAAGACCTGAGCGAGGCTTTGAATGAGCTTGTTCTAAACCGCGAACTTGAAAGTATTCTTGATCCCAGGTAGACCCTTGGCCACACGATAGTAGGAACTTGTAGTTCTCCGGAAGGCTGATTGAACACGGTTAGGAAATATATCACGTGATGGGAATTTTTGACGCTAGGCCTGACAATTACGAGGCTCGCGGCGAAGGCAGCATATTCATCACAGAACCGAGATCAGCCAATATGCGCAGCACCGTGACGCGCATCATCGAGACCTTCAACGCCCCAGAATCCACGGTCAAAACGGCCTGGGAGGACACAGAAGCCAAATTGCAAACGGCCCTTCCGAACGACTACAAAGAATTGATAGACCGGATGGGCGGTGGCTATATTGAAGAGTACATGCACATCCTTGAGCCAAACTGCCGTAACAAGCACTACGACCTGGTGGACATGACCGACGAACGGACAGAAGCGAACGAAATGATGTGGGACATTGAGGAAAAGCCTCCGGAACTGCAGATCGAAGGCTGCTTCGTCATCCCCTGGGCGACGACGGACAACGGCGAGTATCTGTTCTGGCGTTGCCTCCCTGGGCAGCATCCCGACGAGTGGACAGTCCTTGTGAACCAGGGTCGGGACTGGACCTGGGAGCACCACGACATGAACTGCACCGAGTTTCTCTTCGCAACCCTGACAAAGGAGATTCGCTCGAAGATTCTGTATGATGATTTCCCCCTCGCCCGTCACGTCTTCGCGCGTTTCACCCCCAAGGAATTCACCAGGCCGAGGGGAACATTGAGAGAAAGATTCGCTCGGAGATCCTGAGTGATGACGTCCCTCTCGCCCGTCACGTCTTCGCGGGTTTCACCCCCACGGGAATTAGGAGGCCGAGGAGAACATTGAGAGCAAGATTCGTTAGGTGATTCGTTACCATAGGTAGGAATGCAGTACCACGGACTCGGCCCAGGCCCCGTCCTCGAGGTCCATAGCAACCGGTCAACTCGGTCTCCTTCTCTCACTGCGAGTCCCCTGCAACACCTTCCCGCAATGGCTATTTTCTGTGTGTGAACATGGACATCAGCTAGTGAAGTTGTATTCCGATCTACTGTGGCAGCGACTCGAAGCGATTGTGCGGGTAAGGTTGTTCCTGGCCCATCAATAGGTTCTGGACAAGTCGCTCATGAGGAGTGTATGGAGGACTTAAAGTGGCACCTGGAGTGATCCTATCGGCACCCGGTCGCATTCAATTTGTCTATTTATTCAATAAGAGGGTACGTTGTGTGGATTGTGTGGTCTCACTGAGTGTCATGCACGAAAGCTAGTAATCAGTTACAGCTCTTCTGATGCAGAGAACGTATGCTTTACTTCCTTTCGATGGTTACTACGGCAGAATTTTCCGATAATGGTTTATATCTCCATACCGAGTCCGGTGTGCTCGTGCTTGACATTCAATCCAGGTCTGACATTCATACAACTCAACCGCCTCATGCGAATGTAAATATCTCTATTGAGCAGGATCAGTGGATAAAATTAAATGGCGAGAAGGTTCTCTGGCTTCCTGTTGAATCTCGGCCCTCCTGTTCCAAGGTCAATGGTAACACACTTGCCATAGGACATGTATCAGGACTGGTTTCCTTTATCGGGTTTTGTATATAGATTCAATTCATTTTAATTCCCTCTTCTTCCTCTATTTTCTTATCTCTTTACAAAAGAAGGGTCTGGGAGGAGATGGGAATTTATACAGCTCTATACTACACACGCAATATCATAAAGCGCTCGTCATCTGATACGGCCCTCCACGCATGATTTGCAGACCCACTGCGGGGTTCCATGGAAGTCGACGGGATTCTCATGAGACGAGTGTATTATTACTTCGCTAGATACCGTATCATACCATATACATCTTACAACGTTCCTCAACTAAGTGTGGCTACCGCAATGACGGATCGACACTAAGGTCTTGGCGGTGGGGCCAGAAAGAGAGTGTGAGTGTGTACCGGTCAAGGCGATTTCGAGAATGGCTGTATTAGATTTGGCAATCACATGACCGTTGCAAAGGCACGTCAATAAAAGCTAGCTCCATCAGGCTGAAGCTGCTCCTGGTTCCCGTTGGCGGTATCTGAAGCAAATCGACTATCCCTCGTGCAGTGTGCTCATTTTGCTACTTTCTACCATAAGCATCGCATCTTTCAATGTCTTTGCACTCGTGATCCGAGTCACGTTTTCTTTCGTCCGCCTGCTTTTTAACATTTCTCCACTTCATGACAACAGCTCTGCAAATCGACGCACAGAAAACAACGTGCCCAACTAGGAAACAGGCTTGAAAGGGTCTCCGTCGTGATTCATTTCACTGGCCAACTGTTCGGCCCTTATTAGTTGTGTCGGCGGTTGCGGGTCAGATCATACCAAATGGACTTCTTCACTTGTGTCCAGGCTGGGCTTTTGGAGATAATCCAAGATTATCAGTGTGATAAACTCTCTCCGGAAACTATTTCGACAATGAAATTACGGCAGAGCACGACCCGATTCCATCTCAACGACCAGAGACCAAGTATTGCCTTCAGTTCTATGATATCGACAGGAAAAAATTTCAGAATCTCGGATAGCAGCAAAGGGTATTTGGGGTATATGGAAGCAGACCATGGACAAACCTATAGAGACACAGAGGGCAGTCATGGCTATGGAGGCGGTGCTACAGCATGGCTCTCGGCAATCATCCATGTCCCTTTCAGCGCCTCTTCTGCAAAAGGATATCAAAACAGGCCTTCGACCCCGGTCAGATGCGCCCTTATTCGGAACGAACGATGATTCATCATTGTTTCAGAGCATGCTGGTCGCCTATTTGCTGAACCTATCTGTGAAAGCTGGTATGGGCAGTCTGCCAATCAACCGCTGATGCAATGTGCTACCGATATATGTTACATACGAATTACACAACAGCATCCACAGAGAAGTCACCCCTGATATAGAGGAGCCTTTTCTTTATCCTTACGACAAGTAAGTGCTCTAATATGTGGCCGACTTCAGCATTCGGCACATCATTCTCTCAATGTAAAAGGCTCCTGACTTCATCGTACTCCAGACTAACACTGTTCTTTTCAGCAGAATACTCTACTGAACTGGGAGCGAGGACTCGAATCTATTATGGCGGAAGTCAACCGGTAGTCCGTAGTAGAGCGTTAGAAGGGTCGATATCTTTCACAGCTTGCGGTTTATATCCCGATTGATCGTCATCATGGTTACGAGTGGTACAACAGAAAGATGATGAACACTGCCGAGAAAATGAAAGTAAAAAAAAAATTAAAGAATTAAAGAATTAAAAAAAAAAAAAAAAAAGGGAAATGGCCAATGCAGCTTGACATGCACCTCTGACAGAGTTGCCGTGTCAGTAATAGTCGATGCGCATTCGTGTGCTTAAGAGTCCACGCCGTCATGGTGCAATGTGGGCTATGTTACGCATGACATCTCCAAGTCGTCCCTCCATGATACGCCCAGAGCTAAGAGAATAGGGAGCCATTGCACGGATTCGACATTTAGCATACGGGCATTAAGCTTGTCCAATACGGAGCTGAGGATATAGAAATTTTTGATCGTAGCAGTCAATTCATGCCGAACTATTCTATCCTTCAAATCATTGCTTCATCGCAAATCCCCTAAACGGTAGAAAAAGATACATAGCCAAGCGGGCCTTATTTCCATCCGCGAAAGATTGTAGTAGGTGACACGCCATAAAGAGGAGAAACAAGAAACTCCCACCTCCACAAATGCCAGCTTTTTTTTCCTGGACTCCATTTAACCAGTACGCTTGCGACGGCCGACCTGGCCACGGAAACCGGTCTTGATGGCGGCAACGGAACGGCGGGATCCGCAAGAGTTGCAGGTAACGAAGTACAGACGGTTCTCTCCCTTGTTGAGTTCGGTATCGGGGCTGCGGCATGTCTTGCAAGTGACGTATTCGACTGGGAAATTCCTTGTTAGAGAGATGTCGGGTGCTAGAGGAAACACATAACGTACCAATATATCTCCGCAGAACGGACTCAATACCACGCTGTTGGAAACGACCCTTGATGACCAGGCGACGGCTACCATCAACACTACCACTGGTACCCAACTCAGCAAACAGGAATTGCATAACGTGGTCGTCAGAACGCTTCATGCGCTTGCAGATATCGGCGATGTTGGCGAAAATAGTACGGCGGTTACCCTCACGCAAACACTGGGGGGGGGGATCTTGTAGGACTTGGTGCCGCTAGAAAGGAGGTCGGGGTGGTGGCTCTGGACGAGGGAGAAGAAGCGAGAGACGAGGAGGGAGTAGGGAATGGCTTGCGTCGCGTCGTGAGCCCAGATACCAGTACCGGCCTCGAGATCACCCTCGGGGATGACCTCCTCAGCCTGCTCCTCGGTGGTATCTTCGGTGACACCGTGCTCCTTAAGCTTGGCCTCGAAGTCACCGGCGTCCTTCTTGGAAGGCTTCTTCTTCTTCTTCTTCAGGAGGGAGGGGTCGAACTCGCCCTCGGCGGCGGGTGCCTCGTCACCCTCCGCGGCATCAGTGTCCTTGGACTTCTTGGACTTCTTCTTTTTTGAAAGGTTCTTGAACATCTCAGTGGCCTCGTCGACCTCCTGGTCTATAGCAGAGTAGTTACTGGTTAGCGGATCCACCGATGTGGATGGGCGGGAATCTCGAATGCCCAGGGGGTGCTATCTGGCGTACCGATGGGCTTTTCAGCCGGAGGGGCGTCTGTGACCTGGCCGTTGGTATCCATGATGACCGATCCTTCGTCGAATGCAACCGACTTGCGTTGCTTTTGAGTGGCTTCCTGTAACGAGAAAGAAGATCACAAAATTAGTGGGGGTGTGTTCCAATCTTTCAAAAGTGATGAAAAAGAATGCGCAAGGTCGAGCGGTTCTCTTGAGAGCAGGTTCGGTACTCAGGAAGTTCAGAAGTGCTCTGCGCTGGCGCCGTGGTGGTTGATCGGAGGGGTATTGTGCAAAGCAAAGAAAATGTGGGAGGGTCGGTAAAAAGAAACCAGGATATGACGTACAGTGTCCGCCATGTTTGCGACTGCAATATGCAAATTCTCCAGCACCGAGGGTTGCGACGGGTACTCGAGTTCGTTCTTGACGCGGATCTTCGTGAATGGGTCGACAGTGTCGAATTTGTCGCTGCGCTGCGATATCCGCCGTCGAAGGCGAGCCTGTTATCGGTCACGTGGTCATGAGTCAGTGATCTCGATCACGTGCCAGGTGCACGGGAAGCCTCGCGGCGGCCGGCGAGTCGTCAACATTGACCAGCACCGTCGAACGCCGATGCTCTAATCTACCAGCCGGGCAGCAGGCAGGTCACTGCTATACCATCTTCGCTTCCTCGAAAGTCACCTATGCGTCGGCAAAACCTTCGTGATGTCCGCCGATCCCCTTTCCGAGTCGAATCCCTCCTTCTCCATGTCTTCCTACATGGTTCCCGAGACCGACCCCTCCTATGAGACCGATGACGATCTCGCATCCCTTCCTTCGGAGTCTACAACAGATACCGATCTCGAGACGCTCTCCGACTATTCGGACGCAGAAGCTGAGTGGCGGGAGAGCATTGAACAGCTAGAGTTGCTTCTCACAATGGTACTGGTTCCGTTCATCGGAAAGTACGTGGGCCGACGATGTGCATATTGGAGTAAGTCTTGTCATTTGAGGTTGAATTAGGGCGCCATACTAATCATATCACTTGCAGGTTGGACCAGATTCATGCAATGGAAGTACCCTGTCGAAGTGGTCGTGCAGAACCCGACTCTCTTCAAGGGAACCGGAGCAGTAGTGGCTGCGGCCGGTCTGTGATCCTCTCTTCGACCCGACATTTCCTTTACTCGAAGCCATCATGGATGGCAAATTCTCTCGGATCATGATACCCCCAATTACAATCAACCCTCCTACGTCACCCACATTCCTGGTCAGACGCTTTCATCGACTATTTCCTTGCAATATCTTTGCCGTTTTCCCGCATCAGTTGGCGTTGAACAGATGAGCTATTCTCCGTGGCCATGGATGGCTTTGCGATAGCGGAGACAATCACTACAGACCTTCCAAAGGTCCGGGGCTAGACTTCTAGATGTTTGAGTAGTTTTTTTCCTACTTAATATTGTTCTACTTTATATACCCAGCCAATCGATTTGTCCGACACAAGCAGTGCCGGTGCATCATTATATGATGTATACGGTGCATGGACTAAGCACTTACAGCGGTAGCTGCATCGTGTATCACATCAACCACCCGTTGCGGCATACTCAGCATGGGAGAGTGACCTGATGCGCAAGTATGGGTACGCACAAGCCCCTCTTCAGCTATTGCCGCCATATGCCGCTGGAAACCCGGTGTGAGAGCTACGTCCTGCTCGCAAAAAAGATAGCTCGTTGGCACGTCCCGGTAGGCCGCATAGGTGAGGGGAGTGACAAAGGAAGGCATAGCATGGTGTACCAGCCGGGAGATGTTCTTGGCGGCCGTTTCATCATCGAGGTCATTATAGAAGTTATGCCTCGGGTCTGCAGGTTGTGTCACATTGCCCTATGACGAAAAAAGTCAGCAGCGAGTACGGTGCCGTGTTTCCAAACAATGTACTTTTAAGCATGTCAAAGGCGGGTGGAACATACATTAACAGATCCGATGATATTAGGCTCAGTTTTGGGCAAAGAAGATGACAGGCTCTCTCCCGCATGAATCAGGTAGGCAGTCACATAGACCAGCGCAACCACGCCACCGGGTTTGCCTTGTGCTGCGAGGTCCTTCCTCGCGAAACCCTTGACACATTCCGTACCGGGGACACCCCCGTATGAGTGCATGACCACAATTACATCTCGTCCCTGGGCAATAAGATCATTCAGATATTTATTGCGAATGAATTCGGCATCGTCGGCAATCGTACTAGACGAGGGCCCGCCAGCCGAGGGCAGCGTCAAAGGCTCAGCATAGTAGCCTTGATCGCGCAGGAGATCAGCGACAAGCATCCAGGCTTCGCCCTGGTGCCACGCGCCGGGGATAAGGAGTACTGATGGCTTTGAAGTTGACATTCTGAGTATGTTTGGCTCACCAGGTTGACCAGTAGCAAAGTCAAACGGAATCTGGGGGCAGAATGATTGTTGCAATCTGGGCTGAACGATTTGAACCAACGTGCAGAGCTATGAGAGCAGTGCGCCGAGGGTCGTTGATGTGTGTATCTACCAAGTTGCATTGACCCGCACAGGATGGCCTCGATTTAGCCCCTCATTGCGGGTTTTTTTTTCCTGGCTGTTTTGGTCTTAGCTGAAAACCCAGCTGGGGGCCAAAGACAAAGCCTTGCGTTGCGGATACTGCTTTCGGTAGCCTTGGGAGTTGTACTATGTATATACTGTACGAGGAAAGTAATGTGCTACTTCCATCGGGCAATCAGCCGTGACAAGTACTGGATAGAAAAATACTGATGCAAATGGGAGTCTTTGGGGGTACACTAATGATATGGACTTCCTGGCGTCCTGGAAAATATAAGAACAGATCGCTCAATCTCCGAGAGAAGAGACACCCGTGTTCTGTTGGTACAAAGGTTATTTCAATTCGCTATTCAGAAATAGAAGGGTGGATGTTGTACAAGGTCTGGTAAGGTCTTGCATCTTTGCGATTTAATATAATTTGTGTTGTCTCCAAAAACCTGCAGGGATGTCATTTCGTTTAGAGTTCATCCGGGTCGCTAGCCGAGGAATGCGGCTGCTGGTAAGAGGAGAAAAATGTCTCCTTTCTTTTTCCGGTCTAGAGGTACTGCCAGTCAGAAAGTGGTGGCTCGTGGGGGCTTTGCCGTTGCAGAGTGCACTGGATTCCGTGGAAAATTGTGCCCCGACAGAAGGGAACGTCCCGCGAGGCATCGTAGAAAGCGCATTCCTGGCTTCCATACTGCTGCATTGAAGTATATTAAGGCGGTCACAGCTGTCATTGTTTGCAATTCGTGTGGCTCGACAGCCAGAGTCCGCTTGCAGTCCGTGCCAGGATCCCTGCAACGTCTCAAGTATTTCTAGCTCCCCTCCCGCTGCAGTCAACTCTTCACCTTCGGATCCGACTATTTCCTGCAAGCGCGCATCTAGCTTCTTGAAGAAGAGCTCCTGATTGTTTGAGTCACTCTCAATGACATCCATGCTCAAATCAGCATGGCCACATGCCTCGTCTGTAGCCGATGACAAACAGCGATCGTCGTCATCCTCTAGCCGATACGCATGCAGCTGGTGTTGATCCGGCGTCATAAATTCAACAGAGAACTGGTTCCCAGGTCTTGCCATAATGCTTCCTCGCCAATCCGTTGTCTTTTTAATCTCCAAGGATTTTTGGCCTTCAGAGACATCGGATGGAGCGAAATTAGATCCGGTTACCAAGCTTGAGGGTAAGTGAGACCCGACGCTCGCAGCAACCGTCTGCACTCCCCACGCTGTTTTCTTTGCGTCTAAAATGCTCTTCAGGTCTTGGAGATCGTAGTAGTGTCGAGTTTGATGGACCATTGAGCCTTGGTCATCGGTTCCCTTCAAAGAGAGACCCTTGTGGAGTACAGCCAACAGATGCGCTTCCACAGTCTGGTCTGACCGGGAGACGCGGGGCTCACTCGTTGACCAGATGTAGGGCGTAGAAGACCGAGGCTCCCGGCAAGAAGCAATGTGCTCGCTGGCACTTGAGGACCTCTGTTGTCCGTCATGGGCTGGAGCCTTTTCCCTTGACGGTGTCAGCTCTCGAATCGAGAATCTCTTTGACTCTTTTGGCCCTTGTCGTCTCTCAGAAATTCTATCCTTTGCGTTGATCGACTTATTTGATCTTCGATTCGCCTTCTTCTCGTCAGGCAGTGCTGGGAAACTATGATGATAAATATCAAGCCACTCTTTACCACGAGTGTGATAACTCAGTCTCGACAGCTTTGGTCCTTTCCCCCTAGTTGTAGCGATGTCAAAAGGTATTTTCCTCTCACGCAATGAAAGGTCGGTTGGGGACGATGCGTGGTCCAATAGTGGTGAGGTTGGGACGTTCGTGCCTTCCCAGCCATCCCTCTTCTGTGATGAATTGAGATGCTGGCGCCGCCGTGACTTGATAGGGGATGAGGCTTTGCCTTTGCTGAAGATTCCAAGTTTGGAAGCGATTGGCAGCTATGGAAAGGTCAGCGAGGGTTTCACACTGTGCTCTGGGGCCGGTGCTTACCGTCAGTCTGTCACGAGCAACATTTGCTGCCCGGAAATGGTCATTGATTGTATGCTTTCTCGCTCTGCGAGGGCGCTGCACCTTTGCCTTCTCGCGCGAGTGGTCATGGGAGATTGCCGCACTTCGATATTCATATCGATCTTCTCTGGTTCTGTGTCGTGGCCGTCGTTCATACATCCTTCCCGCCTTCTTCTTGGGGTGCAATGGAAGATCGTCATCGGGTTCGAGTTCATCTCGATTCCTTTTTTACCTCCCGGCCGTGAGTCCCTGGTATTTCGGTCAAGCGAATCCAGCGGGTTCAGAGGCGATTGGGGGCCACCATCAACAATAGCCGCATCCTCCTGGCCCGGACCTGCATCTCGACTTGGGTCAGCGGCTCGGTGTGGGAATCCAGAGAACTGTGGGAGATGATGGCCCATACCCTGTCCCGACGCTCTTGGCGATATCTGCGCCAGCCATCGATAAATCCAACCTTGGCCTGTCGCCTCCATGGGTCCAAGAGGAGGTGTGATATGCAGATCTCCAGCGCCCCAGCTGATGCCGGCGGATGCAATTGGAGAGGAGACTGGAAGGGCACAACCTGACGGCCGGCCAGCGAGCCGTCGACGCTCGCGAGACTTTCCATTTGGGGAAGGCACGACTGTTGTTCCGCTCCGCCCGCGTCTTTACTCTAACTTTTTACTACTACCTCAACCTTGAACCCGTTCTATCTTCTTCCATCTGCCCCCATCGGTCTCACAATCTCTACTCGATTTGGCCATTTTGAGCAACATGGATTTTCTCCGGGTCTTTCACGATGAGGCATTTTGCCATGGTAGCAGGGCGCTGCTGTGCAGATGACTTTGAGCAACAGTTGGACAATGACACCACCGAATCGCATTGATGCTTCGTTCGACGGTGTCCGTAGAGCCCTTTTACGTCCAGGATTCCCCGTGTTCCCCGGCCTCTGCGCCAGGAGAAGTGGCATTTCTATCTAGGAAGTGTCAAGCCGATCCATCTGCGGATCTCCGTTGCTGTCCGGAGTCCTGCCGACCTATGGCCCAAGCGGCATGTGGGTCGACAGCCCCTCCTGCACGCATTGCGTGGATTGGTTGCGGATGATCATTGCGGTCAGACTGGAGCCCCAATTGACCTGACAGGGCTAGGTCCAAGACCATACTGTTGACGCTTTTTGCATGGTGCATGCGGGCCAGGCCAATCTACGCTGTTTAATCCACAGACTGACCATGGCCGATCCCATACTGCAGACTCGCGCATAGCCCGCACTGCAAGGGAACCTGTGAGGTACGGACCTGCCCCATGGACACAAGTTTGGGCCCGCCAGTGTGCTCCACGGGTGCGAGTGCGTGGAGGTCCCGCTTCAGCCCGCCTCTGCGTTCCAGGGTCCTTCGCCGAATAGCATGATCTGTCGACGCTTTCGCATGGTTCTACAACACGGGCGGTGCATCGTCCTATTTTTCCTCTTGAGTAACTCGCCTCCTGCAACGGTTGTAGATGTCGACGAAGCAGTTATCGGGCACCGGTTTGCGGACTTTGCAGACAAGGGAGGGGTCATTGGCAACGCCCATCAGCCGATGCCTGCTAGCGTCCCCCGTCGTCTAGATCCAGCCTTGGGTGGCATTTGATTGATGGAGCACGGGCAAGCCATGCCGTCGGGTCCCGAGAATTCAATCAGCTCAAGGTTTAGGTCGGTGGGACTCGTCTTGGGGGAGGGTGGGTGGAAAGGGCTATTATCTCTGCAGCAGCCTGCCCTCCCCCACTCTGGCCTTCATCCCTCTCTACATTGGACCTCTGTCCTCGTCACTGGTTGCAGCCCGCAGCCAAAACATTCCAGTAAGCATCACAATTTCGTTGGTTGGTCTCGTTATTGGCGCCACCGCCTGCCTGGCGAGGTCCCAAGGCCGTGGAAGCCCTAAAGCAATGTGTGCGATTGTTACACGGTTTGACTGCTGACTCGTTTCGCAACCACTAGGATCTCCCTGCCACTCGGCGCACAGCACAACCCATCACTTCTTCTCCTTCGTGGGTCGCTTCTGTCGAGTCGCTTTGCCTCTCGTACTAATCTATCCTCAGTTTCGATTTTCGGGGGTCTCGCGAGCAGTCCACCAGAATGTCCAAGCTCTTTGTCCAGTATGTTACTCTGTCCTGTTCCCCCGCACGTTTGGCTTCGGTCTTTTTTGGAGGGGTTCGCCTCTCCGTTCGGGTCAGAAGCAACGAACTGACCACGTATCAACTATCACAAGTGGCCTTTCATGGCACACAAATGATGAGACTCTCCGCGAGGGCTTCCAGCAATTTGGCGAGATTCAGGAAGCTGTCAGTATCCATTTCAAGCCGAAGAGCCTCGTTTTCATCTTCCCCCTGCTGCCGGACCCTAATTTCTTTCTAGATTGTGGTCAAAGACCGCGCCACGCTGCGTAGTCGCGGCTTCGGCTTTGTCCGATTCGCGACTGAGGCCGAGGCCGATGCTGCGATGAGTACAATGAACAACCAGGAGTAAGGCGCTCGAGGGATGCTCCCTTCATTCAGTCAATCGCGGCGATTAATTGGCTTATCAATTCACGCAGATTTGATGGACGTGTCATTCGAGTCGACAAAGCCTTTGATCGTCCCAACCGTCCCGACGGTGGCTTCCAGGGTCGTGGTGGATACAACCAACAGCCCCAAAGCGGCTACCAGGGCGGCGGCTTCGGCGGCGGCGGTGGTGGCGGCGGATACAACCGTGGAGGATATGGCGGTGGTTACAATAACTACGGCAACGGTGGTGGCCAAGGTGGTTATGGCGGCGGCTATGGTATGTAGACTTTCACGTCGCTAGTCTCGGTACTTGCAACGACCTTCCCATCATGTCATTTCTACTATCCATGGACTTACTTGGCCTACAGGAGGCGGTGCGAATGCCGGGTATGGAGGAGGCGGTGGTGAGTCATACTCCCGTCGATATGTGGCTAAAAATGTCTGCTGTGCTGTTTGACAATGTACTGACTATCTATATCCGCTTAGGGTGGCGAAACAACCAACAGCCTCCGGCCCCATCTGAAGGTCAATAACTATAAGACATTCAGGATGCCCCTGTTTACATCTTTGTCTCCGCACACGAAAGGCTTCTTCGCCCACTTTCCTTTTGTAGAGGGTTTGACGAAATTTTGACGAGTTTGGGACTTTGATACAATGTGGCCTACAAATCCTGGGCGTCGTTTTGAGCTTTGAACCTTTTTTTCTTCCCTCCCTGTTTTTGGCTTTTCTCCCTGATATCGTCTCAATTTGGCTACACGGTGGCGGCTCTGACTCTTGAGCTGCCGAGGCCAAGAGGATCAGCATTTTGACGCTACATTAGTTCTTATTTCTGGACCAGTGTTAATTTGTTCTTTGTTCTGGTCTTTCCGTGGGTCATCTCTCTCCCCTTCGCACATTTCCTCTGGTCCGGTACATGTTCCATTTTTCGAGGCTTCGTATTGTCTTAAAATGTCTAAAATGATAGAAGGGGAACAGTCAACTTCTATTTTCATCATTCTGGACAGTCGAGCCCTTTGTCTAGTCTAATCCGCATTCCAAGGGGTACTCCGGGACGTCTCTGGAATGAACTTGTCATTCGATCTTGTCTCCATGTACCGGTTCTCCCGCAGACTCCAAATATTTCCGCACGTCTCTTTCTGCTTCCTTCTCTTCGGCCTCCGCCAGGTCGTCGGCCTCGATAGCCTTCACCCGTCTGACCAAGTCTGTAACATGTACATCTGCAGTTCCGAGTCCGAGTCCTTCGAGCGCCTTCTCCAGCAAGTACAGGTACTCTGTATTCTTACCACTTTGTCCATGACCAGCACTAATCACTTGCGCGACGTTTTCTGGCTCTCTCTGCTCGCGTTCTCGCAGGAATTGTGGATTAGTGGGCTGGCCAATATAGACCATGGTAACGATGGGGGTTTCTTCGCTCGACTCGGGGGTCTTCGAAACTGTATGCGTGGATACGCGGGATACGGCATGGAAGGGCGTGAAGTGTGCAGTATACCCATCAATTTCACGCTCGTCAAGGTAGTCGTGTACTTCTTCAGCATGCGAGGCCGGGATGTGGTAGGCTGCGCCCCAGACTTTGCCGGTCGAGGCTGATTCGGATTCGAGGTGAGCTAGCTAGTTGGGGATTAGTGAATGGATGGCGTTGAGGCTGAGCGAACGCTCTTGTTCAAGTCAAGCCAATGAATCTTGCATAGATAGAAGATGGAAGTGCTTACAGGGTCGTCAAGCGTCTCCCAGAACTCCCGTTCGATTACAGTGACAACCCGCCCCGGCTGCTCGGGTGTACCACGGTGATCGGTGCTGCACTCGGCGGTCAGTGGCTCACAATTCTCTGCTTTGAACGCAGATGAGACTGAGAGTCCCAAGGGACTCAGGTCGCTCCACTTAAGACAGGGTCTCCCATCACCTGAAATCAAACGTACCTAGCCTGCAAGAACGCCACATTGCGGCTTCATGTCAGCTTCGATCGATCTAGGCTTGAAACACGGGCGAGATTGGGGAATCATAACCAGGCTGCCGGATTCCTTCTTTCGCCCTTTTCTTTGGTCTTAGTGTTCAATGAGAGGGTCGCTTACCTGCCAGAAGCGCCGCACGTAGCCGTTGATATATCCGGGTACCCGCTGGTCTGTTGACGTGGTAATCGTTAGCTCGGTCGGACTCGATTGAAACCACCACGATTTGGCGTATTTCAATTACTCCGGTGTAGGATATTCCGCTTACCGTAATGAGGCGGTGGTTTCCAAATCAAACTCCTGCATAGAATTAGCGGGGATTCATTCTGAAACGTCGCGAAACGTCGAGCCATTCAACTCTTTCCACAGATCGCATCTTTCGCGTAGAAAAGACGGGGTTCTGCGACCAAACTCACCCATATCCGAACACCCAGAGATCCCTCTTGGGGAAATGATTTTTCCACGTCCGTCCTTCCGGGTGCACCTGGTGTCCCTGCAATGTAGCTGCCATCCTCGCAATGCGGAACTGATGGCGGGGCTGCCTCTGCTTCTTGGCTGCTCCGAGGTTTGCTAGGCCGAGCTGCGCAACGATGAAATCTGTCTCTAAGCACAAGACACGATTAACAGATTTTTATTGGCGGGTAATAGCCGGATCGATGCAGGCCTTGTTTGTATGTCCTTGTATACTTCAAGGTGTGGGCGTGGAGGCTTCGCTGAGAAATCCGCTTCACCCAGGGTGTTTGCAGTGTTTGTTTGGTGTCGCCATATGCGCTGGTGGATATCCATAATTCTCGAGATGATTGATAATAATCGCATGGCATCATGTCGATCGAATAAGACATTATGCTGAAGTAGTGCATCTGAGCTTTCCTCGCAACAGATTTCACTGGTCCACTTCTTGTGTAGTGCAACTCTATATATCTGGTTCCTGAGCCCATTCATGCAAGGCAGCAAATTCGATTCTAACACTACGAGGCTTGTTGTACTATAGTTGGCAACCTGTCCAAAAAATTAAGTAGGCACATTCTGATAACGGAAATGAAGTATCTTATGGAAAAATCCGGCCATCTACACTCCAGTCAGTAGCCAGTAGTGCACCGATATCCCGAGTAGAACGAGTGTCGACAAGAATGGCAGGCGCAAGCCCCACTTTGACCCAATGACTCAGCAACATATCACGTGCTCTCGAATGTAAACAGAAGCAGCCTAAAGCTCGACGCTTCCTGGCTTTCCTTTATCTCTTCAGAGACGCTTTCCAAGATCATCGAATCATCGATATCTTCAAGATGGCGGGCATCTTTCGTCTTCTCAAAATGCAGTACATGTCCCCCAAGGACCCACATGACATCTCCTTTGCGGGCAAGATCGTGATCTTGACCGGCGCCACTTCGGGTCTGGGATACGAAGCAGCAATCAAATTCCTCAATCTCGGTGTGGAGTCTCTGGTTATTGGCTGTCGTGATGTCGAACGCGGAAACATCACCAAAGCCCAGCTGGAAAAGTCCACCAACCGACAGGATGTGATTCAGGTCTGGGAGCTGGACATGAACAGCTTCGACAGCGTCAAGAACTTCGCCAATCGTGTCAATGCCGACCTCCCCCGAGTCGATGTGGCCCTCTTGAATGCCGGCGTGCTCAACCGTGACTATGCTGTGACGCCCGAGGGCTGGGAGGAGACCCTGCAGGTCAATACCTTGTCGACTTCGCTGCTTGCCATTCTACTTCTTCCCAAGCTGCGACTGAGCTCGACCGCGACCGAGCCAACTCACCTGACCGCTGTCTCCAGCCAGCAATTCGTTCGTGTTCGGCCCGAGAGCTTTCCTTCTGAGGGTCCTCTGCTCGCCCATGTGAACCAAGCCGACCAGTTCAAGGGCCCGAAGCAGTACGCCATGTCCAAGCTCTTGCTCGAATATGCGATGAAGACTATCGCCGATCTGGCGTGCACCCACCAAGGATATTTCCAGGTCATTGTCAACACCGTTAGCCCGGGATTCTGCGCTTCCTCCCTTGGCCGAAAGTATGACCAGTTCTACATGCGTTGCCTTTCGTGGTTCGCGTACAAGCTCCTTGCCCGCACGGCCGAACAGGGAAGTCGCTCGCTGGTTAGTGCAACTGTGCAGGGCATTGATTCCCACGGCCGCTGCTGGCGCAGCGATGATTATCTCGAGTAAGTATTCACATTCACCATTGCTTCGCATTTGTCGATATAAGCAGGCGAATAACAATTGTTCCACTAGCGAGTCCAAGGCCTTGACCAGCGGCCCCAAGGGCGATGAGCTCCAGGCGCAGGCGTGGCAGGAGATCATGGGGGTCATGGAGGAGCAGGCAGGCGAAGTCCGAATCATTGCGCAGCGCATCTAAGCGCATGACTTACGAAATTACCGACATCACTGACATCTGGGATCTGGCGATCTGGCGGCGAACATGGAGGCGTTTAATGGGTTGACTCGTATTCGTTTCTCGAAAGTGTATTATTTTTAAACCGTAGTGGAGCCGCAAAGGCGCGATGTATCAATATCATGGGGGCCGTTCGCCAATCTCTCCCGACCACTCGTACGTACTAGTGTACTACTAAGTCTTGTGTATTCTCTGAGCTTCATACCTCGTAGTTCCTCACAGCATTCCTGACACGAACGTAGGGCTGAACGCCACCACAAAAGGAGAGTGACCCACTGTTGAAATGGCTCTTCATTTACTTGGTGATTGCTGTGGGGTACAAACGCGTCGTTTAGTCGGAGGTTGTAACTTGGCGTTGGGCTAAAAATCGTCTTGAACCACCGCCCCACGGCTCCGCCCTGACACCAAAGAAGCCTCCCCCTTTCAATCCCTTCCCATGCTTCTCTTGTGAACACCTACCGGGCTGCGAGTGAGCACGCATCTTTCATCCGATATCCAGCCCATTCCGTTTATCCAACCGCCCTGCGAAGAAAAGGGCTCTTGACCACGCGATCCACCCTCGAACCTGATTGCGTCAGGGCCTGACCATGGCCTACAACAAAAGCTACAACCCCGATGCGCTGCCAGCGTGAGTTGCAAAGCCCCGACGCAAATCTCGCGAAGCCGCATCGATCGCTGACCTGGTGGAATGGCATAGGCACGCTGAACCAGAGCAGGTACTTGCGCCCACCCCGCCGAACGTCTCTCTCACCCCCGCTAAACCAACGAACAGGTCGCGCAGATGATCGGGAATATGCAGGTATCGAGCAGCCAAAGCCAGCTCCCAAGCCAGAGCCAGAAGCCTCTGCCATCTCGACCACCGCCGCAAGCAGGCCCCGCTGGCGTGCCACCTCGTGTTCCGGTCTCCAGCGCCCCTCCACACCAGGGATATAAGTCCCCTCCCCCCGCGCCCGCAGGATCCCCATGCCTCGCATTCCTTCACCGGGCGCCCTTCGCCTGCCAATCCTCCCTCCTCCCAATACCGGCCGCACCCATTGCATCCATCGCCACCACCGCAGAACTACGGCTTTGGCCCGCCACCCTCGCAACCGCACCGCAATCGACCCCCGCCCTCGTCGCGCCCTCCACAGTCTCCCCAGCCTCCCCCACTGTCAGCACCAACCAGTGATGACCCGCAACAGCTCTTCCCGCTGTTTCGGGCGGCCAATTCGTCGCACTCGGGCTCGCTGACAGAGCACGAACTGGGCTCTGCCCTCGTCAATGGCGACTATACCTCCTTTCACCCGCGGACGGTGAAGATGATGATCCGTATGTTCGACCGCGATGGCAATGGGATTATCAACTTTGACGAGTTTGTCTCGCTGTGGCGGTATCTGGCGGCGTGGCGGGAACTGTTTGATCGCTTCGACATGGACCGCAGCGGCCGGATTAGTCTGCAAGAGTTTGAGAATGCGCTCGTCGCATTTGGATACCGTCTGAGCCCGAAGTTTGTCTCCGTGTTGTTTTCTACCTTTGAGAGTAAGGCGCGTCAGTTGAATGCTCCGCCGCGGAGTCCCCATCACAGCGGCATGAGCTTCGATCTCTTTGTGCAGGCGTGCATCAGCTTGAAGCGCATGACGGATGTGTTCAAGCGGTATGACGATGACCGCGATGGATATATTACCGTGAGCTTTGAGGAGTTCTTGACTGGTATGTTGTTACTTGTGATGAACAGCTATAATCTATCCCTATTAACCGCAGTTGCTGCTAATAGAAATCCTTCAACTCCAAGATTAGTCGAATTCGAACCCTCTTCGCTTCGACTCACCACCGATACGCGACATTCATCACATGTCTGGCGCACCATTCGAGCTTTTCATCTTTTTTGTTTCATTTTTGTTCTATTGTTGGCTTCCCTTCCCATTATACCCCTTCCCTTCGATCCCACATCTGTTTCAGTCATAGAGTTTTCGGACAGGCCGTTGCATTTGATCGGGGCGTTATTCAGTCGTACGCATATTCAAGAACGTTTCTTTCTTTTCTGCCATAACACTATCTCAACGTATGTCGTCATGATTATAGTTGGAATGTGGACGTCTCAACGGATTACCGTTTTCGGATCTCTTGGGATCAAAGCACGAATGGGATGCAGTATGCTCCGACCGCAAAATGCACTGCTGCAGTATTAAGGTACTTCAGGCATACGAACACGTATTATTTAATTCATATGACTGCCAATGGCCACTCATTTGTTCGTTTTGCTTTTCTGCAATAAACTCCGCTCCACGTTCTTGGCAGATGTGACAGGTCTGAAGTAACCGCTGATTTGCCGAGCTGCATGACGCGCAGCTAAGACTGCAATGAGACATTCGAGATACTCACACAGCTCCGGTGATTTTCATTCTTTATTCTCTCAACGGCCCGTCGTTCAATCCTGGTCGACTACTCGTAGTTGCATTTTTCTTGTAGAATGTTTGTAGAATGGATCCGCCCCACATCACTGACTCGCGTGGGAGTACTTTTTTGTAGTAGAGCAGCCCGCAAGCGTCGCAATCGCATAAAACTGTCCGCTAGACCACCAGGCCGGTGCTTATTTCAATCAGGCTCCGACATCGACCCATTGTTCATTTGTTCTCACCTACTTCTAGTCAGAGCATAGTGGCAATCACAGCGTCAGGCTAAACCCTTCCAGCTCGGCGCTCGGCATTTCGGGCCTTCCCGACGTCCGCGGAACCACCACCGTTTTGGCGCATAGGAACTTAACTCCGAGTTTTACGATGACTCCCACCTGCAACACGAAGCTGGCGCATGCACATAAATGCACTCTATGCCGCTTTGACATGCCTGCTTGAACTCCAACGCTGTCGTCCCTGGGAAAAAGACTCCCAGCCTCCCTGATCGCGGTCCCCGATCGATCGAAAATCGCCGCCCTGCCGGACTTTGGCGTCCCCACTTAAATTCCTTGCTCCTTTCCTTCTCCTGTCGTCTCAGGATCGGAGAAATTTCGCGACACTGGATTCACCATGTCGGCCAAGCGACAACATCATGATTCGTCCAGCGGCGAGTCTGTCGTTTCGGAGAAACCTCCCGTCGCGACTGCACCGCAAGAACAAACCGATATGACAGCAACCCCCGAGGGCAATGAGAAGGAGGATGTGATCGAAAAGAAGGCGTCTGGCGCTCCGCTAGACCGCACACCGTCGCAGGCAGCCAAGATGGGCAAGAAGAAGATTGTGGTCGTCATGATCGCGCTCTGCGTAAGCTATTCCAGGCCCTGGCGCATTGCGCTGGACTCCCGTGCGACTCATTTGTTAACATATGCTATTCTAGATGGCTCTATTTCTGGCGGCTTTGGATATGGTATGTACTCCCCTATGAAATCCGAGGGTCAAGCAGTTGAACTAACTTTGCCACAGACTATCATCTCAGTCGCGCTTGTCAAGATTGCCGCCAACTTTGGTGCTTCCGAGAGTGGCTACTCATGGATCGCTTCGTCGTATCTCCTTGCTAACGCGGCCTGTATTCCGCTTTGGGGCAAAATCAGCGACATCTGGGGTCGCAAGCCGATTATCCTGCTTGCCAATGTGATCTTTTTGGTTGGTAGTCTGGTCTGCGCCCTGGCGAAGAATATGGCCATGATTGTGGCTGGTCGAGCTGTCCAGGGTGTTGGCGGTGGTGGTATTATCATTCTGGCCAATATCAGTGTTTCCGATCTTTTTAGCATGAGGTATGGATTAACTTAGCCGCTAATGTTGATTGGCAAGTTACTAACGGTGAATTGCAGAGATCGACCTATGTACTACGGCCTTTTCGGCGCCACCTGGGCCATTGCTGGTGCTCTGGGACCCATTATTGGTGGTGCTTTCACCACCTCTGTTACGTGGAGGTGGTGCTTCTGGCTCAATCGTAAGTAGTTACTCCCTAATTGCGAAGAGTTTTGAACTAACACAGCTTCACAGTTCCCATTGGTGGCGTTTCCTTGGTCATCCTCTTCTTTTTCCTGCACATCGAGTCACCCAAGACCAACTTCTGGGAAGGCCTACGCAGTATCGATTGGGCCGGAACCTTCCTTATCATCGGCGGTACTCTCATGTTCCTCTTCGGACTTGAATTCGGAGGCGTCAACTACCCGTGGGACTCGGCGACCGTCATCTGTCTCATCGTCTTCGGCGTCTTTGTCTGGGGCCTTGCCATGCTGTCTGAGTGGAAGCTGGCCAAATTTCCCATCATCCCGCCTCGTCTATTCAATGAGTGGTACAATGTGCTGATCCTGATGGTCTGCTTCTGCCACGGTTTCGTCTTCATCTCCGGAACCTACTACCTTCCGCTCTACTTCCAAACCGTTCTCCTCGCAACTCCTATTCTGGCTGGTGTCTACGTCCTCCCGATGGCCCTGTCTCTTTCCGTCGTTTCCGCCATCGTCGGTGTCGGCATGAAAAAGACCGGTCGCTATCGCGAGTTCATCATTGCCGGTCTCTTCTTCATGTGTCTGGGTTTCGGTCTGTTCATCGACCTTAAGCCTTACGCCTCCTGGGCCCGGATCATCATCTTCCAATTGATTGCGGGTGTAGGTGTCGGCCCGAACTTCCAAGCTCCCCTGGTCGCATTCCAGGCCAACATCCGTCCCTCCGATATGGCCACCGCCACAGCGACATTCGGCTTCGTGCGCCAGCTGTCCACCTCGATGTCCGTCGTGCTCGGAACAGTCATCTACCAGAACGTCATGAAGACGCAGTCCAGTGCTCTCATTGCCGCCATCGGCGAAGAGCGCGCCGCCGAGATTTCCTCCTCCTTCGCCGGTGCATCCAAGTCTCTGATCCAGAGTCTGGACCAGTCTCAGCGTGACGTTGTTCTGGGCGCATTCACCCATGCCCTGAGCCGGATGTGGATCTTCTACACTGCCGTTGCTGGTCTCGGCTTCATCTTGTCGTGCTTCATTGTTCCCCGTGAACTGTCCAAGTCTCACACCATTCAGAAGACCGGTCTCGACGTGCAGGAAAAGGCACGCCAGGAGCGTCTAGAGGAGGAACGTCAGGCCCAGGGCAAGTCTGAGGCCGAGGCGTAGGCTGACATACTGATACCTGATACCCATCCCTATCTAATTTTAACGATGTTTGCTTCGGAGTTTTTACTCTTTTTCTCCGCAGCGTCGCTACTTGAATAGTATATAATAAAAGGAGTCTGGACATTCATAGAATGAAAATATAAGAATCAAATCAATCACTCTATCGGCCTCGGCCTTCGGTGTTTGCATGATTGCATATCAACTTGGTGTGTCTTCGTAGATCGTATGAATTCAGGATCTGCTCGGTCGGACAACTTTCCAATCGGCTTCTCCCGCCGCGCTTCGGGTAATTACCCCCGAGCTGTCGATCTAGGAAGTATTCCACGCTTGGCCGCAGATGAAGACAGCGCAAAGAAAAAGCGAAGAGGAAAAATTCAATGGGAGTAGTATATGAAAGAGCCTAAGATTTACCTCAGTCCTATAATTTCCAGGTAATAAAACATAGAAACCGAGTAGATCTACCAAGATCATCTCTCGACCGAGTACAGCTTGATATCGGCCCTACGCAATAGACCCACCAGGCAAGTCCGGAATCAAAAAGACACCGAACGACGCCAGGATTTATCAGCAGCGCGGGCCAAGAGGGTTGCAGAATAGATAAAAAGTGCTGTCCCTTTCCCCATCGCTTCGCATGCTAATATCCCCGTCCTCGAGTTGACCTCGAGAACAATCAAAGAAACACACCAGTCGCAGATTGGCTTAACCGGTGAGAACACAACCCAGGAATTCGCCAATTCCGATCTAATCCCGAGACCCAAATATGCAGTCGTATCTGCAGTATCGAAGACTTGGAAATGCGATTCGACCGCAGCCCGGGAATCCCCCGGCCGTCACGGCCGTGAAGGAGACGTCGAGTCCAAACGACCAAGTCTCCTCTGTTCCAACAACCCTGACGGCGAATTCACCTGCCCGGCAAGAATCTCAAGACTTCGAGAATTCCACCCCCGATTTATCGTCCGCTGGTGTCGATGTCCAGAAACAGCTCGGATCAAAGGATCAGCCGGCCCACCTCTTGATTGTCGGCTGGGAGGGCGAGAATGATCCTCAGAATCCGCGAAATTGGAGTCTATCCAGCCGGCTGACTGCTACCTTACTCGTCTCGGCATTGGGATGGGTCGTTGGAGCGGCATCTTCGATCAACTCGGGTGTTTTGCCGCAGACTACGGCGGCATTTCACGTCAGTGATGTTGTCGGGTCTCTTGTTACAGGTATCTCCCGCTTCCGAGCCCATCCAAATTTGTGCTGCTAGCAGGTCTAGTATAGAAGCTAACCAGAAGGACAGGCCTATACCTCCTTGGTTTTGCAGCCGGCTCCCTCGTCAGCGGGCCTCTCTCCGAAATTCTAGGCCGAAACGCAGTCTACACAGGCTCACTGACCCTCTTCATGATTTTCATCATGGGCGCAGCCCTTGCCCCCAACATCGGCGCCCTCCTCGCCTTCCGCTTCCTCGCCGGTATCTTCGGCTGTCCCCCATTAACCTGCGCCGGCGGCACGATTGCCGACCTATGGAACCCGCTCGAGAAAACAATCTACTTCCCCATGTACGCGGTCCTCTCCTTCGGCGGCCCCGTGCTCGGTCCCGTCCTCGCCTCCTACATGGGCCAGACGGGCGTTCTATCCTGGCGCTGGACGAGCTGGATTATCTTCATTGGATCCGGTGCGATTTTCGTGCTGATCGTTTTCTTCCAGCCGGAGACATACACGCCGCTTTTGTTGAAATGGAAGGGAAGGCAGTTGAGGTATGTCAGTGGGGATGACCGGTTTCGCTCGGAGATGGATATGGAGAAAATTGATCTTCTTGCTCGCATTGGGAGTGCGATGAAGAGGCAGTTTCTCATTACAATCCATGAACCGATTATCCTGCTTATCTCGCTGTATATGACTGTGTTGTATATTGTGTTGTTTACCTTCTTTGACGGGTACACCTGCATCTTCACAGATACATATGGTATCTCTCAGGGTCTGACGAATATCGTTTGGGTTGCCATGTATGTTGGGATTATGTTGGCTGCGCTCCTTGTGCCGCTGGTCTATCGCTGGACGAAGAAGGATTTCACGCAGGCGGCTATGGCTGCTAAGGGCGCCGACCCAATGCTTGATCCGCATGCTCTGGATGGCGTGCACACGCAGCCGGAGATCCGGCTTTGGTTTGCCATGTTTGGGGCACCTGCCATCCCAATTAGTCTATTCTGGATGGGCTGGACGGATTTTGTAAGTCATGACACCTTACTTGATGAAGCCTTTCGAGTCTAATGAAGAGACAGGCCTCGATCTCGATTTGGTCGCCCATCATCGCATCTGGATTGTTTGGGTTCGGGACTATTTGCGTCTTCATCAGCTCGTACATGTACGTGATCGACTCGTATGATATCTACGCCGCATCAGCGTTGGGCTTCATGACGGTTTCGCGGTACTGTGCTGCGGGTGGAATGACCATCGTCGGTATTCCGTTCTACCAGAATATGGGTGTTCATTGGACATTGACTATACTGGGCTGTATCAGTGCGATCATGGTTCCTGTGCCATATGTGTTCTATCGGTATGGCCCTATTATTCGGCGGTGGAGTCGGTATGCTGTTACGGAGGAGGTGAAGGTATAATAGCAGATATCCCTTTCTGATGATATCTGCTTTCAATTAGAAGGGATTACTGCAGTGTGGGATCGCTGTGGCTGATTGATAGAAAGATTGATTAAATGGATAGTGGTATACATATGACATTAGATCTAAATCACGCTCTCATTGAGGATGCTTCTTATAATGAGACATTTCGACCCATCCCTCTGGACCGCCGGGACCACTCAAGATAGTGTGAGGTGTCTCCGCCTCCTCCTCATCGAATCTGGTCACAGATGAAGCAGACGATGATGCACGGACAGTCTCGGCATCGGCGGCAGGTCCCTTATTGGACGAAATGGAAATGGTGGTAGTGACGACAGGAGTTTGACCGGACGTGGCAAGGTCCCCTCTCATCGACGCGTACTTGTTGTAACCATTGTAGTTGTCAGGGCTGCGAGAGAAGTTGCTGGACTTGATGAAGTGTCGTGTTAGGGGTCGGAAGAGTGGCCAGACGGGTGGGATCGACATGGAGATGAGAATGATCCATTCTTCGACTTCACCCCAGCGGAAAAGAATGCCGACACCATCTGTTTATTTCGTTAGTAATCGTCTTGAGGAATTGACCTGGTGTAAAACTTACATGAAGGATCATCGCTCAGAATGAATTTGGCAGCCCAGGATCTGACGATTGCCGCCGCTCCGGCAAACACCCCTAGTCCCATCAGGAAGCTCAATCCCCACTTCAACTTGCGACCGAGCCTCAGTGGGGCCAGCATCGTCACCGGGATGATGGCAAGATAGAAATCGGAAAGTGCAGCAACGGCGCCGATGAAGTAGCTGTAGCGGACACTGGTTTCGTGATGGCATTGGCCCTGTCGCAAAGGATCCCAAAGCGCGTCCGGAGGGCTGCATTGGAACCAGGCTAGCAAGATCTGGGGAATGCTGAGGATGATATTCAGCGCAGCAACTACGATCAAACTGCGTCTGGTTTTCGGGTCTGGGACGGAAACTTAGGTATGGTAAGATTGTTGAGGCAACTGGTTGAACTCACTGCTTTGCGAATTCATCTCAATCAGGAAAGCGGCCACAGCAACTTTGCCAGTCGGAATGGCCATGTTGAAGAAGAAGACGGTGATCCATGTGAAAAGCAGGTAATTGCCCAGCTGGCCAGTAGCTTCAACCACTGCAATTCTGTTTCCCAGTCCATGGAGGATCGATATGATGCCGAAGCATTGAGTGATGGTCGTCAACAACTATAAGTTGAATCAGCAACACAATCTAGAGCTCGAGTGCACGCAAGCACATACCCAGGCAATAAGCGCCCAAATCAACGCAGTGGTCCCAAATTTATTCACACGCAGTCGCACGTAGACACGCAAGATCATGAAGATAGTGGCGACAGCCCCCAGTCCGAGACCGATCCGGAGATCACCGGGCCCGCGCCCTCCATATGCAGGGAACGTCTCCTGCAATCCCATGATGGCAGAGATGGGATGAGAAGTAGCAGAATGGAGGGGCATCCATATTTAGCCATGGCCCCCTCACATCGTCGGGGGAGAGTCCAAGTCTCGGCTCTCGGCGGTTTGAGTCGAACTGATGTGAAGTGGGGAGCGAACCGGTGGATCGTGAGAGGCTTGGTGGCAGCTCGATAGATTGGCCTCGTGGCGCGAGCAAGTGGGGTCGGACCGTGCAATTCGATCCGGCGGTCTTGCCAACGGTTGTCCACGAGTGTTTCAGAGAGGGCAATTCCTCGGGCCATTTGAGTTTGTTGGCTGGTCGAACTGCCGCGTCGATTACCAACTTAAGTAAACTTTGATCGGCGATTTTGAAGACTATCTGCGACTGCCGAGGTTCAACTGTTAACATCAGTACCCTACACATATTAATGTACCTGGATTCATCCACTGTTTGAACTCGCTTATCGAGGCTGTATCAGCTGAAAACCCTGCCTCGCCACAATAAAAACGGGGCGAGGCCGGTGTAGTGATTTGATCAGCTGGGCAATCAAGATCAAGATCCAGGCCCACCCACCATGTGGCAGGCGCGCCTCTGCGCTCGCTACCTGCCTTGCCTACGCCAACTGGCGCGATCTTTCAGCTTTCGTGGGTGCCCACGGAGAGTTTCTGAGACCAGCCAGTCCGGACCTACCCCTTGCGCAATAGCCCGGAGCAATCGCCCCATGCGTCGGCCCTGAATACCTCTTTATAGAGAAAATCTTTTCCATTTTGCTCGGTCCCCACCCAAGGCTCTTTACTTTTCAATAGTCTTGTCGGGAGAACCTCAGTCATGGAAAGCACTCTGGCATCATTCTGTTAGTAGGACTTTTCAGAGTATCTTTGAAAATTTTGTCGTCGCTGCGGCTTATCATTCCCAGCAAATCTAGATGAGAAGTTAGGTGTGGTAGAGGCTTATTCCGAGCTGACGGGCTTGTTTCAGCGCTGGCAACTCATTTCGTTAAGATCAATAATTATCATGGGGACTTGCAAAACTTAAGCTGGAGTCGTTTCACCTTGTGGTTAAACCCTTCAGCTTTCTCTGGGATACGGACTGGAGGATACGGGCTGGAGAAATCCATGTCAACGGGAAATATCTCCGGTCGCTCTCGAACTCGTACCACGATGGGAATATCCACCTCTATCGAAATGCTTTCGGGAATTTTCCCCGTCTAGAAGAGACTGGAAGCCCAATGGAAGTTTTCAACCCCGCAACTCCCAACTGCGCATCTTCGCACTGGGCCTAAACTAGTGTTGCATGCATTGGTTGTTGTTTCTGCATCACATGTAACTCAGTAATGCGTCGCACATCTGTTCTAGAAAGCATCATGATTCAGTCTAAACTTAGGCTCGTTGGCAGTCTTTAGACTTGGAATTCTTTTCGCTGTCCCAGCATTACTACCATCCATGAAGAGGGCGGTAAAGGATTCGGTAAAAGCGTCATCAGACGATAACTTGTTGTATGAATAATTAGTCAGGGTGGTGTACTGGAGTCCTACATCAACGTAGTCTCTGTTTTGAAACTTGGATTTTTCCCCCTAGATCAGTCACACGTGGCTTATGGAAGCTCGTCGATTAAAGTCTTGTTATGGCCAAGTGATAGTGTGGAGTTGACTATCTATTGTATCCCTGCTGACATATCCCTTTTGAAGCCTGTGGCATTCAGATTGCAAAAAGATTGAACTCATAGAAACAATTTTTTTCAAAGTTGGACATATGCTTATTGTCTTGACCGTGGAGCTTACAAATGTACATAATCAATGGCATTGGCTGAGCATAGTAAAGGGTCACGTGATATATCACCGCCCATCTCTAGATAGCAAAGATCTTGCCCCTCTCACCTTCCCAGGCACCTCTGGGACGGTTCTTTCCACGCATATCTCTCTCATGCCGTGGGCCTAGTCGCTTCGCTTTTCAGCAATCAAGCCCGAACAATCTGATAAGGACGCCAGCATATCGTCGAGCCCAAACCCTTCCAGCCATCTTGGCAATGATCTGCATCGAAAAAACAGAACAAGTGTGCTTACGCCAAGCCATAGCCTGACCAGACTAAACCAGAATCGAGATAGCTGCTCCTTTCTGCGTTGGAACTTGAACTTGCAAAAGGAAAACCATGGCTGGTACAAGTAATTCCGCATATCTCTTGTTCCTGGCAAGGGAGGTTTGGCTTGCGGGAACGGTCATGGGAATTGGCCTTTGAGTATATCTTCCCCTGACGACCCTTGACCAGGCCGTTGAGCCCTTGTGGAACCCCATGCCGTCGTGTCCTCGGAATTCCACTCGTATTTGGGACAGAGTGCTCCACATGCTGGACATCTCAGTGGCCTGTTGTGCACCACCCTGGAGTTTCATCCAACATTGAGAATGGCGATCGATCCGATCGAAGGCATGCCTGATCGCCTGGTTCGCATGTTAAGACTCATTGCAGATACTTCAAGATGATCACTATCGCCGTCGAGACACTCGCACTTGCTGAATGATAACGATACGGATATATCACCCGCGCGGTTTCCATCAATTTCCCCGTCAAGAACACACTAGTTACTAGCGACATGATTGGTGTTCTTCTGCAGCAATGCCTGTCCAAATTCATTTGATGATCACCCTCGCCAGCCCACCAAATTTTCGGCCCCCAGGTCAATTTGAAGAACGTGGCCACTGATGTTTATCAGTTGCCTTTTCAACACTGGGGCGTAAGACCTAGCCTTTATTCTGACTGTACTCCACCATCACCTTAAGGTCCCTGCTTATCCTCTCGCCCCCGTCACCCGCCCCTCTCCACAACCTTGCTCTTCCTTCTTCAGCCTTTCGACACGATGTTTTCGACGCGGAGGCCGTGGTCTTTGCTGGGCGTTTTGGCGATCTTCTTCTGCGCGACGTCCTGTCTGGCTGCCAGTGATAGTCGCAAATGCTATAACCCCGACTCGTCACAAGCGACCGCAGATGTCCCTTGTACGGATGATGATGTTACCTTTTGTTGCAACAAGGGCGACATCTGCATGTCCAATGGGCTATGCTATCTCCAGCAATCGTCGGGATTCGCATTGTCGCGAGCAAGCTGTACCGACCTAAGCTGGAGCTCGTGCGGCTCCTATAAATACTGCTGTAAGTTGTTCCACACGAGCTCTTTCACACTATCTCGAGATCCAAACTCACACCGCCGATAGACGACTACAACAAGAACTCCGGATTCCCAATCGTTGCCGCAAACTTCGCCGGAAATAAGACAGTCCACTGCTGCGGCACGGCTACCTACGACAACGGCACTGTCAGCTGCCCCATGAGCTCGGTCTCCGTACCTGTCGGAACCGTCATCCCAGGCCGCGCCGCTCTCGCAGTCAGCTCCACATCAAACTCCACAAACTCCTCTTGTCCTGACTCCAGCTCTGGGTCTAGCTCCAGCTCATCATCATCATCTCGGGAAACAGCCATCGGAGCCGGCGTTGGCGTGCCGCTTGGTGTCATTGCGATTGCTTCGTTGGCATGGGCTTTTTGGGAGCGCAGAGGTCGGGTAAGAGCTCTTGCGCAGGCACAATCTGCTCAGAGTGTTTCTGTGTACCCAGATACTGCGCAGCCGCAACAACAGATGGCGTATTACTCGCGGCCTGCCGAGTTGGGGGCTCCTTCTGCGGAGTTGGGAGGTTCTGAAGCGGCGACGGAGTTGAGTCATGAGGCGGGTCCGAAGCCTAGCGGTCACCTCTTAAGTTGAGTACTGTGCTAGCTAGCTATCTGGATACAATTATATACTGTAAAAGCCACGTGAAGCGAACCCCCTGTTGAGAGCGATACACGATACCACGGATTTAAAACTTAATGTACCTATTCTTTTGCATTCATCCTATAATAAATCCGACGTCCAATTCATGTTATTGACAACACATAAACGCTATTCATCATTCACAGCCGCAAAAATTCTCCCCAAAGCCTCCGCAAGATAATCTCTAGGTTGAGAGAAAACAATCCTAAACCACCCATCCTTCTCACCCCCGAACAGAGCACCTGTCGCCAAGAAAACCTTTCTCTGCAACAAATTCTGCATGACCTTCTCTCCAACCTCCGTCATCTCGGAAACACCAGGATGCAACTCGCGATACTTCTTCCCCAGATCAACCCACAGGAAAAACGCAGCATTGCAACCCGGTGCATACTGAATTCCCTGACTCTTCAACACCCCAACGCTGTACGCATATGATTCCGCCAGCCGTCTCTGATTCTCCTTGATATACGAGTCTGTGTAGGCAAAGTCCTCCAGAAGAAGCGATATCAGATGATCCGAGATCCCGGATGTATAGGAATACAGTGAGATCCCCTTCATCGCCAGATGAAAGGACTCATTGAATTGGGAAATGATCGCTCCGATGCGGATTCCGTTCGCGCCAAAGTCCTTGCTCATGCCCCAGAGGACGTGGACTAGGCCGGGATCGATGATCCCACGCAGATCAATCGACAATGCAGACTCGAATTTGACTGGCGGCGGATCCTGATCTACTGTATTCTCCCACACGGATAAGGCGTAGATCTCGTCGCTTATCAGGTTCACTTGGTACTTCTGGCACAGCTGCATCAATTTGATGATTGTTTCGCGGGGGTAGCAGCGGCCGAGTGGGTTGTGCGGGTGGCAGAGCATCAGGCCCCGGACTCGTTTGCCGGTACTTTGTTGGAAGTCCAGGATCGCTTTTTCGTATTTATCCACCGCCGCGAGGCTGAATGGATCGACGTCATCAAAACTTACTGGGACGACCTTGGCACCAGGTCGGAGGGAGATATCCTGCATGAACATGCCGTAGTAAGGACGGCCGAGCAAAATGCCCTCGCCCGGATCAGCGAATGCCCAGGAGACGTGCTCGATGGCGGTAGAAACGCCGTTCGTGACAACGATGTGATCCGGTTCAAGGGGGGTAAGTGGGTGAAGGTGATGGTTGAGGAATTTGCACATGGCCTGTCGGAGCTTGACGGAGCCGCCACCGCCGTCGTTGTATGTGAGATATTTGGCCGACATCTCGAGTTCCTTGTTGAGGAATTGCAGGAGTTCTTCGTGCATCAGGGCGTTCTCTGCTACGCCGACGTTAACGTAGCCGTCTGGGTTGATGCTTGGGTGCCATGGGTTGTTCATGATGTCCCACATCAAGCTGCTGGAAGTGGCCTCTGAGACAGTCTTTGCCCGTTGTGAGAGCACCGGGCTCTTGTTCTGTGTCGTCATTGTTGATATTCACTGCTCACTAGTGATCTGAGGGATGGTTGTTGGGAAGAGAGAAAAATCTGATACGTGCAAAAGTTTAAGTGGGATGCTGGCAGTCCCTTCATGTAAGGCCGCCTCTGGCTGCACAGGTCTTTGAGGCTTAAGTAGATTCCGATCTCGAGCCCCTTGATTCACGATTGAATCGAGCTTGGCCTAGTGGATATGAAGTTCGTGAGATTCACGGCTAGCATCGGAACCATCGAAAGCCGAGTCGATGTGGGGACCATCGCCGAATGCAGGGCCTTCAACACCCTATTGTTATCCGCACATCACAATTCCTAATCGGCAAAAATTCTCCAGAAACGAAATTGTTTATTTTGATCGAGTAATTGAATTTATTTATCATCAGTTATCTTCCGTGCCTTCACCCACAACCCATGCCCGGCAGTGATTCGGCCTCTGATCCCCCCGTACCAAACGCTGAATATGAAGAAATCACTAATACTAACATAATTAACCGAGCATCTGCTCCTGCTTCGCACCGGGGATAGCAGGCAGGTACGAGGGACGATCCTTGACGTAGAGCTCGACGTCAATCTTGCCCTTCAGGTGCGCGTCCTTGTTGTCCAGAGTACCGGCCTTGACGCAGGTCTCCTTGGGCATGATTTCTAGCTCGGTGTAGATGCTGGATCCGCAGGTCGGGCAGAAAAAGTGCTTGTTGATCTTGCCACTGGCGCCGGTCGCATCGTAGGAGGTGCAGTTACCTATCCAGTGTGAATGTGATGCAGAGTGTGATTCAATTGGGTTTGCGGGACGTACCCTTGGTGACCTTGAAGCTGGTGCGGGGAACGATGGCGTTGGACGTGAAGGCGCCTCCGGTCCACTGTCGTGTGTTAGTATTTTCTTTTTCTTTTTCTTTTTCTTTTCCTTTTCCATAACAGTAGAGGAAGGACGCGGCATACCTTCTGGCAATCCGTGCAGTGGCAGAGAGCACTCAGGTACTCATCCACTACATCCGATGATTAGCCCCGCTTCGAACAACGAAAGAAAAATAGAGGCATTGTGACATACCCTCAGCGGTGTAGTGAACACCGCCACACATGCAGCTGCCAGTCAGAACCATTATGTCCGAGTAATTGAAAGTTAAACTTCGTTGGCGTGGACCTTGGTGGAATCAAAGGATGAAGTGAGGGGGAGGGCAGCTTTCCGCACTAGGACGATTTATACCACGCCGGCTCGGGATTTGGTCTCCCGGTTCAATGCTCCAATCGCCGAGGCTGTGCTTCTGGAGTCGTCCAGGGGGCTCTTGCTAGCTGTGCGTTATTGGTCTGCGGGGCCGAAGTGAATTTGTCGGCTTGGTGCGACATTTGCTTTTGTGCTTGTGTCTCAGCCTTGCGTCAAAAGTTCCGCTAGTGTTGTATGGCGCAGTGCGACGTCGACTTATCTGACAATGTTGCTGTCAACAACACTTCTTTGATAGCGCCGAGTTGATATGAATGTTATTCTTAGGTAGATATGACATTGGAATTGTGGCAGAACTTGACATTGCTGTCCATAATAAGCCTGTATGTACACCGTCCAAACGTGCAAAATTAACGCCAGATTCAAGTATCGGACACAGAAACAATTTTGAACGAGCCAATATCAGAAAAAAAGCGAAATGGAGAAAAGAAAAGAAGTTGGAAAAGAAAAGTATCCTCAAGGAAAAACATACAACATAGAAGATCATCAAATAAGCACGATAGAAAGGAAGGGAATGAGAGGATGGTATAGAACTGGGGTATAAAGTGCAAGAAGACCCTGAACCCAACCAAATCGAAAGCGGAACCAAACGGTTGTGAGAGGCGTGGTGGGAGGCTGTAGGCGTGTAGATATCAGCCAGGATATCATCAAGTAGGGTGATGCGTTCTGAATATACAAGACTTGAACGTATCAAAGGATATAGACGGTCGAGCATTCCAGCTGCGCTTTAAGTTTTGGGTTTTTTGCTTGCTCCCTCATCCGACGGCCCACTGTCCGGGGTCTTGCGTTTCTTGTCCTGTTCGTCTTCCCGGGCAAAACTGGGCCCGCTTTGCAATGCGGGCGTTGGGAAGGTGAGTGGGCTCGGGAGCAAGTTCGAGTCTGGTCCGGTCCGACCGAAACCCCATTCGGGGAAGAAACTGGATGGTGACGGGAGGAGATTATCGGAGACAAATCGACTTGGTAACGCGGAGAGTGGCGTTTCGATATTGGTGGAATTATTGCCACTGTTATTGTTCCCCGTGTTGCCGTACGAATTATTTTGCGAGGCCGTTCCTGGGGGTGGCGGTCGAGCAAATGGATTAGGAGGCCCCTGGGCGCCAGCGCTGAGAATCGCCCCGGCTGATGGTGATGGAGGCGGCAAAACCACGCCTCCTGCAGGTGGATTATCTTTCGCGGGAGTCACCGTCTTGTTCCCCGCCGAATCGCGTGAGGATGATCCCGCCGTTGCACTGCCTTGATCGGAATTCTCGCTTGGTATTTGCACCTTCAGTACCGGTCGTTTCGATGTCAAGGGTCCGCTATTTGTCCGAGATGGAGGCTTGATATCTGGCGTTGAGGACGCTCGTGGGGGCTCGACTGGAGCGGCCGGCGGCTTTAATTTGGGAGAGTTTTCTTGGGATGTCTCCGTTTTCGGTTCAGCTCGCGGCGATTCATACATGGGAGCTCCTCCAAAGTGGCGTGCAAGGACCGATCCGCGATCATCGATGGGTGTAAAGATGCTGCGAGACTTGGAGAACGATTTTGGCTGGGGCGGTGACTGGCTCTGCTCCGGTTTCAATACACCCGGTGCATTATCCTGTGAGTTCTCAGGAACAGGCGCAGCGCGATCCTGCTGGTTCTCTTGTCCGTAGGAAGGTGGCATCGATCCCCTGCCTTGATCTGGCATATACGCTTGCGTCACCTGCTGAACTGGGGCATGCGACCCTGGTGGCATCCCCATAGGCGGGGGACCGACTGCATGTGGATGTTGGAAATGCTGAGGTCCTTGATGAGGCTGCATCGGTTGAGGCGGAAGTCCGTGTGGGTGGTGCATTGTCTGAGGTGGCGTTCCTTGCGGGGCGGGCGGGGGATGGGGATGACCGTAGGTCTGATACTGTCCAGGACGCGACTGACCCATTGCAGAATGGACGTTTGGATTATACATCGAGGGATTGGGCATATATGCAAACCCGTTCTGCGGGGCCGGAGGCGGAGGTGGTGGTGTTCCATGCTGGTGTGGTCCAAGGTTTGAGCTGACACGACGGATGTGATTTCTCGAAGACGGGCGGGAGAGACTCTGGGATTGCGGGGTACCATGTCGCGTTATCGTCATGCCGTTGGGGATTGGAGGCGAGGCGGAAGGGGCGTGGTTGATATGCTGGAATCCTGTCTGATGCAAATGAGGTGGAACAGCAGGGGGGCCCTGTTGAACGGCCTGCAAGTCCTCTGGTGCCGGGGTCGCCTCATCATCTTCGTCATCATCTTCACGCTTGCCCGCAAAATCGTCGGGTCCTTTGTGTTCGTGGGGTGGACCAAACTAAATGGCAAAATGTTAGGAACGATGCGCCCGTGGTGGATCAGGCGATATAAAAACTCACGTATTGGTAGCGACCCAAGGCTTCCGGCATATCACACGACGAGTACTCGTATAGTTTCTTGTTATGGCCGAAGATGATCACCGCGACATCGACAGAACAAAGAACAGCGAGCTCATGCGCCTTCTTGAAGAGACCACCCTTTCGCTTTAAAAATGTGCTGTATCATGAAGATTTTTTAGTCTGCACTCTTCAAATATTCTCTGGGTATTCAGATGAAACCGCACGGGTCACTTACACTGAGCGATTGCGGTCATCTTTGATCGCTTTGATCTCAATCTTTCTGCGACCCATGTTGAGCGGTTATGGGCGCACGATGCGCGCGCGGCGAACGGTGTAAGCAACGAGCGAACGAAGTGGACTTGCGGGTTATCTCGCGCTTCTCGATCACAGGGAGCAACTCGGACGCGATCTCGAGTCCAGTCGCGCAATCCGACACCCGGGGATGTAACTTCTAGTATAGAGCGAGGTGGTGGTGTTTTGGCGCGCGGGTGGAGGAGCCTTGAAGACAATGTCTGAGGCGATGGCGGAGAACAAAGGGGCCGGGGGAGATCACACGAAGGGCAGACAGAGGCGACGCGGGTGGACAAGGATTTGGAGGAAGGGTCCAAGAGGGACTTAGGATACCGTGGAGAACCGATGGGGGGCTGATTGACGATGCAGAAAAGGTTGATTCTAAAGATAGAATCGAAGGGGGAGAAGACGGGAAAGAGAGGCGGGGCTGACTCAGCATGCACGGGCCAGTTCTACGGTCACATCTACAGACACCACAGTACTTATGTATACGACCCTACTATGCGATAGAATACAATATGGAGATATTATCGAGTAGTTCGGCTTTGAAAAAAAGCTCGTATTAAGTACCAATTCAAATACATGCTGCTCTTATTTGTAGTCTGATATCCGCCCTGTGGTCAGAAAACTACTGGTCTTCAGTCCTGTCGCTGCGACCGGTGTTAGATTGATGTGTGATGACAATCTGCTAGTACCTTTTATCTCTTAGCGCGGGTTTCGTCACATAAAATCGTATGGACTAAGGATATATCTAATATTAGGGCACTTCAATTTGGTCAAGTAGCTTACTCGGTCAGACAAACTACAGTCTGTTAGCGATACCAGCCATCAATATTTCACCTCGACTCCATAGACTTGGCCCATACAATTGTATACAGCTTTATGTACTGGTAGAATCCGGTCTCCACGATTCGGCTTAAAGTGCACCCAAGACGTGACCAGAAGGGCATGCATGCATGCGGTACCTTACGCAGGCAGAAGATGGGCAAGATGGGCCGACAGCTACCCTGCTCATAACACTGATGCTATACCCACCAGCGTGAGTTTGGGTTTGGATGGGGGATTGAGTTATGGGGGGTCGGTGTTTCCACACTCTCGCCATGGCTTCGCTCATATAATACAGAACTAGAACCTTGATCAAACATGGTGCCAGTTTCGGCGCTGAATACCCCGTGGGCTATGGTCTTGATGACCGTCAGGTTGATTGCCCAATCACCTATCTCCAGCTGGTCAGTTACCTGGCCATCTATCCAGTCAGCTTCGTGATCGGCTGTCTGGATAACTATTCTGTTTGCCAAGCTTCCTGATTCTCATTCCATGAAGAACATGGTCTCGAGATTTTCGCGAGAGTAGTGTGTAGTGTACCGTACTCCGACATCGTACCATACATGCCTAAATAGGAGCCCTGTACCTGTTGCGTCATCCGTTTCCGGCATTACCACAATCTAAAATAACGCCACATATGTCCAATCTATATACTAATGCGTTTGTACCTAGGAGTCTTACTCGCATTCCCACCCTCTACTGAACATCACATCTATCCGAGTCTTCCCTTTGCCGACAGAGTGGGACCCACAATGAGCCACTTTCTGGCAGCGGGCTGAGAGGCCCGGGCTGTCTCAGCCAGCAATTTACATTCCAGCGCCTCATTTAACTGGCATTATTAGGGCCTTTCGGTCATTGGCTCTGCTGGGCATGCGATCTCTGACGTCAGCTATGGGGCCTGGCCTGAGCTCGCAGAAGTGGGCAGCTAATTAGTATATTGTCAATAGTTCAAGAGTTTATCGAGTTAATCTATGCCCGATTGGAGGGCGATCGCGGGGATGCACAGATTGTGGGATCTTCGGGGACGACAGCTCGGAGGATTTTGCGCTCCAACGGCAGGGTCCATGCAAATTGACAGGTCGTGCTCTTCTTGTCGTACTGTTGATGTATCCAACTCGGTAGGCGAGTCGGCCATCAGCTAGCCGAGAATTAGTACCTCCGTACTACTCAGCTACTAGTAATTACCTGCCTAGGGTAAGTACATTTGTGCAGACAATTGCCAGTGTCGCTACACCCTCCAGTACCCTAAAGTACTAGTATTTGATTAGTAGTCCGCTATCCAGCCCAATGCCGCCCGAACAGCAGTGGGGATGCCCTACGAAACCCTGGATCATAACGCCCGCGTTGAGATGATGATCGCCCGCATCATCCACTCCGCACACACTGCTCTATTTACCTACCTTGGGGTATACTCCAATCCCTCCAGCTACCACTCTCTGAGAATACCATCGACCGAATATCTTCGGCATTGCAATATTCTTGAATGAACCTCATTCCCTGGTAGGTGCTGTTTCGTGTTTCGATCTGCTGCGGGGCGGTCGAGACCCTCGTCGATTCGTATTGGGCGAATTTACCCCTGACTGGAAGGCATCGCGTCTCGACCGTTTTCTGTCTCTTTTTCTTTGGCGCCCCTTTTCCTTCGATCACATCTTGTCTCTCCACACGTTCCTTGATCTCTGTTTCTGTTTCCGAGCACAGACTTGCCAGGGGATCCTTTCTTTTCCGCCTGCGCTGCTCCGGGGCTGCAGGCCATCCCGGATCGTTTTTCCCAGCCCGCCTCCCTTTAAAATTACCACGCCTCCCTGGACCATTTGGCAAATCTTCTAATCGCGGTTGCAGAGGCGTCGACACGTCCGAAACAATCATAAATCAGACAAAAAAATCAACAGCCAGCAAAAAAAGAAAAAAATACAAAAACACCGTCGATTGCGGCATTGCTCCCCGGACATCGTCAATTCGAGCTCCCTCCGCGACGATGCCCTTCTTCTCGCGCGTCTTCCGGAGCAAGGACTCCAGCGCGGCCAAGAAGCAGGCGAAACCCGCGACCACGACCGACCCGACCCCTGCGAGGCCCAAATGGACCGACGCCTGGCAGCGCACCGAGGTGGCGCCCGAGGAGGTGGCCGACCTCGTCCGCGGCTGTGCGCAGGAATTGAAGGCGCGAGGTGAGCATTCCCAACCCAACCATGTGGTGGCACTGACCACGCAGAGTCTCCTTCCTTCCCCGGATTGCTGATCATTCGTCCATGTAGCGCTTGACGTCCCCTTCCTCCTCCTTCCCTTCCGCCCAAGCTCCGATCCCAGCGCCGCCCGCTCCTTCGTCCGCAACTATTTCAACCAGTCCTTCGAGAAGGGCGCCCCGATCACCGGAGATGCCCTAATGCAGGAGCTGCGGCTGAATGAGCCGATGGTAAGACGCCACTCTCGGAGCATATAAAATGTCAAATGGGACGACTAGGCTGACTTCAAGGTTGTCAACATCAGGTCCTTTGCAGTGTCTTGAAATGGTGCTGGAGCCGCTTGCCCGGTGGTGTCGTGACGTGGGAGGCATATGAATTGTTCAAAGTTGGCGAACAAGGTATGATTCATAAGTGGACAAGCTTCGAACGCAGGGGAGCCGCAGGGGAGCGACATGGGCTAAACTGGAAAAAACAATATAGATTCGGATCTGGCCCGCGACGCCTTCTCTACGTTCATTCCAATCAGTGTTGACTCCGACGCCCGCACCAAAATCATCAATGACTTCTTCGATCTGCTCGCAGCTATTGCTGCGCACGGCAAGTCCAACGGTCTGGGAGGTCGCAAGCTGTCCCGCTATGCAGGTTGGTGGGCTTTTGAGCATACCGACACTGGCGGTGGCTTTGAGGCCTCCTATAAAAACTGGGCTGCGTAGGTTTCCCCCCCCCAGGCATTGAAATCCTGCTGCGACAGTCTTCTAACTTTTTATTGTACAGTGCGGCCGATGCCACCAGCCATCTTTTCTTCGCCTATCTACGCTCGCTGACTCCCGAAGTGCCGCGCGGTGTGACTGGTATCTCCTCGCTGCCTATTTCCCTTCAGTCCCTGGTCGAGGCAACCGAATATCCCCCGAGACCCCAACACTCCTTCAGGTGACGACTACTAAAGTTGTTATGATTGTCGACACTGTCTCACCGACCCCTTTCTCTCTGCTGCGCCGCGCCAAGAACTTTGAATACCGGGACGAGCACTGGCACCTCCAGGAGTTCTCCAATTATGAAGACCCCATCAAGGCATTGACCGATGAGTGTCTGCGTGTGTTGAGATGTATTTCTTCGACCAATGAGTCCAGTGTGTCCACCTCAAAACACTCGACTAGTCTCCGCGATGCATCATGGTCTCGATTTGAAGATATTGGTTTCGGTGGCTCCATCGAATCGGATCCGGAGGATGAGGAGAACCAGCACCCGACAGGAACCAAGAGTGAACCTGCTGCGAGCCTGAGGACCGCGCCCCAATCCCAAGGAGGAGATCTCGGACGTCCCACCACTCCATCCTGGGCAGACTTTATGTCCTCTGGGTTCTCTGAGGAAAATAACCTCAAAGATCGCGTGGGTCCTTTGCTGCTGCCCCCGGACAAGGTTCTTCCTCCCATCGCTGCCACCCGTGGCCAGAGTTCGCAGTCGCATAAGCGGAACTTGGAAAGTGAATCTTCATTAGAGCCGGCCGAGCTAGCCAGCATCAACACGTTGGATCTGGACGACTCCTTCTGGTGGGTGTGGATCACCAGTTTGTCTGATGATGAGCCTGCCACCCGCAAGGCCGTGTTCGGTCGCTGTGCCCTTCTGGAGACCGTCATTCGGGAGACCAAGTGGCTGGTTCTGGAGGAGCAGGTCAAGGGTGCCGCTCCCGAGCCTGAGGCTGGCGCGCAAATCGTCGAGAAAAAGCGCTTCTTCAGCTTCGGCAGTCGCAAGGGTGGAAAGTTGAGCCGCCGTAAGTCGTCGGCGAAGAAGGTCAACTCCATTGAAGATTCCTATAAGCGTCCCAATAACCAGGCTCCGCAAAGCAAGACCAGCATCGGGCCTGATCAGCACAAGCGGATTCAGGCTGCCGCTGCGGCTCTGCAGAAGAAGAACCGTGAACAGGAGGCCGAAGCCAAGGATCCTAGCACTGGCACTGGCACTGTGCGGGAAAACTACTCCACCAAGACCAACTCGGTCATGACCCTTCAGCCGGCTATCGTTAACGAGGCCTCGTCGGCCTTGAAGTGGACGAAGAACTATGACAAGAATGCCTACCGGGCTGCCTACCTCAGTGACGTCCGTGCTGGTACCGGTGCCCACGGTGAAGACAAGGAACCTGCTGAAGAAACCCAAGAGCCGGCAGCAGAGAAGCCCTCGACGCCTTTGGCGGCTCTGCCTCCGACAACATCCAAGTCGGGACCCCCTCCTCCTCCCAAGGATACCGCTGCTGTGGTCACACCCCTGCCACCTTCTCCTGAGCCGGCCAAGAAGACTTTTGAGGAGCCAACACTGCAGTTTGAGAAGACCAACTCCAAGACGGTTGTCGTTGAGGATCCCGTTGAGACCCAGCCGAAGCAGTCTTTCGACGAGTCGAGCAAGAAGCTCAAGAAGAAGACCGGTAACACCGGCGGTTTCAAGGGCATGTTCGGCACCGGCAAGAAGAAGGGCGAACAACCCCCGATGAAGAGCACTGGCGCTAAGGAGATCACTTCTGTGGCTGCTGCCCGCGCTGCCCTTGAAGCCAAGGCCGCGGCCGTCCAGGACTCGACTACCTCTTCTCCCAAGCCTGCGCCTGTGAAGAAGAAGCCTGTTCCTGAGAAGCCTGCAACTCCTGTTACTTCCGTAACTGTTCCCGTGGAGTCCCCAGGCTCGAAGGCTGAGAAGCCATCGACTCCTCAGCAAGCTCCTGAGTTTCCTGAGCAGGCTCGTGTGGCTTTTTCCCCTGCTGGCAGTGGCGGTCCTCCCCAGACCCGTCACGCCGTTGAGTGTGACGCTATGTCTCGTGTTGACACCAATGAGCGCAACGCTGCCGATCAAGAGTTCTCCAAATTCGACCAGGGCCCTCTTCTGGACCAGCCTGCCTTCGTCACGGCTGACTCCCCGGTGGAGGCCACTTACGCTGAGACCAAGCTCCCCGAGACTCCGACCAATGGTCACGATGAGAAGGACCAGGTCACTTCTCAGGCTGAGCCCGTTGCTGTAGAGGAGAACCGGTGGGCGCAGATTCGTAAGAATGCTGCTGAGCGCCAGGCTGCTGCTGCTGCCACTACTACCGAGGAGCCCGAGGCTCGCGTCAGCCAGTCTGACCGATCTGACGAGGGAGACACCAGTGCTGAAGAGTGTAAGTTCATCACCGACCATCAATATACTCAAGTATAGCAGAATAGAAGTCAAGATGTTAACAGCTCACCAGCCATTGAATCACGTGTCGCTCGCATCAGAGCTCGTGTCGCCGAATTGACTGGCAGCACCGAGCCCCCTCGCTAAACCGAAATATTTAATTCCGAGAATAATTCCCTTCCATATGTCGTTCTTCGCTATTCACCAAATTCCGCTTTCCTTTTTGCGTCGCGTCGAGGTTCAAGTACCGTCTATGTACCCACCTCTCGCCATTCTCGCATCCATTCCGCCCGAAATTCCTCTACTTCTTCTCATTTAGCTTCTCGAGCCAGTCTGTCTCCTTGCTGGATTCTTGCGAGCCAATCGCTGCCGCCGGGCTTGGACCAAAGGCAGAGATACGATTGAACGGAAATCTTGAACGTTCAAGGCTGCGATCTTCTTTCTTCCAAAATTTTCCGACTATTTCTGAATTTTCGGCCCGTGGCCGTACCGATATCCGATATTTTCTTGCGATCTATTTCTTTGATCTTGTGGTTCTTTCACCTCGGCCTATGCTTCTCGTGCTCATGCTTTCTGCTTTGTCTTGCTCTATTCCCCTTTTGCTACTGAATGCCCAGCCGGTTCGGTTCAGCTTTACTTCAGCTTGCTACAATGTTAATCGCTTTGATTAATCCGATGGATGGTTCGGTACTACCGTGAGTAGCAAGTAGTCCGTCAATCAATATCATTCATTTCAATTTGATTGTTATTCATCATAGATCATTTGCTTAGGCCGCTGATCCTATACGAACTTGAGGTACAGCACTATGTGCGATAGTACTTAAAGCCCCAAAGCCTTGAGCAATGCCTCACCAACCCCAGCCGCAGAAGCAGGGTTTTGACCCGTAATAAGCGGTCCTCCAATGCCGGCTGTGGTCTCGACACAAACCTTCTCTCCCCAAGGCTCAGCGGCCTTGACATACTTGCCGCCGGAGATCTTATCAAGCTCCGTCTCCAGCATAAACGGCATAGCGGCAGACAGCTGCACCTGGTCCTCTTCGTCGTTCGAAAAACCAGTCACCGTCTTACCGGAGATGAGAGCCTCACCAGAAGGCGCCTTGGTGTTCAGGAAGACGCAGGGAGCGTGGCAGACGGCGGAAATGGGCTTCTTGGCCTTGGCGAAGGTTTCGATGAGGCCGATGCTGGTTTGGTCGTTTGTGAGGTCGAACATTGCTGTTTTATTTCGAATGTTAGCCATTGCCTGTGGTTTCTTTGTACACTAAGGTAATGCGGGGCATGCTTACGGCCATGACCACCGACGTAGAAGATGGCGTCGAATTCGCCGGCGCGCGGAACAATGTCGGCCAGCTTGTGGGTTTCCTTCCAGAGCTTCGACTGCTGGGCTAGGAATGTTTGGGAGACCTCGTCTGACTTAAACATTTCCACTGACGACGGGTCGAGGGGGCTTCGCCGCCCTTTGGCGAGGCAATGGTGAGGTCGACCTTGCCATTGAGGACGTGGTGGGGGTGGGCGAATTCAGGCTGGAATAATTTATATTAGTTGATCTGGTCTTCTTGTGTACAACTAATATTGCAGCATGCAATTGTTGTAATTGATGCGTGAAAAGACCCTTGCCAAGTGGCAGGGATAGCTCTGCATGCTGATTGTGGGGTTATGGACTGCAGAACTCACCAAGAACCAGCCGGTTGGTTTACCGGTGGAGGGGATAGTGTCGTGGGAAGTAAGAACGACGAGAACTTTGGGTGCCATTTTGAAATTGATTTTGAATAATTACTGAGAGTGCTAGAGGAGAGATAGGGAGAAATTCGAAGGGGAGGGAGCTCGAGGGTCTTCAGGAAGAAGTGGAGCCAGCGATATCATCCACTCGTCATCGCTCCACCTGCTCCTTTCGTGCGCTGATCTTTCGACCTTGCCGAATCGGGATATGGTACTTGGGTAGCACCTTGAGGCGGTGTGAAGCAGGTATATTGAGGAGGTATATATACATAGTGACGGCGGAGAAGTGCATCTCTTTGCATATATGCTTGGCTTCTATGTATACGATACTGACAATGCGCTAGGTCATTACCCATCCTTCATCAATCCAAGACAGTCAGACTGATCTATCTCCTCTCATACCCTAGGGTATCCCATCCCATCATCATCATACACAAACAACCGCATAATAGCCTTCGCAACCTCAACCCCATCATGCTCAAGATGCGCCGTCTCCGCCGCCCGATCCGCATGCTCAAGATCCTTAATCCCACCCCCATCAACCCGAATTTGAATCTGCCGCTTCACCATATCCTCATCAAACGCCAAATGCGCCTGCGATGTGAATAGCCGGTTCGCAATATACAATCCCTGAACAGGCGTATGCTCACTCCGCCCCCAGCACGCAACCTCCGTATCTGGAGAAAGCAACGACCCCGCAGTCGCAGCGCTCGGCATCTCAACAACCTGGTCTTGATGCATCTGGTGCAGGTATACAAATGCCTCGCACGTCCGGAACAGCCGCTGTCCAACAGGCGTGAGGTCAATGCGGGAGTGACCGAGTTCCCAATCTCGGGAGGGCGCGGGTCCGACAGTACCGCCGAGCAGACGGGCGAGGAGCTGGTGGCCGAAGCAGACGCCCAGGAAGTGGAAATCGGGTCGTTCGATCCAGAGCGTTCGAAGGAGGTCTAACAGTTGCAGGATCCAGTCGTTGTTTCCGTGGGCGTCGTAGATGCTGCCGGTGATGAGCAGTCCGTCGAAGCAGTCGAAATCTTGCACTGTGGGCAGCCGGCCGCCGCGTTCAGTTACGACAAAGACTTGGTCTGTTTCCACGCCGAGGGGTGGGTGGTGCGCAAGTCCGGCTTTGGTGAAATGCTCGTGGACAATGCGGCCGAAGGAGCCTCGCGCTGAGTAGGTGTCTGGGTGAGGCAGGTCGGTCTCCAGGACCATAAGGCGGATGACGTGCGCCGAGGGGGTGGGTTTGGAGATTTGATCCATACTGTGTGTGTTTCTGCTGGGCTCTCCCTAATGCTTTGATGATATGACAAAAAGTCCAGTGATTGTGTTGTGCGGAAGAGTCCTTGACGTAACTTGGAGATTGCGATACAGCGCCCGGTGTTCGCAGGGACGTAATTGCTCTAGGTACCAATGCCAAGTTACTCGGCACTTCTATGTCGTAGGGGCACCACGATGTTCATAGAAAAATGGTCCACTGCCAAGGGTTTGGCTCTTGGCCGCTGCGTTTTCATAATACCAGTTCCTGGCTTGACGTCAGTGTATGGAGATCGGCCCGATTTACATAATCGATCGTCTCCCGATCTATGATTCGATCGATCCGTGCCTGTATGAGGCTCATTTGAATGGCCACTCATTGGGAAATACAAAATAGATTAATCCCCGGCGTTCGTCGCGCGCTTAATTGAGGATAAGAGGCATTGGCCAATCAGGCTGCGTCGAAGCTGACTGGGACGGCCGGCATCGCGTTTGGAGAGTTCGAGGTGCTGGCACGTCATTACTGGATACCAGTAGAGGCCGCATGAATTTCCGCACGTTTTCAGAAGCCATCATGAAAGCCGAGTAGACTGGACATATCGATTTGGGTGGAAATTATAGGTTAGATGAAAATGCGGGGTAAAATAGAAACGCGGAAGCACCAGAACGGGATGAGAACCTTAAATATTGCTTTCATCCGATGGCATTGAAGACAGTAAAAAATTCCGGCTCATGCTAAACAAAATAGAACACCGACAATAAATGAATCTCCCGCCCAGAGAACCCCATCTATGCCCCCTTCCCACCATCATACCGCATCATCTCCTGCTCCATCCTCTGCTCTGCTTCCTGTCGCTGATACTCCTGAGTAACCTGCTCCTTATATACCGCTCTTGAGCTATGCAGCATCTTATAAGTAGATACCACATCACGGATTAAATCCAATGGATTGAGATAAAGAGCCCATGCATGCAATCCCATTCAACTTCCCTGATACCGCTTCAGTTCACCACCCAGCATCGTCTGTTGATCCCCATCCTCGCCGAGGGGGTGGTAGGATCCTGGCTTGATGAGGCGTGGCATGTGAGAGATTGTGTAGGGCTTGGTACTGCAGGCGTAGACGACGGGGAAGCATGGGGGAACCATTTCCACGCAGATGACCATTGTTGGGATACCCATGTGAACGTCGGCGTAGGAGAGTATTTTGGTTTCTTTGAGGACTTGGACGCCGGCGAGGATTAGGAAGAGGATCTATAGTTTGTTAATTTTTTATGGTCAATGAGTTGGAGTGCTTGGCTGACCTTTCCCAAATAAAGGCTGTCAGTTTCAGGAGCGGGATGTGTTCTTTCATGTAGCCCTTCATGTGCATGTAGAATTGGAGGATGGCGTTGACGGCCACCGAGGTCGAGAGAGCTATCAGTACTTGGAGCTATTGAGACAATTGTTAGTTTCTTCTTTCTCTCACTGAGTGGCTATGGTGAGATATACCCAGATATGAGCAAACTTGGGCGGATTGCTTTCAACACAGTAGACCTTCGCCGCCTGTGTTGCGAGCTGAGCAAAGGCAGTGACAATGGCGACGACCGGGTATTGCAGAACAGACCACCAGGTCAACTGGATTTGCAGAGTTAGCATCCTCTTGTCTCGTACTCAATCCTGAAGGCAAGAGATAGATCTAACTGACGTTCAAGAAGTCAAGACCATTTCTTTTTTTCTTAGGCCGCCATTGTCGTTTGGTCTCTATTGAAGAAAAGAACTCGACTCTGGATCTATCGTTCGGAGCGAGAAAGTTGAAAGCACATGAGGAAGGCGTAGATGGCGATTCCTTGAAACGCCTCGGTAAATCCTTGTAGGTAGACCCAGGAGTTTGGAAAGCAGATGGCGGCGTAGGAGAAAGCTTGGAAGGAGGGAATCAGGTGGCAAATCCGCATGATCCTATTGAAAATTTGTGTTAGCTTCGAAGGCAAATAGGTTGTTTTTTCATGGATAGACTTACTTGAGCTGTTGATTCGGATTGCCCATTCGCATCGCATGTTGTGCCATCAAGCCGAAGATCATGACCAATACTATCGCTGTACAATCGCCGGATACAATCATATTGAAATGGTAAAATGAGAGATACCCCACAAAGGGCTCATTTGCTAGTCTGAATGTTAGTCTAGTCCATTAGTCAGTGCAAAAGAACGTACACACTGTCAGATGGTCTGGTACCGGACAGCCACCGCTGCCGGTTTCTTTCTCTCCGAAACAAGAAAGCCATGGTGTATAAGATAGCGCTGACAACAAAAAATTCGTGAAGGAAGTGAATAAATAAAAAAGAGGGAAATAAGCGGCCTTAAATTCCCCCTCCCCAGGCTACTTCCACCTGCGACTGCCCTGCAGATTCGATATCCTCACTATTTGAAATTCGGGGGCGGTGCCGATCCCGTCCCACTGCAGCTTTACCGCTAAAGTCTCAGCCATCGACCATACCCGTTTCAGGCATTGGGGGCCAGCCAAGCTCAGCCCTGACAACATCTGCACACTGCTTAGCCCCCAACCCTCGGGCCGCGACCCTCAACACTAGTCCGAAATGCGGCAGGAAGTACGCACGATCGACGTCTTTCAGCCATAGCCACACGCAATTTAGAGTAATTAAGCATTGTTTACTGAACCCGCGCAGCTGTGAGAAAAAACACACCCGCGCCTTTTTGCCCGATTGGGTTGTTGATCGACGTGTCAGGATGAAAAAGAAAATACGCGAAAGGCTTAGCTGTTTGCGAGAAGCTTAGGCTTTCGTTTGGAGCTGGAGTTCAATTTGGGTATGTCGTTATTAGATTATTAGATTATCCAATCGTAAAGAACTATTTATGCACGCCCCAAATGCATGAAATTCTCAAGTCTTCCCGCTATACAGAACAGTTTTCTCTATAAACATGATATAGGTATGCATCGGGTATAAAACGCAGTTGGGTTTTTGGTTTTAGGTCATGCCCCATCGTCTGATAGCCGGCTTTCATAAATGGCGCTGTACAATCCTGTGAAGACAATTCTCATCGGACATATCGCAGTCGCCGAGTCGCCTCGGCTGCCACGAGTGCACTGATTGCGCCGAGAAATAGGCAAATGGAAATGGCGTTGGGCTTGTCTTTGTCCAGATTCATCCACTGGGTGTCTGTCGCATCACTGTCCTTGTTGGGTTTGGTGCCCGGCTCCAAAAGTGTGAAGACGATCCAGCTGATGAAGGTACCAACGAATTGCGGGAGTGTGGTGTATACGTTGAGTACACCCAGATAAATCCCAGCCAGCTCGCCAGTCGATGGGATGTTGGAAGATGGATCCTCCTCATCTGCATCGCTGTCGGAGTCGTTATGGTTCAATCGCAGGACTTCGAGTTCAGTGTCTGGTGCACTAGCACGCATACTGGCGGAGGTAATCATAGTCACACCACCAGCGCGGGCGGTTTGAGCTGCCATGGCCGCAGCATTGTTGCCGTTCATCGTCAGCTTGTTGATCTCCACTCCCATAAATGCGAATGGAGCCCAGCCGCTGATGGCCCAGGGAATACCACACACGGCAACGAGGAAAGTCGCGAACCCGCGCGAATGTGCGAGGGGAGCGAAGATCATGGTCGCGGCAAACATGATCTGAGAGATCAGCCAGGCCGTTTGCAGGTCCGGTCGAATCGCAGTGATAGCCTTCAGTACGGCCGCCACGCCGGGAGGTGGGCGAGGTGTGAAGCGCGATCGTTTCGTGTCAGGTGGTTGCACGCAGAACGGAAGCAGAACTGAGCTCAAGAAGGTAATCGATGAGAAGACAGTCAGTGACAAACTACCAACTCGGCCGACTTCGCCCAGCATATCGGTCGTCTTAGACAGTTCATCTTTCGGCACCTCATATCGAAAGTAGGTCTCGCCGACCCAGGTGGTGCTGTAGAAAAGAAACGGGAACCATCCAATCCACGCCCAAAACTGGGCCCAGCAAATTGCCTGGATGCGCGGCGGGAGTTCCATCGTCGATTTGAACAGCTGCTGGATCACCTGGATGGCGCCCGCTTTCCCATCGGAATCTCTGTCGAAGTTGTCAGTATTCGGTTCATTTTGTTTTGGACGAGGATAACCCACCTTGCGGAGATCAGAACTCGCTCCTTCACAGAATATGAAGTAACCGCGACGGCAAAGATCAATGACATGGCCGCAATCACCGTCATTTGCTTAAACTGGGTGTCGCCCAGCAAGCTTCCAAAAATGCTCACTGTGTCGACCGCGCCAACTACATAGGCAATCAACTGACCAATGGCAGACATCCGACCAGCTGTGAAATTTTCAGCAATCCGCACTCGAGACGAAGAAAAGACTTAGTGACATACCCCAGGCAGATCCCGCTTGTTGTAAAGGAATCGGCAATGTATCCACGATGAGACTGCGGCAGCATGCTTGTACTGGAAGGAATTAGCAGAGCCCAGACATACAGGAGACCAGCGGCACTCACCAACGTTGATCGAAAAGTCGACCGCGTAGATACTCGAGACCGCCAACGCGATAGTAACGTTTTTGGCCTGGCCAAACCCCGTCAGTGAACCCATTCGCGAATTGATCTTAACACTTCCGTGTACGTACCTTCTCTGGTTCTTTCACGAACATGCCAACAATTTCAGCAGTCCATCCCAGGATGATCAAGCAAAAAGCCACCACGAACGACCCAAAGATCATAAAGGGTCTCCGTCTCCCCCATTTTGACCGTGACCGATCCGCAATCACGCCAATAAGTGGCTGGATAATCAGACCAGACAAAGGGCCCGCGATCCAAACCAGCGAAGTCTTCGATTTCGTCAGGCCAAGTTGAAGAAGATACGGCGTACAATCTAGCCACAAGCGCGAACGTTAGCATTCATCTAATCCAATGCCAACTGCACTGATATATGTCAGACTTACAAGTCATCTCTGTGCCCCAAGTGAATCTATAACCGCAAATGTCAGCCAACCCATATCTAGGGACCTCTGCACTATCCAGGGAGGAACACGGACTGCAATCCGACCAAACTGAACGTCAACAGCGCCATGCGCGTCGACTCGGACTTCCCCTTAATCGAGGGCGTCCCCGCCCACCGTGCAGTTTGCACCATTCTCCCTATACACGCAATGGCATGCGCTCGATTCCTCCGCCGCTAGGTCTATCTGTTGGGGCCAATGGACGTGTTGACCCGGAGGCCACGGGTAGAGGTCAGCAACGCGCTGCGGGGAGTCGATCGGCTGGTTTGGTGGGTAAGGTCTGTGGCTGTCAATCGCACCCGAGGAGAAGAGAAGTCGCGCTCTTGTTCGAATGACAGTTGTCAATGGTGCCAAATGGGTGTCTACGTGCCCTGCTCGCTTTTTTTCTCCGATCCAACTGGAGAGGCTGGGAGTCGTGTATGGGAGGCGGGAGGTCGTGGGAAACGTATTCGGGTGTAAATCTCTGGACGGTGAGAGCGTCGGTCGGGTGTCGAGGAGTGAAGATGGGAGTAGAGGCTGGCTGAGACTGCGGTGGCTTTGAGGAGAAAAAAGGGCTTGGCCCCGGCGTTCATGCGGGCCCCCGGCTTATCGTCAGACCCGCCAGGGGTTTCGCAACTGCCGATCGATGGTGCCAGCCGTCGGCCCCATCGCAGAAACGTGACCTGTGTCGCAAGTGGGCTGGAAAGGTCTGGGCTCACACTTGCTTTTTTAGGAACGATGGATCCGTCGTAAAGGTGCCGTGTCATCTCGCTCTGGTCCTTTTGTTTGCCTCAATGCGACTGATTGGCGCAGCGGATGAGTAAGCTGAGCCATTTATAGAAACATGTTTGTATATTCGCGACAGATCAACATCAATCCTTCGGAGAAGTTATGAGAGATCAGATTGGAAGGTAACAATTGATATCACATACTATGAATGAAAAACAGAGGCAATTTGAGATATGTGGTGTCACGCTTGTGTTGAGGTTCCAGGATAAGGCACCGAATTGATGCCTCATTCCCAACCTCTGTCGGCATGACTGTCCAGGGAAACCCGAGGCACTGAGCTTAATATGCGCTTCAAGCGCTCTTGCCGACATTATATTCTACATTCAGGGGATCTTCATGGAAGAACACCGATCGAGACCGATTATGAGGGGTTTACTACTATCAGGGGCTTGGCGCCCGTTCAGGGATAAATACCCCCAGAATCGCATGTAGACAGTTTGATACAGTCAAATCAAGTTCTGTCAATTCCATTAAGGTCGATTTGTCTAGCAGGCCCTCATTCTATATTCAGTGCTTCGTCGTAACCCATCTCAACCGCTTGGTCGAGGACCGTTGAGAATATATATTCCATTAGACGTTCCTTGATGCTTGGACAGCCCTGCACCGACTTTTATTTTTGCATTCAAATAAATTATTGGACGAATACAAGAAACACCAACAAACCAACAGTTGTGATCACATTGAATTAGGGAATAAGTTTTTTTTCGGTGCAATAACACCCCTATGAAGGCTCTATTTGATACGTTCATTTTATTCCTCAATATCCTAAGATAGGATATGAGCTGTTAACAATCCACCAGCCAATCGATCGCTCATACCAAAGTAGATAATACCTGCACGAAATACAAGCTATAGTAGCATATTACAGCTTCAAAATACGATCATGAAGAAAGTGGAGTGTGCAGTCAAGTAAGATAAACTCGGAAGTAAAACGCCATGATAACCATGACCGAAAAGAGCATCAGATTCAGAATGTGAACATGAACATCAAAGTTTCTTGTTCTTTCATTGGCTCAGCCTCTAGTCGAGGAACTTTAAATTGAAAATAGAAAAAAATGGATTTTATTCGCCTTCATATCCCGCATCCCATATCGTCGTTAACAAGCGTCCATTAGGAATGTGCCTACAGCCGGTTGGGGGCCGTGTTGGTCACAGGCCACTGGTAGCCTGCGGCGTCGCTGAACTTGTAGCCGAATGAGGCGGTGAAGTCGTCGAGAACGGCGGGGCCGCGGGAGCCTGGTTGAATGAGTTAGTTGCTGGAATCCCAGGAGAAAAGATGGTTGTATGCACGGCAGGTACTCACCGTAAGGGTACTCCATGGGGATGATCTCCTTGTTGTCGTCCAGGTAGTGCAGGAGAGGAGTGAAGATGCGCCAGCTGGCGTCGAGCTCGTCGTCACGGACAAAGTTGGAGTGGTCGCCCTTGAATGCATCCAAGATCAGAGACTCGTAGGCCTCGGGGATCTTGAGGTCGGAGAAGCGGCGGCGGTAGGTCAAGTCCAGCTCGGTCACCACCGTCTGCATGGACAGACCGGGCAGCTTGGAGTTCATCTTGATGTAGACGGACTCGTTGGGCTGAACACGGATGACGAGCTCGTTACGGGGAATGTCCTTGAAGATGCCGGAGGTGACATCCTTGAACTGGATGCGGACCTCGGTCTTTTGCTCGTTGAGAGCTGGAGAAGGATTAGTATCGTGATTGTACTACCAAGAAATTGTGCGACTTACCCTTGCCGGCCTTCAGGATGAAGGGAACACCATCCCAGCGCTCGTTCTTAATGTATGCGGCCATGGCGCAGAAGGTGGGGCAGCGCGACTCCTTGGGTACGGTGTCGTCCTCGAGGTAACCGGGCTTGCTGCCGTCCAGAGAACGGCCATATTGACCAATGATGACATTCTTAGGCTCGACCGCATCCATCGCACGCAGAACACGGACCTTTTCGTCGCGGATATCCTCGGAGGAGAAAGAGATGGGGCGCTCCATGGCGAGCAGGGTCAGGACCTGCAGAAGGTCTGTCGGAAGGTTAGTATGGTCGATCGCAATTGTACCCTAAGGTAGTCATGGTATGGGTTTTTGGTATACGCACGGTTCTGCATGACATCTCGGATGATACCGAACTCATCGAAGTAACCACCACGGCCCTCAGTGCCGAAAGGCTCCTTAAATGTGATCTGCGGCATTCGTTAGGGTCCAATTGTTCTCCAATAGTCGTCGGGAAAAGTTCAAACCTGAACGTTATCGATGTGGTGACGGTTCCAGGTAGCGTTGAAAAACTCGTTGCCGAATCGCAGGATGAGGATGTTCTTAACCATCTCCTTACCGAGGTAGTGGTCAATACGGAAGATCTCCTCCTCCTTCCAGTTCGGGTCGAGAGCCTTCTGGAGATCGCGCGAGCTCTCCAGGTCCTTGCCGAAGGGCTTCTCAACCTATTTGCGTAAAGCAAAGCATTAGCGGCGGGACCTCGGCAGTGAGCGCTTTGCTTGGCACAACTCACAATAATGCGGGCAAGGCCGTTCTTTGGGTAGCAGTTGCGCTTCAATTGCTCCGAGACGGTAATGAAAACACTGGGAGGCAGGGCCATGTAGAACACGCGGTTCTGCTCCTTGGATTGGCGGGCCTTCTCGACCTCCTCGAGGTGCTTGTTGAGGTTGATGAAGGAGTCGTCCTGGTCGTACTGGCCGGAGACGTAGGTGCACAGCTGGCAGAACTGGTCTAATTGCTCCTCAATCTCCTTTGTAGGGACCTTGATATACGAGCGCACGCGCTTCAGGTATTCTTCGTGGTCCATCTTTGTCCGCGCATATCCGACGATCTTAATGTCCTTAGGGAGGAATTTGTTGCGGAACTAGAGAGTTCAGGGTTAGCCGGGGCGACGCAGCTAGCAAGTCAGAATCGCAGTTGCAACATACAAGACCGAAGAGTGCGGGAAACTGGAGAGCGAGTTAGCTGCGTGAGGTTTCTCGGATTAGCAAGAGCCGAAGGGGGGTACGAACAGTCTTCTTCTTGGCCAGATCACCGGACGCACCGAGCACCACGATGAGGGTGTCATCCTTCAATTCGATAGTGCTGGTATTAGGAAGCATGGTTAGTAGCTGAAATGCCAGGTTGCACGTCGAGAGCAGAATTTGCAGAAGATGGAGGAAATGGAGGGGTTTGAGCGGGGGTTGGCGGAGGGGCAGAAAAAACAAGCAGCACCGCGGGCGGTTAGGATTTCAATGGAGAGATGCTCGACGAAGTTCTTCGCAGCGTGCGCCCGAGGAACAGGGACGGGAGAAGAGGCCCTTTTGGAGAATGTCTACGGCCGCGCTGCCGCTGTCGGCGGAGGGAAGGGAGGTGATGTCAGAGACGAGGGGAACTCACCCAGCGTTCTGGCGCCCATCGTCCTGCGAGATCATGCTGGCCATTTTTGCAACACAACACGAGATACAATGAGTGGAAGCGAAATTTGGGTGGAAATTGAGGGGTGAAAGAGGAAAAGGCGAAGTTGTTGGGAAGAGGGAGCACTCTGCTCCAACAGGTTCCGGCGGAGCAGGTACTTTTTTAACGGGAATCGCTCTGCGCGCTCACAGCTTCGCTGGGTGGGTCCCTTGGGGGGTGTTGGTCTGGGTATTTTATGTTATTTATGACTTCAAGGTATTCTGATTACACGACATCCTGGCCGATGAGACGCGATGGCTGGCACATATATAGACGATCGCAGTGCCTCGTGGCGAGCCCGCACTTGCTGCGACTCTTGCTGCTGTGCATGTATAGCATCATCTGGCCGACATCCGGGTGCCCTTCCTGCTTCCGCTCTTCGGATCTGGCCTCTTTTTTTTTTGCTTTTGCTTTTGCTTTTGCTGACCCCGCGCTTACTTCTCATTTATTAGATGTGTGCAACATCGGCCTGACCTGCATTGCGGGTGATCCAATAGAAGTCGTGAGGCTTCTGGAAGTCGCAGAGAGGTCATCTGATACATACTCTATCGGATGATACGATACATGTACAGGGACGGCGAAACAGCCTGAATGCATGTGGAGTACGTGGCCACGCTCAGAGAACCAGCCAAAAAAAAGAGGGCTATCCCCGACTGATGGGTTGCGGTCAGCGATACGCGGGTGGAGCTTACTGCGACTCTGGCTATCTGGGTATAACCTGCAGCACCCGTGGACTCTGGCAGCGTCCAGCTCCACCGCCGCAAGATCGCATGACACTACTCTTAAGGTACATATAAAAAGACTCTTATCTCGGCATGCTATCGGCGGCGATACAGACTATGATGGCATCTAGGTTTCTTGACGACTTGTACAATCAGCATCTAGCGGCAATCTGGGCCTGCCGCCCACCGGACTTACAGTAGGCCGTATCGTACCTGATATACTCCTCCGGTGACCGAAATCGTGGAGAGGATCGGCACATTTGTCATCTCTCATACCAGACGGATTCTATTTTCCCGTCACAGGTGCTCCGGGGAGACTGTGGCCCGAAGTACTCGGCCCAGCGTGTCCGTATTCGGAGCAGCGAGTAATTACCCGTTGGAACTCTGCAGCGCTAACCGTCCCCATTTACGGACACTATACCATACCCTAAGGTAGAAAGAGGACTGGTAACTGAATAACGGACTCGTATGAGTGATCCGCCCGATCTCCCGAGTCATTGACCCTCCGGTGTCATGGTGGGGCGGTAATGGGGGATATCTGGATTTCCCAATCAGTACACCCGGTCTGCTACCTAGATGGACCGGAGCTGCCGGAGAAGAGTCCGATGAGCGGTCATTCTCCAGAGTCATTTCCAGTCAACCAGTTCATGAACTTGAATATGCACGACTTCGAGCGGTATCTCGGGTGGCAGGGGCCATGAAGTGCCGCGCGCGCCAAATAATATACCGGGGAGAAAATTCAGCAGAGGCCGAATAACCGACGCGGGGAGCAGAATTAGCCTCGAGTGCCTCGAAGGTAGCACAAAGTTAGGTTCGGCTAAGTGTCGTCATGGTGAGGTTTGTCAGCTGCGGCTTCCAGGCTCGCGGACCACTGTAGCCCGGCGGGCAGAATTGCTGAATGCGAAGGCGGTCATCGATGAGGTGATCACCGTCGACACCTGGCGGGTCAGGTGTCATGTAAATCGGCGCCTCAGGTGTTTTATCTACAGGAACGGGTAAACAATATCTCCGGGATCCCCGGAACCCACCCAGAGTGTGCTCATGTGACCTCGCTTACCCTGTCGCTAAGGGCCCGATTGGGTTAGGGCGAGCGGTGGCCAACACACCTCCCAATTTGATTGTGCGCTCGACTATCTCAAAGCGACGACAACCACGACAACCGGGAACGACTTCTGATCTCTTGCGGGTCATTCCTTCGACTTGTTTTCCTTGCCCGCTGCTCAGAGAAGAACCGTCATTATGTCTTCGGAACAACAAGGTCACCGCCGTGAGTGCTCCCTGAGAGCCCGTGAACTGCATCTGGATGCGTCGGGAAGGTCGATTCAAGATCGCCCAGGCGCATCGGATGGGCACCCTCTACAATCCTACGAATTGTTATACTAACCTTTCTGCGCTTACTAGTTTACGTCAAGTAAGTTACCACGTCGATTCGCGTCGCATTTCATTCCACGCACACAATTCCCAAGTTCGAAATCGTCGGTCAAGATGGAATCAGCAACCCACAACGATGGAAGCGAGAAAGGACGGGAAAGACCACACACACATGCACACACCAAGTACGAACGATCGAACAGAGGATTAATACGGATTTCTTTGCAGGGGACGTCACCTGAGCTACCAGCGTTCCAAGCACGCTCTCAACCCCAACACCTCCCTGGTGAAGATTGAGGGTGTTGACGACCAGAAGGCCGCCAGCTTCTACCTGGGCAAGAAGGTCGCTTTCGTTTACCGGGCCAAGCGTGAGGTTCGCGGCTCCAACATCCGGGTGATCTGGGGCAAGGTCACCCGCCCGCACGGTATGTGCCCGACATTGCCAATTTTCGACAATAGAGGTCTCGAGTGAACGATCTAACACTTTCTTGCTACAGGCAACTCCGGTGTTGTGCGCGCCAAGTTCCGCCACAACCTCCCCCCCAAGTCCTTCGGTGCTACCGTCCGCGTCATGCTCTACCCCTCCAACATCTAAACGGCTTCTCTGTATCTAGTGGGCGATTCCCTTTCTTCGTGCAGACGGTCGGTCAGGCAAGGAAAAGTCGACGGAACGAGCCGCGATGTTGGTTTGATTGGGAGTTGGCGGTTTGACAACGTTTTCATTCGTGGGAGAAGGCAGGGCCATAACTAAAAAAAACCAGCCCTACGAATCAAAAGAAAAAAAGAGTTTTTTTAACACGTTCACAACGGTGTCGACACCCTTGACTGGGATGAAGATTCTTTTTTGTTTGTTTATCAGGTCTCGTTTCTCCATGGGATGAGGCCAGTGGCGGGACGCGATGCCCAACGGTCTCATTGTGGCCGTGTCTCGTCACTTTCTCCCGTGTATCTGACGCTCTTACACACCAAATTCCATACCATTTTCAACAGACCGGTCAATCGATGTTCGATGGTTCCTCGCGCCGTCCGTCTGGGTTATAGAAGAATTGCATTTCTCTTGCTCTGGCTACTCCACCATAGCATCTAATGTTCTTTTTTTTTGAGAAATATACCACCCATTGCGCCTGTCAGTAATCATGTCCGTTATACCATGCAGTTGTCTCTGGAGCAACTACACTCGTCGAAAGCTTCAGCTCTAGAGCTCCCACGGCCATAATGGATTACCGTAGTGATGTACCCAGTGCACCAGCAATGCCCAGCCTGGAGGTCTAGGACAAACTGACATCGTGTGGTTCTCTCTGAAGAGCCAGCATTTGACCTCACTGGTTTTGGCTTCGTCCAGATCGTAAGAGCTCAACCAAGTGGAGCATTTCTTTTAATACGCGCAAAGGAATTTCATAGGTACTAGGCAGCCATGGCATAGAGATTCAATATATATATCTCTCTAGCAAATGTGATTGAACTCGCAGTGTGGTTTTCTGCACCGAATAGACGAGGCCAAACATCATGACATCAGTGCTATATGTGATTTGCCGCGGGATATATATCTGGTGCTATGGACCGGTCATCTTTCCATAAAATGAGATGTCAGGATTATCTTCTACAAAACACATGAAGACTCAACAGTTGCCCCAGTGGGTCCCACTCCGAAGTTAAATTGCTACCTTCATAACATGCGATGCTGATCCGGGGTAGCCATCAGGGACCATGCCTACAGTGGCCCTTGTAGTCTACATACCAATGGATGGCACACTCGAAATTCTTATGCCAGTTTGATTTCAAATTCCATACTGAGAGACATTGAGTCTACAATCGCGAGAAACTCGGTAGACTCGGGCTGTAAACGCGGCCCTATTTAGGCCTTCCGATTAGGCCGGATTTATGCCTGAGGCACAAGTAACATTGTTAGCCTGGCCAACCTTGCTCGGAGATTTTCCCTTGCCCCTTACTCCGTGCATTCCTCGGGTAGTCCCTGATTCCTTCGATCGTGGACCCACAAGTTTGTCGTCAATTGACTGTCTTGGTATACATCAAGTTTACAGCGGAGCATTAGATCGGCAATCTCAGGCATTCCCCGCCTGTGCTGTTTCTAGTCCAATGCAAAACGAAGAGGTAGCTGTTCTGGCCGCGCCGCGCCCTGGGAAAAGTCCATGCCCTCTGGGCATTGTCCTCGGCACAAACCGAACCTTTGGAACCATTCGATTGATCCACCCAGCTAAATGCATTATTCGCGGTGCCCCACCAATTGGAAGAAGCCGGATACCATGCATCACGCGGCACCATGATCCTCACAAGTGAGACTTTTCGCAGGATAAGCGAGCAAGGCGTGATGACCTGCTATACACCTAGTAGCATGCCTGCAGATTCCATGTGCGCTGTGCCATAGGCGTTCGAATGGCGGTTGACCTATGCCATTGGAATAGTATCCGCTCACCTATAGACCAATCTATCCGAGGAAGGGCGAGTCTGCATGCTATCCGCCATGAATACTGCCATTGAATTTGACTCCCCTCTCCGGTCATCTGCTTCAGAGGTTGCACTGGCTCGGTCCCTGGCGAGTTGGCGGGCTATTTTGGGATGCCGCTAGGGAAGAACCTCGCCAATGGCAGCCCGCGCACCACACGGGCTGTGTACCACGGAAACCGGCTGGCCAGGCACTCACACTTTGTGCACACAAAAAGAAATTGAATTGCAGACAGTCTTGGGGATGTCGATGGTGGCCATGGAAGAGAAAATTGTGTGCTTCAATGCTTGCGTGGCCTGAGGATTACTGAGAGTAGACGATCTCTGCAGGCCCGAATCGTTCCTGCCGCGCCACAGATCCCTCAAAAGTTCTGCCTGACCGGCCCAGCCATTGCGTGGCCGGCTGTCGTCAACCTACTCCCAGTTCGTCTGTCTTTGCCGCTGTCCTCTGCTCGTGCTTGCTGTCGCGGTATTTAAGCGATCGACTCCCCTCCAAATTCTACAAACACCCTTCGGCTCCGCAGTTCAACGGCGCTCCACCCTGCAATCCATCTCCATCCTCCTCCCCATCCATCACCAACCTCCACACTTGCTTTTTGCGCAGCCCCGCCATCGCCAGCACAGCAATTTGCGTCATATTCGCATCAACAGTTCTCCAGTCCCATCCTCGCGCAGAGCACCCGGTTTTGCTACCTCACCACGCACGAACGAACCCACGCCGGGCCATAGAGTAGCGCTGCGATCGGCTTGGCGAGTTCCACCTTCCATCGTTGCGCTCCACAACGGCCGCCAAAGCTCAGGCGATCCCAGCCGTTTCAGAAGCGCCAGCTGCCTTGAATCTCGGACGCTAAGAAAGACGGTGGACACCGGCCCCTAATAAAAATGGCGACCCCCCAACAACCCGGTCCTGCTTCTCCCCGCCGGAGTCGTGGATTCAGCGTCAAGTCCGACAATTCCCATCGCACCAGTACCTCCGGCCACAAAAGCCAGAAGAGCCATTCTTCCGAGACTCACGAGGAAAAAGAGCGCCGCAATCTTCACACCAAGGCAGATCCCCTCGTCGCCATGAACGAGTTGCAGCCCAGTATGTCCTGATTCCCCATCCGCGGCCCCCCTCATTCCCCTTGTGACACTCGCGGTCGCATCCTCCCCAACCTGGATTCCAATCACTGACTTGTATAATAACAGTGGCTGTTGCGCTGGAGAAGTCCAATCTTGGCTCTCTGCGTGATATGCAGCACAAAGACCAGTACGGTAACATCATCAGTATGCTATTCCCGTCCCCTTTGCCAACCCCAGATCCCCTGTCTCAACATTCCCCAAATCCACTTCCTCCCACGTTTACTGCTCCGCCTAACCCTTGCATCTACGTTATAGCTGATCCCGACTGGTCCAACCCCACTCGTCCCCGATCCGAGCGACCGCTGGATACAATTCGATCCTTCGAGGCAGCCATTTACGGCACGTACAACAACACCCGGGGCTCTTATGCTCGTACAGGTTCGTCATGCTCATCCCAATGCAAGAGCTTCTGGTCTGATACGATCTCCAACTTAGAAGATGCAGCCTCCCAGATGGGCGACTTTAGCCGTCGAACCAGCTACTACGGAGGTGGATACGGTCGAGGCCACGAGCAGAGCAACTACTATGGAAGACAGTCGCATTCGCGCCCGGACAGCTTCATCGACGCCTACCAGGGTGCTAACCAGCAGGAGAACTACTATCCCTACAACCAGCAGTCTACCAACCGCCGCCCTCGCCCCGCTCCGCGGATGCCCCCCGACCAAAGCGGCCACCAGCAGCACAACCATCAGCGCTCCTATGACAATGTCACCGCGATGTCGGGTTCGGGAACGGGCTCCGGCTACACGGAATCATACGGCCACTCGACAGACCCTAGCTCGATGAACAGCTCGATGGATCAGCTCCAGCAGCATGCCCTGCAACAGCAACAGCAGCAGCGTTTGGACGAGCGCGCCCAGGAATATGGATTCCAGTTTGGCACCGCACCGAACCTTAACACCAAGGGTCTTCCTTCAGCTCCAGCCCCTGTTGCCAGCTCGACCAGCCCGATGAGTGGTGCGCAGCAGCAGCAGCAGCAGCAGCAGCCTGCGCAAGCTCACTATGCGAAGCCTGCGAATACGATCCGCAAGGGTGCAAACCAGGAGAACCGCAAGAGCTGGTTCAAGCGCCGCTTTAGCAAGGACTAAATTAGACTCCTCGAGGATTTGAGGGTCTAGATCGCGCGCATACTCATGATTCTCTATTTTTCCCGACATGTGTTCAAATTTTTTTTTTCGACGGAGCTCCGTCATTTTCCGAACACGATCTCGATCTGCGATGTATCACCATCCTATCATGGGCGTTTTGCGTTTATTTTACCTGCACAGATTTACGGGATACGGAGTGCACGAGTGATTCTTTCTATTTTCATTTTTATCTTTTCTTTCATTTTCGTTTCTGGTTTGCTCGAGCTTTCAGTCATGAGTCATGATTCCATGGGTTTACGGATGGTTATGGACACGGTCGGGAACGGTTTGTTTTGCTTCTTCTTTTTTTTTTACCGAATTTCGTCAATAGGCAGCTTGCATGTGCTGCAAGCAGTCTAGCGCATCTTCCTCTCCTTCAGATGCGCTGGCAAATAGCAAATAATTTACCATAGGGACAAATACAATTGAAACTATGTGTAACTTCTACTGGCCTATCACCTTACTTGTCAAGAATGGCCCAAGTCATTCAATCCAGAAATCGAAGTGTCGAATGAATTGCAAATACCCTATCCACTAACACGCATCCCTTTAAAACAAAGCGAATGGGAATCAAATCGAAATCAGCACCCTCTCGACACAACCTACTTGCGGCCCAGCAATTTATTCTTCAGCCGATCGGCCAATCCCTCATGCGCAGGAGATTTACCCTTCTTCTTCTCTTCCTCCTTCTCCTTGCGCGTCGCATCGTCGAGATGGACGTTTCCCTGACCGCCGCGCTGTATAAATGCCCATTAGCAACGAGCGCAACTCGAAAACAATGATTGGGGCAAAACTCACGCCAGTGTGGTAGTTCTCATCAGACGATCCCCGAATCGCAAGTTCAGGGACCATCTCCGCATCGTGCGGGATCTTGGATGTTGGACGGACGCGCGGCGATCCGATGTTTCCTACGCCGCCGCGCTGTAAATATTAATAATTAGTAAATCTTTGCTACCAGGGGAGTTTCGCGATGCGCTGAGTGAGTGCAGGACTTACACCGGCAGAGTAAGCGCCATCGCCTTGGTCGCCGTAGATGCCTTCACGGACGATCTCGCCGTCGACGTATCTGTTTTTGTTATTTAGGGCTGTTTGGAATTTGCAGGAGGAGCTGTGTGCGTACTGCGTTGAGTCGTGACCGATGTTTCCTTGGCCTGAGTTTCAGGTTGTTAGCTATGCGGCGTTCGTACGGTGGAAACCAACCCTAGGTGTTTGATGTACCGCCGCGGCCGTGGGAGACCATAGGCTGATCGTTCTCGCCCATTCTGGTGGCTGGTTTGAGAGCGTAAGCGAGCTGCTGCTGTGCGACTGAGATGAAATGAGGAGATGGGTGAGGTGAGAATGGTCTTATCGAGCAGGGCAGGGTTAGGGTACCTTGAGGTATGCAGATAAGACGCAGGTACCGAGTCGGCTCGCCTGGGTGGCCCCGGTAGTTTCGATCGAGTGGGGACGGTTTGGGGATCGAATTGGTATGGAATGAATCCAAGAGTCAAAATTGGATCTGGAGGGGATAGGAGGAGATAAGAAGAGGATCGAGTGGTCCTAAGGTGAGCGATGACTACTACCCTAAGGGAAATGTAGACGCAGACACGAGGATATGCCGGAAGACGAGTGGCGTGCCGCGCTTGGATTTCGCCATTCAAATGATCGGCCTGAGGCTCGATGCCAAGGTCGGGTTTTCTATCGCATAAGAATTACTGCACTACTAGTGCTAATAGTACTAATCTGAGAGTATCACTGCTCTCAACGCATTGGTTTAGTTCTTTGATCGCGACTGGTGACGTCGATGATAAGATAAGGGGCGGCGATTGGTCGGTGCAGTGACTAAAGATAGCGAGCTTGGCATATAATTTCAAGCTCCTACCGTTATGCAATTACAGTAGCCACGTGCATTGATCTGACACCTGGTGAAAGAGAAGGGCAAAAATACATTTTACTAAATGGAGAAGAGAGTGATAGGTATGGCCGTAGAACTCGAAACTTTTCACGCAGAAAACGAAATCCCTGGATCCATGAGAAACTCGAGCCCTGGCGGAAGAAAGCATAGCAAAGGGCACACCGTTAGAGCTACATCTTGCTTGAAGAAATTTACTTCTTCTTCTTGTCCTCGGAAGGTCCACCAGTGGTCGGCAGTCCCATAAAGATCTTGAACGAATCGTAACTGTGGAAACGGTCAGCATACGTGCAGCGTGAAGAGGGAAGGCCGGTTGTTCGTACATCATCCATTGGAGACCAGTCTGTTAAGAAACAAGTTAGCGTAGCTCCATTGTATGAAGGAATCGTGAAAATTTACCAAAGTACCAATCATGACAATACGGACAGGCAAGCCATTCCACAGACCCATGAATCCGATGTCACCATAGATTCGGCTCATCGCAGCACCGAAAGCTTCACCCGCCAGGCGATTGGCGTTCAACTTACTGACCATCACATCAGCGGGGTGGGACACTGCCGCACAGAGAATACCGGCCATGTAGCCACCGGTGAAAGCAACGGCAGTCTGGGCGCCCTTGTTGTAGTCGGACTTTTGGCCAGGCAGCTTGTTGTAGATCATTTCGACGATAGTCTCAAAGGAGGCAAACTTCATCATGGTGTACGGAATTTGGCGACCCCAGAGTGGGTACAGGCCCTTGTACAATCTGGTGGGGTTAGCTGGTTAGTACTTGAAACCAACTTTATTTCAACGAGGGATTTGGGGATGGACTTACCCCGACGAACCCTCCTTCGCAACGACAGCGGAAATACCGCTGAACGTACCTCGGAACTCGGGAGGGATGGTCGTTTGCATGCGAACCTTTACAGATTCGAACGGGCACAGGGCAACATCGGCGATAAATTCGGCAGAGGCACTGCCTGCGAGGTAGATGGCGGTCCTGTACTTCTGGGCATTTTCGGGGCCGACCAGGTCACTATAGAACTTCTTGAAATACTCGTAGCCGCCGTATTTGAATGCTCCTTGGGCCTGGTAGATCAATATCAGTATCCTGTATGCAATTTGGTCATATCAGCGGCAGGGGATAGTTGCTTACACTGTAGCCAAAGAAAGTGGGTCCCCAACCGGTGACCACACCGCGAATACCCTCAATGGCACGAATCTTGCTGAACGCCTGCATGTTGCTGCTGTAGAGTTTGGGGTCAACTTGGCGACGGCATTTGATCAGATCCAGGGGAGTGACAGCGGTGTGAGTAACGCCCTATACGTGGAAAAGTCAGTATATCAAGAACTAGATCCAATTGAAGTCCCAGAACGCACACAAGCGAGCATTCCACCGACAGTGCAAGCGGCGTAGTACTTGGCCGACCAAGGCTCGATCTTGCCCGTCTTCTCTTGAGCCTTTGCGCTCGCGACCTCGAACTCGCGAGCTGCTTCCTTGCCGATAGCTTCCGCCCTGGTCTTTGCATTGTCGAGGGCGCTCCAGGCTTGGAAGGGTTCACGTCGCTTGGGGGCAGGATTCGAAGCATGCTCCGAGTGGGGCTTCTGCTGAGCACTCATAGCTCCCAGAGGGTGCTGAGCTACCAGCGAAGCAATTGTCGAGCCGGAGGGAAGCATGCTGTCACTGTTTACTACCTCGTGATCAGCGCGGGTAGCCTAAAGTGGAGCAGACGAACACAGCGATCGTGGTGCCGTGGTTGCTCCACTTATCGAAGGAATGGATAACTCACCGGGTAGTGGCCTGAACACGATAATAAAAGGTCGAGCGAAGAATCGCCAGTTAGAGCGCGACGTATTTAAAGCACCGAAGAGTGCCGAAATCCGAGGGCAACAGACCTGGCAAGGCTTCGTCCCCCAAGAGAACGTGAGCATGACTTGACTCAGGCGCAGTGACGTAGCCCCGTGCCGGTCTTGGCGCGGGAAAAGAGGAAAAGCGCGGCCGCAAAAAAAGCGTCCTGCGAGACACTCTTGCCCCTCCTCAGCTTCTTTTGGGAGTTACACCGGCGAATTGCTTGTTATGACCTCAATTATATCCGCCTGAATACATCAAATCGTCCTTCTTCGCAGATAAATCCTTTCCTGTTCCGCGCTCGCACTGCCAGAAACCCCTCCTCGAACCACCCCGCCAACCCCCGCGCAACACCCAGCTATATCTACAATGGCTTCCTACTTGACTGGCAGTGAGGCCTTTACTCGCGAGAACCAGACCTCGGCTCATACAAATGCGGCCCAGCAAACACCTTGGGCCGACAAGTACCGTGGGGTATGTTCAAGCCTCCATACGCACCACGACTGTCCGCCATCCTAATTGCATGATATATGTACAGGCCACCGTCGAAGATCTCGATCCTCCTCCTGCGCTGTCCGTCTCCCCTAATGACCCCATTTCCGCCGCCCTGATGGCCGCATACGAACGCGACTACACCCACCTCACCGTCATCTCCGCCACAAAGCGATCCCTCCTCGGCTACCTGAGCATCCCCAGACTCAAGGAGCTGATCCAGAATGGCACAGTCAAGGAGGCCGATCCGGTCTCCGCAGCCATGCAACGCTTCAACCGTAAGCGCGGCATCTACCAGGTCATCACCATGGAGACACCGTTGGAGGAACTGGAGCAATTCTTCGAGAGTCAGACCGGCGCCAATGGCGACCACCGCGAGAAGCAGCAGTTCGCCGTCGTGACAGATGCTGGCCGCAAGTTTGTTCTCGGTGTTGCTACCAAGGCGGATCTGGAGGAGTTCGTCAAGCGACGACCCTGAGCGTGGACGGTTGTGCGATGGAGTTCACCTTTTGCTAGGAGACATAACAGCATTTCGGCGCCTCCGAGCATATTATTCCGGGCATTGTGGGCATCTTTTTTTTTTTTTTTTTTTTTTTTGTTTTTGATATTAATACCGGAGCACGGTACCTTCAACATGGGCAATGGCACCTTTAACATCTGTCACAGAAGGAAACGGATCGGGGGCCACACGCCGAATGCCCCGGAGACCAGACATGTGGAATTTCTCTTATGATATCCAATGATAAACATGCACTATTTCGTGGGCTCCCTGTCTGGATTTTCAGTCATCTAATAGTACTTCAGACTCAGTGTACTGGTTGTATATGAAAGCCAGATAGCAAATAATCATTGGCAGATAGGTGACTGGGCAATCAACCAGCGCTCGAATTAGCAAAACCATAAGGAAGATGACATTTGATAGCGAATTTGGCATCCTGCTTGATCAATGTACGTATTATCTGAGAGACTTCATGGTGGGGTGTGGTCTGAGGCAACGGAGTGGTGCAGTAACAGTATTTCCTTGATATTCCATTTCAATACGCTCAGATTGGCCACAGGGAAAATCATAGACTTTTTTGCAATCTGCTTATGGTCCCCGAAAATCCAATAACCCGAGTGCTACCCGCAACGCCGCGAAACAAAGAAAAACCATTCGAGTACAAATTGCTGAGTGACTTGCAGCATTCAACAGACTACTGTCCTTTCTTCGACTTCGCTTTGGCGGCTTCTTGCTGGTCTCCTTGGTCTTCTTTCCAAGCAACGTAGATGTACGCGAATAAGACCACGTTGGCCGTAAGGGCCGCAGTGATTCCGGCATATGTTGGATTTCCTGATACAATGATAAGCTCCAAGATTCCAGTTCAAAGGCTAAAACTGCCCTATGACAGACTTACCACCGAAGATCGAATTCACAGTGAGAAAATAAATGCCGATGGGGCCGACCACCATGGCTGCTGTGAAGGCGAGCAGCTTGAAAATGACATCCCTTGGTGGTACAATAAGTCAGCACAACACTTCTGTACTGGCATTATGTTGATTGATGTTGTTTCACATACCCTGGGACTGCTGGAGTTACATCAGAGTCGGTCTTCTCCAGCGGAGGTTTGGCGGCCACGTCGGCGTAGCTCTGGCCGTGAGGCTTGCGGGCGGACATGTTGGACCAGGGATGCTAGCACTAAACTGTGCAATCACCCGGGAAGTGAATATTGGGTTAATTTGATGTGCGGAGACGCAAAGGCGAAGCTTGTGTTTGGGGTGAATAGAGATGAAGCTATATTGCGGAGAAAACCCTCAGGCACCAAGGCGGCTCCGGTCACATGGCGGCAACCGCGTCACCGTTCACTTTCTCCCCACGAATTTCGAAATTTCAAGTCAATTCTGACGGTGCCAATGGATTTATCGAGAGCAATTCAATCAATGACATCCTTGCCTCGGCCTCATGCTATGCCCACCAATTCTTCGCTGACGATAGCTCAATCCCGATTGGGTTGTCTATGGGGCACGTGATGTTCGCGCGTCGGGAGCGCGTTTCCGCCGGCAGAAAAAGTGTTCCTGGATTCACTGGCGATAGACAGGAGGCGGGCCTCGACTGTTGAATTAGAGGGTCGAGAATTGTTTTTGCGATGCATGACTCGGTCCCCGACACCCCCGTAAGGGATAGGAAGATTGCGCTTGGCACCCCCGAGGAGGACGGCGACCACGATACCATTGCCACGGTGCCCGTCGGAGCGCATACACTTACTCCGTCGCAACGATTCACTCAACCCACGCAGCTGGTCGACATGCCGTACTCAAAGACCCCCGGGTCGGTCGTCCAAGTCACTGCTTCGTCGCCAACCGCCCCGGCCCATTCACCAATCCGCCGATCGACTGGTGGTATATTATCCTCCCTCATGGCCCCTTCAGGAACACGCTTCCGTTCTCCTGCCAACTCCCTCGGTCCTACGAAAAGAACCACTGTCATCGATCTCGAAGACGGTCCAACATACCGAGGCGGATCATCTGACGACGAAGACCACCCTTCTTCTCGCAGTACCGACATCAAACCCGCCATGTTCGCAAAGACTTCTCGAAGCCCCGAGAAAGAAAAGGTCGCCGAGTCCCCCGTGCGCCCCGACGGAAACACAATGGATCTTTTCAAGGAAATCACGTCTGCTGCCGTTTATGATCCCAATGCGACTGGTACGAAACGTTCGGCGGACCAGATGAGCCCACCCCACAATGTCAAAGGCGTCGCCACCAAGAAGGCGCGCCAGGATATGTACACATCGGTGCAAGACATTCAAGACTATCGCCTGCAAATCAAGGTCAATCGCATCCTGAATGTCCTGCCCCAAAAATCGGTTCAAGACTGCGTCGATGCACTTCTCGAGGTTGATGGCAATTTCGATGTGGCACTGGATCGCCTCGCCCACAGCCACGATGTCTTGGTGATTGAAGAGTCGGAAGACGAGCTTAACGCCCCTGTCACTCGAAAGGCCATCCCAGTACCCATGGCCAAGCAAAAAATCAAGGCTCGTGGCACGATTCAGGACAAGTGGGCGTCCATGAACCGACCGACTACCCAAAGAGAACACTCCGAGGAAGGAGCGAAACCCCGTGGTCGTCTTATGCGTGGTCCGAAAAACCGTGCTTCTCCTGGCGATGCCTCTCCCTGGGCCGCCATTGAGATCACCTCCTCTCCCCCAGCACAAAAGAAGGCAGGGCGATTGCAGAAGGGCCGACGTCGAGAGCCGAGCCGCTCAGAATCCCCCGAAGCCGCAATGTCAGACTCGGAGGATTCCGACGTTCAGGCCCAGGATTCCGGCCCCAGCGACTTGGATCGAAAGGTTCTCAAGTTCTTCAACTCCTGCCCGACCCACGACCTTGCCGACATTGCGGCAATTCCAGAGGAGACTGCAAACCTCATCACCTCCAACCGTCCTTTCCGGTCCCTGGATGAAGTTCGTATAGTACAAGCACCCGTTGACGAATCGGCCAAGCCAAAAGGAAAGGGGAAGCCTCGCAAACAACCAAAGCCTATTGGCGAAAAGATTGTCGACAAGTGTATCGAGATGTGGACTGGTTATTTGGCCATTGACGCTCTTGTTGCCGAGTGCGCATCACTGGGCCAGCCTGTGGCCAACGAGATGAAGAAATGGGGCGTGGACATCTTTGGAAAGCGCGAAGGCGAGCTTGAGCTTACGTCGATGACCAATGCGACTAATGGAAGCTCTCATGATTCCGGTATCGCTACTCCCTCGTCGAATCTTCAATCACCTGACAGCGATGACGATGCTCCCGTGTTCATCGCACGAAAACCGAAAGAAGCCAAATTCATTGCTCAACCCTCGATCATGGCTGATGACCTCTTGATGAAAGACTATCAAATTGTCGGAATCAATTGGTTGTCGTTGCTGTTTGATAAGGGATTGAGCTGTATCCTGGCTGATGACATGGGTCTGGGAAAAACCTGCCAGGTCATCGCGTTTCTTGCTCACCTCTACGAAACTGGCACCAAGGGCCCTCATCTGGTTGTGGTTCCTGCTTCCACCATTGAGAATTGGCTCCGTGAATTCCAAAAATTTTGCCCAACTCTCAATGTCATCCCCTACTACGCCGGTCAAAACATGCGTGCCGAGATCCGCGAACAAATTCAGGGCAGTCTCGGAGATGACCCTGACAGTGTAAATGTGATCATCACCACATACACTATTGCGAAGGCAAAGGTCGACGCAAAGTTCCTGCGTGAATTGGATTTCACAGTTTGCGTTTACGATGAAGGACATATGCTGAAGAACCACCAATCTCAGCTGTATGAAAAACTGATTCGCATCCCGGCTCAATTCCGACTTCTCCTCACCGGCACACCTCTCCAAAACAACCTCCAAGAGCTGGCATCGCTTCTTGGATTTATTCTACCCGGAGTGTTCAAAGAACACAAAGACGACCTCAATGCTGTCTTTTCCAACAAGGCTAAGACTACAGATGAGTCGCATGCAACCCTTCTCTCAGCACAACGGATCGAACGAGCCAAATCCATGCTCAAGCCGTTTGTCTTGCGGCGGAAGAAGCATCAAGTCATCGAACTGCCGGCCAAGCACGCTCACGTGGAATACTGCAAAATGAAGCCCTCCCAGAGGGCCATTTATGACCACGAGCAAGAAGGAGTGCGCCAGCTCCTGACCGACCGCGCCAATGGCGTTAAGACCGGCTCAAAGTCGGCAAATATCCTCATGAAGCTGCGTCAAGCAGCCATTCATCCTCTCCTCCGCCGGCGCGTCTACGACGACGCTACCCTCCGCAAAATGGCCCAGGCCTGTCTCAAGGAAGAGAAATGGTCATTGTCCGACCCTGAGATCATCTTCCAAGAACTGCAGCCCTACAATGATTTCGAGTGCCATCAGATGTGCATCGAAAACCCACGCAGTCTGGGTAAATTCAAGCTGCAGAATGAAGAGTGGATGGATTCGGGCAAAGTCGATGAACTTCAAAAACTTCTCACTGAATTCATCACCAAGGGAGATCGAACCCTCATCTTCTCTCAGTTCACCATGGTGATGGACATCCTGGAGAACGTGCTGGAGACCTTGAAGATCCAGTTCGTGCGTTTGGACGGCCGCACGAACGTCGAGGATCGTCAGTCCATCCTGGACGCGTTCCACGAGAACACCGAGATCCCCGTGTTCCTTCTGTCGACCAAGGCCGGCGGCGCAGGTATCAACTTGGCCTGCGCCAACAAGGTGGTCATTTTTGACTCCTCCTTTAACCCGCAGGAGGATGTGCAGGCCGAGAACCGCGCACACCGAGTCGGTCAGACCCGAGAAGTCGACGTCTACCGTTTCGTCACGGAGGGCACGATCGAGGAGCAGATCTACTCCTTGGGCCAGACCAAGCTGCTCCTCGATCAGGCTGTGGCGGGCGATGAGGATGGCGGCAAGGCAGAGCAGCAGGGGATGAACATGGTGGAGAAGATGGTCCTGGCGGGCATCAACAAAGATTCCGATGAGAAGGAGTGAGCAGGAGGTCGAAATGGCCGAGGATGTCTAGATGGCCAGAAATGGCTAAATAGAAAATATCATAGGTTTAGAATAAACCTATATTAATACCTAGTTCATTTTCAGTTCATTCTCGCCTCCATTCTCTTAGATTACTCTCGTCCATCGTCTGCCAATGTTGCCACTTACCTACTTCACTCATAGTGAAAACTATAGGATGTGAAAATATTCGAGTTGATTCTATCTCTCTTATCAATTACCAAGTTCCCTCTCTTTTAAGGGAAGGAGGCGCAACAGCAAATTACAATCGCGGGCAATGTGTTCCTTTGGATGTATACTCCGTGTCTTCTCTAAAACTTGCCCGGTCATGTGTTCTCACACTAAGTGCTAGCCCCAGAGCTATAATCCATAATCACTGTGTGCAAGAAACTCAAATTGGCAATCTGCGCAGATTTTAGTCATGAGAGTACCTTACTGTCCGACTTCGGGTGTTTGATCGAATGAGTAAACAGTGACGGTGCCAACAGTTCTTAAATTCTTCCAACATGTGTTGATCGCACCCAGTGGCGTACTCATTCAAAAATTGAACAAGCACATGCAGTAATTGATCAATGCTTACAATGCCCAGATGAGAGATCGGAAACCAAGACAATATAGCGTCGCAAACTTTGGGAAGGCACTCGCTCATTAAATGTGGAGTACTTTATCTTATTATTCTGTCCGTATTTGAGCTACTCTGGTGGTTTGAAAGAGCCATTTAGACCTAAGCGCCTGTTGGAGTCGCAGAAACAGCTTCAGTTGTCGCTGTTGCGGTGTGACCGGGGCAGACCATGTTCGCACCGTCAAGTTGAACGGCATCAGCTACGTTGTATTAGAAATTGGTGCTTGCAATAAAAGCGAAAGCGATGGAATTGGATCATGGACTTACAAATAGCGATGCTACCACAGCCTGCGTCATCGCAGTCGATATTGTCTCCGCTGACCGAGCATTTGAGCGGATCGCAGGTTTTAAAGGCATAGCCCCTTTGCCTATCGTTAGCCTCGCACTTCTCTCTTCTATTCTCAAAGATTGATCTGACTCACACGTCCTGTGCATAGAGCTGTCCATCTCTGTTAATCAGACATAGGTTCATGTCCATTCTAGCGGTGATATCCGTAGCCCCATCTTGACAAGTGTAGATTAGGGTAAAGGTGTCGACGGGATTCCACGCGTATTGGCAATCAGAGGCATAGACTATTCCCGAGAGAAGGGGTAGGAGCAGGGCAGTAGCTTGCTGGTGCCGCATTGTGAAGTTGAACGATTCGAAAGCCGTTGAAAGAATACAGCGTAGAGACATGCGTTTGGTATTTAAATGACTTTCTCCATCCAAAAATCGCCCGGAACTGCCTGAAGATACCAGAGGAATGCATTAGCGTCATAATAATAGTAACTTGGAATCAGGCTTCGTTCCCGAAAAAGTGAGTGATCGGCGAAGTGGGCTAATTCTATGAGGCTTTGTACCTGCTGGAATCCGCCTGACTAGATTTGTATTTCAATTTCCGGCCAGTTGATACCCGGATTGACATAGATAGATTTAATCACTGAAGTAAAATAATTTAAAAAAGACAATCTTAAGTATCTGATCTTAAAATGCACATAACCGTGCAGTGTCGCGTGTGCGTGGCTACTAAATTTGGATGGTTTGCGGCCCCGGGGCGGCCCCAAAGCATGGAGAAAAGTAAGCCCAGTTTTATCCAACGGAGTAACGCTGAGAGCAAATGGACCCACAATAATGACAATGAGCGAAGAAGTTATTTATTGGAATCATGTGTAATCTCGTGAGAAATTACACAGTAAGGCAAGGAATCTCGAGCACGCAGAACGTGAAGTACGGAAGGGTATAGCGGCCAAAGCTCAATTGCCTTTTTATTCGCCCCCGTTTATGCCCTGTTCCAGGTTGATGGCTTATCAAACACCGGCAGACGAAAGGCAAGTAGAAATATAGAAATATTTTATATCCATAACACTTGTTGGAGCTTCGTCGACTGTAAAAGATCAGGAGGGACGCCGGCTCTGGAGACGGGTGGGTGACTGTTCAGAAGACTGCTTGGGCGACTGCTTCGATGACTGTTGTGTAGAGCGGTGAGATTGAGGTGCAGATCTCTAGTCCAGGTGTCAAGCCCGGCTGGAACTCGAAAGTGAGCTCTGGCCGCTATACCCTTCCGGAACGTGAAGACAGTTTGGGGCGCATCGTGCACCTTCCTTGATTGCGCCTTCACGCTGACCAGATGCATGTTGAATCATAACCTAGAGTTAAGCACGACTCAATTGGACCAATTATTTTCCTGCATTTGGAAAAATGAACTCAATAAAACCATAACCCATATATTACTTATGTATCTTTTGGGGAGTCTATAGACAAAAGAATCTCTTGATGCAGCAAATAACCATTTTCAAACCCATGCTATGCAGAAAAGAATGATGAAGAGAGGAGGGTGGAGGATATCATGCAGTAACTCCCGGCTGCGGAGCGGCCTGGGCAGTGGGGATCGAGGCACCAACGGCAGGTTGCTCGTTCTCGGTCTTGTTCGCCGTGGCCGGCTCGGGGAAGGAGGAAGTACGAATGGGCCCGCCGGTGTGCGTGGGTTGTGCGGCGTGCTTGGATCTGGCACTGTTTCCACCAGCAGCACGGGCAGATTCATTGTTTTCCATGGCGTTCTGAATGGCCTTGGAGCGAACATGGTCCTTGCTAGGAGCAGAGGCCCACTTGTCGGTCAGTTCAAGAACCTCGTCCACTTGCACAGCAAGAGGTATCAAATCTTCGAAGCTCAGTGCACGGCAGAAGTCCAGATAGGTCTTGCTGTTCTTAGCCTGGTTGAATTCCTTGTTCTTGCCGGGAATGAGCATGTTGAGCAGGTACTTCGTATTGCCGAGCCTGTTCTCGCTTTCAAGACAGAACTTCATGTACTCATACACGACGTCCTTCCACGGCGCCAGACCCCCATCGGCCTCGGAGCGGAAGCAAGACGAATTTGCCTCGGCGGATGTAGCGATCATGGCACCGTCCACTCCATACTCCTTCATCAGTGCGAGCCCCTCGTCGCGAGAGGTCACATCGCCGTTCATTACGCAGGGGATGCCGGCATTATGACAAATATCTTTAATCATGCGGAGCTGATCGCGGATGGCGCGCTCTCGGGGTCGCATGGGAGTTGTGCGGCAGTGTACGGTGAGACCTGTGATGCCGGTGCGGACGAGTCGAGAAACCAAGGCCTCAGTGAGTTCGGGGGTTTCGAGGATACGAATCTTAACGGAGATGCCAATCTGGTAGGGCTGGCCGACTTCACGAACCAGGGCTTCGAGGATCGAGACGAGTTTATCGGGGGTGCGCAGGAGAGCTGCACCCATGCCACCGCTGGTGCTGAATGGCTTCGGGCAGCCGGAGTTGACATCGATTCCTGAAACATCGGCGGCCACCACCTTTGCGGCTTGCACGGCGAGGTCCGGGTTTGCAGTTCCCATCTGGAAGACAAGTCGGCCTTTCTCACGTACTGGGTCGAGTCGGTAAATCACAGATGGCTTTGCGGCTTTGTCGGTTCGGCCACCGTTGGATGGGACACGAGTGAATTCGATTGTACCGTTGCGGGGGTTCACACGTCGCTCAGCGCCGATAAGGGAGCGATCGATGGTTTCGGGACCCCAGACAAGGTCGGCGCCGTACTTCAGGGCCAACAGGCGCGAGGGGAGTTCGCCGGAACGTACCATCGGCGCAAGCACGATCTTCCCGCGATAATCAACACCATTGGGAGGGATGGGCACGCGCGGCACGGTGGCCGGCGCAGTGGCGGTCGCGGTCGCAGTCACGGATTCGGCGAGGGCAGACATGGCGGAGCGAACGAGACGGATCATAGCATGTCGAGGAGGGGTTTGTTCCCTGAGCCACTTTTTTCCTGGGGTGACCCTCCCTCCAGTCAGTCGCCATCGGTCATGCCCGGTGGGTCACGTGGCGATAGGACCGATAACCTTTTTTCCCTTGCAAAATTTGCACCTTTTGCATTCCGAAAATTTGCACGGGCAACCCTAAATCCCTACTCACTGGGGGAGGCTCCACGTTTCCACCGTTTCAGTCTTTGTCGCCCAAGTCTGGTTGCCCTGATGCCAATTGCAACCGATTTGCCCTGTCAAGGGGGAGGCTCTCGCCACTGCGCAATCAGATTGTTCTTTGAATAGATTGGACTACGTACTACACGTACCTACATGGGTGACCTCGGACTGACTGATGGATATGGCTGCCGGTGTGGAGCCTGGGATAGACATGAGCTAGCCGATATCGGCTAGTACTCGCAGGTGTTGAGGATGAGTACGGATTACATTGCAGCGCATACGTAGGCACCCGAAGTCATACATCAAGATGGTCATAGTAGCGCGAACACGAAACCATTCCACTAGATACCCTAGGTACACTAAGGTATACTAGAGAGATCAATGGCATGTAGTTAGCACGTATATTGAATTAGTACTATTAGTAGTACTGCCGGACACTTTCTCCCGGTCGGAACGCGAATGCTCGGCGTTGTCCTGCTGGGTCCCGAAAAAAGGGCCGCGCAGGGGGCAGCAGCAGCACCCGACCCGAATACCAAAGGCCAGGAGTGACCACCGCCATCTTCAAAGTCGGGAGAGGCCCGGGTTACGGATTGACAGCACCGCTCTTGCTTTGCATCATTGCCAACACAGCCAATGGCTCTGGCCCGTCCTCCCTTGGCCCGGCTGGGATTTTCTGCCTCCACCGCCTCTGTTTGGCGCAAATCCGCAACGCTGGCTCCCCCCACCTGCACCCCTCCTTCCTCCTTTTCTTCCCCTCCTCTCGCAAGAGCCGCTCTTCTCTCTAGACATCTCTCTTCCCCCGCGCACACCATGGCCTACACAATCCGCAAGATCGCCCAGCCCTTTACGCTGGAGCACCGTGTCTACATCGAGCAGGATGGCAAGCCCATCTCGCCCTTCCACGACATCCCCCTCTACGCCAATGCCGAGCAGACCGTCCTGAACATGGTCGTTGAGATCCCCCGCTGGACCAACGCTAAGCAGGAGGTATGATATTTTGCCCTGCCGCCCTTACGGCCCGGCTGTTTCTCAATTGCCTTACACTGCCAACCCTCGCTCCCCCGCTCTCACACAAATATAATACACAATGGACTATGCTAATTGCCACATCTGCTCTAGATCTCCAAGGAGGAGTTCCTCAACCCCATTAAGCAGGACGTCAAGAAGGGCAAGCTCCGTTACGTCCGCAACTGCTTCCCCCACAAGGGTTACCTCTGGAACTACGGTGCCTTCCCCCGCGTAAGTACCACCGAGATCCCCCCACCATCGGGAGTAACAGTCAGTCTTAACATTTCTTTTAGACCTGGGAGGACCCCAACTCCGTCCATCCCGAGACCAAGGCCAAGGGTGACAATGACCCTCTCGATGTCTGCGAGATTGGTGAGCTGGTCGGCTACCCCGGTCAGGTCAAGCAGGTCAAGGTCCTGGGTGTCATGGCCCTGATCGACGAGGAGGAGACCGACTGGAAGGTCATTGTCATTGACATCAACGACCCTCTGGCCGCTAAGCTGCACGACATCGAGGACGTCGAGCGTCACCTGCCCGGCCTTCTGCGCGCCACCAACGAGTGGTTCCGCATCTACAAGATCCCCGACGGCAAGCCCGAGAACCAGTTCGCCTTCTCCGGCGAGTGCAAGAACAAGAAGTACGCTCAGGACGTCATCCACGAGTGTGCCGATGCTTGGGAGAAGCTCATCACCGGCAAGACCGCCCCCGGTGACATCTCCGTCGCTACCACCCAGGTCGCTGAGTCCGCTGCTCCCGCCGACCCTGCCCAGGTTGCCGCTATCCCCGCTGGCGAGGACCTGCCCCCTGCCCCTGTTGACGGTACCGTTGACAAGTGGTTCTTCATCTCCGGTGCCACTGTGTAAATGTCGGATATCGTCACTTTTAACAATACCAAAATCAAAATGTTCAATGTCCTCTCCGCGGTTTCCGTGAGTGGTCCAAATTTGAAAGAATTGTGCAGTTTTCTGGCGAGAGAAATCTTGACTCATATTCCTTTGCTCCCTGGCTCTTTGTTGCAGTGCGATTGAGACTTATTTACCTTGTGGGTACTACTTAATACACTTGCTGAGACAAGATGGCCTATGAAGATTCCACGTAAGAGTCTTTTTGAGTTGTAGATTGGATATCATACAAGAGCGACACAACCCTCTCAGTAAATGGAGAGCGTCAGCTGTGCGCTCGAAACAAGCTAAATAATATACATGACAGACTGAAGCCCAAATGCAATGCCAAAAAGTAGAAACATCCCCAGTTCCCGAATCATAAACGCGGTTAACCCTTCAAACTAGCCTCACGCTCCAAAGCACGCGCAACCCGCGATACCTCCTCAACTACATCGCCGATCTTCAGGCCACGCTTGCCAACATCGAGAACCAGCTCCTTGCCGCCCTTGAAACCGACGGTCATGGTAGGTGGCACTGTCGAGTTGCGTGGCAGCTGCGTCACCTTGATGTCGATGTGGGTAGGGCTGCTAGTCGGTGTTGTGTTTGGCGTACGCAGGAGCGAGAGAAAGAGGCGGCAGGGTCGGGACGCTTGGGTGAAAGGGTTGAAGGTGGTGCGGAAGGTTGTGATAGTGCTGAGTGGGATAGGCATGGCGGCGGTTTTTGTCGCGGGAAGAACACTTGAATGTGACCAAAATTTCTTCAATTGGAGGGATTGACCTTCATAGGTGATCAGCAATCGGTTTCGACGAGTCTTGTAGAGGTACTGGCGCAGAAGACTGCGTACCTGGTTCGGTTTGAACGGCGTTGATCCGGAAAGGTTTTTTGCGGAGGCGGTTCGGGGACGTTGTCAGCGCACAGGACTGTTAATCACGATGATGTGCGATACTAAGAGGCCCGTGAGATATCCGATTAGACCTGAGCAGTCAAAGGGCCGTAGATTGGAATTCGAGGTGACCAAGTGAACACTTCGGAGTCGCGGGCTGGAGAGTGGTCGAATGATGTTTGTCTTCGATGCAAACACCCCGGGCCCGACGCCCACCTGGCCACTTGCGGCCGAGCTACATACAACATCTGCACAATATTCTGGGGCTCGTTGTCTTTCCCCTCGAAGCCAATCACTGATCTCTGTCTCTTTGGTTTTATCCAACGCTCTTGCCTCGATACCCAATAGCCATCGAATGCGAATCGCCCGTTGAATCCCCGAACCCCCAAACATGTCCGCCACGGCCGCTCTTCAAGCTCGCTTGAAAGAGTTGGCGACCACCCTAGGCCAGGTCAAGCCTCTTGTTGATAGGCTTCGCAACTTCACAGCTTCCATCGGCCAGGGGAACGAGGCACGCGTGGAGCTGGGAGCGGAGATTCATGCCCAACTCAAAGATGCCGAGGAAGAGCTTGAGCTCCTGCGCGGGGAGGTCGATGCACTAGGAGCTGTATCGGATGGTCGGAGAAAGTCCGCAGCTAATGGAGATAAAGAGGCAGAGAAGGAGCGAGTCATCGTCATGGCGGGGCGATTGACGGACGACTTGAAGAGGTGCGTGCCACACTTACTCCGGACCAGCATGTTTTACTACCGGTACACCTGTGCTCTTGCTGGAATACAGTTCTGACCACCTGAAGACTACGAGGAGACTTCCGAAATGCGCAGTTACAGGCAAAGCGCAATGCCGAGCTAGCACAACGCAAGGAACGCGAACTACTGTTCTCTCGACCGCAATCGCCTGGCACAACCCAACGACAGTCGACAGAGAAATTCACACAAGGGGACCTGGTGCGCAATGCGTCGAGTGATGTTACTGCTGCTCTGCGCCGAACCCACAACCTCATGCAGACAGAACTGTCTCGCAGCCAATTCGCGCATGAAACGCTCGGTTAGTATACTTACCGTTTTCGCCATATTCTGGATGGATGCTGATAAACTTTGTATCTAGCGCAATCTTCCGCGGCTATCAGCTCCCTTTCTGAATCCTACAGCAGCCTCGATACCCTCATTTCATCTTCACGCAGCCTCGCCAATACCCTTCTCCGTTCACAAAAGTCTGACACTTGGTACCTTCAGACATCCTTCTATATCCTCGTAGGAACAATCGCCTGGCTACTGTTTCGCCGTATCTTGTGGGGTCCTACCTGGTGGCTCTTATGGCTTCCGGTCAAATTCGCGTGGAAATTCGTGTTCACAGTGCTGGGTGCGGTTGGACTCTCTCGTGGATCAGCGGAGCTCTCGGCTAGTCCAGTTGCTAGTGGTATTTCCGCCACTCTCTATCAAACAGCAACGGCAGTGACTGGTGGAACCGTGCCAAGCGGGACCGCTGAAGAGAATTCTCATGTTTCGCAGCAAGAAGAAGAAGAGGACCGAATCATTGATAAGATTGGTCAAATGGTCGAAGAAGGGGTCAAAGAAGACACTCATGTTGACGGAATCTCACCCGAGGAAAAGGCTAGGGCAGAGCAGATGCCTCGAAATACTAAGAAGCGGATGTGGGAAGAAGACTTACGGGATGAGCTATAGACGAGTGTAATGATAGTCCATGCCAATTACGAAACACTTCAGCCAAAATTGGATTTTAAGCGCCTAAATCAATAGAGTGGTCTTGAAATGAAGCAGCTTGGTGACACTTTGAGGAAAATCGGATTCCAGGACAGCGGCGTAGAAGTATAAGTGGGGGCCCTGATTCGCCACGTCTAAGTGCTGCGCGTGTCACGTGTAGACGCGTTTCTTCCACCACGGCAGGCGTCGAAAGCTCAACTGCTGCATCTCTGACGACCCCAGCTAGATCGCAGTGCAGGGTTGAGACTTCTCGCCGGTCCAATTCACTACACTCAACAGTATGGCTTCTACCTTTTTCAACAACAAGGCGCGCGCCGCCGCCGCTGCCTCGAGTAGCTCAAAGCCCAAGGTCGGCGAAGCCAAGGAAGATAACGTTCGTCAGCAACCCTGGGTTGAGAAATAGTACGTCTATGCCATATTTCCTACAGCTCGAAGCTGCTACTGACTCAATACAGTCGACCCAAGACACTTGATGACGTCGCTGCTCAAGACCACACCACCAAAGTGCTCCAGCGCACCTTGCAAGCTTCCAATGTACGCAACCATACCCATCATTACAATGTCAACCCCTAGACAAATTCCAATCTAACATTCGCCAGCTTCCCCATATGCTCTTCTATGGCCCCCCAGGAACAGGAAAAACCTCCACCATCCTCGCCCTCGCCAAGTCCCTCTTCGGCCCCGCCCTCTACCGCTCCCGCATCTTGGAACTGAACGCCTCAGACGAGCGAGGCATCGGTATCGTCCGTGACAAGGTCAAGAACTTTGCCCGTGCCCAACTCTCCCAGCCAACTGGCCTCGACGCCGCCTACCGCGCCCAATACCCCTGTCCGCCCTTCAAGATCATCATCCTCGACGAGGCGGACAGCATGACCCAGGACGCGCAGTCCGCACTCCGTCGCACGATGGAACAGTACAGTCGCATCACGCGTTTCTGTCTGGTGTGTAACTATGTTACCCGCATCATCGAGCCGCTTGCTAGCCGTTGCAGTAAATTCCGGTTCAAATCGCTGGACAACTCAGCGGCTGGGTCGCGGTTAGAGAATATCGCGCTTGCGGAGAACTTGACGCTAGAGGATGGTGTTGTGCCTACGCTCATCAAGTGTGGTGATGGTGATCTGCGTCGGGCGATTACGTATCTGCAGAGTGCGGCGCGTCTTGTTGGCGCAACCAAAGCAGATGCGAAGCAGGCCAACGGATATGACGATGACGAAATGACAGATGCGGGCAGTGCTAGCGGCACTATCACTGTGCGGAGTATCGAGGAGATTGCTGGTGTGATCCCCGAAGATATTTTGGATAATCTGGTGCAGGCTATGCAGCCCAAAGGCTCTGGATCGGCATACGACGCAGTTTCTAAGGTGGTTACGGGTCTCGTGGCGGATGGTTGGAGTGCGACCCAGCTTGTTAGCCAGGTATGTTTTGCTCCTTGTTTTTCTTCCATTATAGTACTAATAGTCGCGCCATAGCTATATCGTCGGGTTGTGTTCACTGAAGCCATCCCAGACATCCAGAAGAACCGGATCGTCATGGCCTTTTCAGAGATGGATAAGCGACTTGTCGATGGTGCGGACGAACACTTGTCTGTCCTCGACCTGACGCTACGCATTGCTGGTATCATGCGTAGTGGCTAGTCTTCCAAGGGGATCGTTGTGAGCCTCAATGTGATAGGTCATGCATACGGTCTACCTAGCAGTCAACAATGGACTACTGGGTAGGGGGCGTTTGGTTCTGGATTTTTGATAAAAACATAGGCGTTCTGTATCTACACTGATTATTTGTTGAGAACGAGGATGATTGTGATACCCTGATAATTGCTTGGGTCAACTGACAGGTGTTTCTGGTGCTGCACCGTCTCATTGCCTTTTACCGTATACGGTGCGTATACGTCAAAACATTGCAAAATATATAGCAAGCGGCCAACGTTGTTAGCTTGTACCATATAGTGTAGCAGTATCGTTCACGAAGATGACTGAATTCTAGAATCGCACCAGTGCACTATCTCACAATAACGATGTGTGTCTCAATTTTCGTTTGCATTGTCAAGGCGTGGAAAAGTAAACCCCCTTTAGATGGCATGACATCATACTTGGAGATGAGCTTGGCTTTCCAGAAACGTCCTGGCTCTCGATCAACCCGACAGTCATCGCTCTCTATAAATCCCCAGCGGCCCCCTCCTATACGCTGACTATGAAGCAACTGACAGCGAAGCCGTAAAGGCAGCCAGGTCGAGTCGAGGACGCCAACGAAAAGAGGCTCAGCCTAATGATTTCTCATGCAGGAGTGCCACTCTAGGCTACCAGGCTACTGGGACGCCCGTTTAGCCTTTGAAGTAAGAGTCCCGGGAGACCCTAAGAACTCTGGATTCGACCAGAGCGACGATATGGTCCGGAGCAGCTGTCTTGCATCCCACTGCCTTATTGAGTTCTCGGGTATCCCGAGGCGGTCCATCCCGACTGATTTTGAGGATCGTCTTCCATTGATCCCAGACTCAATGTTTCCTCTCAAAGCATCCCCGCCATGCTCGGAGTGCGACCCAGCCAATAAAGACACCGATGGAGATCTCCTCGGAGCCCGCTATGAGATCAATTTTCTAATTATTTTTCCTGCATCTGTGCAAATATGCAGCTCTTTGCATTGTGTCTGCTGGATTGATAACATTGACGTCATAATAGTTTTCAGGTGGCATCGCAGCGAACGAACCTCCATTCCAATTTGCATTGCATGGCCTCAGCTTTCGCAACTCTCGAGCGGAATGAGGGCCAAAAAGCGATTTCGCATTTTGTCGCCCCACTTTCCATTGAATGAAGACCCTTTTTTTTCATTCAGACTGGGGCTTCGCGTGATGGATAGATTTTTCTTTTTCTGAAGCCAATGGTCCGTAGAGTGCGATCCCGCCAATCAAGGCTCGGAATCGTTGATCCGCCAATGGAGAATGTTCACACAACAACTAGATGACTTTTCCCTTCGGTGCATTGTTGATTACTGTTCATGCCACTTAGGGCTGCTGCGAATATTCGTAATTGCGAATATTATTCGTGCGAATATTCGTACGAATAATTATTCGCGAGATTTTTGCTTTGCGAATAAATTTTGCGAATATTATTCGCAGCAAATCGGGATTACGAATAAATTATTCGCGAGTCTGCGAATATTCGGCGAATATTCGCAATCCCCGAATTATTATGTAATCCTCCAGGATGATGATGGTTGACTAGTTAATTAAGTATATGCTAACTAGTTAGTTACTTGGTTACGTAGAGGGTTAAGGTAAGATTTCTATACTTGTAAGTCTTGTAGAGTAGGAATATAAGGAGTGTAGTAGATTCTACTGCTAGACTCATCTTACTTTTAGAAGTGCGTGTTCAAAGTAGTTATACAGATTTAGAGTAAGTACTTGAAGCTAGCATGTTATGGGTATATATATTACGGATTTGCGGAGTTAAATTGAATTATCATTTATAGAACACCAGAGGAAACACTAGAAATTGAGACTGCTCTCTATATAGTTGTCCAGTCGAATCACTATTACTTATAAACATCATTCAACAACATTAAAACCCTCATCGTCTCTGCCTTCATAGAGTATCTCCGTACTCCAAGTACATCTCTTCCTGCATTGAACAATCTCTCAACCGAAACTTCAGAGGCTGGGATTGCTAGGTAATCTCTAGCAGCAGCAGCCATCCGAGGGTAGTCATGTTTATGAACCCTCCACCAATCACATAACCAGTTTGGATCTTCCATATCACTAGCATCAACCCGAGCACTGTCAAAATATCGATCAATATCAGATACTTGAGGCTTATCGTGAGGCTGTAGCCTTCGTAACATCCGGCTTCCAACTTTTTGCTTCTTGTGACTGGGCTCTGAGGGCTCTGCTATACTAAGTAGGTCTGAAGTCTCTGGATATTTGGAATAAAGGTCATCACGGAGAGATTGAAGAATCTCCCTGCTAGTGGCTTTATCTTCCAATTCGTATAGGAGGAGGTCTCCTTTCACACGAGGATCCAGAATCAGAGCAGTATAGTATGTATCAGAGATATCCATAAAAGTATAGTACTTCATATACTTCTTGATACTTTGCCTAACCGCACTTGCAATATCCTCATCAATGTCTGCAAAATCCTCCTTACGCTCCGCAGCATCATGTAGTAAATCATGAAGTTCATAATAGACCGGCACTGTGAGACTGATCTGGGGCCTTTTCTCTGAGACAAACAAGGTGAACTCATCGAATTTTGAGAGAATAGAGTGGATTTGTGAAAGTCGTTCCCAATCTTTTGTCGAGAAAGGTAGAAACTCTGTCTCGTAATGAATGAACTTCTCAAGCTGGTCCTTTGACTTAGAAGCATTAGTATTTAGTCTTATTAAAGTATCGTTGAGTGCTAGTAGCTCACCTTTAGAGCGTCACTTATCATGCGGAAGGTAGAATTCCATCGTGTATCAACATCATATTGAATGAACTTTTCGGGAAGGTTCATACGCTTGCAATTGTTTTTCCACGCCTGTCTGCGTTGAGGACTTCGGTAGATCCAGATAGCCAGGATACGAAGCTTAGCGAGTGGTTCAAGTGTATGGAATGAGTGATGTTCCCCTCTATCAAGGTTATCACAGACAGAAGTGGCCTCTTCTGTATTACCAGACTTGAGAGCGGAAAGGATATCCTTCACGATCAGGTTGATAATGTGCGCTAAACACCGCACATAGCTTCCTAGACCACAGAATATGGTATTCGCTCCGGACTGCTGTAACTTTTCAAAGAGTTGTAGCACCATCCGCTCATTATTGCTAGCGTTATCACCAGTAATTGAGAGTAATTTGTGCTCAAGATTGAGTTCAATAAGTAATGTTTCAATAGCCGTAGCTAGATTCTCCCCACTGTGTGGTCCATGAAGCTCTGTAAACTCTAGGACTCTCTCACGATAATCAAATTCTTCTGTGAGCCAATGACCAATAACACCAAGGATTGGTAGGTGATTCTTGCTAGTCCAGACATCAAGAGATAAAGCAATTGTTTTGCACGTCGCCGCAAGCTCCTCTTTCAATTTAGCGCGTTGTTGGTCGAAATCTTCTAGGAGACGCTGTCGAAGGGTATGGCGAGAGGAAAAAGGGAGCGAAACCCCCGGTATATCCTTAAAGAGTTGCTGAAAGTCTGGTGATTCAATGACTGTGAAAGGCTGCTTACTGCTCACAACCCAGCGAAGAAGGTTCTTTTCAAGACTTTGTTGAATCGTGATATTTGCCTTACTACCCCATAGGCTCAGAAGAGTAGATTTAGGTGTAGTAATCACTTGCTCAGGGCCATTAGGGGGTAAAATCCCATGTTTCTCCTTCAAATGGAGCCGAATATTAGTGGTAGAAGTCTGTCGCTTCGAATCTGTTGTAGACCAGTTGCATTTCTTCCCTGTGGCTTTATCAATAGCCGTACAACTGATTTCGCGATCGATGAGCCTCTTCTTTCTGCTTCTCTTTTCGATCCATTCGCTAGAGAACTCTCTAACATGAAGAAAACCCCATAACCAGTCGTTTTTCAGTGTTTTTGGGCGGGAAATTTGGGAACCAGTAGCTGGAGGAGGTAGTTGAGAGGCTGATTCTGAAGGTAACACTTCATCCAGAGAATCAAGATAAGAATCGGTATCTGCAGTCACCACTGACAGATCAGAGGTATGCGGTAGAGGCAGTAGGCTAAGCTCTTCTGGATGCTGAGCTATCGGATTCTCTATTAGGTTTGATAGCCAATCTTCAGAGGGGGCTTCATCTTCATAGCCATCGTTTAGAGCAAGGTAATTCGGATGGTTCCCACGAGTCAGCATCTTGGGCGATAAATATCTCTGCAAAGAGTCAAGAATATAGCACGAATTGTACAGAAGAGTGATTTTGCATTGGGTGACTAGGAATTATTTTTTTGCTCCACTATTCTAGCTGCACGTGACATCTTGCGAATATTATTCGTATTCGCAGCCTTAGTGCGAATAATTATTCGCACACTTTTAGTACTGCGAATAAAACTGCGAATAATATTCGCAGTGTTCGTGTGTTGCGAATACGAATAACGAATAATACCGATTCCTGCGAATATTCGTATTCGCAACAGCCCTAATGCCACTGTGGCCATCGCCCCGCCATATCAAAGCCACAGACCGCATCCACTTCCCATGATTCAGCTGTGGCAGTAAGTTGAACCCACAGGTCCTGCCACGGCAGCGAATGATGTGACCTATGTGGCGCCGACCGACAATTACGAAAATGGAGGGGGTGCAGCAGTGTGGGGGTCGGGCGATTGGGGGAACACGAGCGAAAGGAACGAAAAATACAATGCCCAAAAGTGTGATAGTGGGACTCCAAGAAGCTTCTGGAAGAGGCTCTATTGCACCTGACAATGCATCTCTCTCCCAAAATATCTGGACCAGCGAATCAACAAACGTTCCCGACGACATTCTGGGATGTGACCTAACACGACATGTGGTTTGACGTGCGATGAATGCCGTGACGTCCAATCAGATTTTCTCATGCGGCAAACGGTCGGCGACCAGACCATCCTTGCGACGCAGTATAGCCCTATCATTCCCCAGAACTTTCCAGCTTCAACCGGAGAGGCTCGGAATTTTCTGGGAGATGACGCAAAAGACTTTAAGGACAAATTATCGAACGAAGGATGCCCTATAAAGGCTTAAAGATTGTTCAAGCCGATTTCGCTCCCTTACTTCGGGATTTCGTGAATTCTCCCGTCAGCCTGGGTCGTTGATCCCAAAGCAACCGCAAGCCGAACCAGACACCCCAACAGACAGGCAACTCCAGGAGATTATTTCGCCAATAATATCGTATCAACTCTAGGACGCAGGACCGTGAATCTTACTCTCTATATCTGCATTTTCCATACAAATTGTTTTTCCTCTCAAAAACGGCCCTAGTCCCCACTCTGTTGCGCTCTGCAAATTCCGGCCTGTCATTGGCGGCATCTCAGACCGAAGCACAGAGTGCCGCACTGGCAAGCTGTCAGTACAATGCTCAATAAACCTAGGGGTCTGGCTGTTCCTTTGTGAATTGACCTGCGAAACCTCATGAGCCGCAAAAGACAACAAAATCAAAACTATAGCCCACCGAGGGAGGGCTCCAAATCCCAAAATGAAGGCCCGTCCAAGCAGTCGAAGCCGCATAGCGCTCCTGTAACCCCCAAACGGCCACCGCTTTGGGGAGCTTCGTCAGCTCGAGAAGGCAAGGAGAGTCAATCAGCACCGCTAATGGAAGAAGCCGGAGCGACCCCCAATGCGAAAGTTGCCATTCCCCGTCAACCGCCGGGAAACACGCCGCGATACAATCGCCGGGTGCCCCGAGCCTGTGAGTCGTGTAGAACGCGCAAAACTAAATGCAGCGGCGACACCCCGATCTGTCGACAATGTCGTGAATTGCGAGTCAGTTGCCAGTATCCGGTGGGCTGGAGGGAGAAGATGAAAAAGTAGGTACCTTCACATCCTTGCTTTTCTTGCTTTTCTCCTTCATTTTGACCCCTGCTTTTTTCCCATTAAATGCCGAGAAAATTCCGAGAGTCCAAATGTACTGACATGCCTTTCGTGGTACAATAGTGAAATTGATCGACTTACTGCAGAAGTGCAGGACTATGAAAACTTTATCAATGATTTGCGGTCCTCTGCTGACAACCACACGGCCGACTGGATCAAGGGCCTGATTGACAAGGTAAGTCTTGTTTGGATCTTCTTCAGTATCTGGCTCGAAATTTTGAAATTAACCAAGTTCATCTCTTCAGCATGGCTTGAAGGGGAATCCTTCATTTGACAATCTTCATTCTCAGCTATCAACACCGCAGAATGAGGTAGAAGATGCGGATGCGTCTCCACTATCTTCCATTGGCTCTTTGGAGGCCATTGATCGAGTCCAGGAAGATTTGAATCGAACGAAACATACTCGAGCCACGGGGTACATGGGGAAAAGTTCGGAGATCTCTTGGATGCAACGTCTTCAGAAAGAGGCCGAGCAACGCGCCCGTGGCAATCCTGGATCCTTGGATCCCAACACAGACGGGGAAGAAACGCCAGATGATCGATTTTCCCTTCACGCTCTGAATTATCATCTTGATGACCTCGAAATCTCAGTCTCCGAACCGGTTCAGCTTTATGGCATGCCATCGCGGCATCTGGCGCATCGACTTTTTGACGATTATTTGAAAACCGTGCATCCATTCTTTCCTATCATCAGCAAACCATTGTTTCGCGCGCAATTCCAAACATTTTTTGACAGTTCTGCTCGTTACAGCGCAGCACGCCCTGGCAACAAATGGCTTGCCATCCTGAATACCATCTTTGCGATCGCTGCCAAGCACGCTCATCTGATCAATGCCCCATGGCGTGGGGATGAAAACGATCATTTGATGTACTTGGCCCGAGCCCGGCAACTGAGCATGAACAGCGAAGTTTTGTTCAGTCACCCCGATCTGCAGCAGGTTCAAGTGGAAGGGTTGATTGCGTTTTATTTGCTAGCATCCGATCAGATAAATAGGTTCGTCTAATCGCGCACCTTCCCTTTCGGAATTTTTGGCTAATCGTGGTTCTCGCAGAGCATGGAGGATATCGGCCCTGGCAGTACGTTCCGCCATCACACTCGGAATAAATCTAAAAATCGACACTCCAAGAACGCCAAACGTTGCAAAAGAGGCTCGATACAGAGTCTGGTGGTGTTTGTATAGTTTCGAGCACATGCTGGGAATTATGACCGGCCGAGCTATATACAGTCTCGATGGAGGCTACGCGACGCCACTGCCGCTTCCATTCGAAGAAGAGCAGCTACAAGAGGAACCGAAAGCAGTTAAATTGCTGAATGATCCTGCCGCCCGAGACGAACACATCAGTGCCTTGATGGCAAGCTGCGGAATTCGACAAACCAACAGCACCAAGGACGACGTACAGAGATCTCGCTCAAGGGATCGGAGTTGGCTCAGAAGCATGCCATTGAACTCAGGACTTTGTTATCTTTATTACTGTGATTTGACAGTGATCACCCAAGAGATTGTCAACAAGGTCTTTTCGACGAATTCTGTGACGCTTATGTGGTCGGAGATTGAAGCTCGTCTTGACGAACTCAAAGCTCGAATAGATCTCTGGCAATCCAGTCTTCCAAAGGCTCTCGACTTCACACAGGAAGAGGCTGACGACGATCCTGCCCAGCTGCGGTATAAGTTGTTTCTGGCATTCCATTACTATGGCGCACGAATTACCCTCGGCCGTCCGTGCCTCTGCCGGCGTGATGCTCGCCAAACGAACACCCCTCAGACATTCAGCCATATTATGGCAGTAATAACTCTGAATTCGGCGTCAGGAATGCTGGATCTCATCCCCGATGAACCTAATGTGCTTCAGCTTTATAAGTTGTGTCCTTGGTGGTGTGTGTTGCGCTATTTGATGCAGGCGGCCACGGTCATTCTGCTCGAATTGTCGTTTGGCAGCGTACACATGCCAGAGGAGGAGCAGAAGCTTGTCCGGCTATCGAAGAAGTGCATCCGATGGTTCCACTCCATGTCAGAGCGCAGTGTTGGCTCTCATAGGGCATGGGTTCTCTGTGATTCCATCTTCCGGAAGCTTGCCTGCGGCATGAAGTACGGCACTGATGATATTCCATCTAAACCCCAAGAGCAGCAAGGAAGCACCCACGACATTCCAACTGCGATTCCGAACTTCTTCGGACCGGTTCGCTTGGCACCTCAGGATTATTTCAATTTCCACTTGGAAGATCTGAGTCTGTTTGGACCTCGCCCCCCGGCAGAAGAGGACATTTGGACTAATTATTTCAACCTTCCAACTCCTGACCTCATGCCACCACTTCAAGGCCATCCCAGCAGCATGCCTGAAGACACATATTTCCCCTTACGACCCGCTAGGAGACGAATTCATGCGATCGCTCTTTCCTTCTTCCGAGGAAGAGAATCGAGAGCCGAACTGAGTTAATCTACGAGGATAATGGACTTGCGGAAGAGAGGGAATGTACACGAATATTTCTCCTTATAAGACACCATTTGCATTTTCACGTCTCAACGAAACCCCCCCCCCCAATTGCATGCCACGGACTTCGATTCTTCGATTCAAAAGTCACCAAATTAGCGCTTAGCATTTTCTTCGGGTGAATGACAGCATTTACATTGGCATTGGGCTATCTCATGATTTGTAGATAGACAGAAAAAATATCTAGAGTATTTGATTAGGAAGGAGAGAAATGAGTTGAAAGCTAAAAATTGTCCGGTGCATTTTCTCATTGGTCTGCGATACATCATTCGCGCAAAGGTCTTGTGCAATTTATACACGAGTGTCTCGGAGGTTTGCCAAGAACCTCGGAGATACCCCGACTCAGAAATGTTTCCGTAGAACGGGGAGAATCGCAGACCAGCGAATAGCAACCAGCACAGATAATCACATACATTGCGCGCCTTTTCGTGCCCGGAGCTCATACGAAGTGACCCCACTCCGCTGGTGGATTGACCTCCACAGCGGACTTCAACCGGCTCTTTGGCCTTGGCTGACGGGCTATGAGAGCGGGGAAGCTTTTCTGAGAATAGAATCGAAGATAGAATTGTTCAGATTGTAACCCCCGAGAATCGAATCTATGTGCAGGTAGAAATAAGGTTAGCCACAAGAAAACAACGATCACAACCCACGATCATGAATCAAGCCATGCCCAGAAGGGCTTTATCACGGAAGCCCAAATGTAAATGCAGGAGTGAGTTTGATTATTCTGATACAGGTAAATTCGTTGATGATAGTCTGGGCACGAAGCCACACCGGAGTCCCCATACCCCACACTTCGGCTTAAGCTTTAGCCTTAAGCTCTACCCCAGGAAATCGTGTCACACAAAAGCGGGGAAGCAAGTCTCGCCCGAAGTGCTTCGACAAAAACAGTGCAGGGGGGTTGCCACAGATACGCCGCGTCATGGCACAGCGTACTACCTGAATGCCTGTTTAGTGAATGTAGATGTAGATCGGTCATTGTAGGGTATAAAGTCAGCTGCCCCGGCGCTCGGATCTAAATAGAACAAAAGAGTGCAGAAAGACATCGTAGACAATTCCTACATCATGAGGAACCACATGGCTGCCGGGTGGTTTTATTCCCCCGCACAGATTATTCGGTACTTTGCAACTCGGGTGACAAGTCTGAGTCCACCTCAGGTAAGTTAGCTGCTTCGTAAATCGAGACTCTCTAACAAAGTATTTGTCTTAGAACAAATTGCTTAATCCAGTCACGATATTACGGGAGCTGACCTCGCATCAATGGCTCATGTTTGCCGCGGGATTCGCAGGCTGGACCTGGGATTCTTTTGATTTTTTCACCGTTTCGATGACTATAACCGAACTGTCTGAAGCATTTGATGTGTCTTATTCTGACGTCTCATGGGTATGTCCTGGTGACGCTGTCTGGATTTCACAAAAAACTGATTTTGTATAAAGGGAATGACAGTCACTCTGATGCTTCGATCGGTTGGTGCCGTCATCTTCGGTATACTTGCTGATAGGTACGGGCGGAAATGGCCCATGATCATCAATCTTTTTCTCTTTATTGTCCTCGAGCTTTGTTCTGGATTCTGCAATACCCTCCCACAGTTCCTGGGTGTTCGATCATTGTATGGAATTGCCATGGGAGGTAAGAAGTGAAAACACCGTTTGAAGCGACGACGAAACTAAGGAATGACCCAGGACTCTTCGGCCCGGCTGCCGCAACAGCTCTTGAAGATCTCCCCTACGAAGCCCGAGGTCTCCTATCTGGTCTCTTCGAGATGGGATACGCAACTGGTTTCCTCCTGGCCGCAGCCTTTTATCGTGCTCTTGTACCAACGACGTCGCATGGTTGGAGAAGCCTGTTTTGGTTCGGGGCAGGTCCTCCCATCTTGATTATTCTCTTCCGCTGGTATCTGCCAGAAACGAATCATTTTCAAGTGATGAAAGCTGAGCGAGAAGCCCGTGCAAAGGCAGCAGCAGAAGATGGTCACACACAAGGGAAAGACTTCCGTGTTTTCGTACGTGATGCTGGACGTGCGTTGAGAGATAATTGGGTCTTGTTCATCTATTTGATTGTTCTGATGACAGGATTCAACTCCTGTTCCCATGGAAGCCAAGATTTCTTCCCAACGTTCCTCAAAGACCAGGTCCAAATGGATGCCACGCAGACCACGGTTATTACAGTCGTCGGTCAGATCGGAGCCTTGATTGGAGGTTGCACGATTGGCTATATCAGCACGTTTTTCGGTCGACGATTGACGATGATGATTTCTTGCGTGCTCGGAGGTGCGATAATCCCGGCCTATGTTCTCCCGCGTTCCATGTCCTTGGTCGCCTGTGCCTTTTTCGAACAATTTTTTGTCGGCGGAGTCTGGGGTCCCATTCCCATTCATCTTCTGGAACTGTCGCCCATTGCGCTTCGTTCATTGATGGTAGGATTGACCTATCAGCTTGGTAATCTTGGATCTTCTGCTTCGGCTACCATTCAGTCTATTATCGGCGAGAGATTTCCCCTTCCACCAAGCCCCAGCGGGGAAAAACGATTTGACTATGGCAAGGTGATTGCGATCTTCATGGGCGCTGTTTGGGCATTCATTCTCTTTTTCCTTTTCTGGGGGCCAGAGATGCCTCAGGAAGAGAGAGATGAAGAGGCAGAGGCCGCACTAAGATTGGAACAGCTGCGTGCCTCAGGAGTCAGTCTGGCTGACATTGGTGAACAACAGTTCCGCGGAAAGGGTATTGAGCGAAGCTCTTCGCGGGATGAGGAAAAAGCAGTTGTCGAGCATTATAATTGAACTAACTTTTGTGTTGGATATTTTTGCTAGGCATGTTTTCGCTGATAAAGAAATGATGATATCTCTATCAATAAGAACTCCTCATTCCTTCCCGAATGGTGGTAAAGCAGTTTGAACTCTAGCTCTGTATTCTGGGTCGTGAAGTTCCAGGACAAAGAGTCTCAATTTTTCAAAATGGTCTTTCACATGCACTATCAAAGATAATAGGAGGATATCATCGATATCCTTCTGACACAAAGGACAGAATGATTGTTTCGAGAGATCGAATGAGGTAAATTTTATGGATATGGGAATCCCATTGCTGTTCATCACTGTAGAGCTTGAAAGGGGTTTGGCATTCGGAGGCTAGACAAATGCACTGTGTCAAATCCCGAGACGGGTGTTCTTCCCATTATCTATAATCCCAAACTCGAACTTCGATAAAGCAATTAAGAGCTCTGAATCTTTGGCCCAGTTTTACAGGTTGGATCGGACTGGGGAGAACCATAGGGCACGAGCGAAGGAGGCTGTCCGCGATCAATTTTGCTTCTGACAAAGTAATTTGATCCGTTGTACTATAAATTATGGTCTGCAACTCAGATGGTTATGAATTCTGAATAAGAGACCTAAATAAGAGACCTCTCCGATTTTGCGCACGATGATTTAGGACCTCCTACTGTCTTGCTATGGCAATTGTCAGGCAATCAATTATTAGAGGCTCAGCTCTAGAAATGCCGGTATAGTCAGCATCATCTTGGCACTTGAAGTGCCTGGGTCCATGGTCTTTCGGCAGGAAGGAAAGTAAAGAGTATAGGAGAATTGATTCCAATCTCTTCATAAGAAAATTTGGCCTAGAACATCGTTATTTCGTGGAATTGGAGAATAACCATTGCAATTTAGTAGGTATACCCGTGGAAGGTGCAGGCCCCACCTGTGGGCAGCGGAGATGCGTCACCGGCGAGTCGCTTTAGGCGGCGGACTGTCGGGGAGTACGGTTCGAGTTCTGCCCCATTCGGACTCGCCGCATATCTTCAACTTGCGCCCGCGCTGCTTGGACTCGCATCCCCTTTTCTCACCTCTACACCTCTCGTGCCCCCCTCGCGCGACCCTTCTGCTCCCTGCGAGACATGGCCGACTCAACCCCCGCGTCCGACGTGCCCCGCTACCTGACCGGCGACAAGGCCGGTCTCCGCGAGTTCTTGGCCAAATACGACGTGAGTGCCGCTGAGCGGACAACGATATTCGAGGACTCAATTGACTGACTCAATTTCTCTGTCTATAGGTGTTCTTGTTTGATTGCGATGGTCCGTTGCCTCTCCTCCCCCGAGCTCGGCCTTCCCTCCGGCTCCGCTTCCCCGCGACCGTTTTACAAGAACAGCAACTAAGATGCAATTGGTGATAGGCGTGCTTTGGTCTGGTGACCACTGTTTCCCGGGTACAGTCGAGACTTTGGAACTTCTCCGCAAGAATGGTACGAACAATTGCCGGTCTCCGAGTACGATACAAGCCAGGACGAGACTGAATGACGCACAGGTAAACAAGTGGTTTTCGTGACAAACAACAGCACCAAGTCTCGCGCAGACTACTGCAAGAAGCTTGAGAGTCTCGGCATTCCGAGTACAGTGGTCAGTGTTCCGCGAGACATCTAAGCTGGGCCGGCGTAAAGGCAGTAGGGATTAAATGACTCACAACCTGTATAGGAAGAGGTCTTTTCCTCCTCATACAGCTCCTCGATTTACATTTCCCGCATTCTCCAGCTCCCCGAAAACAAGCGCAAGGTCTTTGTGATCGGTGAGACCGGTATCGAGCAAGAATTACGCTCCGAGAATGTCCCCTTCATCGGCGGCACAGACCCGGCCTACCGTCGCGATGTCAAGCCCGAAGACTACAAGCTGATTGCGGCTGGCGATACCTCCCTGCTGGACCCCGAGGTCGGAGTTGTGCTCGTTGGTCTGGACTTCCACCTCAACTACCTCAAGCTGGCGCTGGCGTTCCACTACGTCAAGCGCGGCGCCGTCTTCCTTGCTACCAACATCGATTCCACATTGCCCAACTCCGGCTCTCTTTTCCCCGGTGCCGGATCGATGAGTGCGCCGTTGATTATGATGCTGGGTCAGGAGCCTACAGCGCTGGGTAAACCTGCTCAGGCTATGATGGATGCCATTGAGGGCAAGTTCAAGTTTGATCGGGTTCGCGCCTGCATGGTTGGCGACCGGGCCAACACTGATATCCGCTTCGGAAGGGAGGGTAAGCTTGGTGGCACGCTTGGAGTCTTGACTGGTGTCAGCTCCAAGGAGGACTTTGTGTCTGGTTCCGTGCGGCCGCATGCGTATCTGGACAAGCTCTCTGATCTGCTGGGCTCGGAGCTGTAGGGCCATGATTGCATTTAGCATAGACGACTTGATGATAGATGGATTTTGTTATAGAGCCATTCTCACTGCTTCGTGGATATGGCATACGACATACAAATAAAGAATACCATTCACTTTGGCTAAAAGATCTTAAACTGGCAGGTTCCTTCGTAAGCTGAGGTTGGACTCGGTTGGATATTATGTTCTGCAACCAAACAAACAGCCCCAGCCCCAACGCGCTCTCGCGAATCTGCTCCGTCAAGCGCCGCTTGAACTCAGCACCCATGGCTTCAAATGTACTTCAGAGATTCGCTTGTTTCTTCTCCAAGTGACCGGGCAAGCCGATCAGTTGATGAAAAAGGAGGTTCGCGTCGATCGGAGGTAGTGTAAGCCCGATGACACTGTGCGACGAGACATGTGCAGAGCACAGAGGGCAGGTCGCGAGGTACAAAAATTGGAATAATCATTGATGTCTTCCGGAGAAGACTTTCAGAGATTAAACTGAAAAGAACAGATACTACACTTGATCTAAGCCAAAAGGCAAAGAGAGCTAAAGAAGAAAGAAAAGAGAGGAAGGTTCGCGGAGGCTGCGGGTATTTATGCCCTTGGGATAAGGGCGGTGAAAGAGGCAACTTTTTGCCCATTTGATCACGTGGATTCATTGTACGACCTGTGAACATGTGCCCTGGGAATATGCGCCTATATACACAGGATTTTGTCCGCCGGGTGGGGCTTTCCTGTCTGGGCTGCCGCCGCTTTAATGAGGGCGATCAGGCTCAGGCTCAGTGAGTAAATGTCAGCACGGGCTCATGCTCAGTGATCTGGTCAGTCCAGTCATGTGATCGCTCGGTGACCAATCATGGGTGCTCAGTGATCGTTTGGTCCTACACCACCACCACCACCAAGCCGTGGTAGTGGTAGTAGTGGTTTTGTTCCTTGCACACCTGCTAGGCCTATTGATATTCACCGACAGGTAAGATCAATAGGAAGACTACCACGAGAATCACCACCTAGTCCTGCTAAGCAAGCGTTTACGCAGCTTGCTAAGGGATTCGAGAGCGGCCTACATAATGTTTCTTTACTAGAGGCCGAGATTAGTCAATTACGCCGTGCGAACGCCGGGTTATCAAAAAAGAGACCTATATCAGGTAAAACTGAGCACAGAGAAAAGGGCTTTTCTATTGAAGAGTGGCAGGATAGGATGGCAGAGGCACAAGTAGTGATGGAAACGAATATTGCTACTGGGCAATTACCAGTGGTTGCTACTAATTCGACCAAACAGAGGGCACCACGGCGCTGTGGAAAGTGTCGGAAGCCAGGACATTATAGATCAAATTGTAAGGATTAATTTGACATAGTTATCAATACGATATTGGCGTTGGTTGTTGAATAATAGTAGATTATATTGATGGGTAGGTCGGTAGGTGCGTCACTCGCCCGTTGATTACGTTTTAAAAATAAGTGCTATAGAATTCGAATGGTTCGCTCTTCTCTCGTAAAATACTTGAACAAAGTGCTCAACACTCCGGCCCTTGCTGATTGTTTACACCTCGAATCTAAGGACCTGTGAAATCGACGCCGAAAATGATAGCCTCCGGGAACGGGCTGGAATACATTCAAGAGTTGCCGTGATGCGCTCTTATTATGAGAGAACCTATAATACTCTAATGAATTCCTTGTTCCTTGTCGTGATATATCTTGGGTATTTTGACTTCTTAAGCGCTCCTTACTGTCTACGTTTCGGACTGTACAGGCGCTGAGACCTCCCTCGAGATACTCAAGATCGAATCCAGCTCATCAATAGGCGTCCTCCCCAACCCACACTCCGTTGCGACCCCAAACCCCTTTACAACGGACAGCGCCGCCTCAATCCTCTTCCTCGTCCCCTCCTCATCATTCGCATGCACAAGACCCAGATACAACTTCGTGTCAGCCGGCGTACCGACCCCCAAAACCAACTTCCTCAACGGCTCAAAGTAATCCTTATCATCCCGATCCTTCGGCACAGGAAGATGTATCCAAGCAATCCTCCTCCTCAGCCTCTCCCTAGTAGCGTTCGCAAACCCCACAGCGACTCCCAAATCCTCCGGCTCAACATAATGCCTATGATCGCGGTCCCCATAACAGAAGTGAAAACCGAGATCGACATCCTCCGGGATAAGCGCGGTAAAGCGCTGAATGCGATGCAACACCCCCTCGAGAATCCCCTCCACACCCGCAAAATGCGGCCGAAACTCCTCACCCAACTGACCACGCTCATACTCCAGCGCCAGCGTCTCGCGCGCGAGGTCAAGCTGGATCGCTAGGTGGCCGGCGGGGATATTATCAAGAATGACGCGAACCGCATCCTCCATCCGCCTCGTATATAGCGGCTCTATCATTGCTTGGAACTCCGGCCGCACGTGCCCCGCGACAACCGCCCAGGGCAATGGGAGTGAGACCTGAAATCGTACACCGGCCGGGATCTCGCCGCGTTCTCGATATTCACAGAAGAGCCGGCATGATTCCACTGCAGCCGCGCCGTAGTCTGTTGGACTGACGTCGTCCTGCGTGAAGACGCCCGAGTGGCCGTCGGGAAGGTTGATTCCGCCGTTGGTGTACTTTAGGGTTTCGGGGGGAAGCGCGAGCGTTCCCAAAGAACAAAGTTTTGGCGGGGGCCCGTTTCGCCGTCTGGAAGTGAGGAGAGGCGGTGCGGGAGGGTGGAGGTGAGCTTGTTGAAGACTGCGCTTGTTGAGGGGAGCGGGACGCTGCCGATGAGGAGGACGCCGGATACGGGGGGGGGTGGAGGGAGCATTTTGGGCTGGTCTGGGGAAGTGGGTGGGTGCTTCTAGTGAAGTATTTGGGTATGAATGGATTGATAAGAATCGTGAGAATCACAGAAGAAATGGCCCTTGGAGGCAGGTAGGAACGGGTATTTATATATTTATGATGCAGGAGAGCGATCTAGATGAAGATGCACAACTCCCACAAGCTCACAAGCTACCTAGCAGGACTGCCTATTAAGCATCATAAAACGTGGCGATCTGTCGCACTAGATGGATGATGTGGGCGGCCCAGGTAAGCTGACCTAAAGCTGACACCCCGCACCTTGAATGACCCGAATTATCAGCCCTCGCAGGGCGCCTCGAATGGGATCGCACTTCTAAATACTAGTAGTCTCGCTCAAGTCGGTTGCGGGGTCACCCAAGGCTGTCAAACTCCACACCTGACTGGTGTCCGCCGCCTGAACTCGGTGCTGGGATGCCTTAAGATTTCCGGATTGCCGAGAGGCGAACATGTCAATAATTTTAAGGCCTATTTTGTCAATGGGATGGGTAGTGGGTCCCTTTGAGGGGGCGGTAGTTCGCAATGACCTGCTGGTGCTGGTTCCACGTGGATTTTCCTGGAGGTTCGCTGTCCATCGCGTGGGGTCGAGCTGCATTTCTGGTGAAATGAAAGGGGCAGTGCGTCGGGCAGAAAGCCAGCGCAGTGGTCGGTGACGGCGAGAGGGAAAGAAAGGGGGTGGCGATGAGTGCAAGATAGAGGAATTGAAGGAAGGGGAAGAAGGGGAAAAGAGGTCGAAAAGGGCAAGGTCTGGTCTTATACATATGTCGAGGCGATGGAAGGAGAGGTTACAAGACAGCGTATTGTGGCGCTAGGCCGAGAATGGCAAAACTAACCAGATATAGTAGTACAGAGGTCCGCCGTTTACAAGCTATATTTTGCCCATCTAGCGACAAAATGTACCCGTATGTAATTGTGCATATGAATTCACCTATTACCCAACACCCGAGAAGAGACATGCAAGCACAGTAATTAAACAAAAAAAGGGGCCAGGACCCATCAAGTCGCCATGTGAAAAGCTATGGATGCCCCCGTCCTGGTAAAGTTTTTATTGTGGTTCCTAGTGCGGGGAGGGAGCGCGGCCGCAGCTGACACTAAAGGTCCAAATTGGCAGATTCACGAGTCGTACTGGGAGACCATACGCAAATGTTGAAATTGCGAGGCTCCCACTTCAGGTTGTGAGCCTCTCGGTCGAGCCTAGTCCAGTAGTCCAGGCTCCGAGATAAGACCACAAAAATAAATCATAACCCCAATCTAGCAAGTTTCTCTTGCCCCTTGTCTGTAAACAGAAGCACTCCATTCCAATATCCAACAGCCCAGATCATCGGATACCGCCAATGGAACCACATCGGATGTTCTGCGGCTCCAAACCACCCAAAATGTCTGTCGAGGTTGTAACAAAGATAGTTGCAAGTGCTGAGAATCAGAAGCGCCAGTATGCCGGTGAAATGAGCGGCCTTTTTCCCATAGTAATGGTCAACGATGAAGCAATTTATCAATCCGCCCATTGCCCCGCCCATGCCTAGCGGGCAGAAGACAAGAGTCCACATGACTTTGTAGAAGAGGTCTCGGGTACCGGTCATGATGAATACGCCGACGGCGAGGAAAATGACTTCGGCGATCAGTGAGTTAAGCCAGAAGAGGAGGAACGGGCGAAGGTAGATGCTGCGTCGTTTCTGAGCAGATTTGATGTCATCTACCCCAGTTATGATAGGTTGAAAGGTGTTTGTGGGCGCCATAATGAGTTTAGAGAATGTCTGTTATTGACAGTACATATTTGACGGCTGTTGCTTTTTTTTATACATCTTCGCAAAGCAAACATCCATAAAACCGAGTACTGAACTTGCATATTCAAAGTGATCAAAGAACGCAGCCGAGGCCTGGTCCTTCTCCTCAATGGCCTAAACTCGCAGCCGTGGGCAAATTTTGCCATGATGAGTGATCATCCCGGTTACCGAGAGTCTGTTGCCGACAAGGCCGAATGCCCACTTCAACTGTTTTCTTTCCTGTTAACCTGAAAGAATCCAATAGACACAAAATGCCGCTTCACAAGGGAAAAAAGAAAATGAGCCCCAACGCGAACTTTGCAATCTCAAGTGGGGTGGAGCCTGTGTTAACGGCTCCGTCAGCTGCCTCACCCAAAAAGACCAGGCTCTTACACGAACGTGAGCAGCCCACAAGCCCGGAAAAGAAGGAGGTATATCACATAATCAACATTGAAACCTAAAAGCAAATCGAATAAGTTTCATGGACTGACACGGCTATAGCGACGTCGGAAACAAGTTCGCCTGGCACAACGGGCATATCGGGCACGAAATGAGGCAAACACCACGTTACTCAAACAACGTATTGCCCGACTAGAGTTTGCTCTAGAACGTCAGAGCAGGGCGGTCGTCCTCTTCAGCGATTTCCTGGCCGAGGACTCAGTTGTTATTTCCCGCCCGCATGTGGCGGATCGTCTTCGGGAAACGGTGAAAATATGCCTTGATTCGGCCATATGGGGTGATGAGTCCGAGGAGGATATTGGCCATTTGCAACTAAAAGATACATCCTTCAGCGTACGAACGCCGATAAAACAACCACTTTCCCCGAGAGATTACTCTAAGTACTCTCATCCGCATATTGATTTAAGCTTGCCAAGCGCAGGGCCTCGCATCCAACTCTTGCCGCTTGAGCGAGACCGTGCCATAGTCGAAGCACCGGTCTTTGTGCAGTATCTCAGGATATCATGTCTATACCAAGGATTCTTGATGCTTAAAAACCCGTCTGTTCCGCTCAATGCGTTAAGGCGGCCGTTTCGATTTCTTTTATCCCTGGTCCCGCGGGAAACCATCACGTTGTTCTTCTATAATTGTCTCTATGCAAGGCTGAACCATAACCAGCCAGACAAGTGGACCGAGATTCCGTTCTTCAGACTTGGAGGTGCAGGTACACACTATCGTGAGGTACTCTCGTCGAGGGAGAATAATACAGAGGCGCGAGAGCCAAAGCAGCAATACGTTCCCGTAGAACATGGTGCCCGGTCGGCCTTTTCTCTAGAGGCTCAAGAAGAGCTTGAAGGGGATTGGTTTGATATTTGGGACTTGGCGGGGTACTTGCGTTCAGAGGGAATCACTCTTTCGACAGCACCACCAACTGGGAACACTGCAGATCGCAAGGTGAATGCATTAGACTTCACAGCAGGTGAGAATCGACGCTCCTATTTATCTAGGCCATGACCTGAATGGACTACCTGACAATTATCAGCTTTAGTGGAGAAGGGAATATGTCTCGGGCGCAGTCCTGGGTTCAAGCGAAGTGATGTAGAGGCAGCAATTAGCCTGTCATCCTGGAGGTGAACCACAGCACATTGTGCGTATTAATTCATGTTTCAACAATCATAGCTCACTTTATCAGGCATGACCTTTAAAAGACTAGAAGATGACCAACTCCTATCTCATGTACTGCTCCTCAACCCATCAACCACCAATGTCAGTTGCATACTTGTAGATATCAGCTCACCGTATTCTATGGGTCAAGTGGTATGGCATCATCCAATATAGTTAGTTATATTTAGATCTCTTTGCGCTCGGACCATTCAATCATTACCCATGCCCCGAGGAATACCGAAGGTCGTTGGTATCATTCATCATCCCGAGCTCGAGCACACGTGTTAAGGCATACATCCCGTCAAGTATTTTCCCTTGTTTTGACAGAACTCGGGTCAAGCATCTTGGTCACCAGTTGACGGGGTGATACAAGATCGCAGAACTTAGAGCTTTGTAGGTGTGTGTTCCTTTTCCTTGTTGTAAATCACATTCAATTCACTGCATCACTACAGGGGTTTGCCATACTGAAAGCAAGATACATCCTTTGTGGATAATCACAAAGGGATAACATGCCAACTATTTACATCAAACCTTAGACGACGCCTTCGCTTCTGGAATAGCTGCCAACGCCCCTCTCAGGATCGCATGAGGATTGATCCGGTTGGGGTATCGTCTCTGGATATCCCCCACCAATTCCTTCCAGTTCGAGGCCGACCGGACAGCATCTTCGAAATCCAGGATATACTGGCGCGTCTTCTGTAGATTGAACAAGCCATCCACAGTTCCCGCTCGCTTATGCCCCGCGATGACAGTATGCGGGTCAAGCGCCTCGATCGTGTCGAGTGCGCGCAGCCATTCATTTCTCTTTTCGGAGGTGTTCGCTTCACCAAAGAACTGATGCACGTCTCCATAGACTGCATCACCGGCTACTACCAGTCGGATGCTGGGCACGTGAAGCACTGTGGTGTTATACGTATCAGTATGTCCGACTTCAATAGCGCGGAATGCATGGCCTTCGAGCTTGAAGACAGGTTCATCCATTGGTTCGGCCAGCTCCAGAGGTTGGGGGATTTGGTTCCCCGGAAACAGGGTAAGCCATGTTCCTTTGAGAATTCCTGGCTGGAGTTGTTCCTTCATGTGTTCGACGGTACCGGGGGTCGCAAGGGCACGTAGATTGGGCCAGTGCTTTCGGAGGATGGTGATGCCAAACCAGTGGTCGCCATGGCCGTGGGTGATGTATACATAGCGGAGCTCTTTACCTGGTGCTGTCCTCTTGATCCAGGAGACTAGGTCTTCAGTTTGAGAGATGGATATAGGTGTGTCAACGAGAACAGCCCCTTCATCTCCGTGGATAAGGGTGCAGGATATCGGGGAGAATGAACTTGTCTCGCCCAACCGCTTGATTGCGATAGGAAGGCGCGAGGAAACATAGACATCTGCTTGAAGAATGGAAGACATATCGAGTGATAAAGATCAAAGAAAGAGTCAGATCAAGCTTACTGGGTAGATCGCGAAATAAATCAGTTTGAGAAGAGAATGGACTATCTCTCATATTAGAAGCAAATCCTCCCAAGCCGAGGGATTCGGTAGATTAGTGAGCCTATGGATATATACCGCACCGAAGTGAACATTGTCGAAGGTCAGATAACCATTAAAATCCCGTTTGAAGAGGGGTCCATTGATTTATCATCGAAGAGACGTCGGTCCTCGGTTTGACGATCATCAACCTAGGCACACCCTCAGCAGGCATAGCTTATATAGAACAAAATATAAACGGCATGAGATCCAATACCGCAGGATCTCAGCCGTGCCACATATTTCCCGTATCACACATACAACCCCACAAAAATGCCTCGCTGGACCTTCGAAGTTACCCCGGACACCCTTTCCAAAGATGAAAAAGACAGATTGGCTGAAGCCATCACCAACAACTACGTCAAACTCGGCATCCCCGCATTCCTAGTGAACGTCTTCTTCCATGAAAACAGAATTGGTACCTTTTACAGCGGGGGCAAAACACCACCAAACACGGTCTTCTTCGTCCTGGACCACGCAGCTCGAGCATTTGCCAGCGAGTAAGTCCGGCTGGCTTTTATCGACAGCGTGAATTCTATTGTGGAACCCATTCTGGGACCTAAGGGTGTCAAGTGGGAATACAACATCTATGAACATCCCGCTGACAATTGGCGTGTGAATGGTATGATTCCGCCGGTGAAGCAAGAGAAGCTTTGGAAACAGTGGATGGATCGAAATGAGGCCGTTGAATATGGAGAGTATCTGTAAATCGGACGAGAAGGGTGATCTCGTTAAGCGAAACTATACTGTACCTACTGAGGCCTAAGGCACTCTGCCGGTCGGCAGATAGCTAGCAAAGCAGAAATCAACTTATCTCCAACGGTCAACGATTAAAGTCATACAGTGGCGCCCGTTATTGCCTTCCATGTTGGGAAGCAGATACTCCTTCAAACCCTAATCACATGATACGCTAATCATAATATTGATAATTCAGTATTTGGAGGCTTGTTTCAGGTGTGCATGGTAATACAGAAAACATCTGTACCACCGAGGTCAACCTGGCCTCTGGAAGGCGTTCGACTGAAATTACACTAGGTCTTGATCCGAAATTATTATTTAAAGATCACAACCTGACGAAATGCCGGTATATGTTCTCGGCAAACACCGCGAGATACAGCTTCCTTAGTGCAGCACAATTTCTGACCTAGCCGAGGTTGGCGTGACCAGGACGGTAGGATTAGTGATTATTTTCGGACTCACATCCGACAGCTGGAGAGTATCGTGAGCATGAAAAATACATCATGCTAAACTTGCCTATATATTCCAAGACAGCCTTCACCGAAGAAATACTTTTATCAGCCAAAGATTTGGCTGTCGTTTGGTCAAAAAAAAAAAAAAAAAAAAAAGGCCAGGAGAGGTGCAACCTAAACTATTCATCATGGCACGAAACGAGTATATCCGAACTCATGATGGAATCGTCCTTCGTGGCTTGTTTTATCCAACTCAGTCGATGGCTCCAGTGGTGATCATGTCCGCAGGTGTACGATTTCAGCTTCCACCGCTGTTATTCTCATGCTGACCTCGTTTAAAACGCAGTTATCGGGAATCAAAGACCATCATCTCCCTGCCTTTGCTGAAAGGTTCCAACAAGCACGGTACGCTGTTCTTCTCTACGATCCTATGATAGAAATTGGGGAGAGAGCGAAGGGCTTCCTCGCCACCACTCCAACCACTATGAATAGACTCAAGATGCTCATTGTGTTATTCATTATGTCAGGATGTTGGGGTCAGGCTCAGTGATCAGATCAGGACGCTCCGATCAAGCTCACTGAGCAAATCAGGATGCTCAGATCAAGCTCAGTGAGCGAATCAGTGTGATTATGTAATGATCACTGACCAGCTCAGGCCGATCAGGGGCGGGCTCAGTTCTACTCAGTGAGCAAAAGCGGCGAGGGGGTGAGCACTAGAACGGAAGGAGAGTGTCAAGCGTTGCCGGACAAAATCCGGTATATATGCATAGATGTAAGGGTTGGTGCCATGATTTCAATACCATAGGGTACAAAACACACTACAGTCCAATATTTCCTTGCCTACAAGTCTGTCAGCGATTCTTGATGTGATGAACTGCACGACAGAAGAAGCCCCATCGGAGCAGAAGTAAACCAGTCACGTTCGCTGAGGTTGTATTTTATACATAGTTTCTTTAATGCAGAATAGTATACAAGGCTGTGGATATGGTTCTAGTAGAGTATTTTACGCCATATCTGCTAGATAGCGTTTTATCTTCCACAGGGAAATCATCAAGTCCACACTCGCACCGCAATCTGGCCTCAGAAATAGAGCACTGGCCTGGAAATGCGGAGCGTGGGTCACGCGCAGCTCCTCCATCCCTTCTGCAGTAAGAAAAGCCGATAAATCGAACACCGGAAGCTTAGTTTGAGTTCGAGGATGAACAACATCCTCCAAGAAAGAACTCTTACGTGTGGTCCTCGCTTTCGGCGGACCAAGTAGCAACACACCACCATATGCTTCACGCGCCACCGGTTCCAACTTCCCGAGCGCAGTTTCGATCGCAAGGCCTGAATATTCATTCAAGTCCAGGGTTCTCCAGACATCATTCGCGTCAAGCTCATAGAACTCACTGATTCCCACAAGTTTCTTAATGACATCCTGTCTCATCCGTCGCAGTAGATATTCAGGCATATCTTGCATCCACATTATTTCCTTGATGTCATTGGAGGTGAGAGGCCCGAGCGGATACTTCCAGCGATATGGAATGATTTTGCTGACGCCGAGTCTCTTTCCAACTCTCGCTGCCAAATGAGACGACAGTGCTTGAAGGAGGGGGAGAAGATTGATCATCCGGATAGTGAGCAGCTTCGATAACTTCTCGTCGCGAGGTACCTGGTGTGATATATTTCCCCTTTTACCTTTTTTCGTATTTGATTTCCCATCGTGCATAGCATCAGTATCGGGTGCTGTCGACGTCTCCGGCACAGCCGGCTGTTTTCGAAGCGTGTCCTTCAACAAATCCACCGGTAACATATAACTCAGCTCCGAATCTGGTCGTCGCACAAGGCCGTATTCACCCATGAGGGCGCGGGGGACTCGAAGCCCTGTTGCCGAGCACATGCGTATCGGCGACGCGAGCGCGACGGCCCATGGATTCTTGGACAGATCGGAGAGGTCTTTGGGTTGTGGACGTCGTTTGCGTACTTTTGTTATTCCGGAGCGAGGGTGTGTGATGACAGGCGATTGTGGCAGGCGCTGGGAAGGAGGGATATAATCTTCGGACGAGTTGGAGCTCTGCGGAGTCTGCGACGGAGCTTCATCGTGCTCTTTGCTGCGCGGCGCGGAGGTTGAAATTGAACGGCGGAATGGTCGCGGTTGCGACTCGGATGTAAGAAGCTGGTGGAAGGCTCGAAGGCGCCATGTTGCATATGAGAGCCGGTGGCTGGCGAGCTCCATTTGCACGCGCAAGTGATGGGGGAGGCGAAGACGAAGAGTTGCCGACGCGAGATGTTTTCTGTTCCGTGCCGACCTGCCAATCAGGGCCCGCCATTTTCGGGGAACGTTTGGAGTTACACCGAGTCACCTTGCGCTGTGGAGTCCTCTCCCTTTTTCTCTCAATTTCAATGCTAATACCATTGTTGTAGAGCAGGTCCTCGGTTTCGGGTTCGCTCAAGATTGAAGGGCGGTCCACTTTTTGCTTGACATTGCAAGGCGGTTGGACTGCGCTTGCACAACCACAAGGCACACTTTTTGACATCCGAGTCTTTATTTCAATCTATTTAACTACTGACCTGCCTGACACCCGTCTATTATTGACGAAGATGAACATAAATACACTCTATTGTCTAAAGAACTGGGAGTCTGATCTTCTTTGGTCCACACGGCACTGAGGAATCATCCTTCCCATCCATCAGCCAGTTGTTAGTACCAACAACGATGGCTGAAACTAACGCTCAAATTTCACGAACCCAGAAGCTCACCGGTCTGGGCCTAACATACCCACTCTGGATATTTGACGTTGACCAATATCCCTGGCCACGCAAGCTTGCCGATATTCCTCCCAACTCAAAAGGGGCCAAGATCACAGGATGGTACAAATGGCCTTGGGAATACGGCACTGATCTCCGCAATCGACGATCCACCACCAGCAGACGTGGTAGATACTAGCTCGAAAGAAGGTATTTTCTCGCCGCAGAAATTTCTCAGCCAGCTTCGGTTTGATGCCAGGTTTCTGGCCGATACTTTCCGCGTTCTGTTTGAGGCTGGGAAGGGCGATGCAGTAGGGGGATAACAAAGTCAAATCTCGAGACTTTTCAGACTGGATACATGACCCTAATGCGTCTGAATATATTGCACCTCGTCGCATTGTACATATCGAGCGTATTTAGGATAATGTCTCAATTTGGGATTGTGCTAGGGCAATCGATATTCTACACGATGCTGAGGATTCTGGGCACATCGCATACGGTCATGGTGTTGCGTACGTGGTTCAAGACGATGGAGGCTGATTCAAGCTGCTGGAGCTGAAGCAAATCATACCGAAGAAAAGATCAAAAGGCCGAATTCGAAGCCGATGATGAATTTGGCGAGAGAATTAGAGGAATTGTGTGGTCAGTGAGGGTTTAAAATGGAGGGCTGTTTATCAGTCGCAGCCCCGAGTTAGCAGGAAATATATGGGCTTTCGCAGAGACTTTACTAGAGGCCGCTACATCGTCAGAAGTCAAATACTGTGTGATTGGAGATATGTCCAGTGTCTTCATTTAATCCCAGAAAGACTATCAATTGCATCCAGTGAAGAACGATATTTGTATAAAGCTGCGGACTGAAATTAGGTGTCATCTCAAACCCCATTTGCCGGTTATATATTTCAGAATTCTCAGTATTTTCTAAGTGCACAATTTTTGTCTCAAAATCTAAGCTCACGATTAAACACAACAAACAAAATCAACGCCTACCTAGGTACATGACGGCTCCGGGTGCTGTTGGTCCCACTCGGAACTGGAGCTGCCGTATCTTAGCGCCTGCGGTTATCGCAGGTAGCTCCGCACCGCCTCGGGGCGCCTTTTTCCTTCGCATCTCCAACTCCAGCTGTGAGCACCACACCTCCTCATTCTCACGGCGCCTTCTTCAAAATGCGCCCGACAACTTCTCTCCCGCGTCTAGGACGCTTCATTCCTCGCCCCTCATCTCCGGCTCTCCGACTCGCTGCTGTTTCGCGATGCTTTTCGTATTCCGCGCCTTCGCTTGACCGCGCACCTCCGCGGGGCTGGACGCCGACGCCTTTTGTGACGGAGACTGTTGTACGTGGTCCCTCAAACCATTCAGTGTGAATGTATAAGGAAATGATCGCGCTAATCAACTTATTACTGTTTAGGGAGGTGGCTGGCACACTTGTACGTCTCATCGCATCGACGTCCTCAATGACCCGCAATATGTGATCCCAGCTAACCACCGGTGCAGACGACATTTTCTCTAGATTGCTCAAGGAACGAATCATCTGTCTGAACGGCGAAGTCGACGAGTCCATGTCGGCCTCCATCGTCGCCCAACTCCTCTTCCTGGAAGCCGATAACCCGCAGAAACCAATCCACCTGTACATCAACTCGCCCGGCGGCTCCGTAACAGCAGGTTTGTCCCACCCGCCTTCAATTGCACCGGATCGAAACTTACGCAGATCTCCTCTTTCGTCAGGACTCGCTATATATGATACTATGACATACATCGCTTCCCCCGTTAGCACGATTTGCGTTGGCCAAGCTGCCTCTATGGGCTCATTGCTGCTTTGCGGTGGTCACCCCGGAAAGAGATATTGTCTGCCGCACAGCTCAATTATGATTCACCAGCCTTCTGGTGGGTATTTTGGACAGGCGACGGATATTGCGATTCATGCGAAGGAGATCTTGCGCGTGCGTGAACAGCTTAATAAGATCTATCAGAATCACTTGACCGGGAAGAAGACGTTGAGTTTGGAGGAGATTGAGAAACTTATGGAGAGAGATTATTTCATGGGTGCTTCTGAGGCGTTGGAGCTGGGAATTGTTGATGAAATTCTTGATCGGAGAGTTAAGAAGGATGGGGAGGGCGAGGGGAAGAAGGATGAGTGAGTGGGCTTGGATTAGTCCTTGCGTTGCAATGTACTATTACACTATCATGACTACAATTGATGCACATCCCATCTACTGCTACAGGTCCTTCAAATGACTGGGCTTGGTAGATCTGGACTAGAAGATGCAGATGCTGGATGAGAAGCATGTCTGTAGCTAAATTACATGTCGGGACATACGGAGAGATGCTATCGGTCCAGTCGCACGATGCGCCCATCAGTCCCAACCTGCAGTCCGAACCGCTGTCGCAGAAAGGTCGCAGTCTCTGGCGACGGGACAAACCCAGTCGGACGCTGGGGCATCGTTGTGTACTTCCATTGATCTCGTATTGTCCCCAGAAAACCCATATCCATAATCACCGCCTGGCCTGCGGAAAAGGTATCTAACGGGTGGCCATCGCGGCTCTGGACAGAGCTGCCGTCGCCAGGGTCCGCGAGGAGTGTTGTTCGTTCATCATATATGTCGTCATTTATTTCGGCGACGGGTGTTGTATTCGCGGGCGCGTCGTGCTCACTCGTGGTCGAGTCGGTTCCCCGCATCACACCCCGCTCCTCCGCATCGTGATCCTGAGTATCTGGTTGCGTGGCATTCGAGTTCGCATTTGCGTCTGTATTTGTTTCCGTGTTCGTTTGTGGTGAGCCCGTCGATTCTACTGTCTTTACGCGCTCGATGACCAGGGCCAGCATGATCAAGTCGATCAGGAAGATCAGTATGTCGAACGATACGAGTCTGAAGACCGGGACGGGCTTTTGGCCGATGAAGTCAAGAAACAAGCCGCCATGAAGGTAGCCGCGTGTTTCTTCGCCGGCCTGAGGGTGGATGAAGAAGATGTGGGAAATCATGCAGACGAGGTTGCTGGTGAATATGGCGCAGACGAAGGGTTGGTTGCGTGTTGGGTCAAAGGGTGGGGATTTTGGCGTGAAGAATATGAGTTGGACCATGGCACGTATCGCAAAAAGAATGAGAGAGCAGCTTTGAGAGGAACGTGTTAGTCAAGCCCGAAGTAGTCGTAGAGTATACGGGGAGTAGATGGTGATAACTCTCGGTCCGATGCGGAGTGCGGGATAAGGCGGGGATCTCGTCGCGGAGAGATGCCAGTAACTTACTCCATGTAATACAAGGCGGATAATTGGCAGTAGATGATGATATCGAGATCGCGAAGGAGACGGTCAATGAAGGCGACTTTGGCGGCGGATTGGAGCTTCTTTACGCGAGTTGCCTGGCCGCTGGCCGGGAGTGGTCCTGGCGCGACCGCGTCTGCACCCCCGAAGGAAATGCCAGACACGTCAGCGATGTACTCCGCATCTCGAAAGGCATCGACGTCGGTCATAGAGGGTCATGGGGGCATGGACGCTCGGCAATGGTCCAGGCAGTCGGAGGTGGTGATAGTGATAAGCGGGTGGAGTTACAAAAAGGGAGGCCGGCTGCTGACTGGACTCGGGCCGAACACGTGCCTGTCATCTACTGTATACCCAAGCCCTACGAACGCCTGCTGTACTACATATTGTGCAAAGTTCCAGGGAAAAGATACATGGTGAATTTGAATGTGCATTTTTTTATCATTATGGTTACTGGTATGTTCCTCCCTAGGTCTACCCCATCCTCATCTAGTCCACGATAATCTTCGGAGACAGCTCCGAGTAGTGCTGGAAAAAGCCCGTGAACAAGCGGATCGCGTGGGCGACATCATAAGTACCACCAGTCTCACGGATACTGTGCATGCTCAGTTGGGGGTTACCCAGATCCAAGGTACGGGCTCCCAGGGCCGCAGACAGCATGGGGCCAATAGTGCTACCGCAACTCGAGTCGTTGCGAACAACGAAGAGCTGAAGGGGAATGTGCTCGTTGATCTTCTCAGCGTGCTTCCGGGCAACCTCCTGCAACAAAACGATACCAGGAGAGTTGGTGGCATAGCGGGCGTTGGCGTTGATCTTGATCACACAACCCTGGTTCATCTCGGGCTTGTGGTCGTTCTCGTACTTGCCGGCGTAGTTGGGGTTGACAGAGTGGGCCATGTCAGCGGAGATGAGGAAGGAGGTGGAAAGAGTCTGCTCATAGGCAGTGGCCAGGTCGTTGTCCGATGAGGTGGAAGATGGGAGAACGGACAAGCGGCGGATGATGGCCGGGAGAGCGTTAGAGTCAGCACCCTGGGCAGTGCGGCTGCCAATTTCCTCGTGGTCGAAGAGAGCGATGAGGCGGATGGCGGGCTCGTTGTCGAGCGCAGAAGCCTCGGCCACGGAATCAATTAGACTGACGGTGGCGCAGTACGAGCTGTTCAGGTTGTCAAGACGAGGGGAGAAGATGAACTCTTCCAGCATGCCACCAAGGCAGGACTTCTGGGTGTCAAACAAAATCATCTCAAAGTCCAGGATATCTTCGGGCTTGACACCGGCCTCCTCGGCAATCAGGTCCACAAAGTAGGGGTGGTGACGCTCAGTCACAGCCTTCAGAGGCGAGAAGTCCTCCTCATCCTGGTCATCAGACTTGCCATTGGGGGAAGACTTGGGAGTGCGGTTCAGCTCCGCAGCCACGAGGCCGGCAATGGGGAACAGCTGGCTCTCCTTGTTGAAGGAGAAGCTCTCCTGGCGGTCCAGGTGGATGGCCAGAGTAGGAATACGGAGGACTGCAACGTTAGACCATGGCTATGGAGGGGCTGTCGGGACCAAAACATACTGGGACGATCAACCTTGACCAGCTTCTGGACTATGGATCCGTCGCTGGCACGGGTCATAACCCGGCCAGCTACACCGAGATCACGGTCAAACCCTGAAGCTGTTAGTAATGATCATCGGGTATACGTCGCCCATTCCTCAAACATACAGGTGTGCCAGATGCCGCCGCCATAGCATTCCACACCGACCTGGACGAAGCCCTCGCCGCTCTTGTTGCTGACAGGCTTGACACGCAGGACGGGAGAGTCGGTATGAGCACCAATCATGGAGATGGAGTTACCGGGCTACCACCATGTCAGCTGCAATTCGAAACATAGAAACGGAGTGTATCCATCTTATTTACGTATGGGCATGTATACTGACCTTCCATTGCTTTCCAATCGCAAAAGCGACGAGAGTGGTGGTGTTTCGGGTGAGATAGTACTTGCCGCCGGGCTGGCAGGTCTTGGCCCACGAGTCTTTCTCCTGTGGAGCCGCGAGGATCAGCTCAAAGTTCGGGGTTGAAGCTGTGGGGAAGCTCCCTGATGGATCCGCGTGCGTACTTTGATCTCCTGGAAGCCGGCCTGGGCCAGAAGGTCCTTGGCGGATTTGACAGCATGGAAGGCTATACCCGGTCAGTTCACCCGAATGTCTGATTCTCATTGTCCAATGGGGCCTTACGAGTGGGGGAGGCATTCACAAAGTCCAGAAAATCCCGGGCAGGCTGCTTGGACGCCATGGTAGAATTGAAGCTAGGCACGAGGAATCTGCCGAAGGATGGAGATCTGGGGGGCATCACAGAAGAAAAAAACGTCGCCAAATGGGCTGCGGGGCGGTGGCTCGTTGGGGAAAAGGTGGGCGGTGACTGCCGAGCGACGTGATGAGGGGAAGGCGGGCTCGGCCTCCGCTGCGATAGCGGCAATCGATACAAACTCAAGCAAACACAATCGCTTCAAGTTTCTCAAAGAGTGGATTGCATTGGCAAGTTGGACTAGTAATTCTCCGGGGCTCAAATGATTGGCAGTGGCTGGTTTGTTCTGGCCCAAGCTCGGCGCGTCACGCGTGGCAGGGCGCGTTCGCGTAGCCCGTCTAACCCGTTCAAGCAGTGTGGTACCCTCCTAGGGAGGGACAAGAGGCAAGGCACTCGTCGCTATGTCAAAACTAACTGGAAGGTACTGCCCTCTACGTCGCGCCCCACTAGGTGTTCGCTGCAGGTTTGGTTGGTCTGTGGCCCCCTGCATCCAACAGGTAAACAATCTGAGACCCGGGTGAGACGGGTCTGGCATCATAACAACGATGTGATTGATTGCGAGAGCGGTGGTCTAAGAGGGCCAGATGGGGGCCTGGCACTGGGTGATACAATAGACCAATCTCCGAAGTTGGAGATTGAATGACATTGAATCGATGGTCAAGTGGAGCAAATATGTTTCCCCAGCAATGAAATCCAGTGCTAACAAGGGCTCGCCCGATCGGGCCTAGCGCACCCGACGCGTGACCGAGAGGGATGCCCTCCAAGGGAGACATGGACCATGCCTTTCAGCTTCTCTGAATGCCATTCCTTTTGTGCTGATACTCCTGTGGTGCTCACTCCTGTGGCTGAGACGGGCCCAAGCCGAAGGTCACCGCTGTGCCAACGCGCCAGTGAAAGCGCATCGCCCTCACCTCCCGGCGGGCAACGTCAACACCGGTACCTCGCCAACGTTGCCTGCCCTTGAACAACCCCCAGGCTTCACGCAACAACGCAATCGTCCTGCACCTCTCACCACTGCAAATTTCTCGACCGTCTTGTATGCGAACTCCGATAAGCTTTGCCAATCCAGCGCACTCCGCATCTGGGCCCGAGGACCAGCCACCAGCATGGCGGACCAGCCTCAGCGAACTGAGGGCCCGAAGGCCGGCATGTCCACCAGAGCCCAAACCCGATCGCAAGCTGCCACTGGTAGTTTTGTCTCCCCGCCCGGATCGAAAACTCCGCCGAGTATGCCCGCAAAACAAACGATCCGGTATCCCGATAACAATGCCAACCGATCAAGGGCACAGGAGGGTTCGGAACCGATCGATGCTGCATCGCTGGCCAAGGCGCTGAAGGACTACGACGAGGCAGGCCGTCAGAGAGAACGGACTCCAGCCAGTAGCCCCTGTCGTAAGAGGCAGCGTGTCTATGGCGACCGGTAAGTGGTCCAGGCATTGGCATCGTTGGCGAGGGCGCTTGCCTACGCTTTCAATGTGACCCCTCCCAGCGAATGACAATGAGGCTGATTCGGATTCCAGATTTATTCCGAATCGTGACGGTCAAGATTTGCAAGCGACATACAATCTGCTAGGAGAGGATGGGTGTCCTTCCACGCCCTCTAAATCCAAGAAACGTGCCCCCCATTCGGAGCTTCATTTCCAGAAGAGTTGGTGGACCTTTGATTCAGTCGTGTCCGATCCGTACTGACGAACGATTTTTAGCTGAGGAAGCGAACCGGACATTCTCTCGTGTGTTGCGCAATGAGCTATTTGGCAACTCTATCCCCCAGGCCGACCTTACAGCTGGACCCTCCGATCCGACCATGGGCTTCTCGAATGGGATCAACGACACAACTCGCTCTCACACTCCCCCCTCAAACATTGTCAACCTTCCACCCGCCAGCATCACACCATCTACCCCGCACAAGAACATCTTGAACTACGGCCCGATCCGACCAGGTTCCGGCCAACCGACTCCCTCCAAAACCCCTCGAAGTGCCAACGCTCCGAATCTAAATGCACGGTCAGAACTGTACAGCCTCTCTCCGATCCGATATGACAGCCAACGGATACTCGAAACTCCGCGCAAACAGCCCCGATATGTCAACAAGGTACCTTTTAAGGTCCTCGATGCTCCTGACCTACAGGATGACTTCTACTTGAACCTCGTCGATTGGGGCAGTTCTAATATGCTTGGTGTCGGACTGGCCAACTCCGTCTACATGTGGAATGGCCAGACAGGCCGTGTGACCAAGCTATGTGAGCTGAAAGATGATACAGTCACTAGTGTGAGCTGGATTCAACGAGTAAGTGTGATGGCTGTTGGATTCACTTGACTGACGGTGGCTAACTGACTTCTCAGGGAACCCATCTTTCGATCGGCACAGGGAAAGGGCTTGTGCAGATCTGGGACGCCGAAAGTTGTCGCCGACTTCGAACAATGATCGGACACCAGAACCGAGTCGGTGCCTTGGCCTGGAATGACCATATCCTGACCTCAGGATCTCGAGATCGACTAATATTTCACCGGGATGTCCGTTCACCAGATCAATACCTCCGTAAACTTACTGGCCACAAGCAAGAAGTCTGCGGTCTCAAGTGGAACACCGAGGACGGTCAATTGGCATCTGGTGGTAACGACAACAAATTGATGGTGTGGGACAAGCTGAACTCTGCACCTCTGTATCGCTTCGACGACCATTGTGCCGCCGTGAAGGCCATTGCATGGTCACCGCACCAGCGCCACTTGCTTGCGTCAGGTGGAGGTACTGCAGATCGCACCATCAAGTTCTGGAACACACAAACTGGCTCAAAAATCAAAGAAGTCGACACTGGAAGCCAGGTTTGCAACTTATCTTGGGCCAAGAACTCAGATGAGATCATCAGTACCCATGGGTATAGCCAGAACCAAATTGTAATTTGGAAGTATCCGCGTATGGAGCAGATAGTTTCTCTCACTGGTCACACCTTCCGTGTCTTGTACCTGGCCATGAGTCCGGACGGCCACACCGTCGTGACTGGCGCAGGCGATGAAACATTGCGATTCTGGAAGATCTTCGACAAGCGAAGCACGAGAAACTATAACCCCAGCAAATTTGCGGAACTCGGCACCATCCGCTGAAAAACCCTCGTCTTTCCCATCTCAACATTGCATTCCAATGGAGTTTCATGGTCTTTGGTGATGTTTATGGTTACGGTTACGGTCACAGTCATGGGGCAAATCTCGTTGCATGGTACCTGGGATCTTCGCATTGTACGCATCGGCATCTACTACATCTCTCGTCAAAAATCCTTTGAATTTTCTCAACTGGATTGTTCAACTGCTATCTGAAGCTCTCCTCAATCGTCGCAAAACCTTAACTTTCATCTTGTTTTTCGTCTGGTTTTGGCCTTCGAGGCCCTTCAGTCGGATCCTTTCTGAGTTGCTTTTATTTTTATGTGCGTGGGAGACGCATTCGGGCGCACCTCATTTTCTTTCATCAGTCCAAGCGGCGGCGCACATGGTATTTCGGCGGGGTCACCAGCATTCGGAAATTCGAGGCGTGGCGTCGGTGGATGGTCGTTTCTCATTACTACTTCATAGGCAACGGTTTCGAATGCCTTCGATCACGATGATATGACTTTACTCTCTCCTTTTTTCTTGGCAATATTGGTGTTCATTTTGTTGAATTTCCTAGGACAAGGATCCTCAATCACAAGTCCAGCACTACTTGGATAAGCTGGCATACGCATAGTGTTTGAATAGACCAGCTCTACCTTAGGGTAGTCATGACACTCAGTCACATGTAAATGTGCAGATGTAGTCTACAAGTGTACCATATACAACACTAGCGTACGTAATGGGTGACCGAAATTTTTATTTTTTATTTTTTTTGAGGAGAGGCATGCAGTATTCACGTGTACCTTAGGGTAGTGTCTTGAGCTCAGGCATAAGGATGAGATCTTGCATCTATGAATGAGTTCACCGCTAGTCCGCTGGAACATATTTCGCATCCAATAATGAATGTGATAGCATTTTTTTTTGAGAGCTGATCGGCAACAGCATCAGCCAACCAGTTGGCTGATTCACAGCCCGAGAACTCTTGTTGCCAGAAAACATCATCTCACCAGTAATAAATATTCAAAACCGTACCCTAGGAAATGAGCCGGGTCTTTCACGGTGTGAATTCAACGAAACACGATGTGCGATCTGTCTATCTTGATGGAACAGAGTGAACCAGTCAAGGTGATAATCGATTATCTATTCTACACTAAATACAAGCCTTGAAACCAACCCAGAGAAAGGGTTATCAAAGGAACAAAAGAAAATGTCGCAAAATTGGGGAGATTTGTGAAAATGACATGACAATTTTAAACCACCAACCTAGCAGGCTCGACCTGCAGGAGAGTCTGGATCCGCTCGAGGAATGCCTTGGCGCGCACCTCCTCACCAACGGGGACAGTCAGGCTAAAGACATTGGCCGCGCCAGACTCATCTTCGAATGCAGGAACAGGCGCAGGGGCAGACTTCTTGCCGGGCTTAGCACTCAGAATATCAATGATATCCTCAACAACGGGCTCAGGCTGACGAGCCTGGTGAGTCTCGAATGCATTCAGCTCAGGGATGTAGTCACCGCGTGATGAGAGAACAGGCTCACCACCGAGAATCTCATCGAAGAGCTCGTCGGCAGAGGGCTTAGCGTTCTTAGCACGGGGCAGGTCGTCGTTCGCCAGATCGGTGGCAATGGCCAGGAAGCGGGACAGCGGGACCGTCACGCCCAGGTTCTCTTGCAGCTTGCGCTGAGCGGACAGAACAGCGGCCAGGGAGATAGTGATCGCAACAGAGGTGACGGGCGGGGGTTTAGCGACGACTTCCTCCTCCTTGGTCTTTTCCGCGGCCGGCGCGGCGGGCTGGGGTGCCGGCGCAGCAATCTTGATGTTGCTCAGGTCGAGAACCTGCAACTTGGCCAGCGAGGCGGCTTGCGATGCGGGGTAGTCGTTGGCAATCTGGCCTAGGTAGGCGAGGACATCACCCTTCAACAGGCGGCCCTTGGGTCCGGAGGCAGGTATCTTGGATGCTTCCGAGAGAGGGATGTTCTTCTGGTGCAGGAGCTGTTGAACGGAGGGGTAGAGCGGGTAGGCGGGGTTCTGTGTTTGAGAAGCAGAGGTGGATTGGAGGCCTTGAAATATGTTATTATTGATGTTTGTGAGCTGAATTGACGAGCCATGGACTTGGAGGTGCGAGGTGTTGAGGTCTCATGTTTGTCCGGGCTCGCACGCTCCGCTCCAAGATCGGGTTGGACAGGCGGGAATACTCACGGCGCGAGGTTTGGAGCACTCGAGGCTGGCGGCGGGCGAACATCACCGGGACCTGACTGACGGGGATTCGGGCGGCCATTTTGTTTGAGCTATGTTGCTCCTTTGAGGAAGGCGGATATGGATAGGCTGGCGGAGGTGTGTAGATGAGTTGTCGCAATGCTCCGGGAGCTGAAATTGTCGGCAAAGACGGACACAATCGACCAAGAGCCCACCACCGCGTCGAGCCGCGCAAAATATCTTTTAAAGTCGTCCGAGTATCGTTTGAATTGGAGGATGGAGGTGATGGAGGCGGTCGTTGAGGGCGTTGGGAGCTTTCACCGGCGGCCGGGACGGGAACATTTTTCTGCCGCGGGCTGTTTTCGACCTGGCGGCGCTTTCCGAGGAGAACAACGGTCGATAGTTTGGCGTCTGGGGTAAGTCCTATCAGTTTTGTTTTTGAGCTGCTCGGGCCTGAGCTCTTTCTTCTCTGGTCGAGCCGGCCTTGTCCGATCCTGCTGTCGCAGGATGTCAGTGCTTGCCACGCTCGTGCTAACCTTGCGGACACAGATCGTGCGATAACCATGTCCGCCAGAACAGCTACCCTCCGTGTATTTTGGCACCGGTGTGCTGGGGCTCCCCTGCGACCCAACTTACAGACACAAATGGGCCTCTCATGGCGTTCTTTCGCATCCAAGGGTCCCCATGGCACGCCTACGCCCAACACTAAGAATCTGAAACCTGCTTCGCAAGCAGCCAGACAAGCGCAAAGGGTTCAGAATACCGTACGGACTACGCAGATGAAGGCGGGAAACATTGGGCAACTAGCACTGAAGGTGGCTAGACAGGGTGAGGTCGTCCTATTCAATGTCCGTTCTCAACGGTCGTACGTCCTGAGTGCCTATGGCCTGTCCGCGTTCTGCTTTGCGTATGCAGTCTACAACTCCAATGCCGTCTTCCGGGACCCTGTGACGGTCCTACCTGTGTGGCAGCAGGCTCTTTTTGGCGGTATTTGTGTGACGATGAGCGTTATGGGCACCATATTCTTCACCCGCACCAGCCATATGATTCGCAATATCACTGCGGTCAAGTCGCAGGGCCAGACATACATTCGATTCACCGTTCGGCGCCTGATGCCATTCACCAAACCATATCAGTTCGAGGTGCTGCCCTCCCAAGTAGCTATCTCTAAACGCCTGGTTGTGTCCGAGCAGACCGCGAAGCGTTTCGAGAACGAGAGTAGAAAGCTCGGTCCTGAGGAAGAGACTACACCAGGCTTCTTCAAAGCCCCAGTCGAGAAGCTGAGCCGCGGTCTCTGGAGATTGTTTCTTTCCGTCCGCCAGGTTTTTACGAGCGAGGACTTCATTTTGATGCGAGTTGAAGGCCGAAATGCCACCTTCCGGCTGGACTCCAATGGCTACGTCTCGAGCGACCTTTATGCTCTTGGGAACCCAGTGAAATTCACGGGCAAATAAGCAACTCGAGATGGACCAAGCCATAGTGTTAATCTCTCCAGCGTATCTTCATTGTTTCTGGCTTGTTTTTACAACTTGGCTGGCGTGTCAAAGTTCTCGGAGATTGGGAGGAATATCCCGATCTTTACTATAACATGTACATATAGAATCTGTAACACCATCTATTACATTTCCAACTTGAAGCTTCATTTAAGAGTAGTCTTGAGTTGCTCTGGTGTGCTTGGTGGTAATACATCGCTCCTGCACCGGGGGGATGCGCGGCCACGTGATTTGTCCCGGCGCGTGTCGACGCGGTTCCCCATATCGCGCCCCTCCCACGCTCTCCGACCAGCACAGTCTTGCGCCTTCAACACAACCCCACCGTTTGCCTGACCCTGACCGTCTTGCTTCCTCGGGAAGCAACCGCCGCGCAAAATGGGGAAACTCGTTCGGCTGGAGCTATTCAGTATGCACAGCCCCCTACAAAGCAGCTTGTCGAGTCGCTAACTTTTTGCGCGCAGACTTCAAGTCCTACAAAGGACATCATACCTTACTCTTCGGAGACGCCTACTTCACGTCGATCATCGGGCCCAACGGGTCTGGCAAATCCAACTCGTACGTGCTGACAGGTTTCCTTTCGCGAAGTGTCCATGCTAATAACACTAGGATGGATGCCATCTCATTTGTTCTAGGTATCAAGTCTTCCCATCTGCGATCAACCAACCTCAAGGACCTCGTGTACCGCGGTCGCGTCTTGCGCACTTCGAAGGTCGACGTCAATGGAGAGCCTATCATCAACGGCGATGAAGGCGAGCAAGAGGACGAGGATGAGGACGAGAATATGGATGAGTCGCAGGATGCGGGCGGCGTGAATGATCCTAAGACCGCTTGGGTCATGGCCGTCTACGAAGATGATGCGGGCGAGGAGCAGCAATGGCGCAGAACCATCACCAGCCAAGGTGCCAGCGAGTACCGTATCAACAACCGAATCGTCACTGCTCAGCAATACAACGAGGCTTTGGAGGAGGAAAACATCCTGATCCGCGCGCGCAACTTCTTGGTTTTCCAAGGTGATGTCGAGGCGATTGCTTCCCAATCCCCGAGGGACCTTACTCGGCTGATTGAGCAAATTTCCGGTTCCTTGGAATACAAGGGCGCTTACGAAAAGCTCAAGGCTGAAGCCGAGGAGGCCGCAGAGCAACAAACTGTCCAGCTCAACCGTCGCCGAGGAATCAATTCGGAGGTCAAGCAGTATCAAGAACAGAAGCGCGAAGCCGAAAACTACGCCAAGAAAGCAGAGGAACGCGACCAAGCGATCATCACCCACATTCTGTGGAAGCTCTTCCACTTCCAGCGTCTGATTGATGCCTCCAGCGCCGATATCCAGAAGTACCAGGATGAACTAAGGGAGTACCGCCGTGGGGTAGAGAAATACGAAACCAACGTGGAAGATGCCAAGAAGGAGCACGCCCGTGTTGGTCGGGACGTTGGAAAGGCCGAAAAGAACATCATCAAGAAAGAGAAGGAGATTGAAGAGCTCAACAACTCTCTCGTCCCCATCGATGAAAAGGTCGACATCACCCAGAGAAAGGTGGAGAGGTATTCCTCGAAGATCGACGAGATCGGCCAAGAGCGCTCGCGCCAAACGAACAACGCCAAGCAACTTGAGAAAGACCTCAAGCTTGTCGAGAAGGCCCAAGGTCAATGGGAAGTTGAGTGGAAAAAGGCGACGAGCAAGAGAGGCGGCCAGCTGAGTGAAAATGACCAGCAGGAATATCATAAGCTTCGAGAGGAGGTCAGCAAGCGCTCATCTGCGGATCAACTCAATTTGGACAACCTTCGACGACAGAGGAAGACTGAAGCTGAAGCCGTGAATAGCCTCAAGAGCAAGTTCGAGACTACCGAATGGCAGTTCAATACCTTGCAGTCCGACGCGAAGAACATGGGCGAACGCAAAACTGCGCTTAGTGAGACCATCAAGACCACGTCCAAGGACATTGATCAAAAGAAAAAGGACCTGAATGCCCTGACTTCGGAGCGCTTGAAGGTTTCGCAGATGCGAACCGAGCTCGAGGAGAAGCTGCAAGTCGTTCTGAAGAAACTGATGGAGGCCGACGATGGCAAGAAGCAGAACGAGCGAGAAATCCGGGCGAAGGAGCTGATCTCAACTTTGAAGCGTATTTTCCCCGGTGTCAAGGGCCGTGTCAGCGACCTTTGCCGCCCAAAGCAGCGCAAGTATGCTGAAGCAGTCAGCACTGTCCTGGGCCGCCACTTTGATGCAATTGTTGTAGACAACGAAAAGACCGCGAAGGAGTGTATTCAGCATCTTCGCGACCAGCGTGCTGGCCAAGCTACGTTCATTCCTCTCGAAACCATTCAGGTCAAGGCCTTCCCGTCTAGCCTGAAGGGCATGCACCGGGGAATGCGCCCTGCTATCGAGACTATCGACTATGATGATTCGGTTGCTCGGGCCATCACCTATGCTTGCGGAAACTCCATTGTCTGCGACGACCTGGCCACTGCCAAGTATCTGTGCTACGAGCGTAACGTCGATGCCAAGGCGGTTACTCTGGATGGCACTGTTATTCACAAGGGTGGTCTCATGACTGGTGGTCGTGGTCCCCAGCAGAATAACTCCAAGCGTTGGGAAGACTCCGAAGTGGAGAACCTCTACAAGTTGAAGGATAAGCTGATGGGCGATCTTACCAATCTGCCGAAGAGCCATCGTCGGGGCTCAGAGGAGGAGACTCTGCAGGGAGAACTTGTTGGCCTTGAACAACGTCTCAACTATGCCCATGATGAGCTGAAGGCTCTTGAACGTAACATTGCGAGCAAGCGCAGCGAGCTGGACTTCGTCAAAGGACAAATGGAGGACTTACGGCCCAAGTTTACTGAGCGCAAGGAGAACCTAGATGAGCTGGATGAGACTATTGAAAACTCGCAAGCCTCAGTCAGCACCGTGGAGGATGAGATCTACCGCGACTTCTGCAAACGCCTGGGATATGATAACATCCGCGAATACGAAGCCCAGCAGGGCTCACTGCAGGAAGAAGCTGCGCAAAAGAAACTCGAATTTACAACGCAAAAGAGTCGCATTGAGAACCAACTCAGCTTTGAGAAGCAGCGCATTCAGGCCACCGAAGACCGAATCAATGGTCTCAAGGCTCAGTATGAGCGTGACTTGAGCTTGATTGAGGAACTCAAGGAGCAACAAGAGGAGATCCGGAACAAGCTGGACGAGTACAGCGCTGAGCTGGATCTTCTGCGAGAGAACCTAGAAGAACAAAAAGCAATCTATGCGCAGTCGGCTGAGATCCTCGCTGAGCAGCGACGGGAGCTTCAGAAGCGCAGCAAGCACGTTGAAGGAGCACTCAAGAACATCAATGCACTGGAAGCTGAGGTCCAACGCAACTCCTCCAGCCGCTATGCCCTTCTGCGACGATGCAAGCTTGAGGATATCGACATCCCGCTGTCGGATTCTTCTAACGCGCTTGACAAGCTTCCCATCGATGATCTCGTGCAGGCCACGGATCCTGATGCCATGGACGTGGACGAGGCTGATGAGCTGGATGAAGGCCCCGTTGTTCAAGACTACGGCATTGAGGTTGATTTTGAATCCCTCGGAGAGTCTCTCAAGGAGGTAAGTTATCAGCAAAGATATGGTCGTGCACAGCCACTAACAGAATCTCGTAGGAGTCCGATGATAAGCTCGAGGATGAGCTGCTCGAAAAGATCCGTGCTCTCAACAGCGAGCTTGACAAGATGGCACCCAACACCCGTGCCATGGAACGTCTGGAGACAGTTGAGAATAAGCTCCGCAGCACGGAGAAAGATTTCGAGGATGCTCGAAAGCATGCTCGGAAGGCAAAGGAGGACTTTGAGGCGGTCATGAAGAAACGCTCCAATCTCTTCAACAAGGCTTTTACCCACATTTCCGAGCAGATTGGCCCCATCTATCGCGAGCTGACGCGAAGCGCTAACTACCCTTTGGGCGGACAAGCGTAAGTCAACCAGTCCCCCCTCCAAAAACGGCATTCTCGCTGACAACCCCGTACAGGTACCTCGATATCGAGGATTCGGATGAGCCATATCTCGACGGTATCAAGTATCACGCCATGCCCCCGTTGAAGCGTTTCCGTGACATGGAGCACTTGTCTGGTGGTGAGAAGACGATGGCCGCCCTGGCGCTGCTCTTCGCCATTCACTCGTACCAGCCTTCGCCCTTCTTTGTGCTGGACGAGGTCGATGCTGCTCTGGACAACACCAATGTCGCCCGCATTGCCAACTACATCCATGACCACGCCGCACCTGGCATGCAGTTTATCGTCATCAGTTTGAAGACTGGACTGTTCCAGAACAGTGAGGCGCTGGTTGGTATCTACCGGGACCAGGTGGAGAACAGCAGCAAGTCTTTGACTCTGGACGTGAGTGTTCCCTCTTCAAGATTTCCACTTGAATCACCATTGCTAACTTGTCGTAGCTCCGCAAATACACCTGATGCCGGCGCAAAATTGAGATGTATTTCACGATAGCCTTGTTTTTGTTTTTATTTTTTTTTCGCTTGTGTAGATTATTCAATCTGGCCGGATCGTTATTTCATTCTTCTCGCTGAATCGGTGCCGGGTACTGTGTCGAAGCATTCTTATATTTTCGCCTTGCTGTTGATTGATACCAACTCTTGCCCCGGAATTCAGTGTTTCCTATTAATTTGCTGTTTTCGCTACTCTGCATAATCGAGTCTGGACCTGTGTAGACCACCGCTAAACCGCATCCAGGATGGCTGTTTTTCTTCAATAGCCGACTGACGAAAACAATGCAACGATCGTCGCTCCACGTCCCCAGATGTAACCCCCGCATTGCCTTCCGAGGTGGACAAGCACCGAGTCGAATTTATCCGGGAAAACTTGCTCCAATTATCGTGGTCTTTTCCCGCACACTCCACTTCATACTCTGTTGTCGTTGCAGGCGGCTTTTGAAGAACTGCTCCTGTCAATGCTCGATACCCTACTGCCGGCGTGTCTTGTTGACCTATAAATGACGACCATCATGCCAACCCGGGAGTCAGTGACTTGCGACTTCTGGTCGGATTCAATCAACATAAGATGTTTATTCATTTACTAGCAGGAGCCGCAGCGGCGGCAGCCGTGCCAACAGCTGGCCGTGATAGCTCGCCTGTGGTCGACGTAGGCAAGGACGTGCCTGGAAGTGCCGGTGCTGCCGTCCTCCACCCATTTGTGTCCTTCTCCATCGAGTTCTCGTCTTTTCCAGACTTTGCCGGTATATATCTTCTCCTCGATGATTTTCATACCAATAAATAATTTTCGCCCTTAGGAAACCTGTCCCACCCGAATAAATTCTCGGACCAGCTGCTAGACAACCTTCGCGATCTCCAAGGCGTCAAGCCTCACATCCGCGTGGGCGGAAACACTCAGTAAGACATGGACAAGTTAAATCCCCACTACAAGTAGCTTTCGTCTCATGCATTGACAGGGACCTGGCCTTATATGACCCGGATCTGAAAATATCCATCAATGGCACATTTGTGCCCTCTGTTTCGACCGACTACCCGTCCATCATATATATCGGTGATTCTTACTTCGAGTCATATGCTACCTGGCCAGGAACCAAATTCAGCCATGGCTTCAACCTAGGCAAAAATGGTACGACCGGGATGAAGACGCTTGTGGGCACTGTTCCCCTCGCGTGCAAGGCTCTTCAAGATGGAAACCTTGCGTACTGGGAACTGGGAAATGAGCCCGATCTATTCCCCATGTACCCTGTGCGCCCGGCCGGTTGGGATGAACAGGCTTATGTGGATGAGTGGCTTGCCAAGACGAAGGTTATCGAGCGACAGCTCAAGAAGAGTTGTCCGGAGCTGGTTACGAAGGGAAAGTACAAGTATATTGCACCGTCGTTTGCAGGACTCACCAATAGCCTGGATCCCGTCAAGGCGTGGCAGGCTGGACTTGATGATGATCATGATATTGGAATGAACTCCATGCACAAGTGAGTACAGCTCTACAAAGGATGGTTGTCTTAACGACTTGCTAACGGACTCAACAGCTACATCGGCGGCGCAGATGAGCCAGGCGTGACACTGGCCAGGACCCTGATGAACCATACCTCGACCGTCCACAGTGTCAACCAGCACGTTTATCTCTCCGGCGTCCTCAACGAACAAGGCCTGACAAAGGACATCCCTTACATCCTCGGCGAAACCAACTCCCTCTACCACCAAGGAAAACCAGGCCTCTCCAACTCCTTTGGTGCCGCCCTCTGGGGCGTCGACTTCAACCTCTACTGCGCGTCCCAGAGCATCCGCCGAACACACATGCACCAAGGCACTGACTACCGCTACGACTCCTGGCAGCCCGTCCAAACCACCAAAACGACCATCGGCACCAAGGCCCCATACTATGGCAACATCATGGTAGCGGCAATGCTGCGTGGAGCAACCGGTGGAGACTCACAATCCGACGTCCAGGTGACCCATCTGTCGATGCCCCACGAAACCGAGTCCGCCTACGCGGCCTATGTAAATGGCAACCTGGCTCGCATCGCCGTGATTAATATGCAGGAGTTCAACTACACTACGGATGCGTCTCGCCCCGCCGCAAAGTACACCTTCCGTCTGCCCGATATCTTGGCCAAGTCCCTATCGGTGCAGCGGCTGTTGGCGAATGGGAGTGATGCTATTACCGGCATCTCGTGGGATGGGTGGTCGTACAACTACGAGTTGGAGATGGGGAAGCCGGTTAGATTGAGTAATGTGACGGTCGGGGAGATGGTGGCCGTTAGTGAGGGACAGGTGGAATTGAGTATTCCCTATTCGAGCGCTGCTATCTTGAATGTCGACGCCTAGATTGTGTTCTCGGGTTGCATTGCCCGAACCCGTTAGCAGGGTCCGCTGGCCGGCTTGCATCTGATACTAGGATCTAGAGTCGATGGAGAGTTCGCGCGGGTTTGTGGCGTTGATTTTTGATGCCAGGTCTACCGAGGGTAGTTCATTCGTTTGGAGAGTTAGGATTGCCGATCGCCTTTGATGGATTCGAGGTGGGAGGGCCCACTGCCAAGTGAGACAGTGGGCGTTTGGAGGTGCGCGAGTCATGTAGGCGAGTAGTGGCGGGGGGTGAATTATAGCGTTGTTGCGGAAGGATCCACCGTCGTTGCTGGTGCTCTCGACTCTATCTGCAATTATTCTAATGAACAAACTCAACTGTCCACACGGGCTTTGCAATGAAATAGACTGCACGGATCCGCGCTGGAGACAATCGAGTCGCCGGATGCCCGAACTGTAGGTACCATAGCCGAAACAAGTATGATCGACCTCCAGGCGATTTCGTCGCAGTCAAGTCCAAATCCCGCCGCCCCTCGCCGATGGAAGAGCCGCGAATGTCGTCATCGCTACCGGTTCAGCCTCACGGGGAGCAAGCCGTGTTGGGTAGAAAGGTGCCGGAGGGAATCCATTCCTGCATCTGCCTAAGAGTGGTGGGTGCCAGGGTCTAGGGGTGTCCGGGAAGCCCTGGTCTGGACCGTGGTCGAAACTGCCCTGTCAAAGATGATCGCGGCTTTATGCACGTCCGCTGGAATTTCCTGGTACCAGGCATACCAGGGATTCCCCAGCTGCAATAACCCTGCAGTGACACGACTTGGGGTTCAGCATACTTTTGGCTCGAGGAGAGTCCAGGCCGGTATCCGCGTGGCGCAGGCAGCACTTTCTGTATCCTCGCCAACTACCCAACAGTAATGTTCTCAACCGACTCCTGTCCATACCTGACGTCAGTGAGCAGACACCAGTCGGGGGCAGCGAGTGTTGTACAGGATGCGCAGGAGAGTATCAGTGCCCACCCTCCACGCAAGGGGCGCATCATGCTTCCACGCGAATGGCGGAGCGACTTTTTGGCAAAAGAGAAGGGCTCGCGGCATGACGTAAATACGGGGCCGATGGCCCGGGAGGAGCATGAACGAAGGTCGAGGCTTCGTGAAGCTGCAAAAACATCGAGGGGGTGAAAGTTTTGCCAAGGGCCTTGGATCGACTCTGCGAAGGACCGAGTTCTCGAACTCTCGAACCCGGGGAAATGCTCTTTCCCTCTGTCGAAACGCAGGGCAGCATATACCCGTCCACCGACTCTCTCCCACATACCACCTCGACGCCATCTCCTGCTCACTGCTGTCGTACACATCGAGATAAAGGGTGGCGCCAGCGTCATACGCGGCTCCTCGAATTACACACCCCAGATCTCTGGGTTTATATTTCCGGAGTGCGTGGCGCCAGTCCCGATGGCAATAGTATCGCAGGAGCAAAAGGAAAAACCGTTGATATGCCCTCAAAGTACCGATGATGGTAATGGCTTGTTGCGGCGGTGGAGGCCGCTGCTGTATCGCAGGGTTTCGGTGGCACCGCTTGCATTTTGACAAACGTACAGTGGACGAAGTACGCAATATGGAGACTCTAGACCATCGGTGACGACCTCGCTGTGCTGCTGAACCCCCTCATCGCCGATCTTCAGGGTCCCGCCGACCTGAATGTCGATCCGGTCCGAAGGAATTGATTCTAATGGCCAAGGACACCTATCTCCGTCGCCTGGTCGGCCGTGAAGGTCGATTCTTCTAGCTTCGATAGGGGTTCTGTCTGCGATTGCGTGTGGAATTTGCTCATTCGTGGGGAACATTCACCCTCCCGACGCAATCTGCCAGTGTGGCCCCTCCTCTCGGCATTTCAATAACAAAAAAATTATTTGTCACTCTATCCCCAAGCACCATGATTCGCCGTGCTTCCCGCCGTAGCTCCGTCGGGGTGCTTTTGGTGGCGGCGAAGGACTAGTAGATGTGGGCGACCCCGGGCATTAGCATTGCCAGAATCAAGGAAATGGTACATGGAATGGGGATGCACCGGCGATCTGCCTCGCGGGTAACAATGCCGCAGTTCCGCAGGCACCGAATAAGCTCAAGATTCGATGGTGGGTTTTGATGGCTTTATCTAGGCGGTTTGCTCTTGTCTCTCGGGCCGCATGTGGCTGGCCCTGTCAGGCTGGCGTACCACACCGGCGTGCTAGTGGGTGGACGGACCCTGGGGATCTTTCAGCAGCGGAGAAGCAGCGTTCGGTTGTCTGTTCGAGATTAGATCGGCGCACAGACAATCGTATCCGGTGGAGCTGTGGTGGGTAGTCGAGCAGGGTCCCGGGTCGTACCCTACTTTTACCGTAGAGTAGGGTGCAGAATTATTGTTCGGGGTTCCCTCTGTGCAGATGGTTGGAGCAGGGATTGCTCCGCGCGCCCCCACTGGCTCCTTCCCAATGCTTGGCCTCGACCTGTCGCGGCATCGGGCGTGCAGGCAATGATCTCAAAGGCGTTCTGGCGGGCTGCCCTGCCAGAAGCCCAGCAGGTGGGTGAGGCTAGGCTGAGATCGGCGATCGCGTGCGTCCATTGGTGCGGATGAGGCTTCCCTGTGTCGGGGATTGGTTAATCAGTCGATCTAGTACATCTCGCTGCATTTGTTAGGCTGGGGAACCCCTGGCGATGCAGCTGCTGCGAGAGTAGTGGTTGTGGTGGGTGCAGGCGTGTCGAACGGCGCGGATCTCCCCCAGAACCGAGTCGCTGTGATTAGAATCCGCGTCGATGGCTCCGTTCGATGCACCGATTGAGTCGTTAGCACTTTGTCAGCCCAGCGCAAGCACAATGCGTTCTGGGTCGTGGCTCAAGCGTCGAGATCGGCGAGGATGCTGAGACGAGACGATCTCTCGGATGCCCCGTGATGTGGAGCAGCGCTCCCGTGAGTTGACGGCATTTAGACACGACGAATGGGAAACACATGGATGGAACGGCTGTCTTTTACGCCACGTCCAAGCGGGCCTGAAGTGGACTCGTCGAGTGCTGCGAGAGGGAGATGGACCAAAGCACCGGCGATCCGATCGCAGCTGCAGCGAGATCGCGTTTTTGCCACCAGGCGAGAGCGGCAGATTCTCCTTTTGTCCTTGCATTAGCCCATCTGCCATGGAAGCACCCAACCCACATCCCTTCGATCCATGTATAATTGCTTGCACTCCCCGCCCCCCCCCGGCCTGGATGGTGCCGGAGACTATACCCAAAGGTAGCCAGCCGCGGAGCCAGCCGCGGAGCCAGCAGCAGCTCTGCCAGGGGGGAGGCCTAGTCCACTTGTCCATCGTTCTGATATACCACTGGTAGTCCCGCGCTCGCTGCATGTTTCCTGTTTCAACATATATTCCCACGATACTTGGCTTGCGAACACGAGGTCGAGGACCCACGTGCAATCGACAGTGATTATCTTCGCGATCAATTGAGATGAATCGTCCACGTTTGGTAGTTGGGGACTTGGAGCGGCGACATTCTGACACGTCTATACCCCGATCCGACAATGTGGTAAGTGGGAGTGCCGAGAAGAATGGGAAGGAAATTAGAAAACGAAGAAATCAATGAATTGACTTGCAATCAGTTGCAGAATATCGGTTTTCACCATGATCACTACGCCATGATCTATGTCGACGAACATGGACAAGTCAAGATCGCATCCTCCCAGTCAATTGCGAACTCGGGGAACCATATCTTCACCCCAGAGGTGACCGGCCATTTCATGGAGATGATCGGCTCGAACTCTCAATCGATGCAGTTAAACAATAGTATGTCCGCCCCTATCAGCCAAACCATTTGACATGACTCGTGACGGGCTAACCCATACTCCCACCAGACCCAGCCCAAGCCCCTCTACCATGGGGAGTTCAGCCCAGCCCAGAATGGATCCAGCCAGGTCAGGCCCGGCCCGCCGAAATGATCCCCTGCGAGTTCCAGTCTCAACAGTCGCGACGCAAACGCCACCGTCCTATGGCCAAGCCTCAACCGAAATCAAGCTCCCCACCCGCAACACCCACCCCAGGTCGGACGATCCTCCGTGTAGGAAACCGGAACCTGCTGCGGCAGTATTACGAGAAGGCGTTCGAGGAATTCCAGCAACTCAATTGCCGGGCTATCGCCAAGTCATACATCAAGCTTGTCGAGCCGAGGAAGCAAGTGCATTTCCCGTACAATGGGCGAAAAGTCATTTCAGGTGTCTCGCGTGATGTTGGTCCTGAACGGACGAAGCCAGCTTGGTGGCCGGAGGGAGTGTTGCACAAGGAGCCGGATCATCTTCTCAAGCCTGGTAAGGTACACTTCTCCTCAACTGATATACTAGACATTAATGAAGATACAGCTCGTCTTAAACTTCTTGTCCATATCCTTTGCGAGCTGAAAGATAGCCACGGCGTGACGGCGGACAAATTGCGCGAAGCAGGACAAGATGTCCGGCGTACGATTGACCCACCCAGTCGACTACAAGTCTTGGATGAGATTTATTTTGTGCGCCGCATGGAGGAACAGTACCTAGATGGGGAGATTGGTGAGTAAATTTGCGTTATATAGAACCCACAACCGGTATACTGATAATTCTATATAGATGGAAATACCTTGGTGGCAGTAACCTACACTCAACTCCCAGAGGCCCTCAGCCAAGAAGGAGAAGAGTTCTTCACACAGACTCATGTCACCCCCGTGTCAGTCCTGGACATCAAGCCAGAGCACGACCGCGATCACCACAGTCTGCCTCTGACAACAAATGACTCTGCGACAAATTCGCAAGGTCTGCCTCTCTCGCCCGCCACAAGCGACTCAAGCGGCCCGCACAGCCCCGGCACCACCGACTTCAACTCCTACACAGTCAACATGGGCCAAGCAGCCATGCCGCAAGGATCGCCGACTGCACATAAATCCATGCCCCCGCACCCACACCCCAGCTACATCCCTTCATACTACCCACAAGAATTTATCCCGGCCCAGAAACCTGCTGGCGAGTACTGGCCTGATGTTCCCGCCCTGCCGCCACCCTCGCAGTATGGCTACTGAGTGCATTCAGCGCTAAGGTGGGAGTTTGATTTTCTTTTGCCATATACAAGGTACATTTGAGTCGGCTATAATGATGATTTACGAATACGAGCCGTTATCCTTTTGGGATCGATGGCGTGGAATGGGTTACATGTTTGCTTCAAATTGTATTAATTGCAGGAAGAATTGGATGGTCGCACACGGGCACAATTCTTTTTAGGGGAAGGGACTCGGGATAGTTACAGGGAATAGTATTAGTAATATTCAAGAATACGAGAACATATTTGATGGCTTCACTCTTTTCTAGTAGGTAGCTCGAGGCCGAGCATCAAAATGATCGGCTTGTCATAGTCGCAATTAGGTGAAGTGCTTATAGCTTTGCGCCTGTCACTGAACTCTTGATAAGAGTGTCCAGAGACTTGTAAACAGCCTTTTCTAGATCAATTAGAAGAGATGTGACTGCCGCATCTCCCGGTGGCATGAGTTGTGTAAAGAGAGCTGCCGCAATCCCTGCTTTTCGATCAATCCACTGCACAAGAAAGGAGTAGTTAGCAAAGCGAATTACTACGCATTGACATGAATGAAAGAAAACTCTCTCACCCAGTGTAGATTTGGCAGTCCACTCCAATTAACGGTACCAGCCCGTCGACGACCAGGAATATCCCGGAGAGTAATGGTCCCACCAAGAGAATGATCCGCCTGCTTAATATCAGCAATGTCATTAATCCCCAAGACCTTCCTCATTTGCAACCCAAGAGGCCTGGGCATCGCAACACGAGACGCCTCGCTTAACTGAGGCCGAAAAAGCGTATCGACGCCTTTCTGACTTAATAATGGACCTCCACCTCGGAGAAGCGCAGTCAGGAGCTTGACGAAATCCGACGGCGTGCTGAAGAGACCGATACCCCCAAGTTCATCCTTCGCTGGCTGGTCGAGGATAATGCGGCCTGCTTTTACGGATTTCGATCCCTGGCCGACACCGACGCGATATCCCATTTCAAGTGGCATGGGGAGGGTGCCGCGATTTAGCTCTGGGTGGAAGGTTGTGGAGATTGCGCCTATTTTGGACCAGATATTGGTTTTCATGTAGTCTTCGAGAGAGGATTTGGACACGCATTCAACCTGTTACATGTCATTTTTGTATTCAGAGAATGGTGTCAAATTGAGTAGGGGTGGGATGCGCACCACTCGGCCGGCCCAGTCTAGACCTGCTCCATAGGCCCAGGAGGTACCGGGCTCGAATATGAGCGGGTGCGTATATCCCGCCTGTCAATACGTAAGCACAGTTGCTTTTGATAGTTCCCAAGAGACCAAGGAAATATAGTGGTGCTACTATGAGTGCTCAACCTACTATGCTTCCGCAAAAGGTATGCGCTGTGCGCCCGTGGAGTTTTGACCATTTTTGTAGTAAAGGAGAAGAGCTGTCGTACACGAAGCCAGCTGTGTGACATAAAAGGTCTCTGTAGGGATTTAGAAAACTGATTAATCTCTCCAATCTCTTTCCCGGGGGCTATGCATCGCTTTTTGTGCTAAGAGACGGCTTACCGGATGGTGATCTTTCCTCGAACCGGGACTAAATTTGGTGGGGATGTGCTTGATGGGGTATCTTTCTCTGGAGTTAGCAACATCAATATTCTATAATATACAGTTTTGATAGTGCGCAGTTTGAGATATCTTACCACTTCCAATATCTTGTAAAATTTGAATGTCTTTCAGCTCCGGAACGTAGTCTCTAGCGTCGTCGTCAAGTGATAGAGTTCCTCGCTCTACAAGTTGCATCAGGGCGACTGCAGTGACAAGCTTTGTCATTGATGCAACCCAGCAAAGAGAGTCCAATTGAGGGGCCCTAGGATTGGCTTCATCGAAAGATGCTTTTCCACTTGTTCGGTCGTAGATTACAGTTCCTGAGTAATTATTAGTGGTAGGCAGTGACAGGGACATAAGCCAATAAATTCAAAACGACAATATCATGCATTATCATACCAGAGCTGTCAACTACAACAAAAACTGCACCATGTAATGACCCCGTCGAAGAGTCCGTGAACTGGTCCAAGATGTGTCCGATTTCTTCCATTTTCCCTGCTTATGCTTTTGGTTGCTGATAAAACACTCGCTAGGGGATTGTGATAGATCGAAGATGTTTTTTTTTTTTTTTAGCTCAATTGAAAAGGATGAATGTATTGAATCGCGTCTGTGTTGCAGCGCAGGGGTTTGGCGCTTGGATAGCCGAGGTCGCCTCCACCGAGTTGAGTTCAAAGAGACGGGACCGAGGTTGTGGGGTTGCAAAGCGATCCAAGCTTCAACTCCGAGAATCACCGAGTTGAATGTCTTCGAGTCAGGAGAAGCTCAACTGAGAGCATACGGAACTTCAATCTGCTGATTGTTGCATGTAGCAACGAGTCTGACAGATTTGTGACTATGCCGACTTCAAAACTTTTCATTTTGAAATAGATAAATGTCTTCTAATTGTCGTAGCCTATCCTGAGATATAATGATTCAATCCATATGATTCGCTTTTCTGAGGCCTCCTGCCGAAGGACTCTCAAGATCCTTCCGTGTGGTAGATTGGTCCTGTCCATCTTTGGGACGGAAAGGATTGAATGGGGTCGCAAAAACAGCATCAAGCTCCTCGAGATCGCAACCCTTTGATATTTTAATCAGTATAATCCCTTAGTGGCAACTGAAATGAATAGTCTAATCTCACCTTCGTCTCTGGCAAAGTAAAGAAAGTGTATACCAAAGCGAGCAGTGAAATGCCGCCAAAGATCCAGCCCACTTGGAAGTGGATGGCATCGATCATATAAGGAATGATGAAATTCGTCACAAAGGCCCATATGACGTTCCACGAAGTACCGAGTGCTTGGGTCTTCTCGCGGACTGATGCGTTAGGAATCTCGGTCCCAAGAAGATATGGAATGGAAGCACCGCCCAGCTGCAAATTGAGAAGGTTAGCTAGATGATTGAGAGAAAATGCATTCAATAACGAAGTGGTACTGACACTGTAAGAGAATGCATAGAGCATGAATGAAGCTACGATGGCATTCTTTGCAGTAGACGTCTTGTGGTTTTCTCCTCCAAGCCCAGCCAGCAGGAACATCCAGAGGGCCTGGAAGAAGAAGGTGATGAATAAACTCTCGCGCCGGCTACATTCGAGGTTTTCATTAGTATGGCCGTGCTCCCAATCCGTTTTTGACTTACCCAAGCTTGTCAACCATATACATCGCCGGAATAACGGCTAGGACACCAAGACACGAACTGATGATCGGGTATGTAAATGCTTGCGATGCAAATCCATTCGATTTGTAAAATGTCGTTTGGTATGTAGAAAAGAATGCTTGACCCGTAGTCTAAAAGATCAGATCGTTAGCACAGTCGGAATTGTTCGGATCTTGATATCTCACCTGCTGAAAGAAATAATAGACGAGCACAATCATTGTTCGGCGGAAGTTGTCTCCCCGCAGGAGATCCACCCATGGCCCCTTGTGTATATGCTCTTGAAGAGCCTGCCTAATTGCCATAATCTCCCTTTCACAATTCCCATTTTCGGAATCCTCTTTTGGCCTGAGGCGTCGTAAAGCAAGGATGGCATCTTCGTTTCGGTCTTTGGATAGCAACCAACGTGGAGAGTCGGGTATTAAAATCGTGAAGCAGATGATCACTTTTTTCTCTGGTTAGCGATTGTCTGTCGGATCTTTGTTGGATGAATTTGCCTTACAAACGGGAAAAATGAACTGGATCCCTGTCACAGTTTTCCAGCCCACGCTGTCGCTGCTCGTGGAGAATCCCTTGTTCACTGCACTGGCAATGACTGCACCGGAGTTCAGGAAAAGCTGCAGCGACACAATTACGAGGCCTCTGAAATTGGCTGGGACGATCTCGCATTGGTATGTTCTGGTATTCACCAGTTAGATATTGCACTGATTGTTTTGTCTGCTATAACTCACGTCACATCGACCTCGACGAGGCCGATTGATATGTAGACGATGATTCTCCCGATGATGAACTGAACCAATCGGCCGCTGCCGGAAACGGTACCTGCCGCAGTAATTTCAACTAGATAAAACTGATTAGCAAGTTGATCGGGGATTTTTCCTCAGCTAAGGCTCCTCACTAATAACGCCAATGATGGATATTATCGAAAGAGCATAGAAAACAACACGATGTCCAAAACGCTCGATCACCGGGCCAGCGACCAAGCACCCAATGAACTTTCCGATGAACGCGAGAGAGCTCAGCAAAGAAGTATGGAGAGAGTCGATAGAGTACTCTTGGGTAATTGAGCTGTATTGACCAAATTGGTTAATAAATCCCTGGGAATTTAATCAGTCCTGAAAGGCAAAGGGAGAAGGGTCCTGGTGCGGATGGACCTTACCGGATTGGCAAGAATGCCACCAAAGCTGCCAGTATCATAACCAAAGAGGACGTCTCCCACCAACAGACAGAAGCAGGAAAACAGAAGCATTGGAGTGACCATATCCCAGGCTGAATTTGTCTCCGCCATGATTGCTCTGAGTGGATATGAAAGCTTGCCCACGCGCGCAAACGAGGATTCGGAAAAATTCAATGGTCAGGGTGGGAGTATCCGACGTTATATGTGGATGACAAGCTTTCTAATGGCGTGGCAGAGCAAGGGTAATTTGCGAGAGCTCATAGGATTCAATTAGGAGCCGACTTGTTCTTAGTCTCGATGGCTTATCATACCCCTCTTGTACCAAGACTGATCCTGCAGGGAAGCCTTCTGCCGCAGCGAATGCTCCGGAAAGCCTGTACAGATTTCTCCCTTCTAGGCATGAATGGCTGAATCTGTACAGCCCTCGGGAAATCAAAGTAGCGCCAATATTTTCGATCCTTTGCACACTTTTGTTGACACAAGCTGATAGATGGCAGCCGACTCGGAGCAGCGTGGGAGACCCAGATGCACCCACATGGCCCCACAATCTGGGGTACATCATTTAAGCACGAATGGCGAAAGCACGAAGCCAGTCAAGACAGACCAGGCTTGCGCCAAGAAGGCTCGTCTTACCTGCCGACAGTCGAATGTGGTGATACCGCGACATGTCCCACCTCATACTTAGCCGAAGTTCTCCCGGATCCACCTGCTCGGTTCTTCTGAATGCCTTCGCTACCGCATGTGGCTTGAAACGATGGGCTAATGAGTTGTTCTTATCCCATTGCATTCGCATAATCGACCTCTGTCTGTCTTTCTCTCTTTCTTATATCTTATTTCCGCTCCCTGTCACACTTTTTGGGTGTTGATCTTCCCTTTCTTGGTGTTGACACTGATCCCGTCTACAAGCCCTCCATTGGCAACGAGCTCGGTCCACATCCCGAACAATTCAAGATGGGCAGCGCAACAAAGGGCACGTCGAAGCGCCCCAACTTCCTCTTCATTCTTGCTGATGACCTGGTAAGCTTCTTGTCTTTCCGAAACGAAGACACGACTGAGCTAATCGAGCAACAGGGCTTCTCGGACATCGGGTGCTATGGCAGCGAGATCCAAACGCCCAACATCGACCGATTGGCATCTGAGGGCATCCGCATGCTCAATCATCATGCTGCTGCCGCTTGTTCCCCCACAAGAGCAATGCTGCTCAGCGGAACCGACGCTCATCTCGGCGGACTGGGCGTGCTGATCGAATACAAGCAAAACGCGATCGGGGCTAAAAGGTATTCCGGCAAAGCTGGCTACGAGGGGTTCCTCAACAATGACGTCGCGACGCTTCCTGAGATCCTGAGCGACAATGGATATTTCACGGCTCTTTCCGGCAAAGTGAGTTCTGTTCGCTGACTTTAGAGACAATGCTGACCTCGTGTGACTGTAGTGGCATCTTGGTCTACGCGCAAGTCACGGCCCGCGGGAGCGTGGCTTCCAGAAGGCGTTTGCGATGCTGCCGGGCTGTTGCAGTCACTACGCGTGGGAGCCAGTGCAGGAGCGATTTCCCTTGGGCGGGTCGCCCATTCACACTGAGAATGGCACCAAGGTTGACATGTAGGTTGCTCAGCTTGAAGTTTCGAGGTCGAGGCGGGATCGCTAAGCAATGACTGCATTGATGTATAGTCAGCCCAACAAGTCCGAAGACCCCAATGGCTTTTATTCGACCGACGAGTACACGAACCGTCTGATTCAATATCTCGAGGACCGGTCTCCAGAAGAAAAATCGAAGCCTTTCTTCGGGTTTCTCCCTTATACCGCTCCACACTGGCCGCTTCAATGCTCGAAATCACGGAGAGATAAGTGAGGAGTGACCCTGAGGGCATTGATCGATTTCGAAGACTCGGTCGAGCTAATAGAATGTGACAGGTACAAGGGAGTGTACGATGACGGCCCATATGCCCTCCGTGAGCGCCGACTCAACAGGCTCACCGAGATGGGTATCATTGAGGAATCGGTCGTCCCGCACGGGGTCGAGACAACGACGCAGAATGTCGGTGAGTGGGACGAGCTCACGGCCGAAGAGAAGAAGCTCTCTAGTCGTGCCATGGAAACATACGCTGGTATGGTCGACTCGATGGATGTCAACGTCGGTAAGGTGATCGAGTATTTGAAGAAAATCGGGGAATATGACGATACGTTCATTGTGTTTATGAGCGACAATGGAGCCGAGGGAGCAGCGTGAGTACCGTTTGCACACAGGATGCGCGTTTTCGAGCTAACACTGGTGCATAGAATGGAAGCCATTCGTAAGGACGCCGAATATTCGTAATAACAATGCCTTGTCATTAATCGCTTCGATATAGCTGTTATGGGCGAGAAGATAACGACTGCTATCCATCAGTATTATGATAACTCACTGGAGAACATTGGCAACTACAACTCCTTTACGTGGTATTTTATTCTCGTTTGAAGACTGTGAAGGAAGTAGCTGACTTTTCCAGGCTCGGTCCACTCTGGGCCCAGGCTTCGACGGCACCATCGAAGTTGTTCAAGGGGTTCCCTTCGCAAGGTGGTATCCTGGTCCCCTGTGTCGTCAAGCCGCCGACCAATACGTTTCTACCTTCCTTCTCACCCGGCTCATTCAATCGCTCCTTCACTACCGTCATGGATTATCTCCCGACATTCATGGAACTAGCAGGCCTTTCTCAGCCCGAATCAAAGAAGACGACTGTGCAGTTGACCACCGGCACCGTAACGCGCCAAATGAGCAGCTTCCGCGGGAAGGTAGTACATGCCATCCGAGGCAAATCATGGATCCCATTCTTCGCTCGAGGCACAAAAGAGGAAGAAGACGAAATGTGGTACATTCACCCCTCATCTGAGCCTATAGGGTGGGAACTGTTTGCCCGCGGTGCTCTACGCAAGGGAGATTGGAAGATCGTTCATATCTCGAAGGCAAATGGAGGGGTCGGCGTGGGGGATGATGGCTGGGAACTCTTTAACGTTGTTGAAGATCCGGGTGAGACGAAGGATCTAGCGGACGAGAATCCGGGGAAGTTAAAGGAGCTTCTGAATCATTGGGATGAGTATGTAGTTGAGTGTGGGATCGTGTGGGGGGAGACGGCGGTGACTCCGGGTATTGGAAAGGACGAGGCGCCCGAACTGTGGGAGGATGAGGTAGAGCTGCAGAAGTCGTGGATGGGAGCTCGGGTGGGCGAGGTTCCTGCAAGTTGTCAATGAGGACTTTTGCTGTTGCAGGCTCAGTGATAGACATGCACCTGTTAGCATTCAAATGTGATGGTACATGTCGTGGTTGGAAAGAGGCACCGAGAGCCTCTGGGAGGAAAGCTACTACCAGATACGGCCCGAGGCTGTCCACGAGTGAGATATCACGTGCTATTCGTCTGAAGTATTTCAGCGAATCGTTTTGGGCTTGGTAGCCTATGGGTTAATTAGTCGACCATTGCGAATTTTACGTTTTGAACAGTCCTCTCCGGATTGGTGACTCATCTGGACAAAACCAAACTACAACGGAGTGCATCCTCGGGATCGCCACTGGGTTTGATTAAAACAGGATGCTTGATCGGGGCATTCAATCCAATCTTGAAGATGCTGGGGTCAAACATTATTTACATTAAGCACTTCGCTTTGCGGCCGATAGCCTATCTCGGGGTGCTCAACTGCTGACTGTGATATTCGAAATTTTTCCTTTCTGCTCAAGACATAGGGTTTGTGCGATATGCAGTATAGTGGAAACGTGGAAACCACATTGCAACGGTGTAAGATGGAGGCAAAATGGAGTATGCTGGATATACACTATGAGCTTGAATGTACTTGTTGGGTGGCCGTAGCGGTTGGAGATTGTAATCGGGACCGGTGGAGGCGGCGAGTTTCCGATCACGTTTTGGGGTCAGCTGCAGGAAAAACGCGGTTATGAGATGGGCGTAATCTCCAGCTGTCTAGTGTAACGTACTAGCAAAGTATTGTATTTATTGGATGGTACATGTTATCGTGTAACACGCTCCTCCAGATATATATAGAGGATATCTCAGGCTGTCAACACAGTTCCCGAAATGGAAGTTACTTTATCCTTTCAACTAATACATACTCTAAGATACCAAATAGGGATATAAGAAGAAGATACTGCCTTACACTGTAAGCTACTCCTTCTTTGTTGACGGACTGTTTATACTGCTACACCGGGGTATACTTCAGCGATCCATGGTTCTGCATCACCTGCCCTCAGCCGGCGCTGTGATTGGGCGATCTCGACGTCCGCGCCCAAGCACGCCTCCACCAACCACCAGCTAGCTTGGAAGCACACCGCGACTCTGCATCTTCTCTTTTGTCCTCTGCTTTGCACACTTGGCATCGCGCCCTTCGACCAAGACCATCGCCTTCTGCTTTCGGGCTGCATGATCGCCAACGTCTTCCCCGCGTGAACCCTGGTAGTGTGATCTTTCAGCTCTAGCCCAAGCTTTTGGTGAGTCTTAAAGATCCCCGTCGGCCCAGCCAGCGGCTGGAGGTGGTCGACCACTGCGCGACTTCGTGATTCATTATGGGAATGCTAACATTCGGCCGTTTCCTTAGCCGGCCTTACCCTCATTACAGGGACGGCCCTACCCTCTTCTCCTTCCAACAACAGTTCCTCATGGAGGACACCGCGCGCGAACGCCGTCAGTCCGACGGCACTGCGGGTCCCGCATCCATCGCCTCCGCATCCCCCGTGCTGGAAGATATCGACAATCCATTCTTTGAGGACTTTGACAACGATGATTTCTACTCGCCCCCCGCCTCCCCCGGCAAGCTGTCGCGAACCAACAGCAGCTCGTACCAGGAGGACTGGGAGACCTTCCCTCCCCTCGACAAACTGACCATCTTCGACCTACTCGACAACATCCAGCTCACGCAGCGATTCGAGAAATGGCAACACGCGATCAACGTGCAGAAGGAGAAGGTACAGAAGCAACGCGAGAAGCTTCGATCCACCGGACAAACAGCTAGGAATCGTGTTGTGGGCGAGTTCAAGCGTCGCGTGCCGACGGCGGATGAGCAGCTCGAAAAGTATCGTCATCGCATGAAAATGGGCGTCGAGCGCCTGGGGAAACAATGGAACAAGACGGCCACCGTCACCCTACGCGAGAAGATCTCCTTTATCGCCGGAGTGCTCAACATATTCTTCAGCGGCTACTTGATCGGCGCCTGCCCAGAGTACTTCTACTACTGGTTCACTGTCCAGTTCGCCTATTTTATGCCTATTCGATACTTCACCTACCATGCCAAGGGCTATCACTACTTCCTCGCCGATCTCTGCTACTTCGTCAACGGGCTCTGTATACTTTGTATCTGGGCATTCCCGACCTCCAAGCGACTGTTCATCGGTACGTTTTGCTTGACTTTCGGAAATAACGCAGCCGCCGTGGCTATGTGGCGCAACTCCCTGGTCTTCCACAGCATGGATAAAGTAGTCAGGTATGGAACCTTCCCAAGATTCGGAAAGTGTATGAAACAAAGAACCAACTAACGCGTGTCTAGTACTTTCATCCACATCCTGCCTCCGGTCACATTACACTGCATCGTCCACTTGACACCCGTCGATATGCTCAAAGAGCGATTCCCGGCCGTCTACTCCATCAAGTTCAGCAAGCCTGGCGACCCAGAACATTATTCGCTCGGCGCGATGATCATTTGGGCAACGGTCCCGTATATCATCTGGCAGCTTGCCTTCTATTTCATGATTACCGTGCGCCGTGCCGAAAAGATCGCCGCCGGGCGCCCGACCAGCTTTACATGGCTCCGAAAGTCATATGCTAAGGCCTGGATCGGGAAGCTTGTCTTGAGCCTCCCCGAGACTCTGCAGGAGCCGGCCTTCATGTTCATTCAGTATGGATTTGCCCTATCTACCATGATCCCGTCTCCAATTTGGTTCTGGTACGGCTGGGCAAGCGGTTTGTACATGATAGCACTGTTCGCCTGGAGTGTTCACAATGGTGCAACCTATTATATTGATGTCTTCGGCAAGCGCTTCCAGAAGGAGCTGGAGCAGCTGAAGAAGGACGTGGCCCGATGGCAGAGCTCCCCAGAAGGCGGAGCGGTCAGCCCTCTCGTTCTTCCTGACAGCACTGCCGATGCTCTGAATGCACCTGTGCCGCTCGAGAAGCGCAACAGTGTCGACCGTATTCCTCTTCTGGATCCCAGCTTTGCGGCCACCACCTCTGCCGCGGATCTGCGCAAGGCCGCCTCCACTGATTCTACTGTCCGAGAGAGAAGTTAGTTATGGGGGCATCCCTTTTCATTCGTTTGTGATACCCCTCCCTGTGCACAATTGATTTAATCCCGCCCGAGATTTGTTTTCGGCTTATTTTTATTTATATTTTTTTCATTTCTTTTTTTTTTTCAGCGGTAATATGCGCTCTGTCTTTGTTTTTGGCTTGCATAGAGGCGATTTTTGATGAACCAAATTGCTATGATGCCATGATCTACATTTAATTCAGGAGGACGTTCATTCTCTTTAGTGTGTTGATCTTCTCAGGCGTAGTGGATGTAGCTCAGCCCCGAAATGTCTAGAATGCGCCACTTGGCACGGCCAATTAACTCCGGCGGCATCTCCGAGGCCGCATGCGGTCACGTGGGATCAACGTGATGTTCAGCGGCGTCACAACATCCTGCCGGGCCGCTCCCAGTCGCTTTTTCCATCGAATTTCGGGCATCAATCTAATATATCTATCCAATTCATTGCGTGATTGTCGAGGCCCCACCCGGTTTCCTGTTGTTGCGCACTCCGCACTCGCCTTCTCGACCCATCGAGACCCCTTCCTTGTTCTCCCAACATTTCCGCATTTCCGCAAATGTCCGCCACAATGAGATCAGCTCGTCTGGTGCGCAACACCTCCGCCTTGCGCCCGGCGCTGACCGGTAAGAACGATCATACAAATTCCAGGATCGGCGATTATCAGCGACTGACTTTTTTTTCGACGATCGAATAGCTCGTACTCGTGCGAGTGCTCTTGGACCGGCTCCTCTGGCTGCGGCCACCAGCGTCCTCTTCAACGGTCGCGGAATCCCCTCGCAGGTTTCTGCTCTTGCGATTCTGATCCCCCAACAGCGTGGATACGCCACCGAGCACAATACGACCAACTCTCAGTCGTCATACCCCCCTCCCGGCTTCAATGCCGAACAAGCCAAGAAGCCGCTCCCCCAGGACCAAGCTCAATCTCCATCGACTACCCAATCGAAGCAGAATGTGACTCCTGCGGCCAAGGTGCCTGCGCGCGAGGTGTCTGGCAAGCCTGTTGCGACTGAGGAGGACAAAAATGTGGCTGAGGCGAAAAAGGAGGCCAAGAAGCTGACCATTGGTCAGAAGATCAAGAAGGAGGTTCAGCACTACTGGGATGGCACCAAGCTGCTTGCTACAGAGGTCAAGATTAGCTCACGCTTGGCATTGAAGATGGCAGCTGGTTATGAACTCAGCCGCAGGGAACACCGTCAGGTTCGTCAAATCCATTCACCCTATTCAATAGGTTTCAACAAGTTTTGTGGCATCAGATGACTAACACGCACTGCTGGAACAGCTCCAACGTACCACCAAGGACCTGGGACGATTGGTGCCTTTCTCGATGTTCGTCATCGTTCCCTTCGCCGAACTCCTACTTCCGATCGCCCTGAAGATCTTTCCCAACATGCTGCCCAGCACCTACGAGGGCCAGAAGGCCCGCGAGACCAAGGCCCTGAACCTGAGCTCCACCCGTAAGGAGGTTTCGAGCTTCCTTCGCAACACACTCCGTGAGACCGGTCTGCCGTTGACTGCCGCCACCGTTAAGAACGAGGAATTCGCAGACTTCTTCCGCAAGATCCGGACTACCGGCGAGTCCCCCTCCACCGAGGATGTCATTAAGGTGTGCAAGATCTTTAAGGATGATCTGACCCTGGACAACCTCTCGCGGCCCCAGTTGGTCGCTATCTGCCGCTACATGAACCTGAACTCGTTCGGTACCGACGCCATGCTCCGCTACAACATCCGTCACCGCATGCGCCAGATCAAGCGCGATGACCGCGCCATCTTCTACGAGGGCGTCCACTCGCTTTCCGTCCCCGAACTGCAGATGGCCAGTGCCTCCCGTGGTATCCGCACCCATGGCGTCTCTCCTGCCCGCCTCCGCGAGGATCTCTCGATGTGGCTTGACCTCCGTCTTAAGCAGGGCGTCCCCTCCACCCTGCTTGTCCTGAGCAACGCATACATGTACACCCAGGGCGGCAAGGAGTCTGAGATGGCCTCCCAGGTTGACGCCCTCAAGTCTGTGCTCTCCAGTATCCCTGAGGAACTCTTCCACGAGATCGAGCTCGAGGTTCACAATGCCGAGGGTGCTGCTACCAACAAGCAGCGTCTGGAGGTCATTAAGGAGCAAGAAGAGCTGATCGAGGAGGAGAACGAGCAGAACAGCGAGAACGAGGGCAAGGGCGTCTCTGCTCCAAAGGACATCGAGGATATTGATGACAAGGAGGAGACCAAGGTTGAGGCTGCCGACAGCAATGCTAATCAGTCTGCCGAGGCTAACGAGGCTCTGAATGAAGGTGCCAAGGCTGAGCCTACTCCTGCCAAGGAGGAGAAGAAGAGCTCCTAGGTTCATGCATACGTCTGGTTTATTTGCTTGCTTTATGGGGCTGCGATCTTTTTTAGGGGTTTACACGGGTTCATCATAGACCTTTCCTATTTTCTTTGTTTTCTGGACATTGTCCTCCTTCGATTCTCATCCTGTGTTACTTTTACTCTCCGCTATGTTGATAGACTACCCTAAATCCACATCTCTCCTGTTTATATTCGGGCAGTGGCTATCCTGCAGTCGTGTCGTCTGACTGATTGTTGGCCCGTCCCTCAGGCATGTCCAGCTAGCCATATGCAGACTACGCAGAAATTTGTCTATTTTTACCCCTGCCATTAGGCGATTAGTATACGAGTACAATGTATTTGATGAGAGACAGTCAAATACCGCAGGAAACCACGCTAGTGTGCAGTTCCGATCGTTCATACCTCTGCCAGGGTTTCTAAAAAGCGACGGAGGCAACGAGTTGTGATGTGGTAAGAGACAGCAGGCGTGATGCACCAGTCTTGTTTACATTAGTCCGTCAGTCCTAATAGTGTTTCACAGTTCATCACATCGTACCCTAGGCCGCGATATGTTATGAGACCTTAACATCACGTTAAATAAGTTAACCAAATCTAGATTAATAGCAAGATTCCAGAAAGTTGCATGGTCATTTAAGACTGAGAGTATACACAAGTGACACGATTGAGATAAATCGCATGAAGAGATTAGAGGCAAGAGTGGGCACGTGCAAACAGTATACTCCAAACCGGCTTAAAGTAAACAATCCGAGGCTACACTAGCAGGAAGAGAAGACTGCTTCTGGATATAGAATTACAAGGCGTTTCACTATTTAAAGCGGTTTACAGCGGAGCAGTAAACGAAGGAAAGGTCGTGGTCTCTTGCGTACATGGGGAGTTAGGGAAAGAACTCACCCTGACTAAAATGAGACCCACGGACGCGCCTGCCATCAGAGAGGACCCAGCAGTGGGACGCGATGTATCCAGCCAGGTCCAAGGCTGAGTTGGTATTCCTTATGCTGTTGCTGCCTACCTTGTCGTACTTCCACGTCAACAACACGCTCCGCTCCACCACCATCCTCTTTCCTCACCACCACAACCTTCCACCACCGATCGCAACCGTCTGTTATCTATTTCTACCACCTGATACTTGTTCGAAATGCCTCCTGGGGGCAGCAAAGAGCCGAAGTCTCTGACGCGAGCCGACTTTGACAACCCTGATGTTCTCAATGCCGTTAACCCGCACCCAAGATATGGATACTTCCATGGTAATGCCAGCTTCAACCTAAGCCCCCGCATCCATCTCATTATCTGACAATCATAACAGGTCCCATTCACGACGTAAATCCTGGCTGGAAGCCAAAGGCTTGGATTGACCGCAACGGCGGCCCAGGACAGTGGAAACCCGTTTCCTGCCGGGATGTCGACAAGGAGTACCACACGCCGACGGGCCCTGCCAACGAGATGGCTCTCCTCAGCCGCGCGCATAGTCTCACCTGTAGTGTTCTCGCGACAGAAATTCCACTGCTCAAAGGTCAAGACATCAGTGGACTCAATATTATGTGCGGCACTACTTGCAAAACCCTCGAAAGCTTGCGCAAGCATATTCGCAATATACATACCGGGGCTAGTCCGTTTCCCCTTTCCTTGTTGACATCAAGATTTACACTAACTATAAATGTGAATAGTTATCACGTCCTTCTCACGTAAGCAGGTCGAAGGCGAGTTCCAGGCAGGCGAGAACGCACTCAAAAAACTAGTTTTGACGGGTGGCTGGCGCCAGGCGAGGTTCATGTATGAGCCGAACTACGGTGAGGGCAAGATCAGGGAATACTGCGATGCTCTTGAAAAGATTGCGTGAGTATTCTTTTCTATTTTATCGTTTCTCTCATGGTGTGCAGACCCACTGACAGTTTTATAGTGCCGACGACCAGGACTTTGCCAGCAAGTATGGACGATCCTTCCATCGAGACATTGTTCGCCAAATCGAGGCTGGCAAGAAGTCTCTGAAGCATGGACCCTGGTCTCGATACCAAGGTGACCAAAAGGAGTCTGGCGGGCTTGTGCTCGTCAAGGAAACTTCTGGCAAGACCATGGAGAATCCTGAAATATGGTCTTCTTCCTCTGAAGCTTTGGTCACATCCCGAACTGGGATTCCTCGATCTATTTCGTCTCCGTCCGTGGTTCATACGTCGATGATTCCTCCCATGGACTCGCTTGTTCCTCCGGTGACTGTCCCTCGCGCAATGCCTCGAACTATTTCTTGTCCGTCCGTGGCCGCCCCCATGACGATGGCCGCCCCGCCGTTGCCCTTCTCTGTCCCTGGAGCTCGCCATTCTCGATCTGTGTCCTATCCGACCAAGCCTCCCTTTATGCCAGTTCCGGCTGAAGTATCTCCAATCCCTCCGGTTGTGCCAATGGCCCTTGGACCGGGAATGTGTCGAATGCCCCGATCTGCGTCTGCTCCCAATGTGGCTCGAGCTACTCGTCCTTTGCCTGCCTCGGCTCCGGTGACCCCCCGAAAGGCACGTTCTCGCGCCCAATCTCTGACTACGCCTCCTTACAGAGCCTCGCCTCGTATCGCACGCACACGCGCCCAGGGACCCGTGTTATCAAAGGCAGGTGAGTACATTACTTCTCTGATGGCTGGTAAAACTCCAAGTCACTACACCGATATGATTGCACTTGGAACGAATCTTAGCGCTGTGCCTGAGCATCCCTCTGTGGAGAGTCCACAGGGGGCAGCTGATCAGGCCATGCCTGATCCGTTTAGTCATTCTTTTGGTGGCGACGATGTCTTCATGGAAGTTTTGAAGGGTCCCGGCGACCAGACCGTTCCTGCTCCTGCTGGCAATTATGTCGTATCGGCTCTAGATGATGAAGATGCCTTCATGAAGTCTTTGATGGAGACAGGCATTCAGCCTGTGACTGCTACCGCAGGCAACGATGTCTTCACGGATACTTCGAACGAGGGTACCGACCAGCCCATGTCAGCTCGCATGAAAGACGATGCCTTCTGGAAGACTTTGATGGAGACTGATAACCTGCCTGTTCCAGCTGGCCATTATGTGCTCATGAATACTCCCAATGAGACTGGCAGCCTTCCTGTGCCTTCTAACATTGACGACGATCTCTCCCTGAACACATCGAAGGAAATCAACGACCGGCCCTTGCCTGCTCCCGTTGGTCAGAATATATTCATGAATACTCCCAAGGAGGCTGATTGCCTGCCTATTCCTCCTACCGTTGACTGCAATGTATCGATACCTCCGATGAACTGGCACGATACACAGCAGAAGAAAACATCGAACAAGAGAGCTGATCAGTCAGACAATCTGCTCAATCCTGCTGCTGTAATCCAAGGAAACCATTCAGTAGTGATCGGTTCGGGTGATCCATCCAGGATCGTACGCAGCAGTACCCAGTCTGGCCAGTCTGTCAGTCATCATGAAATCCCTCTTCCCGGTCACTGGCCGCCCCTGTCTACTCACTCCAATTTTCCTGAGCCGTCGCTGGATCATAGAGCCGGTAAGTCTGACAGCCAGCTTATCGCCGCTTCTGTCCTCGAAAATGCCCCTGACAGTCAATTTGATGTACTTGAACCAAACCAGAACAAACTTGGCCCTACTGGACCTTGCGGCAAGACCCATACATATACTTCCTCGGATGGAATCCCTACAAGTACAAGAAACATCGCACCACACAGCCCCGACGCTGGTGGGCCCGACTTTGATTCCGAGATTGAGGCACTCTTATTCACGGATCCCTTGGAGGGGAATGAGATGTTGCATTATGGGGATACCACTGAGGAGGATAATTTTGAGCATGACGGCCTTTTCAATCGTTTTGATCCCGCGGTAAGTGCCAGTGAGAAGCAGCCAAATTTGAGGGCCTCCGAGACAGACCATTAGTCAGGACCCGTTCCTGCTGGCTTCTGGGGAGTGATGGCTTTTGTGATTAGTTCTTTTGTTTGATGCTTTTCCTGGGTTTCATGGGCATCTTGGGTCTAATGTCTAATGAGATTTATGGTGGTTACCTTGAGATTACCTTGAGCCGCAAGATTATGGTGCTGCCCAGGAGCATCTTTGTTTGTGTGGAAATGTGAAGTCGAAATGTGGATTGATGGTATTTTCCGGGGATCTCGTTCATGATGAACATCAGTCAGAATGATGCATCATGTTGTGTACTGAGCGGCGAGGCTAGAGCAATTTCAAGCATATGTCTAAGTAGTTGAATCAATTCATGAATTTCCATGGGAATATTCTGCAACCCTGTATAGTCTTCAACACTCGGTTTGAGGAGAGTAGGTCTCGTGGGGCGACCTCGCTCCTAGGATGTAAGTTGGGACTAAGGTATTCGCGAACCGCCCCTTAACACGCCAAACTAAGGCAATTACCGCGAATTTCCAACTCGACTGGGTCCTCGCAGATCAAAATAACCTACTGTACTGCTGGGCGTAGTTGAAGTATACCCCGGCTCTCGGCCCATTAGTCACGCCCGGGGGCGACCTCGGCAACCGCCAGCCGTCGCCTCTTTCCCCGCCAGCACCGCTTGGGGTTTGATAACACAACAATGCGGAGACGCCAACTCCAGCTCCTCCAAGCTATCCGTCGTCGCAGTTTGACTTGCACATTTCGACCCCGTCTCTCCTATCTCTCCACACTCACTCAGCCCCCGATGCCGCCGCTTAATCCGGCTTCTTTGGTACGTCTTCATTCCCTTCTGTGCCTACCCGAAGCCCGCGTGTGCGGGATTGGATCCAAGACGGCCTCTTCCCACGCCGTGGGCGGTTCATTTGGGTAATTATTCGGTCTTCACCCGGCTGCAGTCGAGTGTCTTATACTTGCTTCTTCGTGGGCCTTGTTTCTCATTTCCTGGCCGTTTTCTGTTCGGGCGAATATCCTCCGGGGATCGTGCCTTAAGCCGTGCATGTGGAGCATCACATTTGCTCCCGACTGGTGCTGGCGTGACCCAAGCGGGTGATGGGCAATGTGAGATGTTCTATCGCCCTGCTAGCAAGCGGTGGGAGACATGTCTTGCCTACACGTCATGGCAATAGCCCCGTGGATGGACATCCCTTGCGAACGCCGATGGCGCTGAAACCCTCCCGGGTCGCGTGGCAGGAATGAAAAAGGAAGGACGAAGAAAAACCTTACGGGGTTGAAATGGAGACAATCTGACTAAGGCGACGTTTATGTTTCTGTGATGGAATGGTCTGCTGACGCTGCGCCAGGAAGCCATCCACCGACTCCGAACATACGTTCCTCCGCCAACGGCATATGGCGATGTCCCGCTCAGCAGACGGGCGGCTGTGCTGATACTGCTGTATGCCGATCCTCATGGAGAGCTGCGAGTTGTGATTACGATCCGGGCCAAGACACTGAGTTCGTGTACGCGTGCTCCCTTCTCCCCCTAGGCTACGGCGACCCTGACGTCCACGGCCGATGCTGCACGACATGGCGGACTGGCGCTAACCTCATTTCCTGCACTCCAGATGCAGGCGAAGCTGCTTTACCGGGAGGTACGTGTGGACCGACCCATACCAAGCAAAAAAAAGGGAAAAAAAAAAGCAAAAGGGAGCTGCCGCCTGATCAGCAGGGCGACATTCCTAATTGCGAAAGAGTTCGTGTTGGATTTCCTGGGGAAAAGGAAAAAAAAGAAAAAAAACCTGCATGCCTGCGGTTCGTTCGTATCGGCGTAAATTAACGGTTCTCTTGTAGGACGCGCAGACAGTCTGGCCGAGACGCCCTTCCAGACGGCGCGGCGCGAGGCCTGGGAGGAGATCGGGTTGCCCGATATCGAACAGCCGCTCCCGCAACCTTTCCGCGTGGAGCATCTCTGCGAGTTGCCGGCAAATCTTGCCAAAACAGAGCTGGTGGTACGGCCCTGCGTCGCGCTGCTGCACTCGTTTGATGAAGCGACGGGCGCGCAGGCCGACCCGGAGATCTCGTTGATCCCCAAGCTGGATGCGCGCGAGGTGGCGGTCGTGTTTACGGCGCCCTTCCAGAGCTTTTTGCGGTTGTCGCAAACTCCTGGCGAGGACCCGGGGGAGTGGTATCGTGGGTCGTGGAATGTGTGGCACAATTCCAACTGGCGCAGTATGGTTTCCAATTTCGTTTTCCCCTTTCTTTCCCTGTTGATTGTCCCCAAAGATGAGGCGACCCGAGGGGGCTATGATCCCTGCCAGGGAGGTCCTGAGGCTCTCCCCCTGTCTTAAGCCTGCTGCCGTCTTTGATTGTCCTGCAGGCAACGGTCTTGTGCCCCCCTTTGACGAACGACACATGGGCGAAGGCATGGAAGGGGTGGGACCGGGACGGCTGTCAGACTCCACCTGGTTTTGGCGTTGGCGTTTGCCCTGGTTCGCGATAGCCAGGAATAGACCTTACCTTACCCTGGTAGGGTACCTTCTTTACCAAGGTGGTCAATCCATGCTGGAGTGGATCCGGGAGCGCCATGCCGAGTTGCTTTGATTTTGCACCGACCCTCACTACTCGCTAAGTCCGACTGAAAGATTCAGGAACCCCCGCTGATTGACCTGCATTAGTGCACCAGTTCTTTGTCCAGGCGAACGACCAGGTGGTCAGGCCCCGACGTGGGGCGCCGCGAGTCCCGGCTGATGGACAGAAGGAGCGATATCGCGTGTTCGGGATGACCGCAAGAATCATCGTGGACGCCGCGCGAGTGGCATACGCGCGCGAACCCGAGTTCGAGCACAACAGCCACTTTGGCGACGAGGAGATGATTGCCAAGTTGCGCCGGCTGGGCCGGTTGCGTGGGCGCCGCAGCCCGTCGGACGAACTCACGCTCGAGACGATGGAGAAGGCAGCGAAACTCAGTTGAGGACTAGCCGGGAGTAGTTAGGCAATTAGAACAGCTGGTTGACCGGGGCAGGTATGGACTAGTCAAGTACGGACTAGGGCAGTCTAGCCTCCGATCCGTGCTGCAGCCTGGCGTCATCGGGCCAGTTGGCGATGTATTGTATCTTACACTATACACTCTGCTAGTTAACTAGTTAGTTAGTACTATTAGGTATTACCTAGGTACTCTTCAGCAGGTATACAATACTCCTACCTGAATACTTGTCGTGTGCCTGATCGCCTCGATGTGTCGGCCTCCTTGCAGCCCCTCGCGTTGTCCGTGCATCGCCTTGGCTGCAGGCCTAGTTCCCTTCTGCTTCTGGAGATCACCCTGACATGCCTGGGATGCTGGGTGAATGCCCAGCTCATATAATACCACAACCCTCCCCCCAGCTCGGTGGCGCCCTCTCTGTGATTGTCGAGTCTTTGTCTGCTGAAGAATCGACTCGATCGGTCTTCACCATGCTCGCCCCCAACTACTACACCCACCCCTACGCCTACAACTACCGCGTGGCGCCCCCGGTGCGGCCCTCACGGTCCCTCGAAGGCCTGGAGCGAGTGATTCCGCCAACCAGCCCCAAATCCATCGACGTTTACTCGCCCACCCGCTCCGAACTCTTCCTCAACAAACCACTCCCCGCCAAACCACTGCCCTCCACCCCCTCCGACGACCTGGAGCCCGAGTATTCCGGCATGTGGAGCGACTCGAGTGACGACGAAAGCGACGACAGCACCCTCGACAGCATCGCCAGCCCCGAGCCGCGAGCCTCCACCGAGAGCTACCCCATCTTTGTGTCTGGTGCCGACGACATTCTGGGCGATCCCCCGGCCCCCGCCGATCGCTCTGTCAAGCCGATCGTCGCTCCACAACGTCTCCTGTCTCGCACGGACTCGTTCGTGTCGGACACGTCGACCAAGTCCGACGCTCAGTATGGCCGCCCCGCCTTGTGGTCGCAGCCACAGTCCCAGTATCAGTCCCAGACGCGAGCTGGGACGAATCACTACTTCCGCGAAAAGAAGTGGGATTTTTTCCCAGAGCTCGCAACGCCGGGGGCAGTGTCTGCCGTGGGCCGAGCCAGCCCGGAAATCCGCAATGGAAAGACCCGCAAGAAGCAGAAGCCTGGCCGTCTGAACCTCTCCAAACGCCGACGATGGCATTCGCTGGATCGCCCGGGAATGGGCATGGGTTTGGCGCAGGCCCGCGACTCCATCAAGACCTACGTCCACCGAACACTATCCCGAGATTCGCCCGAGTCCAGGACTAAGGCCAAAGACAAAGACGCCCAACGAGCACGACCGGCCACGGCCCCGGCGAATGAGGTCGATGGAACACCCAAAAGCACCCTGCAGCAATGGCGTGGGCTCGCCGGTCAGCCCCTGCAGCATTCCTCGCTCGGCGCCGATGTGAATCTGCAAATGCGGGCGCTGTCATTACACACCATGTCCAGCACTACTGCCAGCACGACCAGCGATATGCCCGACAGCCCCCGGTCGGCCCGCTTCGCCGTGCCCATGACGGCTTACCAGAAGTACGGCGCCTCGATCTGGGATGCGCCCAAGTTCAAGAAGCGCACTCTGCGCCCGCGCCAGCAGCCCGGCGCCTCGCGGTCTTCGTCGCAGCTCGCCTCCATCAACCCGACATCACCCCTCTCCCCGCCGCTGAAAACGCAACTGCAGCAGAATACCCGGGATGCAGTCCGGGTCTTGCAGGGTGGGACAAGCCACATGCTCGTTGCGCTGGACGGCGCCAAGAAGAAAATATCCGAGTCCAAGGACGAGCGTCGGCGCGAACAGCTCAAGGCCCAGATCAAATTGGTTGGGCCGGTCAATCCGCACACGTGTGGCCAGCTCGACCCATGGGTTTAGCTATACGTTGCAGTTCTTTCACTTTTTTTCCTTTTGTCCTTTTTTCTTTTTTCTTTTTTCTTTTTTCCCTTTGACGTTTCAAGTTTTACATCTTTAATCGGTGTTTGATTTGTTGGCCTTATACGATTTACGACACATCATTGGAGCTTAAACACTCCTTCTCATATTCCCACATTAGCATCTCATCTCTTTGCGTTGGACTTTCTGGGTATTAGCATAGACTGGCGTTGGTCCACAGGAGGACATGGAGGGCTGGTTGAATCAATCTTTTACAGTATACTCCCTGTGGGTTTATATACACTTTACCATTCTTCCATACAGTGTAAACACTCATCGAGTAATTAACTATACGCTACAAGTACTGCACTCAATCATGTCATGCCCAACATGCATCTGCAGCACTGGCAATGACATGCTTGAATCTCCATCCAGCTCCATTTCCATCTCACCCACATACGCACCGCAGCACCGAACCTCCGCGCCAATCGCACTGAGAACACAGCGCAAGCCATCGCCACCGGCACTTGACACCGTTAAATCGACAGTGTCAGCAGAGGCAATGTCAACCCCTACTCACCTTCTATGTACTGAAGTGAACTTAGTTAACTACTAGTTGTATTGTTGCGGTGTGAACCTAATTTCTGAAAGAGCGGTGTCGATCGCAGATCCGCGCAGCTACAAGTATGTAGGGTCGCCCGAGCCTCGCATGCATGTATTCTGTACGTGCCTACCGTAGGGTAGGTTACACACAGTTACAGGCGATACATCAATGGATGTACAGGTACAGCCTCGCCCTGCCCTGCTATCCTCCACACTAGGGCTCAGTATGCATTCGGTTCTCGGCTCCGAAATCTGGCAAGTAGTGTCTGACCTCCCACCCTATCAAATCTATTCTTCTACTTTACTGGAGGACACGCCAGCTGTCACCGACTTTACGCCCGATCAACCCCTCGCATCATCCCCCCGCTTCCCGCAGCTCAATCTGGACTAGACTTTATCTTGCAGAATATTGATTTGGGCTGTCCTCACCTTAAACCCTGGTGTCCTCTTGGAGGGGAATGTGTATTTGTAGGATTTTTGTTCGGCCACAGATCAGGGTGTCCCGAGTGGGTGGGTTAGGAGTATGATCAAGGGCAGGTGGGGAGGGCGTGGAATGTACCTTGTAGTGCTTGGGAGTATCGTGTTTCGGCCCTACCGTTGAGTCAGGGTGTTTTGGGTGGACGGGGATGATGTTTTCTTTTGCTTGGTGGAATTATCAGGTGTAAACGCCATGTCCCCGCTCAGCCGGTTAGGCATCAGCTTAGCCGAAGTATGTGACGAAGATTTTCGCCGGTTTCCGGGTGGGAGACAAGATGAGTCGGAAAACAATAGGTTTGTTGTTTCCCTGCAGGCAAATGGAAGGAATTGTCGAAACAAAGAGAAAAACATATACGATTAGAAAAGAGAATATTGCGATTACCAGAAAATAATCGATACAGATCCGATGCTGAAACATTACCCTAATACCAATAAAAGACTCTATTGAAAGCGTGGCGCATTCCCCGCTCTATATAATCACAATCATTGTATCGTCTATACATTTGATACCTCCAAAAGACATGTAAACAGGCTCACTCCAACTGAAGCTCCCCCTTCTCAACAACCACCCTCACAACCTCCTTACTAAGCCCATCCCAGTTCCTCCTTCCCCTTCAAAAGCTGATACTCAACCGCAAATAACGTCGACGCTGCAAATATTGGCACGCATAGTTCATATTCTCGCCCGTAATAGGCAGGTATGTGGGAAACGCGAGCCAGACCGTCACCCAGGTCGTATAGATCGACGCAAAGACATTAAATGCTATTTCAGTCAACCAGAGGCGCCGGCGTCGCCTGGAATCGATTGTGGATCATGCGTGCGATAGCAATAAAATATGACACAAACAACCCGATCGAGCCCAGTGCGACAAAGGCTTGGAACGCGGCTGTATCAGCGATATTCAGACAGGCGAGACACATCACGATGAAAACAGGGAGCCAGACCACGCGGACGAAGACATTATGTCTTCGATCAATCTAGAAAAATTAACAATAGATCAGCCTGTATACCTGAAGTCAAGTGGAGTGACTAGCTGAACTACCTTCGCGAACCACCTTGGCAAACGCCCCATCCCGTTCCAAGGCCCATGTTAGCCGAGAGGCGGACGCAATGCTAAACAGTGTAACCGACAGAGAAATCACGAGCAAGCCGCACACCATGGCGGTGGCGGCTCTCAGGGATCCGAAGACCCGTGTCAGGCAACAAAATCTGGTTCATTCCCAAAATTTTGGATGAGAGGATAACAGCAGCCCTGGGAAACGAATACCACATCGGTTTGTGAGAGCGACTGCAACCTTCTTCGGTTTGCACCTTTGATCGGCATAGGCAGAGCAAGAATCGCAGTCCATGAGGAAACCTGGCTTCGACTTTGAAGACTAGGTCAATAAGAGTTTGAATCTTTCAATTTGTGGTCTTCCGCTCAAAGAAGGCAGACAGTTCGATGTGGGTATTTATTTCCTAGGTCTGTTGCTGTTGGCAGACGGAGTCAATATCGCTGGCAGAATTTGAAATCACCGAAAAACAACATTCATTTCGTTGTAGACAATAGAGATAGTAAAATAGTGATGAGGCTAATAGTCCTCACTCAGACCCAATAGCAATTCCGTGCTTTGCTGATCGAATTCTGGCTTCGCTGTCCTTGATGTCCGTTCCACTTTCTCGGAAACCCAGCATCTTTTCACGATGCTCTAAAGCTGTCGCGCACGCATTGCTTGTGCTCATTAAAGTCCTCATCCATACCTTTAAGATGATTACTGATTCTCTATGCATTCTGGAAAACTGTTCGCCAGTTTGCCATGACGTTAAGTCATCCCTGGACCTTTTTGAGGGCCTTCTCAGTCCATTCAAGAGACCTTAGAGCTCGCAGACGATCACCGCGACTCGAATTCTGGTACCTGAAAGCCTTCTAGAGTTATGAACTTCTTATGGACATTCCCGTGATATTCTGCGTACCTATCATAGGTGCTGTAAGCCTCTTGAAGGCCCTTATCTTTCCAGTCAAAGGGTGTGTTCGTGTAGTGGCCCCCCAGATAATCAAGCCACGTTCAAGTTTCTCGTCTCGGCGAGCCCTTGTCTGATTTCTGTCTGGATCTCCGCTGCCCTCGTGGGCAGACCCTTGATGGTTATCAAGGACGGGGATGCGGGCTCGTCGGCATGGTCAAAGTGAGTTTTCCAATCAAATCTGAAGATTTTCCCAACGCATTATTTGTCTTCAGTTCGTGGACGTGGGAGGTGAATCATCCGGTGGGTCGAGGAGCTGATGGTTGGCGGTATGGGTCGATGGGTCGACGGCTGGACTAGATAGCCAAATAGTGAATAAGTGATCTCATGAATACTAGATACCTCAGGGTAGATAAAGGGATCGTAGCAGAGAGAGGAGCGATGAGTGATGGAGAGAGAGACATGGGTGATGGATCTGAGAGAGGTGTGGGAGGATAAGTGCGATAAAGCAGCAATTCAAATCGCCTGCTAAAAGTCGAACAGTCACTGGGAATAAGTTCGGCGGGCAGATCATCGATGGCTGTATAAGGATGAGATTGGGGTGGTGGTGTGTCGTGGGCGAAATGCTGGATGCGCGTTCTCTATAGTCAATCCAAACTATCTTCTAGGGCATTGTCCTTTGGAGCTACGGGGCGGCGGCAGATGGGTGGAGAGTTGGATGGGTGCCTTCATGGGTGATTAGGTGGCAGGATAGATGATTTTGATGGATAGGGCTTAACTTTGGGTAGATAAACAAATGGTAGACAGATGGGGTATCCTTAGGTAGAGGATTGGTGGGTGGAGATAGGCGCATGGGTGATGTGTGGGCGAGTAGTGGGAAAATATAATGAGATGAAAGTGAGAGGGAGACTTCTAAATAGTCCCAGCGAGGTCGAGCGTTGAATGTGATCGCGAGGCCCATTTCACGGACCGGACCACTCCGCCGATAGCAAAAGTAAGATACGTCCCAGCAGGAGGTATTTTTGCCTCGGTGTTCACCAACTTGAAGTTATTGACAACGAGAACTGCTACCAATTATCTCCCTGGCCTTTCGGATACGTACGATATCATCACGCACTCTGTGCTGTTTATGCCACGTCCCCCTAGTGTGACCCATCCTATTCGTCCTTGATCTTGTCAAATTCGATCATCGCACTGTCAGGGGCCATGCAGTTGGTAAAAGTAAGCTTTTAAATGGGAAAATATCGTGAAGAGGAAGCACACTGTCCCCGGGCTGTGTGAAGCGGCAGTAGCAGCAGGCAAGTCCTCAGAGGCTCGTCTGTATTTTCCAGGTTTTTAATCCTCACCCAGAAGATCTCATTGATTAAGATTGCCCTCCAAAGGTTCAGCCAATAGCCAGTGGTGCATCTAAGACGCAGAGTCGCTCTTGCCGCAGCAGCCAGGCCGCAAAGTGCGTGCCGGTGTGAGGGCGGGTGCCTTCCTTCTTCGGCAGGCATGTGACGGTAAGGGCCAAACAGCAAAAGTCCACGACGATGAGGCCCAGCGTTCGGAACCGGATGTTTTTTACTTCGTTTTTTGTCTCTAGATTCAAGATTGATGCTTTGAGAGGGAAATACTCGAGAATCAGGCAAATTCATTTTGTCCACTTCAAACCTTCAATTTCCAATGGCGTCTCGAAATGTAGAGTATTTCGTAGAGTGAAACGAGGCCATTTTGGATTCAGTCATGTGACAGGCCTCCGTTGTTGCCTATCTTGGGGTACAATAATTCACTGCGAAGCAGTCAGGTAGCCTCCCTCTTCATCCTCGTAGAGTTCCCATTTCATCCAATTGCTGCATACCGTCACGCAACCATCACCTATCGACCTCTATCCATCCATAAGGACCGAAATACATCCAAAATGGCTTCTCCCACCTTCTTCTGCGCCAACTGGAGCCCTCAGAGCATTGATTGTGCGAATCAGGGCAAACGCGTCTGCACGGCCTGTCGTCTCGTTGCTGTAAGTCCATCAACCACTGCGTGTTGTGTCAACGCAAGTCGTCTAACTCTGTTAATCAAACTGTAGTACTGTGGTCCGAAATGCCAAAACGCTCATTTGTCTACCCACAAGAAAGACTGTAATTCACCCTTGCTCTCAGAAGCGTGGAAGCCCGGTTGGGTTCGACAGAATCGAAAGCCTGTATTTTCTGGGAAGATATTCGGCGTCGAAAAGTTCCTCTGGGGTAACATGCCTGCGATCGACATCCTTCGCCTCGAAGCAAATGAAGGAAAGGACTATTCCGGTGATTTGCGTTTGCTGTTTGCTGGTGAGTATCCTAAATACCCAAAATCCTTTAGACTGTGCAAGCCTGATATCGCAATTCCAATAGCTTCTGGTGATCTCCGTAACGTGATCAAGACCGTCCTCGGCCTTCCTGAGGCATATTCCCGCCCCCTGAGCATCACCATCAATGATGTGGATTTCGACGTCGCGGCCCGGAACACAATCATGATGATGATCGCGCTCACGGTCGAGCCAGTCGAAAAGGCCATTGACTGCATCATCCATGTCTGGTACTCGACTTTTGTGCGCCAATCCGACATTGAAATCCTCCAATCTTACGTTCGCCCCATGATTGAAGAGATGTGTGAGAAGATCAAGAGCAAGAGACTTGGGGCATACTCGAAGACATGGAAGCTCGACCGGGGTACCTTGCGAGTCGGCATGGAGAAGTCGTCCTGGGATCGGTTTCTATCCCTCCTGAGCAAGCCACTCAAGGTGTCTGTCGATCTGGCACGCACAATCCGCAAGAAGACTATGCTAGCCGCGTCCCGAGTAGACTATCGCGAGCGGACCATGTGTGCCCTGTCGCCGCTCCGACGAGCGGCATTTGCCAAGTTCCAGGAGGATGGGTTGCTGGTCCCATTCGGATACCCTCGCCATGAGTTCAAGAAGCCAAATCCGTGAGTGAAAACAGATTGCAAAGTGGAACGTGCTCAAGCGCTAACGTCATCTAGGACGTTCTTCCAGAACGCGGATAGATGGCCAATGCAGGACAGCGCTGAACCGCTGCAAGGATGGCCCGCAGAGGAGGTCGAGGATACCTCCAGTGGCCTCGCAAGCGCCGATATTTACGGCAAGCTGTTTTATTACCTGCGAAGTCAGCTGAAGGCCTTCCTAGGCCGACTCTCGGGCCTAGAAGCCTCCTTTACGGTTCATCAGTTCAACGTCACCGAGCTCCCGAAGTATATCGGGAGTGAAAAGTTCTGCCGGATCGAGGTAAGAGATCACAGGCCCATCGTAGCCTTCGTAGCGGGGCTGTAGTTGAAGTGATGTCTCGAACAATTAGCTCACATTGTATAGGTGTCCAACATCATGGACGAGAAATGGGTGAAGGTGGGTGGCACGCTTGGGCCAATGATGCCCTTGCTGCAGACACCCAACGAAAATCCCCACGCGACCCTCTTGGGCCTCTTTATGATGGCCGTCGACGATACCCGGACTGCGGAGGAGAGATCACAGCCCCCGATTGGTACTACAGTTGAACTGATGAAGCTGTATGTCCCGGCGCTTGCGGAGGGGGAGATTACCTCCCTGTATGACCCCTCGCTCATCAAAGTGGAACTTTCTCGGGGCCTTGTCGAAACTCACGATGAAATCTTCGACCAGTAAGAATAGGATGAAGATATTAGCATACCTAGAGTAAACAAAGCAGCTAACCTGTATCTTTTGAAGTTACCAGCGGAAATGGGAATTCCGTCGGGAAGAACGCCGCTCCGGCGCGATGATGAAGGACAAGAACACCATCATCGACAAATGGCCATATAAGCTGAAGCTTAATCCAAACAATCCAGCGGGCCGTGCGGAATTTGCCCGTCGTATCGGCGCAGGGCTCACTGGCAAGGAAATTTATGCCGAGTGGAAGAGAGTCCCTCCCCACAAGTGAATCCTCCAGTATGCTGGGAGTTGGCTTGGTGCTTTATTTCTCCTTTTTCTTTTTCCTTTCAATTTCTGAGACCAGCAATGGCAAATATCCTCGCAAACAGTTATTTCATGTTGCTGTTCTTGCTTTCTCAATCTAACGCCTCAATCATTGAGCATTGAACCACATTCATCAATCAGCTGTAGAATATGTACCTTGTGAAGGTATAAAGTACACGTGAAATTGAGACACGGCCGTTTTCGAACTGTGACGCGCCTATGCCGATGGAGTAAACTGTAGTAGTTTTGCGAAGGCTTTTTTTCTAAACCCATGTGAGATATGGCCTTTTCACAGTTAACCCTTCGAATCTAAACCTGAGAGGCATTTGAACTGTTTGTGAAATCCAATAACCAACAGAAAGCTAACTAGATAATTGACAAGTTCCTTCTTAACTTCCAGAAATTCAAGGTACACAATACGGCGAGCAAAGTATAAAAATCAAGTTAACAAAAAAATTCAGGAAGTAATATTTACCAATTCGCAGCCGGAGCAATTCCAACTGTTCAACAAGTCCACCGCCTCACCGTTTCTTGTTCCGATATCCGAAAGACGTCATATTTCTTTCTCTATTGAAGATACCGACGTATTCTTTGTAGTAGTTCGATCAATGCAGAAACCCACATGCTAATTAGGCACGCAGTCCCTAACACCGGGCTGAAGAGACACTGTGGTATTTCCTTTTCAGGATTAAGTATGTAACGCTCTTTTTGTAAATTGTTGTCTGCCCCGCCCTGCCTGATCCGCGTAACTTTTGCAGGCTTTGTACACCCTTTTGGAGGCCCTCGCGCTCCCAGTCGGATAGAGTATTTGCGTATGCGTCTCTAACATTCGACTCAGGCTTTGAGACTTCTTGCCACGGAGAGGCCTTTCTGGATGTACCACTGTACCGCTACTTCGGTGGGCAGATCCTCGATAGCTATGTGGACCAGAGTGATGCTCTGTTGGCATATTTGACGCGTTTCTTAAAATCAATAGGTTTCTTGCAGTGCCCAAGTGCCCCAAGGGACTGAATGATGTCCTTAATCTTCAGGGATGCTCTGGCTATGAACAAAGTTCAAATAACGAAACTGAAAATCGCTTGTAAATGCTTTTGATAGAATGAATATCAGAGAATTAAATAGTGGGTACTAGACAGCGCTGGCCCCTTTGCAGCAGGTAGCAGGTGGATCCCCTTCATTGATGTGTCCGACAGATCCAATGCCATTCATGCTCATGGTGTAAGCGGCGCTTGTAATAAAACCGGGAGCTGGAGTCAGGGTGACCTTCTAGGCGATATGAAAGGTAGGAAGGCTTCGCAAGGCGTGTTGATGGATCGGACAATGGAAAGATTCATATGTCAGAGAGACCGTATCCAAATGATGTTCCGATAGTGAAAAGATGAAGTTGCTGCGGAGCCTTGCGAATAGTCTCAAAGTTGAATGTGGGTTTTACGAAATGCTGAAGAAAAAGGACTTCCGATCACCCTCACACCTCCTTGTACTTGGAGTGGTGGGCATGGATAACGGGAGACCATGGGAAATGACCAAGAGGTACTGTGAAGAAACCATTGCTTCTGTCGAAAATGCCAGCAAAGGCGTTGTACCACGCAGCAAAAGCCGCTAGCAGACCGCAAATCCCCCCAGCCTGTTGCACTGATGCCAGGATCTTGCCGTGGTAGCCGCATTGTATGTTGGCAATACCCAGGAGGAGGTAGTTCATGTCGAGGAAGAAGAAAAGCAGGAACATGGCCAGACTTGACTTGAGTGTGCACAGCAGCATAATTGTGGTGAAAATGAACCATGCCTGCAAGGGCATCAGTATCCAGATGTTAATTAGTCCCTGGTTTATTTCTTACCATCATGAATAGCCCCATCAATGTCTCACTCTGGCATGCTTCGGCCGGTTCCTTGCTCGTCACCTGGGTCCCGTCGAAGTTCAGAAGGGCAAATGATACCCAGTATGCGCCGTACGAGCAGAATGATGTAGCACCGAACGTATTTCCGAGGGCCATTTCCCTGAGATTGTCAATATCATTCGGGATCAGGTGGATTCTTGATACACGCAAGAAAACTTCAAACCACATACCACATGCCAACAAGCACCTGGATGATGCCTCCGTAGGCCAGGGCCGAGGAGACATTTTCTCCAGCAACAGAAACCCCGGCAAACACACTCATGCCGTTAGATAGGAATGCAGTGAGTGCAAACCCACATAGACCAAGGGGAGCAGGATTGGCAAATTTTCGCACTTCTGACGGCGAAGGTCCTTGATCATGATGCTGTGGTGGTGGTGGTGGTGGTGGTGGTGGTGGTGGTGGTGGTGGCATTGGTCTTCCCACCGGCGTTCCAGGAGAAACCAGGGTGTAATCGTGATCGGTCTGTGAGGCGGCTGGGGTTTGGCTCTGGCTATCCAGACCGGTCTGGCTGCATATCTTTGCATCAGCCTGGGGCTGTTTTAGCTCAGCGACGTTAATAATCTGTTCCATTAATAAATGTTTCGCAAAAAGGACAAATAAGTAGACGCTGGGCTAAAACGCGATTAATGCAAGCAACAAGAAAGGAAAACAAGTGGTGGTTGATATTGAGCGTGCCAGGAAATATCCCACTCTTGGGCAATTCTTGGTAAATAACTACCCAAATTCATAGCCTTCACTAGCTTGATCGTCGGACCAAAGTTTGAAAACCTGGTTTCGCCACAAAACAAAAGGGCTTCATCATATTCGGAAAGGAAGACGGCGAGCGCCGGGGTAGCGTCATGTGCGCACCCCGAATTTGGTCTATGGGAGACTATATTTTCCGGTGCTACCCCACTGAGGGTCTGGGCCATTGCAGTGCGCGGGGGCCCGGGGATCAGGTTGCAATCCAAAGAAAGCTAGATCACGGGTAAGGCCGCGATGACTGCAAAGTATATCGTCTTGATTGACGAATGGAGACCGTGAACGCTGGTCTAGAGCACTCTAGAGCATCGTCGTCAGTATGCATGAACAGCAAGATCTGCACATATCCTCGATTGTGTAAAACGCACTCTTTGAATCATTGCTGACCGGTGACCGTCGGAGAGAGACTGGACGACGCCTGGGGCTTCCGGGGTGGCGCTTGCTATTTGCCCAGATCGCCGAGGAAGGGGGATTTCTGCCTGACTCGCTCAAACTGCACGCGCCGATCGTGTTGGCGAGAGTTTTTTGACGTAATTTCCCTATATTCTCCGAGTCCCATTTCGCGTCAGTGGTCACTGTCTCTGGCCACCTCGCATGCTCTTGCCCCCCCCTCAAGCTTTGATATCGACTATCACAAAGCGCTTGCTAGTCCATCTCGAACAATAGATATACCCGTTCTCTTGACCTCATACTGCATTGCATTCGCGCCTGCACCTGGACGAGGACTGATGTTGCAACGAAACTGCGGAGTGCGGCGGCTTCCGCAAAACAGGAACCCGCCCCACCGCCCACCGTGGTAGCCCCGACACCGGGCCAATCAACGCTTTCCGGGAACTATACGATCAGTCGCTATTGGGAAGCTTGGCGCGATGGCTGTTTGTGCTGGATGGCCGGGCTGTCATAAGCAAAAATTGGCCACACCTGCTCAGAAATTCGCTTTTGATATAGGATGTTCGGGATAACTCATCAGCAAAATCCATTCCGGTCTCTGTTTTGAGTGAGCATTGACAAAATCAACATGTCGGGAGGTTCCGAACACTGAACCACACAGATCCAAGATTTCCCGGAACCAGTCAGACCGCGCGGGAAAGTCTCAAACTTGCCGAGGCATTGCACAAACGAAAGCAGTCATCTTTCAGAGCCAACACGTTCATGGCGGATATGGACTGACGCAAGGATCGCTTGACAAAAGCTGGAAACACGGGGTCATATTCGTACCACCCCATAAACAAAGCAGGTCGGCATGGGACAACGGCAGAAGTCGCCAGGGGGCGAGTAGTGGGCAAATAAGCAATCTCATAAAAGTTTCTCCCTCCTAGAACCACGCTAAGAATAAGCTTCGCGCCGTGAGGAAAAAAGGTACCGGAGACCATGCAAAAGGTACAAGCATATCTCATCCCTGGAAATCGTTCTTAGAGATGTCACAACCATAAACGCTGGCTCTTACTTCATAATATCAATTTTGAGTGCTGGGTAGTTGTGGTTTTGGCAATATTCGGCACACGCCCGTTAGAGCAAGCACATTTCTGAATTTGCTTCAAACACACCCAGGAGTGGCTCATTTAATTTGTTCCAACCGAGTCCAGAGCGCTAATAGGATATCCAAACTACCTCAAAGACAATTAGGTGTTCGCGAGTTGGTGGCACTATAGTATGAAATGCTGAACATGATGTTTTCATTTTTGCTTTGGCAGACATTATGATCGTTGCCAGAAGGCATTATTGCTTTTCCGACATTATGAATATGAAGTAGACATTATTCCGCCTTGGATATTCTCATCGCCCCGAAAATGTGAAATTATATGGCCCGGTGTGCCTTTTTTTGGAGATTCTTCAACTTCCGATTGCCAAGGTGCTTGGCTATCCCTCGTTCCTATGGCCAGATCTTGTGACTTCGTCGCTGAGTCATGTCAGACGAAGAGAGGAAGGACCGGACGTTGACGTGATCGAGAAGGGTTCGAAGTGATGTTCAACCGCCCTTCGAGTAGAATATTATATGGTTCATCGCTCCAGGAGGACTGGATCAGTTGGAGATTCGCTCGCGACGGCGCTGATACCACTGGCCCACGGAACCGAACCAGCGGCCCTTGGGGCTCTTGCTGCGTCGCGGTTCGTCGTCCTTCGAGGTTATATTCGACTGGCCACTAGACCTCCGTGACACACTCGGGAATTTGATAGGGTCATCCAGCATGGTATTGCTCAGTCCAGTCCCGAGGTCGATGGTAAACACGCGGTCGGTTGATGGGGCTGGTGCTTCATCTTGGTGCGCTGGGATGCTTGTCAGATCTTCTGTTGTGCGATTGAGTAGTCCTCTGTGGGTGTGAACTTACCTAGAGCGTTTGCGGTATCCACAGCTTTTGGAGTTGTGACTTCATCGAAGTAGGGTCTGTATCGCTGAAAGCCTAGGAGGGGAACGAACTCGACAATCTCGTCGGCCATGGTGAAAGTGGATGGATTTGAGTTGATTGTAGAAGAGATCGAGTTGCTGCTGGAATGCTCGACTGGGTGTGAACTGATTTCTCGCTGGATTTATAGATGGGGGAGCTCAACAGCTCAGCTGGGCTGCATGGGGGCCATACTGCGTTGAGATTGGCGGCGGAACAAAGATGCCGTGCGACATTTTTTGCTTTGCCACCCGTCGCGCCCATCTTGGACGCGGTCTCGAACACAGTCGTGCTATGCGATAAGCAACATACCGCGGAGCTATCCATGACTCGTCGACCGCTACTGATATCTCTACCATACTCTCTTTGGCAACCTTCCAGACAAATTCTGGTCGCAGGTGGGCGTTGAGGGGCGCGAAGGTCCAATGAATTCGCCCGTGGGAAGCAGCCCTGTGGATGTACCAGGCCAATCTCGCCCTTATCGACTGGGTGTCCCGAGAAAATCACCTATCGCAGTTAGCTCCATCCAATATCAAAATTTGATAATGCAGCCGGCTGGAAAAGCGCGTGGGCGGCCGCGCCGTCTGTTCGAGCGAGCCTTATCGCCACCGCGAGACGACAACTACCGAGCACCACCAACCACAATGACTACTTGACTACAAGATGTTGAATGTCGATAGGGGGGTAGCATATGGAAAAAGCAAGATAGGAAGCTATCAATATCAGGCCGCATTGGGGCTGTCTGTGATCACCACGTCGACCCATGCGCAAATCTCGCACAGTCGGGTGACTCGCGGCCGCTTAATCGGCATCAGGCACGAGTGGAGACCGGTGTCTCGAACCCATCGACCGGCCCATCCCAGTTCTTTGGTACATCTGGCACTTGTCCCAGATAATTTTGGAAAAGGCTAGCCTAAATTGACGGTTTCTAAACCTCCTTAAGGGTTGGGCTCTGACCTCCAACGTATACCACGAGCACGCCAGATCATGGTAACGAGCGAAACACGTTGTTCGAAGACCCACCGTATCTGCTAACAACAGCTTTCGAGACAAAAGTCCCTCGACAAAGGCTCAAGCACTTCTACGTTCCGGGATGAACTCGGACTGAAATCGCAAAGAGGTTGGGATGACTTCGATATTCTTGAATCGCGGGTCGACTGCCATCGCGCTGCAACTGACACACCTAACTCTCGGAGAAAACATGACCCACGCGCAGTTCCCCTTCCCCCCAACTATGGACATTGACAGATCCCTTGTTCCCTTTTGAAACTTATCACTATCGAATTTATCTCATCTCCAAAGATCAGTGCAATCCACTGCGGCCGTGCTTGCATAACAGCTCTGCTGGCTTGAATATGGATTTGACGCTGCGCAACCAAATAGGCGCCGTCCACAGGGCAAGAGAAGCAGATTACCTTGACACTCCATTGGGGTCTCGGTAACGTGCGACCGGTACTGCGTGTTGAGCTGTCAATTCAGCAAAGCAGGGTACGGCTTTCCCTGCTCGGATGGCGACATAGGTACCGAAAACTCGATCCTCGCAATGCACGACGACCCACTTCGCTGCCCATGACCAGCCCAGCCCATAATTATCGCCCAACAATCTTTGTCCAGCCACATGCGTGAGTTCACTCCATTGACAAACACCCCGGCAGATTATTGTGAGCGATAATAATCGTTTCTACTTCAGAACGCTACAATTGTCTAATCAGATTTGACAGCTTCAGGTTCCTAAGGTCCTGCCACCTGGGCACACAAGGTCCGAATTTCTCGCATTTGTTGCTCTCTAGGAATTCACTCACCGGAGCTCTGGGTATCAGGCTTACCATATTTAGTTGTCTCTAGAATTGACCACACTGTCATTATGTCATATATCACTTCATCCCCTCCGCGCGCAATATCGCGTGTACCTATGTTGACCACATTTGAATCAAATATTCCCAGGTATGACAGATACACTGAAATGAGAATTGGGCTCGAGTGCATGGAGTAATCCATTTTGAACGGCATCCAATAGCATCGCCGATTGGCGACTGACGCAGGCTGGCGTAGTCCTGTTTCTCTACAAGTGGAATCTTTTGGTACTTGATGATGAGGACGAACAAAGTTCTCTTGCTGCTGCGACTTCCCAGAGTATATTCCCACATCTTTGATATCGTACAGAGTTCATCCCAAGTCATTACTAGTATCCCACTGAGTACCACACAATATCAAAAAAAAAAAAGAAAAGAAAAGAAAAGAAAATAAAAAGTTCTCTTGGCCCCAAAAGGTGCTGGTTCACTGCAGTCCGTGGCCGGCCGCGAGGATGACGGCTCTATCTGCGCGCATCTTCCGGAGGGTCTCTGCATCCCACATGACATACTCCCATGAAACCAGGGACTTTGGGATGTAGGCCCCGACTTTGTTGGAATACATGTCGCTGTTGAGCATCGTCCACGCAGGAGGTGGACAGAGACCCTCTGGATCAATATCCCTGTCTCCCTGGAAAAGCAGCGGGTCCATTCTCCTCTCTTTCGCGTCCTTCTCGGATGGGAAAAGGTTTTGTTTTGACCCCTGGTTTCTCCGCGTCAGAGTACGGCTAGGAGCCCACTTTTTGGCCGCTTTCTGCAATTGAGTGATGATTGTTCCCCGATTAGGGGGGCTGAGGACAACTCAGAGAAGCCCGAGGCCTTGGGATACATACCCATTCGCAATTTGCGAGCCAAGCGGGATTTCAACAAGCTGAGAGTTTGCCCATCCAATGTGGGAGAATATGAACTCCGGGATTAGGTCACTCGTTTCGGGATCACTGTCCTCGAATCTGAAGATATCTCTATTCATAATTCCCTTGTACTGACATTCGGCGAAGGTGACAACGCTGCAAATTTCTTCGATCTTCCATGAGCGGTACAAAACATCCAGACATCTGAGAATGTCCGTGCCGAAGATACTTCTGTGAATATCAGCTGCATTGTGGTCTGTAAAGGGCTGGCAGCCAATACCAAGCAAGTTTGCACAAAGGTGATATCGATAAAGGGTCCTTGTCACACGAGCCTCCTCGGTGGAAGTAAGACTTTGAGGAAACTCACCTACTCGGACCTCGGGCTTCCTTTCAAGATGGGAAAGAGCCCACCTGATGTATTTTCGGGTAAGCGGCATGACATTTCGTTCGTGGAACTCGAGCATCAAAGTCATACCTCGTAGGGTGAGAGCATGCGGGAACTTCGTAGGGTCGGCCGTGGGAGTGATGAGCTCGCTCCGGGGCCCGTGCATCAGGATTGTCGCAATTCTCTCCGGCGATGATGAGCGGCGGAGCTCTTGGAATTTCACACTGCCGCTCAGCATGGCCAGGTAATTGTCCTGGACGGTGCTTCCCAGAGTGTTTTGGAGACAGTAAGATAGGAGCAGTCGCCGACTTGTCGCGTATCGCTCTTTGAAGTTTTTGGATGCGAGAATCGCCGACTTCAAACTGGTATAGTCGACGAACGACAGGATTAGAAATTGAATTTATGCTGGCAGGGTCTCAAGAGTCGGCTCCCCCAGAAGGGGGCCAATAGAGCCCGTCGACATGGTTGGGTTACTCACCGAACAGAGGCGGAAAGATTTGGTGTGCGAGGATAAAGGTTGTGAAGGCCCTATTTGGACTGCTCACCATTGCGATGTCGCATCTGGCTGTGATGAAAGTAGAAAGAGAAGGCAGATGGGGGCACAACAGTAAAGTGCCCGTGGGCTTAGGTAAGTACTCGTTTAGGCAGGCACGTCCAACACCCAAACAAGGAAAGGCGGACCTCGACGGCAATTCAGCCAAGCTGGCTTTGTCACTTCTATGGAGAGACCGATGCCTCCTGTACCTCCTTGCTTTTTCCTAGACCTCGCACTGTATACTATAATACATTAAGCACCCAAGGTACATTGTATACTCTACCGTAGGGTACTGATCGACTCAGCGGGGCAGCATTGCGGGCCCACGCTTACCCAACGTGGTTTAGCATCGACCGATGGTCCCCGCATTCCTGAGCTTTCGTCACGCCGCATCGGGTCAGCTCCCTTTCGTCTCTCTCCAACTCCAACTCATTCCTGTCTACTGTGCGTATCCTCCACGGTGCTACCCTCAATTCTATCCTTCTCTCAGTCTCTCAGTTTACTTCTATCCTACCATTCTCACTTACTACATCACCAACATGGGTGGAGAAGCTCCCCATATTGCCCCCACCCCAGCTTACCACTCCCTTCCCCGCCTTGCCGAACGTCCAGTCGGCCAGCGAATCACCAAGATCTACACCGATCGACTGAAACAGTTCACTTCGACAGGCCAATATGAAGGCCAGAATCTTGTTTCCAAGTATTTCGAAGCCGTCAACTCGGATAGAGAACATGTCAAACTCTCGGTCTACTCGGTTCCGGACCTTCAGCGCCCGTCTTTCGAGGAGGCGACCTCCCACGAATTCACCCCTACTCAAATAGGAGCTTCCTTTGGTCCCAGCTGGTCCACCCACTGGTTCCGAATTCGCTTGACTATTCCCGAGGATATGCGCACGAAAGAACGACTCGAGTTTCACTGGGATGCTAACAACGAAGGGCTGGTCTGGACCGAAGATGGGCATCCGTTACAAGGCTTGACTGGCGGCGGAGAGCGGATTGAATGGATCATTCCTGACGGCTGGTGCGATGGCAAAGAGCATACATTCTACATTGAAATGGCCTGCAACGGGATGTTCGGCAACGCCCCTGGAGGCGACTCGATTCAGCCGCCCAACCCTGACAAGCAGTATACTCTCAGCAAAGCGCAGATCACCGCAGTCAACCTAGAGGCCCGGGCACTCTTCTATGACTTTTGGATCATCGGAGACGCTGCTCGAGAATTCCCTGCAGACTCCTGGGAGGCCCATGAAGCCAATATGGTCGGCAATGCCATGATCGACGCATTTATCGCCGGCGATGGTAACAACGACTCGATTCTCCAGGCCAGAAAGATAGCGCGTGAATATATTGGTGACAAGGTGGACTCCTCCGAGGTTTATGACCTCGATACGGCCCCTTTCGTCTACGCCATTGGCCATTGCCACATCGATACATGTTGGCTCTGGCCCTGGGCAGAAACCAAGCGCAAGGTAGCACGGTCGTGGTCAAATCAATGCGACCTCATGGACCGTTACCCAGAGCACCGCTTTACATGTTCTCAAGCACAACAGTTCAAGTGGTTAAAGCAATTCTACCCTTCTGTTTTCGACCGTGTCAAGCGATGGGTACGAAAAGGCCATTTCCAACCGATCGGCGGCAGCTGGGTAGAACACGACACAAACATGCCAAGCGGCGAATCTCTTGTACGTCAGTTTCTCTACGGTCAACGATTTTTCGAGGGCCATTTTGGGAAACGATGCACCACTTTCTGGCTACCCGATACCTTCGGTTACTCCACGCAAATCCCTCAGATCTGTCGCCTAGCTGGCATGAGCCGATTTTTCACTCAGAAGCTCAGCTGGAATAACATCAACAATTTTCCTCACACAACCTTTCAATGGGTCGCGTTGGACGGCAGCCAGGTAATGTGCCATATGGCTCCCGCCGAGACCTACACTGCGGAGGCACACTTTGGCGATCTCAAGCGCAGTGTGACCCAGCACAAGTCTATGGACAAGGACAAATCATCACTACTTGTATTCGGAAAGGGTGATGGTGGGGGTGGCCCTACTTTCGGCCATCTGGAAAAACTGCGCCGAGCCCGTGGTCTGAGTGACAAGATCGGTACCCTCCCGCGTGTAAAGATGGGAGATTCTGTTGATGACTTTTTTGATAAGCTAGAGGCCAACGCTACTAGTGGCACTGACTTTTCGACATGGTATGGAGAGCTTTATTTCGAGTTGCACCGAGGAACCTACACAACCCAGGCAAACAACAAGCGTAACAACCGCAAATCTGAATTCCTGTTGCGGGAGATTGAACTCCTTGCGACCCTTGCTACTGTCCGTGACTCAAGCAAGGAATATCGTTACCCGAAGGAGCAAATTGATCAAATGTGGGAGGGCGTCCTCCTTTGCCAGTTCCATGATTGCTTGCCAGGTAGCTCCATCGAGATGTGCTACGATGATTCAGACAAGCTATACGCTGAGATTTTTGAGATTGGAAGCAAGCTTCGCAAGGATGCTCTTGCAGCTTTAGGACTTACTGGCCAAAGCAAGAGCGAGGGCCTTTTTGCCTTGAATACCTTGCCCTGGCCTCGCTGCGAGCTTGTGAAGGACCCAGGTGTCTCCACTTCAGATGCTGACAGCTACTTCTTAGTCAACGGCGCTCCCGGTGCTATCGGGGCTCAGCGCGTTGACTTCGAAACCACTGCCGCAGTCACTGTTTCTGAGATCCAGCCCGGCCTTTTCCGACTGTCCAACTCTAAGCTTAAGGTCGATGTCCAGGACGGTGTGATTATCTCACTCTTTGATATTAAAGAAGATAGGGAGATCATAGCCAAGGGTGGCAAAGCTGGTCAACTTGTTATCTTTGATGACAAGCCCCTTTACTGGCAAGCTTGGGATGTCGAGGTTTTTCACCTTGAATCCCGAAAAGAGCTCCCAAGTGGCAAGACTGTCATCGCAGAAAGTAACCGCCACAGAGTGAGCGTTGTGACTGAGACAAAGATCAGCGATAAAAGCTGGATCAAAACATCGATCAGCCTCACTGCGGCGGTGTCCTCTGAGCCATCCTACGTCGAGTTTGAGAGCGAGGTGGAGTGGCGGGAGACGATGAAGTTCCTGAAGGTCGAGTTCCCAGTGGACATCACCAACACAGAAGCGTCTTATGAAACTCAGTATGGCATCGTCCGACGTCCTACTCACTACAATACAAGGTTTGACTTCCCCCAGCCCTTTATTGATTCTGATGCTGACTCTCTTTGTCTAGCTGGGATATGGCAAAGTTCGAGGTTTGCTGTCACAAATGGGCCGACCTCTCCGAGAATGGCTACGGTGTATCAGTCCTGAACGACTCTAAGTACGGCTTCGCTACCTGTGGTAACCTAATGCGCCTCTCCCTCTTACGCGCCCCCCAAAGCCCCCGACGCTCACGCCGACATGGGCCGCCACCGCATTCGCTACGCAGTTCTCCCTCATTCTGGCGCGCTCGATGCTCGAATCGTTCGAGCCGGGTATAACTTCAATCACCCTCTGGTTCTTGAAGCGGGCAACCCACAGGCCATGGAGTGTAATGCTGCTTTCCAGGCTGTGTCGATTCAAGGTGCGCCGTCTCTTGTCCTGGACGTCGTCAAGCGGGGCGAGGATGATGAGGATGTTTCGACGGGTGATCTTCCTGCGCGCAGTGGGAAGAGCATCGTCGTACGTATCTATGAGTCTCTTGGTGGGAAGGCTCGTGGTTCGATTCATAGTGGATTGCCGATTCAGAAGGTTTGGAAATGCAATGTCCTCGAGGATGATGAGGAGGAGTTGCAGACAAAGAAGGCAATGTCCGGGAATGCTGTGCAATGTGATATTGAGCTCAGGGCTTTTGAAGTCGCTACTTTCCGACTGCAGCTTTGATTTAACTCTTTCCTTGGCTCGGTGCAGTCGAGCTTTTGCCAATGACTTTCGTTTTAGGCTCACACTGTCTGCTTCTAGCATAGTTCCTGTCCAGAATATGTATATATTTTTTCCGCTTCAGAACAGATATTTGAGTATCTCATCGTATGACACTTTCCTACCTTAAATCCTACACTATACCTGCAATGAGTGATTGAACAAGTTATGGCTTTAAGGGATTTTGATGAATCGCGTCTTCTCAAAATGCAGCAGCTTTCATTGATGCTTGCTCCCAGCCCACTCCGATTAGTGTGGTCGTTATTCTCACGTGATGCGAACGCACGATTGTTTCAAGTCATCCCTTACGTAAATTACAGGGTTCGTGCCGGGAAATGCCTGTAACAGTCGATAAAATACGTACATAGCGGTAAGCCCTTTACCCAGCCGTCAGGGTAAATACCGCTTGCCTTCCCGATCTTCTCTCTTCCTTCTCTCTCCTCCAGCTCTCTTTGCCTTTTGGCTTAAATCAAGTGTAGTATCTGTTCTTTTCAGTTTAATCTCTGAAAGTCTTCTCCAGAAGACATTTTGATTATTATCAATCTTTGTCCTTCGCGACCTGGCCTATGTGCTTTGCGCATGCCTCGTCGCACCGTGTCATCAGGCTTACACTACCTCCGATCGACGTGACCCTCTTTTTTCTCATCAACTGATCGACTTGTCGGTCACTTGGAGAAGAATCATTATCGTTAATGTGTCGATTGGCATAAATGTACCCCTAAGCTGCTGGGATCCACACTCACGTAGTTTGGAGGTGTCATCCTCGCCCAACGCCTTGGGACCAGGTAGTGTTCCTCGCTGAGTGCGGCTGAGCGCGGCGCATCTCTACGTACCACCACTGCAGCAACCTTATTTTGATATGCATCTGCCAGCAGAGAAGGACTCTCGCCGTGCCGCCGACAAACACGTCTGCCTCAGGCATACTGCATGTCTGATCAAGCTAGTTAGTACTGGGCAGTGCCGATGTCTTTTCTCAGAAGTTTAAAATTGTTCCTACGCCATTTGAAGAGGTTGAGGAGAAGAGGTTGAGGATACCGGTTCCTGTACGAGGCTACAAACACTTACTCGGACAAAGTGACGCTTAACATGGCAGTGTATGAGCTTCACCGAAGGCAATTAAAAAAAAAAAAATTGACACTTCCGGAGGGATTCAAAACATCTCATTACATAGGTCAATATTGCGCTGGCGATATGCGAGCCTTGACAGGAAAATTAAGGCCGAGTGGACTATGAAAGCCTCTCGTTCTTTGGTGGCGCATTTTTGGAGTCGCTATAACATCAAAAGCCCCACAGATGAGGCAAGTTATGACGTGCAACAGAGCCTGGCAGTAGGGCTGACAAGTTTTCAGGATCAACTTATGCCAGATTCGGTGTTTGATCAACATTGCTGTATTGCTTTTAAGGTGCCAAAGCTCTAAGAGCGAGGCTTTGCGGAGAACCAAAGTCTTTCACTAGTAAAAGCTTGAGTGGTTACATTTCGAAGAAACTCTGGCCATTGATCACTGATGTTCAAAGCGTAGCGTATTGGATAATGTACAAGGAATAAAATCACCGTAAACCCTCCCAGTCCCAACACCAAGGCTTTGTTTCAAGAAACTCCAGAAGAAAATCTCCATACCAGCCCAACTCCGTCCGAATAAGAAGTGTAAAATGCAATGATAGGTAGAACAGCCATCTAGTCTCTCCCATAGCTGACCTTCAACCTCTTAGTGGGTTTATCCTCATCCGAAAGCTCCTCCGTCTGATTTTTGCCCTTGGTATTCTTCGATCCACCGGAAGACTTTTTCTTGTTCTTGGACGAGCCGCTGTTGGTCTTAGCGGCAGCAGAGGCAGAGTCTCCGTTGCTCTTGTTCGAAGGCGCGTTGCCGCCGGGTGTGGAAGTAGGTGTTGCGGCGTGGGAGGGAGTCGTCTGCGCAGATGACGGGCCAGGTGAATCCTTATTGGATCCCAATGTCAGTCTCTTCCTTCTGGGATATCTTCTGGAAGATGGTTGGGCTGGGGCGTTTCTCTCACTCACCATCATGTAGCTAGCGGAACTCCGCGAGAAGACCCGGTCCGCATCTGTGACCTGTGCCTTGCGCCGTCCACCGACACCAGATCCCAGACTGAGACCTGATGCGCCGAGACTTGAGCCACTGGAGGATCCTTTGATGTAGTTGTCGAATCCTTTGATGATGTTTCCTGCGGTTGTTTCTTCAAGATATGATTGCTCGAACCGGTAGATCTGATCCTCGAGCTGGGCCTACAGTCATCAGTGTTAGCGCATGTAATTCGTAACGGACTTTGAAAAAAAAAAAAACCCCATTTGCAACAGCGACGCGTACTTTTTCCCCAAAAGGCGAGCGACAGCCTCCGGGGTCCAGGGACTTTAACATGGCCACTGCGGGTTCTGCGACTCACCATGCTCTTGTCCATCAGCCGCTTCTTGCTGATTGTGTCCCGTAGATCCCGTCGCAGCCTCTCATAGTATGGCAGTCCGCGACTGTTTGCATTCGAGTCGGCGGCCGCATTCGGGGCTCCTGCGGTTGTACCATTGGCTGGTGCGGCGGGCGCGTTGGTGGTGGGCGTGGCCGCCGGGGCGGGAGCACTCTCGGCCATGGTGCTGGTCGTATTAGAATTCGGAGCAGAAACAACCTCGGTCTTAGCTGTATTCAGTCTGAAAATGCAGTGGTGAGTGGAGACTGGGTGTTGCAATTGCGGGATTGCGAAGCTCAGGTCCGATCGCAGCCAAATATCGCGGCGCCTTATCGAGGATGTTTGTCTTGTTTGCAGTGCGGTGGTGTCACGCATTGTGAGCGGATGTTTACGTCGTGTTGTTCTCTCATCCTCTTGGGTTCTTTTCGATCATCGTCTTGATCGTTTGATTCTCTGATTCTCGCTTTCACTCAGGCACTCGCTCACAATGGATCACTCCATGCATGCCATGCACGACATGGGCCACGGCCACACCGGCCATGGCGATATGGATATGGACATGGGCCAGTGCAACATGAACGCAAGTACTCCTACACTTGAAATGGACCTGATAGCTAACCTCTCTCATTCTCTGTAGATGATATTCACCTGGTCATCAGAGAACCTGTGCATCATCTTCCGCCAGTGGCGCATTACCGGCCCCCTCTCCCTTATCCTATCGCTCATCGTCATCGTTCTCCTCACGGCCGGCTACGAGGGCGTACGACAAATCACCCGTAAATACGAAGCCGCTCACAATCAACGCCTCAATGCATTCGTCGCGACTTCATCCACTTCTGGTAAGTATCCCCCTCTCCCATCCCTTCCTCTTATCTCGGTGGATACGGACAATATCGGGAAATGCTTGGACGGTGATGCGGCTGGCTTGATGTTGGTGTAGGATGGCAGTGATGATCACACATTTCGCCCCCCTGTTTCTGGCTTCATGCTTGAGCAAGCTCTCATTTATCTTTGCTCTGCAGACGATGGGATCCCCCAGCCCGCTACCGCTAATGTCCCCGCCGCAGCTCGTCCATCCGTTACTGGCGAAGGCTCACCACTGCTTGTAGGACGGGATAACAGAGCCGCTGTCGCACGGCAGGGAAGATTTACGCTGGCTGCTTTGTATGCCATTCAAGTCTTCTACAGCTTCTTCATCATGTGAGTTGCCACTGCCCATGTTATAGGCCTTCTTACTAATGCGTTTATTTCCAGGCTTCTTTTCATGACCTACAACGGCTCGGTCATGCTGGCTGTTGCGGTTGGCGCATTTGTTGGGTACCTACTTTTCGCTGACGGTACTCCGGCTTCCAAGACTGTTGCCTGCCACTGATCATCTCGGAAAAATATCTCAGCCTGGCGTTCACGGTCTCTACTAAGCTCTAATCGATCCTCTTTCGCACGGATTCGACTTACCGGTCTTTGTGGTATTACCACGTTCATGATAGTCGAAATTCAACATTATGAGATGTCGTTTCACATTTTGAGTGCTAGACTCGCTTGTTGGGTCCAGCTCTAGTGTTACTAAGTACATGAAATGCGCGAGTTAACACAGGCATCCCGGTGTTTAGTTTGGTAGGACTACTCTGATTGCTATGGTACACTCTGAAGCTCCCCTTGTGGCGTGGTATTGCAAGGCTGCAGATGTAAATGATAATCGTTCTATATGTGGTATCTTGTTCATGGCACTTCAACATCACTATCGTCTCCAAATCCAAAGCTGAAACCTCCAGCATTTTGTTCTTCTGTCTCTCCTTCTGCCTTTCCATGGACAATATCGTCCCACTTGCGCTTCTTTCCCTCTGCTTTTTTCTGCAGCTCCTCCAGGGCTTGCTCAAGGAGCTCAGGGTATGTCTCACGCATGCCGCTGATAAACTTCTCGTATGGGTTAACCACATTCTTGCGGAACCCTGAGACTTGATCGGCCTTGTTAGACAGAAAGTCGAGGGCTGCACCGAGATGCGCACGGGGAATAAAGTTCTGAGTAATGGCAATGGATGCTTCAAGATTTACGACCAAATGCCACCAGCCCGAGGGGACGTGCAGAATCTCTCCTTCGCCACAGATACCTTCCATGCAGCCGGCAGTACGTCTTGCCTCTGCATGAAAGTTGAGAAGCCACTCCGCGATACTTAGTGGCGAGGTCACTTCGCTCTGATCATCCGATACATACACACCGGGTGGCGGAGGTCGCTTGTCGCCGGAGGGGAACATGATCCAATACTTTGGTCCACGGATGACTGCATTCCACGCGCTTGTGGCATTGGGATCCTTGTGGAACTTGCTTCCCGATCGTTCCGGCCCGACGATGAGCCATTGGTGATCGGGTCGGTCACTTCCTACGACCGAGAACAGATCTTCGGCGAAGCAGGCTGGTGGCCAATACGCCGCGTTGGGAGTTGACTCCGGTGCGCCGACAGCCAACCCCATTTTGGAAACAAATCCACAGTCGAATAGATACAGAGGACTCTCATCCGCGTTGTCGGCCATGTAGTCACCGTAGGTTCGCAGGGGCCAGTCCACAGCCTCTGCGCGGAATGTGCCCTGGCCGTAGCGGCCCAACAGGGTGCCAACGGTCCAGTCCTTGTAGACGGGCCATGACTTGACGGGTTCGGTTAGAACAAAGGGAGTGTCAGCCCATTTCTCATGAAATTCTCCTGGTGAGAGGTCTGACAGTCGCGGGATTTGGTTGCGTGCAGGGATCTTGGTGACATAGGGATCTAACACAATGTGGGCGCAATTGAAGGGTCGGTAGAGTGCATCGGAGTACAGATGGGAGCAATCCACCATGGGCACTTTCGAGGCAGGCAAATTGAGATAGGTGGATCGCCAAGATCCTCGCCAAGTGAATGTTGCTGGCGGCGACCTGTGACTCAGTTTAGTGTCATGCTTATATGCGAGGTCAAAGGGTTGTCGGCACTTTGAGTCGATCAAATGCCACTTGAGCCGCATCCGCACCCACCGTGGCTCCGCCCCCACGGATATATAGTTCCGCAGCCACGTCTCATCATTATGCGACCAGTCAAGTGCTAATGACCTGACTCATAGTAGAAAGGAGTATCTTACCCGACGAAAAGAGCCTTCCACAATTCTTCCGCCCGTGTGAAGGCGTAGAAGGCTTTACATGTGCGCCCGATCCGTAGAAGACTGGGGGCGTCCAATTCTTCCAATAGTAGTAGAATTAAATCGTCTGGCAGCAACTGGAAGGATCCGATGGCGCTGCGGAGACTCCACGAGGCTAGCAGGGCGTTGCCACTAGGCTTGACGCCCAACGGATGGCTGGGGATGGCCTCATCGCCGTGATCCCCGTCTTGGGCTGGTGGATAAATCGGTAGCGTTGTGATGTCAGGCATTATCCGCCACTCTTGGTTAGGGCTTCAAGTTTTTTTTTTCTGCCGGCCCGAGCACTCCCCCACGGCTACCGCAAACGAGCGCAACAACCAACGAGGGCGATGACAGAAAAAAAAGAAAAGAAAAGAACAAGCAAGGCCCACAGAACGTGATCCAGTAGTAGTCACGGCGAGGCGAGAACAAAGCAGTCATTTGGGGGAAGGAACAATGCTCGCTTGCGGGTTGCCCCACAAACGGCAGGCGGTGAGGTACCCGCCCACCTTGAAAAAAAAAAAGCGTCGCTGGCAAATAGCGGCCGGCCGGCAGTCGATTTTTTTCTTCTTCTTTCCCACCTCCTTGTGTCTCCATACACATCTCACTCACCACACACCTTCACCCGTAGTATCTGTCGCGCTCTTCTCCTTTGAAGAGCCCTGATACTAGCACCTACTCTCAGCGAACCCCACTCCGTTCGCTAAAAACTCTCACCCCACCACGATCACAGCGACAAGTCGCCTGTGATCAACTTCCCTCCAACCGCCAACATGTCGAACGATAAGGGTCTTGAGGACCTCCCCGAGGGTATGTGTCCCCTTCTTTCTGCTTTTCTTGGGATATTGTCTTCTGTCGCGCTTTTTGGACCCCTTGCGGTTAGAGTGGCGACTGTCAAAAGAGAACCCCCCTAAACCCACAAGCGATAAGAACCACGCGGCTAATACTGGTTGCGCCTATGTACAGGTCAGATCGAGTCCAACTATGACGAGATCACCGACTCCTTCGACTCCATGGAACTCAAGCCTGAGCTGCTCCGCGGTATGTGACATCGTTACCACCCGTCCCGCCCATGGCGGGGTATGCAGAAACTTCATTTACTGACGACCCCCAGGTGTCTACGCCTACGGTTTCGAGCGTCCCTCCGCCATTCAGCAGCGCGCCATCATGCCCATCATCAAGGGTAGGTTTCCCCTCCTGGAATTACACGATGTACTTGAAGATCGGGCTCTAATCTTGCGATACAGGCAACGATGTGATCGCTCAGGCCCAGTCCGGTACCGGAAAGACCGCTACCTTCTCCATCTCCGCTCTCCAGAAGATTGACCCCAACATCAAGGGATGCCAGGCTCTTATCCTTGCCCCTACCCGTGAGCTGGCTCAGCAGATCCAGAAGGTCGTTGTTGCCATTGGTGACTTCATGACCCTTGACTGCCACGCCTGTATCGGTGGTACCAACGTCCGCGAGGATATGACCGCTCTCCGTGAGGGCCCCCAGGTCGTTGTCGGTACTCCCGGCCGTGTCCACGACATGATCCAGCGTCGCGTCCTCCGCACCGACCACATGAAGCTCTTCATCCTCGACGAGGCCGATGAGATGCTGTCCCGTGGTTTCACCGAGCAGATCTACGACATCTTCCAGCTCCTGCCCCAGTCCACCCAGGTTACCCTTCTGTCCGCCACCATGCCCCAGGATGTCCTCGAGGTCACCACCAAGTTCATGCGTGACCCCGTCCGTATCCTGGTCAAGAAGCAGGAGCTTACCCTTGAGGGTATCAAGCAGTTCTACATTGCCGTCGAGAAGGAGGAGTGGAAGCTGGACACCCTCTCCGATCTGTACGAGACCGTCACCATCACCCAGGCCGTTATCTTCTGCAACACCCGCCGCAAGGTCGACTGGCTCACCGACAAGCTCACTGCTCGTGACTTCACTGTCTCCGCTATGCACGGTGACATGGAGCAGGGCCAGCGTGATGTTATCATGAAGGAGTTCCGCTCCGGTTCTTCCCGTGTCCTGATCGCCACTGACCTTCTGGCCCGTGGTATCGATGTTCAGCAGGTCTCCCTGGTCATCAACTACGACCTTCCCGCCAACCGTGAGAACTACATTCACCGTATCGGTCGTGGTGGTCGTTTCGGTCGTAAGGGTGTCGCCATCAACTTCGTCACCGCCGACGATGTTCGCATGCTCCGCGAGATTGAGCAGTTCTACAGCACCCAGGTCGAGGAGATGCCCATGAACGTTGCCGACCTCATCTAAACACCCTAACACCTTTTATGTCTTGATGCGGATTACGATCGCAGAACCTGCGTCAAAAGTGGCTTTCTGTGTTTCCCAACGCATTTCCGCACGCAGCTGGCCTGGTGGGGTCAGTCGATGACTGTCCTCGGTGCAATGAGACGAGATTCTGCTGGCCTCGGGTCACTGCTATGGTTTCCTATGTCCCCTGCACTTCCGGAGATGTGACATGTTTATGCGTTTTTGCTGTCACGGTTTTCCTTTTTCTGCATTTTCTCTCCGTTTCCTCTGTATCTAGCTCGCTCTGGTTGGTTAAGGACGCCGATGTTAAGATACTTAATCAAATAGATCGGGCCAAAATGTGACTTGTTCCTCACGGTGTTGTTTTTCTACAAGGTAGAGTAAATGGACTTAAGCGGCATACAACGCGGGATTCTTCCTATTCTCTGTGATTTTACGGGGTGGCTGCCCGCTGCCTCAGGCTGCTGCGCGTTTGTCGTCCTGGTCAACGGGGTTCCCCGTTGTACTTCGCTTCATTCTCACTATCCATCCACCCACCACCAACCTTCTTCATCCCTCACCCCCCAGCTCCCTTCGTGCACGTCTAAGTTTGCTCAACGCTTGATTCCATTCCAGGTCAGTATGCCCGCAACATGTTTTGATTGGTCTCTTTCCAACATTCGGCCTCCAGTTCTCTCAGGTCCGTGGGCGATTTCGACGGCCCACCATGGCCTCGTCCGCAGAGATCGTGGAGGGTGTGCCCACTCCAGTCCTGCGCCTGCTCCCCCCGGTGACTCTGCTTCATAACTTCGAACTGCAACGCCAGAACCAGCACATGGTTCATTTCATCTCTCAGCTGCAGGAACAGCATCAGTTGAGCGATCATCTTACCGCGAACATCACGCATGCGTTCCGACTCGCGCTGCGACGCGATCTTGACACTCTCATAAAGTTTGGGACCTTGATAAAAGACCAGCTGCGAGGACGCGAGGTTCTTGCTGACCACTTTAACGCTTGGGCCGAAGCAGCTGCGGCTCTCCGCCGCCTTGGATTTTCACGGCCCAGCCAAATTCCCACCGAAGCGTCGGTTCTCGAGCAGCAATTGCGTCGGTGCGTTCTGAATCATATGAAGTACGGTTTCCAGCATCTCTACAATGAGTACAATGGACAGCATGATCAGATCATTGATACTGTGTACAAAGCGCTCGAGAAACGCTTTGGCAGTACACTCGTCAACGAAACCGTTCGCGAGCTCCGTGAAGCAAACAATCTTGTTGATCTGTCAGAGGTACATCGCCTTCTTTTGCCCAAGGCTTTGCACGAGTCCTTTAGGACTCGCGAGGCACCTGTCTCGACTTCTCCTAGCCTCGGCATGGATCAGCGCATGCCTCGCTACCCAAAGAATAAGAAGGCCGCCGTTCCACTGAATTGCCCTGTCGACCTCTACGAACAACTTTCTGTGGTCATGAAACAGGGCGGCATTCCTATCGCGGACTACTTTGCCATTGCCAGCCATGTCTGTCGCATAAAGCAGCAGACTCACCCGGGAACCGAGATGGCAATCATTGATGCCTTTATCGCCGGAATAGACAACGAGCTTTACCGCCGGCGAATGGTTCACTGGCTACGTAAAGGAAGATGGAACTGGGAGGCCGTCTCTCAGTACGTCGAAATTCTGAGTCGTGAGGAAATCTACTTGGCCAATCAGGAGTATGCCCTTCAGCACCAACTTGAGGATGGATCGGTTCTTTTGCCGAATGGAAGCAGAAGCTACCGCTTCACTTTCCTGCCGCCTATCAACGATGAAGATCTTACTTCCAGTGATGAAGAGTGAGGATATTCAGTAGGCCCATCGAGTATCTCCCTCTTGCTCACCCAGAAAAAGGTGTGTGCTTTTTTCGGCTCTGATTTTTATTTCATGAGGGGCGGGGGGCGGTTATGTCGGGGACCGTGCCCAATGCATCTACGGAGTGTCTGTTTCGAGAAATTCTGATAAATGGAAATTCAATTCTGAACCACTCAAATATTCTCATGCATAGTGTGATAATGAAACTGGTATATTGAAAGTAAATGAAACTGTCTACCTACCAGTCATACAGCCTTTGCGGATTCTGCACCATCAATGTATGCCACTCCAGATCTGTCAACCATGATCGGAGATTTCTCAGCCAGGCTAGATCGTCCACTTGTAAGTATGGTATCTCTGCCAAAGCTTCTTCCCTCGTGCGAACCTTCATCAAAGGTGTATGCGGCCTAAAGGATTCGAACTTAGCATCACCGATTCACGCTCAGCACTCTTCTACCTCTAAACAGATGGAGTATTTACCAATCACTACCCCAGAGAAGCTGCTGCGGATTCGCATCAAAGAGCACTCTCACAAGGGGTCTCAGATCCTCAAAGTCAGGAGCCTGGGTGCTCACTCGGTAAGGTCCACTGATCTTCACGAAAAGATGACCAGCGCGTACAAGACCCAAGACTGCCTGGAATCCTTGCTGCCGAGTGAGATCACCTTCACATTCCTCTGGCAACATACTAGCCCCTTTCAGTAGTGCAAAGTGATCAGTGACCAGCCGAATTCCTCGTGAAACAACGTCTCGCTCAATGACGGGCTTCAACTCTGCCCAAAATTCCGGATGTGTATGTGTGAAGGCCATACTCCATCCGGTAAAGTGACCACTCAGAGCCCTGGCGTGAGCTGAAAGTGTAGCCTTTTGCAGCTCCAGATCGTGCATTGCTCCGTATCTGTAGATGTTCACTCTAATGCCACGGATGCCATTGTTATGCATTTTTTGCAGCTCGGCTGGTATTGTGGTCTCGGGGTCGATTACTGCGATTCCCCTTGTGACATTTCGACCAAGGTCGGATGTGAATGCGTTGAGACACCTGCTGTCTGCTCCGTAGGAGAGACCGTGTGTCAAGACTGAGTGCGACAATCCTAGGCTTTTCTTGAAGTCATTGTATTTCTTAGTCGAGGCTGGGGGCGGAGTGAGATGGCGGTTGGGGTCATAGGGGAATCTTTCAGCTGTGAGGAAAAGGAAATCAATTTAGCGTGACCGAGGAGGTTGAAGGGCAGTGACTTCTTGATCTTACGCTCAAAGATGTGGTGGTGGACATCCCATCCGCCATTTGGGAACAACTGCGAGGACATTTTCGTTGCCGAGTTATGCGCTTGAAAGATGTGGAGTGAGACGGTCGTAGCAGTAGTTCTTCTATCCTAGTTTTCGTGCATCTGCATAGAAAATGGGGTGGTAGTCGCCAGCGTGAAGATAGGGAAAATATACCGGGGCTACTAATAGTAGTCATCCCGGGGCTGCCCTGCAGCTTCATGGCTGGCCCAATGGATTGACACCCTTTGGTCGGCGTCATACGGGACAGAAGCGGGAAAGAGGGAGGAACCCATTTGCTCCCCACCCGTCAAAATTCCGGCCAATTCGTGTAGTATGGGGAAGTGTTGGAGTCGGACATGCCGAAGTATCCCAGCCTGGCGCACTCCGGGTGGGTCTGGGGCGCTCCGGGACTTCAGGACCAACCGAGCAACCAACATCCGCCGAATTGTGCTCTTCATCTCGGCCACCACCCGAAGTGTCTGCCGAGCTCCGATGGAGGCACGGTGGTGGCGGTTTCCTTGGTCACAATTGCGATTTCGCAATGTCGGACTGTTCCCCTCCGCGCTCGCAGTGGGTGCGCAGCTTGTTGACCTACGCTCGGCGGTGCGCGTTCGATCAGCGCCATGACGCAATTCATATATGCTAATGGTCTGCTAGAGGCAGGAACAAACTGCTGTGGGTATTCTGCTTTCAAAGGGTAGCTCGACTGTGCACCACCATGTCTTCTCGGAAGCAAGTAACGCCGCTGCAATCTATCCTGGCTGGGGGAGCTGCCGGGGGCTTTGAAAGTTTGATCACGGTATGAGAGGCACGACTCAGAGGAACACAGAGGAACAGAATGATATACTGACATATTACTACGCATTATAGTACCCTACCGAGTATCTGAAGACCCGTCAACAACTGCTTCAGCCCGGAGCTACGGAGACACAGTCACTTGTACGCTTGTTGACATCCACTATCCGGCAACATGGAATCAGTGCCCTCTATACCGGCAGCGGAGTATTCTGCTCCTCGAATGCCTCCAAGTCAGCAATTCGATTCTTCACATTCGACCTAGCTCGAGGTTCCATGCCGGCTGATACAGCGGGCAAGGTGACACCCATCGGAAACATGTGTGCTGGTTTGCTCGCAGGCGTGGCAGAGGCCGTTATCGTAGTGACACCGGGAGAAACTATCAAAACCAAGATGATTGACGACCGAGCTGGTCCGAGGCTGTATCGATCAACTAACCATGGAATCATTTCCATTCTCGCGAAGAATGGATGGTCGGGACTATACCGCGGCGTTATTCCAGTGACATTGAAACAATCGGCCAATGCGATGGTACGATTCACGAGTTACAACATATTTTTGAACCAGATGGAGGTCTTTTCGGTCCCCAATTCGGCCGGTACAGTCCTTGCAGGTGCCATGGCAGGCGTCGTTACGGTTTATGCCACCATGCCGTTCGATTCCATCAAGACACGACTACAGGCAATCGATGGCAGTACACGATATCGAGGCTCACTAGACTGCCTTCGTTCTGTGGTTACCCAAGAGGGGACTTCTGCCCTGTGGCGAGGAACTACGCCACGGCTAGTTCGGCTCAGTGTGAGTAATACTTAGTGTTATGTGGTCTCCCATTGACTTTCCATGACTGACAATTGGCTTCTAGGTTTCGGGCGCACTGAGCTTTTCTATATACGAAGGCGTTATTCAGTGGACTAACACTTTGTTGATTGACAGGTCGGCGGAAGCTAAGACAGCAAATTTGTAAGATATCTGAAGTTCTTAAATCAGGTCTTAGTTTGGAGACCCCGAGCAGTAAATTGTGGAATGTTTCAGGAACAAATGGGGTTTAATCTCTGGATCGCAAATTTCGGTAGACGGCCACGTAAGAGGCCACAATAGCGGGAGCCTGAGATCGGAGAAATATCCACAGACCCCGAATTCCGAGAGCGCTTCGCACCATTGAGGGTTCAATCTGCCGACAGGGTACTAGGGCTGAACCGGTTGTTATGCGACCGGCTTTTACCCCAGAAACTATCGGTAGGCCAAGCCTTTCCCCACAGGAGAAACTTTCCGTCTTCATCCCCCATCGCCTCTACAAAACACCCCAGCTGTCGTCCTAGGATGCATCCCACGAGACCTCTAGAGTGCTGAGAAGGCTTCTCCGACAGCGCCGCCGTCATGGCTCCCGAAGATGGCAGTGCCCCGCCTCCGAGAAAGGTCCGCTCGGCATGCCGCCGATGCCGGCAGAAACGTGTGAAGGTCAGCATTCTAGTCGTTGTGCTTCCAGCAGCAGGTTGACGATACGATTTAGTGTGATGGTGGTATTCCTGCCTGCAGCAATTGTGCCCGAGCAAAAGTCGATTGTATTGATGTCCACACTGGCAATAACGAGTTGTCTATCCCACGAGAGTGAGTCAACCTCACACGTCCTCGGCCTCTCTCTCAGAGCAAGGGACTCTTATTTTAGATGACGTTCTTGGCTAACCCATTTGCAAAGCTTTGCTGTAAGATGCTGCGCCCGTATAGAATGGCTGGAGCAGCAGTTGGGAACGTTGTGCCCCGATTTTGACTTCTCGCAAGGCCCAAAGGTCAATGCTGACTTCATGGAGACGCTGAACGCGTCCCGTGATAGCCAGAGCTTTGCTAACTTACCCTCTTTGTCTCATGGGGCTGCATCGGAAACATCCCCTGATGCTTTTATCGAGGAGGCTGCCACAAATAAACGCTGTCACTCGGCCATGGAGTCAGAAGCCGACTCCCCACTTTCTGCGAAAGCGCGGTCTGTGGCGATTGACCTAGGAATGCTCTCATTACAGTCTGACTCACGTCAGAAGCACTATCTTGGATCTTCTTCCGGGTTGTTGTTTGCGAAGTTGATGGGGCTGGACAATGAACTGCGTCCTGAACAAGCTTCCCAAGTACGCCGACTCGCCCCAAGGCGGGTTCCAGACGAGATATACCGATCCCTTTACGACCAACTGAAACATGTAAGCTTTTGCCTCCGATGTGAATCCCCCAATATTAGCTAGATCAACCTTTACTTACTCTTCAAGGATCTCCCTCCCCCGAAGTGGCCTGTTTTCTTTTCGAGGTTTATTTCCAGAACATTCATGTCGACCAACCCTTCCTCCATCCCGCATCGTTGATCAATGCGTATCAGGCCCTGTACCTGTGCTCTCAAGCGGGCTACAATGGCTCCGTCGACCGCAATGGCTGGATTGATACGGTGGACCCGTTTCATTACAATGGTAAGATGGACCATGTGGCTGGCCGCAACATTACTCCCATATCTATCGCGACCGCCGTATTCCATGTCTTTATGACAATCTCCCTGTCGGCTACGATTCTTACCAGAAAAAAGAACTACGACTATTCGCCAACTAGGTTCCAGCGAATGGCGATGTCTGCTGCAGCTGAAACGTTCTCAAGCATCTCAGTCCCATCACTGCAGGCCGTTCTACTACTGGCCGTGCAGAGTCTTATTGAACCAGCCAGTGTGAACATTTGGACATTGTCTCATATTGCAATGTCCCACTGTGTGGACATTGGTCTACACAGAGAGTCAAGTGGCTCAGAAATGCCCAGCGTGGCAAGAGCGATGTTGAGATTCATCTTCTGGACTGTGTACTCTCTTGATCGGTGAGGAATGAATACCCTTTGCTTCTAAAATCCACGAAATCCCCAGTTGGTTAACTGGAATCTCTAGCTCGATCTCCACGATACAAGGTCGCCCACTTGGCATTCGCGACGAGACGTTTGACGTCCAACTCCCTGATGAAAGGGATATCTTCGAGATGATGACCCTGGTAGGCAACGATCTGGTAATCGAATTGCCGTCTTCCCATATCCTGGCGCTATCAGTATCTCGATTCCGTCTAGATCGCCACATCTCGGAGATCAAGCTCTTGTTGTATCATTTACCAACACAGAACAAAAGCTTCGTCTGGCCCACAAACCTACCAGAAATCCAATCTCGACTCAAGTCAGACCTCGACAAGTGGGTCCTTGATGTTCAACGGATTACTCCGAATGACACCATCGATGACGAAGAAAAGATCAAATTCCAATTTGAGAAAATGAGACATGAGCAGCTCTATCACTCGGCTATATCACTTCTGTTCCAACCTTCCCAGGCTTTCCCATCACCCAGCGAGGAAGCATTATTCCTCTGCTACCAAAGCTGCAGCAAGCGCCTGGAGATCTACGATGCCGTCAACCATCAAGACATGCTGTATTACAACTGGCGCAACATACACGGCATCTTCTCGTCTGGAGCAACCATCGTCTACTGTGCATGGGCGTCACGAGACCTGCAACGCACCATTCCTTTTGCAAAGCTGCTTCGAGACTTGCGTACCTGCTCCAACCATCTTAGTATTGGGAGTCAGTGGTGGCCATCTGTACGCAATGGCAAGGAGAGCTTTGAGATGATGATCGATCTGATTATCAAGTATTTCAGCGATATACAGCTACGGGTTCAGGGCTCTATACCACCCCTGGGGCAAAGCTGGCCCCTGAGAGATAGGACTGAACACCCTCAACCTTCTTCATATCACAGTGTCACCGGAATGGACGACAGCATGTCTGGAGTGGATTCCACGCCTGGGAGTCAGCAGCGAATGCAGCTACAACGCCTTGTTTCTAATGGCCCAAACCAGCCATTCCCGCCAGGTAGGTGGCTTCCTCTTCCAGAGACCTCAAATCTCTTCCCTCCGACCTTTCTCTGGAATGTTGTTGACCTTGACCAGTTGAAAAAGGCCAGTCGTCTTTCGACAACCTCAATCTTTCCATGCCAATCGATCCACTAGAAGACTTTGATCCTCAATCGATTGAAACAGCGATGGAAAATTTTATGGCAGGCTTTCTGCATGAGGATTGGGGATGGGATCCTTTTTCCAGTTCCACAGGAACACTCGATCATCAGGGGCCTGTATGACACATATCCGCCACCTACTCACCATGGCCTGAGGTTGTGGGGATGCGACTGAGGATTCTACTATTCATTTTGCAAGCGAGCATGTTTGAACGTTTATGTAAAGTCTGGGTTTGAATATCGATATCACGATGGGAGACCGATGTTATCTCCGGATCGCCGATTGGCCCAAGAATACTTCTTGTCTTTGGCACTAGTCGAAAGATAATTCTTTTGCACCCAGTTCTCTCAAAAATAGCTACTTTCGGAGTCTTCTAATAGTCTTCCCTATCTCCTCCCCATTTTCCAGACATGCCCTCGTCTCCTCATCGACCTCATACCGCTCTTGACACAGACTCAAGCATTCCTCCACTTTTTTGGGCGGGATCGCAACGACGCCGTCACAATCTCCAAGGATATAATCACCCGGATTAATCACCACCTTCTCATCGATCTCGTGGTTCACATACTCGACCGGGACATTCAGCTCCGACGAACGAGTAAAAGTGTTCGACCCAAGGATACTGATCCCCCTCGCAAAAAGCCCAATGTCCAACGCCTTGTGCTCCTCAATATCTCTAAATTTCCCGTCAATCACCACACCCGCAGCTCCGAGCTTTTGCGCACGGGTACTCATCAGTCCGCCCCAGCACGCACTAATCAGGCCCTTCGGTTGCGAAACAAAAACAACGCTGTTCATGGGGATTGCGTCGGCGAAGTGCGTTCGTGGGTTCGGAGAGGTCTTGTCGGAGGCTGGGACCATGCGGACCGTGTACGCTGGGCCAAAGATCTTGGATGGTCCGCTCATTCGGCGCGGGCTGTACATTGATAGTCCAGAGAGGTAGCCGCCATGTTTGAGGCCGAGTTTCACGAGGGCGTCACCGATCTGGATTTATATATTTTAGCTTCTTCATCCTCTTCAGTGTGGGTGAAGGGAGGGAAGAGAGCTTACATCGCAGGATGAGAACTTGCGCAGGGCTTGGACAGCCTTTGCTGGAGCTGCCATTTTCTTGGCAGTGGCGAGACGGGGTTAGGCAAAGGAAAGTCAAAAGCAGTTGGCGATGTTCGAGCGATCAGACAGTTGCTTAGCAAAAAGTGTCTACTGTTAGACAGCTTGGGTCAACAAATATGGGCTGGCCGCCTCTCCTCATTGCTTGAATACGGCACTCCGGCCGACAGTCTCATTCGCCCGGAGCGCTCCAGCCCCACCCGGAGCCATCCAGCAGGGCGACCGAGGTTTCCAAAGTGGCGATCATCGGCGAGCGAGAGAAAGCTGCGAATTGCTAATAAAGCGAACGAAAGGACTTTCATTGGTCGCGCATTCGACGTCTTTCTAGCATCCTCCTTGCGTGGTTCAAACCGCGATCTTCTCGGTCACGACGGCACCCGCCCCACATGATGTCGCAAGTATACAGACGGACTTTACACACAACAGGACGATTTCGAATATGTTCAACGATCCCCGTGAGACAGTTCGTAAGCTCTAGAAGCTATCCTTCCAAGATCCTTGGCGTCGATTACAATAAGCAAATCTCCGTTCTGGACACGCTGAAGCAGCAATCACAGCGCCCGCTTACCCTGACCGAAAAGCTTCTATACAGCCATTTGATCATCGATGGCGAGCGCAATTGGTGCTTGGGCAATATTGATCGCGGGAAGACGATCCTTGAGCTGCGACCTGATCGCATTGCTTGCCATGATGCGACGGCGACAATGGCTTTGCTGCAGTTTATCAGCGCCGGTCTTCCGCACGTCATGACGCCGACGACAGTTCACAGCGATCACTTGATTATTTCCGAGAAGGGCGCTGAGGCAGATCTGCAGCGTGCTGCCTCGGAGCATGCTGAGGTGTATGATTTTCTTAGCAGTGCCTCCAAGAAATACGGAATTGGCTTTTGGAAGCCCGGTTCGGGAATTATTCACACTGTTACCTTTGAGAACTACGCAATGTAGGTTGCCACCAGCTGGACTTGATGCCCAAAGTACCGACCACTTATCTCATCTGCGCTTCTAGGCCGGGTGGACTGATCATTGGAACTGACTCACACACCCCGAACGCTGGAGGACTGGGAATGCTGGGGATTGGAGTTGGAGGCGCCGATGCAGTCGACGCTATGTCCGGTATGCCGTGGGAGCTTGTGGCTCCTAAGGTAATCGGTGTCAACCTTACCGGCAAGCTCCATGGCTGGGCATCCACTAAAGATATCATCTGCAAATTGGCCGGCATCCTCACAGTGTCAGGTGGAAAGGGCTCGGTCATCGAGTTCTTTGGATCAGGCACCCAAACTCTCGGAGCCACTGCCATGGCTACCATCTGCAACATGTCTGCAGAGATCGGATCTACATCTTGCATCTTCCCTCACTCTCCCTCAATGGATCGTTACTTGGTCGCGACCGGACGTGAATATGTGGCACAGGCGGTCAATCAGGTTCGGGATGTTCTCCTTACGGCCGACGAGGGATCTCATAACTACTATGATTGTATCATTGATATCGATCTATCGACCCTTGAGCCGCATATCAACGGACCCTTCACCCCTGATCTGGCGCATCCAATCTCCCAAATCAAGTCTGTTGTTGCTGCGAACGAATGGCCTATCGAACTGAGCCATGCGATGGTCGGAAGCTGTACGAACAGCTCATATGAAGACCTGGACAAGTGCAGACAACTTGTGCGTCAGGCTAAGGCTGCTGGTGCTGAGAAGTTCAAAATCCCGTTTCTCCTCACGCCAGGAAGCGAGCAGGTTCGAGCCACAGCCGAGGCTGATGGAATCCTAGACGAGTTGAGAGATGCCGGCGCCGTTGTCATGAGCAGCTCGTGCGGACCCTGCGTGGGCTCGTGGGACCGCAAGGATGTGGATGTCAAGGGCAAGGAGAAGAACTCCGTCATTTCCAGTTTCAACCGAAACTTCATCGGCAGACATGACAGCAACCCTGCTACGCATTCTTTCGTGACCTCCCCGGAAACAGTTACTGCATTCGCATATGCTGGTCGTCTTGATTTTGACCCTCTTGTTGACGAGATTACTGGATTCGAAGCGCCATTCAAACTCGAGCCGCCCGCGAACCAAGAGCTTCCAGCTCATTTCGAGACCGGTATCGATACATTCCAAGAGCCGCCGCTTGACGGCTCTGACCTGACTATTGCCATCGACCCTAAGTCCGACCGCCTACAACTACTTAGCCCTTTCCAGGGCTGGCAAGAAGGGAACGCCGATGATATGGAGATTCTCATCAAGGTCTCTGGGAAATGCACAACTGATCACATCTCTCCCGCGGGTCCATGGTACAAATACCGTGGTCACCTTGAAAACATCAGCAGTAACATGTTGACAACCGCCACCAATGCCTTCCTCTCGAAAGACCCCCAGCTTCTCGGGCATACCAAGCACCCATTGACTGGAGATGTGGATGTTGTGCCAAAAGTTGCTCGTGACCTCAAACGACAGGGTTTGCGCTGGTGTATCATTGGTGACAATAACTATGGCGAGGGTAGTTCTCGCGAGCACGCAGCGCTGGAACCCCGTTTTCTCGGTGGTACGGCTGTGATTGCCAGATCTTTCGCTCGTATCCATGAAACAAATCTGAAGAAGCAGGGTATGCTTCCGCTGACTTTTAACGACCCCACAGCTTATGATCGTATCGCGGAGCGTGATCGAATTTCTTTGCTTGGTGTTGAAGACGGCAAACTTCAGCCTGGTCATCCTGTTACCATGAGGGTCAAGAGTAGAGATGGCAGTGTTTGGGAAACTCAGCTTAACCATAGCTTCCACCAGGGCCAGCTCGCTTGGCTCCGGGCTGGTAGTGCTTTGAATCATATCAAGAGTAAGACAATGAGTTGAGAGGGTGGATTCATGAATGATCTTGAGCTGTGCTACTGAGTCGGTTGGGATTGGACTTTTTGGTGTACAGTAAAACCGGGTTATAACGAACCCGGCTAAGACGAATCCCTTGTTATAAAGAATTTGCCACGCATTCCTTTCTAACATTCCATACAAATAACGAATTATCCCCCTTACAACGAAATTTGTATAAATAGATAGGATTCCTGTTTTTCCCATACAAAAATCTTCAACAAATCGTAATACCCAGGTACCACGTGATCACAAAATGCCTCGCCGTACAGCTATCCCCATCTCGCAAAAGATTGCTCTACGCGCTCAACGACAACTCCAGCCAAAAGCTTCGAATATAGAGCTGGCTCGCTGGTTCAAAGAGACTTTTCAGCACCCAATTGCTCTATCTTCAGTTTCTGAAATCCTTTCCTCACGATACAAATGCCTTGATAATCATCTATCTCTACACCAAACCAACTCCAAGCGTATCCGAATCGAATTCTGGCCCGACCTAGAAAAGGCCTTATTTCAGTGGGTACAACAAGCAGAAGGACAGATCATTATCAGCCAGGAGGTTATACGCGAGAAAGCGCGTTTCTTTTGGGCTAAAATTCCCAGCTATCAAGGGAAGGATATGCCTTCTTTTAGTAATGGTTGGCTTGCTGGGTTCCAATCTCGACGATCAATCAGAGCCTATAAACAGCATGGAGAGGAAGGCAGTGTCCCTGAGACTGCTTCTCAAGCAATGAGACCTATCCAACAGCTACTATCGACGTTTCAGCCAAATGATATCTACAACTGCGACGAGACGTCACTATTTTGGAAGCAGGTCCCAGATCGAAGCCTTTCAACACGCAGTATACCGGGCAAGAAGAAGGAAAAAGCAAGAATTTCAGTTTTATTTTGCTGCAATGCAGATGGTTCTGAACGCCTGCCACCATGCTTTATTGGTACAGCTAAAAAGCCTCGTGCTTTTACAGCTGCGGGAATCAATATTGAAAACTTTAATTGCCAATGGTATTCCAACCGCAAAGCCTGGATGTCAGGCCAGATTTTTGAGGGATGGCTCCGATGGTTTGATAATACTATGAGTGGACGAAAAGTGGTTCTTTTACTAGATCATATTTCTGCTCATAAAGCTGCTTTCGAACAAATCGATGAAGGCCCTTCTCCTTTGAAAAATACCTTGGTTATTTGGCTTCCGCCTAATTCGACAAGCCATTTTCAACCTCTTGATCAGGGAATTATTCGAACTTGGAAGGCTTACTGGAAACGACGATGGGTGCGTTTTATCCTTGAAGAGTACGAAGAAGGACGAGACCCTTCAAGATCAATGCATGTCCTACATGCAGTTCGATGGGGTATTGAAGCTTGGGAATTTGATCTTTCATCCAAAACAATCCAGCGATGCTTTAATAAAGCTCTTCGTTCTGAGCAAATACAGCTCTCTGAGATCAATCCGATTATCTCTGATATTACTAGGGATTTTCAAGAGCTTCAGCATTCATCAAGGATCAGAGATCCTATGGATATTGACGACTTCATTAATCCGAACGATGAGGTTGTACAAGATAATATCCATGAGATAGATGATCTAATTCTTTCCCAATTTCAACCTGAAATTGAGCAAGAAGAGGATGAAATCATTCAAGAACTACCCTCTATCTCAATCAAGGAAGCTATTGATGCATTGGAAAGGCTTCGGTTGTACGAGGAGCAGCAACCTCGGGGTAGTTCTTCATTTTTGCGAGAGCTTTATAAACATGAAAGAGTGGTGAAAGGGAGAAAATTGGCAAACCAGGAGCAGAGGGATATTAGAAGTTATTTTAATGTCTGAATTTGATTATTGTGGTTATATATAATGGTTCTCGATATAGCGAATACTTAGATATAACGAATGAATTTAGCTGTCTGAATTGATTCGTTATAACCCGGTTTTACTGTATATGCAGAATCTGGCAAGTATGGCGCGAGACTACATGGTCTGGAATGTGGAGATGATTATGCGGAATGCCGACTTCAAAAGTTTTCTGCAGCGGAACTCGTCCTTAGAACAGACTGTTTTTCGTTCAATGTGGTACAGTCGTTCTTGAAGTTGGCTTGACCAGTTCACACTCAATCACTCATTCCTGGGCCCACCGCCAAGACCTTAGCGCAGGATCCACGTTAATTTTGGTGCAACGTAACATGCATATCGTAGAGATAGTACGGTATCTTCCTATGTACGATAATTTACACACCGCGTAGATACCTCAATGGAATTGCAGGGAAGCCGATACTGGGTCTCTGCACATCATCCGAATGAGGTCTGCCGTACACCTGGACGATCAGCTGGGCGACTTCGATTAGCTTTTGCTCTGGAGATATTTTCTGATGAGCTCACTTTTGAGCCTGAGAGTAAGACCATGCTCCGCTTTTGCTAGTCTCGGGCTGACTTTAGTTTTTTCGTACCTTACTGGTCTTTCCATGGATTGGAATTGGGACAAGCTCGGGAACCGCCCGGTGGGAAGAAGCAAACAGCGATCAGCTGGGTGTTCGGGGACGATTTGTTCTCGCAAATCGGATTAAAAGCCGGGTGGGGCTGCTTTCTTTGTTTGCTATTCAGGCACACATGCGTTAGCACTGGTCATTGACTTGTGGATCGCTTAATAGTGATTGCGCCACCGAACAGGTTTCTTTGTTTGACAAACATTTCAGCAATAAAGAATGCGATCCCAACATTAAAAGGGGAACAACATAAAAGCCAGTAAACCATTCCCATGCCATTCGGCTTTGATCACTCCTATTCCGTTCATAATCCCATTATATTTGAACAGTTGAGAAATGCCGGGAGAGAAGCCTTTTCACCCACTGCTTCCTGTTCAGGAAGCTATTTCCATTGGTTCTAAAGATCATCTACCCCAAGCAAAAAAGAAAAAGGTGTCACTCGCGTGTAAGGAGTGTCGAAAAAGGCGGATCAAGGTTAGAACGCGCCACGTTTCACACAGACATAGAGCTAATCATTTCAGTGTTCCGGAGAGATGCCATGTACACAGTGCACATCAAAGGCTCATGTATGTGCTTTCGATCCTAGGACCGATCGCCGGCGCCGACGCGGAAGCCATTTCCTCGAATTATCCCAGCTTCATAGAGTCCTTCAAAGCATTGTGGCTCAATTACGACTTGGAACATCCGATGAAGTTAGAACGTTGGTATTGGCAATACGCAGCTTCAAAACAGACCGTGAAGCAATAAAATATCTTACCCAAATGAATGGATAGAGCTAGGAATTCATGATTCTTTTGAACCTATCATTCTGTCGGCAAGTGACTGTACTGGACTGGGCAGTCAAAAATATGGCATGTACGGTAGCAGGCTTGATGTTTTGGAATATATCTCTAGAATACACGGCCACTATGATAGACCAACAGCACACAGTGTTACGCCAGAACCACCTTGACGAAGGATACGCCTAGGCCCTATTCCCACAGCCTGTTGTACTCTAACAGCAGACTTATTGTAGATATCGAAACCTACAGACATCAGCAGCTGTTGAGGCCCTTAGTCGCCTTACAAATAACCGACGACGGGACAAAATGATCATTTGCCGATGGAATACCCCATTTAGTTGCTTTGAGCCAAAGAGACACCCTCACGAACGTTAACTAGCATATGTTGCACACGAGATTAGGGACCTTCCAGCAGGTCGCCGAGTTATTGGGGCCAGGTGGCCCTCCTCAACTGATTTGCAAAGCTCAACGACCATAGGAATACATGAAATTCCATGAGTTTTGCGTACACATAAGGTATTTTACGCCGCATGGTAATGTACCATGCATGGCGCGTTTTACTGTACCCCTCAACGCAATGCGAGTAGCTCAATAAATGATCCGCGCTAAGGCCTTGGGTGGTGGGGCCAGGAAGTAGATTCTCAGTGTATGTTGGTCAACGCGATTTCGAGATTGACTGTAGTATGGGCTGGCTTAGTTCCAGTACGTCCCGAAACTGACGCGACAACCTACACACTTCGAATCACTTTTTAGCACGCTGCCAAGACGCACTAGACTACATGGGGAATTCCTCCAGAGGGCCCCTGTAAGTTGCTGTGTATTTCTTCGTCCGTAAATTATTCAGTTGTTTCAAACATGTATTCGCTAGTCAATTCTATACAACTGGCACCTCACCCCTCTTGAAATAGCCTTCCTCGGGAGGCACACTGAACTAGCAATCACGAGTGGTCCAACCAAAGATGGCCCCAAACCTAGCTTCTTCCACGCATGAGCTAATCTATGATATGATCCATGGTGGCGAACTATCTATAACTGAGATGGCACGGGCAGCTGGCTGCCACAGGAGTTCCATCCTGAGGATTTCCTCTAACATACGAATATTTGGCAGCATCAAAGCACCGCTCAATGAAGGTGGTCGGCCGAGAAGCATCACTCCAGTGATGTTACAAGCTCTCTGTGATCGCCTGCTCGAAAAGCCCGACCTTTATCTTGACGAGATGGCTAACGGTTTTCCTGTGGGAAGAGTTCGCCATCCAACCAGCAAACTCGAGTATCATTCGCGCTCTTGCATCCAAAGCCTGGTCAAGAAAGACTGCCCGAGTCAAGGCCCGAGAGCGCAATCTAGACTTAGTGTACGTTATGAATACTTTCACTTTATCTCAGACTTCGCGATATCAAAAATCTATATGCGTATGCTCAAGATGGTATCGTTCTTTCACGGGTATTCCGGGGCTTGACCGACGCCTTTGTCTTTGTGGACTTCATCGAGCAGCTTCTTCAGCCCTGCGGAGGATGGCCCGACCCGAAGTTTGTGATAGTTATGGAAACGCATCCTTTCATTACTCCGAGCGTAAACAACGCACGTGTTCAGAAGCTGGGGTAAAGCTGGTGTATTTACCTCCATATTCTCCGGGCTTGAATCCTATTGAACATTTCTTCGCTGAGCTCAGGACCTTCATCCGGCGCAATTGACAGTCTTACGCAAGAAATGCAGACCAAGTCTTTGGGACATTTCTCGAATGCTGTGTTGATATCGCTGGTGCAAGGGAAAGAAGTGCAGAGGGGCACTTTCGAAATGCAGGTTTGGCCGTGGAAAAGGTATAAGACAGCTACTATATTCACGTCATTCATTCAGCATAGATCAGAATCTTGTTATGGTCGACTGACAATGTTCCGAAAAGAGATATTTCGGTGGTGCGCTGGTAGACTATCAATCACGAGAGTTTCACTATCCCACCGTGCCCTGTGGTGGCAAGGTGGCTCTAAAGTTACGATGATATATTGCATACCTGGTGCCAACCTACCACACCGCTGGTACCTACCCGACCGGCGCGAAGAAATGTGACCCACTCATTCTGGTAGCGATACTGCTCTGCCAGGTACTAGCGCATTCTGTAAATCTACGTGTTTAATACTATGGGCTAGAATGTAGCGGGAGGGAGAGAAAAAGGAGCATGTGTTTTCCTCAAACTCATGCTTTGATACGAAACTAGTTCGTATATACCTATAGCTCAGGCTAGACAACTACGAATATTTGGCCGCTTCATGAATGATTTCATGCAAAACTCAACGGTGAATACTACCAGCTCTTTGTCTACTCACGCCTCTCTTCTGTTCCGAGTACCGGCGCTCAAGACCAAATTCCTGGGTGTGAGTCTCGCCTGGGAAGCGGGGCGGTCCACCAAGACTCGCCAACACGGCTTTGTTATTGGCTGTCATGTCGTCAAGGACGCTGGTTTCGTCCCGAGAAAACCACTTAGGAATGATCCACACTCGGAATGGAATGAGTGCTATAATAAGGACGGGAAATCCTGAAAAGGGCAGAAGACGTCAATAATGATGCAGAAACTAAAATGAAAGGAATTACTTACCAATTGCAGCGATGGTTTCGGATATCGCGACACAGGCAGCGACCCCAATAAGCTGGCACGCGATCCATAGCATGACCTTGCGGCTGCGGACTTTCAAGAGAGGTTCGTCGCGCTGCACAAACCGGTCCTCCTGTATTAAATGGATAGCTTTGCGCATGATACCGCTGCTCCCGATGGATCCCCAGCCAACAATGAAAAAAACGCCGGCGAAAACGGCGGAAGGCATAGTGTGGAGGACGATCAGAATAGGCCCCGTCATAGTACCAATGATAGCTAGCCCCATGACAAAATGTGATATGCGCTGTTCAACAACTGCAGTTGCACTGATGACAGGGCGGCGGATCTCGGACTCTTCGCCTTCCTCAGTTGGTATAAGTCGAAGTTGAGTGTGATAGGCGGTCAAGGAGTCAGTATGCACAGGCGCCTGAGTCAGAATGTTAGAGTACACAAAGTGGATTTGAATGAAATCGATAGGCTATCTTACCTGTGGGACTAGTCCATTAGGAAAAGGGATTCCAATGATCCCGGAAACGAATGTGGTGCAACCGAGAAGAAAAAAGTCCCAATGAAAACCAGCCGGCTTTCTCAGAGGGAATTGTCGAGCCTGAGCCGTTAGGCTACTGACATTCTGTGACTGGATTAACACCACCGTCAAGACAGGTGTGATTGGAAAGAATCCGTACATGATCAAAATAGAATAGCAACATGATCAAGAATCCAAAAGGAAGCGCTGCGAACACCCACTTGGTATCCAATTCCCAAAATTGAATCAGCCAGTTTCGTGGCTGTGTGGGGTAAAAGGCTTTGCTGATGGGTACACGAGTGACATCTGCAGATTGGAGCGGTCCAGGGATATGCGAGAACCCGACCCAGAATACTGTACCAATCTAATAGCAACTCATTAGCGACTGCGTATGTGGAAACCTAGAATTTTTGATACATACCACGTACGCGTAATCAGCCAGCAAACCCCGAAAGCCGGGCCTCCAAACGGTGCTGGAACCGATGGCTTCTAAGCTGTAAATGGTCAAGAAATACAGAATAGCCACCATGCAGCTCATGAATCCAGCGATGTGCCCTTTAGTTGTGAACTCGCTGATTAGCTCCTCCACGCCCTTGCCTAAAATCTGGGTTAATGAACTTTCTTGCCGGAAGTGATATGATCGCGCAGATACTGACTGATATAGATGGTCCCGACATAGAAACCAAACGTTTCACTTGAGAAATCTGTCACATATCTCATGTAGTCACACATGTTGCAGAGCGCAACAATCCAATGGAAAATAGCTCCCCAGATTCCCACCCAACACATGAATTCAGGGAAAATGGAGGGTTCATAAAGCTTGACGATGTCATATATGGTGTAATTGAATAAAGAGATCAGTCCAGTTATGCCGACAATGGTTAGAGGCTGTACTGCAAAGACGCTGAATACCATCGCCGCCAAAGCAGACGAGAAAAGGGATTCATTGATGCCATAAAACTGCCCAGTTCTCCGATTCATATCCAGAGTATAGGCTATGGCTGGAAGCATACTAAACGTTCAGTTATTAGCATCACATTCGACTGCAGGCTTATGCCAACCTACTTCACGAAGTACATGCGAATGATACTGGCGACGGTTCTGTACGTCCACGCGTCGCGAATGTCACTGAAGTAATAAGGCAGGCGTCTCCGGACATCATGATACATCCCTCTTCCAATTCGAAGAATTCGAACGCTTTTCCATCCACTAATGCCATCATAAGTATAGGATACCGCAGACCTTTCTCTCTCAATGGGTGGTGAAACCGTATCAGCGCCGTCGGAATTGGACGGCATGATTTGAAGTGTTGCAAGGAGGAAAGTTGGTTTTCGAAGGTAGAAAGAAAGTCACTGGCCACGGAAAGGGGCAGAGGGGTAATTTATAATTTCGCCATAGTCAGGCTCCACTGGGTGTATTAGTTGCTGGTTCAGTCTGATTGCCCAACCCCAAACAAGAATGCACTTAACCAATTTCTACCGAGTCTCCATCGATATCTTCGCCTCTGCGCATCTTCAACTTAGAAAGTGGTATTTACCTTTCGGCCCAATTACTGATATGTAAAGTGCCCTCGGGTCTGTGCATAGTACTGATCATATAGAAGACGTTAGGGCTCAATAGGCCATTTTCCACAGTGCAAAGATCCGTTGTGTCATCATGATCGGTGCCAAGCTTGAACCGCGCAATTGCTGAGTCAGCAGTTTCTGCCCGGGCAGAATCGACTGCCTTTGCGTGAACAGAGCCACAGACTGTATTTTCCAAACCCTGGACGATGCATTCGCTTGCACACCATCCGGTCGTAGCAAAATTGTCGGAACTATTCCAAAATGCGGACTTTGTTACTCAGCTTGCATCTACCTTGGACTCTTTCAGCAAGCAGGATGAAGGAGTCTGCTTGCGTATTGATGCCGTCGTATGCTCTTCGGATCATGCCCAGTCGACCGTCACCAGGCCGACTAACGAGTCCCTGTCACTCGTACGAAGCACGATAAACACCATGTAATGACTGTTGTTAACTTGAAACTAGGGATGGTTGAGCATGAAGGAAGGTTGTGTCCCTGCGATGATGCCCGGGCAGGTTACTTATTCGAAGTCTCCGGTCAAAGTGGGTTCCTTGTGCCTATGCGAATCCCCCATCAAATTGAATCCATTTGCTAAGCTTTAGAGAATAGTCCAGCATCGACGTACAGTCTGGTCGTGAAAGCTGTCCAGTCACGGCCCCATCCATATCCCGGACCATCCATGAGAGACCAAGGCACAAGACCGTCAGCGGGCTGCGACCGTCAAAATCGCAAGCAATAGCTCTGGCGATGGAAGATGTTGAATCTGATAACGATGATGCGGTGGCCGAGGATTGTCTGAAATCGTCCAATGCGACCGCGCCGCCGGTCCGTCAGTTTCACTGTGATACTCGCTTCCCTCAACGCAAAAGAACTGCGAATGATTTAGCAACCCCAAAGTTGCAGCCTTCATCTATAGATAAATTTATTTTGGGAATATGGCGACAGGTACACTCTCCAATCACATTAAGTGTGTCATTTCCGGTGAGTATCTTGCCAGCAAAATAGCTCAGTATGTCTGCCAATGCTGACGATTGTACAGGACCGAAGGCCAGAATTTAGTCTCCGCACTGGTATCAGTCAGGAAGTATGTGCGGCATTTTCCTTATCATGGGGATCGGGAACCGAGTGATCTAATGAGACCAATTCGAGTCTTAGGTTTTCCGAGCCATTAATAGCCTGTGCAGAACATATTGTGACCAAAGCCGTTCGTCGCGGGCTCTGGAAATGATCATTCAATCATATTGGGTGGAATGCTTCCAAGCACGAATTGCATCGATCCGTATCGAACACCCAGAGTGTACGAATGTCGAAGCTCGAATGATAGCGCTGAAAGAGGCCTGCAGCACGCTCGGCTGGCAGGAAAAAGAGCTCAGAAACAGGATGTAAGTCGCTCTTTCGTATATTGCTTGCTTCGTCCCATCCCCTTCTTTCTTTTCTCCTCTTCAACATCATTGCTAATAGTAACCGAGGGCGGTGTGGCGTGGCTACAAAGAAGTTAAGGATTCGGGGGCTGGGCTTGTCTGATCTTTGCCGGGGCCGGTGTTTATCGCTTGTGCAAGTATAGGATTGGTTTTGATAATGGACTCACAACTCGGTTGCGCCACCTTGCACCCAGTCTCGAAGTCGCCGCAGATACTCTCCATCCCGGTTGGCGAGATCTCCTTCGAGTTGTAGACCAGAGTGGCCCCCGCCGATACACTGGTCACCCTCATGAATGGGTTACAGTCGATACCGGGCCAGCGTTGCCACTTCAAGATACTTACTCACATCTACCATTACCAAATGGCTTCGCGTATCAATTCGTTGAAGACTGTGTGATCGACCAGGACGTGTTTGGTTCGGAGGACCCTCGACGCGACCCAGGGTTAGACCCCGACCTGTGTCAAATATGCAAGGAAAAACAGTCGGATAATGCGACTTCCAACTGTTGTTCCTGCTTTCCAAATATATTTGGCTGTGTTCGTTGTCCCTCCCCGGTGCAAATATTTCACACGGCTACTGGAAAGAATAATGGAGTGGTTGCCCGCTGCGTATGTTTTTTGAAACCCCCTTCCTTGTTCAATCGCCTTCGTTCCCGTCTCTGGTGTGCATACTGATGCTTGGAAGCCATTTGAACGAGGCATGGCTATTGCAGAATTCGTTGGTTTCATCACTCTCGGAATTGATGGTCTGGATGTGATGGCCGGCGGAACACCAGAACGACCCTATCAAATTTTCCAAGGCAACCTAGGTAATTTCACTCGTTTCATTAATCATTCATGCCGACCCAACTGCCAATTCCAGAGATTCTATTGGTGTGGGGTGGAACGTGTGATCGTGGTTTCTCGCGGAGTTGAGGCTGGCAGTGAGATAACGGTGGACTATTCAGATTTCTACTGGAGAGAATTGAAAAAAAATTGTCTTTGCGGCGAGCCGGGCTGTCGCTTTGCCCATCAAGGCGAGATTGGGCTGTGAGTCAATCCGAATATAATGTCCTCGACTGAAGTACTACGCAGCTTCTTGGACAGAGCGAATTACATTCTTACGAGATGTCCGTCGTGGGAAATTTCGGCATCCTGGATCTGCTTTTACACGTTTCCCCTAGCGGCGTGGCATTGGAGTTTGACTGGGGCTCTTCTATACTCTGGTACAAATATTAGAAGAGGGGTCGGGCATGGGAAAGGAAAAAGCGGAAATCCGCTCCTGTAAAGAGTCAAAATATTATGTATTGAGGAGCTGGGGATACCGCGTTGAGCCGTTTTGAAGAATCAGTAGTTTGGCAGCACTGCAAGCAATGCGGGTCAGCAACAGGAGAATACTCTAATTTTTTGACCGGAGATTAAGTACTTAACCAGCAATGTTGCGTCCGCAATTGTGTTATCCTAGAACCAGGACACCAGGTGATACGAAATTCGGACATTTCATTCTGGGGTCAGCTGGCGAAAGTAAGTAGTTTGCCGTATAGCAATATTCGACATCAGTTTACCCCATACACTCACCAAATTAATGTGGTGTTACTGTACCTCCGCAAAAAAAGAGAAAAAACCCTTGCATACAGAAACACGTATGAAAATATTTGACACAATAGATCCACAATCAGTACTAATACAGTATAAATACAATGACCATCAAATGTACATAAATACAGTACCAGCAAGTGTTTTCTTCACTTTCCAACCCGTCACAAACAAAACGGTCTTGCGCAATGTCCCGCATCTTCACGGACCAGAGACCGCGATATGATGTTACCGATAAGAGGAACTTTTCATAAACAATTATCTGTGGGCCATATATTTTGGCATCAAATGATAGATCTATCTGGTACTCGGTAAGCCTAGTCCGTGTTTATGGGCGGAGACATCTTCATGAACGCCATTGTTTAAACATATTCTGATGGGTCTCGAGCCACACGCACCACACGCCCGTGTGAAGAACACAGTTAACTGAGCTGCCCCTCAGATGAAGACGAGATTTCGAATCGCTTCTTTATTTCCAGATAAGCACTTTGAACACTGTCCCAAAAATGGCACCCCCGTCTATGCGTGATGAGTACGCCGAGCTCATGAAGGGCGACAGCGACGGCCACTTCCTTACGAGGGCCAAGTAATTTTGGTAAAATTACGTGGGGCCGGCTAATATTTAGTCAATTCGGCACCAACGCGGGCAGGCGAATCGGCCAATCAGAGGCCGTCCTAGCGCTGGGGTTGTTGCCGAAATATAGGGCATCGCCGGAAAAGCTGTCCTAGTATTACTGGGAATAGTGCACTCTAATATTATTGATGGTTGTTGAAATATATATATGTATGTTGGGTGGAAAGGGGGGGTGGACTGTTCGGCTCATATGTGAGTTCCGTTAATCCAACATTTGCATTACCTCAGCCCCACCAAGGTCATAACTAGGCTGCCCAGACCACCCAAACTGTGAAAGTCGCCACAGGGGCCTCCCCACCCCAAGAGGTGCAGAATATTTAACGACCGGCGTTCGTTGTTTTTGCAATATCGTCACTCACAAAGTTGAAAGAAACGCTCCAGAATGGCCAATGGATTTCTGCCATACCACGAACCCGGAAGTTTGTACCCAAGCTCTATCTCAACCGAACGCTGCTCACTCCCCGTTGAACAATCACAGTCGTCGAGATTCTCATCATCGTTTCTTTCTTCTTCTTCCTTTCTCTTGCGAAATGGGTCTCCGCGAAGATCTTTCAAGCCGGCATTATAGGTCAAATCGCTGTCGGCATCATCTACGGTGTACCGTTGGCCGATATCCTTGAACGTAACTGGCAGGAGACGTTTCTCGCTCTCGGATATGTTGGTCTGATTCTGATAATTTTTGAAGGTAGGTGGAAAACACTTTCATCGGCTTCGGTGTGGACACTGATGTCATCTATTCTAGGCGGTCTTGGCGCTCGTGTGGATCTACTCAAGCAGAATTTCACTTTGAGTATGGTTGGCGCCACAACTGGGGTTTGTTTTCCCATTGGTCTCTCATATCTTTTGCTCTACCTTGGTTTTGGATATGGTTTGTTTTCCTTGTCTGGTAATCATCGATCCCTGTAAACAAGCTAACATGGGCAGGTCCGGTCGAGACATTCATCATCGGTGCCGCTCTTTCCGCCACGTCACTAGGTAAGCAATTTCATTCATTTCTATTTAAAAAGTTGACTGCACTTTGTCTAGTTAGATCGCTGATGCGTACCAGGAACCACTTTTGCTGTGATCAGTTCTGCGTCAAGCTCGATCAGTCTCTCACAGACTCGAGTAGGATCCGTTCTCGTGAGCGCAGCTGTCATAGATGACGTGGTAGGACTTGTTATGCTGAGGTATGTTGCTTGTTGAAACGAGGTACCATTAATGCATTTAACTGATTAACTCCATAGTGTCATTGGCGACTTGGGTAAACTTTCGGGAGAAACGAACGTCAATCTCGGCTGGCTCATTGGGCGTCCGATAGTGGCATCGATAGCCATGGCTATCTTAACACCAATTTTCACCAAGTGGGTATTTGCGCCTTTTTTCCGAAAGTTTGTCGAACACCATTTCGCGCGGTTTGACCATATCTCCAACATCATTCTCATGACCCTTGTTCTTGCGGCTTTTATTAGCATCGCTGGCTTTACTGGTACATCTGTCCTATTTGGAGCGTTCTTGGCGGGCGTATTTCTCACGTACCTTCCAAGCAAGCGCCCGGAAGGACCATTCGTTGTCATGAGCCGTGAGGAGGGCGAGCGCGAAGCGGACAAGAGTCCTACATTCATTCACACATTTGAGAAATATTTGTTGGGTCCTCAGGAGTATCTGATGGAGCCTTTGTTCTTCTCAAGCGTCGGATTCGCGATTCCGTTCTTGCAACTGTGGACTGGAGAGCGAATTTGGAGAGGAGTGGTTTACACGCTCCTTATGGCATTTGCAAAAGTAAGCAGATACTCGTAGAAGTTGTTAATGATCGAGCTAACAAGTTCAAAATAGTGTATTGTTGGGATCTGGATACCTGTATGGCAAGTTGTTGCAAGGTGTAAACCCTGCCACAGAAAAGAAATACGTGCGCAGCAGCTGAACCAGGGACTGCCCAAAAGGAATGAGGGGGGGGAAGGATCGCGATGAAGAACAAACCGAGCAGGGAGAGAGGAGAAGTTGGAATCGTGTCTGGCTCGCCGCGGTACTCTTAGGGTCTGCTATGGTAGCGCGCGGTGAAATCGGCCTATTGATCATCGAAATCGGACATAACGAAACTCCGTACGTCAGTGATGAGGGTTTCATCACTGGTGTCTGGGCCATTCTTTTGAATACGATCATTGGTCCTGTTATCGTCGGTCTCCTGGTTCGATTCCACGCGAAAAAAATAGGGGAGGGGGAGTGGGGACTACAGGATTCTTTGTCCGTTCCTAGCCAGGAGACCGGCCACAGAGCAGTATAATTGTTTCGGATCAAGATGATACACCGCATAGGGAGGTACTGCTGTACACAGCATGTGGATCCGCCATAGGTTTATTGGCACACCTCGGGCATATTTGGTGAATAAATTAAATGACGCCTGCAAGTGCATGAAGACTACCAGCAAAACAAGAAATAATACATCGCCAATATTCACTAGTAGCCATTTCTGCCAAATAATGCATTAGTGGCTTTCAATGAATTTTGCTTCTTCTTACGTGGACTTTTACATTCCGTCAGATTACCATGGTAGAATAATTCGATGACCTTTAATCTGTTTCATGCGATCTGTTTCGAAGATGGGCGAAAGACCAGCCCAGGAGGCAGTGAGTGGCCCAGCCCTCAACAATCTTTTCCAATAGCAGCCTCAAAGTTTTAGCTTTGGCATCATTCCGTTGAGTTGTATCCATAATGTGTGCGCTATGTCCAGGTGAGGGTGTGTTCCCTGGCCAATTTCTCAATATCGGACCAGGGAAAGCCTTCGTTAGGGTCGCTCCGGGACGTCTCTGGAAGAAGTCAAAACCGGACTTTTCTTAGCTTTGATGCGGAAAAAGACCCGCTTGGCCCATTTCCAGGCTTCAACGCCGATGAAGAATAGAACAGCCTCGACCGCCACAATGCCCCATTCCCATGTTATGGGCTTGTGCTTGAAGACAACATCGTTCAGCACGGGGATGTAGAGGATAGGAAACATGGTGATCCACCCAGCCATGATAGACCAGAAAAGAAACTTGTTCCTCCAGACATCGTACATCCACTGGGTGAAGTATTTCTTGGATTTTGGTTGCATGCGGAAGAATGACCGACGCATGTTAACCATTTCCCAAGCCAGGAATAACGCAAACCATGTCAAACACACGAACGTAGTGGCTCGTGCTCGGAAGACGAGTTCGCAGTCTTTGATATCTTCTGACCACTCTTTGTTGCAGCCACGGGCGAGGTTACCATCGCCAAAACCCCACATGCGTACAGAGAATGCCGCCAGACAAAGCGCTGCGGTCCAGACGCCATACACAAGAATGTCAATCACCACCTCCCAGGTGAATATGCCTTGCTTACTCTGGGGAGGGCGATCCATAATGTCAGGCGCAGCCACCTCCATGCCAAGGCCCATGTCTGGCATACCCGAGGTAATCATAATAATCCAGAGGATTTCCACCGGTGAAAGAGGGAAGACAGATTGGTTATCAGCGTCTTTGAAAGCCAATCCAATGAGTAAGGTACAGGCCTGGGCGATGTTTTCGGACAACAGATGAAGCACGAATTTCTGGATGTTATCGAAGATGCGACGACCCTCCTCGACAGCATTCAGAATCGAAGCAAAGTTATCATCCGTCAAGATAATATCAGAGGCGTCTTTGGCCACATCCGAGCCCGCCTGTCCCATAGCAATACCCACATCGGCATGCTTGAGCGAAGGAGAGTCATTTACGCCATCGCCAGTCATGGCCGCAAAACGACCACGCCGATGAAGGGCGTCAATCATGCGCACCTTTGTTTGAGGGGCACAGCGTGCGATTACCAAAGGCAGGGTGGGAAGAGCATCTACCTGCTCATCAGTTAGTTTGTCGAATTGACTGGCAGTCATGACCATAGCGTCCGCGACATCAGCCGCCACAGTACTGAAATCAACGGGAAGGATTCCCACTTGCTGCGCAATCGCTTTGGCAGTGCCGGGGTGATCTCCAGTGACCATGTGGACAATTATACCAGCTCGGTAGCAGGCCTGAATGGAGTCTGCAGTCTCAGGGCGAGGAGGATCATACAGCCCGATGAGTCCCAGGAAGCACAGATCATTCTCTACATCCTCACGTTCCAGGTCGGAATCTTCGAGCAGTTGTGTCTGACTAGTATATGGTCGATGGGCCAGAGCCAATACCCGGAGTCCCAGTTTGGCAAGTTCCTCCATGTTCTGAAAGATTTGTTTGCGGTGGTCATCAGACATTGGGACGGGGGTAGACGAATCTGGGTCCCAAATCACCGAAGTGCACGAATCAGCGATGCGCTCGACAGCACCCTTAGTAAATACCATTGTACAGTCCTCTTCTGGAGAAACTTTACTGAAAATCACGGACATTTTCTTGACTGTCGAGTCGAATGGAAATTCAGCCTTTTGGTGCCAAACTGGTTTCTGGCCCTTAGTCCAGCGGTCACGGTTCCAGTTGAACCTCGATGCAAAGACTTGAATAGCAATTTCTGTAGGTTCACCCCGTGCGTTCCATTCGCCCTCTTCGGACCTGTGCACATGAGAGAGGTTGGCCATAGATGCGACGTTCAGAAAGTCCTCGAGCTGGCGGTTTCCCAAGACTAGGCCTTCTGGGTTTCCCGCAGCTGGACCTTCTTTCTCGTTATCAAATTGCGAAGGAGATACTGGGGTGAAGGTAACATCTCCAACAGTAGGATTAAAAGGCTCGTTGGATGAGCCAACGGAGTATGTCCCCCGAGACGGAATCCATGCTTTCTTGACGACCATCTTGCCCTGGGTCAATGTTCCAGTCTTATCGGAGCAGATGTCAGTAACGGCACCAAGTGCTTCCAACGAGTCCAACTTGCGAACAATTACGTTCCGCTGGACCATGCGCTTGGTACCCACTGCCATAGTGATTGTGAGCACGACCACCAGACACGCCGGAATCATACTGATACCGGTTGCAACTGCGTACATGATAACTTCAGTATTACTGCTGAAGAGGTTTGCCGCCATGCACACAATGGCAAAAACAACAGCAACTCCAAACAGTAAACATGCCAATTTTGACAGCTTCCTTTGTAAGGGTGTACCGATATTGACACCGAGAAATCGACCCACGGCATCCGTCCCGGTGAGAGTCCACGCCTGGACGTACCATCGCCTTTTGGCCTCACCGTTGGGCCCACGCTTGACGGGGCGACGCTTGCTGCCGCTGGCCCGCAATGCGAGAGCAATGGAGCCGATCTCGGTGGACATTCCAGTACTGACGACGACACCACGACCACGACCACGAGTGACCGTGCTCGAGCTATAAGCAATATTGAGACGGTCCCCAGGGCCAGTGTCCTCTTTGAAAGTCGAGCCACATTCCTTCTGGACAGGAAGAGACTCGCCGGTAAGGAGTGCCTCGTCGGTCTCGAAATTGACTGCTTCAACCAGACTAGTACGGTTAGTAAAATAATAGACTGCCTCGGCAACTTTGAAGGCGCAGGTGCATCGTAACAGTAGACTCACCGAATATCCGCTGGAATGGTATCCCCTGTCCTCAGCTCGACCATGTCACCCGGCACGATTTCCGACGACGGTACCGAGAACGTCTGTCCGCCTCTTGTGACAGTCCCTGTAGGCGACGACAGCGAATGTAAAGACTCCATGGTCTTTTCCGCGGCGTACTCCTGAAAGAACCCAACGACGATATTCAAGATAATGACAGCACAGATCACTCCGCCCTCAATCCATGACTGAATTCCGAAACTGACCGCCATGGCCAGAATCAGCACCTGCAATAAACGGACTGGATCAGATTCGGAAAGTTCTCAACAAATTCCAAGATACAGTCGCAAAGAATAGTGGTGCTCTTACTAGCATCATTGCATTAGCCACCTGGCGCACGAAAATCTTAACCACCGATACGCCTTCGCCTTCGTCCAGTTTATTGGGACCATATTGCTCGAGACGACGACAAGCTTCGTCAGGGGCCAGTCCTTCGTCCAGTTCAGTGTTGAGTTCCTTGATCACGGCTTCACAAGTCAGTGAGTGAGCCGGCCGGCTCAATGGGCTGCCACCAGACCCGTGGTCGGGAGCGATGTCCTGCTTCTCTGACATTAGAGATTGTGCTTGGGTGAGAGCTTAGCTGTAGCTGAGATGACAACGGAGCCGTCTGCCCGTCCGTCTTTTTCAGCGAAACCACTGGCTTAGGAGAGTTTAAAAGAATATAGCTCTGTGCGGGGAGCAGGGGTTTTCTTCAGGTCCAAGCTAACACTGACACCTGAGTTCTGCTCACGTGAGGAGTCGAAGTGGACGCGAGCGTCCAAGCGCATCACAGCACATAGGTCGCCACATAGGTCGCCACCCGCGCTGGAGGGTTCGCAGGAGGCCGTCATTGGATGAGACGAGGTTTTGGCCTTGGCGCCAAGAATTCCGCCGAAACCGAGTACTTTACCCAGATCCACACGACAACGATTAGCTAATCAAACAGAATAGGTTAGTTAACTGAATCCGGCCCCCAAATTCTGGGCAGGACGGATCCAATGACAGCAATGTTGCCAAGGATATTCATGTGCCAAGACTGAGGCGGTCAGATTCCACCATTGTTTTCATCTCCGTCGCAACTGGTTGGGGCTGCATGATCAGTCAGCTCCCCGGCCATACTCTACGCTTGGATTCGTCGGACAGGAAAAGGGGACTGGGACGGTGGAGATATTCCAGATGATGACCGAATTCCTTAGCGGTGCCACGATTTTTATGTTGGACACCGCCAAGGGCAAAGGTCAAAGTGAATTTGGAGACATATCATGTCCTCCTTCGGGTCAGCCATTTATGGGGCAGAGAGCAACAAATAAGAATCCACGTACAGCCTGCCAAGCCTGCTCCGCCTTGTTTGCCAAGCGCTTGGAAGGGATTGCCAAGCCTTCCAGGCTTGGGCCGAGTTCTGAGCTTTGGCCACTATGAAATGGTTACGTCAGTGCGTTGCTTGCGGAGGTAGCAAAAAACCGCAGGCAACGCACGAATTGATTTAACTATCATGCGGCAGCTCCCTTAAAATCCGGAAGTAACGAACAGCAAAGAGGTAACTGAATCCCAATCTTATCAATTCTGCATTATGTCTTCGATATTTTGACAGTTTATTTGTCGAACAGCCAGACCGCAACTCCGGCCGGTCGGCGACGCAAGTAAAAATGGCTGAGCGTCTCCAAAAGTTGCTGAACTCAGTATCCTGGCTTTTCACTTTCTTCGCCGTTGAAAAACGACACGAATCCATTAGCGACAATGCTCTCAATTATGCGCCCATAGCTCAAAGTCAAACCGATCCCGAAGTGGAACTAGAGGCGAACAGAGGCATGTTTCCACCCTCAACGAACATAACCAAAAACCGCAGTTCTGGAAATGGAAAGTTCACACTCGAGAATGGAAAGCACGACCACTTCCACGAACCGCCCACGTCAAAAGAGCGGCACGTTGGAAAGAATAAAAAGGCAATAAATGCAAGCTGGTTATCTTCTAAAATAAAATTTACAACGTCTGGAAGAGCTTGCTCACGACCGCTGGTGGAGTTGGAATGGGAGAGATGGATCAAGAGTCTTTCTCAAACCGGAGCCACTGCAGGTAAAAACATGGCACTCGTGTCTCAGAAGTATGGCGAATGCTGCGATGTGATCGGTCACGGCTCCTCTGGAGTTATCCTACTGTCGCACAAGGTCCAAGAATGGCACCCGAACATTGATTCCTTTTACGCAATCAAGGTCTTCCGCCGCGGGACGGACACCTGCGAATCGGCTTATAAGAGGCGTATTGATGCAGAGTTTTCCATATCTTCTTCATTGAGGCACCAAAATGTGGTTCGGACATTCGATCTATTCCAAATTGGCAGTGGCAGCCTTTGTGAGTGCTTGGAGTATTGCTCTGGTGGGGATCTACATTCATTGGTGGTCATGAGAGGCCAGCTGGAGCAGAATGAGGCCGACTGCTTCTTTAAACAGCTTATGCGTGGTGTCAACTACCTGCACGAAATGGGAATCGCTCATCGCGACTTGAAACCAGAAAACCTTCTTCTCACATCAAATGGTTGCATCAAAATATCGGATTTCGGGACGGCAGAATGTTTCCGTCTTGCTTGGGAGAGTGATATACACATGTCAAGAACACGTCGCGGTTCACGCCCTTACGTATCACCGGAGCAGTATCTCAGCAAGGAATTTGATCCAAGATCAGTCGACATCTGGGCTGCGGCTATGACCTACGTTGCGATGAGAACTGGCAGGATCCTGTGGAAGATAGCGACTGATGTCGACGAGAATTTCAGAGACTACGTCGCGGACCGCAAGATTGGGAGAGGTTACTTCCTTATTGAGGATATATGCCATGTTAAGTACCCGGCCTCCTGACTTAACCGGTTGGATTGCTAATTTCGCAATCATAGATGGCAAGCCGCTGGGTCATATATTCTATGCTAGATATTGACCACATAAGTCGTCCCAGGTCAAATGAGGTTCTTCGTTCTCAATGGTTGCAGGAGATTGAAACATGTACAGATGACGACTCTAAACCAGTTTAGCGAGAGACTGTCAATAGACCTCTTATCCTATTTTATTTTCGACATGGTGTTAGTCGGATTTCCCAGAGTCGCTGCATGGAATCGCCATTAGTTGCACGGATATTTTTCACCATCCCTTGAAAATAGTCTTCAGAAGCTCGTCCGCAAACAGGGACTGGAAATCCAGGCGCAAGTTTGAATCTCTCTCTGTGGCCTCGGATGATCGCCAATATGTGGGCGTAAGGGAATATTTTCGTCCGTTGGAATCCTCAAGAAGCCAGGCTATTGGTGTCGAGCTAATCAAAAGTACGGTGAGCTATTTTGAAATGATTTCTAGCTAATCTGCATGCCCCAGCGCATGAGAACCCATCCGAGACGAAGGCAGCATTGAAAATCACAACTCAGTTGCTAGCAGCATAGATACATATAAGTATTTTGAACGGCTCAGGAATGAGGGTTCTTTCTCAGCATTAAGTATCCCTGATCAAGTGACGCTGCTCGAAGTCTATTTGCCTTTAATTCGATCGTCGGTTGAGTCATACATTAAGACAGGGAATATCCATAATATTCAGAAGCAACATGGCCGGTCAGAAGCGGTTACTGGGAAACCACCGTCAAGGAAAAGATCACCGAGGTCGTTACTGCCTAGATGCCTGGCAGAATCGTGTGCATAACCGAGTCAGAATGAGCGATCAACTTCAGAATGAGCGGTCAACCTATGAGTATAAGACCCTCTCCTAGAGATCGATATACCTGAGTCCTTCAAGCGTTAATATTATGTTTACGGGAATACACGCATTATATCCGCCTCTCTTGCCTACTACCTAGCCACCCGGCGCCAACCAACCTGGCTTATTCCTCTACAACCACATATGAATTGTTATCATCCTGATCCCCCTGCCCAGGAGTTCAAGGTAGAGGTTGAGTCAAAATCCCTACATAGTTATACAACAGCAGCAGTATCCCCTAGCCCCGGGATGCTGATGAATACCTCCCGTTTGATACATGGAAGTGGTGTCGGACACTGCTCCTGGATATTGGATTTGATCCACTTGATCCACCGCCACGAGGTCCCTAATTGAATTATTTTAATCAATCTTACTGGGTTGAACTACGAGGCAAGCAGTTGCTCATAACCAATCAGGGGCCTGGCCAGAGCTTGCTTTAGCAAATAAGCCACTTGGAGCTCACAATTGGCAGCCGGATACTACCTTAGACTGTGATATATAGGCTAGCTGAGACAATGGCTGAAACCTTTATGGAGGATATATCGTAAGTGAAAACTTTATATATATAGAGGATATATGGGGGTCAGATTTGCCGCGTAATTTCGCGCGTTATTATGGCGAAACCGCCAAGCCCTCAATACATGACCCATGGAATGGGGGTCAGATTTCTGTATTGACCTTGTAAGAGGGCTGTTTTTACATTCCAATCCCCCCTCCTTCTTCTGCCGGCAGAAAATCAAAAATCAATTCACTATGGAGTCGCTAGCGAGCTTTTGAGAGAAGCTGAGATAGCTGGTAAAGCGAAAGCTTGCCTCTGCACCGTACAAGCTCTAGCTCCTCAACAGCTGCATCCAGAGACAGGCCCTTACCATATCTAGCGTAGATCTCGTCGATGATAACTTTCGGCGGCAAAACATGACCCTTTCGCGAGAGGAAGGCCGCCAGGTCGCACCATACGATCTCTCTAATGACTGGACAGATGGATTTGCACCTAACCCACATGTCCATTCTCTCCAGACCTCCGGCACAGTCTGTATCGTACGAGAGAGCGAGTAGAGAGATCGAGAGGGGGATAATAAAGAGGAGGGAGTATCGATCCCCTGTGGGAGAAGCTGCTGCTTATCTACAGGAGGCTGCAAAGATGATGCCTCCGATAGACATGCTGCTAGCTGAGAAGACGGTGTGAATGAGTCCGAGTCTGGTGTCCGCGCTTCGATAATAGAGGCATCCATGGCTCGTACGGCAAAGGTAACGTGACCAGAAAGGAGATCATGAAGCTGGCGAGAAATCTTTCTAAGCTGTTCATGAGCCTGATAACCATGAAGATCAACCGCCTGATGGATATCCTTCTGGAGGACACTAAGACGGTCGGCAATAATAGGAAGCGTCTGCCGGAGCTGAATCTCCTGAGGGGTCTCCGTACAAAGAAGGGACTGCCGTATTTGCTCTGCAAATGCAGTATAGTCTTGTGCAAAGATAGGATCATCCCACATTGAATGCCGGGGGAATTGCGCCTGTAGGAGAACCGAGTCCTGGAGGAGGATGATCCGTAGTTGATTCAGTAGCTGCAAAAAGCCTTGGGCTGCCATATCATCTCTGTCTTCCTGCTCCTGACTAGTAGCCCCGCTAGGTGGCTCATTTGTAGGATCGTTGGACTGGAACCAGGCAAGCCACTGATCGATCCATGGCCAGAGAGCTCGTACGAGGGAATCTGGAGGTTGAATTTTTGCTCGAGGAAGATAGTAGTTCCCAATTGCATCAGGCTGGAAACCAGCCATAGAACGAAGGAATTTCCCCGGCAGATGCGTCAGATAGCAGTTAGTTAAGGCATCCTGATTCCATTGACCAGCACGGCGGATCTGGTTCTCTTCCACGCCTTCTAGCTCGGCTTGTTTTGTCCCCTGAGCTCGGCCTGCATGTGTCTTCTTGTCGGTAGAGAGATTGATTGCCTTATAGACCTCATTGGCCCATTTCAGCTGGATTTCGTACGAGATTGGCTTCTCTCGATCTGAGCCCTTGAAGAAGTGGAAATTATACCACTCTGGTCGGCTCTGAAACCGAGGCGGCGACTCCCCTACTATCTGCCAGCGATAAAAGAGATAAAAAGCCGCCTGGCTCATCGTACAAAGGAGAGGATCCTGATGGCGCATTACCCCCATATACTGCAAGCGGCCAAACTGGTTAGTCTTTCCATTATTCATAATCATGATCATTGGCCAACAGGGGGTCGGTCCTTCGTTGGGTAAGGAGATAGTGAACAGGTCAGGAAACTGGAGTTGCCGGCGCGATTCTCCACGAAGGAGCATATTGTGACTGAAAAGGAAATCCACGGCCGTGAGAAGATAGGACTCCTGAGCTTGAGGCTTTCGATGCTTAAGATCTTTTGTTCGCCATCCTTGCCAACAGTATCGTACGAAGTCCTTGATTTTATCCTTGGAATATCCATCCTGCAGGGTGCCTGCAGCTCGGTCAAGATACTGCTCGCGCTTTCGCTCGCTTTCCTTATGTAGTCGGCCAGTCATCAAGGCGGAAACAGCATATCCACGGGGGTTAGGGAAGCTATTCGTACCAATGCTTTTTTGGAACTTCCAGAGGTCCACAATAGCATTGATATATTGAGTGATTGAATTGCTTCCCAGGGTTTGTTCTACCTTTGATCCATCTGGCCGTGTACGATCCTTCTTATATTGAGAGGACCGAAGAGGTCGATTAAGAACCTCAGTGTCAAGAAAGTAGACAAGCTTCTTCTCTGTGACTAGTTCGCCGTCTGGGAAGCCCTGCTTTTTGCAGAAGCTCTGTAGCATCTCGTTTAGCTTCTCGTACGAACTAGAGACAAGGTCACAAGGGTGTTCCTTTACCTGCCATTCCTTATGCTTGTTAACATAAGCCTTGGATGTATTCTTAGGCCGCTGGCTTCGCATGTAGTGTAGGGCTTTGATGCTGTGGAGGTTTAATCGGTCCTGGAGCTCAATCTGCGCTAGCTCCTGGGTCTGTGATGATGGAGGAGAGGAGCAGGGAGTAGAAGGTGATGATAAAGCCATTTTTGATTAGGTTCGAAATAGTGTTCTCTCTTTCTCTCTTTCTCTTGATGATGAGATGCGTGTAGGTAGGAGTAATGACAAGAGAGGAAGGAACGCGACGCGGAATTCACACAGTAACCAGCTGCCTTTCTTACCACCCTTCCTACCGCCTATCCCCATCATCCCTAATCCCCCTCCCCCCCCCCTTGATTCATCGTAAGGTACTGTCATAGCCCCGTAAGGGCGCGTACGAAGCTATCCCTGGCTTCAGGATTACTGCCAAGATTTCGCAGGCTCGATCTGCGGTCAGATATCTTGCGCGGGATGGGGGTCAAATGGGTGGGTGCGATCAGATATCTCAGATATCCTGGGGGTCACGTGATATTTCGCGAAATTTCGTGGGTGTGGATACATACACATACCACCTAGATCATTTTAAAATAAAAATTTGGGTATGTAGCGGTTCCCTCAATACTTAATCTTATAGATATAGAATAACTCCTTAACCGCCTTTAACCGCATATTCCTACTGGTAGCCATCTAAAATGTCTACTATTTTCACTAGTGACGACGCTGACACTATTGATTTGATGGATGAGTCTCCTCTTACAAGCTCAGATTGGTCGTACAGTGCTCGCAGCTAATCTCACGAAATCCATTCAATCGTCCCTCATTTACCGTCGTCAATAATTCAAGATCAGCGAACGAATCTCGCCTTCGAAGAATTCAGGGCACAGTTCAACGGTCACGGCCACAGCAGCGACTTCTTCAGCTGCAGCGTCTGCAGCGTCAGTATCTTGTTCGACCGATACCAACGCAGCTCCAGCCGGTGGTTACATTCTATCTTTGGTTTATCCCGGTGACTAGAGAGCGGAAGGTTCTAACGTAATTCACTACCGAGTCGCCCACCCTACCGAGCCGCCCGCTCCGCTCGGCCCCTACCATTATTTTTGAATATTACTCGACCACCAGGAATTGTATGAAATTGATAAATATATCAAACTAAGCCGGGCAGTGTGTTCTCTTATGCCCAAGAGTATTGCAATTCGAACAACGCGGCGGCGCTCTCTGAAATGTCGTTTTTCCTGTCCCACTAGGACCTGCCGTAGTAGTATCATTGGCACGAACATATTCCTCCTCCCACTGTGCGCGCGTACAACCCTCCGATCGACCAATATTTGTGCCAGGAATTGCTTGTTTCTTCTGCTGCTTAGCATGGGTAGCGTGCATTCGGTTGATATCAGCTAAATATAGCGTTTTTTCATGCATACTAGAGCGCGCGCTCTTTGCTAATTGTTCGATTTGCACCAAAGCTCTCTCAATATTGGTATCCAGCGCTAATTGGCGAGCTTGCTGTAGTAATTTGCCAATTGATCGTGTTTGCCGCTGAATTTCAGTAGGCTTTTGTGGTGTACAGGGGATAAAACCACTGCTGCCGCTCTCTCCTGCCCTACTCCCTGGGGGAGTAACATTGATATGGATATTCAATTTTTCTAATACCCTCTGCGCAGAGAGAGGTAGAAGACCGGCGCCAGCAAAAGCATTTCGAATAGTTGATTGTGTGTATGCCTTTGTGCGCGCATAGGGGTAATTGGACAAGAAATCAAGCTTGTCGATGTGGTGTATACCATCCACTATCATTGACTGAACCAATTGACCATATTCTTGCTTGATAATAGAGAAACAACCTACATCAAGTGGTTGAAGTAGGTGAGACGAATGTGGCGGCATACAGATAGAGATAATATTATTATCTCTACATATTTGGTCAAATTGAGCAGTCATATGGCTTCCATGTCCATCCAAAATTAGGAGACGCCACTTGCCCTTTGTATAACCATTAGTCAATGGTATAAAGTGGTTTGTTAACCACCGAAGGCCAATTTCATTAGTCGTCCATCCATTATCGCTAACCTCAATATGCCAGTCGCGAGGGAGGTCAATTTCGGAGGAAAACCAGGCCGAATTGTAGGTTTTCGCTTTGAATATGAGCACCGGCGGAAGCGCCCATCCACTCATACAAATTGTTTCAACTGCCGTTACCCACTCACGATTCCCCGGTTGGATTTTAGCCCTTCGTCCATAGTAACCAGCGCGAGTTACTACTTTAGAAGTGCTACAGAGGCCCATTGCGAAGCCAGTTTCGTCAAAATTGTAGATATCGTCTTGGTGGATACCGTATTTGCAAATAACCTCTTGAATAAGGTCAAACCATTGCTGAATTAGCTTTGGGTCCTCACAGAGAGCACGCTGATAGTCCCTACAGCGTGTGTATCGTGTATCAAGCTCTGGCGTGCGCTTAATAAATTTGGTGACCCAATTCTTGCCGACCGTGACCGGAGGACCTTTGCCGCGCTGAGATAGTAGCAAATTTGCCATCTCTCGCACCAATTCATGCCTAGGAGCAATTCCACGGTCGTCCATAGAAAGAACCCAATTCTCTAGCGATTTCTCCTCCAATTCAGTCAATTTATGGCTGTTTGCGCGCGTGGCAGTGCGTTCAGTTGTGCCACTGCGGCGACCGCGGAGGGTAGTACGAGGAACATCATATAGGTCTGCAGCGCGTCGGACAGTCAATTTTTCGTCGTTTTTGAGAGCCTCTATAGCAAGTAATAACCTGCCCTCTTGGTTCTCACGCGTATGGACGGTAATATTGCGAATTGGTGGCATGGTTGCCGGATGAAGTGGTAGGAAGGGATAGAAATACGCGTTCGCGGGCGGAGCGGGCGGCTCGGTAGGGTGGGCGACTCGGTAGTGAATCACGTTAACAGAACTTAGTAAGTCTTAAAAAGCAAAATCCTACTACTAGGAACAGAAGCCAATTCTCTGTTAGCATGTGTTTCACGAGCATTCGATCCTCGAACAATCTTTAGCGTTAACCACTTCATAACCTGCGACCTTATGCCTGGGATACAGCAAGGTCTTAATATTTATACCAAGCAGGAGGGCGATGAGCCTAGGCTTGCGCGTGAAGTTCGACGCACGAGGTCGGTCTTTATCGGCGCTGAAGACATCCTTCAAATTCCAAGGACCTATGCCATTAGCATTTCAATGTTTCAAATGGAGAGTACCAGATTTGCGTGCTGATTGTCCGTCATGAGCTTCCTAAACTTCCTGAGATTAAACAGGAAGAACAGGATATGGCCCAGTCTACTGCCACTAGCTTTGACCTAGACGGCGTTGATATTTTCACTACTCGCAGGACAATGCAGCGCACCAATAGTCCGATTGAGCGGACTCTAATTGAGAAGGGCCCGGCTGAGTACCAGGAACCCGAGCATACTGACCGAGCCACCGAGCAGGCCACTAAGCTGGCCAGACGGGGTCGGCCAAAACGAGCTCGATCCGCGGTATCTTCTATTGCTACAGGACCACCACCTCGTACTCGACGGAGATATCAGCTTCGGACAGAGGACCACGTGCGGATGCGGGCGTCAGAACCAGTAGCGATTGGATGGGAATAGGTTCTGGGTCCTTGTAAACAAATTAGGAGGGCTCAAAAGGACGAAAGCGCTAATTTTGATAGTTCTCTGAGAAAATAAACGCTGTTTTTGATTCGGACTACTTCCAGACCTACGAGCACGTAGTTGACTGATTATGATCAGCAGTTAGACAAAAGTTGAAGGATAAATGATAAGAATCAACAGATGGATACTTTAGGATTAGACTGTGTCGGACTCTGCCAGTCAAAAACTGCATTATATTAAGCACTTTCCCCAAGGCCGCTGTGGGATGCCGTAATTCGCGAATGCCCACATTGAGCCCACTTTTTATGACTTTGTCGATCAACAAACATCCCCCTCTCTCTCTTTCTCTTTCTTGTATTAGGCCCCGCCTTCACTCGTCCTGTTGTGCAGCGTGTCCTCCCGCTCTCTACTTATGATCTAACTCATCTCATCATACATCGGTCTCACTACTATGGTTGAATAACATTCGCTTCAATATTCCGCTCCCTGATCCGCCCGGCCGCAGATCGACTCTACATTGCGATGAGAGAATCGGAATTTCTGATTCCGCTGTGAATGGTTTGATTGTGACTGTGCCTATCATCGTGAGTGGTGCATCCACCACACAGATCGCAAAATGCCGACGCTGGCCTTGATCAACTTTAACATTGTCTGCGCCACACTTGGAGGCTTTATATCCTTGTTCGGTTTGGTCTCCTACCTATGCAAGGAGCGATTCTATCTCTCTGAAGCGTGTCCGTGCCCCTGTATTTCCATGTACCTCATAGGGTGTTCTGACGTGACAAGTGATCTCCTTGCTGGCCGGTGTGGCATTCTCACCACATGCAGCCAATTTCATACGGCCCGAGGAGTATGCCATGCACTCCGAGCCGAACCTCGAAGCCATCACCCTGCACTTCTGTTCTTTGGCATCTACCAGTTGAAGTACATAGGAATGGGTGGCGAGGGCTTCAGCGGTGGCGCGGGAAAAGCCATGGGACTGTGGTTCTACGAGACTTGGGTGTACACCATCATCTTGAGCGTTGTTTATGGCGCCGCAGTTGGCTGGCTGTCGCGGAAGCTGCTTCACTAGGCAGAGGAGAAGCGCTATGTCGACCGGGAAAGTTTCCTGGTGTTTGCCATTGCCCTCGCGGTGAGTGATAATGTAGACATGGCAGATGGCGTCTTGCTGATACCTAGCACAGCTTTGTATCGTGGGCACCTGCGGTCTCATTGGCACCGACGACCTCCTCGCGTGTTTCATCGCTGGAATGTTTTCAGGCAGGAGTAAGTTGCACCCGCTGACACAGGGGTCCAAACCCGACCATGATAGTGATTGGTTCCGCCTCGAAACCATGGACGACTTACTCCAGCCGACAATGATATGCTTCTCAACTTGTCTGTCTTCGTGTGGTTTGGTTTGGTGCAGTGTGTCCGTGGTCGTCCTTCCCGTACAACAACATCATCTCGATTTATCGACTCATATTCCTGGGCATCCTGATCCTCTTAGTCCGCCGTATGCTGATCATCTTCGCGATGCATAAGTACATCCATCAGATCGAACATCTTGCACAAGCCGCCTTTGTCGATTCTTCGGTCCAATCGGCGTCGGCGCCATCTTTTATCTCTAGATCAGCCAGGAATTCCTCAAGGAGATCACAGTCGACGGCAAAGTGCGAGAGGATGCGCAGCAAGTCATGGACGCTGTCTGAATTGTAGTGTGGCTCTTGGTTATGTGTAGTATTGTGAGCTCACCTCTCCCCCTCCCTTCCTTTTAGCTACAATCTCTAGCAAACTTCCCAGATCATCCACGGTCTCTCAGTCCCAGTCGGCAAAGCCGGCTACGACCTTCCACGCACAATCTCCGGTGCCATCAGTACCGGCACAGTCGACGAACCCGACCCCTCCCCATCTCAGCCATCCACCACACCAATAGCACTGAAACTCCCCATATCGAAGGAGCAGGCTCTAACCGTACCCGCAAGCGCCGCTCGGTGATCCGTTCCGGCTCGCCGTCTCGTCAGCTCCAGCCAGGCGTGGGCTTGACCGACAAACCGGAGAGACCGGTTAATCTGGCTGTACATAGCCCCGTGGCTGGGGCGCATGAAGCACATGAGAGCTCGCCTAGTCCAGCCCTATGAGAGTAGGACAAATTACCTTGGACGACTGCCTGCCAAGCACGTCTTCCGGACCATATTACAAACGACACTTCCCACATTGCACATTGGATAGACAATGTCCAAGTCTAGGTTTCATAGTCTTTTTAAATTTTCACTTGTGCATCTTTTGCTCGCCTTATCAGCGTCCAATTCGGTCGCGGCCAAGTCTCGAGTGACTGACCTGGGTCCACCATTTCATTCCATCTTGCAAGCAAAGAGCACATACAAAGTACCTCTACAATGAAATACTTTCAAGATCAAATTTGGAAAGCACGTTCACCTGACAGACTCTCGAAGTACCAAAGTCCTGACCCGAAATCCTAAGACATAGCATTCATCCATCCATGCCACGCACAACAGACCATGCGCTCCTCCCCTTCACTTTGATACCTAGAGATGTCCACGCTGCGGTAATCCTAAGACATCATTCCAGCGGGAACGATATGCGTGATGACCATGAGAAGTGCAGTAATTCCCCCTTTTTGCCGAGATGGAGGACCATGCATACCCAAAGCAGATGTTGAGATAAACGCCACCTACAAATTCTCAGACCGGACTTGTATAGTATTTGGTTATCTGCGCTGTGATCCAGAAGAAAATCTCTTGCAGATGTACCTGTTGCCGAACTCCAAGGAGTACGCCCTTACTATAGGAGAGCTTCCTGTCATTCGACCGAAATCGGATATGCGGCCACAACAAAACCATGTCGATCATTGTCTGGATTAGGAGGCACTGGAATGGGATAGTACCAACCTTGGCCGAATCCGCGAGGTTAAGTTCGGTCCCGTTGATCGACGTGTTTCAAAACGTCTCGGTTCAGTAAAACAGCTGCTAATGGATATGAAGGGCGACTCCTGTTGATAGTGGTTTTTATCGAGTTATAAGAACGTAGTGTATTCTAAAGCCTAAGGAGACCAAGTTCATTCATGTCGCGCATTGACAGGTTCAATATATACAAGATAATACTTGCAATCTGGTGAACAATATTAAAAGCGTAAGAGGCTACGAATTATTCCCCTCTTGGGAACCAATATCCGCCTCTTTCGTCAAGCCATACTCGTGTCTTTCCCTATCGATCTCTTCGTTCTGGAGGGGACATCTTTTGCCGTGCATGCTGCTACACCGAATCATGCTCTCACACAAACGATCCAGGATCCACTCAGACTCCGATTGCTTGGACATCATCGGTGTCCATTCCCCAATCCAGTCCCAGTGTAATCTTCCATACTCATCCTTGTCCATGTTCAGTTCACCTGGACGAGAATGGCTGAGCTGAATCATCTGCATGAATTCCGCCCATTCTTCATAACTGTACTGATTTCCACCATCTAATGCATCTTGAGTTACCCGACGAATGGCATATGTCAATTTCTGGATGACGTCCATGTCCGATGGTCTCCACTCTATGCCCGGTTTAGCCGAGGACGGAAACGGTCGTTCTTGCTGCGACCACAAGGAAGACTTGACTTGTTCTTCATCAGCAGATTCGGAGATGTCACTATTCTGTTCAGCCTCGCGAGTCCAGCCGATGTTCAGAACGAGAGGGATTCTCATAAACCGTGAGTGCTTTAGAGGGGACTTGGAGAGGTTCGACCATCCCGCGAGCATGTTCGTCGCGCGTTGGAATGCGGAAATGAACGTGTCGCTCATCACGGAGATGAGAGTGGTCATAGTCGGGACAGCTATCAGTGACCAAAGAACAAAGAAAGCCCGAGCTGAGTTTGTGTTTGGAGTGATATCGCCGTATCCAATAGACAAGAGACAGACGAAGTTGAAATACAAGGCGTCAAAGTAAGTCAGCTCAGGCTGTAAAGTGCAGAAGACCAGCGCGCCAATTGTCCAGACAATTGCGAATGAGATCAGGCATTGGATAAGGGTGAACCAGCGACGGAAACTGGCGACCTCTTTCTGGATAGTACGCATTGCACGAAATCGGTCTTTCTCTTCACTCGAGACCTGTTTTCTTCGTTGGCCTAACACAATGTGAGAAAATGCGGTCGTAGAGGTGTTGGTGAAGGTTTCTTCGCTTTGTTTTGACGGGGATGCGCTCTCTGATGTTTCTGAATGAATATTCACGGTATTCTGGTCATGGGAATGGACATTTTCCGAGATAGGGGAAGTTTCGACCAAGGCTTTTCGTTTCCGATCGATTCTTTTCCGCACGACGTTGTCAACTTCTATTTCACCGAAGAACTGGTTCATACTTCCGATGACGAGACCGAGCATCACGATGCCAAAGACGGCATAGGGGAAGATAATTCCACGAGCCACGGGAGTCTTGGCCAGAATGTCGCCGAATCCGAGAGTGAGGATCGTAATATCACTGAAGTATAAAGCGTCTGAAAATGAGATACCAATGAGTTTCTGGAAGATGGCTGCTCCCACTATCAGCCATACGGCTAATGCAGTGGTCTGCAGAATCAGAGTTCGCTGACTGTTGGAAAGCGCGAAGTGCTGCGGGTAGTGGCCCAGTAAATAACCGAGGAGATTGATCGTCAGAATCAGAGTGTTGAAAAAATAAAGACACGCTGCTATGACGGCAAAATAGAATGCGGTGGTGTATAACTGATGAGGAAGAGCGGGGGGCGCGTAGATGTGGACGGCCGATGTGATTCCGATCAACTAAAGGAGTCAGTGTTCATAGACAATAAGTCAATTCCAATGTTCATTCAACTCACAATCCCCGTTGCTAGCCACCAAAGTACGATAGATACGGGCAGTGCGACGATGTATCGCACCGCTTGAGTGAAATTGCACAAAAGAAAGATATTCCCTATTACGCCGCAGGCGAGGGAAGTCGCATTGAGTGCCACAGACCTAGAATTCAGATATTAGCATGAATATGGCTCTCTCGTACCTTCCACCCATACCACGTGAGATCATCATATGGGACTTGAAGCGGGAGCCCGTCATTACCGGTCTTGTCGTAATGTATCGTACTTCTCCAAGGCATGGCCAGAGCCACAATCGACATCACATTGGCAAAAGGTGCGGTGGCCGCGGCGATTAGTGGGATGGCTGTCGACGCAAACCACCAGGTCCGAGGTTTGTCATCCTGGATTGGACGCGGATTGAATTGGCTCCGGAATCTCTTCCATGTTGACTGATCCGTCTCTGAAATTGAATCCTGGTGAGCCGGTGGGCGCGCTGTAGCTGTAGCTGTAGCTGGGCCTGGAGGTGTGTCTAGACGTGCGTCTGCCTCCATGCTCTATCGGAACCGCTGATCAAACTTGGTCGAAGTGTCTTCCAAGTGCAAGCTCCGAAGGAATGACCCCACCAGCACGAATGACGAACGCGGAGCCAGATACTCCACACACCTAGCGGACGTGCTTGCGATGTCTCATGCGCTGGCAATGAAGCAAAATTTAAACACGGAGGAAGAAAAAGAATCAAGGGTTGGTTAGGAAATTTGGATTTACACGTAGGTGGCTTTTCGTTCAACACGCTATACCAAATTGGACTCGCTACTTTTGAAGTCCTATCAGATTAGATTTATGCCTCATTGAAGTGGGTATATGCGGGGCGGCTTAGTCTACCCTTGGAATAGTAGAAAACTAGAAACTTTTAACGGTGTGCCAGTCCAAGGATTTCTTTAGATGGATTATCTTTTGTGATGCACCGTTAGATTGGATGGTCCATTCCGCTTGGCTGGTCCATTCCGCTTGGCATTAAACACTATCGTACCTCGTACTCGTTCTCTGGTCGAAGCTCCCAGTGGGAACACGGATGAGTGCACGGTCGGACTAGGTATTGGCAGCCATTCCTGACCACGTTTTTGACGGCACCCCGTGAGTTCCGCTTCCGGGGCGCGCTCGGCGCCATGGCCGTCGGCACATGTGCACGCCCACCGGTCCCTGCTCTCTGTTCTCATTGTCACGGGAAAGTTTGCGGATGACAACGTCCCCGGGGACCTCCAGGATCTGATCATTGCGGGGTCGGGCGCCAATGACGGGCTCGGCCACACATTCTCTCCTTTTCGCTCTACCTCGTCAAGTACGTGGGCTCAGACGCCGCGTCTGGCGGTGCCGGCGCTGCCATAGGCCTGCGGTTCGGCTCGGATTCACCTGGAAATGCAGGAATGCACAATATTCCTCAACGTCTTGTACGGCGCTGGGGTTGGCTGGGTGGGCAAGGAGCTGCTGCTGCAGTGGGCAGAGGCTGATTATCACTCTAATTAAATTCAAACACGACACGTAGAGATAGCACAAGAATAAATTTCACATCCAGCCATCGACGGTGAAAGATTTTGGCAGGTTACCGTAATTTACACACTGCCGCTATGCCTCCGCACGTTTGCGTATTTTTTTTGGCTTGGCAGGTTCTTTTCCGATTTCCATATCCCCCTTTTCTGGCGTGGGAGGTGTCGTAACTACACCTCGAATCCCCTCTTCCCCCTCTCCGTCGATGTCCCCGATTATGTCTTTACTTCATCGCACATTGGCACGCGACTAATGGTGGCGTTGCTCATGCTCCTCTTTCTGTCTGACTTTCCCGACTCCTGCGATCGGCGGCGCAAATGTATGCCCAGTCTTGGAAATCACCCCAAGTGGATTGGATCCCCTCCCAGATGTACTAGGGTCGAGCGGCTGACCATCATGACGATTCCCTGCACAGGGCCGAAAAATTTCCCTCTATCCACTCCCAATTTCTCCCGGCCACTTCATCGCCGTGGACTGCGCGGACTGTGGCTTCTACCTGGGAACGACGGCTTCGCCGTCTGTGTCCGCGAACATTGTTTTCGGCTTTCACTGGTCGTTGGTCAGCTTTCTTGCGCCAAGCAAACATCATCAAGCAGCGCGTCCCACTGGTGAACGAGCTGCATCTGAATTTCATTTTCATACATTACGTCTACATCATCTCCTGTGCGATCATCAGCTCCGTGATCATCTACCCCGGGAGCGAAATCGCCTACGTCGACGCCCTCTTCCTCTCGGCTGGTGCCGCTACCCAGAGCGGGCTGAATACTGTCGATCTGAATAAACTCCGACTGTATCAGCAGATCACCCTCTATATAATCTGCATGATATGCACTCCTATCTTCATCCATAGCGCGCTGGTGTTCGTCCGGTTGTACTGGTTCGAGAAGCGGTTTCAGCACGTGGTCCGGGATGCACGCGCGTTGCGCTCCACCCGCTCACGCATGGATACGACCACCCGAGAGAAAGATACCCAGGAAATCAATCGCGCGGAATGTGGAGTCGGCGGCCGGTCCATCGTGGTGTTGCGGGACACTTCTGGAGATGCACGGGGCTATCGACTGCCTGACCCCGCGGGGCAAACGCACGAGCAGGATGATGTGCCCTCAGAGGCCAACGCAGCTGATAGAAAAGGACCCAATGGCCAGCCAAGCACAGATGAGGGGAAGCACAACCGTGACGGAGATCGTTTTGGGATAGGCGGCTTGAGGGTGCCCACACAGTTCGGTCCTGAACATCACATTGCTTTCCTCGAAAACCAGCGGAGGAGCAAAGGAGCTCTGCGCATCCCCAGTCCTCGCGAATACGATCGTGGTGGAGTTCCAGAGGCTTTGGATGAAGAGGACAAAGACATGGCTGAGCAAGCCCAACCTCGGAGTCCTATGCGCTCGGACAAGACCCATTTTATTGGCGCCCTGGAAGGGCAACATATTACCATCAACGAGCCAGACATGCCGAGGTGTCGCACGCACGGGTCCTCTTTCTCTCGCCTGGACACACAGCCTACCGTCCGTGACACCAAAGAAGCGAACGAGACGACCGGGTTGGGACCGGTAACTACAAGAAACACCTTTCGAGGGCTCTGGAGATCTCTGACTCAAGAGAGAGATCGTCCTACCCAGCCCTATCTCAGTTGGAACGCTACAGTGGCCCGAAACTCCAACTTCGTTGATCTGACGGAGGAACAACGCGACGAGCTAGGTGGCATTGAATACCGCGCCTTGAAAACCCTGGCCGTCGTCTTGATCTCCTACTATGTTGGATTCCATATTCTTGCCCTGGTATGCATGGTTCCCTGGATCATGACTGTCGAACGCTGGGGCAAGATTGTCATCGAAGATGGACTTGGGCGGCCCTGGTGGGGTGTCTGGACCGCTGCCTCGGGCTTCAACGATCTGGGGTTCACCCTGACGCCAGATTCGATGCTTTCATTCTCAACAGCTGTCTTTCCTTTGCTGCTCATGACGTTCCTCATTCTCATCGGCAACACCGGGTTTCCTTGTATGCTTCGGTTGATGATCTGGGTTCTCTCGAAGTTTGCACGGCAAGGGTCCGCCCTATGCGAAGAGCTTAAGTTCCTCCTTGATCACCCACGTCGGTGCTTCACCCTTCTTTTCCCTCGCAATGCTACTTGGTGGTTGTTTGCAATTCTCGTGGCTCTGAACGGCATCGATGTTATTTTTTTCATTGTCCTGGATGTGGGTGTCTCCCGGTCTTCGGGCCATCGTGGTCTTCAGCTAACACTACATCTACAGCTACACGACCCAACAGTGACGAATCTTCCTCCTGGGGTTCGAGTCCTTGATGGGCTATTCCAGGCATCCTGCACACGAACTGCTGGTTTCGGGGTTGTGAGTCTGGCGGACCTTCACCCAGCCGTCCAGGTTTCATACTTGATCATGATGTACATCTCCGTGTACCCCGTTGCTATCTCCATGCGGCGCACGAACGTGTACGAGGAGAAAAGCTTAGGTGTTTACAGCCAGGGGGTTGAGGAGAATGACGAGGAAGCTCAGACTACCCCTAGTTATATTGGACACCACTTGCGGCGCCAACTGAGTTTCGACTTGTGGTATGTGTTCTTGGGTCTGTTTGTCATCGCTATCGCGGAATTGGATCGACTTCAGATTGGCGATGTGAACTTCCAGCTGTTCCCGGTCTTGTTCGAAATTGTGTCTGCCTACGGCACCGTGGGCCTCTCCTTTGGCTATCCCGGCTACAATACGTCTTTCTCTGCGCAGTTTAACACCTTCTCCAAGTTGGTGATCGTTTCTATGCAGATCCGTGGCCGCCACCGTGGCCTGCCCTACTCGCTGGATCGTGCCGTGCTTCTACCATCCGATTCTCTCAACAAAAAGGAGGCCGCTGATGCACAACATCGCTTGCGCTGCCGTGGCTCGAATCTCAGTGGCGGTGAATCTATGAGGCGCCAGCAGTCGCGCACCGTGTCGCAGTCCCGGGATGCTGGTCTGTCGACGAGCTTGCAGCCTGCAGCAAACGGCAGTGCCGTGGTGCAGCGGTCGTCGACCATCCGGTCCGATCAATAAGCATCGTTTATCATACGCCTGCTTCCATTGTTGTATTTATTGTTGTGACGTTACTTGAACTTACGTATGCTGTCATCGGTCACCACAGTGAAAGTCGAAAACAGATTCCCCTTCGGAGACTCAAATATTCTTCCGCAGAACGTAACTTAAACAGTTTAACTTTGTTAGGGCCTAGCCGTAATCCATTTCCTTTACAATTGGTGTGAATCTTACCGGACATCCCAGTCCGGATTAGTCGGGTGTCGGGTACGAGACGAGAAACAATGCGAGTCTCCACGGAAATTTGTTGGACTCTCCTTGTAACCTGATCAAGCAATGTCCGTGATCTATTGCGTGGTGCTTCCCAGTTTGGCTTAAGTGGCTATTACATATGATCCTTCGAAGGCCCACTTGCTGATTAGAAGTGCCAGCGGCACTCACAGGTGTGTATGGAAGCTCTTCAAAATCCCTGAAAAGTTCCTGGTGGGCGTATTGGCACCGTGATCAGTGCAGATATTGCCAGCCATAATCCCATTCCAATTTTCTCAGCCTGAGCTCATCTTTGACTGTTGGCCCAACTAGTCTATTTGTTGAGATTCTCCCTTTCTTTGCCTTTCATGCGATTGAGTCCCAGTTCCCGTGAGTTAGCGAAATATTTAGAAGCAGCCCCAAACGTTACGGGATGAGTCCAGCCCTCCCTTTTCACAAGCCCATCAATACTAAAAAAAAAAAAGAATCCTGGACATCGTTCCAACCCTCTGCGCCAACAGGATGGCTTCTCGACATTTTCTCAGGTAGAATTTCCATCTGCTGAATAATTATCTCTGAGAATCCCCCAGATCGTCTGCGGCTTCTCATTGTGTCATTGTTGATGTTCCGCTTCAAAGTTGGAAACCGGTACCAGGGCTACTACCGTATACAATGATCAGAGCAAGAAACAATATGCACCCACCCAAGAGAACTCCATCGCACCTGAAGATGTTTATCTTCAATACGGAACCCAGTAAGAATATTTATCGGCCCACAGCCCCGTACCAACACAAACCCAGGATAGCACCAATAACAATAGACACAGCCGGAGGCACCTTAAACCACGCATTGCCGGCATAGGAGATGGTAGTGACAACCACCCACCATGGCTCTCTAGCAAGACTCTGTCCAGCGCTATTCCGGGATGTCAAATAACCAATCTCCCACAACCGGTAGACAGCCGTACACCAACCCAATTGCAGTAGCGTTTACTCCTCTCAAAATGTGAATGACAAACTTCTTCCTCCGCAGCACGCTCCAAAAACTCTGGAACGCAACAGCCAGGGCAAGACCCGGCACGAAGACTCCTAACCAGCCGAGGAATGCGCCAAATACCGTAGGGAACTGCGTTGGTTGCAGGGCCAAGGCACCGAGGAAGACAGCGAAGTTAAAATTTGGTCCTGGGAAGGCTTGAATGATGGCTAGACCGATGAGGAAGTCTCGGCCAGAGATCCAACCAGGGGCGACGAGGTAGCGGAGAGTTCTTGTTGGACGTATTGTCTCTCCGCGTAACTCAAGGCCGGCATCGAGATCCTCTGCAGGGACACTGCCTCGCGTGCGGTACATATGCATGAGACCGTATTTAGCGGGCGCGAACCTTGATGCATGCCGTTTCTCCCACGTCTCGGTGATCTGGTGTAGGTGTTGGAGGAGACGGCAGTTCTTCCTCGAGGACTTACTCCAGACTAGGATGCAAATGGTTCTTCGTTCTCAGTGGCTACAGGAGATTGAAACATGTACAGATGCCGACTCTGGGGTAGTTTAGCGAGGTATCTATCAACTAGTCTATTCTTCTGTTAGACAATTAAGTACGGTTTTGGGTTCTGAGAGATTAGATGCCGATTGTCCGGGAGTGTCGAGGTCTCCAATCATGGTGGTCTCGAGCCAATAGGTTGAGTCATAGGATCAGCTTAATTTTGTGCATGGATAAGCCCGACCATTGATCGCTTTCTTTGCTGTGCAGTAGACTTGTTACAGTATAGCTCTTGAGCGTCGTGAAAAACAATGACTCGGAGCTCAATCCTATCAACCCTAAAACCCAATTTCCCGGGAGATCCTGGGCCAGTTTGTTTAGCCATTACTCTCGTAGCCCATTGGCAAATTGCGGCCACTCAAATAGTTGACGGCTACAGGTTTCGTAACAAAACACGCGCAGCTCCTGGAGACATTCTGCTCTTTGTCCTTATGCCGAGGACTTTTTTAGACCACTTGGAACTGGCCCTCCTCTTAATGCACGGACAACTCTGAAATGTCTCAAGCTGCCGACGGATATATTATCGTTCTTTTGCTGCATTTAGCTGCATCAGCATTTGAGACATGGTTGGAGGCTTGCGTTGTATCATGCCACGAATGAAGGGTGGCTTTGGGAGAATAATCTCGGTACTAGCTTGCGCAAATCATCATAGCAGTTCTCGAAATGGGGCCATCTGGCCAATGGGTTAACTGTGGGGAGTGGTACAACAATGCTGAAAGGTGCTGGCACGGGATGGCCAACTGGGCCCTGGCCCGTTACATGGTAGACAATAACTTGACAAGGCTGAGCCTCTGCCGCCTCTGAACGGACATTGTACTAGGTACTTTCAAGAACCGAGCAGCTCCAGTACGCCACACCTATAATACCCTGAAAAGCAACATCTGGTCCTACATCGTTGATCTTCCTGAGACGTAATATGATACCTAAGCCATGAAAGACGCCGTAGCAGAATAGTGCAATTGTCCGGGTCCTCTGAAAAAGTATGAGAGTAGCGAGGGTCATTTCGAGGAATGGCGCGAAGCGGTAAGATGCCTTATCGCCAGTGCTGGAGATTTGGTACGTGTAGAGGCGCGGATTGGAGCGACTACCGGTGAAGCGGCTGAAGGCAGCAAAGTACGCGTAAAAAGCAACTGCAAAGGTGAGGGCTATGTGGTTATACCACATGAGCATTGCGAGATAGGTGTGACGGCTATGACAAGACATAAGCACGATTTTGCGGGGCGATCAAGGGGGAATTACTGTACCTGCTACTCATTGCTCTACGCTGGTTTTGGATCCTCGGGAAAATGCATCCGCGAAAAGGAAATGGTCTTACAGCCTCGATGGATACTGTTGTCGTTCAGGATTCACTGCGATCGGTTTTATGTGCCTCAGTAGTGGAGTTGAGACTGCAGCAAGGGCGAAAACTACAAGGATTCAAACGAAGAGACGCACCTGGGATCAGCCGAACTACCCGGTCAGAGATCTTGCATAGACACAAGACGGATCACTTGGAGGCTTAATGAAAGCAGGTCTAACTGCAGTATCTATGTTGATAGCCTGGGCCCGGGCTGCGTATGGGGAGGCGCCGCAGGGTCAGGCCGTTCTCAGTTTGTCGTACAGATGCCAAGTGTTGGAGATCGGCATGTGGTAATTCCACTTCTAGGTGCGCCACAGTCCTGCTTCCCCCGCTTTCGCTTCTTTGCATCGGTGTGCGACCGACGAGTCTCACCGTTCCTCCGCGTCGACAGATCGTTCTCCATTAGTCGTCGACACCGTCCTTGACGAAAGCCAGCGGTGGTCCCTATTTCGGCTGAACCTTTCCCGCATCATCATCGTCGCCACTGACCTCTGCTCCTGATACCTTATTTGGCGGGGATGGTGCATGACATTTGGGCGGTTCCCCTCCAGCTCTCCAACTTCAATATCCTAGTTGCCGTACTGGGCGGCTTCGTCTCTCTCTTTGGCCTCGTGTCGTATCTCCTAAAGGAGAATTATTCTCTCTCTGAAGCTCGTGAGTTCCGGCTCCTCCGCTGATTGCCAGGCCAGTCGCCGTTGCTCTTCCGTAGTAAAATATCCTATGGCTGGGTTGAGGGTCACTGACTCGAGAGAAAAATCAAGTTATTTCGCTCTTAGTGGGCGTCGCCTTTGGACCAAATGGGGCAAACTTCATCCGCCCGAGGGACTATGCCGAGTGCAACCAAAAAGGAGTCTCAGTCATCGAGTGCCGCGACAATCTGAACGCCATCACGCTCAATTTCTCCAGACTGGTTCTGGGCGTCCAGTTGGTTCTCGCTGGCGTACAGCTCCCCAGCAGATACCTCAAGACGGAATGGAAGTCGGTGCTGCTGCTCGTCGGCCCCGGCATGACGGCTATGTGGATAGCCACGAGCCTGCTAGTCTGGGCTTTTGCGAGGACGCCGAGCTTCCTGCACGCACTCGCCGTCGGCGCATGTGTAACGCCAACTGATCCCGTGCTGTCCGCCGTTATAGTTAAAGGTAAGTTCGCAGACCATAATATCCCCAAAGAACTTCAGAATCTCATCATTGCCGAGTCGGGCACCAACGACGGGCTCGGCTACCCTTTCCTCTTCTTTGCACTTTATCTCATCAAGTATGTGGGCTCAGGTGCCGCATCTGGTGGTGCTGGCGATGCCATGGGCCTGTGGTTCGGCTTCACCTGGGGATACACGATTGTTCTCAGCGTCCTGTATGGCGCCGTGGTGGGCTGGGTAGGCAAGAAGTTGCTGCGCTGGGCAGAAGAGCGCAACTACGTGGACCGCGAGAGTTTTCTCGTCTTTGCCATTGCCCTCGCTCTTTTCGTCTTGGGTACGTGTGGCCTTGTTGGTACCGACGATGTCCTTGCCTGCTTCATCGCGGGAAATACATTTACATGGGATGATTGGTTCAGGCTGCAGACCAAGGATGACTCCCTTCAGCCGACAATCGACATGCTCCTGAACGTCACTATCTTCTTGTGGTACGGCGCCTACCTACCGTGGGACCTTTTCGGTGATAACAATGTTATCTCTACTTGGCGCCTCGTAGTTCTTGGTCTCCTGGTTCTTCTCCTGCGACGGCTGCCTTGGGTGTTCAGCATGCACAAGTGGATTCACCAGATTAAAGAGATCAGACAGGCAATTTTCGTGGGGTTCTTTGGACCCATCGGCGTCTCTGCCATCTTCTACCTGTTTGTGAGCATGGAGTATATCGAGGAACATTTGAGTGACGTGGACGGTGTCCCTCGAAGCGATGTCAAGGACCTTGGTGAAACAATTCGAGTCGTCGTCTGGTTCCTCACAGTCTGTAGTATCGTAAGTCGCCCCTATTCATCTCTGTTAGCAACCGGAACAGCTAACCTGCGTAAGGTCGTCCATGGGCTAAGTATCCCTCTGGGAAAGGCGGGATACCTCGCGCCTCGGGCCTTTGGCCGGGTACTGAGCGAGACTCTGAGCGATGAGCCGCGCGCGGTGGAAGCTCGGCGCAGGATCCCGGTTCTGGGCAAGTACCTTATTAGAGAGCGTCGCGACCTTGAGTCCAGGCACGTTCAACATACTAGCGTAATATCGCGCCCGTTGGACCTTCGTCACCCACATTCGGAGACAAATACCTCGGTTGATTCATTGCAGGCAGCTGTCGTACCGAGTCGCGCGAGCCATATTGAGGTCGACTCGCGCAGTGCCACCCAGGTCCCGGTTCAGCGCGAGCGGGAGATTCGGTTCCCTGACGAGACCCAACGGCTGAATTGATGCAAATAAGATACTTTATGGCTGCCTGGAAAGCAGTCATGTTTAATAGCCGGAGATACTGTTGTGCTGTTCATTGATAAGGGGACAAGGAGAGGGCTGTATTACCTGCACGTCTGCGGAGTAGTTAGCCGCAATTATAATTGCGCAGATAAGGACCGTATCCTTTTGTCGAGGATAGTGGGGTAGCACCCGAAATAGTTTAGTTCCGTTTGTGTCGTGATATCTTCATTTGTACTAGGGGATTCTCGACACTCCGAGATCGGGAGGTTCAACCCCTCACCCTACTCATGTAAGCAAGGACACCCTAACGTGTCCTCGCAGCATCCGCTCTTTTCTTCTGTTCTTCAATTAATTCATCCTATCTTTTTGGATTGGTTCCCCTTGGTAGATTAGCCCCATTCTTGCATACAATGCCATACTATATCAGCTAGCTGCGACAGTTGCTTTCTAGGTGGGGTACTTTGTGGTCTGACTCTTCCACGCAAACATCACCATGACAGCAGAATTCAACCGTTGAGGGCACGCCTGGACTCGTGCACACATGTCATTGAGGCTGCGGCGCCTAACTACCGCAAAGCATAAGACCCAAAGCCACCTTCACATGGGGCTATGCTACTACCTCATTTAAGTATAATATGAGTATTTATAGTTTCCAAACTACTCGCTCAAACAACAAGAACTATATCACGTTCAACCACCTATTTTATGCAGCGAAGCGTGCACCCCCTACATGTAGCGCATGCAGGCAGATTGGCCATATTATGACCCGTTGCCCTAATATGTAGTTTTTTGAATTAATGATGTTTTGGTGGTTTTACCTGCTTTTGAAAATGTGGTAGTGGGGATGGTTGACCGCTCGGTGGTAGTTGACCGCTCGGTAGTGGATTACGTTACATCCAAGAGGGGTTCGCTCTATCATCGCCCTATATATAAACCCTAAAGTTTTTCAGATGAGAATAATAACAACGAATCTTCCTCTGAACTATAACAGCTCTACTTCCGGCTCTTGATATTTGAATCTGCTCGGCCAAAAGAACCTTTCCAACCGTTTGTCAATGGTGTAGATCCATTTAAGCTCCTTTCTTGTCCGGCTGACATACTTGATTTCCCATAATGCTAAACCAGCCGCAACCGTAAGGGCAACACTGGGGATCATATAGACAGTTAGCGATCCATGCTTCTTTATGGGCCAGATCATTAAAGAGAACTTACATCACAACAATCTCATAGTGCCATAGCATTATGAAGTCATTGCACGGGTGTATGTAGCGAGTCACGGTCTTTCCCGAAGTCCTGGATTTAGAGGTTTCGATATGGTCCGGAAGGGCCTCCCACAAGGTGTCTGTACCGTGGGGGGCGTCACTCTCATTTGGCCATTGATAGTCTTTCTCGCAAGACCCGAGTGGGCGAGGCATAAAGGACGTCTTGATGATAACAGCTGCCGTAAAAACTGCGCCATGTACAAGCCGCGAGAACGTGACCGCAATCCAGAATGATTTCTTCCTTCGTAGGGAGGTACATGCCATAATCCATGTTGTGATGATGAATGCGAGGCCAATAGCATTCTAATACCGAAGTTTCTTTTGTTAGAAGATGGACTGCCCAAAGGTTCTAGAGGAAACATACAGCAGCAATAGATAGGGTCGCAACCGGCTTGATATTAGGGTCATATGGAGGATGTAGGACTTGTGGAGTGGCTTGAATAGCGTCGTAGAACCGTTTTGACAGATGGAGCATTACGCCATATGAAGTCAGGTGGAATACCGGAATCAGTATCAACTCAACAAGACCCAGGATGACGAGCCCACAAGTCCCTCTGTTGGATGGATCTCTTGATCTAGCCATTGTTGTCGGCTGTAGTTGCTATTCCTTGTCAGGATTGTTGGTGTTTCCTGGGAGCACACTGAATACATGTTTCGGCGCGGAAAAACAAGTGCAAATGCAACTCCAGTTTAAATAGGAGAATAACGCCGAGGTTCCAAGAGTGATCTGCAGGCTGCAGCTGTGTATCATGCACCACGAATGGCTGATAAATAGGGTTGCCGTAAATACGAGGTGGAATATGAACAAGTGGATAAGGCTATTGCCCATCCGTCTTGGTTTCCCTTGGCTTGCAAAATACAGTGGTGTTCCGTGAGTACTGTCATGTTCCACAAGTATTTGCACCCTGTTACTTCACTACCCCCTAAGATCCACTTTTTATTCTGCCGGCTAAACAGTGATGCTTCACAAACTAAATTTGATCGCAGTAGCTAATGCCATACTGAACAATTAATAGCTTGTGTACCACCCTTCGTTATCAATAATATCTTGTATCCAGTGAGACATCATCTCTGCAAGGTTAAATAGCTTTCAGATTTCACGCGTTTATTTTACGTGTTGGCGTGTCGTGTATTAAATTAGTAGGCGGTAGCAATATGGCGGTGAAACAAGGAAGTACCAAGGTGCGAATACTTTTGGAACCCCACAGTACTTGTCGGTATCGGTGGGGAATTGGTATCGTAAGGCATGGTCAGAATGTAACAGTGCCTACGCTGCGCGTAGGCACTGCTATCATTGTAACTTAACGTAATCCACAAGCGAGTAGATCAAGCAACCGAGTCGATCAGCCAACGCGGTCGCGTCCCTCATTTAATCTTCCACTACATTCAACCACCCACTATGCCACCAATTCGCTCTCAAAATGCCCAAAAACGTGTCGAGCAGGAAGGTAGGATCCTCCTGCTGTTAAAGCCATCAAAAACCATGAAGTCTCTTCTATTCGTGAAGCTACGCGCCGTTTTGATGTGCCCTTTGGCACGTTATAGCCGGCTTCGCGGTCAGCAATACCGACAAGAATCAAGCGCAAATGGTGATAAATTGACCCAGTTCGAAGAAGAATCGCTTATTGAATGGATACTATCTATGGATCTACGTGGAAATCCTCCCCGTTCAAGCCTGGCTAAAGATATGGCCAACTTACTACTCGCAAGCCGTGGATCTACACCTCCTCCGACCGTTGGCATTAATTGGGTCCCAAACTTCATCAAACGTCATGCAGACACGATCGCGAGTCGCTTTAGTCGTCGATACGACTACCAAAGGGCACAATGCGAAGACCCAGCTGTCATTGGCGAGTGGTTCGACTCTGTACAGCGAGTTATAGCCAAGTACGACATCGCCAACGAGGATATCTTCAATTTTGATGAGACTGGCTTCGCAATGGGCCTAACTGCGACCGCTAAAGTGATCACTCGTGCCGAATATTATGGGAAACGATCGATGCTACAACCTGGGAATCGTGAGTGAGTGACTTCGGTGGAATCAATTAACGCCGCTGGTTGGCACCTTCCACCGTATATCATCTTTAAGGGCAAAGTCTTTATCGAATCGTGGTTTGATGACCTTCCGGATGGCTGGAAAATCGACAAAAGCGCAATGGATGGACTACTGATGATATTTGCCTTAACTGGCTTAAGAATCACTTTATTCCGTCTATTAAAGGCCGCTCCAAGGGCAAATATCGACTACTAGTACTTGATGGCCACGGCAGTCATTTAACGGCTAAATTCGATCAAATCTGCACGGAACATGATATTATACCAATTTGCATGCCAGCGCATTCTTCGCATTTACTCCAGCCACTTGACGTGGCTTGCTTTGCCCTCCTAAAGCGTGCATATGGTGAGCTTGTCGAAAGCCTAACTCGGAATGGCATCAACCATATCGACAAGCTTGACTTCCTTTCGGCATATCCTGAGGCCCGTCTACGGGCATTTAAAGATACCACTATACAAAGTGGCTTCAAAGCAACAGGATTAGTGCCATCGGATCGTACTCAAGTTCTTTCGAAGATCAATATTCGGCTAAAAACTCCAACACCACCCCAAAGTCGTGGAAGCAACTGTTCAGTCGATTTTATGCCTTTAACACCACACAACGCTAAGCAGCTACATCGGCAGGCATCTTCGGTTAAGTCACTAGTTAAATATCGATCTTAAAGCCCTCCTACGCCCACCGAAGCGGCCATTGATCAACTGATTAAGGGCTGCCATATGGCTATGCATAGCGCAGTGCTTTTAGCCGAAGAAAACCGGGCCTTACGTGCTGCAAATACAAAGAAAAAGCAAAAGCGATCAAGATCCACTCGTGAAATAGCTCATGATACAGCATTAGGTGCTACAGAGGCGCGTGCGTTGATACAGGCCAGCCAACAGCCAGCTGAAGCCGAAGCTACAACCTCCGTGGAGATCGCAAATCAGGCCAGTACGCAACGAACTCGGGCTCCACCAAGATGCAGTGGATGTGGAGTGATAGGGCATAAGATAAATAGATGTCCGAAGCAGTAGCTATTAATTTAATTGCGTTGTGGTGGTAATATTTGCAAACCAAAATTATGACTGTAGTTGGCTGATCGACTCGGTTGTGTGATCGACTCGGTTGTGTGATCGACTCGCTTGTGAATTACGTTAATATCTTGTTGAAGAGAGTGTTCTGTTTGTTGACCTCCATTGGGTGTAGATCAGGTGATCTTATCAAGTTGAATTGTATCATGTGATCCGTAAGTCAAATTGGCCACCGACTCAACACTCTTTGGCCTTTCATACCGACTTTCAAGTTACTGGTTTTACTATCCGTCGACATCATAATTTCGGGGTACCTAGGCTAGCCTCATCAATACTCGAGTGAATTCAGTCCTTCAAATATATTCAAAACCTACAGTCACCTCTGGAATCATTGTCTCAATTGCATCATTCGCAAGCCCCCGCTGTTCATCCTCCTGCTGCGCCCGTGGTCGATCGGAGCTGATGTCAGCCGATCACAGCCCCGGCAGAAATATTTCCCGGAAAATGACGGAGCCCTACCTTCGACACTGTGACCTCTATTTGGGTTGCAGGACACAGACACAAAGCCTTTCTCGTATCCGCTGACTTCTCGATGGAGGATGGTGGTCCTTACATGCCCTAGCATCAGATGAGATATCCTGAAAATGCAAGTTTTTTATCGATGCTATCGAGAACCGCGAACTCATGGTTTCAAACTGCAAAGCCAGACTTGCATCTAGCAATAAAGACGGTGAAACTAAATTCGTGCCGTATGAAAGAAATCTACGGGGTTGTACTAGCGAGAGGACTATCTCTGAATCCGAGCATTGGTTTCTTACCTCGTCAGAATTAGTCCCCGGATATTCTGGTTTCTTGGGAAAGATAATGCCAGGAGGTGTCAATCATTAACGATGCCTTTCAACGGTCGACTTCAACGACTTTCACGACGAATGCTCTCAAACGCATCCTTTTGGCACTCCTTTCAACGACTGCCTCAGATTGTTTTTGTTAAATATTTCACTATTTCCCCAATTAATTTATTCAACGGTCTTTTAAATTGTTTCTTTAACTTGTCCATAGAATTGATCTGTTCAACGACTCTTTTCAACGACTCCCTAAAATTGAATCCTCCATGGGTTCCTTGACAACTCGTTCAACTATTTTATTGAACTAATTCTGCCAACAAACGCCTCCGTTGATTCCTTCAACGACGCTCTAAATTTTTTTCTTCAACAACCCATCAACAACCCATCAACATCCCCCTCCCCGGTTAGTTCCATCGATGATACTCCTTTTCTATTCCTTCAACACATTCTAGGTTTGATACTTCCACGACTCGATTTAATACCTCAACGACTCCGTCCAATTAAGCTCTTCAACGACGGCCTTGATTTCTTTCCCGCAATGACATCTAAACATCTGTCTTCCCAACGATGATGTAGATTTTCTTTTTTAGCAACCGCCTTATTTTTTATTTTTTATTTTTTATTTTTTATTCTTTATTTTTTTCCAACGATACTCTTCAACGGCTTGTCGAACTGACACCTTTTCAAAGACCCTCCTAAATAAACCTTTCAACGGCACCTCTGAATTTACGTTCAACGACTCCCTAGGATTAATTCCTTTCCGACTTACCCCCTGGACAAATTCCTTGACCGATTGTTGTCTTGCCCTTCAACAAATTTTCGCAGTTTCTCCCCTTGGTGACTTTCAGCGATAGCCTTCACTGATTATAGAGAGAACAGGTCGACCGACGAAACGCTTAGTCGAACGACCAACAAAGAAGACCCTGGAATACTGGTCCGACCTGCGGAAAGCGACAGCGTCCATTCTGATGCAGCTTCGTACTGGACGAATTGGCCTCGCTGCCTACTTGACTCGCATCAATCGGCGCGAGTCAGAGAGATGTGGTTGCAATCTGGGGAACCAGACCGTCGATCATATCTTGCTTGAATGCCCACTACTCCAAGATGAGCGCAACTGGATGAGAAACGCTCTGTCCGACCGCGGAGTTGCTCTGCGACGCGACGAGCTCCTGACGCGGCCAGAGGCTCGCATAATTGTGGCCGAATTCATGGTCCGGACAGGTCTCTTAAACCAGTTTCAAGCAGTTGACTCATTGGCTCTCGGCACGGAAAAAGGCGACGAAAATGGATGACCCCTCAGGACAGTGTGACGGAAGGAGAAGGATGGTGCCCGTTAGGAGTGCAGTGCCAGGTCCACTGTACTCCCTTGATGCAAGCGAGCGCAGGAGCGGCAGCCGACGGCCCAGAGGGCTGCGCAGATGAAGGCGGTGGAGGATGAAGTAGATCAGAGAATGAAGTCTGATTGTGGAAAGGAGAGTGGGTAGAGGGGAAGCGACGTTCTTTTTGGATTTCTTTTGTTTATTTTGTCTATTTTGTCATGTTTGCATACATTCCCGGGCGACCAATCAGGGGCTTGCGTTGCAGGCCAGGGAAACAATCTTTCAGTGGGCTGGCGACCACCTTCAAGCTGTCGGCAGGCCTGACAGCACTCCCGCATAGCAGCATATATTTAGAGCAAGCTACATCGGGCAAATGAATTCATCATCATCATCATCATAGCCTTCACTGATGACAGATGCCAAGTTCTAAATGATTCTTCGCAGGCATGCAGGCATGCGGAAGAAGTTTATCGTCTTGGCACTGAACGAAATTACTACGCATAAGAAGAGACCGGATCGGACCTCAGGGTTGCAGCTTGCCTGTCAACTTGAGCATGCACCGGGATGCACTAAACTAAAAAGGCATATATGCGATAGGCTTTGAGTTCCCGAATATCTCATGGTATCTGGTCTGTCTTAGCATACATAGGACGGTATGCTTATCGTATAGGAAAGTATGCTTATCGTACAGTTCATTGAGCCTCTCTAAAGTTGCGACCGCCTGGATCGCGCGGATCATAGAATAGTCGGGCTAACAGAGAACTAAGTCTTATCCCCACAATCGTGGGACCTAGGGGTGCTTATGGAGCGTACAGAATATGCGAAGCTTGGGTGGGTCTCTTGACTGCTTGGCTCGCAGCGTCAGCGAACGATTACCCGACGAGTGACCGTCCTTCCCGTTTAACCCTTCCCTATGCCAGTAGTGCGATCACAACGCTGTGGAGAACCAGGTCACAAAACTTGAGAGAGGGAATGATAACTGTCGGAGAATAATCCAAGACTGCAAAATTTAAACAATTAAATCTTAACACTAGGCTAATATTTGTGTTGGGCTGAAATTGAGAGTTGTTAATATTCCTGGTCTCATAATATTATCTGTCTGGAGAATTTCTAACTGTTCGGTTTCAACGGAGATAAGGGCGAGCCATGAGATGGTTCAACCGGTCATCAAAGATTTGGCATTTGATGCCTGAGGCTATAAGTGACTTAGCGGGTTGAAAAAAATTCTGGCCGTCGAGCTGGGGGTGCTGGGGTATTACCAACGCACGTGATTATGACTCACCTGAAAGGTGTGCAGGGATATGGTGGTGTCTGGCCAATCGATTCAATTCCTTAATCACCCTCTATTTTCAGAGGCAACGGTTAAACAGCAGATTGTGTTCATCTGTTTTTGGCGAGCTTTGGCTGCCATTCTCCTCTGCCTGTCAATGGTCCATCGCTATTAACCATCGAATGACCACTTCACCAGAACCACCTGTGCAGATATCTACTGTTAATCTGAATTATTATTCCTATAATCAGTTACTTTCTCATCGGTCACCACTTTCCTCCGTTCCATCAACCGTGTTTTTTTCGTTCCCTCCATTTGTGCCTATCCATTAATCAACGACATCCAACACATCTCTCTTTCCCCGTTTGATCAACTATTTTCGCACCAGAAAGTGTTGACCTAATTGAGTGCATTGCAATACATATGCTGACGTTAGATTTGAACAACACGTAGGTTCAACGGATGTTACGCGATATTAACTGGTCATCGTTAGTAGAACGGAACACTTGCCTGATTCCCAAGCCTCCTTTGTTGCAGCTTCTGCGGGGCGATATGGAAACATGATTTTGGACGCGGCATGTCAGGGCTACAAAGGCTACATGCTTGCCGTTATTGGAGAATACTTTGGCGGGGCTTTGCCGAGTTTTTCCGCTCCGGACGATGCGTTGTCCATGTGCAATCTCAACCTCACGCACGCTGGAACCCAGTCCAGCATGATTTCTGCGAAGACCGAAGCAAGAAGTCGACGATAATGGCCAACAAGATAGACAACTATACCGCAAATATCGTGCGTCTTTCTCGATTTCTCCCCGGATACGACCAGCTCTCTGGAAACTCTACTGAGAAAGTGAGCGTTTCCCTCGTCGATTTGGAAGAAAATGGAAATTTCCACGTTCACGAATCCCAGTCTTGGGATTCTAACTCATCCCAACGGGATCTTTCTGCCTGGCTTACTGGAGAAGCCAATGGAGTGGCCACGAGATACATTTTGATGGAGGACATTATCCCCTGGATCTGCGCGCCATTAGGGGCGACATTCGACTTGGATCCTCAATTCTTCGTTGACCACATGGGCAATCAAGCTCCTACTGTTAGCTTATGGGGAACCCCCAGAAGCGCTCATTGGAACACTTGGAATCTTCGCAAGCCATATCTCTCCTCTCGCTGGTATCGACCTGTAGCCTATCGGAAGCCCGGTAGTCGATCTAAACGCAAGAGAACGGAGACGTAGTCCACACAAATACACCCAGTGGTCGGAGGAGAAAAAGGTGAAGTACAGGTAAAGCAGTTCCTGCCCAATTCAAGCGTGTTCCGGTCCGAGTTGGACTTATCCGAGCTCGTGGTTCCCGGCTTCCGGCCTGGCCGAATTACAGCTATTGAAGAGCGGGTGTCCATCTACCACGTCGAGAAGGATAGGCGCAGACATGGTGCGTTACGATCGAAGAACGCTTCGCAGCTACTAATATTATCACAGTGATTATAATCTCGGATCCAATTCCGACATGTCGTCAACAACGCTGGACCACAATCCATCACAATCCTTTGCATGAGACAGAACCTAGCATCGCCCCATTGGAGGCAGAAATCCACATCTCTACGTTATATAAATGCCTGGTACCTCGAATCCCTCCAGACATTAGGACCAGCCAGTTGATATAAAGTACACCGGATAGCGCACTTCGCTCATTCTTGAGACTGTGTTATCCACAACATCATGCCTCCGTGATTATGCTCAACGCCCAATTCCAAATGAACTGTTACTTGAGGAATGCCTTTTCCATATAATTGTCTCAGATACTCAGGGCTTGCTTTATCTACTTCACCACGTGCGAGGTACTATTGTTACGGCGGTGGTCCCACAAAATGCTGAACTCGAAGATATATTTGCCCTACGGACATTTATTGCCAACATTCAGTCGCAGGTGCCTGATCTAAAGTCCGAGCTTGAGCAGGGCTTGGGAGCCCTGCTAGAACTGTTTCCAGCAGACGAAGCTCACCGCACAGCCAGTGCTCAAGTTAAAATCCAGTTTGAGCACATCATCCTGGATCTTAGCAGGTCTCTTGATTCGATTACAGGAGCAGTTCAATTCATGGAAAGCCAGAGAGCAATTCTTGAGGCTGAGAGCATCACCCGCTTGACGGAACTGGCGTTCTTCTTCATTCCCCTTTCTTTTTCAGCCGCGCTATTTTCAATGCAGGTCCGGGAACTGTCCCAGCCTCTGCCACTGGCCTACTTCGTTGCTTTTGCCCTCTCACTCAGTGCAACCACATATACCCTGCGACTTGTTGTGCGCAGTTCGTGGATGCAACGGAAGAAACAAGAAGTGTTAACCTCCGTCAGAAAACATAGCTCTCTGCCTCCAAGCGCACGAGTAGCGAATTCAGCTGTTATTGCGTGGATGATTACCCAGGCGGTAGTCAAGCCTATCGCTAGGATGATTATCCATGTTATTTTCTCTGACTACATCGGGGCTTTCTATCAAGTGCGCTATCTCGTGCTAGTGCTTACAGTCCTACTACCTTGCTTAGTAGCCCCCCCTCTTGCAGTTTTATGGACTCGTCAGATCAATTTGGACCTCAAGATCGGGCTGACATTCGCCATCTTGCTTCTTACGTTGTGTATCCTTGCGCTGGTCATTCTTGCCATACCCACCACCCGAGAGCAGATCAAAAGTTTGCTTCCAAGCCAGCCGCCAGACAGTCTTCCAAGGAATACCAGCTCAAGAGAGCCAGAGCGACCAGACTTAGGTATGTTCGTCAACAAGGGCTTGCACTGTGGATACACTAACCATGTGATGCAAAGCAACAGTCGGTTCCTACTTTTCCTCGTCAAGCACAGTCTATATATAGAGCCACTAGAATCATGACGGCAAATACTGTTGGCGCTGTTTGTTGCTGGGGAGGCGCCCTACTGCGAACCCAAAACCAACGGCCGCTCTCTTGCGGGGTCTAATTATGATACAGTACACAAGGGGACGGTCGCGCAGGGGACGAGTAGCCTGGTGTATCTTTGAAAGAGCCACTAGTTCATATGCGTGTAGCAGAGTAGCGCAAGACGACGAGGATCTGCCTGATGTGACTGAGACTACTCCAAGATGGAGAAAGGAGTGACAGCAGACCAATCACAAGTTGCCTTTCTACACTCACTTAAAGTCTCAAGGCGTCTAAGCAAGTGTCCGTACATGAAGGCTTGTACCACACAAGCCCTTCTAGTCTCGCCAGCTGCAGCTGAGCTGCTCTTAGTACACTGTACCTTTAGAGCAAAAGAGCTACCGAACAATCTTAAATCGTCTCTGATAGCGGTCTGTTTCCCTAGTTGAGCCTAGCACTTCTCTGAGCAGTATGAAGAGCCACGCTAATCTCTTCCAGTTTTGTAAGCTTTAAGCTGAAGCCCTGTTGCCTGGTGGTCATGAATGAACAACTCAGAGGAGCGCCTGAGTCTGACTCTTTGTTGGGTCCCCGCCAATGATTTGATCATCGACTTCTTCCTACGAGTTGCTCTGCTTCACCAAATCCAGCCCATCAGAGTATTGGCCACCCGGCAACAGAATCGCCAAACCCTTGACTCTGGCATATAATGAGAACTGGCTTTGGGAGGCCAAGCCTGGAGCCACCTATATTCTGTGCAGAATTATAGGGGAGCGGGAGAATCGGATAGGGATGACCTGAATCCAGTTGTCCGGTCTGGCCCGAGGGCTCGGAATAGAGCGGAGGTACCCACGCTATTGTCCTTGCAATCAAGGTGATGGCTAGAGACCTGGGGGGTGCGAGGGTATTACGAAAGGCTCGGGCTTGAAGTACAAGTTTTTTTTTCGCAGAAACCAAGAGAGGAGCGGTCCAAGAAAATGCGGTTTGATCGCCATCCACCTCCACGTCAGGAACATGATGCTCTGCTTTCAGACAACATATTCATCCCGATCCCGACCGCCAATTCCTTCAGTGCGGAATACCCTCAAGAGTATTACTATAGGAGCGAAGATTCCTCATCAAGCAGCAAATGCAGCTCAGTGGTATCTAATCCTTCCACCGCAAATTCCCTGCTTTGCTCACGGCCGACCACCCCCGTACTCGACGTTATTGATCCGGAAATTCTTGAACCTTCCGATTTCAGCGAAGAGAATGACCTCCAGACCTGTGATGAAACCGAAAAACTGGATTCACATACTGGCTGCCCGATTGAGGTTGATGGTAAAATGCTCCCACTCAATTATATTTCGCAGCGGGTTCTGCCAGCCCCAACCATTTCTAGTGAGCAGGCTATAATCTGCATTAGCGACGGAGTGGATGAGAATGTCAACGCTGTACAAGATGAATGCACTGTCCCTATTTCTTTCATCCATCAATCTGCTACAGTGGAAGACGAAGGCAGGAATGATGTGTTTGCCGAGGCAGAGAAAGACGCTGGAAATGAGATTGGTGGAGAAATCACTGCTGCGCGAGATAAATTCACAATTCCCCCTCTTTCAGCAGTGAGTTGCAGCACAAGGCAGAAGATGGTGGGGATGATGACTCTTTCAAGCCAAAGTATTATGGCCCCCACCCCACTCAAGTTCCCAGCGAACATGATCAGAACCTGTTGCATCCCACGCGAAGGCCAAATTCTAAAAACTTGCATCGCAGGCTCAATGCAAGGGATAGATGGAAGTTGCTTGCGCTCAAGGGCGAGAAGATGACTCTCAGACAGATTGGACCTCAATTCGCTCATCTTGACACAGATTTTCTGCGACAGGTTTGGGGAGAACTGAAGCCTTCCGAAAGATGCACCAGATCACGCACCATTAGAAGTGATAGATGGTCTTACTGTCCTGTACAAGCTTCTACCGTACAATATCGTCGAGTGTTTACTATATCGAGGAAGAACCTTATGTCTGACCATGGGCGATGCCTTGGTCTGTGCCTGTGTTCAGTTAGCGTCGGAACCCTCTATGCGTTCCAGCCATCGAAATCCGTTTTGGCCCCCCGGGCCGAAGGCGGACATAAGAGAGTCATTTCGATATTATCACCGAGAAGGGAATGTGCTCGGCTCAGGATTTCCCTTGGTGACCGAAGACTGTCATTATGACGGAAAATCTGTTTCTTATTCGGTTATTCATATAAATTGGACTTGTAGAGAGGGATCGTTCCGACATGTTTGGGGGCGAGATTCCAAATAACCAGAACCGAATGTCCCCGACCTGTTGACTCCCGCCAAGAACAATCGTCAGTTACACCACCTGCCGAGCCACCATGTGGAGTTAAGTGCGCAGTCAAAATGCGAAGGCGAGCCTCTCCCCATAATATTCTGCACATTGGAAACTGAAGAATCACCTTGCAGATTGAGGCTCGGAGCTAAGCATATGAAGTCCGATCTCTACGCATGATATTCTGCACATGGTGCCTGACATGTCCAGATGCTTACATTTCATAGCCGGTCTTTCTCGACCACTTCCTTGAAACAGAATTATATTTATGACGTATTTAAACTAGATACCCCTTCCACGAGCAGAACAGCTTGTTCCCTTCCTCGTTATATGTCTGTACATTGACATTCAAAGCCAAGAATCCGTATGGGCTAACCCGGCTATTATTCTGCCCCTAAAATCCCTGCTCGATCCAACAATGCAAAGTGCTTCGCTTGAAGCCTCCTTCCCGAAGAGGCCGTAGTTCAAGAATTGGACCTTGTAGGCTGTGTTTAATCCAAAGCAGATCGCCCGGCCCCCACACCAAACAATACGCCAAACCACGGCGACCCCGAGTTAGGCAAGCAGAGTACTCCGTAGTCCAGTTCATGGGCTTCTACCTAGTAGCTAGTTTCGCAGCTCATGAAAATGGCCCCCGCGAGCACGTTGTATCCAGGCCCTCGTTTGCGCTAATTCTGTTGATACAGTGCAGTCGGGCTGTCCGTGACCCGACGATCACCATAACCGAGATCAGCTCTACAGTCTCCACTCTATATGATGGGGGCCATTTTGAGAGCGACGATACGAGGTGCAACGAAGTGCAATGTACCGACCGGCGAAGGTATAAATACCCTCGTCAGAGACTCCCAAACGCTCCTCACCTTCTCAGATCATTCATTCAGTTAGAGCAGTCCAACACAGCCCTTTTTCAAATACCTCAACCTCAACCTCAACCTCAACTTCTATCTTCCACAAAGCGCAAGACATGCTGAAAATGCGCTGGCAACTCCCAACAACTCTCCTACTCTCCACCCTCAGCGCGACCCCCGCCCTGGCCGGGCAGGAAGTGGTCGCCGTTTGGAGCAGCTCAACCTTCAGCACCAGCGGCAAAACAGGCACACACAACTTCTCCGCCGGCTTCGCGCTGGTTAACCAGGACGGTGAGAGCATCTACAGCGAAGCATACCCGGACGGGTACAACCCGTGTACCTTCGTGGGTCAAGAATTCCAGCTCGAAAAAGGATGTTTCGGCGGGGCATGGTACTCGTTCCGGTGCCAGGCAACCCAAACCGGCATCCCGCAGCAGTGTGAGGTGAGGGGACCGGAGGGGAACACTGTCGGGACCGGGGAGGGTGAAGATCAAACGGATTTCTTCGGGGTGGGGATTGCGAAGTCTGGCGCTTGCAGAGTGAAGTTCGAGTTGGTGGATGGGATTGCCTGTGGCGCGGACGCAGCGGGGTTTTCAGCACATCATAGCGAGTTCTAGGTAACTAATGGAATGGCCTTCTGTATCTACTCGGGTTTTAAACCGTATACATGGACTTTTTATCACGATGTGGGGAGCAGTTCGGTCGAATGGACTCTGGAGAACAGACAAGCTATGTACATAACCGGAGAATGGACACGATGAACAAAGTCTGGAGTACGCATCCGCTATTTCTCCGGCTTCTCCGGCGCTGGCAAACAGCAAATGTAATAAGCACGACGTATTTCCTTCACTCTCGGCAGGCGTCTGTCAATCCAATCTTATACACTGCGGATTTCTACACATTCCTAGGAAGTCCAGCTTAAAAAAACGAAAGCTCACCTCCGATCCCACTCCCAAACGCAAAATCCTCCAGAACAGTCGGGACGACCAGGTCCGCCAGCATCTCTGACCGCGTATCTGGTTGCGCACCCTGGCCATTGAACAGGGAGTAAAAGAAATCCCCGCCCTCAGTAGCTGGAGTAACATCCGGTAGAATGAAGCCAGTAGCTGAATCAACGCTTCCACCACCTGCCGGACCCAGTGTTGAGTTGCTGCCTCTAACCAGAGAACTGCCGAGCGCGAACTGCGTACCTTGTATCCCAGTGTATTGAATCGGCTGCTGCCGCCCAAGTGGTAGTTCGTTGACAGACTCATCATTAACAGTATCAATCGAAGAACGATATAGGTGGAGAAGCTGTTGTTTGGCCAATCCTGTTCAATCAACAGAAAGGATAGTGTTAAATTCAACACCTATTCACCACTTTCAGCGGCCTCATATTGAAATAAAATGAATTTTAATTCCTATTTCACCACTTTCTCCCATTATCATTCGTTGACTTCACAGTTGGGCAGTCCTTTATGTCCCTAGGACCAACTGAGTTCATTTAATCTGATCAACATAGTATAGACTGGTATCAATTAATTGAGAATGAACGGTAGCCGTGACAGGAATGCCAGTCAACTACCTCTCTGGCCCTCACAAACAAATGCGGTGTGATGAAGTGAAGCCGGACTCACTTTCCTAAGCTGGACGGACTTGAAGGGGCGATTCTTGAAAGCACTAACGTGATTCCCGGCTAGCCGGTCATCCCGGCTACGCGGTCACCCCATCAAAATTCAAAATTTGTAAAATCTTCAACAACGATTTTAATACCCAAAAAAGATTGAATTTTGCTGTTTAAACTTTCTGTGGACATCTAGAGATATTGTGATCTTGTTTTCCACACCCAGAACAGGTTATCCGGCGTCGTATAGCAGGTAAAACCGGTAGTGAAAGTTCAACAGTAGGTTGTGGAGCAGCTACGAGACCAGATATATATTCACCTGCACCACCTCCTTCTCCACCAACAGGATGTATGATATCCAAAACTTCGGTCAAACTGCCTTC